GTTTCCATATTAGGGTTGTAAAATGTCTAAGGACTGAACATTTTATTATAATATGATATGGATCAAGTGGATATTAGAGTAAAACCAATTGCCATATTATAGTTCGTGTAATCTTGTTGGTAATAATTCAATGCTATTCATCTTGAACGAATTATCTAATTCTCTGTTGATACATTTGATTACTGTTTGAGGGTCGAAAGGTGTTCCGCGGTAATGTACGAAATAATGATTTGTCTGAACGACTCTGATGGTGATAGCGGGGAAGCCAAAGATATTGACCATTAGGTTCAAATTGTCATGAAGTATTTTGACAGAGTTAAGTTCTGTAGGTCTTTGTATATAAGATGTGCCTTGAGAGTGGTTGGGTAAGAGATGGCCGTCTAGACGTCTAGTTTGTTACCATAGTTCATGAGTAGATGCCTGGCGTCTTCGACTTTATTACATTGCTGACATCTGTCGCTTTCAATATCTTTTAATTTGCTTTGATACAGGAGACTTCAGCTCGAAATTTTGTTGTAGATGATTTTGAGTCATACATTTCTTGAAGCTTGATGCATAGGTATTCTGTAGAATGCTTTCCATTGCTTGGGGTTCATGTTTTGATTGTAATCTTTGAATGATAACAGAGGAAGATTTTTAAGCAATAGTTGTCTAATGACTTTATTTTTGCTGAACCATATGATGTCGTGGTTGTGTTGGAAATGCTGCAAAAAGCAGGCTGTTCCTTCTTGGTGGACAGGCATAGAAGTGTTTGGTTGGAACAGCTTGACGAAGAACTCCTGCAGCTGAAGTTGGCTGCTCGAGTGGTCTTTTTTGAGCTTGTAGAGTATTTGAGGTGATTTACAATCTTGTCTATTTTTGAGGAGGTCAAAAAACGATCAAAAATTTTACAATCGGTTAAATTTGTGAAAACTTGAATGTTGCGAGTATGATGACAAATTAATGAAGCGGTTCTTTATATAAGCTAAACTGAGCACATATCCTTGAAAGACTCAAGCGTCCGGCAATGCAGCACCGCTGCCGTTCCTTTTCTCGTTTCTGTTGCAGAAAGAGGTGGTCTTGAAGATAATGCCAATGCTGAATTATCTGGGTTTTGGATTGAATACAGGCATTGGCCGCTTGAATAAGAGAGTGGAAAGTCCAGAGACAGCGATGGCCAAAGCAGATGTCTTGTCTCTATCTTGAATAACTCTGTAGTTGAGAACAGACACGCAGGCTGGATTTAAGCTTAGGAACGCACCATGAATGGATCTTGTCTTAGTCTTACCATCCTTTGCTTTGATAGTTTGTGTAAGATGGGAGGTGTAGCCAAAGCAGTACATACACGTATGGGATGTTTTGTGTTCGTTAATAGTATGTATAGTGGCAACGGATGAATGTAAGCGAGAATTCCATTTTCCATTATATTTCATATGGTCATTCAAACGAGAGCCGATACAAAGACCACGATCTCCAATAAACATTGTAAGAGGCGTTTGGGGACAGCCACCAGCACAAAAGAATCTTTCACGCGAAGCAAACCAAAAACGGAAACGCTTGCCAATTTGCTCAAGCTTATTAGAGTATTCTGCTTCTTTGAGTGATAGAACGCTCTCGCTGAAGCCATTTCAAATCTGAGATAATATAAATCTGGTATATCAAGTAGATTTTAAACAATCAATTAATAGTAAAAGAAAGGCTATATCCGAGTCAGAAGGGGGGGGGGAAGGAGGTATCCCACCTTGTAACCGCTGTTTGTCTATAGACTGATATTAACGAAAGCTATTATTGAAAAGATGTGAAAGAGAGTTTCGTTAGTGGCACATATTTTGGTCATACCATTCGCTGATGTTGCTCTTGAGATGATGACATAAAGCTGGCCACGCGTAAATACAGGACTTTTATAATATCTACAGCGACTTATTTGAGAGATTGCCATTGCAAACGGCATCTTTATAGGGAAAAACTCCCAACAAAAGCAATAAAAAGGCATTTAAGCTAAGCAATTGTTCTTTCAAATTCGTGGTCCCCATTTAATCAGCATCGTAATCAGCATTGCCACCATCATTGTCAGCATCAGAAAGACATTTGCTCTAGCCAGCAGCAGCGTCGCCCATCGCCGCCGCCAAAATTAATTCAATCTCAGATATTTTTTTTTCTCTTTAACATTGGCCAAATTTTGCCTTTTCTCGACTTGATTGAACTATTTTATGAGATTCGACTATATAAATTGTGATAATCAGCCCGTACTTCCTAATACATTCTTGGAGTACTTTTCAAGGCGCTTCCAATAGTACCAAGTAAGGTAAATGTTTTGAATAAGCTTACTGAGCAAGTTATAGAAATATAAAAAGAGGTTTCTGGCCAAAAAGTCGAGATTTTACGTATCAAAGTTCTACAAAGATGATTTCAGGTGTTACGTTAGATCGATAGAAGCATTTTGATTCAATATATACCATAGTAAAAGTCTTCATTATCAAGGTGAAAAACGCGATCCTTTAATTTTCAATGAAAACCATGAAGGGTACCTCATGCTTTTTGGTCGATTTTTGGCCATGTTTTTTTTTGATCCTCAAAAAGTTGAGTGTTGAGTCTGTAGCGGTTGCGGACATTCAGTAACTCAGCAAGAGTCGGATCATGATTTACATTGTTTCTCACTGTCTACATTAGGACATTAGGTTCGACACAGAAGTGAATCATATAATCGATTATGATGGTCTCTGATAGTGAAGGATAATGATGGCTACAGATCGTATCATCATGGCTGATTGAACGAATCAGATCCTTCAATTGACTGATATTAGATAAACATGATACGATGTATTGACTCAGTTGAAACAACAAGATAGATTGATGATTCATCAGTAATGATCTCTTATAAATAGGATGTGTTTGAATCAGTTAATAAATCTAAAGTTTTCGTATCTGGTTACTTTTTATAGTCTTCCTTTTTTGAAATCTATCTTAATTTGTTAATACTGTATCTTTGAATACAACATTGAGCAAACGTGTCAGAAAGTAACTGCCAGATGGGAGCAATTGTTTGGTGCTATTCTGACGATCTAAAATAGCCTTGAACGCAAGAAAATGCAGCTCAAATGCACCCAAGCTTTGCTGTGTTATGCACAGTTTTGAGAAGTAATAGTAATCCAAACATGCTGTCTGTTCGTTTGTATATCATTCGTATTGGTATGGATGTGGAGCATTACAACAGAGTCAAATTTACAAGTTCAGAAGCTTTTGCAAGAAGTTACTCGTAGAACGGAAAGCATTGTATGAGATCTACCAGCAAGAAGCACCTAACCATGTAGATGAAGCTTTACGAGGTTTGCAATATTCGAACTCACTTCTAATGTTGCTTTTTAGTTGCGCTTGCTTCACCATGTACCAGATCTAAGATTGATCCTGATGTTTGGACGGGCCTTGATGAATTAGGTGCAGCAGATTCATCGTAACCTTTGATTTCTTTGTAAACCTTTGAACGCTGCGCATCACTCTAATGGGGCTTGATGACCAGTGGGATGAAGATGACAACTTTGACACGAAGAGTGTCTCCACAGGTTGATGGTAGCATAGTAAACTCTTGTTAGCATCAAGAACCTGGAAGCTCTGGAATGTTAATCAAGCCAAGATATTAAAAAGATCAAGTAACAGCTGTCTGGCGAGGAAGGCTATACCAGCAAATAAGCTACTAATCCTATAGCATTTTCATTCTTCAACTCGCAGCACGCTTATCATACTACAACGAATGCGAGATGTTGGGTTTGACTACACTACTCTGCTTCTCAGGCCATTTACGAATATCTCATTGAGTAATTTCAGAATGCATTTGAGGTATATGCATCTGTTGCATTTCTGATCTAACGATCAAAAATTCTGCCATTTCATTAGCCAGATCTTGGCCCATGCAGGCTATGAGTTTCATATAGATAAGCTGCATTACGATGACATTCCAAGACATTTTGTCTCTTGTTAAAAGTGACTCAGAAGAAAAAAAATCTATTTTTAAACAATATTTTTAGCATGCTCAATTTGGTTTTTTTAGCATCGCAAAATGCTAAAAATTTATTAAATCTTTTTGTGATGTAGGAGTTTAGCTCAAGTTTTCCATTTCCAAGAGTTTCTCCACACTGTTTTCTATTTTCGTTAGCTGTATGTCATCCGTCGATTAGGAAATAACCTATGAGTGCCAACCAATGTTGCACATTGGCGCATGGCTTTTTGTCAACATGCACGCATCCTTGTAATTTGTGCAATGTTTCTACATACATGATTTAATAATACCATGGTTGAGTGCTTGCTGAACAAGGCAGTGACCTCGTCTTCTGTTTGAGATGTTTGATCTGGAGTGATAAGCTCCTTTTTGTTCAAGATAAATGAACTAGAAGTAATCAGGTGTAGTAATATGAAATGAAACTTTCAGGCAAACTCAGCGGGAGAAACGGAAACTCCTGGAGCAAATGTGGGATTTCCTGGTGCCTTATTGGATAAATGCAGGATTACTATTCATATTTACAATCAAAGAGGATGTCTTATATTTAACCTGCACAATTAGCCTGCTGTGCTAATGCAGTGCTAGAAATTCCAATGTTACACCATGTAAGTTGCTAATATGCATGACAAATCCCCTGCTCTACTATTAAATGTCGAGCCAAAACATGTTCGCTTAGAAGAGTATACGCAAAGTCTATTAGATCCAGATGTATTCCTGATCATTTCAGCTATTGTTCTCGCCACTTTCAAGTCCTGCTGCAAGTTGCTCGACACAATTCAAAATGCCTACCAATGACAAGTGCCAAGTAAGCGTTTTTTACCCTTTTATGGTAACCTAAACATAGGCAGAACTATTGTTCCAGGAAACGACTTTTCTTATGGAATAACCATTTTGACATGGCTTACATTAGAAATTCATGCCTCTTGTAATTCTATATAAAAGAAACATTTTTCTTTCATCCCGAGATATATTTTTCTTTTCTATCATTCAACACTTATATTTATATACTTATTTATTTATTTAAATCATGTCAAAAGACAATACAACTTCGCTCATCGTCGTATTGAAAGGAACGAGAGATGTCGAGAACGACGGCCGCATCATTCGCTTCGGAAATGGCGCCAATTTAGACACTGTTCGTGGTCTTGTTGCTGAAAAGTTGAGTATTGCTGGAAATCCTTCTGATATTCAACTCTTGAACGATAAGGATGAATTGCTCGGTGGCATTGATGCGCTTAGAAATCAACAAGTGGTCTATGTCGATGTCAAGGATCATATCAAGGAAGTCATTCCCGGTCCTACCAGTCTTCCATTTGTAGGTGCTCTATATGAAATGTTGCCCAATATGTAAGTACAATATATCTGGGTTCTTGTGTGATGTATGGCTAATATGCGTATATGTGTCTGTGTATAGCACTGAGGGTTGGGTACGCCAATTTGCTAACTATGGTCCTCTGGTCGAAGTCAACATGTTGGGTAGAAAGGTGATCGGTACCAACTCTCCTGATATTGCAGAGCTTTTCGTCAAGGAATCCGAGTATTTTACCAAGAAGGTATCCAATTCTGGTTTATCTGAAATCAAGGCTTTTGGTGGTCAAGGTCTTTTCACTACTGACACTGATGAGATGGATTGGAAGCTTGCTCACAAGCTTTTAATGCCTGCCTTCAGTCCTCGTGCTATTAAGGTAAGAACCTCCTTTTTCTACTGTGCTGCAAAAAGAGAGATACTCATACAAACCAAACTATAGGTTTATCAAAAGGAAATGGGCATTCTCACCCAACAACTCATCAAAATCTTTGATCAATTTTCTCCTGACGAGCCTGTCGAGATCATTGACTGGACTACTAACATTACATTCGAAACAATCGGTCGTGTTGGTTTTGGATATGACTTCAATTTGCTCTCTGAACGCAATCAACCACCCAATGAATTCATCCAAGCTATGGGCTACTGCTTGAAGCAATCAATTCAACGTATGCAACAAGCTCAATTTGTCAAATCTCTGCCCATTGAAGCCAACCGCAAGTTTGACCGCTCTGTCACTTTGATGCATAACGTTGTGGATGAAGTGATTAAGGAACGCAAGCAAAGCCCTGACGCCAACAACATGGACATTGATCTCCTAGGTTACATGTTGAATGCTCGCGACGAACACAGCTTGGGCTTATCTGATGAGAATATTCGTGATCAAGTAGTTACTTTCCTTATCGCTGGTCACGACACTACTGCCAATACACTTGCTTGGGCTCTCTACGAACTCTCTAGACACCCTGATGTTAAGGCTAAGCTGCTTCAAGAAATTGCTGATAACCATATCACTTGGGATGAGTACCCTACCTCTGAGCAAATCTCCAACCTCAAGTACATGCAACAAATTATCAAGGAAGTCTTGCGTCTCTATCCTCCAGTCCGTATGCTTGGAAAGTACTGTAAGCAAGACTGTATTGTACCTGGTGGCTATCAAGTAAAGGCTGGTGATGTCTGTGCTGTGTCTGTATACGCTATGCACCACAATGAAGCTATCTATCCCGATCATAACCGATTCGATCCTGACCGTTGGACTCCTGAGGAAGAACAAAAGCGTTCTCGCTTTGCTTGGTTGCCCTTCTCCACTGGACCCAGAGGCTGTATCGGTATGGCATTTGCCTTACAAGAAGCAAAGACCGTTTTGGCTATGATTTTGAACAAGTTTGACTTCCGTTATGAAGGCCCTGATGTCCAATACGATCCCAAGATGGCTACTACCAAGCCTGTTGATCTCTACATGACGATCCATCCTCGTGAAGACTTCCCCGAGCCTAGCACCGAAGCTACTGAAAAGCGCAAGACCGAAAGTGCTGCTCCCCCTGCTGCTACTACCAAGAGCATGCCTGTCATCTCATCTGCTGCTACCCCCTCTGACATCAAGTTACCTCCCATTACCTTCTTGTACGGTACCCAAACTGGTACTGCTCAAGATTACGCTAATCAATTAGCCACTCAAGCCAAGAACTTTGGATTCGCCAATGTCACCATCTTACCTATGGATCAATGGAAGGTCTTGCAAGACGGCAAGTTTGTCTCTGAAGACAAGAGCAAGCGTTTGGACAAGGAGTTGGTTATTATCTGTACTGCTACTTACAATGGTCAACCACCTGACTCTGCTGAAAAGTTCAACAAGTTCTTGGATGAGAAGCTCAAGACAGACGGTCATGAAACTACTTTGAATGGTCTCTCCTTTGCTGTCTTTGGTCTCGGTAACAAGAACTGGCGTACTTACCAACACTTCCCTATCAAAGTCACTGACAGTTTAGAGGAACTCGGTGCTGAGCGTTTCTTCTCCAATGGCGAGGGTAATGGTGACAAGGACATGGATGCTGATTTCAGTAACTGGTGTGCTCACTTCTGGACCCACACTTTGGATAGCTATGGTATCACTGCCTCTGAATCCAAGTCTGTGGTTCCCGCTGCCGTCTCTTCTTCTCCTGAAATGAGTGCTGTCAAGGTCAAGTTTATCCAACCCACCAACAAAGAAGATTGGGAAGCTGCTGTCAGCAATCACTACGGTGAACCCAAGGCTATCTTGCATACCAACCGTGAAATACAAAAGGACGGTTCTCCTCGCAGTACTCGCCATATTGAAATTGACATCTCCAAGTTGGCACCAGTTGGTGATAACAGACTCTACAACGCCGGTGATCATTTAGAGGTCATGCCTGAAAACGCAGAGTCTACTGTTGAGGCTGTTGCTTTGAGCTTTGGCTGGATCTTAGATTCTGTCTTTGAGATTGACCAAGAAACCCTCAAGAATGTCTCTCCTCGTTCTATTGCTGCCAACATCAAGGGTCCTTGTTCTGTGCGCAACATGCTTACCTATTACGCTGATCTTTCATCTCCTCCTTCTCGTGCTGTGCTCGGCTGCTTCGCCTCTCAATTGAAAAAGGTGGCTCCTGAAACTGCTGCTACTTTTGAACAGTTGCTGATGCCAGATAGCAACAACCAAGATCAATACCCTGCTTTCATTAAAAAGCACCGTACCTTGTTGGACTTGCAAAACGCCTACCCTCAAGTTACTCGCCTGGATTTGGGTCAATTTTTGGCTTCTGTTCCTGTTATCCAACCTCGTCGCTACTCTATTGCCTCTTCTCCTTTGGCTCATCCTAATGCTGCTCACTTGACTGTTGGTGTCGTAGATGATGTTGTCAACGATAAGCATTACAGTGGTTTAGCCTCCTCCTTCTTAAAGCGTGGATCTGACGGTATGGCTCTTCGTGCTAATCTCAAGTCTTCCAAGAGCACTTTCAGTATGCCCAGTGATCCCACTGTTCCCTTGATCATGATTGCTGCTGGTACTGGTTTCTCGCCTTTCCGTGGTTTCTTGCAAGAGCGCAAGGCCCAAAAGGATGCTGGTGAAAAGGTGGGTGATGTTGTCCTCTTCTTTGGCTGTCGTCGCAAGGACCAAGATTACATCTATAACGACGAACTGGAGCAATATGTCAAAGAAGGTGTCTTGACTCATTTGCATACCGCCTTCTCAAGAAGCATCGAAAAGTCTCCCAAGAAATATGTTCAACACGAAATCTTGTCTAACGCTGCTGAGGTCTGGAGCATGCTCTTCCCTACTGATCCCAATGTCAAGCCTGCTGCTGTCTACATTTGTGGTAGTGGTTCCATGAGTCGTGATGTGCGTCGTACTTTCTGCAGCATGGCCATCTCCTTTGGTGCCGCCTCCGATGATGAAGAAGCTGACAAGGTCATTGATAAGCTCATGGACGAAAACCGTTACTTGTGTGATGTTTGGGGTTAATTCTCTTCTGTCTCACTTTTTACTATTATTCATTATCCATCGTTTCTGTATATATAAAATCATAAATCAATAAAATCAATCTTTCTCTTTCAATCAAGCGAGTTTATTCAAGTGCGACGTAGTTGTTTTATAAAATAGCAAGAGGGGGCGGGGGGGGGGGAATAATGGAATGTAGGCTGACCTGAAATATGAGGCTGCGATGATCAGTCCATGAATACATGCAAAGAAACAAATGAATAGGATCGAGTAGTGATGATGTGTGCAATGAATAGATTTCTCCCTCATTATTGTCGTCTTATTCACCTTCAAAAGAGAGTTGATAGCCACGGTAGGTTTTGTAGGTTGAGGTGTCTCTCTTGCGCTCCATTCCCAATTCCTGAGCAAAGTTAGCTCTACCTTCAAAGCGATGTGCAGAATCCAATTGACGAGCAGACTTCTTGGTAGCTCCATTATTGGCATTAGGAGATACCCACTGAGCACGACAATAGACACAGGTAACATCTCTGCCCTTGGATGCCTTCCACATATTGAAGCACTCTTGATGAATGTTGTTACCACAGACCTTGCAGTAATCAATCAAGTTGATCTTGGCTTGTTCGAATTCCTCAAAGCAGATAGGACAATCAGACGTATCCAGAGGTCGACGCTCGTTGACTTGTTCAGTTGAGTGGGCTTCAGAATGCCCAGTTGTCAATTTGAGGATCTTTTCGCGGATAGCGGTGGGTACCAAGACGGAATGGTCAACATTGCGGCCACCACTTCTAGCACGCAATCGATCTTCATTTGAGGTACGCAAGCTTTGGAACATTGGGCTGTCCAATCCAAGACGATAGACTTTGAGTAAGACCATCAGGATGTGTTTGCAGTGTGTGCGTCTGATTATGTGGTCCATACATGAGCATGAAATGACATTACCAATGGTCACCGTGTAAGTCTATATTGTAGATGTCTTTATCAGTAACCTACAAGACAGCAACATTCGCCAGCCCAAGCTTACATTGCCAATGCTTCCAATGACCTCAAAATTTTCAATAGTGTCATCTTGAGGAGACAGCTCTCGCGACATGACAAACATGCGTTGCTTCATGGCTCGTAATATTCTACCTCGCATAGCCTAGTTATAAAGAGTATTGGACCAACTATCACAATTTATGCTCACATAGTTTCACTTACATCATCCAAGTAGATACTAGCTTCAGGTGGAAGCTTATAGATGATTCTTGATTTTATTTGTCTCATAGGCTTTGGTTCCTTCTTGATCACTTTCTTGACCACCTTCTTTGTCTTGGCAGGCTTCATCTCCTTGGGTTGCTTCTTGGGCTTCACCACCCTCTTGACTTTTGACACAGAGTTCGCAGCAAGCTCTTTCTTTACCTTACGCTCCTTCTTGATAGTAGCACTCACTGATTCAGCTTTGGGCTCCAACTTGACAGCAGCCGTTCTCTTGGGTCTAAGAGGTCTCTGTACTACGGCCTCCTCCTTGACCTTCTTCAATATGGCACCTTCTTCTGGTTCAACTGCTTTTCTTTTGAGGGCAGCAGTAGTGGCAGAAGCAGGAGCAATCTTGCGAGGTCTGCCTCTTGAACGTTTGACTGGTAGAGCTTCTGTTTTTACTGTTGCTTTTACACTAGGCATTTGCTTATTCTTCAATTACTGTTGTCTGAACAAAGGTGATGTATAGTATAATAACATCAATAAATGAAGAAAGGAGAAAAAAAGTTTGAAACCTTCCATGCACAGCTCTTTATAGCATTTCGTTTGAAAACCCGTCTCTTGATTGATTGATTAGACATGAGATCAAGTATAGCAAAAGACCAAGCATCAAGCATGATTGAATGTACATACGCAGCTTAAGCAAAAGTCTACTCATCTAAATGCTTAGTAAAAGAAAAAGAGAAGAAATCTGATAGGCGTTTTGTCAACCAGTGATTTTGACATCTGCTGGTTGTATATTCAGCATGTATGCTTCACACGATGCAACTTGTTTGTAGGCATGATCAGGAAGATGTTTAAGCGTACAGACATACTCTACGTACAAGGAACAAACCTCTCCATGAAGCCATGTTAAAGAAATAGTGATTCATTCTAAATGATATACTTCCTGGAAACCACGTAACGTGCATCCTCTACCAACAGGTTCATCGAATGCCAATGGCGTCAATACTACATTCTCTAGTGCGAGCATTTCGACAAAGAATAGCATTGCAGCCTTAGATTTAGCTGGTATACTGTAGTTACTAACAAGAAATTTATCAATACGCATACTTCAAAGAGTAAATTAAAGCTTTTATTAGTAAAGATTATGTATTTTGAGACAACAATGACAGTGCTTGTTATTCTATTTTCCTAGGTTTATATCAATATCGACCGAAGAAGCTTTGGTCGCAAAGAAGTTTAATATCGTAAGCGTCTGACCCAATTTCTGGTGATTTGTAAGGTGCAATTGGCTCAGTATTGGTAGGACTGCATAGGGTGGATTCGGCAATATTACGACGATAGATGGGTGTTAGTCTCTCCTCATTCAAAATGGTGACAGTAGAGCAAGATCTTGCTACTATAAATATGTCAAAGTTAGTAATGTTCATGTGCCATAAATAAAATCAAACTTACAGTGAGTGTCAATGTGTCCTTCTTGATCAGCGGACGCTTCAAAGGCAGCCTTCATGCGGTTTTCCTTCTTCGTTTCCTTTCGTTCTTGACTAAGACGGAACTTCATACCACGGATCAGCTTCATGCACTTGCTCTTGAGACTTCCTTCGCGACTGGGTGCCCTTCTAAAGCTGTTCTTCATCATGAAATCAGGTTCTTGAGCCTCGTCCAAGAGCTCGCCTTGATGGGTAGTATAGGAAGCTTGAATGGGTTGGGTGAAATCATCTTGTGCTTGTATTCGTTCTTCCATTTGATTGTCCATGACATCAACAGCAGTAAAGGGGTCATGATACACTTCCATTGGCTCTTCGCTATATGTAATAACCTCCTCCATATCATCTGGTTGCTGATCAGAAACAGCAGGCACTTGTAAAGGGCTGTTGACAAGGTCTAGTTGTTGGTGATGATCCATGGTGTCAATGAATGCTTGTTCTTCTTCCATGAGCTGAGGAGGAGTGACAGGTGTAGTGCATTCCAAAGGTGATGAAGGCATCTTGACCGGCTCTTCCAGCTCTTCATCTGGTGTGATTTCAGTAAGCGTTTCATTTCCACTGTCAGTCAATGACATGGTCAAGGAAGAGGATGAAGAGCCAAAGCTTTGGTAGGTTGTGTTGGTGCTCATGGCAGTGGTCTCTGCTGGAGCAGACATGGAAATCAGTTCTTTCTGCTCTAGTTGCTGGCTGTCGTCGTTGTTGTCGTGGCAGGATTCAATCAACAAGTCGTTATCACACATGTCAAACGCAGTTGGCTTTTCGTGTAGGACGATGGCGGTCTCTGTGGTTGATTCATCGACTGATTCCACCAAGGTCTCTTCAGTGGACAAGCCAATCATGTTGTTGTACGGATTATTGGTTGGAGGACTCATTGGCAGTGCAGGAGACAATACTGCGTCATGCTGCTTTTGCTGCAAACGCTGCGATTGAGGCAATAAAGGTGCCAAAATTTTAGGGAGTGGCATTTTTAAAAGAATAATCCAGAGAGATTCCATCCTTGTCAGAAGCATGCTTATTTATATACACAATGTTGAAGTTTGTTTGTATATAGGGAAATTTAAGCTTTCAAGCAAGAAAGACAGGAGATGGGAAAGCTTAAATTTTTGGAAATGGCCCGTGGAGTATACTTGTGAATGCAATATCGCCTCATCCTTGGGCTATATTACACGAGGGAACGAATGAAACTCTATCTGTTTGGTACATCTCTCAATTACATTGCGCATGTTGATAATCTTTCATTCCGTCATTCGACTAGTAGTAAGAGTGGCAAGAGAATAAGAATTTATTGTTGTAACAGAATAGCAATGACTTAAGCATCCTTGATCTTCTTGGTACCACGGAGGAGACCAGTACGACGAGCAGCAATCAAACCGACCTTTTGACCAGCAGGAGAATCACGAGCCATGGTAGAGGCCTTACCAATGTGTTGATGGTTACCACCACCGTGAGGATGGTCAACGGGGTTCATAGCAACACCACGAGTCTTGGGCCAGCTGTTACGCTTGACTCTGTACTTGTGGAAAGCACGACCGGCCTTCAAGAGGGGCTTGTCAATACGACCACCACCAGCAACGACACCAATGACGGCACGAGAGGTAGAGGGAATGACCTTCTTGGAACCAGAGGGAAGACGAATACGGGTCTTACCATCATCACCATGGCCAATAACAGTGGCATAGTTACCAGAGGTACGGGCAATGGATCCACGATCACCAACCTTCTCCTCAACATTACAGATAACGGTACCTTCGGGCATAGAGGCCAAGGGCATAACGTTACCAATGTTCAAGGTAGCCTTCTTACCGGCATAGATGAATTGACCAGTGTACATGCCTTCAGTGGCAATGAAGGTCTCGGTACGGAGCTTGTACCTATGATACAAACAATTGTCAATCATCCAAATCCAAACCTTAATCCCCCTCCCTCTCTCTCTCTCAACGTTTATGTGTATAACTTCTTATCCCTTCCTCGCTCACTCGCGCGCTCATCTCTACATCTATTTCATGCTATCCACTCCAAATTCTCTGTCTATACGTACTTGTAAGGATCACGGAAAACAACCTAAATCAAACCATAGCTCATGAATACACAATGTTCAACATATCAGCTACATATCTTTCAATCTTACCTTGGCAAGAGGAGCACCTCTTCCGGGGTCATGAACGATATCCTTGACAATACCACGGACATAACCATGACGTTCAGCAAAATCAAAGACTCTGAGCTTGGCAGCACCCTTACGACCAACGGTGTGGGAGCGGAAGATACTTCCGGCACCCTTTCTCTGAGCACGAATAACACGACCCATTGCTAGTAACTACATACATCCATATAGACTTGATTAGTTTTCCATCATGCATCCAAACATAAAACTGAAAAAAGACATCATCTCGGAGGATTGAGATCCATCCATCGCTCTCGTTGTTCAACATTAATCGACATATCCAATAATCCAAGATGATGCTTTCCATGTTGTAACACATACACTAGGTTGTAGAAGAAAAGAGGCTGTTCATGGAGTTTGCAGTACCATGCTGCTTTTTTTCCTCGGCCCCCACACACTCGAGCACACCCCCTTCTACGACACATGGCGCTGGCCTATACCATCTCCCGCTCTGTCCAATCTCCGGTCCGCACTCCTCTTACTTGTCATTACTATTGCTATCATTAAATATCAATGGATCTTCACATTCTTCATCTATATTTACTTGTATTTTATCAGCACACTGCTACATGTATTCTTTATATATACAAGATGTAATGAGAAGCAAGAATAATCGAGACATTTTAGTGCAATATCGAATGACATTGACATGTAACAGCGTCTCCGACTATCATACAACCAGTTTGAGCCGCTTCTATATAATTCACATGTCAGATTTCATACATAAACTCTGTGCTGTAGTAGTAAACATCATCAAGAATTCTAGTTATATCCTCAATAATCAACATTTCAATATCTCATGTCAAATGTTGTGTTACCCTTGAGCTGAGTTGAGATGTCAAAATAGACGGCTTCATATCACACCTGCAGCAATTCTTTGGGTAATTCTTTTGAACAGATGTCATTGACCTTTTGATGTATCCCGCAGTTGTAACTGCTCTGATGTCACGTCTAAACCTCTTCAGCGCTTTATTCAAACATAGAAAGATCTAATCTCATCGCCCTTCTTGATATTTTTACTGGCAGTGGCAGTCAAAACGTTCGAGTTATCCCTGAATTCAATTGAAATGTTGGAATCATCGGCGTTATCTGATTTTCCAATAAAGGTTGAGATTTTGTAGAGAGAAGAGCCCACACCGCTGGATCCAGTTGCCAATGAACGAGCAGGTTCCATAGATTTCTACATAAATTATAAGTCCAATTGCAACTGTTATAGGTAAACATCATATCACTTACCTCCACTGCAACATCGGAAGCGGCAGGAATCTCAAATGTATTTTCGTTCAATTTACCCTTGAGCAACAAATAAATTTCATCCGACAAAAATTCGTCAATGCCAGGCACCTTGGAAGCAAGCAACTCTTTGATCATAGTAGCCTCTTTCACTGTCTCTTCATTAGCCTGTAATTCTTGCTGATTGAATCGTTCAATGTGATCCCAGGCACTGTAACGAGGCGCATCCTTTCCCAGCTTGTTCTTCTCCATCTCTTCTGCTACCATGCTCGATAGGAATTGAGCAATCATCTGAGGATATTTCACATTGTTGATTTGAGCATAAGATCTGAATTCTACTGCCTTGTTGTCGGAGGTGAGCTTTGAATTGGAGCATAAAAAGGTGTGATATTGTTCGCTGCCCTTGGTCTCGCATTCTTTGCTGCAGAAAGCTACTTGATCGCAGTTTGTGCATTCAATCTTGCTGTCGTCTGTCAGCTTTTTCATGCAGAAGTTGCAGTAAGATCCTTCCAATTGAGGATGGAGTGCAGAGATCAAAGGTGATTCGACGTAAACAACTTCGCCTTGATTGAAATCTCTGTCAGCCACAAGCGTATGCTTTGTCTTTTCGCCTTCCGTGCTGGTGGGTTGTAGTTTAATGTTGAGTTCAGCAGGAGGGAAAAGATCGTAGAATTCAGATTGACGCTTTTGTTGCTCCACAGCCATCAAATTGACAATAATGCGGAACACTTTCTCGGGTACAGTTTTTTGGTAAATCATGATCAATTCCAATGGAGCAGGATAAATCTTGAGTGCCTTGTAAAAGGGCAACACAGCATCATCTTCGCGACCTTCTTTGCAAAGTGCCTCTCCCAATGCCACCTTTTCCATGAAATAAGCTTCCTTCTCTTGGGCGGATTCAGGAAAGTCTTCATTGGCCACTGTCTCCAAGACAGAGGCAATCAAACCCTCGACACTGGTGATTTCTTTCTCTTTTTGTAACTTTTCTTGCTTGGCAGCCTTCTTGCGCTCACGTTCTAAGTAAATGACAGATTAGACAACGTTGAATTGTTATACAGCGTGTTAGGACACCTACTCAATTGCTTTTTGAATTGAGGATCGCTTCTTCTCTTGCTGTCATAGTAGATCAAAAATCCGAGGCCAAATGAGGCTACAACAGCAGTAGAAATAAGTGCAATGGTGGATGGTTTCAATGCCATGTTTGTTTGTTTGTTTGTTGCAAGTAAAGAACAAGAACAAAAAAGAAATTTGCTAGTGCAATATTCGAAACTTTTGACGCCCCCCCCCCCATGAACGAACGCGGAGTCGGGTTTTCATGCCAAACTAAAGGGATATAAAACTTGGATCTTCAACATGTATACCGTAAAACGTTCAAAAAGAAGTAGACAAACAAATCATATCCTTTCAAAAAATTGAGTACCGTACAAGGTGAATAAACCACCGGCAAAACCGGCATTGGGGAGGGGTCTTGGAGGAGGTGTTAAGCCTATCCACCAAAAACATAACGCATCTAATTCAACATTTGGTAACAATGACCTATGAGGCGGTTTTACCGTAGCGAAGTGAAGGTACAAACCCATAATATTCAAGTAGCAAATTCGGTTTTTCATTTCCATCATTAATAAGCTTATTACTAGCATGACGCTTCTAAGCTTGAATGAATTAGCTTTACCAAAATCAATATGCCTCCTATTCGATTTGGAAATTGCACAGACTGCAGAACTGCCCTTCCAGAAGATTTCAGCTACCAAAGATGTGATTCATGCCGTGTAAATAAAAGCTATAAAGCAAAACATAACCAAATGTGGCGGCTTTCAAGCCTTCATATCTTGACATGTGGACCTTCCTGAGCCGACGGAACGGCGCCAAACAGTTGTACTTGAGTAGTAGTAACTTCCTGACACCTTTGCTCAACTTTTTGGGCCAAAAAAAACATGGCCAAAAATCGGCTAAAAAGCATGAGGTACCCCTCATGCTTTTTGACAAAAATCAAACGATCGCATTTTTCACCTTGAAAATGAAGACTTTTACTATGGTATGTATTGTATCACAATGTTTCTCTCGATCCAAAGTAGCCTCTGAAACCACTTTGATGAGGTTTTCATATGCAAAATATGGTTATTTTCGCTAAAAACCATATTTCATATTTTATTAAATTGCTCAGTAAGTTCAGCCAAAACACCTATTACAATCAGCACCATTGGAAGCGCCTTGAAAAGTACTCCAAGAATGTATTACGAAGCATTAGGTAATAATCACAATTTATATAGTCGAATATCCCAGAATAGATTAAAGAAGTCGACAAAAGCCAAAATCTGTCCAATCTTGAACAGAAAAAATAAATTGAGCTTCAATTGATTTTAGCGGGTGGCACTGCTGCTGGCTGGCCCAAATACCTTTCTAATGATGACAATAATGATTACGATACTGATTAAATAGAAAGAACAATTGCTTAGCCCAAATACTTTTTTTTGGGGGGAGCTTTATCTCATGAATGGGTCTTTTACAATGACAATATCTTAAAAAAGTAGCTGTAAATCTTACAAACGTCCTATATTTACTTATGACCAGCTTTATGATGTCGCCATCTTATTAAAAGCATCAACAGTAGCGAATGGTATGATCAGAAAATGGAGATTGTGATGTTCAAATGCTGAATGTTCTTTCACATCATCTCAATCATAGGCTTCGTTTGATATCAGTGTAAGCAAAAAGGGTCTGAGGAAGATACCTCCTCTCCTCGTCGTGGCTCTGATATAGCCTTTCTTTTATTAATAATTGATTGTTTAGAATCTACTTGATATACAAAACTTATTATATTTGATTTAATGTCTTCGATGAGAGCCCACAGGGCGACGCCGACATCGAGCTTAACGAGTTAGATCGGCTAATTAGTATTTACACAAATTCATTTAAAGTGTAAGTTGAATGTGATGACTTGGCTTTCATCTAACGTGTAAGAGTCGCTCGGTGCGGTAATAGTAGTCAATCACTATGAAATTATCTTCAGTTTGCATCCAACTGACAACATCATCTAAATGCGCCCGTGCTGGAAAATTGATTTGTATTTCATATCCTTTCAGTTCATTGAAAGCAGACAAACAACGATGCAAGTTTCTAGTTGGTTTTATGATTCAACCTTCTTCATCGCCATCATTCATTGCGTCGCCGCTTTGGAATTCTACCACGCAAGATCCAAATACAAATTCACAAGCATTTAGATATTTGCAAAGTATTCAACCATAACCGGGACGAAAAAACACTCATCTGTTCAAGTAAAGTAAGCCCATTGGAGATGCTGTTATATTGGTATTTGTCCAAGCAGTAACTTAGCGAAAGACTGGTAAAGGTACACTTCCAGCTTCGAGGTCTACATCCAGTTTTCTGACGCTGGGGCCATTGTTTAAAATGGCTTCCACTCTCTGAATTGTAAGATTTCGGGCCACAGCAAGGTTGAGTTGGTCTACATTGACAAATTTGCGTAGATGCTGATTTATGAAAATGTTGCTGGAGAGAATCAGGTCTCTAAATCGCAAAGAGTTGTGATAGACGCTGCAAAGTTGAGCAGTAATCCATCGTCCCATTGACTGGCTTTATGATAAGAAATAGTTTACACGTTAGTAAATTTGAACTTTAAGTTTTTGATGATGCTGCATGTTTGGATTAAAAACTAATCGGATAGGTCTTTCTACATGATCGCTGGATTGACCTTTGCTGAAACCGTTTGAAAGAAGGGATCGTTTTTTAAATAAAACAGATGCTACTACCATGCATTCAAAATCAATCTACCAGATCAAAGAACCACTTTTATTAACATTGTAGACAGGGTTTATCCTCTTTATTCATCATCATCATCAATAAGAACTATTTGAGGATTACTAGATGGTGCAGAGTGTTGTGAAGAGTATTCTTCCTCGTCATCTTCACCCTCCATATCGTCTTCCTCCTCCTCCTCCTCTTCTTCTTCTTCTTCTTCTTCGTCCAATTCCTCTTCATCGCTCTCGCCATCTCCAACGACGGCTATTCCATTGTCAATATTGACAATGAGACTATCATTTCCTGCGTCCTCTTCGCTGTAGTCATAATCTTCTACATTCTCGTCATCTTCCTCATACTCATGTATGACCAAATCACTGTCGTCACGAACAATCTCGCTACTAACAACCAATTCATTGTCTTCTTCATCCTCTGTGTACTCCTCATGTTCAATCATCTCGCCTTCATCATCAGATGCCACAGTCAAACTAGCAGGATTGGGCTCGCTTTGCACTGTAAAGTCCTCTTCTAGCACGTCCATCTGGTCGTCATGAATGCGGGTTTCTTCATCGTAAGGCTCAAAGTCGTCTTCATCATTGACCTGCATAAAATCGACTTGCTCTCCATCTTGCGACAACATGGATTGTTCCTGCTGTTTAGCATTGACATAGAAATCTTGGGCAGCAGCGCTTAAAAAGGCAGGGATATTGCGATCTTGAATGATGTAAAGTTGATACATGTCCTCCAATTGCTTCATATAATGCTCCTTTTTCGAGCCCACCATACGAAGCATGCCCTTTTCAGATTCACTGTGAGTATCGCCTATTTTGACAATGAACGCCAGCTCTGTGGGGTCGACAAGGATGCTTTCCAAACGAGTAACGCCATCATTGCGGAAAATGACATTGTATCCCAACAATTGGCGGATTTGAGAACTGGTTTCGTTGATCTTGGTTTCCCAGATGCTGTGAAGACGCTGAATACGCTTTTCGCGAGATTGCAAGTCGGATTGAAGTTTTTCATTCTTGGCTTCCAAATTGGTAAGAGAGGATTTAGGCACAGTAATCAGATCAGTGTCAGATGAAGCTTCCGAGGTAATTTGACGCAAAAGATCGGCATTCTCTTTTTCAAGACGCTTTAATAAGTGGGTGCGAACAGCAAGGTCCTTTGAAGCTGGGTTGTCTGCTAATGTCAAGATACGAAGATTGGATTCATCGGAATCAGTCTGCTTCTCTGCTGCTGTTGCTTGTGAGTTTATAGCTGGCGCTGCTTTTTCGCTGTTCGTCAGTTCAGATGGCAACTCAACCGCAGGAACTGTAGGCACGGCAGGAGCAAAGGTACGAGCCTGTCGCTGCTGGCTCTCAATAGATTTACTCAGCTGTTCAATCTGCTCTTGAGCTGACTTGAGTTGTCGTTGCAGTAGCAATTCATTCACTGATTTTTCTCCCAAATCTTGCATGAGTTTGTCTTGTTTGGCAACAAGTTCAGACAATTGCTTGGACGCGCTTACGCCTGATTCCAACATTTCGTATGGGCCGCTGCTCAGTTGCACTGGAGGCAGCTCGCTGGCATGCTTGATCTTTTCCTGTGCCAATTCTTGCGCTTGCAACGCAAGGCGATTCTCGCTTTCTCTCAGCAACTCTTCCAACTCTTGAATTCGCTTGGTTTTGGCTTCATCGTATTGGCCTTGATCCATGGCGAGCATTTCCTCTTGATCGTACATGGCCAACTGTCGCTCCAGAATAGCAATATGTCTCTTGAGGGAGTCTGCGTTTCTGATCAGGATATCTCGACTAGCTTGATCGGCTGTATGTAGGCGTTCATTCTTGACCACCATCTTTTTCAACTCGTCAATGTGATCTTCCAGTTTTTCAATCGCTTTCATTTGATCTCTCACTTGCGATTGGTAGTGCTCAATCGATTGTTTCAGGTAGCTGGCTTCCTCGGCTTGTTGTGTAAGCTTGTATATGATGCTGTCAGGACTCTGCGTGTTGTATTCAGGCTGTGATTCCAAATAAGATGCCCACGAAGCTCGCTCGGCCTTCAATTTGATGTTCTCCTTTTCTATTCTGTAATTCTCTTCGCAAATATCATTCATTCGCTTCAGCTGGTGTGATAAGCTTTCTTTTTCTTGTCGAAGTGTCTCGATATTCTGTGAAATGCCTTTGTGATGCTTCAAATCGCTTGCTAATTTGGCATTTTCGGTTTCGAGATCCAATGCACGTTTTGATATGCCTTTGAACATTTCATCAGATAAAGCACTTGCACCCACAACAGCGAGAGACTTACTTTGATATTGGGTTTCTAAATCTTGGTAAGCTTGGGGATTACTTGGGTATGATGAGTTGTTATTGAGTTGCTGCTCCAGGGCGTTGATCGTTTCCGTAAGTTCTTGCTCTCGCAGTAAGCTTCTTTGAATGACGCTTGCTTTTTCTTGGACCTATATCTCACATTTAGTTGACCATTCCTTGACTCAATACTGTATCCATAATTTACCTCATCCTCCAAGCCATCAATTCTCATGTTCAAGTCTTGTATTTTGGATGTCAACTGCCTTCTAGTCTCATTCTCTGACAAGGCTGCTCTTCTAGATTCATAGATCTGTTCACTCAACTGACTATCCAATTCATCCACTTGTGATCGATATGATTCCAGTGATTCTCTCAACTCATTCTAATGTGTACAATCAGTAAAATGCTGCTATTGTCGTGTCAAGTATCACTCACTGCAACCGAGTTGTGTTTCTCTTTCATTTTGGCTAATGTTGCTGTTGCCTCATCGTAGCGTTCTTTGTGATAGATAGCCCTTTTTTGACATTCCTATTTTGAGAGCTTAGTTGTAAACAGGGCTCATTAAATGAGAGCCTACTTACAGCTTTTTCATCAATGAGAAAGGAGATAGTTTTCGCCTTTTCTTCCAGCTCCAGATTATATGATACGGCCTCGCATTTGAGCTTTGACTCCAATGATGATTTCTCCAACTCGAGCTTGCTTACTAATGACTCAATCTTTTTGATTTTGTCTACAAGATACCAGCTTCATGTTAGTTGATATGATACCTTTTGTCATGATGTGTGCAAGTATTACCATTTCTATGATTAGGTACAATCACATTAGAGCTAGCGATGGATAAAATGTCTGATGTAATTCTCTTGCGTTTAAGAGGGATCTATTATATAAGGTCGTTTGAGTACTCGATATACAACATGTTGTGCTTTGTGCTATGTACCTCTGACATGTTGTAGATATTTTAGTGTCTTGAAAAGAAAAAGAACACACGAGAATTCAAAATGGGCATTATTTACAATGGAAACTTAAGATTGCAAAGGAGTCACAGCCAAATTGACATTGGAGGGATTAAAGTCTTATGCAAGCAAAATTTTGTGCTTATGGCTATGTGTTCATATATATTTCTACATACGCAAGCTACTTGAATTTTGCTACGTATACGAGAAAACAATGAATGTGCTCAGCGCTTACTGATTAGGACCCATGTAAGTATTTTGATAAAGGTGGACAAATTGCCATCTCGTAAGAGAACTTACATCTGGAAGAGTAATTTGCAGCGATTAAATCTTTCAATGGTGAGAATAAGCAATTTTATCTAAGGGAAAGTTGTATCAGGCTATAATGTACTATACTTTACTATTCCCTTCTTGTTAGCTTCATAAAACATCCATTATTCCTATGAGGCAGACGTTTTGGCAGCTAAAATCAATTAAATCTCAGATTAACGTTTTTTTTTTTTTGCTTCAAATTGGTTCAATTTCAATAAATTCGACTTGATTTCATCAATTTTGCAAGTTCGACTATGAAAGCTGTGCTCATCATTATATACTTCCTTAAGCTTTTTTGGAATGCTTGTCAAGGCGCATTCAAGGGTACCTATAATGGCGTATGTTATGAACAAACTTATGGAGCAATTTTAGAAAATAGAAAATGAGAGTTTGGACCAAAAAGTTGAGGTTTTTCGTATAAAGATTTCATGAACAAAGTTTCAGGAGTTGCGTTATATCGAGAGCAACATTTTGATTCGATATATACCTTAGTAAAAGTCTTCAATTTTGCGGTCAAAAACGCGATCGTTTAATTTTTGATGAAAACCATGAGGTATCGCTCATGCTTTTTTGGTCGATTTTGGTCGATTTTCAACGATCCCAAAAAAGGTGAGCAAAGGTATCAGAAAGTATCTGCTAGATGAGAGCAATTGTTTGGTGCTACTCTGGTAGTCTAAAACGGCCACAAACACGAGAAAACACAGCTCAAATTCACCTGGATTTCACTGTGATCTGCTTATTTTCGACTAGTGAGTGGCCATGCAAGTGTGTTTTATGTCATGTATGGATTGTATTCATTAATACAGATGTGGACCATTGCAGAAGAGGTAATATTCCCAACGACAGGCTGGTTGTGGATGGCTCTCAGTGATAATAGGGGGGCCAAAGTTAATTGGTAGTATACTATCAATCCAAACAGAATATCATGCAGATCCCTATATCACTAACATTCGTTTTACATGATAGGCCGACACATTCAAATCCAAACCCGTTCGTTTGATGTATTCCAGACTTATGTTCCATATACTGTATATTATACAATGAAACCATGATTGTTTAAAATAAAATGCATGCAGTTTACGCCTCTGTTTATTTTTGGAACCCTAACAGGTTGGCGCTCGAGCTCAAGGCCTTACTTACTTTGATACGATGGAAACATTGCACATATATTTTTTATGCGTACATGCTTCCGCGTGTCTTGCATTCTGAATTGAATGCTCGGATTATCTTGCTTGTTTCGAGTCCTTGTTCTAATTGACAAATACATAAAATGTAGGTGTTTGCACAACGTATGGAATAAATTCTTTTCTTCTGTTTGTATACGTACATGAACTGTTGAGTTTCTGACTAGCCATTTACATTGGATAACCAATGCTCGATTTCGCTGGCAGGTTCAAAGAGCCTCCTTGTTTCTACGCATAACAGTTACTGATAGACTGACTCCTTTATTTGTTACTGTATTCATATACAAGGTCAAGTCGAGCTTATATATATATATATATGAAAGGAGGCAGGGTGTGTATGTGTGTGGGTATATGAAAGCGCTCGGACCTTTGCTGATGTGAGTTTATTGTGCATGATAATATACAATGACATTGAGTTGCTAAAGATAAACATGTAGCTGTGGAACTGTATCAGAGTCTATTAGTAGCCATTCCAATTACTGCTGAGAAGTAAGACGCTCGAGTTAGATGCTAACCTATAAAGGTATGCTGTAATCACTGTGTAGAAATAAGGTTGTTGGTGTTTGATTCTGGCTAAATGATATTATCATGAACGCCTCTTTTTGTTTGGCCCTGCATCACTCCTTACTATTTACATCTCCTCGAAGAAAACATTGGCTTTTTTGTTTATGTGGTACCACTGTTATACAGCGCAGATGATATTTCCCATTGCATTTCGTATGATGAGCCGTCTAGGCGTTTATACTAAATGTATATGATATCAGCCCAAGTCCTTTGCTTATAAACATGAATGCTGAATGGATTATCTTTTCTTTCGTATATCGATACATGAATCATCCTGCCATCAAACAAGTATGCAGCATAATTTGAATGAATTTTAAATCGTCTCATCCCATTAAATGTGCTATTAAAATGATTGATTTTTTTTTATTATAATAAATGTAGCTGATGTTGCAATGATTAATGTATATGTATTCCCATAAAGTTGGATAAAATGATATGTAAAAGATTAAATGAATGCACTCGATGAAGAGGATGAGGAAAAGCGTCGATCAAATGATGATGAGTAGGTAGATGATGACCAAATGTTGTTTGATTCTGGTAACCCTGCAAACATTATACCCTTCCACGTGTTGAGATCATGATGAGGGTAATAATGAAGGCTATTAGAAGCAACAGCTGTAAACAGTGGAGACGAGGAAGCACTGGACGAAGATGAGGAGGATGAGATGGAGGCATTGGAGGATGTGTCTAGATGGTGTGGCTGTTCATCATGGATAAATGTACAGCGGACACCATACAAGCATGTGCCTGTGAGATGAAAAGTTCTACAGATCTCTGTCTTGTATCTAGCATGTCTTTGAACACATCGAAGTTCATGTTGACCGTGAGCAAACCGGCATTTTCTTGCATATCTACAGATCAAAGCGTTAGAATTGGGGGTGGAAGCATCGAAAAGAGTGACAACGTGCCTGCATTCGCCCATCTCTTGCCAGTTTCTGCACATTTCAGTCTTGAACAGTTGATATTTTCTAGAATCCATTTTTCCTTCTGATAGATAGCGAGCAGTAACGTATGGAAAGTGAAAAAAAAAAAAAAAAAAAAAAAAAAAAAAAAAGAAAAGGCAAGAGAAACACAAAGTGATGACGGTCCTATTTATACTAGATCAACCGACTGATTTAAATTTTCGAGTGGTTTTTAAGATCAAACCACCAAACAAGGTTCATTATTATTATTATTATTATTATCGTCTTTGTGTCCTTCAAGTGCGCCTCCTATTCCATCTTTGTACAAAAACACAATCAGCTGTCTAGAGTGTCTTGTCACACTTGCAGGCAGAAACAGGAATTGTACAAACATTTGGCCACAAACACAACATTGTTATTATTCTTTGAGTAATAATTAGATCAAGAACAAAAATAAAAAACGAGTGATCAACACATTTGTTTAATTTGTTTGAATTTGTATCTTTGTCATAATATTCTTTAAATTGTAATGTTCAGATGATGTGGTTGTTGCTTTTGGTGCCTGTGCTGTGCTACCATTGCATTTGGTTCCGAGCCGATGCGTGCTATTAGCCTCAGCAGTGGGAGTGGTTGCATTCATATTTGAGCAGAACAACGTAGCTGGATCCAAAAGGTAATCTGCAGGTACCAAATACGATGCCATTTTATTGGCTACAGGCAGTAATGGTGGCTGTATTGTTGCTTTTTCTTCTTGCTCTTGTTCGTGTTCTTCATGTGCTTGGACCATAGCGTACGTTTCAGCATAAGGCCTGCGTAATCTTGAGAGAGCATGTGTTACTGGGTGTATTTTGTTTGCAACATGAGCGATAGGCGTACTCAGCAACATGAAAATATATCTCGTTCGTTTAGGTTTTCTATTATTCATCAGTATCGAGTCTGTCATCATGGATCTGCCGGATAAAATAGAGTTGAAATCGCGTTGATAGACACCACGACACAACATGGGTTTTTGCTGTTGACTCTGAACATAACCCAACATGTGATGTATACTGATTTGCTGCTCCATCGCGTAATGGCTGAATAACCGAATCTTTTGTAATGTAGCCATATAGATTCTGCTGATTTCATCTGTACAAGACAATTTGTTGGACCAGCCATGTTTTTGTTCTTGTCGTGAACGATGATGCTGTGATGGGTTGAAAAAGGACAGTATGTTAGCTCTTATGGGCACTTCTGTGGAGGAAGCATACAATTCGAGCTCTGTTGCGTCGGATGGCGGATGGTCCCATTGATGCTCTTTTAGTTGGAGGATGGCCTTGTTTTTATTTCTAGTGGAGAATATGCGATAGATCAAGGAAGAAGAGGGCTTTTGCTTGGTGTAGATGGTTAATGGAGGGGGGGATGTTGGATCAAATAGCCTGTCTTTTTTCCAAAGACCTTTTATTCTATGGGGCACCTTCTTCCATATATTTACATGGTCTCTGTTACGCTTGGACATGGTAAATATACAGAAGTATTGCGAATGAGAAAGAAAGAGCTTGCAGTGGTATGAGAAATGAAGAGAATATATCCTCTCAGTGAGGTTTTACAGTGAAATTTGGCGAGGAAGGAAATGCGCATGGGGTTTTTTAAGGAACAAACAAACAGATTGAAACCTATGACAAGAGAGCAATTTATAAAAACTTCCAGCTAATATTACAGACGCCTTCTGCCAAATCACCACAGACCCGTTTGAAGGCTAACGAATAAATGCATGAATTAGTATTTAGCATGCAGAGATATAGCCTGGTTAGCTTACTAGTAGGTGACATGTCCAAGGCTCCTGCATGTTCATCGCAGCAAGAAACGCAATGTGTTAGATTCATCATTATTATACGACGGGCAATTATAGACATGTTTTACCATTTGCACATGCAGGACATGTATCCACTACTCTGGCTGTTACTGTGCCCTTGTCTCCTGTGATGGACACCATTTTGTCGCATTTAGGGTTGTTATTGGGGTTTGATCCTAAGTGAACATGTGTCAGGTGCTCAGGCAAGATGCTTGCACACACTCTCAACAATACCATTGCCCATTTGTGCTTTATTCACTGCTACCACCAGTTCACTGTCTGTATCGTGCTCACCACATGAACCAGATCCCACCTTGTAATATGTACCCGAGCCTGAAAATAACTTTCCTTTCACTCGTAGTAATTTGGAAGCTCCTATGATGCGGCGTTCGAGAGGAGCGGTACAGACAAATAGAAAGTGATTGAAAGCAATGACCAAAAAGAAGGCGCTGGTATAGAATCGAGCTGAAACCATGTTGTTAGAGTAAAGAGAAAGAAAAGCAGATGAAATGCCTTGGTGCTCTCTCATTTATATACGCCATCTCTTGTTGCCTAGTAAATGACATTCATGAGAGAGTGGTAGAGTGCTCAATAATGTCACAATGTGAAAAATGTCTGTGTATTATCATGCTTCTCCTTGATCTTGTTTCCCCCTTCCCCATTCCATCAATCGATCCCCCCCCTCTCCCCTCACACAGTTATTAGCGCTGGAAATTCAAAAAAAAAAAAAATGTCATTTTCAAATTGTAGGCTGCATCAGAAAGCTCACGATGACAATTTTCACAGCATCTGCAAACTTCTTTCCTCGTTTTCAGTGTCGTTGCGTTTATCATTGTCACCGTCAATACCAAGGACAGCTTTGGAGCATTGACTCGACCATCTTATACAGAGTATCATCCAAAATGTAGACGAGAAAGCCAGGTTCGAAGTTTAGACACAAATCAGTGTGACGATACTATAAGCAGACACTAGGCCGAAGCTAGAAAAAAAAAAAAAAAAAAAAAAAAAGGAATCGCATACCACTAATTCGTGATAGAATCACTTTTATAAATGTAGACTAAACGTCATTTAATGAAATGCCTATTGTAATGTTTTCAAATATGTAACTTTTTATTGATTAATTAACAATGCTGTGATGATGATATAGAATGAATAATTTAGAGTGATTTCCAAGCATCAATGAGCACTTGGACTTCAGGTTCCTTGCGAACAGCTACTCGCACAAATGAGTTGCATTGGTAACCTGGCTTACCGCTTCTCACTGGTACACCAGAAGCACGGGCCAGCTCGATGGCTTTGGCTGCCATCTCCTCAGATTTCATGTCCAACCATACCCAACTCAAAAAGAGTTTACCATGGTATTCCCACTCTGAGTGGCCCAATGACTTGAGTTGCTCAATCAACCAAGCTCTCAATCTAGTGGTATTTGACCAAGTCTCTTGCAAATAATCGTCATCGTTCACCACGGCTTCCACAAACTTGAGTGCAGGACCATTGACAGACCAAGGTACTTGAATTTTACGCAATGCTTCACAATGTTGTGCTGTAGGACAAATGACGGATCCAACACGAAGGCCAGTACAAGACCAAATCTTGGTCCATGAATGCATGACATGCACAGAGACACCTTCATTTTCAAACATGTCTCTAGCATAAGCGTGTTCCGAGATGAGTGAATCGTTTCTGAAATCAGCAGAATGCCAAGGTTGCATAGATTCATCTAACAAACGGGGGATTAGTCCTCTATGATACTCTCTTTTGTGGCACACAAGACACACTTACCAACAATAACACATCCGCCAGATTTGACATTGCTTTTAATCCATTCCTTCAAAGGCTCAACAGAGAAATAATCACCGGTGGGGTTGCAAGGGTTGACAATACAGATCATATCGGCTCTTTCAGGATTGGAGGGATCCAAGATTTCAAATCCGTTTGTCTCTGCACTACGTTGGTATTCTCTGTACTGCAAAATGTAGATGCAATCAGTACATGGATCCACATCAACACGCCGACTCAAAACTTACCTGCACATTCCAAGGGCTGCCCTTCCATGTGGGCTGCTTGATTCCTCTTTGTTCGCAGGATGCAAGTGCCTTTCTTACTACTAAATCAATCAACTCTGAAGCTCCGTTGCCCATCAACAAACGTCCGTGATGCTCGGCATAGTCAGATCCCCATAAAAATTCAGCCAAACATGATTTGGCGGGTTCCTGGTTAGCAGCAGGATAGTGGTGAATGTCGCTCATCTACACCACAGTTATGAGTGATTGCACGCAACACGGCCAGACAATACACTTACGGCTTCTCTGGCAGCTTCAAGTGCCTTATGAGGAGTACCGAGATAATTGGTAGTGACACTAAAATCTTCTACAAAGTTGTTGATGAAACGATGTTCCTGGCCACCGTGAAATGTTTGTGTCTTGGTGTCCCAGACATTGTTTGCTGTGGTCTTGGTAGTTTCAGTAGTAGCCAGCATAGTCTTGATAAAAGTTCAAGTGAGAAAAAAAAAGGCAAGTGCGTCTCATCATGGCAGATCAGTAACCTGGTACCTATATATTTTTGGACTCTGTTTTTTTCTCGTCTCATTTCCTTGTGATTATACAAAAATAAATGGGGTGTGATGGCAACGTGGAGCTTAGACAATCATTCGGGTATTGAACCTTGTCTTGAGATGGGTGTTCTTCTCTGCATCTCTTTGGCAGCCCATCTCAAGTGCCACTCTATACAGTGCCAGCTTGCACAGGAGACATGCAACCGCCTCGCATGGCCGTCAGTCTCTGCTTGATCTGCTCAGTCAAACACCCTACATCTGACACAGACTCACTCTCTTTTTCTTTTTTGGATTACACAAGATACACCAGTGTAACAAATCTATAAACCTTTATTGAAATACAATTTTGTGATAGGCTTGCCATCCATATCTTTAAGATCTTGGAACTCCTTTTCCATATTGGCCGTTTGTAATTCACCGATTTGAGGGAATACAGCAATAGCAGCAGGTAAAGCTGTCATTAACGAGAGCGCAATCAAACCGAAATTAAGCGGGATAATCAACTTGGGTCTTTGTTTGACGAAATCAGTCTTTTCAAGACGACCAAGAATGACAGGAGGCAGAATCAAGACGGGAGCATTTGTCAAGATGCGAGAAATTGCCACTTGAGACACAGCAGAGAAGCCAGCTTCTTTGGATTTACCCACAGATTGCCCTTCCTTTGTAAACACATCGATACCATCACGGATCTCTTTTCCTCTCATCAAAAAGACATTGACTGTGCCTGCAGCAGCAACTGCTGTAAAAGGGACAAGCTTCATACAGAGTGATTTGATCGTAGGAGAGACCTTGAGCTTGGGAACGGACTGATTCAACCCGACAGCAATGGCACAAGATGTAGTGACAGCAGATACATAGGCAACTGTGTACATGATGTTTAGTATCTCGTTTCACCTTTTCATATCCACACTCTTACTGCCAGTTTCCTTGAGACTCATCGGTGTCGTCTTGTTGGCATTTGCAGAATTGAAGGCGACATTGACACTTTGATTGGCCCATTGCCAAAACAATATGCTCTTGATCTACAGCCAATAGCATGTTGAATGATTCATTTGTGATCATCTCTTTCTCCTGAAAACTTACGCTTGGATTAGGTAATAGCATACCTGCTACCAAAACCATGTTGGTAGGTACAAAGCACGACATTCTAAATGGCAAGAATACGGCTTCACCAGTGTCTGGATGGATAGTCGAGTCCACGACTTTTTTTTAAGTTTATTAGTGTCGATTTCATGTAGGGATCGTGAGAAATTTGGTTACCTTTTTTTGCCTTCCAAAGTTTCTCTGGGTCCATCTTGTCATGTTGCGATGTGTTTGCTAACAGTTGCTTACATTTCTCGAGCTCAGAGGAAGAGACAAACAACGTTCTGGTGTATTTTGGTTAATTGAGTGCGAATATGAGTAAGAGATGGCATTACCTTGGATCAGTAACATCTATAAAATGTCTGATTCTACCCCAGTATGTATCTTGAGGATATCTAGGTTTTGCTGAAAGAGTAACTGAGTCAGAGACAACATTGGGTGGCCTCATGGGCGAATTACTTACTCAAGTCGATAGTACTTGACATTGTTCGATCAGCAATAAAAGTGAGAGAGAACAAAAAAGAGGGAAAAGGAAGGCCGAGGATGTCATGCCGCTTTTTATAGCTCAATGGCGAACTTTACCTATTGAGGTACAAACAGATTGACAACTGTCAGGCACTCTCCAAATGTAGCAATCAGTAGTACCCTGTTAAATGTCTCATGACTCAGGGTATGCAGACTATGTACTATGCTGGAAAATGTCCCAAAACTCACAGTAGTATAAATCATGCAATCCCACGTAGACTAACATACGGCATGTAATTATATTCGGATGTAACTAGTATTGCTCATGGCACTTGCAGTAGGGCTAATTTTTTTTTTTTTTTTTTTTACTCCATGTTGTTACCCAAGAGGCGGTGCCTTGACAAGTATGTCCAATTGACTTTTCTTTTTTATATATATAATAAAAAATAGAGGGAATAAAATTACAAGAGAAAGAGCGATTGCTGTGCTTGACGTTGAGTTAAAGAAAGAGAGTATACAAATAGAAAATGGTTGGTGAAAAGAAAACAGAGATATATAAAGATAATAGACTATAAACTAACAGCACAAAGCTTCCCACTGTCATCCATCAACTTTTTATCGCCCTGCTGTTGTGAAGAGCCATCACCATTGTTGGTATTATTAGTATTTGACGAAGATGACGGCGCGTTGGTGGATGAGTTAGCTGCCGCTGTGGTGGATGATGCTGAAGCAGCAGCTGTATTGGACGTTGCAGCAACAGCAGTGTCATTGTTATCATCCAGTTTGACGAAATCGTTGTTATCCCAATCGAAACCATCCAAACCCAAATCGATGCCTGATGTAGTGGAATCGTACCAAGAAGATTGCAAATCACCGCTTTCCACAAAGGCATCCTCTTCCTTGATAACTGATGTGGGCTTGGTCAATAAGCTCATATCAGGTGTGCCAAATGTCTCGTCTTTGTAGCCTTCTTTCAGTGCAGAGGAATAACCGCCATCAAAGTGCTGTTGCTGAGACGGTTGTTGAGAAGGGGGTAGCGAGGAAGATGGCTGTTGTGGAGTGTGTTGTTGCTGCTGATGAGGTGTCTGCTGCTGTGACGGATGGTGGTGGTGTTGTTGTTGTTGTTGTTGTTGTTGTTGTTGTTGATGAGGTGATGCATACATATCGGCAGGGTTGGTGCTTGGTTTAGCATTCATACCATTGTTGGAGAAGTACAGTGAGGACATGAGATCGTCTCCATTACCACTGCCATTGGGGCCGGCTCCAACCATCCCAGGATGTAGCGTCATGGAGGGTTGCACTATCATGGAATTGGTCTGCTGACTGCTGGATGTGCTGGGTATCTGGCCATCTTGTTGTGACATGCCTTGCTGCTGCTGCTGTTGCTGTTGCTGGAGCTGGAGCTGCTGCTGTTGTTGTTGCTGCATTTGCATTTGACGCATTTGCTGCATGTGCTGTTGTTGCTGCAAATGTTGCAATTGCTGCTGTTGCTGCTGTTGATGGTGCTGCTTTTGTTGTTGCATATTAAATTGCTGCTGCTGTGGCGAATCTTCTTGCTTGATATAGGCATTATTCACTTGGGGAGACTGTGTGTGTGCCATGGAAACAGGTGTATTGGTAGCGGATGAAGCTTGCTGCTGTTGCTGTTGTGGGTGATGATGAGGAGACGCGTCTGAAGATTGATGACTTAGTTGCTGTTTAGCAGCCTCAATATGGTCATTCAACAGTGCCTGGATCTGCTGCTGTTGGTTGGGCATCAAAGTCATCTTGTTTTGTGCAGCCTGTTGCAAAATCCAGTTGAATTGCAGTGCTTTGGGTGGTAGCAGATTGACAATTTGAGGTGGAATACCGTTACTCACAGCCGCCATGTAGAATGCCTGTGATTGCGCTTGATGTTGACTGAGCGGCATGCCTCCCTTCACTGGAATACCTCCATTATGATTGCCCATCATCACACCGTTTGGATTGAATGGACTCATGTCCATGCCATTGTTGGGCTGCTGTTGCTGCTGGGGATGTTGGCCCATGCTAGTGTTGTTGTTGAAAGCAACAGGATTGGAGGGATGTGACAGATTGATATTAGTATTGTTCATGATGGCAGGGCTGTTTGATGCAGAGACGGATGTCACTTCAGGCGCTGATTGAGGAGGTTGTTGCTGGGCCAGTGTCGATGAAGCAGGTGCAGAGGCAGGCGTGCTATTACCAGTGTTTGCTGTTGCAGATACAGGTGTGCTCTGAGAGGCTGCAGAAGTAGCAGCGGTGGCGGCGGCAGCAGCAGCAGCAGCAGTTTGAGCCTTTTCTTTATCTGCTGCTTTTTGATTCTTTCGACTCAAAGTAGGTGATTGTGATGCAGCAGAGGATCTCGATCCACGTTGTTTCTTTGCAGGAGGTAATTTCAAATCAATGCTTCCACGTCTGATACCCATAGAAGGTGTTGTAGGCGTCGCAGCAGGTGTTGTTACTGCAGTAGAATTTGCCATCACTGGTGTATTTTCATTTGAATTAGACGGTACAATGGCGGAGGAAGAGGATGCGTCGGCGGCAGTACTGGATGTATTAGCAGCAGCAGTAGTAGAGGGATCTAGCGAGATTTGGTCTTGAGATGGCGCTTGTTGCTGGTGCTGGTGCTGTTGTTGTTGTTGTTGTTGTTGTTGTTGTTGTTGTTGTTGTTGTTGTTGTTGGGCTTGATGTGCTTGTGCCTGTTGCTGAGCGATAGCCTGCTGTTGCTGTTGCTGTTGACGAAGCATGGCAATAGCCTGTGCTTGAGATTGTTGGCTCATGGATTGAGCTTGATTCATGGCACCTTGATGCATCAAAGCGGATTGCATGCCTTGTGGATTCATCATTTGATTGTAATTCACAATAGGACTTCCCTGCATGCCTTGCGCCTGTTGTTGCAATTGTTGCTGCTGTTGCTGTTGCATGTGCATAGGCAGTAATCCGAGGCCAATTTGCTGTTGTTGCTGAGGATTGCCATTGCCAGCCATAGCGTTCATTTGCTGCTGCTGCTGCTGTTGTTGTTGTTGTTGTTGCCCTACAGCATTGCGCACCCAAGTAAAGTAGCCGCTAAACTGTTCGCGTAATTTATGCAGATTCTCCAAACTGATGAAAAACTTGTTTTGCGGTAATGCCACCAGTTGGTCCTCGAACATGTACTTCATGAGTATCAGTCGACGCGTTGCTTCCACGTTGCTTGTCATGGCCAAAAAGACAGGCAGCAGATTATCAATTTTGTCGTACATGGACTTCATCTGGCTGATTTGATCGCGGATAGCCATCTTGTCACTTTCTGATAGATCTTCAATCACAGGGCCACGCACTGAAAACACGATGAGTTATTCGCAATTCTCTGCTTGGACTGACATGATTACTTTACCTCTGCCTTGACGCACACTTTCGTCCATTTGTTTGACAATGCCAGCAGCACTGTTTCTTTGCTGCAATGTCAGTGGTTTCAACACACCATTGGGCTGCATTTGCATCTGTTGTGGCTGTTGTTGAGCCATCATAGGTCTTTGCAAGCCTTGCTGTTGTGCATGAATACCTGCTTGCTGCTGTGGTACGAATTGCGGGGTCTGTTGTGGTGGAAGAGGAGGTCGTGGGCCACCACTCATGTTCTGTTGTGCTTGTGCTTGAGCCTGTTGTTGCTGCTGTTGTTGCATGCGTTGCATCAACATTTCCTGGTTGACCATTTGCTGTGCTTGTTGGCTGGTTTGTTGTGATTGAGGTGGAGGCCTCATGTTAGCAAACTGCTGCTGCTGTTGCAGCTTTTGCTGTTGTAGCTGTTGTAATTGCTGTTGCTGCTGAACAGACGCCAATGTAGCAGGCACCGAGACAGGTGTGCTTGAAGCAGATAGCGCACCACCGGGATTCCCCATGGCATTAGCAAAATTTGCAGTAACAGCGTTTTGTTGCATTGGAGATCCAACAGCAGAATTAGCATCAGATTGTTGTGCGAATGGTGCTTGCTGCTGAGGTTGCCCTGGCCTGAAATTACCATTGTTCATTGGCCCGTTAGGCCCATTACCAGCGGCACCATTACTATTGTTACCCATAGCGGCTTTGTTCATTCCCATATTCATCAATTGTTGCTGCGTCATGCCACCCATGCCATTGTTACCAACACCACCAGGTTGTCCTTGAGGCAAGAAACCATGTTGCTGGATTGGAGATGATTGAGATTGCTGCTGTTGTAGCAGCATGTGGTTTTGAATGTGAGGAGAAGACTGCTGCTGCTGTTGTTGCTGCTGCTGTTGTTGTTGTTGTTGTTGCTGTTGTTGTTGAAGGGCCATTTGACGTGCAAAATACATTTGAAATTGCTGAGGAGAAATGTTGAGACCTGCTTGAGCAGCATTAGAGGCATTCATGTTTTGTAGCAGATTAAGTGGTATTTGGTTTGGCTGCTGTAGCTGTTGTGATTGCTGTTGAGGCGGTCGCTGTTGCACTTGTTGCATAGCTTGAGGGGCATTGGAGACAGCCATGGCAGCAGCAGCAGCAGAGCGTTGGTAAGCGAGCATTTGAGCCTGTGCTTGCTGTTGCGCGGGAGACTGAATGGCTTGTTGAGGCGGCCTTCCTTGCTGTAGCATGGCTTGCTGATAATTTGTTTGCTGAGGACGCATTTGATTTTGACCCACTGCTTGTTGCTGTTGTTGTTGTTGTTGTTGTTGTTGTTGTTGTTGCAGTTGCTGCTGGTTCAAATTCAAAGGTGATTGGAAATTAGTGCGTTGGCCCTGTTGCTGTTGCTGCTGTTGCTGTTGTAACTGAGGCGATGATGCGACCTGACCACTCACATTACCCACCAGAGGAGACATTGGCTGCTGCTGTTGTTGCATCATACCATTCATATTGTTTCCCATATTCGAGCTCTGGTTGATTTGATCTTTGATGTGCTGAAACTTCTTAGCGTAGGCCAGAATGTATTGATTCTACATAAAAAGTAACACTTCAATACACACACACACACACACACACACACACACACACACACACACACACACAATCACTAATTGCACCAAGAAATTAAGTTTTACCTTGCTTGTACATCGTTGATAAAGACCTGCTTCAAAGTTACTTGCAACGTTATATGTTTCAGTTTCTGATGTGGTGGGTGATAAATGTTTAAGAGCTAACGATCTAGCAAATCGAGAATAAATTAATACCTGTTATTACCCTCATGGCTCTCCATCTCAAAAGCGAGAAAGAGAAAGAAAAAAACACGCGCGCATCAAAATGCACCATCTTGTACTTACAGTTGACTCACAAAACGACTTCTGTCAGGCATGGTCACTTCATTTCTCCAATTGGCATTGGGGATATCATTGGGATGGCCTAGATTGACTTGCTGCTGCAGTTGCTGTTGTTGTAATTGCAGCGGCTGTTGTTGTTGTTGCTGCTGCTGTTGTTGTTGTTGCTGTTGAGCTTGATGCTGTTGCTGTGGAGTTTGTGGTTGAGGTGGTGGCTGACCATTGGGCGTTTGTAGATTGGGATTCTGTTGATTCATTTTTGTTGTATATGGACTTTTTATATGATTAAGGAGCAGGTTGGTAATAAAAAGCAGAAAAGGTTAATTAATATATATTTCAACATGCAAATTTTGTTTATACTTACATATTGCACACACACTCTCACTCTGGCAATCCTTCTCTATCTGATAGTGTAGTCTCTTTTGTATATTGGATGGTATCAATCTTTCTCTCCCTCTCGCACTGTTTGTATGGGCGTGGCAAGTTAGCTTCGTGTGTGGTGGGGTGGTCTTTTTTTTTTCTGTATATATAATTTCCAATTTCTCTTTCTTTTTTTCTGATTTTAGATGGCTCAAATGTGTATTAAATCCCTTTTTGTATAGTGATTTTTACGCGCGAAAATTCAATATGACAACAACAAGGTCACAGTATTTAGGCAAAATGTAAAAAAGAAGGTAGCGAAAAAAAAAGAGTTAAAAAAGAAATGAAGAAAACAAAGGTTATATATAAAAAATATATATGAAAAAGAGAGGATATATAAAGTTAAGGGCAGAGAAGGGAGGAGAAAAGAAGAAAAAAGGGAGGATTTCATTGGAAAAAAATTCTTTGCCTATACACGTGATTCATTGACCCATTTCTGTTAAAAAATGATGCTTACAATGCTCTTTGGCCCCATCGCATGCTTCAATTGAACCATTCAAATGTTTGCCTATAGGTATCCGTGCGAGTTGTTGGATCCACTTCCTTTGCATTCTATACAAAAAGCGAGAAAAAATTTTCGAGATCAAACCCGTTGACGTATCACATGAGCTTATTTTGCCTGAATCAAAAGTATCTGATGCCATTGTCAGACTTCTGCAGTGCATGAATACCCTGTAGCTGGCCACTCTCTATATTGTGCAGTAGTACAGATTAATCCGTGGTAGTCGATCCATGATCAAAATTAACATGGATGTCGCAATGATTTACCACATCTGACGGACCTTTTTTTCCCATTGCCGATCAACAACCATCAACAAAACGCATTTGATCGCCATAACAATGCTGACGAGGCTCAGATCAGGGAACCTTGGAGTAATCAACAAGAGTTCCAAGCACGCAGTCCCTTGGCTTCTTTATTGTGTAGATATATGTTGTGTAGTTCTCGCAATTAACAGAGGATGAACTGGGAATATGTGATTTGATCGCCTCCCAAATGAGGATGAAATAGCCAATTCTCATCATCATACCTGGTATCATTGGCGAAAAATTTTAACATCAAGCAAGTGTTTGAAACGTGTCCAGTTGTAAAATCTGTTGGAAGACGACATTTGGATGCGTTTAGGTGGATTATGTGTGTATACTCATCAGCAGAACTTTCAGTTGCTATATTCAACTTGACTTGAGATGGCTGGCCAGAAAGAGAGTCCATGTAGTGTTACATGAGCAGATCAAAATACCGAAATATATAAAAATAAACAAACGTATTAAACCATTGCCTGGATATTGAATAGATCAAGGCATTGAAGACTCGACGCATCCATGCATAAATCATTAATAAAGAAATGCTACATTTTTGTGTATTAATAGCGAGACACGCAAAGGGTCAGATGTTTCTAATTGAGGGAATTGAGGTTGTCATCTGGACTGAGTAACTGTAAGCTGCTCAATGACCGCAACCATGTATATAATATAATTGTATACTATATCGTAGATTTACAAACACGCTTATCAGAGATCAAATGTCATGTCATGATTCTCAAAGCATGGCATGAAGTAAATATCATATTTGAAGTTGTCATACACACATGCAATTAGCATGATGTCAATTGGTGGTGCGTGCGTTTCTTACGTAATTCAGGCATCGCTGTGTTCTTTCATCTTTCATATCATTCGGCGAGGCTTTGATATAATTTAGTAGTAAGCGAAATCAAGTAAATCTAATCAAGTATCTGTATTGGGTTATAAAAATGCTTCACTGCCATTCCAATAGGCTGACGGTTTTGCGTTTCGCATTAGAACTCGCCTTTGAATGAGCAATTTACAAGGATTAAAGTCTCGCAGATATAAATAAAATGGTAACCGAAGCAAAAAAGAATAGCCAGGTAGAAATTGAGTATTGTTTGATGCCCAATATCCTTTCCATTATCTATATAATCAATATCGATTGTCATCTATATTAGACAGGCACAGCTGTTGCCAGTAGAATTTTATTTAATCTCCGCTTACGCTTTTTTTGCCTGATTTGTAAATTTTTTGTTTATTTAAATAAAGCATTGATTTGCCCTAAAAAAAATTTTTTTTGTTTATTTGCGACTTCCTCGATCTATTTTATGATATCCGACTATATAAATCGTGATGATCATCCCACACTTCCCTAAGCTGCCCGTGGTGGTAGGGCGAAGTGGTTAAGCATCCAACATGCCATCTGGATGATCCCGGTTCAAATCTCAATGAATGCATTTTTGGTGATTATTTTGACGTAGTACTGATGTCCTCGTTTGGTGTTTTGTGCTCTTATCCAGTATCCATATTTTGACAATTCGCATGATTGTATTGGCTCTAGGTGTCGCACCTGATTAGTAGTAGATTTCTTTCCCAACTTGGTTCATTATATATCTTATTCCCCATCATTGCAGACATTGGGTCCACCAACAGTCTTTTCTTTCCCTCAGTATGACATTTTAACGACTTTAAATAAAACCTGGAGCTCGACTCCCTTACACAAAAAAAAACGCTTCCTTAAGCTTTATAAAAGTACTTTTCAAGGCGCATCCAATGGTGCTAATTATAAGTAGCGTTTTGAATAAACTTGGTGAGCAATATTAAAAAATATGAAATGAAGTTTTTGGCGACAAAGTCGAGGTTTTTCATATGAAAACCTCATAAAAGTGATTTGAGAGGCTGCTTTGGATCGAGAGAAACATTTTGATTTGATATATACCGTAGTAAAAACCTTCATTTTCAAGGTGAAAAACACGATCGTTTAATTTTTGATGAAAACCATGAGGTACCCCTCATGCTTTTTAGCCGATTTTTGGCCGTGTTTTTTTTGGCCCAAAAAGTTGAGCAAAGGTGTCAAGAAGTTACTACTACTTAAGTACAATTGTTTGGCGTCATTCAGGTGGCTCAAGAAGGCCTATGTGTCAAGATATGAAGGTTTGAAAACTGTCAAATTTGGTTATGTTTTTGCTTTATGGCTTTAATTACAAGGCATGAATCTCATCTTTGGTAACTGCAATTTACTGGAAGGGTAGTTCCGTGGCCTGTGAAATTTCTAATCCGAATAGGAGGCATATTGATTTGGTAAAGCTAATTCATGCAAATTTTGATGCGTTATGTTGTTGGTCATAAGCTTATTAACAATGGAAATGAAAACCCGAATTTGCTGCTTGAATACTATGGTTTTGCAGCTTCGCTTCGCTACAGTAAAGCCCCCTTATTAATCAATGCTATCAAATGTTGAATTAGACGCGTTATGTTCTTCCCCCAAACTTCTCTCCCCATTTACAGCTTTGCTGGTGGCTTTATTCACCTTGTACAGCACACAGTTCTTTAAAATTTTGAAAGGATATGATTTGTTTGCCTACTTTTTTTTAAAATGCTTTACAGTATATATAGTGAAGATGACGTTGGGGTGCAAGCTAATCTTGTCAAGGCCCAATATTTGCATAGCCTTTTGAACAGCCTTACAGTACCTACATAGTCATGCAATGTGCTATATCTTGTTTGCGAAGAGCGTAGAGTATTATTTAATAACACACTGCCAAATCATGCTATCGTTTAATGGTTTTCCTTATAAAATCGGCAGATTTTGTAGCTAATCCAAGTAAGTATGGCTATTCTATAATGTTGTACATCTGTAGCAATGGAAATAGTTTATATCCGGACAGACAACCTACTTGTAACGCCCTATATCAATCGAAAATGCGCGAATCTCTGCTAAATTTTGATATATTTGGCCAGCAATTTCCCGTCTTATAAGCCGTTTTAGACCACCAGAATAGCGCCAAACAATTGCTTTCAACTAGTACTAGTTTTTTGACACCTTTACTCAACTTTTTTGAGATGGTCAAAATTCGACTAAAAAGCATGAGGGGTACCTCATGGTTTTCATCAAAAATTAAACGATCGTGTTTTTCACCTTGAAAATGAAGGTTTTTACTATGGTATATATCAAATCAAAATGTTTCTCTCGATCCAAAGCAGCCTCTCAAATCACTTTTATGAGGTTTTCATATGAAAAATCTCGACTTTTTCGCCAAAAACTTCATTTCATATTTTTTAATGTTGCTCACCAAGTTTATTCAAAACACCTATTAGATTTGTTACCATTGGAAGCGTCTTGAAAAGTACTTCAAGAGTGTATTAGGAAGTACTTTTTTTTTGTAGGGGAGACGAGCTCCAGTTTTTATTTAAAGTCCTGTAAATGTCGCTATGAGTGATAGACAAGACTGTTGGTGGACCCAATGTCAGTCATGATGGGGAATAAATTATGGAAAGGAAGTTGGGAAAGAAATCTACTACAAATAAGGTGGGCACTTAGAGCCAATACAATCATGCTAAGTTGTCATACAGAGATACTGGATAAGAGAACATTCACCAAACGAGGACATCAGTACGACCGTAAATAATTAATCAAAAATGCGTTCACTGGGATTTGAACCGGGATCCTCCCGTTGGCATACGGGAGTTTTACCACTTCGCCCTACCACCAGGGGCTTGTATTAGGAAGTACGGGCTGATTATCACAATTTATATAGTCCAACATCGCAAAATAGCTTAAAGAAGTCGAAAAAAGACAGTATCTGTCCAATCTTGAACAGAAAATAATGTACTGAGTTTAAATTAATTTTGGCGGCGGCATTGCTGCTGGCTGACCTAAATGCCTTGCTGGTGATGACAATGATGATTGCTTAGCCCGAATAGTTTCTTTTTCTTGCAAGTTTTTCCTTATAAAGGTGTCTTTTGCAACGACTATCTCAAAAAAGTCACTGTAGATCTTACCCAAGTCCTATATTTACTTATAACCAGCTTTATGCTGCCATCTCAAGAGCAAGGTCAGCGAATGGATAACTCCCTCTCCTGACTCATAGCCCCTCCCCCCCCTTTTTTTTTTTTTTTTTTTTACTGTTTAAAATCTACTTGATATGCCAGGCTTTTATCATCTCTTCTAGTTTGAAATGTCTTTGGCGAGAGCCCGCAGTGTGACGCCGTCAATGAGCGTAGCTAGATTGACCGGCTAGTCAATATATACACTAAATGCAAGATCTGAATGTCTCGAAATACAGTAAATCTATTCTAAAATGGGTGTTTTTCTTGATTGCTTTATGAAACATAGCCTAGAATAAATCGATCTTTGATCCAAAAGGTATAGCGTTTGTGGATATCTTAACTTGGCATATGAGCCATCCTCTTCCAGTTTTGTTTGATTCAGACTCAATAACGCTTTGTATCACTTGGAATATGTATAGGAGTAGCACAATAATGAACCAATTCAAATCCTTGCCTCTATCTTCTTTGATAAAGCCGGAGCAGAAGGACAAGAGGGGCATTGCTTTTCAAATATAAACAAAATGACTCTTTCGAGCGAAATGCGCCCCTTGAAATACCATGTACCTGGCTGTTAGGTATTGTAAAGGCATTATTGTTAGAGGATTAAAGATAAACGAAGACAATTTGCTGTCAAATGCTGCCTGCTGATATCATTAGCTTGTTATGGAAGAAACACAGGTGAAGGTAATCAACTAGGCACGAATGGCAAGACCGTTAAGGAAATTTATGTTACAAGGCAGGTAATTGCACACGCTCCGTAGATCCAAATGCCTGAAATCACATTATAGTCTGTTTCTTCATTAGCTGATGCCTTTCATGATTGAATGATAAGCTCCTTGTTTGAAGTCCATTGTGGACCGTTAGCATTTCAGGCACTCCCATATTCGTCAGAACAGCTTCTATTTGTGTGACATCCAAGAGCACTTATTACCTTCCCAATGTAATCACTATGAGTTAGGCCATCATGCTTACACGGGGAGACGCTTTATTCGCTTAAATTCTGCTTCAATGTAATGCTCTTGTTGGAGAAAGGATAGATGAAATGTCTTGCACTAGATATTGCCGTATTGCCTATTCGTTGTAATGACCTGCTCGAATGCTACCAATACATGGTAGCACCTCCTTGATTTGAGACTCACAAAATTTTCTATTTGGTAATATCTTGGAATAAACAACTGAGGCTAAATAAGAAACCAATCATTATAGTGTCCTTTTTTATTAGTTTCCCTTTTTCTCTTCTCTTCTCTCTTTCTTTCTCTCTCACACTTTCTTACACCTTTATATTTTAATTAAGCCAAACAATATGTCTTTGGTTTTATCTGCCAATGCAAGTGAAGGGGCTGGAACCCTTCAAGATGATTTAGTTGAGGAAAAAAGACATAGCAGATCACTTGACCTCGAGCCAAACGCAAGAATGCGATTACACCAACGTTCAGCATCTGAAAGTGATGGTATCGATATTATTGCAGCGACAGAACAGAAAATATCACCCTCAGAAGTAGCATCTTCTGTGCCAACAACAAAAGAAGAGACTTCGATTAGTAACTCTATGTTTTCACTGTACAAGAAGCTGGGATCTCCTCGTCGCAATCGCAGCCTTACCAGCAATAACAGCAAGGGCTTTACTAGTAAATCAAGGGCTTCCATTGGTTCTGCATTCTCCAGTTTTCGTCAACCTAGCCTATCCAGCATGTCTACCAATACAACAACAGCTTTCTCTACGACTGCCACATCCAATAATACCAACAAAAAGAATCGATTCAGCATGCCTATAAACAATCCAGGTATGCGGTCTATCTGTGAGTGTAGATATATATATATATATACTAACAACCGTCTAGATGCTGCTATTGCAATGAATCCCATGAACTATTCGATCAAAGAAGAGGAGCAGGAAGAGATCAAGAAACCTAATCTGCTGGAACAGACTGGTACCTCAAAGTAAGATTTACTGATATGCATTTACCATGATTTCCCTTTTTCTTAACCAAATTCACATGAAAAGACGTTCTTTGCCATTTAGCTTGCAACATGAAATCAATCAATTCTCCATCGACGGATTTGCTCATAAATATTTTGCCACACACAAAAGAGGTCTATTCAGAAGAACTGTGCCCATGAATGAACTGCTCTGTTGGACGAAAGATTCGATTAAACAGCCTCTTTTGACCAGCAACAAGACATTGTTTAGCAAAGATGCGTTGAAATGCTTCAAAATACTACAAATGCTGATGAACGACAGACCAAGGCCTCGTACATTCAACTACATTGAAAGCTTTCAAACATTACTGAGCTGTGGTATCACAAAAGGACAAATGCGTGACGAAATCTATGTTCAAATCTGCAGGCAGTTGAACAAGAATCCCAAAGAGTAAGCGATTCAGATGTTTTAGGGTGCCAAATTACTCACATTTTTCGTCCTCTCTCGTCATAGTGATAGCATCAGAAAAGGTTGGGAAATTCTGTGTGTTGTCAGCGTCACCTTTCCGCCTTCAAAAGACCTGGAAACCTATTTGCACCGATTTGTCCAACAGCATTTTGATCAGCACAAGAATCAATTGAATATTCTTAGTCGGTATGTCTCTGCAAAGCTAGTTCGTATCTGTAGTAGAGGTGCAAGAGGAAAGGTGCTATCTGCAGCCGAAATTGAACGAGCCAAGGCAAGTGGTTTAATGGTGTAATTGGCAAATAATTGAAATTAACGCATCTCTACAGGAAGCCCCCTTTAAGCCATCTGTATTTGGTGAGCCGTTGGATGTCATTATGGATCTACAAAAAGATAACACTGCACTCTTCATACCCAAAATTGTCACGGTCTTGACACAATCAGTGCATGATTTGAATGGATCCACCTCAGAAGGTATTTTTCGTGTACCTGGAGATGCAGATGCTGTTACTGAATTGGTAAGATTGCTTGCTCTTTTATTATTGTGCAACCATCTAATTAAGTCTCCATTTGGTCTTTTTTTTTTTTTTTTTTTTTTTTTTTTTTTTTTTTTTTTCTTTTGCTTTAGCGTATTCGTATTGAGAATGGCAATTACGATCCAACTGGTATTGAAGATCCCAATGTACCTGCCTCTCTCTTGAAATACTGGTTGCGCGATTTAGCGGAGCCTTTGATACCAACTGATCTTTATGATGACTGCATCAAACATGCCCATGATAAAAAAAAAGCCATCGATATTATTAATTCTTTACCCAATGTGAACCGACGAATTGCATTGTACATGATACGATTCTTGCAGGTAAGTAGATCAGTGCGGATTCTAGACTTGCGCATTCTAAATCACTCTTTCCAGGACTTTGCTGACCCTCAAGTGATCCAACATACCCTAATGAATGTAGTCAATCTGGCTATGGTTTTTGCGCCTAATTTCTTGCGATGCCCCTCTGTCAATCTCACCACCATTTTTGAAAATTCCAAATACGAACAATTGTTCCTCAAAACATTGATCACCGAGCTGGAAGTTGACAAAGACGATTGTGCCTATAGCGAAGAAGAAGTTATTGGTAGAATCAAAGAACAGGTCTAGTTGCACAGCAACTCAATCAAATTCTGGACATTGTATATACTTATTCAAAATAAAGAACACTCTTGGCCTCTTTGTTTTCATCCAAGCATATCGACCACATCATCCGTAAAATTGCATTGCCATCAGATACACAGTTTGTGGCAGGAAAACTAAATTTTACCATCCAATGCCATTGTCCTACATCAAATAAGCACATTATTTTCTCGTTGGACAAGACGAGCAATCCACTTGTGTTTCCTCAAGACTAAATATATAAGTTTTCTCATCTAATTTATTCGAAATCATACACTCCTTCTTCTTCTTTCCTTAACATATACATTGCAATGAAGGCATTCTCTATTATTGCCTTTGCTTCACTCATTTCAGCAGTATTTTCGCAACAGTTGGCAAACAATGCAACAGCCTCATTCAATAAGGATGAGGACAATTACCCCTTTAAAACCGAAATTACAAATGGTAAGCTCTATAGATTGACTCATCTGCACATCATGCCTGATACATCAATCGATAGCCACTTTAAACGGATATACAATCGAGTATCGAAACTACTACAAGATTGTTACAAACACCATCCTGGGAAAGACATATTGTTTGGTAAGCGGGAATCAAGGCGTTCCTGAAGGCTGTTCCACTGAATCAGTCATTCAAGTTCCCGTACAAAGCTTCAGCCTCGACAGGGATTCATATGGTGTCGTGCCTTTTATCGAGCTACTCGGTCTGCAGAACAATGTCATCAAGACAAGCACAGCCAACATGACCTCTCCCTGCATCAAGGACGGAAGTGCAGACACTAGCACAAATTCACCTCAATTGGTCTTTTCGTCATCAAGCTCATTTGGTGCCTCATATGTCGCATTCTCAGGCGATGATGATAGATTAGCCCCGCTTCAGGTAAGTTGAAAGTGTTCCAAAGCGGCCAAGAAGCAGTGGACTCAATGATTTGCACATTAGAAAGCTTCGTGGTTGATGTATATCGGCGCATTCTTTGATATGGAGCTGAAGTCATATTCCATTTACACTCAAATCTCTGACAATTACAACTGCCATAGGCGCAATTTGGGGTCTCCTCTGACACCAAAGGCTGTCTCTTGGACTACATTTGATCCCTCTACTCACTTATTTACTGTGCACAGCGATACTTATTATGCTCAGCTAAGTCAAGATGCAGGTGGTCGACTCGTATCCACCAATGTTGCTCAAGGAGATACATTCAAAACCAACTACACGACTGACTTACTGCCTTTGGCTAATACACTTCGTGGAGCCGACTTCATTATCGACTCCAGTGCGTTGGACGTGGACTACAAAACTTGGCTTGGAGCTGATTCCATGTACTTTACTGGGGGGAATGGCATTCAAAAAGTCAATGCCATTGTCAACAATCAAGTGTATTCAATTAACGGCCTTGTAAGCAACAATCAGTCAGGTAAGGGTCCATTCTACGCTTTTCTATTTATCTTTATTCACTGTTTGAAAACAGATTGGTTTCAAAGATCAGCCGCTCGTCCTGATCTTGCGTTACTGGATTTGATAAAGCTCTTCTATCCTGATTTTGCAATCGAGGCCAGCTCTGATATTATCCAATTTCCTGTCTGGTTAACTCCCTTCGCAAATGAAACAACAACTAGTCGTGCTATTACACCTGAAATTTATGGCGGTTGCGCTAACATGGCCAGCACAGCATTTGCGCAATCTGCATGTAACATTGGCGGCAATTCTCTCAGTGGAGGCCAATACACAAAGAAATTATCCACAGGAGAAACTGCAGGCATCTCTGTAGGCACAGTCATGTTTATAATTGTAGCTGCATGTCTTGGTATTTGGCTGTATCGCAGATATCGCAGACAAAAGAGACATAACTTTTATCGCATGAACGATTTCTAATAAATTACATATTCCCAAATTTGGATAAATTTTGATCATTTACTGCCGTTCGTTTTATTATGTATGGTACAGATAGAATAGTAAAGAAAGGAGGACAGAGAAAAGGTACATTGGAATCTATACAGCTGTGCATGCGTATATACCTCCTATTATAATTAATGAGAGAAAGGAGATTCTTTTTTGCTAGATAGTAAGAAATCGACAAGAAATATAAACTGTAAAGGAGAGTGTGTATATGTAAAATTAAAGAAGGTATGGTTATGTTATGTACACAAAATATAGGAGAAAATGAAATGGAAGGGGGGGGAGAGGGGAATAAATTAGAGAATATCGTCAATGAATGAAGGAAGGGGGAATAGTAATAAATATGTAATTCAGCAACAAACACTTGCAATGGTATCAACGGAGACTTTTCTTGCTTTCCACCAGCCATCATCTTCTCCTTGTTGTTGTTCTTGTTGCTGTTCTTGCTGAGCATCAGTCTTTAATGTGGGCTTTGACTTTAATTTACGTTTCCAAGCACTTGTTAAGCAAAGCGAGCTAGCACGAATCAAGAACGTTGTCTTTTTGGGTTTAGATGTCAATTCGGATGGACAAGCAGTGGTAGCGGAATGAGTTGGGCTGATCCAGCTTTTTGGGCGACTGCTGTAGCTGTGGTTACGTCCGATGGCGACAGTAGCGGGTTGTGGTGGTACTTGAGGTGTTGAAGCCACTGTTGGAGTAGGTAGAACTTCTTGCTCTGGTGCTGTTACCACTGCAGGACGAATCTTTTGCTCGAATTCCCTCAATTGAAATAATAAACCAAGATTTGGGCTGATGGGAGGAGCCAGATGTTTGACATGGTTGTAAGCATCTTGCATTGGCATGTTGTAAGTCTTCATGATGTAAGCAATGATGACAGTTGCAGAGCGAGCTACACCGCATTGACAATGCACAAGAATAGTTTGGCCAGCATTGCGGGCACGATCAATGATATCTATTGCTTTGGACAATTCAACTGCCAAATTATCTTGATTGTGTTGCCATGGTAGCTTTTGATAGGCAACATTGGGTTGTTGTGATGGTGGTAATGGTGGGTCCACGAATGTTTGAATACTGGAAGCAGTGCTACTAACAGAGGATGCTTTTGAGAGTGAAGGAGAAGGTACGATTGATGAAGAGAGCAAATCATCCATGGATTGGAACATGTACTCGTATGGATTGCTGACTTCTGCCGCAACATTCAAGATGGCTTGCACATTCAATTGTCTCAAATGATCCATATCCAAGGCGTTTTTTTCTGATCCCAAATAGAGAAGAGGCATGATCTTTGCTGGACCTAATGGATAAGCATTGACATTGTCTTTTTGCTGCTTTGGTTGCTGGAATTGAGGTACATTGAGCAATTGAGATGTTGATTCTGGTGAAAGGCACAATGATAGATTCTTGTTGTTTCTTCTACGATTAGCCAATCCGCTCGAGGTTGAGCAAGTAGGGGTAATTGATAATGATAATCTTTTGTTCATTTGAAGTATATCAAGAAGAAGACAGAAAAGCAGAAGGAAAGAAGGGCAGAGAAAATGATAATTTGTGATGCTATATATATAGAAAATCGGTTTCAAACGGAAAAAAAACAACTATTAATTAGTGAGCCAATTAGAAATACTTGTGCTAATTAAACCAATTTTCATGTTTGCCCCTCCTTGTTTATTATTAGCCTGCACTATTTGAAAACGCCACCTTTTTTAGGTACATTTGAGCTAATTGATTATTTGTTTTTTCGTTTGTTCTAAAATGACGGGTACCTTGCTCTTCTCTCTCTTCTCTCTCTCTTCTCTTTGTATGCCTCCCTCTTGGCTCCTGAATATACAAAATGATAGACACAATAAAATAGATGTGCCGGAAAGAATGAAATGTTAGAAATCTATTTCCATGTTTGTATCACAAAATAATGGTATATTAATTTGTTTTGATATGGTAAATGTTTTTTTTTTTTTTTTTTTTTTTTTTTTTTTTTCATCATTTGGGCTTTTAGCCAAAACATACCCAAACTCTAAAAATGATGTGAAACAAATGAATATTCTTTCCTTCTTAATAAGATGGTCGTACATTATTATTAATTGACAACAATTCGTTCTTGCTTTTTACGATCATCCGCTTTGACGGAAACAGCATCATCATCACCCATGATTGTGATGAGTAAACACCTGAAAGGGAAAACTTAGCTCCCCTCGTTCTATAGCGTCATCATTGAGTATGTCCATTATTTTTAGTTCTTTGTATTCCACTTTCATCAATAAAAAAAAGATCCATGCGTTTCTACAGCACTGTTAGCAAATGGAAACAGGACATTCTCAAAAAGAAATTACTCGAGAAGGATGTCATTTCAGCATCGCAATTCAATCTGATGGCGAACACGTTAAACCACCCTAAATATGCATACAATAAATTGCCTGCCAAGGGAACCATCTTACCGCCAGCATGGCATCTAGCTTATTTTCCTCCCCGTGTGCCTGAATCAGAACTTTCTCCAGACGGCTATGAGACGGACTGGAGTCCTCCTTATCCATACGTACATCGCATGTGGGCATGTGGTGAATTAAGCTGGAGCAAAGACAACCCTTTGAAAGTAGGCCAAAACGTAACAATGCAATCTTCAATCCGTGATATTCAAATGCGCCAAGGAGGAAGACGTGGGGATTCCATCTTTATTTGGGTTGATAAGGAATTGCACAATGAGCAGGGCTGGTCAACTACAGAGTCTAGATGTTGGGTGTATGTCAAACAGCAAGACAAAGGTACATGCATTGTGATGATGGTATCAACTGCAAGGTAATTAAAATCTTTACAGATGCTATCAATCAACGACAACAATCGCACCAGCTCATAACGAACCCATCGCCGACTCCTCCACCAACTGCTTCTCCTGATTTCATTATCAACTTGAAGCCAACTCCAATTACTCTGTTTAGGTTTTCCGCATTAACTTTCAATTCTCATTTAATTCATTACGATCACATTTATTCAACAACTGTAGAGCATCAAAAAGGTAATCAATAAACATGCATCAAAATCAATATGCATTTACATGATACATAATGACAGGTTGTCTTGTGCATGGTCCTTTGTCCTTTACTTTAATGGTGAATCATTTAGATCAATATTTATCCAACAAAAAGACCATTACCAACTTCGATTATCGATGTCTGAGTCCGCTGATTGTTAATGATCCCATTACTGTTATAGGTAAAGAGACTAGTGCTAACGATTACGACTTGTGGGTTTTAGATCATGAGGGGAAGATTGCAGTCAAGGGAACGGCAACTGTAGCTTAAAAGCTCACCAGAAGCACTGAAATAAAAAGAGCGGGTAAATTTGCGGTTGAATTTCTTGCATGTATGTTTGTTGTTGTATGTACAGTGCATCATGTATCGTAGTTAGTTACATGAGCAACTAAAATAAACAAAATTTGGCGCTTATTTCAACAACTTTATTTCATTCTCATATGTGCCCTGAGTGCTGGGGGGGGGGGAAGACTTGTCATTTGATCTGTGTGCCGAAATGTATTTCAATTGTTGTAACTGAATTTAGTTTATAGATTATAAATAATCTCGTCATTAAGCCTTTTGTGAGACAGAAGTTCATCTTCTTAGACATCTGTTTACACTGAGAATTCTTGATTCAAGATGTATCTTCCAACCTTGCATAGAGAATATATCTTTTTGTAAATAAAAGAAGGTGTAAAGCTATAATCTAGAAGCATGTTTGTTTTCATTATTATTCATCACCTGAGTATCAAAGACATTTTCTAGTTTATGCTCTTGACATGATAGTGATGGAGTGAAGTAAGCCGATGGCTCATCCATAACAATACATTTTACTGCGCAATTTGAAATCAGAAGTGTGATACTCCAGAGTTTATTTGAGTAACATGAGAGTCATTAAGAGTCTTTTTCAGTCGCGCAAAGACCATTCAATCAAGACCTAATACTTGGCATGTATAGACAAGAAACTTTACATTGTGATGGCTTAATATCTCTTTGTACTAAATAAATTCAAATGAGTTGTTTGGTATGCTCGAGTTATATCGTTTCAGAGATGACTCTTATATTTCCATCATGATATTATATTCAACTGGAAAATCAGCAAGATATTAAGAAAAGATTTTTTTCGGCCATTATTTGCCAGTAAATGTAATAAATATGTATGAAATATTCCAAGAAAGAATATAGTTGGTGTTACAAGATTTAATATTCGATTAATTTATAAAAAATTGGGGCTAAAAGAAGGCTTGTGATCGAAATAGCCGAGTCCAGTCTCTTTTTGCTGCTTTCATGTTCAAAAATCAAAAGCAGAGGATTATGAAAGCCCTTCGGAATGACAGCATTTGTGTCTCTGTATTCAGTGTTAATTAGGTAAATGCATAATTAAATGCACTAGTGTGGTTGCAATGACGGGAAACGGATCAGTGCTTAGCGGTATCCCCAAGCCTCGGCAACATGACGAGACACAAGATCAAAGATGAGGTACACAGCATCGGTAGAGATACAGCATTAGCAACAGTTTTGCATAAAGCTCTATTATTTATTTTCTTTCTGTTGGTACGAGTATGATGCTTACATTGCATATATTACTAATCAGCATAATAAGTTAAATTTGATTGCATGCTGACAATCACATTCTGAGTTCTGGTTTCTTTCTCTATGAAAGTACAAAAGTTTTTGTCATATCTAATGCGCTTTGTATTTTTATCAAGGCTGCTCTTCAAGAAATTTGTATGAATCCTGGACAAATATTCTATCAGTCAATATTTCCCAAACACATCAAAAAAAATGTATCAAAACTATGCTAAAGGTTTTTTCATCTTCTCTTCTGCGTTTAGCATAACTGAAAAAATAATCTACACTGATATTGTCATTGGTTGGCAACTAACACTGTCGAAATGGTTGCCTAGCAACAACTGCACCTGTCAAACCGGAGTTTAAACAAATGCAGGTACCATATATCTGTTTATATTCCGACATTCTGTTCCTGATTTATGATTTAAAATACATTATCCACAATTTTTCAAACAATTGAGAGATACAATGGTACGTATGGGTTTCTCTGACACATCATACGTTTTTGCGTCATAGAAGAGAAGGCTGTTATATGAGATTTCTGATTGATTGCCCTATTTTTCGATTGGAAGTACTATTTTTCAATTAAAGCATCCAGATTTGCAATGATGAATCTAGATTACGATTTTCATGACACCCATTGCAAGTATACAGTGAGCAGTTCATCTCAAGAACTGCTTCCTGTGCACTTTCTATAGCGTTCTTCACAGGCATAATGCAAATCCGAAACTTATGGCTTGGCCCCACTAGAAATTTTAGTGACTCTTCTACCTGATGGTGAAACAAAAATCAAGAGTAAAACAGTCCTTTGCAATTGCTGTTCCGCGCCAAAGGAAAAAAGCATAAATAGGCCAGAAAAATTTCAAATGGTTGTATTTCTTTAGACAAATCTTTCCTGACAGGAATGTATGATGATCTTTCCCGGCTCAGCAAACGATCACCCTCCCTAGAGATGCTTTGGTATTTCCTGGGAGAAATGACGATGCACGCTGGAGCCAAACATATCACACCTAATTATCAGCGTGTTTTATTAATCGATCTGACTCAAATGTCTCTTTTCCTTTTTTTAACACAAATTTCAAACGAAAAATGATAAATGATTAGTTTAGTTGGGGAAATAAGGGAGGCTTGTGTGTGGTTGATTTATTAGATTTAGTCAATGGATTAACATAAAAGGGAAATCATTATCTCTGATAGCGTGTAACAGCTGTAACTTTACCTATCCAAGGATAGGTGTCCTGTTTTTGTCAAATCACTTCATACTCGTGTCATCCCTATCGCTTTCTAAAGTTTCCTTTTTCACGTCATCTTGTAATTGTTTGTCTGCATTTTTCTTTTTGGCTAATTTTGCATAGTCTACATGTATTTCATGTTCAATGGCGTTTTCTTTTCTGTATAAACAAACGATACTTACGCAAACCACATGCATTGCACAGTGTGCGGGCCCCATCAGGTCCCCTTCTCCATTCCGGTGTTTCGGATATATTACATGAATGACATCTACCTTGAAACACGGGTCGTTTCTAACATCAAAAAACTTTAAATAAAGGCAAATTATTATGTACGTCAGATTCTTACCCCTCTTTTTCTAAGTCTACCGGCATTGTTAAGAGATAGCACATTGGTGGATGCATTCTTAAGCGTAGAAAACCCTTCAGATTCCTGTACATTTCAGATTAAGAAAAACGAGCACGCACAAAAATGATAGATTTAGTATAACCCAATGGAGATATTTTTAAAGAATGAGTCATTCTGAACAGATGGTAAAGATATACATTGTGTATTTTTTTTATACCTGATATTGTCCATCTAGACTATTCTGCGCAAGGTGATCAGGGACTCTATGCAATTTTGCATGTTCTGCAGCTAATTGATGTTTTCTCAATCGAAGTAATGCATTTAAAACTTCGTTTGCTTTGCCAATCATGTCATCCAGCCAAGGACGCATTGTTGCAGGATTCGTGAAATACTGATCATTTTCTACGATGGAGTGCTTTCTCTCTGTCATGTTTGTTGTTAAACTGTTGCAATGCTGAATAACCTGTTGATTTCAGTAAAAAGCGAATGTAAATATTTACTTCTAAATACAACCTAAATCCGTTTGATTGAACTTACTTGTTCAATGTCTCTTTCAATGCTGCGGATGGAAGGAGTGGATAAAGACGAGGGCGTCAATACTAGTTCAATAGATGTATTGTTGCTGCTGCCTTGGTTGTACACATGCTGATGGTGTTGCTGAACATCTTTATTTAGAGTAGATATCTGAGGTAGCGAATTTTGACGATAATGGTAATGATGTGTATGTTGAGGCTTATGCTGTTGATCTATAGCGGGTAGCGTATGACTGGATGCTGATGGTGATGCTGCTGTAAAATAATCTAATCTGTTTGTGTGATTTTGAGTGTTCTCGTTTAAACTGGGGATTGGACTCCAAGGCTCTTGATTTGATGGCTGATGATGATGTATAGGTGATAAGTTGATGCTGTTGTTGTTGCTGCTGCTGCCGATCTCCTGCATTGTGATATTGCTACTGGTCGTACTTAAAGCAGAAGGAGATAGCGTAGATGGTGGTGGCCAAGATCTGCTTGCAAAACCTGCATTTATAGATGAGATTGGCGGTAAAACAAGGCGTTCGCTACTGATTCTATCCTTCGCTTTATTGCTACGTTCCATATTCTGATAGCTATAGATTCACATGTATTTAGATTAAGGCGAAATTACATTGGAATCACATCAAGAATGATTACTTTTTTATATGAAATGTTTCATTACCTGAATGAAGGAGGAGATGGTGAATTTGTCATGATAAACTTATGTGCGTTAAAATAAATAGTGAATAAATAAATAAATAGAATGATGATTAAGAAGAATAAATTTTGTAAAATTTATATCAGTAAAGAAATTTGAGAGCAAACAGAAAGAAGGAGGAGAAGAAAGAGAAGAAAGAAGAAACGTAAGATGCTCAATATAAATGCAAGCTATATTTTAGTTATCTTGATGATCGATATCTAATGTGACAATTTTTTGAATACAACAAACATCAAGAGAATGCTAGCAATCGATTATAATACGCAATGCCAAATTGGAAGAGAGTCTCTTACAAATATTGGACAGTAAGCCAACACTGTAAGACAAGAAATCAGCGTTGAAAGAGTGAATTTTGAGCAGTAAATCACATGCTGTTATAATCTTTCATAACCTGCGTAACAGCACACACACACACTTACATACACACACATATAAATAGTGAGTTGATTTACCCACAGAATGATGGACGTGTCTTTACCCAGTTCTGGGAGTTGTTACTAATGCTAATTACCATTTAGATGTTGAATGATTCATGTATGCAAATCGACTCATATCTTTCAAATATATCACTCTCCGCTCTAAATTCATTTGAAAGATTGTACCTACAAATGACAAATTATACGGGGTATTACAAATTATACTAGATGGAAAAGGAGATGTGTGGTTTTTTATGTATAAAAGGGATTATATGTACATTTTTTTTATCGTACAGAGAATGACGCATTGATATTATTAGGGTTTTCGCCGTATAAGGTGTTGTTGCCTATGACCATACCATTGAACATCTGCTGTTGTTGCTGCTGCTGCTGCTGCTGCTGCTGCTGCTGCTGATAGTGTTGTTGATATTGTTGTTGCTGCTGCTGTTGTCTAGCGTAGTTTGTATATCGGCTATCTACTACTGGTAAAGCTGGAGTATGGCTGTCATTTGTAGTTGCTGATTTGGGAGTAATTGAATCCAATAAAACATCTCGTAGACGAAAGCACTGACGTCTACGTTTGACAAAGAAAAATGGCTTCTGTGCCAATGGAGTCGGTCGGCTGAGCTTGAGAGCCTGCATCACATTTTCTACCTCTTCGTCCGAGTCAACGAATGGTTCCTCATTTAGCTGAGTTGATGCCGAATTCGATTTGATGCCACTACTATTCGAGCCATTATTACCATTTACAGATGGCGGCATCTGTTGGCCTTGTAATCTCTTGAGATTCTTTATCGATTTTCCTCCAGATGTAGTTCCATTGCCATTGATACCAGTGAATGCAGCAGTGTTGGATGCAGGAGCTAGCAAAAAAAAGTTGGCATTGATTTGAGAGATACATTTTAGGAGCACATACCCTTGTTCTTAGCTACATGTTCCTTACCATTGGGCCGGCCGATTGACTTTTTCTGGTAAGCTTGCAACAACACATCGTACTTCTGTGATCTCCCTTCGACTGCACGTTTGGCACCCATTGAATGACTTTTGCATGTAAGCGATCGAGTACACGGCAAGTTGTTTTGTCCCTGAATGACGCCACATTGTTTATCCAAATCTAATGGAGCTATCAAAATTGCATGAATATGTAGATACGCATCATCTGGCCACTTTCAAAAAAAAAAAGATAATCTACCTTTCTGTTTTGTGGTCTTCTTTTGCTTTTCCTTTTTCATCTTTTTCTTGTCAGGTTTTTCTATGAGCACTGTGGGTGGTCTTTTCGCAGTTGTGGAAGGGGTACTCAACTCATCTAGTTTGTTTGATCTGATAAGCATTCACTCATTATACAAGCGTCCTTCTTACCCTCCAGTGCCGTAGCCTTTTTCTTCATGTTCTTTATCAATTTCTTTCTGGTATCTGGCTCTTCCTCTTCATCGTCATCTGTAAAGGTCGCTCCAATACATGATTCTATATTGGATAATAATTACCATATTCCGATCAATATCTCCTTTTTTGTTCATCCAGCAAATCTATTGTCTACTAACCCGAATGCTCTTTGAATTTGCTTGGTAGTATGGGCCGTTGACAGTTTTTGCATTTTACAACTACAAATTCCTCCTCCAAGGGCATTGAACCAAATATATCCATGTCCTTTACATCCAAGCGAGTCGTCACTGGAGATCCGCTTTCTGAGACGCTCTCAGCTATACAAGATGACAGAATAAGCAAGCAAGAATCCAAGCTATCTAAGCAAATACCTACTTTCTGATTCCAGATGCATGGCGTCCCTCACTTGATGCCAACTCAGGCCATATGAATCCTTGAATTCCTTGATGTTGGTCTTCTTTTTCGGCTCAATCGTGTGAATACCGCTCCAGCTCTTTTCGTCATGGAATATCGATAACGTAGCAGGTGTAACATGCTTGGACCAATTCAAAGAACCTTCCGACTGAAGTAATGGTTTCGATAGTTGAGTAATATCTACAATGTACATGGTGCAGTCGTTATATATGTGTCGTTTTTAACAAAACAAGCCCATCGTATTCGTAGCAATTTTCAATATTATTACCAGATTGCAATCTCTCTATTTTACTGCCTTTGTTTCGAAGTACATCTTGTTGCTCTTCACTCAAAAGGTCAACTGTGTGTTTGTGGATTGTCATCAACTTTCTTCATTCTGTATACATCTACTCCCTTTTGACATTACCTTTAGTGTTACCATATTTCTTCAGGCTGCTGTTTGCTGAAGCCATCCTTGTTAATGCAAATGAATGAATGAATGATGTCTGATTACAAGGGAAAAAAGATGAAGAGGGTGAAAATGTGTTTTGCTTCTTCTCCTCTTTTACTTTCTCACAGTTGTATCAGGAAAAGAAAAAGTTAAATTCCCTTGATGTTGAAAAGAAGTTTGAATCAAGTTGCTTGTCGCTCTCTTGTTCGCTATCCAATCTTAGCAGACAAAGAGCTGGCTGCCTCGTTTGCTTGGTATGTTAAAAGGGTCACTCTGATGAAAGCCTCCCGAATGCGTTAAACGACGTCACTGTTTATAACATTGCTAATTTATCGTGTATAGTAAGTACTAAATGTAGACTATCTATTGCATCTAAAATGTCCAACGTATCTTAAGCTGTATCATTGAGCTATGATACAGCGACACAACAGTACCACTCAACCTAATATTTCCAGCTGAATACCTGGATGTAACAGCATGCTCTGAATCTAGATTAACACATACAATGTCTTTACATCTTCGTATCAAAACAAGAACATGCTTATTGACAAGCAAATGTATGAAGCACAGCCAAAGTTGACAGTTTTGAAGCCTTCACATCTTGACATGTAGATCTTTTTGAGCCACCGGAATGACGCCAAACAATTGCACTTGAGCAGTAGTAACGTCCTGGCACCTTTGCTCAACTTTTTGGGGAACCAAAAAATATGGCCAAAGATTGATCAAAAACCATGAGGTGTACCTCATGGTTTTCATCAAAAATCAAGCGATCGTGTTTTTCACCTTGAAAGTGGAGACTTTTACTATGGTATATATTACATTAAAATGTGTCTTAAACTTCAAAGCAACTCCTGAAACCACACTTGGGAGGCATTCGTATGCAAAATCTCGACATTTTTGCCAAAAACCTGGTTTTAAAATCTCTTGAATAGCTCAATAATCTCATTCAAAACATCTAATTTACTTGGTACCATTGGAAGCGCCTTGAAAAATACCCCAAGAATATATTAGGAAGTACGGGCTGATCATCACAACTTATATAGTCAAATCTCACAAAATTGATTAAAGGAGTCGAAAAACGGGAGATTAGTCCAATCTTGAAGAGAAAAATTTTCTGAGTTTGAATGGGTTTTGGTGGTTGTGCTGCTGCCGGCTGATCCAAACGCCCTTCTGATGATGACAATGATGCTTGAGATGCTGATTAAATGAGGGTCATAAATTTGAAAGAACTGTCGATCAACCTGAATACTTTCTTTTGATTTTGCTGGGCATTTTTGAATCAGACAAAGCCAGTCAGCCTGGCTTACTACCAAAATAATATGAGTAATCGCAACTTCCTAATCGTGATTTGCAGCATGCCTTTCATTATTTGTTTTTTGAAAAAAAAGCTATTGCCACTAGTTGAAAAACTGTTTCGGTATGTGATGGAGATATCTTTAAGACTTGTATTAGAATATTCATTGATGAGAGTGATGGCTGCAATCTTGTTGACAGTTGGCAGACTCTGAGCACGCCTATCTTTACCAACAATTACTTTTAGTTTCATTTAAGATTGAGTTGAATGCGGGCATCATAGTTGACGTGATTTTAGGCTTGTGATTCTTATTCTTCACTTAGAATCTCACGGGCATGTTTGTAAATGCAAACAAAGGTTTTTTGAGCCTTGTTCATTGCTCAATGTTTTGAATTTTATACGACTCTGATTGTACGTTATATGATACGAGTGTTTATGCTTCAGGCGGCCCTCTACCTTTGCTTCGCTTCGGTGAGGAGCAGCCTGCGCAGCAGCTGCTCGCGCTACCAATTGCCTTTGCGTATCTTATCGAAATACTGCTACTGCTTTTATTCTGACCATCCACTTATACATCAAACCCCTTCATATTATCTTTGGATCTGATTCTTATGTGATGCTCTACATCCATATACACGAAGCTACTTCATATACAGGCAAGTATCATACAGATATTATCCCTTTTTAGTCAAGATTGTGCCTAATAAACAAAATTTGAGTGCATTTGAGCTGCATTTTCTTGCGTTCAAGGCCGTTTTAGATCGTCAAAATAGCACCAAACGGTTGCTCTCATCTGGCAGTTGCTTTCTGACACCTTTGCTCAACTTTTTGGGATCAAAAAAACATGGCCAAAATTCGACCAAAAAGCATGATAGGGCGGCCAAAGTTGTTTTTGGGCGTGTTCTGGTTAAAAAACAGCACCAACCGAACGCCCTTCAACATTGGCCACCCTTGATCTGCTGCTGTCAATGTGGTCTCATATCCTTTCCTTTTTATCAATCTACAACTTGTTTTGATTACATTTATTATGCCACCATCTGCTTATAATTTGAAAGAAGCGTGAGTATATCAAGAGATGAGAGGAGAAATTGAAGGAGCAATCAGTGACAGAAGAAACAGCTAGATGTAATGATCCACATTACATACGTTTTAATCCGCATGATTGAAACATTAGTATAACACACATATATATAGATAGTCTTCTTTTTTGACAAGCATTGAACGGTAATGAAAATATCTGTCATTACTTCTCATTATATACAGTACTTTTATCACAATAAATCCATCACTTGATCCTAATACTACTCGCCCAAAAATATTTTTCATGTTTTTTAATAAATATTGCCCAAGTTTAAAGACATACAAATAGTAACACCAATCCGCCCCTCCCTAGTAGATATGTATTTTTTTTACAGAATCATCGCACTCTTATTACACTAGACTTGTAACTGTTTTTTCAAAAAATGAAGAAAATTATGCAGAACGCCCAACTCTTGAGGTGGGCATTATTTGAGGTTTTGGTCGTTTTTTTCTTGCAACCAATTGATCGAAAAAACGCCAAAAAACGATTTTGGCCACCTTATGAGGTACCCCTCATGGTTTTCATCAAAAATCGAACGATCTCGTTTTTGATCTTGATAATGAAGACTTTTGCTATGGTATATCTTGAATCAAAATGCTTCTATATATCCAAGGTAGCCCCTGAAATCATCTTTGTGGGACCTTGCTATGTAAAATTTCGACATTTTGGCCAGAAACCTCTTTTTATATTTTCATAAATTGCTCAATAAGTTTATTCAAAACATCTATCTTACTTGGGACCATTGGATGCGCCTTGAAAAGTACTTTGGGAAAGCTTAAGGAAGGATGGGGTGATCATCACCGTTTATATAGTCGTATCTAGTAAAAATAGTTTTATCAAGTCGAAAGCCACCAAACTTTGTCCAATCTGAGTAGACGAAGAATCCAAGTTTTAATTAACTTTGGCTGGTAGGCCTAACTGGCAATTTCAATGCCCTTTCCATCATGAAGGCAATACAGTAATAGATGCTTTTGAAGTGTATGGAAAGTAGGTGACAAATTACATAGTAATATCATTAGCCATGCTATTCTCCTTGCATCCTGTATTTAATAACGCTTGCCTATCAAAATGCTTGTTAGATCAACCATTTTCCTTTTTGAGGCTTTGAAAGTGTCTGGGGATTATAAATTTATTACGTTATGGTGATGATGGAACCCTTAACTCAGCAGTAGGTTAAGTAACACTATCGTTTGTTCAATTAAGATTGAAGGAAATTGTTGTTTGGAGGTACAATAGCGTGGTTCCTAATCAAATTATGGCTCGCTCCAATATTAGATCAACAATGAAGAGCTAATAATGAAGAATGGGTGGACATATATTGTTAAATAATAGGTGATATTGCCTGTGAAATTGCAGCCGAACTATTTTCAAGTTTTCATTCCAGGGGTTCTGACAGGAGGCCCTGAGGTTGGTAGCTAGATGCTGGATGAAAGCCAATAATTTACAGGAGTGGGCATCGCAGTCAATCAAACCAACAAAGTTATATTATGAGATGTGCGAATAATATCACCAAGTAACATGTATTTTACACTGAAAGTGTGAACAAAGACCAGGAATTGAATGAAGAGCTGCATATTTCGGGAGGTTAGGGACCGCTTGAAGCGAGTCTGTGCGGTAAACCCATGTACCTCAGATATTGAGATACCTGTAGCGACTTTGGCGTGAGATGGAAATATTCTTGGAACCGATCCAGACATTTGCAATTTGTCATACGTCTTTTTTTGTCGCTTGCCATGATTTCTCTGCTCTGTTTTGGTAATAGTCAAATTTAATGATGTAACAAGCATTTGTATATTGGAAGAGTCTTTGCCTGTACTCTCATTGTGTCTGATGGTTGCGCGGAAAAAGACATCGGTAGATCGAAATTTTGTGATTCAGCGCCAACATGTCAAGAAGAAACATATTTGCAACTATGTTGAGATGACTGATCCGAGCTTAAATCCGACCAAATGACCAACAAAGAGCAACTTTTTTTAAATATTCCTCTCTTGATCAACATTGAATTGCCTGACGACATCTACTTTGGAATGGAACTAGTCATGTGAAGCACTATATCAGTTCATGGCAGTAACACAAGATGAAACGATCACTGTCCATGCCCATCTTCATATGCAGATAGATTAGCGATTGGTCGTTGACCCATAGATTTCAGAGCAAGGACCCAATCAGATGTTATGTCGCGATGTGGTACCTATTGTTATTAAGGAATAAGTGGGTTTGAATCTATTCGAGATGTTTAAAGTGGTGAAAGTGGAGAAGAATTCCTTTTTTCTTTTTTTAGCCTCCTTCTTATTTTTCATCTTTTTGTCAAGCCTTTTTTTTTTTACAGTGTAAAAGAGAAACTTCTTTGTCTTGTCTGATTAAAGAAGAAAAAGAGAAGGCGATAGATCATGAAGTTGAACAAGATCCTTTGTGGTTTATCCACATTTGTATTGAGCGTTACTGCGATACCCCTGTTTGAAATCCGTAAGTCATGAGAGAGTATCTATCGAGATTGATTTGCGTAGTGTACTGACAGAGATAAACAGCAAATGACTATGATCGATATGGTAAACAATGCCCTTTGTTTGCTCATGACAATGTAGCATGTCCTATGATTTGCGTCACAAATCAAAACTTGTGTCCTACTGCATTGGCTGCTACATGTCCTACAGGCTTAACATTTTGTGGTGATGGTACTTGTCAGCAATCATGTGCTGACATTGCTAACGCTTGTCAATGTGGAGACGATACAGTGCAATATTTCCCTTGTGCTGCTGGCCAACTCGTCAACATCTCTCATTTTGATCCCATCAATCAAGTGGTGCAAATCCAAAACACATGTGCTGCAAACGCAAACATCTCAAGTGCCAGCATTGGTGCTTGGGGTGATTTCAATACCTCTTCTCTCTGGCTCTCTTGTCCTGTCATTGAGCCCAAATTCACCTATACTGAGCCCATGTGGATTGCTGTGTGGGCATTGATGGGTGCTGAAGCTGCTATTTTGGCTCTTTGGGCCATCTACAAGTCGCTTCGAGAAGCCAAATATCACCGCGCTGTTTCATCGCATCTTAAATCTGCTAGCTCCAACACTGTCAACGCTACCAACTCAACATCTCATCAAGAACAAGCGATTAGAGTTAATAGTCAGATTGATGAAGCGGAATACAAACTGGATGTTGCAAAGAAGGACAACGAGAAAGCTGCTGCTGCTGCTGCTTCATACAGCGACGAGAAGTCTGAGGGCAAATACACAAATTCCACTGTGGAATCTGACTCTATCAAGGAATCCGAGAAATTGAAGTTTCGCGGTTTCCTCAATGACTACTTTGGCATGTTTGGATTTGCCTCTTGTGTAATTACAACCTTATTATTCTTTGTGTTTTTGGGCTGTTTGGTTGGTGATTATTGTAAGTAAACCGAGAGAAAATTTTTTATAGTTTGATTTTGTACCACTGTACCGACTTATTAACAATATTACATCCTTCTGGTCGCACGATAAATAGATGGCACTTTGGGTGATGGTGCTTTGACGGTATTCTTGTCGGGCGATGTGTCATCCAAGATTTTCACTGCTGTCTGGCACATTGCCGCTGCTTGGTTCTGTGTTATGATGTTTACCAAGAAGACCATTCGCAACTACTTTAGAATCGAATCATACCCTCATAAATGTCCCTATGTTCAAGTGGAACGCAAACAGGACGAGCTGATTTTTTTGGCTGATGGCAGTAAATGGATTTCAAAGCTCAGAGTCCTTGAAAGACGTGTAACCGAGCGTTTGGGGTAAGTGGTGTAGGATAGGTATACGCAAAAGACATGTTCAGCTAAACAATACTCGATATCCAATAGAATGAATGTCCTGGTTTCTACATGCCCCGTCAAGCTGACAGAAAACAAGCTCCGTTATTTTGAATACCAATGTATGCGATATGTTTACAATACTGATAAATCAAGATTCGAACCTTACGAATTTGATCTGGGATCTACCAACAGAAAGCTCCAAGGTTGGTCAAAGGGTGTATCCAGCCAAGAGGCAAAGAGCAGGGCTGATTTTCTCGGTGCCAACATTATCAAGGTGGATGTCCCTTCCATTCCTGTTGCCATCTTGCAAGAGTATGTTACTCATGATGATTCAAAGTAGACCTTACTCACTTTATTTACTGTAGATTCTCCTCCTTTTTGTATCTCTACCAAATGATGTGTATGTGGGTCTGGTACTACTTCCAATACTATCAAATGGGTCTTGTGCAAACCTGTATTATTCTCGTTGCTGCATTTATCCGTGTCTTTTTGCGTCTCAGAGCAGAACACCGTATTAAGGAAATGGCAGAACATGTTACAGATGTCACTGTGTTACGTGATGGCCAGTGGACCACCGCTTCCAGTGCCGATTTGATTCCAGGCGATGTCTTTGAAGTCGAAGAAAACACCCTGATCCCTTGTGATGCTGTTGTTCTCTCAGGTACTGTTGTTGTCAACGAGTCTTCTCTCACTGGTGAGGCTATGCCTGTTCGTAAGTTTGCTATTGCTAATGATGACAATGCCTATGAGATGAATGGCTCTGGTAAATCAAACACCTTGTTTGCTGGTACTATTGTCCAACAAACCACTCCTGCTGTTTCCACTGACGAAGAGCGCCGTGTGTACGCATTGACACTTCGTACTGGTATTGCCTCTGAAAAGGGTATGCTGATCCACAAGATTCTCTTCCCATCTCCTGTTTCTTTCATCTTTAATGAGCATTTGAAGGTTGCCATTTGCATCCTGTTGGTGTGGGGTCTTGTTGCCTTCTGTCTAACATTGTATTTGATGGGTCGTGGTAACATTACTAGTTGGTACTATGGTGTCTTTATCATCTCTGAAATCTTCTCTCCTTTGCTTCCTGCTGCTTTCACTATTAACCAATCTGTTTGTGCTGCTCGCTTGAGAGGCAAGAAGATTCTCTGTATTGATCTTCCTCGTATCAATCTCGCTGGTAAGGTGCGCATCTTTTGTTTCGATAAGACGGGTACTCTTACTCGTGAAGGTTTGGAATTCTATGGCTCTGTCTCTGCTCCCTCTGCTGTCATCGCCCCCTTTGGTCATCGTGAAGAAGATCCCCTCAAGATGGAGCCCATTTTGGCTATGGGCATTGCCACCTGTCATGCTGTCACCAAAGTCAAGGAGCAATACATTGGTAACCCTGTCGATATTGAATCGTTCAATGCTATGAAATGGGATTTGTTAGAACCCACTGAAGCTGCTTATTTGGATACTTTGGCTGTGCCTTCTGCTACGCCTACCAGTGAAAAGAAGTTGGTCCATGTTGTGCGTCGTTTTGAATTCGTCCATGCTCGTGCCTCTCAATCTGTCGCTGTGCTCGATCCCGAAACGCAGCATGTCCATGTCTTCCTCAAGGGCTCTTTTGAGAGAGTCAAGTACCTCTCTCATCCTGATTCCATCCCTGTGGATTATGATCAACAAGCTGCCAAGTATGCTCAGGAAGGTTGTTATGTATTGTCCATGGCTCATCGTAATATCGGTGTCTTGGGCCAAGATGTTACTATGGAACAACTCAAGTCCATGACGCGTGATGAGCTCGAGCAAGACTGCAGTTTTGCTGGTTTCGTTCTCTTCCGTAACATGTTGAAGCATGATACTACGGATGCGATTGCTGAATTGAAGGGTGGCGACACCCGTGTCGTGATGATTACTGGTGATACTGCTTTGACTGGTATCTTTATCGCTCGTCAGTGCGGTATGATTGAACCTCATCAGCGTATTCTCTTGGGTGATCTTGTGAATAGTACTGTTGTTTGGCATGATGTTGAATCTGGAGACCAAGTCGATGTAGATCAAATCATTGACCAAGATCCTCGTGAGGAACATGAGAAGCGTGTGGAACTTGCTATTACTGGTCGCGCATTTGAAGCCTTGATCAAGGAAGACAGAATGCGCAAATACCTCTTGATGACTCGTGTGTTCTCTCGTATGACTCCCAATGACAAGGTGATGTGTGTTCAACTTCATATGGAAAAGGGTGTCACTGCCATGTGTGGTGATGGCGGTAATGATTGTGGTGCTCTTCGTGCTGCTCATGTTGGTCTGGCCTTGTCAGAAGCCGAAGCATCTATTGTGTCTCCCTTCAGCACTAGCAACCGTTCTATTATGCAATGTGTCGAGCTCCTGAAACAAGGTCGTTCTGCTCTGGCTACCAGTTTCTCCAACTACAAGTTCATGATCTTGTACGGTAATGTCATGTCGTGGTGGGAACTGTTGATGTTCTATTTCAGTGTCATTGCTCCTCAACCCCAATGGATCACTATTGACGGTTTCATCACTACGCTCATGACATTGGCTATCACTCAAGCACAGCCTGCCAAAAAGTTGGCTTCTTCCAGACCTACTGCCAAGCCCTTGGGCCCTTATACTCTTGCTTCCTTGTTGGGTGTTATTTTCGTCAACTTTTGGTTCATGGTGACCAGTGTTGTTTGGCTGTTCCAGCAAGACTGGTTCGTCTGTAACGAATTTGATAGTTCTTCCATCGATACTGCCAAGTGGTGGTTGATTGGTGACAACTATGAAGCTGCCATCATCACGTTGGTTGCCATTTTCCAATTCTTTAACAGTGCTGCTATCGTCAACTTTGGTTCAGTGTTCAGACGCTCTTGGTGGAGAAACTACATCTTGGTCTTTTTTTACTGCTGTTTCTTTGTGCATACCAGTTTCCTCATCTTGGCTGATCCCAATCCTTACAGTTGTATCTTCCGTATCAATTGTGGTACTAGCTCTAAATTGGTTGAACTCGGTTACCCCCAACCTTCTTGGGATATCCCTGACTACAACTCTCCTGTTGGCCACAATGTCTTCCCCAAGTCTTTCCGTTGGCAGTTATGGGGCTTTGTTCTTGGTAACTGTCTCATCAACGTCATCTGGGAGCGTGTTGTCCTGTTATGGTTCCTCAGAAACAAGTACATCAAGAAGAACAAGGAAACCCCAAAGAAAAACAGAGCTGTCTTTAAGCTTTAATTTTACAATTTAATTTTATATTTATACACCTTTTTTTCCTTCATGCACCTAATTTGTAATTTTCCCTTTTATTCCCTTTCAACTCGCTTAGAATACTTGCTCCATTTTTCCTCATATTATAATAAAAATGATTGTCCAGTCTAGTTTTCAATTGTGATCCTCAAGAGTGATTCTTTCTGACAGCTGAATAAACCTACGCAGCTACTACCAGCAGCAATGGACTATTGATTTCAATCCCAGCGCGTCAAAACATTTTTATGTATTTCGACGTGTTTTATGACAGATAGGGTCAGCTTTGGGCAGTTATAACTATCTGAAAGTACTTGAGAAATTTACGCTCCAAAAATATGCTATACATGAGCATCTTAGCTATCTGATGCTGTAGGTTTCATCTATAGAAAAGCTGGGACCATTACGTGCTAGGTTGGTAAAAATAATCTTGTATTCAAGGTCAAAAAAGAGACAGTTTCACATCTCATCTATTCATATACTACAAAAACTTTGCTTACGTTATACAAAATTGATATCAAAAGATGCATTAAGAGCTATTTAATTTACTAGCAGCGCATTTGGCTTCTTTAAAGGCATTCTATGCAGTTTTCAGTTTACAGGGTATTTTCGCTGTTTCAAATGGCCAGAGCGTAATTCTACGGTGCTTTTGATTCGCATTTGGCACTGTCTGCTTCTACAGCATGTGTAGGTGTATTGACCCATTGCACTTCGCAGCCATGAGTTGTAAATGCAAGATGCATTGAATATAATACGCTTAAATTCACGTGTAAATCAGTGAAGCTACTGCTATGCCTAATTAATGAACTGCTGACATTCCCAATGTCATATGTTTGACAGTTTGCTGATGACTTTTTGGAGTATTTGTTTCGAATCAAAATTGGCCACTATTGAGGCAGCCAAAGATCCTGAGCTGGATCTCTCCTCAGATCAACTTTGCAATGTGTCAACTGTCAAAAGCACAATGCACCAAAACATTCATTCCAAGCATACATACTAACACATAACAACCTTTAAATTAACAAATATAATATTTTTTAATGTAAATGTCTTTGATTTATTTCTTCATCTTTTTTTGTAAAAGTTAGACTGAGATAAAAAAAGAAGAAAATTTTATACGAGAAAACAAATATAAGAGTTTACTCCTCGTCAGACTCCTCAGCAAGGGTCATGGCGATACGATCCAAATCTCTTTGGCCATCTTGAGTGATCTTACGGCCACTAATAACAGAATATTGCACGTTAGCTATCACTGCGCACAGATTGACTCGTTCAATAGATCCACTTACCCCTTCTTATCCTTCTCCAAGACACCAATCTTTTCCAAAGATTGGAGGACCTTACGGTTGACGGAACCGGAAGCGTTGACGTGGTGAGAGGGACGAGAACCACGGTTGACAGTACCACCGTGAACCTTGTTCAAAGCACCAACACCAACAGACTTGCGGATGTAGATGTGACGAGCAACGGAAGCTATGTATAGACGCTTAGACATTGATTCCAGTCAGCAATCAACAGCATAACTTACCAGCACGGACAAAGTACCAATCGGGATCATAGGGAGCGAGTTCCTTGAAGGTACCGGTCTTGACAAGATCGACCCACTTGGGGACTTCGAGCTTACCAGTACGCTTGAGGTAGGCAGCGTAAGCCTTGATGAAGGCTATATAACAATCAATAGAGTTTAGTATCACATGTGGATGAGTATTTATTGCTTCAGAAAACAGAGGCAAAAAAAGAACGAGCCAAGCCACCAGATCTCCTCTTTCCACAGCCAACATCCCAACATCTACAATTCAAAATATACTGTGAAGTCCAACGTAATATCATGTCATTTGCTTTCGTATAAGTCCACATGTAACAAATCGTGTCATTAGGGATATTTATCACAAACATCTTAGTGTTTCCGTCATGGTGGAGAATATTCAAATTTCTTCGAAACAATGTATTGGGATGATGGCATGGCTCTGTTTCTTTTTTTGTCTCTGCATGTCTCTAAAGCAACTATTTGATTGATGAAAAGAAAAGATATCGTACCGTGAGAGTTAACGTCCTTGACAGTGATACCAGCCATGATATTTAAATGCACTGAATTCGAGAAGCAAAAAAAGAGAGGGTTTTCAGATGTTGCGCACTTCTTGCTTCCTCAAAAATAAAAAAATTTTCCCCTAAACCAAGAAGCGAAAAAGTCACTTATTCTAGTCACATTCGCAACCAAAAAGGCTTTTAAAAATTTATTTAGAATGCTACATCCCACACACGGACAGCTGCATCTTGACCTACAGATGCTATGCTTAATCCACTGGCATTATTTAAAAAGTGAACGCTGTTGACAGCATCAACATGAGCATTCTTGATGGCCACCTTCTTGAAGGGCTTGTCACGATTCCATACATAAATGTTGGTATCAATGCTGCCACTGACTAAGAATTGACCACATTTGGACCAGTCTAATGATGTGATACGGCTGGTATGGAAGACCCAACTCTGGATCTTAGTTTCCTTTGATTCGGTATCATAAATAAAGATCTTGCCAACACTGTCGCCCACAGCGATCAAGTTTGCCTCGGGATGAACTGCTAAAGCCGTGATATTACCAAGATTTTTGCTTAATTCTCCAGCCTCTGTGTAGTTGCCACCACTCAATTCATATACGCGAACCTTGTTGTCCTACATTTTGTATTTAGTAATTGTTCTTCAGGTGCCTTGCTCCTATTTGTTGATCTTACTTGACCACCAACGTAGACAGTCTTGCCATCAGGGCTAATGTCAGCAACAGAGGGTGTGAATCCAGGCTTTTCAAGCTGGCCGATCTTTTCGAGTTTATCATCATACACAATAACTGTTTCGTTGGTAGCAACAACAGTCGTCTTGTTCTCTGAAACAGTGATGGAAGAAGGAAGAGATCCAGTAGTAGCAATCTTTCCGCTATAAGTACAGATATTTAGCATGATTTTCATCTCGACTCTTTCCTACATATCTCGGTACCTGAATTTGAAATCGTTGTTTGATGCTTGACGTACAGTGTCATCCATGGCAACAGATAATAGCTCGTTCTGCTTGAAAGCCAGAGAAGTAACTTGATTGCCATGACCCTCACCTTCAATACGCTCAGCCTTTGTATGGTCTCCTTCGCCTCCATACTTCCATCCAAAGACGCGACCATCATATGAACCAGTAAATAAGGTATCGTCTTCAGAAACAGTGAGAGCAGTAATGGCCTTACTATGACCATCAATGTGACGAGAGACCTTACCGCTATTCTTGTCCAAGTAGCTGAATCCACCAGATAACGATGCAGTGATCAAGTAATCGCCCTTCCACAAATTACCCACTTGTTGATTGTCAACGGCAGAAACAGCAGAGTTGATATCAAAAGTACTATAAAGATTAGAGTTAGCCAAGACATTACATAGCATCAACAGATAGCTACTTACTTGACCACAGCTCTACCATTTATATCCCAAATCTTGGCAGTACAATCAGCAGAAGAAGACAAGAGTTGGGTACTATCAGGAGACCATGCAAGAGCGAAAACACTACCCTTATGGCTATTCTCTGCGGTAGTCAACTCGTCAATCTTGTCGCCCGTCTTGCCGTCATACAAAAATATCTTTCCATCAGCACCAGCACTGGCAAAGAAGTCGCCATTAGGAGAGAATTGAACAGAATGAACGAAACGAGTGTGATCGCGGATGGTTTTGGCGTATTTGAAAGGTACGCCGTTGAAGAAGGCTACCGTCATATCATCTGAAGCAGTAACGGCGCGGAATGGACGTTGTTGGCGAATACTGACGCTGTTGATCACCTTAGAATGACCTGTAATCTCGCCTACAGAGGACAAGGAATCAAAAGAAAAGGCATGGCCGAAGCTTTCTTTGCCTTCACCAACTGCAATCAAACGCTTGCTCTCACTATCCCAAGCAATATCCTTAATCTTGCCAGAAATTGGACGACACTCGTTTTTCAAAATGTGCTCCTCGTTCACAGTATCCCAGATACGGACGTTGCCTTGGGCATCTATAACAAATGACTTGAGTTGAGCACTGTGGGTAGTATGATTGTGTAGATATTGTCCCATTACCTCCAGAAGCCATATAATATCCGCTAGGGCTGTAACGAGCGACAGTAGTTTGAGCTTTGTGTCCAACATACTCAGTGGCGAAAGAAGGGTTCTAATATACGCTGCTCAACATGGATATCACATGCCATGTTGCCTTGGCCAACTTACCTCCAAGTCTCTCATGAAGACAGATTTACCGTTGGTATAAGCAAAGGTTTTGCCCTTGGGGTCAGTCTCAAGCTTGATAGACTCACCACGAGCAGTGTATGGCAGAGGTGCAAATGTGTATTCTAATGTTCAAATATGGTTAGCAGAGCTTACGCGACTCTTGTCAAATCCAAACTTACTCTTTGTATATGACATGATATGGATGTTGGTATGGAAAAGAGAAGAAAAAAGGAAATCCTCAAACAACTTGCATCTATTTATATTCCCCTGAGTTTTAATGATACACATCCTCGCTTTTTACATGAATCCATTGAACCTTTATTTTGTCATTGAGTGTACAAGACTTACCTAATTTAAAAAGCAATAGTTTGCATCAAATTATTGCTTATGAAAATAAATGAGCGTTTATCGCTTAATTTAGCTTTGATGTCGTTTGTAAAGATTGATTTGATCTTGATAGGATGTCTTGAAACAATCCCAATTTAGATTGTAGCATGTTAGCAATTACTGCAAGAGAGAGTGAGGCGGCATATGATACTATCAGATAATAATAATAACCTGCATCTCAAGCAATACTGTAAACTATTCTGCTAAGATATACTGAAATATTACGTTTTGACCATCTAACGTTATGCAAAAGCCTCTATAAACGATATGTAACGGTGGATTTGGCTCTAGTACGATGCTCTACGTCTGCAAAAACGGAAACAGTTCATATCCGGTGCAGACAGCATATTTGCAACACCCTATACTAATCAAAAATGCACAAATCTCTGCGAAATTTGAATACGTTTGACCAGCAATTTCTCGTGATAGATTCTGTTTTAGACTGCCAAAATAGTACCAAATAATTGCTCTCAACCAGCATTTACTTACTAACATCTTTGCTCAACTTTTTTGTGATCATCGAAAATCGACTTCGTACCATGAGGTACCCCTCATGATTTTTGGTCGATTTTTGGCCGTGTTTTTTTTTGGCCCAAAAAGTTGAGCAAAGGTGTCAGGAAGTTACTACTACTCAAGTGCAATTGTTTGGCGTCATTCTGGTGGCTCAGAAATGCCTAAATGTTAAGATATGAAGGCTTGAAAGATGCCAAATTTGGTTATGCTTTTGCTTTATAGCTTTTATTTACACAGCATAAATCGCATCTTTGGTAGCTGATATCTTCTGGAAGAATAGTTCTGCAGCTTGTGCAATTTCTAATTTGAATAGAGGGCATATTGGTTTTGGTAAAGCTAATTCATGCAAATTTTGATGCGTTATGTTTTTGGTAAGCTTATTAATAATGGCAATGAAAAACCGAATTTGCTGCTTGAATACCATGGTTTTGCACTTTCGCTTCGCTACGGTAAATCCCTCATTAAGATTAATATTACCAAATGTTGGGTTAGATGCTTAGTTGCTATGGTTTTTTACCTTCACTTCGTTACGGTAAAACCGCCTCATAAATCAATGCTACCAAATGTTGAATTAAATACGTTATTTTCTTGGTGGATGGGCTTAACACCTCCTCCAAATCCCCTCACCAATGCCGGCCTCGCCGGTAGTTTTACTCACTTTGTACGGTACTCAATTCTTTAAATTTTGAAAGGATATGGTTTGTTTGTCTACTTGTTTTGAATGTTCTACAGTATATATAGTGAAGAGGATGTTAATTTCGAGCAGCACATGTAAGTTTAAAACAAGATCAACGAGAAAAAAAAAAAGTAAGCAAGCTTTATTAAAAATCGAGAAAATCAAGGAACAAGAGCATCTATGTGTTTAAACCTTGTTCATCACCTCGATAGATGCATAAACCTTGATAAGATTGATAAACTTCAACTTTGCTACCTCTTTTTTCTGTAAAAAACGAAAGTCGTTAAAGAATTCCTATAATTTCATATGAGTAAAAAAGCTTTTTCGATTTATATCATTCAACTCACAGTATTCTCCAGCAAGAAAATTGGCGAAGGACGCTCATTAGGGTCGCGATGAAGCAATAATGTCAGCAATTCCTTGTATTGTGAAGAGACATCTTTTGTGATAACAGGTTCTCTTGAAGCTAGCCATTTCCAACCCTGTTGCGAATGAAGGCCTTCGTAATCAAAGGGGCAACCCTCAGATAAAGGATCACCCACTGCCAATTCGTACATCATGATACCAGCAGAGTACATGTCCGATTTGTAGCCATATTTTGCATAGCTGTCAAATTCAGTAGCAGCTACTTCAGGAGCAAGATACTGTAAAGCAACAAAAGGTGTCAGTAAACTAGTTTGAGAATAGATGAGTAGTAAAAATCTACCAAAGGTGTTCCACGAAGATGGTGGCAAACTTCGTCTATTCGCCCACAGAGCCCAAAATCAGTCAACTTGATTTCACCAGTTTCGGTCACGAGGATATTAGCAGGCTTGATATCACCATGGAAACGGCCATTTCCGTGCAAATAGGCCAAACCTTGCAAAAACTATACACAATAAAATGATGAGTTGAACATTCTAGCCATATAAGCTTTGAATACACTGTATGGTTATTACCTCATGCATGATATACCATACAACCTTCTCTTCATATGGAAAAGCATTTTCTTGGCGCAACACTGAACCCAGTTTGCTCAAACTAGCTGTCATACGAGGCATGATGATCTCCAGATTTAGGTCGTCTTGATTCAAAAAGACTTGATGAAGCTTCATCAAGTTGGGATGGTCTAAAGTTAAGCCAAACACCTCTTCTTCTGCGCCCAAATGCAAAGCCATCTTCTTACCAATCACATGGGTTTCTTTGCACTGCACATAATTTGCAAATCTGACCTTCTTCATGACATATTGAATAGGCTTTGGAGCAGAAGCTGGAGGCTCTTCAAGGTACTGGACCACATGAATATCACCATTGACGCCACTACCAATTGCATTGATACATTCAATCTTTGCTGAAGAGGCACCCAAGACAAATTTATTACCAAGGCGAGGCATAAGATCATTGCAGAAGTCGCCAAATGCAGTCTGGTAACTTGCGAACCAGTTATCAGGAAGACGGTCGACTTGATGAATGCTTACATTGGCGTATTCAGCTCCACCCATATCAATTACTTGTGCAGATACATACGGTGTATTTCCTTGCGCTGCTTCTTGGTGCTGCTGTCGTTGCTCTACTAGAGGTTGAGGACGTCGTGGAGCTGGAGGTTGTTGCTGCTGAGACATTGCTTGCTGAGGCTGATATTGTGCTTGCTGTTGTTGTTGACATTGGCGTTGGTATGCTTTCATCTGGTTTTCATAGTGTCTTTTATAATAACCGTTATAGAACTTTTGAAGACGTTTTCTCATTTCTTGTTCTGTTTCTTGACGGTGACGATTGGCAGCAACAGGTTGGTAGTGTTGAGGTCCATGTTCATATTGGTATGGCAGAAAACCCTGTGGATTGATGTATTGTCCTTGCTGCTGTTGGTACTGTTGATGTTGAGGAGGATGTCCACCAATAACACGGAAACCTTCGCCAGTTGGACCAGGGAAAAGCTCTTGTTGAGGTTGTTGCTGTTGAATACAAGGCGTATAGATCAAGGGTGTATGTTGTTGATTTAGTTGCCAAGCAGGAACGCCATGCAAAGGTTGCCAGATATTGCCATTGTTGTTGACCACTTGAGCAGGATTTTGGCCATTAGCAGCAACATAGTGAATATTGGCAGGAGCAACCATCATCTCTTGAGGCTGAGGATGAGCCATGACAGCAGCAGCAGTACTAACAGGGACACCAGCTTGAGGCAAAGGAGAAATCAACTGAGCAATAGCATTGTGGACAGCAGGGACATTTACTTCTTCTTCTTCCTTGATAATCACCTCATTCCAATCTCGAGGCATATCATGAAACCCATTGGAAGGAGTACGATTTTCCTCTTCAGAGCTTGAACCTGAGTCATTAGGAGAAGCATCACACTCCATACCAAATACCCCCAAGATCTTCTTCTTATTGAATTGCAGATTGGCAAAGTTGTGGAAAGGATTCCTTTCATTATGAGCCAGAGGATACGTGTTTCCAGGAGGACAACCTCGTACAGGTTTAACCTGAGGACAGCGATCAATAGAATCAGCATCTTTTGGCACTTTGGCCTGAGTTGGTGCTTTTGCTGCTGGCTGATCTCTCTTCCTCTGATCTGCTGCCTTGCTGACAATTTCTTTAATGGCGGCTGGTGAGTCCTTGATTTCATCCAGGATCAACTTTTCTACTTGATTTATTATCCAGTCAGCATGAGGAAATTGCTCTTGTTGTTGCTTGAGCCATTTCTGGATCGGTAAAGGCAAGGCTGAAGCTGTTTCTTTATTCTTGTGGTAATTGATGCGCAACTCCCAGCTCAAAATACGCAAATCGAGCTTGGACATGAACTCAATGCTTTGATCTGCGGTGGTTTTGATAGGCTCAACAGCGCTGGTGTTCTCTTTGTTGCTGTTGCTGAGGAAAAGAGCCCGCAAAATATCCATGATGAGATTAGGTAAGCACAAAAGGAGAGTTGTATAGAGAAAAAGGAAAGCGATAAGCGATGGTAGAGAAGGGTCGCAGGTGAGAAGAGGTTTTGCAAAATTGGAGATGTGTAAGCATATACTTTATATACATATACTATCCATGTGTTAATTGTCCAGTGCGTCTAAGTCAGTGTCAATGAGCCTTTTTCATTTTGCCATAGATGATCATCCTTATGCAGGGCAGGCAACGGTATCATTGATCTCGCTCATTGACCTCTGAAGGTTTTCTCAGATGCCATTGTGAGTATCAATGCCACAGGAACAAATGCCTCGGTGTTGCGAAATTCCAGTAAATGTATGCAATGTAGCCACACTCTGTACCTGCTCTTCCCTCTTACAGTATTTGTAGAGCATGCTGATGACATGCATTTGGTGGCATATCATTTCCAGATGCCTGGATCATTCACCTCGATGTTGATGTTCATTGTCCATCAAAATACTTATGCAAATATTAGGTCACTCTCAAGACATTTCAATGCTAGCATCGATATATCAAGACTAGATGCCATTCCAATACTGGCTTATAGGTGAGCACGCTTTAGCTGGACTACATATTGTCCAACATTTAAAGCGGCATTGACGCCTAATCTACCTACTAAAACAGGCACACGCGTTGTGACCGCCGCGAAAGGATGGAATAAACAATTCAATTTAACAATCAATCAATTAGGCTTTTATTTCAGTAGAAAGAATCATGTATCTGGAGGAGTTACTTATTGAAGGGTTCAAATCTTATGTATCGAGAACACAAATTACAGGCTGGGATCCCGAGTTCAATGCCATCACTGGTCTCAATGGTACTGGTAAATCCAACATTCTAGATGCCATTTGCTTTGTATTGGGTATCACCAACTTGTCTCAGGTAAAACTAGCGTAGAATGCCATTCAGAATACAATGAACTGACTCTTTGTTTATTATAGGTGAGAGCCAGTAATTTGCAAGACTTGATCTACAAACGTGGTCAAGCAGGAGTAACAAAGGCCTCAGTGACCATTGTATTCAACAATGAAGACAGAGAGCGAAGTCCAGTTGGTTTTGAAGCTTACAAGCAAATCACAGTGACAAGACAGGTAAGCGTGTGCGCACTGATTAATATATCACTTGTATCCTGACACACTGTGCGTGTAGGTCTTGATGGGTGGTAGAACTAAGTACATTGTCAATGGCCATAATGCGCAACAACAAACAGTACAAAACCTCTTTCAATCAGTGCAGCTCAACATCAACAATCCTCATTTCTTGATCATGCAGGGCCGCATCACCAAAGTACTCAACATGAAGCCTACTGAAGTGCTGAGCATGGTAGAGGAAGCTGCAGGCACCAAAATGTTTGAGGACCGCAAAACCAAAGCTATTGCTACCATGGCCAAGAAAGAGCGCAAAGTCGAGGAGATCAACACACTCTTACTAGAAGACATCATTCCCAAACTGGATCATCTGCGTGCAGAGAAGCGAGTGTACCTGGATTTTCAAAAGAACGAGGCTGAAATGGAGCGATTGAATCGATTGGTAATCTCATACGAATACAAGAAGCACGAGGAGAAGCTCAACAAGTCAGGGGCAGACAATGAGGCCAGATTCAACAAGATCAATGAACTCAGGGCCCAGGCGCAAGCTATTGAAGAGGAAATTAAGCGCATAGACTGCCAAAAGAAAGCAGTGTCTGAAAAGATGAAGAAGAACTCGGCCAGTTCTGGAAAAATAAGAGATTTAGAGGCCAAAATCAAGGAATACACTACACAACTCGTCAGACTCAAGACCAAAAAAGACCTGCTCGAGTCCTCCACTACAGACGAACAGCGATCCTTGTCCTTGCTGGCCACTCAAAAGGGAGAGTCAACACGCAATCTGGCGGAAAAGAAGCACGCTTTCGAAAGAATCAATCAAGAATATGCCGCCTTCAAAAAGGGACATGATGAAAAGACAGCCGAGATGAAGAACACGGATGAATTGATCCAGACATTGACCACCGGTGTTTCTGCAGAGGAAGGACATGAAAATGGCTACATGGAGCAATTGCAGCAATCCAAAAACGCAGCCAACCAAGCATCTACCACCGAGGAACAGGCATCACTCAAAATTCGACATTTGCAGAACGAGCTGAGAGAAAAGGAGCCTCAGGCTGTCAAGGCGTTAGCTGAAAGCCAGGGCTCAGTTGTAGCATTAGAGAGAAAGAAGGTGGAAATCACAGAGATCCAGAACCAACTGAACGCATTACACTGGAACCCAGATATTGAGAACGACCTTTTGCGCAGAAAGAACGGAACACGAGATAAACTCAATGAACTGTACGATGAAAGGGAAGCACTGACCAGAAACCTGTCCAGTCTCAACTTTCAATACTCCAATCCCACGCCTGATTTTGATCGATCTCAAGTCAAGGGTCTTGTAGCAGAGCTCATCGCCTTGGACGAAAAGCATTTTGAGGCATCCACAGCGCTGGAGATCTGTGCTGGTGGCAAATTGTACAACGTGGTGGTCGAGAACGAAAAGGTCGGTGCACAGTTGCTGGATGGTGGCAGATTAAAGCGTCGCTGGACCTTGATTCCGCTGAACAAGATTCAGGGGCAAATCATACCCGACCACAAAATAGAAGCAGCTCAAGACATTGCGCCTGGAAAAGTGCATTTGGCATTGAGCCTGGTGGGTTACGAAAAGGAGGTATATCAAGCCATGGAGTGGATTTTTGGCAGCACGTTTATCTGTGATGATGCGCAAACAGCCAAGGATGTGACATTCAACAAGCATGTTCGCGTCAAATCAGTCACCTTAGACGGTGATGTCTATGACCCCTTTGGTACGCTGTCTGGTGGCTCCAAACCTAATTCTGCAGGTATCTTGGTTAAGGTGCAAGAACTGAACCGTGTAAATCAAGAGATTGACCATCACACCGAGATACTCAACTCGTTGGAGGAAGAAATCCGAGCTTCGCAGAGTGCTATCGCTGATTACAAGAAGTGCAAACAACGCCTTGATCTCAAGTCGCATGAGTTTGCCTTGCTGGAACAACGTATGAGTAAAAGCACACATGCTCAGTTGGCTGCGCGAGTAGAGACCTTGAAGGAGCAAATCACTCAGCAGCAAGAGTTGATGCACAAGGCTCAGCAGGACAAGGAACGTGCTATTGAGGAGTGTACCCGCATTGAGACTGAGATGGCTGATTTCAATAACAACAAGGACACCAAGTTGGATGAAATGAATGTGCGAGTAGATAAGCTGAAGCATCAGCTGAAAAAGAGTGGCATCAAACTCAATGACATGCAACGTGCAGTGCAGACGTTCGAGTTGGAGATTGAGCAGATGGAAGCCGATATTGTCAGCTGCGACGAGGAGATGCAGAAAGTGCGTGATGCCATTGAAGAGTACAAGACCTTCATTGCTGACATGACCAAAGAAATGGCAGAGATCAACCGAGCCTTGGAAGACGCCAACATGGCCTTAGAGACTGAAAACAGAATCTTGAATGCACACAATGAAGAATTCAACGACTTGTGTACAATTTATGACCGCAAAGCCGCAGAGCTCGTAGAGCTCAACCTCAAAGTGCAAAAGATTACGCATGAAAACGAACGATTTCAAAAGGAAAAGCAAACTTCTGAACAAACAGTGCGTGATTTGGAAGCCCAAAATGAATGGATTGCAGATGAGAAGCAGTAAGTTATGGTTAGTTGGTGTGTGTGTGTATGCTTGTCTTTTGACGATGCTTGTTGCACTAGATTGTTTGGCCAGCCTGGTTCTGCGTATGATTTCAATAACATCAGCTTAGTGGACGTGCGAAAGCAACTGCAGCAATTGAGCTCAAACCATGAAAAGATGCGCAAACAGATCAATGTGCGTGTGATGAATATGATTGACAAGTAAGCTATACGCAAGTAGTTGGCACAGAAACACATACTGACAGACATCCCCACATAGCGTTGAAAAGAAGGAAGCCTCATTAAAGGAAATGCTGTCGACTGTCCAAAAAGACAAGCAGAAGATTGAAGACACCATTGTGACACTTGAAAACTACAAGATGGAGGCTTTGGAAAAGACATACCATAAAGTCAACAAGGATTTTGCTGAAATCTTTGGTGATTTGCTGGACGGGAACACGTGTAAATTACAAGCACCTGAAGGAAAGCTGATTTCAGATGGATTGGAGGTCAAAGTGTGTTTAGGTGGTGTATGGAAACAAAGTTTAACAGAGCTGAGTGGTGGTCAAAGGTAAGACTTGGTATGATGACGATTGAAGCTTTACTAAACAACTGTATACAGATCTTTGATCGCTTTATCATTGATTCTGTCCCTGCTTCAATTCAAACCAGCGCCCATGTACATTCTAGATGAAGTGGATGCTGCCCTTGATTTATCACATACCCAAAACATTGGTTCATTATTGCGTACAAGATTCAAAGGGTCTCAATTCTTGGTGGTTTCACTGAAGGATGGTATGTTTAATAATGCCAATGTCTTATTCAAAACAAGATTCAAGGACGGCACCTCTGTGGTCGAAAGAACCACACCGTACAGACAGGAAATGAGTCGTAAGCGTGGACGTAATGATAAGGAGAATAGGCCAGTTGTAGCCTCATCCTCCACTGCTGCTACCTCTTGAATAAATATACTGAATTTTTTTTGCCTGACATTGATACTGGTATTCCTGCTCATGCAAATACACAAATTTGGAGAACGCCAGATCATGGTACACAGTGGAGGCTTGCAATAATGGGCATAAGGTTGTTTTACTATCCTACACACACAATCAAGGCGCCCAAACTTTTTTATCATTTGAAATCGCGTATGTGCGTCTCTTTTTTTTTTTTTTTTTTTGATTGACACTTTATCCAGCAAATAAAAAAAAAAAAAAAAAATGAAGAGAAGCAGAGAAAACGAAGCACCTACTAAACCCAACAAGAAACAAACCACCTTGCTATCCATGTTTAAGCCTGTTGCAACTGCGCCTGTCATTAGAGCACCTAAAGTAGTAGATGGCGTCGAGAACAACACAGAGACTTTGGATGATGTACCTGCAACCACCACAAAGAAGGGAGATCCCAAGGATTTGTTCAAAGGGGCTGATCAAGAAACACTGGAATTGCTTGATCTCGAGATCACTACTATGAATTATGAATGGCTCAGAGTACTCGCACCTGAAATGACCAAGCCTTACTTCTTGAAACTAAAAAGATACCTGAAAGCCGAATTGGCAGCCAAAAAGACGATATTCCCACCTTGTAAGTGTGTGTTCAGTCCCACCCGAAACAATCAAATCCACTGACAATGAACTCCATAGTGAATCAAATCTACAGTTGGTCAAATTATACACCTCCCTCAAAAGTCAAGGTTGTCATTCTCGGACAAGATCCTTATCACAACTTCAATCAAGCACACGGTCTCTGTTTCTCTGTAGTCAAAGGCGTCAAAGTGCCACCCTCACTTGTCAACATGTACAAGGCACTTGCCATGGAATACAAAGACTTCAAGACACCTAATCACGGTTATTTGGAAGAATGGGCTAAACAAGGTGTTTTGATGCTGAATACAAGCTTGAGTGTGGAGGCACATAAAGCAGGTAGTCATGCCAACCAAGGCTGGGAGCAGTTCACAGACGCCATCATCAAATATCTCAATGAAAAGAAGGCCAACATTGTGTTCATGCTGTGGGGATCTCATGCTCAAAAGAAGGGCGCTCGTATCAACAAATTGGTAAGAAGTGTTATACAGAAATGGGATTTCAAGAATACGTATACTCACCATATGCGTGTATTGTAGAAACATCACGTTCTTACCAGCGTCCATCCTTCACCTTTATCAGCTCATAGGGGTTTCTTTGAATGCAAACACTTTTCAAAAGCCAATGCGTATCTAAAGGAGCATGGTAACGAGGAAATTAATTGGAACTGTTTAGTATAAAAAAATAAATATGGAATAAATATATAAATATGAGTAAAGAGTAGTAATAATACACAGACAAGCAGACAGAGACAGAGATCAAATATCCATCAAGACATCTTTTCCTCTTGAATCTTGCTTACACATTGGACATCTAAAATTCAATGCTAACCATTCATGCACACACGCTTTGTGAAAATGATGTTTGCACCTGATGTAATTCCCTTTAGTCAAACTGGCCACAGTCATGACGAGCAGTACACACTGAGACTTACCATAGTCTACATAGAATATCTCCATCTTCATATGTCGATAGACAAATCACGCATACTTGATCTTGCACATCTGGTATTTCCAGTATATCATGCTCTGGTTCTATTTCCGACGGTGGATCAATCAAGCCTAAATACAGCCATAATTTATCAAACAAGCCAGGCTTTTGCTTTTGATGTTGTTGCTGACGATGCTCTGATTTGCTGAGATCAATGGTAATTTGGGTATCATTCAAGGTAGTTGCAGTGGCTGTGATAGTGGACAGAGTCGTTGTCAGTGGTGCTGTTGTAGTAGTAGTCATGGAGGGATGGACGAGTTTGATGTGGTTGGATGTCTCTGTGGAGCCTACAGTCGATTTGAATTGGTAAACTGGTATCGATGCTATTTCTTCAGAGGTGGCACCGCCCATATAAACACCATCATCCACATGTAATAATCGCATACCCACCAATACACAGGGCAAACAAAAGATCACAGAGGTGCACAAAAAGATGGGTACAGATAGTATCAGGTAACCATACACAATCAATCCAAGCGACAAGTAATACAGTGGTTGTGCTGTGTCTGAGCAAGTGGACGAGGTGAATAGCATGTAATTGCCAATGATAAACCATAACACTGCAAATAGATCCAGCGCTGATTTTGCTCTATCAATCCATGCCTTCAACAAGTTATCATCCAGCGTGTCTGTCGCCTGTAATGGATGCGGTGCTGTGGACGATGGCTGTGGTGCCTGTTGTGCTGGCGTAAGAAAAGCAGGATAATGGTTTCGATTTGTGGATGTAGGTAATATAGGAGGTGGAAATGATACAGGTCGATTACGTTCGCTCATAGCGTATGCTTCACTTAATTCTGCTCTTGCACTTGATCGAGGTGATATAATGGTGCTGGTCGGCCTGCGACGAGGTGCTAAATGCAGATAGATGGTAATTGGAGCAGTTAAAACAAGACGTACAATGTAGACGGTGACGAACACTCGCAAGGGCTTATCGCAATACATTTCCCAAGAGAACAACAGCACCACCATACTGGCAATGACTTGCATGCCCACCAATGTCATGGAGCATCCCAGCAGCAGCTTGGATTGCCTTGAGCTTCTACGCCAATTCAGTACGAAATGAGTGAACCAATGCGATCTGACCCTTCTGGAGGTAGGTGTTGTACTTCTTGAAAAGTTTACGGCATTCGAAGCGGAATTGGATAGGATTTGTGGTAAAGCGGGTCGTGTGGATGAGGATGAAGAGGAGGCAGATGAAAATGATAGATTGGATGGTTGATGTCGATGATTTAAGCTTGTATTTGAAGGCATTTAATTTTCTACTAGGAGCTGTTAGTTTTCTACCAACACACATGAAGAGCAACTCACAAATACACTATACTTTTTTTTTGTCAATAGTAAAGAGTAATTAAAACATGTAAAATACACACAGTTGGAGGAATGATGAATGATAGTATATATATATATATATATATATATGTATGTATATACATATATATAGACAAGAAGAAAAGAAAAGAAAAAACAGAAAATTGAATACTCTTTTTTGTTGTTGTTGTTGTTCTTTTTTTTTTTTTTTTTTTTTTTTTTTACATATAACAGTATGTATATGATAATGAAAAGGGAAGGAAAGAAAGAGGCCAAAAACAATAAAAAAGGATTTTATTCTATTGGCTCGGCCACGGTTCTTCCAGCCTCTTTCGCTCTTGTAGTATTCTCGCCTCCTTTTGTCTGACTCCTCGCCTCCTAATGCTTCTAGTCCCTCTTGCGTGTACAACATGGCATACGGCTTATCGATTTGTACACAAGTTTATATAAAATGCGAGATCAGATAGAAGTTTATTTGGATTGTTGGTATCTCTTGTAAACAACCAGTTGGTTTCGGTCTTGATCAGTGTAAATTGATTTAGCGTTGATTACCTAATACACACTGAGTTCTTTTTCCTGTCCACAATATCCAGAGTAGCATCCTTTCCACAAACCCGGGGAACCATCTTTCTTACCCACATGTCGTGACAATAAGTATAGCTGTTAGAATAATGATTTGGAATGGGAACAATTAAATTCCTAATTCAACAATTGTTTATTATTGCGATTTAATCAATAAAGTATTTGAGAGGTTCTTCACGAGACCAAATAGCGGTTCCGTCGGTAAGAATGGAGTAAAAATCAATCTCGTTGTCATTGGACTTGTGGCATCTAAAAGTTACGTCCAACATGTTGGTCTTTATACTACACACGCCAACCCACCTACGTGACAATAGCTTACCTGACATGGATGTACTTGTCATCATCAATCTCAATCTTGCCAAAGTAGTTGATACCATAGGCAACTTCTTCAGTAGCATACTCAACAAGCTTGTAGGTATCAATAACCTTCAGATCATCCAACAAATGGAGATCATGAACATTATCATTGTGCTTGAGCTAGGAAACATGAGCAATGTTATAACCTCTTTTTTCCATTCTGTATTTTCAAACTTACCTCATGAAGCTGTTTCACATAAAAATCAAGGCAAAAGATGGATCAATACTCAGGCACGTCCCATCACTCGCTCAGTCATTCTAAACTTACTTTATCAACTACAGCTTGCTTGACTTCATGAAAGACCTTACATGTAGGGCCGTGTTAATATTCTCTATATTCTATCTTGGTTTCCGTTTTTCCTTGAAAAAACTTACAGCTTTGGCTTCATCATCAGCAGGACGAACAGGTCCCATATTGTTATGTTGAACGTCAGACATGTTGTATGATTATTGGGTATTAAAGAGATGTATGCGTGTGAGAAAAGAAAAAGAAAGATGAAATGAAACCGAAAAAAAAATCGCCTTTATATATATGCTGCACACAAAGGTGATGGAACAGAAGGATCATGATGATTTGGCTGGATTCTGGTTACTCGAATGGAAGCTGTTGTGCAACCATTGCTCGGGCAAAGCTCTAATTTGGTCGTCTTGTGGATCGGCGTAATACTATCCTTCTTACTATAACATCGCCATCTTTCCTGCCACTGCCTATGCTTTACTAAAAGGCGTTAATGCGATTTGCGTAAAATAGCCATGATCCTCGCACAAACACAGTTGGTGTCCTTTTTTCACCAGCTGGTGTAGCTTTTGCGTCAAAAATTACAGGCAGAATGGTATCAAGTGATCACTGTTCCTAAACATTTGCAAAGCTATTTGCACAGAGTACATCTGCTCTTCAAACTTTAAAGTGTAGGTTTATAGCAGTAAAGCTTTAAACGATTCGTTCACTTTGTTTGTTTTTGAGGTAATAATCACCACATCTCTTGTTCCTAGACTGGGTTGAATGCGCCAAACCTTTCTTGAATCTTAATAACAATATCCCATCAAACATGAAAGCTGTATTTTTGTGCTGAATTGTATCCTAAATATACTTGTTGCTTTGCGACTAAAGATTTGAGTACTATTTAAACCTAATGCAATCCTATCTCCATTGGCAAAAACCAAGTTCTGAACCACATCCTTTCGAACTTGATTCTGGCTGACTATGCGGAAATGCTGATCCATGCGAACTGATGTTGCAGCTTCAAGTAATACCTCAGACGATAAGTAATTCTTGAGTCTACACGCTGAATAATGTAAAGGCAGATTGGTACAGATGTAGTACATGTTTTCCTTTTATAACCCTCAAAACATCTGAAAAATAGGTTTCTCTGAATATATCGAGTGAGATAGCTATCAAGAGTAATATTATTTGATACGCATTTTACTTCTGTACAACTTACTATGAACAGAAAACAATGGTTGCTATTGAAAATGATATGTTGTATTCACACATGTAACTGTACCTGAATCACAAATATTGTCGTTTGAATACAATAATAAGCTATGCACATATGGAGCATACGTAAATAGATTTTATCAACATGTAAATGATTACCATGATGTTTACTTAAACTAAGCTTCAGTGATCTATTCTTCATATGTCAAACGATAGGAAATAAGAAGCATATGTAATTATTGTTCCCAAGAGAAACTGAAGATATTTAGATTGATCATCTATATTCAAAATAACAACAATTATCATTTAGCACAAGTGCAGATTGATACTATAATTTAACATGAGAACATCATTCTAGATGACCATGTAAGCAATTCGTAAACTATATATATATATATATAAATAAAAATAGAAATTCATCCTTCATCCTTGATTTTTCTCGACTGATTTTGACTGAAATAAACCTATATGCATTCTCACCACGTATTTTCATCAGAATTATCTCTCACATAACCATTTACAACATAATATGTTGAGGCGATTTTTGGTTTTCAAGTTGAGGTCATTCCAAATTGAATTTTAAAACATTGATGCCAGAGCTTTTACAATAATAGTGTATTCCTGTGGCCAGTCCCTCGCGGACAAACAAAGGTGGCATAATAATTAGATTCTAGATTGGATGAATCGGTGGTGAGAATTAGAGCTTTTTCAAGTAGATAAAACGAATTTTGTGTAACGAGCTTCAATCATACAAGGCTTTGTTAATTACAAGTGACCATGAGTAATAGACAATGGATCAGATGTTCGAAAACGTTGTTGCATTGAAAATCACTTCGTGATGCCTTAAGCTTGCTTCGTTGTGGTGCAGCAAAGATTTAAAGTTGTGCTGCACAATCACAAAAAAGGAATATCATTTCTAATCGCTACATTGATGCTAGAGCCTTCATATCAGCACATCATAGCGCATAATAAATGCAAGATCAAATGATTGCACCTTATAATACTCTTGATCAAAGAAGGATTTAAATTGTTTCCATTTGATTACGCTTTTATTTTTACAAAAGACAAAATAATGTTAAACGGCAGATCAACAGAAAATCAACTAGTTGTAGACCTTTTCTTTTCCAACCCCGAGCCAATCAAATCGCTTGAAAACTCCGTTGACCTAAAAAAAATTTTGCGAGGGTTTCCCCCTGTTTTGATGTGAGGCAAAATTTTAAGCTCCGCTATATATAGCAATATAGCTGTTACTATCATCAAATTTCCCTCAGGTGCTAGAGCATGCCTTACTTACACCACCTAGCTTTAGATTCTGGCGTTGAGACTCTCAATCATCACTAAAGTAAGTAGTGATAACCAAGTGAAGGCGGCCTATCTACCTCCTAGCCTCGGATAAAGTCTTGTTGAGCTTCAATGATAGGCATATCCACACAACGTAAAAAAAGGTATGCTTCAAAAGAAACATAAAAATAATAATGAAAGAAGAAAAGAACATAATACTATAAGTGTATAGTAGTATGTAGGCAAAAAAGAGACACTCACACGAAGCGAGTCAAAGAAAAGCATAACAAACACAACATCAAAGATGCTTAAAAAAGCTCGTTGCTGTTGCAAGAAAAATGCATGCATGAGCAACGTGCATGGTAGTAATAGTCGGATGTAAAGCAACATGACACACATACGCACAACTGCAAAAGCAACAGTGGTATTATAAGTTTGCGCTACAACATAATGACTAATGCTGTTTCATGTAAAGCTACAGAGGAAACACTACCAACAAAAGAAAAAGAAGAAGAAAAAAGCGCAACAAGGCAAACATCATGAATGCATTATCACGAGAAAGGAAGCAATAATATAAGCGTTCAAAGAAGTTTTATATCATTGCTACCAGAAGAAATAAGATACTTACGACTTACCACAGCCACAGATAGACCAGAGGATACACAATCACCAGAGGTAGACCAGACAATGAGCATGCACCAAACACAGTAGATCAGGGAAGACCATATTAGCAGCAGCAGCAGCAGTAACACCAGCACCGTAAAAAAAACCGAGGAACGAGCGACACCACAGAACGAGCATGCACCAGAGACAGTAGACCAGAAAAGACTGTATTAGCAGCAGCAGCAACACCAAAAGCAACACCACCAGTAAGACCATCAGCAAGATCAGAAGCAACACCAGCAGCAACACCAGCAGCAATACTAGCAGTAACAACAACAGCGTAGAAAAACCGAAGAACGAGTGGCACCAGAGACCAGACAGATTAACGAAACAACTACCCGAGATAGGGACCAAGAAGCCGCTACCAGACATAATAAACCAAAGAAGCAGACAGCAGATATAGCAGAGAAGTGATGGCAGCAGCACCCACGTCAAACAGGCAAAAAAAAACTATCGAAACCTAATAAACAAATTCGATTAGTGCTTGTTCTACATCTTTCTGTGCTCGTTATCGAATGGTACTTACTGTATTCCACTTCAAAGAAGCAGTATCAAGTACTTTTGACTGTGCAAGGCCGTGTTATCAGAAGCTAGAGTGTTATTTTCAATCAAAAGGGTCCCAAAACCAGTATGGTTTGATACTAAACGTGTTTTGCAAAAAGGATGATAAAAAACGATGGTATGGAAAAATGAGAGGGCGCCTATCCGACGTCACGACCAGTAAACTTGGTTTCAGTTCTCTGCCGTAGCAGCCGTGATTGCGGCAATTTAATTTGAAATTGTGCAGTGGTATTTTCGTGTTCAAACTTGACTTGATCTCACATCCTTTAAATGTTTTTGCTAGATTTGACTATGAAAGTTGTCGTCGAGACACCTTACTTTCTAATGCATTTTTAGAGAACTAAAAGAGCGGCATCGCATAGTGTTGATTGCATCCAGCTTTTAGGCCGAAAATAATGAGCAATTTGTAAAAATATGAAAACAGGTTTTCTGTGAATATGTCAAGATCTAGCATATGTAAGCCTCATAGAAAGAGCTTCTAATGTTGCATTTCATCTTTACGATTAATTTGACCTAATATGTATCATAGGAAAAGTCTTCACTTTTGGGGTGAAAAACGCGATCGTTTGATTTTCAGGAATTTTCCTTTACAAATACTCATGAAAAAATGAGGATTTTCATGAATTTGCAATGACCTAAAAAAAATCGAGATAAAGCATCAGTAAGTAAAGCATAGCCAAGAAGAGACGTTTGGCCTTATTCCTGGCGTCCACAAAGCTTTGTAGCATCAGTTATTCGTGCTTCAAAATGGCTAAGTATGGACAGAATTTGGCCTAAAATTAAGGCGTAGTATGCTATGCTGCCAAACAAGTAAGTAAAATACATTTCTGTCTAATGTCCTTGATGTCCTGTATTGTACGGAACTCAATTTTTAAGTTATGAACGCTTTTATTCTAATTCTGACGATCAGATCTTTTTGAGATGTTCGAATAATAATACAGTGATTTTAAAACGTGGGCGTCAGTGATAATATGCAAGTTTGAATCTAACGACTTGCTCGGATTGAACAAGACGCTTGTCAGGTCAGTAGGACACTTTAATGGTCTTACACAACAGAGATATTATGTTTAGTCATAAAACTAAGCTTAAAACCTATTCACAATAACGCTGGACAATTATAATCAGGAGAAAAATGGCTGATACGAGGCAGGCCAAGTCGGTGTCAGCATGATTAAAAGAATTAAGCAACAAAACCCTGTATCAAAGTTGAGCGAACAGAGATTTATGATACCTACATATTCTGCGATACAATAATAGCCATCAACAGATTATAGTAAAATCGGGTTTAAATAGTTTCACGGAGCAACACTGCCGAAAAGGTCATCCCCCTCCAAATTGTCAAAAAACGATCAGTCAAGGTCAATTTTTCTATAATGGCACAAATAAAATGATTTTGTGCATTCTTACTAGCCAGCACCACGCCCTTTATTTATCTTATAGAGTACCATATGGATGCTTCTGTTGTTGTGCTATTATTATTAAAGGAAAACATGTTGGTTTGCAACTGTGAACTCTAATATAAGTGTTAAACCCCGATTTTTGAAAGGGAGAATCGCAGTAGGTGCCCCAACGAGGTCATATTCGGTGGCGCAAACACAAGGGAGCACAATCTAGTTAAAAGAGAAGAATTGTGGTTGAATTGGCGGTTGTACATATAATAATGCATGTCAAAAGGCTAGTTTTCTTTATATTAGTTTCTATATAACAATACTCTCCTCGCGTAATTATTTGACGCCAATGTGGCGACTGAAAATCACTGTATATGTCTCCGGGCCCCTCAACGTAAACATAGAATGGCCCTCCTGATATAATGGTAAAGAATTGAAGTGCACATCAAATGGAACCATACATGTCAGTGATACTACAGCCTGTACATACATACGCCTGTTTTACGGATATTTTGAGGGATTATAAAGGAAAGTAAGTACTAAATAAGCAGCCTTTATAAAATTATCTGTAGCAGTATATACTACAGTATGTAGATCCACGAATTAACAACTATCGTTTAAAGTCTTACCTAAAGCTACAGCATCAATTCTGACGTGGCTACGCTGCCGAAAGGTCAGCCTAGTAAAATTGTGGTTAATGAGACGTAAGAATGCGTTATGTGCTGTTATTGCTGTTTTTTTCCATTTTTTATTATTCATTATTCAATAACAATATCGAAACCCTCAACTCACATTTTATCGCTCAAGATCTCCAAGAGACGGCTACCTAAAAACAAATTGAGGAAAGTAATACGTGCTTCAAATTGATATTTTGACTTGTTAAGAGGATGCCCCCTACTGAGATAGCTCACCCAGTCGCGGTATTTTGATATGCCCAAAAGCAAGAGCAATACCCAACATTGATGTCTTCTCCACACAAAATCTCGAGGGAAGACGAAAATGCAAGCTAGCAACTGGAGATTGTGAAATGCATCATCAAGTATGCTAGACTAACATCATCTGAGGATACTTGGACAAGAACAGGCGTGTATATAAACTACGTCTGTGTTCATACCCTATTTCGTCTCTTCTATTGTCAAATAAAATCCAATACTTTGCGTAGAGAAGGTAAGCAGATTCATAAGAACAAAGGCTAGCGCTAACAATAATGTAAGGAAATAACTGCTGCCTTAATGAACTTGTGGATACGACAGTTGTCATTTTTGTAGCATCTGAGCTTATCTACGTTACTTAGAACTCTGGCCTACTGGGTTGAACAATTGAACTACACGCGATCGAGAATGTTATATTGGGAACTCCTTACAAACTGCATTGACAACTTGATACAACTTGATAAAAGCCATCTGTCTGCAAGGCTAATACAAGTTTCCGTGTTAATTAATCTACCATGTATTAGAACAAGCTGTTAGTTTAGGCAGCAGCTATGTTCCAAAGCAACTTTACATTTCCATCATGTTCTCATTAGCTAAATCGTAGATGACTATAATAAAAAAAAAAAGAATGATACATACAAAAAAAAAAAAAAAAAAAAGACATCTGAAGCTGGTTATGGTAGTTCATGAAGAAACCTGAAAGATCTGGCTGGTACCTGTTATAGTAAATCGCGTTGATTCCCGCAATAAAAATTGATTGTTCATAGATTCCTCCCTCTCTTCCTTTCTTCCCTCATTCTCTTCATCACCGCGCCATCCACCTTCTTCTTCAATATTTATACGACGACAATGTTGAATGCATCTTTATTATCTGAAGAGATTTTGATCTTGATTATATCTCACGTCGGTTCGCTCTCTCAACTGCAAGAATGCAGACTGGTATGCAAAGCGTGGTGTAATCCTGGTTTGATAAATATGCTGGGTCAGGAAATTACCTTGCGATCAGAATTAGGCATCTTTAGGCTGTATGATCTGTTGGTGAGGGAGCCATCAAGAGGCCACTTGGTCAAGCATCTTGTATTTAATACTGGAGACAGCTGTTCTTTTGTTCTCAAGGAGTTGCTTTCCTTGATCCTGACGCCCACTATCGAAACCATCAAAGGAGATGTCAGTAATGAAGACTTTTACATCGAATTCAACAAGGTTATGGAGCGATGGCCCAACAAATTTGAAAAGTTACGCCAGATGACAAGCTGCTACGAGGTTACGTTCCCATATTTTGACTCACTCTTGCATTTTAAAGACACTCTGCAAACAATGGTATTCAACATTGGCGAATACTCTGAAGAAACCGCTTATATCTGTGCCAAGAATCTTACGCAATTCCTACATTTAAGGTCGTTCAAAATGGAAGGATGGTACCAACGATTGTGGGATATGGAAGAAGTTCTGAAATACTGCCCTTACATTGAAGAATTATCGCTCAACGTTCATGTCGAAAGTAGCAACGTCCTTGAACCACCTGCTGTAAAAGACTGGACCGAGTCAGCTGTTGAACAACAGTACAATTTGAAGAGACTCTCCATTCAAACCAATTGCCCTGCTGACTACATGCAGTACCTCTTTTACAAGTACCCCAACATTGACAGTATCAAAATCGACATTGAATTGGATGATGAGTTTATCGACATCAACATGTATCGCATCGCACATTTGATCAGAGATATCCCCAACAAGCAAATTGTGTTCACTGTTGGAACCGGTCTCGACTTTAGAGAGATTGTACAGAGCTTACAAGCGTACCGTTATAATGTCATGGTTGAGTCAGCGCATGTGAATGGAGACTTTCGACTCGTCTTGTCTCCAATGATGTGAAGTACTATCGTTCGGACCATTCAACGTTTGCTTTTTTATAATCGTTATTTGTCATACACCACATATTCAATCACCCTTTAAAAAAAAAGCTTGCCTATATTGCAGATAAAATCATCAGAAAGGGTTTAAAGTCATAGTAGCAATTATCAATTACATGGCCAAATGAGCCTGCATTAGATATCTGTATAGTACATTGAACTGACACTAGCAGTAACAATCAATATGACAGCAGGGACAGTGCCAACTGAAATTCGAGTATTGACAGATTTCATGCTTCAACATGATGCTACACAAAAGCAGAGCCTTGTCGAATAGGAGAAGATGATTCCAAACGCTCCGAATTTCTGTGTGTGATGGTACACACAGCCAATTCTAAAGAAGCAAGACACATGCAAATAACCTTTAATTGGATCCACTGCATTCTCTATTTCTTACAGTCGTTTACCAACCAAACGTCATTTTAACCATTTTGTAATGTAATAAGAATTAAAGGAGAAGAGCAGTTTCACCTCTCTTTTCCCTCCTTTCCTCTGTGGTTTTCAGGCCCTCTTTTTCTCTTTTTCTTTCTTCGACTTTGGTAAAAAAAAAAAAAATCACTTGAATAACAAAGCATGACATTATTCTTACAAGAAACCGCAACAGCAGCAGATTTATTCCATCCTCTCAGCGGCAATCCTACCAGCAAAAAGAAGAGAAACAGCAGGTCGCTCGATTTGATACCCATTCATCCAACAGCTACACCCACAGGCCCTCTTGCAAGATCCACATCCGCTGTAGAGATTAAGATTTTGACTCAAAACATTGGTAATCAGAGCATGCCAATCCAGAGTACCGATGGAGAAGCATCACTTTCTGCCGTGTTGCCTAATAATTCAAATAGCACAAGTCCAACATTGCCAGCAGCGTCCAACATGAGCCCAACAAGTGGGAGCTTACTATTCAATTTTGGACTTTCGACAAAATCATGTTCTCCAAATTCAAGGAAACAAAGTGTTTGTTCTTCTATCATACAGAAGGTTAGTTGGAGTTCAAATGAACAAGATGTTGCTGTCTTGTGTGCTCCTTAAATTTACTCCCCATACCGCCGCATTATAGGAGCCTTCAACTGAATTTAGCAATAATGGCAGTAGATCAAGAAGAGGATCACACTTTTCGGCATTTTCAAGTTTTACAAGAACGAGCAAATCTTCCGCAAGTGGTACCAATCCACTGAAAAATCTAGTTTCACGATCTACAGGCAGTTCCTCGCCTTCTGCTGACAGTAGCTGGACCAGAAGGTATTCTGTTGGTGCACCATTGAATAATCCAGGTGAGCATTCAGTAGGGCACTGCACTGGTCATGTGGAATTGAATTGACCATTGCCGCCATGTAGATGCCGCTATAGCAATGCACCCATTGAACCAAGTTGGTTGTGACAACCCTGTGCCAGCAAAGCCCATCTTGCCCATGGGCCTACAACAAGAGATCAACCGATTCGCCATTGATGGATTTGCGAAAAAGTACTTTTCAACACACAAACGAGGACTGTTCAGACGAAAAGTGCCCATGACAGAGATGCTGAAATGGACCAAAGAATCCATCAAACAACCATTGATCATGATGAACAAGGAGCTGTACAAGGATGCCTACAAGTGCTTCAAAATGATCCAGATGGTCATGGGCGATCGACCCCGGCCTCGTTATACCAACGATATCGAAGATATACAAGCTATACTGACATGCGGTATTACAAAGGGCCAGATGAGAGACGAAATCTACGTGCAAGTGTGTAAGCAGCTCCACGATAATCCTAGTGGTGAAAGTATCCGCAAGGGATGGGAAATCTTGTGTATCATTAGTGTCACTTTCCCTCCCTCTAAGAACTTGGAAGCCTATCTTACGGATTTCGTGCAACAGAATCATCATGTTCAGGAAAACCATGTTGATATCATGAGCCAGCATGTATCTGCTAAACTGAAAAGAGTGTGTGTGCGTGGTGCAAAAGGAAAGGTGTTGACCAGTGCAGAGATCAACCGTGCCAAGGTAATCCATGGTATATAACATGTATGGGCTTGTTCAGAGGACTGATTAGACGCACAGGAAGCGCCGTTCAAGCCCTCAGTCTTTGGTGAATCGCTTAGTTTCATCATGAAATTACAGCAGGGCATTGATCCTACATTGCAAATACCTCAAATTGTGCCTTTCTTGGCGAATGCTGTTCGTCAAACCAATGGCCAGCAATCAGAAGGCATCTTCCGAGTGCCAGGCGATGCGGATGCTGTTACTGATCTGGTAGTGTATTTGCTCTTTCAAGTGTGAGACACTGATTTACTCATTCTCTCGACCCTTAGCGTGTGCGTATTGAAAATGGCAACTACGATGCATCCGGCATCACAGATCCCAATGTCCCAGCTTCACTGCTTAAATATTGGCTGCGAGATTTAGCAGAACCCATCATCACATCGGAAGACTACGACGACTGCATAAAATACGCAGAAACACCTGAAAAAGCCATTGAAATCATCAACAGATTGCCCGACATAAATCGACGTATTGCCCTGTTTACTATCAGTTTCTTGCAAGAATTCACAGACCCTGCGCTGATCAAACACACGCTAATGAATGTCAATAATCTGGCCATGGTATTTGCTCCCAATTTCCTGCGCTGCCCATCCGAGAGCTTGACAACCGTGTTTGAGAATTCGAAATACGAACAAGCCTTCTTGAGAACCTTGATCAATGAAATGACCATTGATGCAGAAGCCTGTGCCTACAATCAAGATGGTTCAAAGGCTATTGGTCTTCATTCTAATGAAGCATAATCTAAACATTAATATACCTCCCTTTATTATTTTCTTTTCGTTTAATCATCAATATATGTCCTTTTTAAACACATTATAACGTGGTCCCTAAGAGTGTATAGGTTGTGTGATACAAATGCTATCAGTTTCCAGAAAACAATCCTCTATCTTATCAATAGAGACAGATTCTTTATCTTGCGTCTTCTGCCACAAGTATATATATATATATATATATATATACATGTAAAGTCAATGTTGAGCTCATTTCTCCTCTTTCTGTAGAATGATTCTCAAGTCATCATTATCCAAATTTACACCGCAAACTGTCATCAGTGCCTCTATTGCAGCATTGACTGGCTTGAATGTGGGATGGCACATTAGTACGTTATTTTAGTTTCATCTATTTATGCAAAAATTAGACTAACATTGCCTCCTTTTTGTATATCCAAACAGGTGTGCCTAATATGCCTCAAAATGTAATTACGAAATGCAGCGTTGGAAAATGGAGTCCCAATCAACTACCGGCCTGTTTGCCAATGTCTGATTCAGTCTGGTAAGTGAGAATGCGATTCACATGGCATAGCAGTAACAAACATCCTCACAGGGGCACTACTATTGGTGCTTATGCGCTGGGCGGCTTGGTTGGCAGTCTATCAAGCAGATATCTCAATGATCGCTTTGAGAGAAAGACAAACATGATAATTGCTGGATTCTGGATGATGTTGGGCGGTATGCTTTCTGCCTTATCCATCAATACGCCCATGGTAATTATCAGCCACGCTACTGATTCATATTTCAGCACGCTAAACTCTATGCATTTTGTGAAAACATGGCATCATCTACAAGTATGCTCTAGGTCGAGTATGTGTGGGCATCTCTGCTGGTGCTAGTGGCTCCAGTGTGGGTATCTATGTATCGGAAATTGCAACCACGGAGACACGTGGTGCTCTTGGATGTCTTTATGAATTGTTCTTGAACTTGGGTATTCTATTGACACAGGTAGTAGGTCTGTATATGAGCTTTGTGCCTGTTTGGAGGCTTCTATGGGCCATACCCAGCTTATTGACAGCTCTTCAAATGGTAAGCTTATATTTGTTTTGTGTGGAGTCGCCTCGCTATTTGATTTCTGTTGGAAAAGCAGAGCAAGCAAAGGCAGCATTGTACAAGCTGCGAGGCAAAGCGTGCGAGGTTGAATGGGCTGAACTCGAGTCATCTTTCTTGGCACATTCAGAGAATAGGACAATCTTATCCATCAAAGAGCTGCTGCTCAAAGATAAGCGAATCAGAAACATGGCACTGGTCGTGTGCATAATACAAATGTACAATCAAATTGGCGGTGTGGGCCCAATGTCCATTTACAGTGTGGGATTCTTGACCAAGGTGTTCCAAGGAAACGCAATGACAGCGACTACAGTGACCTTGGCCAGTTCTGCTGGAGCTGTGGTTGCTACCTTCATATCTGCCGTCTACATGCATCGAGTGGGAAGAAAAGGCTTCATGCTGATATCCACTATGGGTATGACAATAGGCTCAGTGTTTCTCGTCATTGGGTCCGTATCACCCAATGCAATGGATTTAGCACCCTTGTCCATTACGGCATGTAAGTAGCGTCGGTACAATTGCGGAATAATAACCGGCCATCTCACATGTGTCATTGGAAATAGCCGTGCTCTTCGTTTTCACCTACAGTATGGGATGTGGTGTCGTGCCTTGGATGATTGCTCCTGAATTATTGCCTCTAGCTGCTCTGCCTTCGGGCTCTGCACTTGCTAATGCCTGCAACTGGCTGATCAATTTCATTGTGAATACAGTCTGGCCACCAATGAATGCAAGCCTTGGAAAGTATAGCTTTGTGGTGTTTGCCGTGATCAATTTCCTGGGTGTGGTCTTTGTATGGTTCTGTATGCCAGAAACAACAGGAAAAGATTTGGATACGTTGGCTGATGTAGAGCAACCGGATATCAAAGAAGATGGTGATATGCCATACTGCTAAATAAACTAAATGTGTACCTGAATTTTTGATGAGAGCGGATCAAACTATTTGAAACTCACAGGGCAAAATTACAGAGCTTAAAAATTACAAGCTATTCATTTCACTCTCTGTAAAAATATACCACAATCATACAATGGACAGTGATATATATATATATATATATATTGTGTTACACCACTACCCACCTTTGATCGATTAAACTACAAGTTCGAGGATTTTACTTTTGCTAAATGGAGCAATTTTAAAGTTATGCGATTTGATTTGCTCAACTTAGGCACACCTTGCCCAAAAAGCTTTAATTTTCACATTCTTATTTTTTCATTTTCCTTCTTTACTATAAACAAAATGGACAGACTTCTTTTGAGCGAAAATCTAACACCCACCACACCGCCCTCGTTGGCAGCATCTACGCTGCTGTCTGATTCACTGTTCCCTCCTCGAAAGCCATCGTTGATGGACCCAAATGAAGAGGAAGAGACATCTGAACTCATGGACAGTGAATCAAAAACGGATCCATTAGCGACACAAGTATGGAGACTCTATACAAAAGCCAAAAACACACTGCCCAATGGCTCTCGGTTAGAAAACTTGACCTGGAGAATGATGGCCATGACACTGAATAAGAAGAGAGCAGCAGAAGAGCGGCAACGGCAACAGCAACAGGAAGAGGACGACAACGAAGACGATGAGAAAAGCACCCCAATGCCAACCATGACTAAATCATCCTCTTCCTCACCCCCTGCGCCAGATGATACAGTTGGCCTCCTATCGTCATCTGCTCCGCCTTATACAATGGACTTTGCAATCGAAACATACTATCATCTGCAACAGCAGCAACAGCAGCAGGCATCTCAGCAGCCATCACATCAGAATCCGTGGCATGGCAATGTGTTGGTGCATGGATCTTCTCGTGTATCATCTCCATTGTATGAAAAGGTGAGATGCATAAACATAATACACATAGAATGCTATTAATCATTGTACATGCAAATAGTCGGCTGCTTACGAATCACCTTATTTACCTCATATCACAAACAATAGTATAACGATACCAATGGATGAAGACAAGGATGAGGACATGGACCTGAATCCACCCGTAATGAACGCAGGCGCATTAAGTTTCGAAGACATGCTGACAATGTATTATCAAGACAAAACCATAAACAATGTCAACAATATAACGCCATCATCGCCCACACCATCTCCACTGCAGCCAACAACAACAACAACAACAACACAAAATCACTATGGTAACTAATTATTATATATTTAACTTGTACTCTATAATTTATACTCACGTAATTTTTTTCCCAGCAGCTTTAAGCTCATCGGGAGATTCCGCCGTTGGTCACACTGCAATTGCTTCTGTGTCTACTGCTGCTGCTTCTGTTTCTGCTGCTACTACCATTACCACACAACAAACAACCATCTTGACGCCTGTCTCCACTCCTTCTCCGCCTTCTATCAGACAACAACAACAGCAAACATCCGCCAAATCAGCCACCACAACCACGCAATGCACCAACTGCAACACCACAACCACACCCTTATGGCGAAGAAATCCAGAAGGCAAACCGCTTTGCAATGCGTGTGGTTTGTTCCTGAAATTGCATGGCGTTGTTAGACCATTGAGTTTGAAAACAGATGTGATCAAGAAACGAAATCGAAACAATGGCAACAATAGCGCATCTAGCTCGACAGCATTGGCCAACAGCAACAGTATAGATTATAAAGTTAATAAAAATAGTAATAATATGGGTAGAGGGGCTGGTTCAGAGGCATTGATGGCATCGAGCGGCGGTGGCTCTGGAGGAAGACCCATCATGTTTACATCTTGGAGTGCAAATGGAACGAGTGGACGAGGAGCTGGAGGAGGAGGAGGAGGAGGAGGAGGAGGAGGAGGAGGAGGAGCCATCACTAGCGGATCTCACGCTTTGAATAAACGACAAAGAAGACATTCATTGACAGAGGAAAGCAAGAGATCAGTAGTGGAAAGCGTAAAAAACAGCACCAAACCTGAACAGCTCGGTCAAATCAAGATTAAACCCGAGGCAGCCATGGTGATTTCAACAGAGTCCTTGCCTGATCATCATCAGCCATCTTCGCCAGTCAGTCTTGATGGCAGTAGCAGTAGCAGTGGTGGCGGTGGAGGGCTTCGACAGGTATTACTATCTAAACAGCAGCAACAAGCACAGCATCAAAGACATGGATCGTTTAGTGGGTTCAGTAGCACATTCTCTACATCTACCAGTGCAGCGCCAAAAGGGATTCGAACCATACTACCAAATAACAGCGTTGCTCCTCGATCAGCATCAGTTCAATACGGAGCTTCAGCTCCCAGTGTCAATTGGATGGGATTGATGGCCAAACAGCAACAACACCAAGAACAACAGCAACAACAATTGATGCTTCAGCAGCAACAGCAGCAGCAACAGTTGTTTGTAAATATACAGCCTACTACTACTATCAACAAGACCAATGTGCCCGCGACAACAACCTCGAATGCCACTGCTAATAGCATGGCTGCACAAACATTTCCATTACTCACCACCGATCAACTACAACACTTGATCATGCTTCAGCAAGCGGCGGCGGCAGCAGCAGCAGTGGCTGTGGGTAGCAATACTCAAAATGAGGATAACGAAGCCTCTTGCGCGATGGATCAAGATCAAGAGTAACATGTTCAACTCTGTCTGTAAATACCCCCCCTCCCCATTCCTTATCCATATGCACATTATACCATTTTATTAATAAACACGTTTCTTCATCAAAGTAATATCGAAAGCATGTCAGCTTCAAGTCGCCATGACATGTTTGTGCCTCTTTATTAAATTTCTAGGTGAAAAAGGAGAATGGATGCACTGATTGGCAGGAACAAAGGGAGCTTATCATCCAACATGATCAAGGAGGCTTATCAAATTACATGTACATTTTTTCCTCGAGCACGTTAACATTTAATTTGTTGGGAACATGAAAGCGTCATAAAGCATGGCTTCTCGCACCAAACTGCAATGAATGTTTTAAACCAATCCTAGGCCAAGGGCTATTTTTAAAAGCGAGAGATCTAAAATAGTGATGCTGTATTCCGAGGATGTTGATTTAAAAATATCATTCATCATTTACCCTGTTCCGCGGTGAAAAACTGCATATATAAACAAAGTAAGTTGCTTTACATGTATTCCTTTATTACATTACATTTTCCATTCAATTCATCAATGCCTGCTTCCACTACTACGGCCACAGCTACCACTACTACGACTACAGAATATGTGTTCTTCGAAGACTCTCTGTTTGAAGACAAATACCTCTCTCCTGAGGTGCAGTCCAATCTACATGAAGGCTACAAATTATACCCTCTCAGAGCCAATGATTTCGAAAGAGGCTATCTTGACGTTTTGTCTGTTCTGACCGAAGTAGGTGCTCATACTGCAGAAACTTGGAACAGCCAGTATCAATTCATGAAGAAGCACAATGATACTTGTAAGTGTTTTGTTCCATCTAACCAATGTCAATATGCTAAACATGTCGTTGTACTACTATTAGATTTCACAATTACTATCACGGATGAAAAGACCAACCGCATTGCAGCTACTGGTACTATCTTGATTGAGCATAAATTTGTGCACAAGAATGGTCTTGTAGGCCACATTGAAGACATTGCTGTCGACTCGTCTCATCAAGGCAAAAAGTTGGGTTTGCGAGTCATTGAAGCACTCAAATACATTGGTGAAAAGACAGGCTGTTACAAAGGTAAGCTCATAAAAACCCCTCTCTGCATTTTCATCAAGCAAACAGCTCATCTGTATCTGTCATCTCGTCTAGTCATTCTGGATTGCGCTGCCAAAAACATTCCCTTTTACGAGAAATGTGGTTTTACCCCAAAAGAGAGTCAAATGGCTTGGTATATCCCATCCTCTGCTCCTGCTCAACAAGAGAAATCTCATTTATAAATCATATACACTTTACTACATGATGATACCCCCCCCCCCTCCCATAATAAAATTTTAATTAATCAAACAGCATGGAAAACAACTTGATGCCTGATTATTTTACGAGCGTGTTATTTTATTGAACGTGCCGTACCGTACCTCTTTTTGAAAACAAATGGGAGTAACAGAGGGGACGCTATTGGAAGATGTGCCATGATATCAACAGTATGAACATTGACTTTGCTACATATATACCTTTTACTTGTTATACGGCAAGCATATACCCCAACCAGCCCTGCTTTGTCCATTCCAGCTGTAAACGCACAATCGCGATTTGATTCATGGAAGTGCAGATGCAACAGGTTAGTTAGAATTGCCTTGCTCATTCGAATAATTTTGGATTGCTGCTGTAATCACTCGGCAGACAAGGTTATTCACGCTTCCACTCACTGGTAAGTAGTTCAAGGTTTTTGCTGGCAAGAAAGAGATCGATTCGCCGTTCTTACCCTATGGTTCAAGTTACATGGAGTTCTAATACTTGAAGTCAAGCTATATAACAGTTTCATTGTGATTTCGCCTGTTGCTAGATTACTTTATCGCTAAAACCGCACGTTGGTCGTGGATAATTTCTTAGCAGGAATCTTTATAGAATCAAAGTTAAGACGGCTTCTACGCAAAACTATTGCGGCATGCCCATTCAATGACGAAATCCTATTTTCCTTACTAGAATTAGATGCTTTATCTACATTTTATCATACCTATTAATTTATATGTGTATTGCCCTAACCACCCTAATTACCTTTTGTTGGTCGTTCAGATGCATTTGAAGCTGTATTACACTGTTCATGCGACATATTTTGTTGCAACGATTACACCTTGGCTTGTCGACTTTATTCCAGTTGGGAGATCAAGAAACAGAAGAGAGACTACATCACTTGTATAAAATGTACCTACAGATCATAATAGTGTACAAATAATTGAATTGGAAAGAATCCATTATGTAATACTTGAGATGTAATATTATAATATGTTGCAAAAACATGCATGGCAAACTCTCTGTTGACTGGAGTACGGAACATGCACCCATCAAGGGAACACTTCTTCAGGATACGCAACGCTATTTTGAACGAGTCAAACCTTCCTAAGAGTACAATGTCTAAATCAATCAATCAAGAAAAACGAGAAACGGGAGTAAATTTAATCTATTCAGCTTGATTTTATTGTCACCGTTCCACCTCACTAATAAACTCTACTAAACTTGTCTGTTCAACATTCCATTATTGATGACAAACATCTGTAAACGGCTTAATGCTTTGAATCTGCCACTTCGTTGATACTCTACATCTTTGCCAATGAAGGCAACCTATATAAAAGCATAGAGTATACACGCATTGCCTTCTACCGCTTAAATACCATGTCAATCGCAGCGAAATTCAGGTGGATTCAAGCAGCAATTTCTCGTGTTAGAAGCCGTTTGAAACCGTCAGAATAGCACCAAATAATTGCTTTCAGCTAGCACTCAGCTTCTGACACCTTTCCACAACTTTTTTGGGATCATTGAAAATCGACCAAAAACCACACCAACATCACGAGGGATACCTCATGGTTTTCATCGAAAATCAAACGATCGCGTTTTTGACCTCCAAAACGAAGACTTTTACTAAGGCATGTATTGATTCAAAATGTCTCTATAGATCCGAAGCAACTCCTGAAACTTTATTTCTGAGACCTTTATATGTAAAATCCCAACATTTTGGCCAAAAACCTCATTTTATATTTTCTAATATTCCTCGATAAGCTCATTAAAAACACTTTTTTTAATTAACACCATTAGATGCGCATCGAAAAATACTCCAGAAATGCATTAGGAACTATAGGATGATTAGCATGCTTTCTATAGTCGAACCTGGCAAAATAGATCAAATCGAGTCCAAAAGATTCAGAAATGAACAAATCAGAAGAGAATGTAAAGTGGAGATTTAATTAATTTTGGCGAACGGCAATATCAATGCCCTTCAACTAAATAAGCTTGAAAAAGAGACAATGGATGATTCATAGAAAGATGGTATGACCTTGCAATTAAAAAATTGCAATTGTGTATATAAGGTTGCTCAATCCAGGGGGGGGGGTTAAATGCACAAATGATACCAAAATGACATTTGTTGTATTCTTGGACTCATATAATTTGTGATCACTCAGCTGTATCTGGATCATAACATCAATTGTTTTATTTGTGTAATAACGATTTAGCATAACGCAAACCACATGCATTACATAGCTCTTTGGGTCCATTAGGCCCTTTTCGCCACTCTGGAGAATCCTTTCGCTGACATTTGGCGCACATTTTAGGCCTATCATGGTCATTGTATTTCGTCTTTTTCTAATATCACATATGAGAATACAGAACCACAGTCATATCTAAACAACTTACCTTTCTTCTCTGCTTATTGGGATTGTTGTACTTGTCTAGTTGGTCTCGTAATCGCTTATTAGATTGTTGCAATTGATGCAGTTCGTATTGCCAGTTTGTGGTTCTGAAGGACTCGAGCTCAGCAAACATATTATCATTGATCGAGTCGGGAGAGAGATGCTGTGAGGGTATATAGTTGTTCAATGTGGGCGGCTGTGTTGCCGATGCAAGCTTCACTTGCAACAGTACAAATGGAGGTTGATTGCTGCTGTCACCCGAGTAGAAGGTGCTTGTCACTGGCACGTAGCTTCCCTTTGAGTTGAGGATGGTATGAGAGACGGTAGCGACACCTCTTACTTCCTTGATCACTTTTAGTGCCTTTGTAATTTCAGTAATCGAGTCGTTTTCCACGTACTGATAGATAGACTCTTGCTCCAATGAATCGTTAGTAAAGCCCACCACATCTTTACAGGTAGACGTAACATGCAAATAAAGGCCTGCCAGAGACAGTTTTGCCCAGTACTCCGCACCACCTTCCTCGCCCTCCTCTCCTTGCTGATGCATGACTTGATGCCTTGATAACCTGTATACGGGTCTCTCTCTTCCAGACATAACCAGACATTTTCTTCCTTTACTCTGATCCATGTGCAACTTGCCGCGGCAATCGATCCACATATAGCCAGACAGCTTCCTTCTTATTCTAAACAGCAGGTTAATCATCTTGTCTGGATTGGAGGTGGCTTCTTTGATTTCCCTCATGACGGGTATGATGTCGGAAGGATGGCAAATTGAACTGAGTGAATTTCCTAATAGTTTCTCTGGCTCGTATTCCAACATGGAGGCACTCGAGTTGGATACATACAAAAAGACGCCTTTGAGCGATAAGACGTGTATGAAATCGCAGCTTTGGTCCAGTAACAGCTGGTTCCATTCCTTTTGTATCTGTTGTTCGTTGAAGCCTGGGTCGTCATACTCAATCCGAGTCGCATCCAGTAAGCTAATAATGTCTGTCGCTGTGTTGGAAGTAGGGATCTCACGGAAATAGTCGTCCATAGAAGAGTTAAAACCTAGCAAGTTGTTTTCGTTTCCTGCAACACACACATGTCAGGCGCTTTGAGCGTAGTTTTTGAGACATTCAAGTTTTTTACCTGCTACACCTGTCAATCGATGGGATGGTAATACGCTTGTGTTTTGATGATAGTTGATCAGATATGTGCCATCTATGTGTCACAAGCATTAAACGAGAGCGCCGCTTACAATGGTAGTATATACGACTAACCCTTCATTTTCTCCAAGATGGAGTTGGGCTGCTCCACAAGATCCACCTGTAAACCCACAAAATAGTCCACTTGGCCATTGTCACCAAGAATCGGTATCACGGTAACCAAGTTGACAAAAGGCTACATAAAAAAGACGATCAGTACACATGCGCAGATTGCGCCAAAATGTGCCATTTTACCTGTCCACCTTTGCGATAATTGATGATACTGGCCTGGTGCTCCTTTCCTTGGTTCAATTGAGCCTTCAAATGGTAGACAGCTTGATTGTCGGTGTGCTGGCGTCTTGATCCACAGGTAACCTGGCCATCGGGGCTCTGTAAAAACCTGCAATTCTTGCCCACAATCTCGTTGTTGGTGTAGCCCGTGAGTCTCTCAAAAGCAGGCGAGCAATAAATGACAGGACAATCGTACTGCTTTGCATCTGACACAACAAAGGAGCAGGATAAGTCAATGGGACCTAATTGGATTTGTGGATTGGGTCTGTTCATGAGTCGTGATAAGATGTTGATCATATCAAATCCTGTGTTTGAATAAACACCCGCAAGCGGTGGACTCATGATACTTGGGTTGACATCTTTTGAAAGCATCGATGGTGGGGAGCTGGCGGTTGTCAGTGTAGCAGTCGTCATAGTGGTCATGGTCGTATCAAACGAAATAGAGTCATTCATCATGGTAAATGTTTCTGGTTAAAGTAAAAAGAGAGAGAGAGAGAGAGAGAGAGAGAGAAGACACAAATTGCGCTTCTCTCCCTTTTGTGTTTTGCAGGATCTGGTTGTAATAGCACCGATGCTCGATCTGTAGGTTCCATTGGTCATGGTGTCACAGTCCTACATAGGCGAACGTCCGTATCGGGTAATACGCTACTCCTTACTATGGACAACTAGAATGCTGATCTGAATTCAGTGTCTATTCAATACATTACAGCAGGACTTGCTGTCTTGATCTCCAGGCATAGGCAGTAGCGAGCAAAAGTGGCCATCCACTTTAGCAAGGCGCAATCACTACCTCCAATATTGACTGGACCATTCTTAGCGTATGCTTACATGGCAAGTATTCCTCAAACGTCGATGCATGGTAATCTCATCCTCCGCAAACAAAAAAAAAAAAAAAAAAAAACCAACAATAGAAGCCTTCAGAAACTTGTGGTGTTTTGATGAGTGGTAGATGACACGCTAGATATACAAATCACACTAGATATTTATTCAATTTCCATGGTATACAGTTTAAGAGACAATGCCTCGCAGCAAGCCCTCTTTGCTAGTCACCACAACTTCTCTGCCCCCAATGACATTGACATCAATGCCTCGTACTTGCTGCGTAGCAGTAGTCGTTTGGCTGCTCTCCTGCTGCAGTGATGAGCTCCTTTTTCCTTCCACCTGCTGCTGTGCAACATTCTCGACAGTCCCAGTAATCTTGCCTGTCTCAATGTCCATGACAGTGACCTTACCATCTTCAGTCAAGAGGAACAATGACGTATACAGTACATTATAAGCCGTGTACTTGACTGGTATATCTTCAGAGGGTTGTTGTCGCTGCTGCTGCTGCTGCTCATCTTTGTCAAATGTATGCGATAGTAGCATGGATTGCAATCCTTGGGGTGGTGAGTAGGGTAACATAAATTGCTGCGGATGGTTCTTCTTGTTGTTGGTATATAGACTGTGTTGAATATGATGGGTGTTATGCTGTAAATTTTGATGGTGGTGGTGGGTCAAGTCGATAGAGAAGTCGTGTTGAGAGAGTAGGTGCGACTGGTACTGTTGCTCCAGTATCATCTGAATGGCCAATCTTGACAGTTCCTTGGTGCGTCTGGGCCACCATGTGAATCGTTGCGTCAGTTCCATCATGAGGCTGTCAGATATATTCTCTTCTGCTTCGTTGTAGCTTTCAATCAAGGGGTCCCATTGCACCTGTAGCAGATAAGATATATCCCAAACTTTGATCTCGAGTTTATCTCGTTGATTATCGCTGCGATTATCTCCTACTGCAATTAGACGGAATCCATGCTGAGCCAAATCTTCGCGGTTGTATTCCTCATGTGCGTCTTTTTTGCCATCAGAAGACATCCAGTGAGGTGGTAATACAAGTGTTGATTCCAACCCCCAGGGTCGCACATCCACAGGCACCTCCACCGTATCCGCATCCTCCTCCTCCTCGCCATCCCCCTGCTGCTGTTGCTGCTGCTCCTGTAAATCTTCATTGCCAGGTCGTCGATTCAGATGGAGTGGTGGTAATACAGCGTGATCCAGTTGATCTGCTGCTGCTGGATTGGCACCCACAATGCTTGTTGTTCGGCGTATGACTGTAGCATCCTCGGTAGTCTTCCAGGGCAGCGAACCCACTTTGATCCCAAACCGCCAGTCGTAAACAGACAGTTCATCGTCTTGATAACTTCCAGTGCATATCAAATGGTTCAAGTGAGGAGGATATTTAAAGTGGATCATACAGCTAACATCTGTGCCGAGTCGTATGCAAGTCAGCATATCAGTTGCACTTTCAAACAAGTAGCGCCCATGGTTGATGGGATGTCCAAAGCCCAAGTAGGAGTGGAATTTCTTTGATATAGCCACAAGCTGATTTGAGTCGGTGTCCCAAACGACAGGCGTCGTTGATGGATCCAGTATGTTGCGTTGTCCTCGTATATCAAATTGAGCTAGTTGCACACAACCTGTGATGTTGCGTTCAAAGATGGGGCCAATAGCAAGCATATACACTGTAAAGCGGGAGTTAACATGGCTGGACGGGGGCGTCGCTTGTGCTGATGGACATATAATCTTCATCCAATCTGCTAGAGGCGAGGTGCTGGCATCTTGTGGAGCATCATTGCAATCACCATCATTCGACTGACACCAAGACGTATCAGAGAACAGAAAAACCTCTCTGCCCAGAAACAGATCCTCCACTCTGACATGAGCCACACATTGGGTTGACCCATCATCAAACAGCCGATACACAAAGATAGCCTTCCAAATATCCACTCGATCTTCAAATTCCTCTTGGTTTGGCGGCTGTTGCTGATCCAGGCCATTCATGAACGCAATGCCCACAGCCAGTGTAAAGAAACGGGCCTTTTGAATACCTTTTCCATCCGCAGTTGGCATACGAATCGACTGAATGCCAATGATTTGACATGTAATGTTGGAGGGCGTCAGGTTCAGCTCAAAGGTGCGAATGAGTTTCCATGATGGGTATTCCCAAAACAAAATCTTGTGCTGCGATGTTCTACTGAGTGTGTCTTTGCGATGCTTGCCGGTAGCTACAATGCCAGTTTTATCGATACGATCAATGTCTACCACAAGAGGATCTTGTATCCAAAATGGCAGCTGTTCTTCTTCGTCTTCGTCTTCGTCTTCGTCTTCATCCTCTTGATCGACTGGCTCTTCGATAGTGTCTTCTTCAAATCTTCGTTTACGACGGCTCACAAGTAGCTGCTCTTGCACAAATTCAAAGCTAAAGTTTTCAGTTGCCTTTTGTTGTTTTACAAGGTGAATCATAAAGTCTTTCCAATCGATGAGTCGCTTTGAATTGAACGAATATTCAACTCGACTTCCCCATACTGGATACCTTGATAGGAATGCATTGTACCATAGCTTGGGATCATCGATAAGCCTGCGATAATGTGAATACGATAGCTCATTACAAGTGATTGGAGTTTACCTGTTGAATCGCTTACTAACTTGGCTCACTCGAATCAATGACTGCACATCATCCACAAGCACATTGAATATACGCAGCAGTATCTCGTCTGGAATTTTATGCATTTGCATCTTGTTATATGTTGTATTGAATGGTATGACCGGGAACTACGGGTTTTCAAAAGGGTTTGGAAAAACAAAATAGAAGAGAGAAAGAGAGTGTTTATATTTAATTTTTGTACAGTCCGGCCGTTTTCATAGCCTTGATCGCTCATGGACCTAAAAAAAATTGGCTTGGGTGCGCCCATTAGCTGTTTAGGTTTGGGACCTATAATTTTGGCCATGTCATGCCCTTTGTGTGATTCTGAGTCGACCTAAATTAAACATATTGTGCGTAATCTCTCTCTCTCTCTCTCTCTCTCTCTCTCTCTCTCTCTCTCTCTCTCTTTTTCTGTCTCTTTTAGACAAAGATCTGCCTTGATCAGCATCATGTCGTTTGTCGTTAGACTCAAATTTTCAAGCTATGGAGAGGATTTAAGGTTCTCACACCAACAAAAAGACGAGTCAATGAAATCAAGGAATCTTTCCTTCCTAGAGGCACTTGATATGAAAAGAGATGTTCGACAGGATAGGCTATTGCCTCTGTCTATCTCTCGAGATCCTTTCACATGCGCAAATGCATGTGCCGCTCACTTCAAAGATGTCTCTCGATGAGGATTGATCGGGTCAAATAAACAACTCTAGACAGGTCAGCTCTTGAAAGCTTAAAGTTGAGTTTTGTATTGGACATATGTTTGGATCTGCACATAAGCTCATTCTGAAAACTAGAGTGGTGTCTACAAAATTTGCCCAAGACTAGTGTAGATGGTGTAATGTTTAGAGCTTTTATGACATATTTTCTTTTTGTGCATTGGTCAACTCCAATGAACAGACCAGGAACACATTGGTCACCTTTAAGCCAATTGGCATATGGGGGGGTTTTTTTTTTATACAGTATGTGATAGCGTTTCAAGATGCATCTTGGTTACCCTTTAGAAATTACGTCTCTTTCGAAAATCTTATTGAAATACAACCATCCAACACTACTCTTGTCTAGCACGGAACAGCACAATATAGATGGCTCAACTTCAAGTGATTTTGTTGAATACCATGGCAAATTCTTGGTCAATATCAACCTCTAGTATGCAGACAAGTTCAAGTATATCAACCATAATGTATTTATGCATTTAGCAAGGGGAGCATCTCGGTTACACTGTTCATTAAATGTTTTCGCCGATTTATTCTGTATCTGTCAATGCTGTCATTGCAATGATGGAATTTGAGTCTCTCTAAGCATGATAGTACGTATGTCTAATCTACACCTCCTATTTCATCTTTAACTGCATTATCGCACCAACTACACAAGGTGATTTAGCACAGCATTTGCCCTTCAAGTACGCTTCTTTCAAACATTGGGCTTTTGAATTTCAGTCATGAAACATCATGCGCATTTCAGACAATCTGGCGTTGAACTAGTTGCTAATGCTACACGGACGTTGGACACGGTAACGCAGTAGTTGCTTGGATATAAGCTCACAAGCGATGGCAGCTGCCTCTCGAAATTGAATATCAAGTAGATATCTCCCATGCAACTCATTAGCTGAAGAATGGAATTCAAAACTAGATGTCAGAAGCTTTTTTTTTTTTTTTTTTTTTTTTTTCAATGGAATGCTAAACTCATCTCGAGCTCCCGGGTATTTCGTCCCCAAGTGAATAGTAAAAAAAACATTTATGAGATGACTCCATGAACCGTGAGTATTTTTCAACCTCAAAGAACGAACTACCGCGGGCAATAACTGCCTGCAATGACTATGAATAATATTCATGCAATGGCAGTGAATCTTTCGTGGCCTCTAAGCAATGTATAAGGCAAGTGTTGGATAAGAAAAGCCTTCTTCAATGTATGCGTGTGTTTCTCAACAAAAAACTTGCCCATTTATCTTCCGGACCTACGGTTTAGTCATCTTTTTAGCTCTAAAATGCTTGAGCATAATCAATCTTATCATAGATCTAATTGGCCAACGAAATGTAGCATACACAGAAGCCATGAAGAAAAAAAAAAAAAAAAACGCCATATTTTTCCCTTTCCTCAGAGTCTTTTGGTTTTTCTTTTTCTTTCTTGATTTCCTCACTTTTTTTTTTGTATCAAGGAAAAGAAGACTCAAGATATATTACAAATGTCATTCACACAGAACCGTTTTGGTGCCCTCTTAGGAGAGGAAGAAACTGAAATCGATAAGCTCGGTAACGTCAAGCCCGTCGAGAAGAAGGGTGATGCTCCTCCCCCTACTAGACGTGAACAGCGTCGTGCCACTACTGGTACTAGACAACCTGCTGGTAAGTTTAATGCTTTGAGCGAGTTGCATGAAAATCGCGTCGCTCTTCCCTCTGCCATCTCATCTCTTTCATTGCCAATGATGTCTAATATCCAAATGTCTGCCTTGTAGTCTCTCCCCCTTCGAAACGTGATCGTGGTAACCGCAAGGATGTCTCTGAAGCCACTCAAGCCTCCAACACTGAGTCCTCTTCAAGACCTGCTAGACCTGAAAGAGCTGGCCGTAACGAATACAGTGGCCGTGGCCGTCAATTCGATCGTCACAGTGGAACCGGTATCTAGTGAGTTTTACATTTCAAACATCCCGTAATCCATGTTACTCAATGTCTGCCTTATAGCGATAATGAAAAGAAGATCAATAAGGGTTGGGGCGAAGCTGGCACTGCCGAATTCCAAGGGTAAGCCATCTCATTATCTACCTCTTTTTTCTCACTAAAAATAATTACCATATTATTAGTGCCCATGACGTATTGGACCCCAATGATCCAGATGCCGCCGAAACTCGCAATTCTCGCGCCGAAGAACCAGAGGAAAATACCAAAACTTTGGAAGAATACCTCTCAGAGAAGAAGAATGCTCAAACCTTCCGTCTCAATGAAGCTCGTAAGGCCAACGAAGGTGCTGATGATGGTCAATGGAAGGATGCCGTTGTCCTCGAAAAGGAAGAAGATGTCTTCTTTGTCGGCAAGGTACATTGTAGCACGTCCTAATGTTTGATTCAATGTGGTTTCTTACAATGATTTGATTTTTTTTTTACAGGAATCTGAAGCCAAGTTGAGAACCAAGAACAAGAAGGAGAAGGTTTTCTTGGAAATTGATCAACCTGCTCACCGTAGCAATGATGATCGTCGCGGTGGCCGTGGTGGCCGTGGTGGTCGTGGTGGTCGTGGTGGTAACAGCAGTGGTCGTGGTGGTAACAAGAGCAACGGTCGTGGTCAAGGCTCCGTCAACTTGTCAGACTCAAAGGCTTTCCCTACCTTGGGCGCATAAAGCAATCTCTCTTTTGTTTGGTATTGAGCTCATAAGCCTCTCTCTCCTACCTAACCAAGAAAGTATGGAGAACCCACCCAAGAAAAAATCACCAATATATAAAAAAAATGATTTCCTTATAAATAAATAAAACTTCATTGTTTGATCCTGTGTTATCATCTGACTGCTCATTAGCATGAGACTACTCCAACTAAGAGTACACGAATGTATGGAAATCATGCCTTGTTGAGCACAGGCAATAGAATGGGTCACTTATTCAATTTCCTTGAAATGTACCGTTGCACAATGCTGCATGAATCTCATCAATTTGCTGGTAAATTTAGCTAAATGTCCCTTTCAAATAACCACAATGAGGCCATTGCATTCAAATTACGTTGGTGAGTTTTCTATAGATCTACACTGATTGACGCTTCTTCTTCAGCTGTTTATTCTGCCATTCTAGAATATTGGGTATGATGCGGCGCTTCAAGTGGTTTTCTCCTTTTTAATAGACATTAATATGCCATGAAGAAGCATTGATCTTGGTATAAAAAGGGTGAATAAGGTGAATTTTGTATTGTAATCCGATGTTTGCTTGCCATTGATTGCTTACAGGTAACCAGAGCAACATTCTACTAGTATCAATCATAGTAGCCCTGCTGAAGATTGAAACTTGGCGCTTCATATTAGAATGTACAGCAGCTCTGTTATTAAAAAGCTCTATTAAATGCGAGGTTGCCACAGTAACAGAGCAAATCATCGTCATGAACGCGCTTTCAGGTGTAAACCATGTTCATGGGTATTGAAACAAACGTTGCCAAGCCAGCATGCCTGGCTCAATCGTGGTATTACTCTTACGTCAATGCCTATTGATTATAAAGATCATGAAAGGGCTCTTTGTTTACTGTTCTATTTCTCTATCTGATACAAATTTGTCTATTTATAGCAGGGGTACTCACATTGATTCATTCTGTGGGCCAGTATTAGCATGCCATAGCTGTTGCTTCCTGTCAAGCAGGGACGCACCACACAAAGGCTGGTTGATTACAGTTGGCATTCCCTGTCGCTACATTTGGTGGCTTCTTCCGCATAACCATGGCTCTGTACACATTATCCAGCGTATCGGATTACAGTGCAAGGCTGGTTTAATTCAAGACTCCATCGTTTCATTTCAGAACCTTCCAATGATGAAAGGCATAAACGAGTCTTGCATATTGATAAATACAATGTATATGGTGCTAAGTTACTAGTTCCTTTTACTATTTCTACTATCTAATACAAATTTGCTGTAACTTGCAAAGCTATTAATAGGTGCAGCTATGACGCACAAATCAACAAAACATTCTACTTTTGTTTGATTGATTAAACGAACATACGGAGCCTTTATGATGTTCCAAACGGTGTATTGAGTGATTTTTTTTTCAGTTTTTATTTGAAGAAATATAAAATATGCATATAAGTGATAGTGAAAGGGGAAGGTTGTGCGAAAGGGAGAAAAAAGTAGAGAATAAGCTTACAATGATAAAAAAAAAATAATTGGTAACGTTGGTTTGAATGCATTGATTTAGTGTTGTTCCTCAGCCTGTTGCTGTTTCTTCTCATCAGGGATATATTCTTGACCAGCAACATAGATGGGCTGCTCCTTGTTATCCTTTGTTGTTGTTGAGATATAAGCTGTGGGATAAGGTGTAGAAATCACACGGTCCATTAACTCTTCATCATCCTTGATCTGCTTGACTTGCTTGGTGTAAGAGTGAATAGCAAATGCAAAGTGAAGCTTCAACAACATGTTGATAGCCATGGCAATGGTGACAACCCAGGCACCTTGAATATAGACAGATTCGCATGTGTTCATATCAAATTCATCATCTTTGGCTTCACTGACAATTTCCTTGCAAACATCAGTATGAAGGCTGAAGAGCATCAATGCACTTGCAACTGAGAACATGGTGTGTAAACCCAAATCAGCCCAATAGTAGGCATTGAAAAAACGAAGATGTTTAACGTTGTTCTATAAGAAAGAAGCATTAATATACCTGGGCTGCGGACAAGAAAAACCAAGCAATCTCTATTTACCTTCAGCACACCAACTGCACCAGCTAAACAAGCAAAACCAGAGAGATATGAGTAAGCTGTGAGGCCAAGAACAGCGCCTGTATCAGCGTCATCAAATTCGTCTGATAAGGCTGTTAAAGTCATAGCACCGTAGAGGTGAGTAACAGCGCCTAACGCAGCCAAGACAAGCGTAGCAGTTCTAAGATTTCAAAACACAAAAGGTAAGCATTTTCTTTTTCGGATATACATTGTGAATCATTTACCTGAGATTGATACAGAAGCAACAATTATTGAGCATTTTGAAAAAGATTGCAATAACGAGAAATATATATATAAAAAAAAAAAAAGTAAAAAAGAGAGGAAAGAAGGGATTTTAGTTCTGGTCTTACATTTGTTTCGACTTATAGCCTCTGTTCTCGCCTCCCTTTGGACAATGATCATGATTGCGATATTTGGATATCCGTCGGCAACGGCTAAAATGTTAGTGAGCTGCCACACGGGGAAAAGTATAGAAATCACCGGATATCTAATCAACCGACAAATAAACTATAAAATCTGTGCAACAGTCTAAACATTTGAAAAAATAACGCCAGGAAATGCTATGAATATACTATGGATCCAGTGTTTGTTGGCTCCAAATGTTTGACTATCGCATGGGAGGGCCCAGCGGCCAGTCTATCAATATCAAATCAGATTGTGTTCTGTTTCAATTTCAAAGGTCAATGGACGGATAAGACTACAGCACCAAGTGTTTGGATCAGTAATAAATTCCATTTAGAGTAACTAAGGTGACAATTTTGCATTTCGCATTCAAATTTGCATAGCAGTTTGCAATAATTAGACCTCTAAGTTATAAAAATACGTACCAAAGACAATCAGAAGTAACTTGACTAAGCTATAGCATTTTCTCAGGTACAATCCTCTTTCTATTCGGTTTAGAAACATCTATTGTCTTCATGACAAAGCATGGCAATACTTCTACCAGCCAAAATTATTTCATTCTCCGAAGGTAATTTTCTTTCTCGAAATAGGAATCTTTTGATCATTTTTCGACTTCTTGGATCTATTTTACAACAACACCGAAACATTGGAACACTTCCTCTTTGCCTGTCCCCACAAACGATCCTTTTGGTCTTCCGCCCTCTCCATTTACATGCCCCCTCTCATCTCCCAAAACAGTTACCAAAACTTCCAGAAATTCCTTCTTTTCGAACACAACCCTTCTCGTCAAGATCATTCAATCTATCCGAATCTCTCTGCTTACCAGGTTTTCGCCTGCATGCTACAAACTATATGGTATCACCACTACCAGTTTACATTCCAGGACAAACCTTTCCTACCATCAATTTTACTCTCATCACTTCGTAGCTCATTAGATACCTTACATTTCCAAGAAACCTTAGATCAGTCTCCATAATTAGTTCCCCCAATATATATCCAGTCTTTTTTCCTCTCCCATCTAATAGGCGTACGTAAAAGGACTTTAAATAAAGCAATACAATTGCCCTACAAAAAAAAAAATATTTTACAACATCCACCTCTCTTTCACTTTTCGAATTTTTTAATAACATCGAATCCCTAACCTCTAGTAAAGAATTTGAAAACAACCCCCATGTCTTCAACTGAACAACACCTTTCCAACATTGCGGCATCCCTCAAGGACATCTATACCTTCATGCAGAAACAGGAAGGTATTAACCAATCCATCGAGGATCGTATCACTTCCACTCTTGACCGCTTCAATGCCACTGATGAACATCTCAGGGCCAACGATGCTCGTCTCAACTCTGTTGAGGCCACTATGGGCCGAATTCTCCAGGCCATCAAAGCAATTTCCCCTCCTGCCTCCAGCACTCCTTCACCTCTTCATGTCATCTCCAAAGGTACCTCTGCTGGATCTACATCCAAGCCTAGTGCTCAACCACCCCAATCCACCACTTCCTGGGCTGCCATTGCCAGTAAGCCACCTGCTCCCCTCTCCGATCGTAAGCGCCAAGCCTTACATCGCTTTTTCTCTCCTCCTCCTGATGACTCCATTCAAAATGGTTCTTACACCTTGGTTTATCTCCCTCGTTCTCGTCGCATGAATCGCAGCCAAATCAGATCGAAATTTCGCGCAATTTCGATTGACAATCTCCGAATTCTGGACCTCAACTTCCCCGCTCGCAACACCATTGGAGTTCTCCTTCACGAAGCCTATCTCGACGAGTTCAAGTCGAAACTTTTGGAAATCGACACCCAACCAATCCAGAATTTCGATCCATTGGACCATCATCACGTCGCTGATCCCAAATACCATGATCTCTCTGAGGAACGTCGCCTCCAATTAGCCCATGCTCTCCACCAGGACCGTTGCATCCGAACTCTCTACTTCATCCGTCCTCATCTCGTTCCTGGTGTTGCTAAGTACTTTGTTCGTCAAGGCTGGGTACCTCACACCATGGCTACTGATATCATTAACCAACGCCTCCCTCGTCCCGCCAAGCGCCGACCTGCCCCTCACTTTGCTACTGCCCAGGCCTTGCAAGCCTCCCAATCCGCTGCTCCTCAATCTAGTATCCCTCTTCCCTCCACTGACTCTGACCCTATCTCCCTGGTCCCTCCTGCTGCTCCCACTCTCACTGATTACTTTGGTAACGCGGTGTCCACCCAAGAAATGGACACCACTCCAGACTTTGCCTCCAATGCCTCTGCTGAGGCACTCTCTCATACCGGTTCTACCTCCTCGATTGACACCGATGATCTCTCTCAATGAGTGAGATCTTGGAATCAGCTCTCAATCATCTTCCAGCCTCCCCACCCTCAACGAATCATCCTCCACACCCGATATCCCATCCAGCATCATCACAGAACAAAACTACCAACTTCCATATTTGTAGCCTCAACTGCCGTAGTCTTTCCAAGCCCTCCACTCCTGACCTTAGTCGGTCCTTCTCTCGCCTACTTGCCTCCTCTGGTATGGATATCCTCTGTCTTCAAGAAACCTATTCTTCTGATCCCGCTGTACAAGATCGCTTGGATATGCAACTCCAGGCCAAAACCTCCATATGGACGCACTATTGTGGAGTCGTCAGCCTTAATCCAGCTATCCAGCTTGATGATGCATATGTCTCTAACAATGGTCGTCTAATCATCTGTACTGTCTCTCATGCCAACCACCTTTTCCGTCCCTTCCGTCTCATGAATATTTATGCACCTGCCACTTACCACGCCCGCTATGATTTCTATGCTGATCTCCTTCAACTTCCCTTCTTTCAGTCCTTGTTGCTAAACCTCTCCACCCATTCCTTCAATTTTCCCTCTGAAACTCCAGATATGATTGTAGGCGACTTCAACTACAATTTCCGTCACTTCCCAGCAACCAGCATCCAAGATGGCCTCCAGAATCCCTCTTTCATCAGAAATTTACACCTCAATTACCACCATCCTTCCGACCCCTCTCTCATTGTGCCGGATGCTCTTGAGGACTCCTTCACCTCGCCTCACCTAGACTCCAATGACCCTTCAAATATGCCACCAGCTACAAGGGCCCAATGGCTTTGGCATGCTATGTTGCAACACCATTATCGAGAGTGCTCTCACCGCTTGCAACCCGATCCACCCATACCAACCTTCCACGGCGCCGGGTATAGATCCACCATCGATTACATGTATGTGGCCCCCTCTCTCACCAACTTTGTCCACACATCCACTGTCGACTTTATAGCCCCACAATGGACCGATCATGCCATGCTTAGCATCCACCTCCGAATGCGCTTAAACAACCATGGCCGAGGCTTATGGCGGGCCAACCCACGCCTGGCTGATAACTCTTTCTTTGTGAATCAGTTGTATAAACGCCTGGATGACTTTCATCGGGATCTAGCTTCCAATCCCTTCCCAGCTTCTCCTCAAGTGTTATGGGACGACATCAAGTCTCTAACTCGATCCCTAGCCCAAAAGATCGGTCGGAAACAGGCTGAATGGCGGCGTCGGCAGCTCAGACAATTGCAGAGTAAACGTAACCGGATCCTCCGTGCCTACAAGTCCACGGCCATCCTGAATGATCGTCTGCCTACCATTGAGAAAGCGATCAGTGCCTTACAACAGGAAATGGTTGAACACCAAGCCCTAAGATCAGGTCTGCGCTGGCGAGAGAAGGGAGAGACCTCGGCTGGATTTCTCAAGGCTTTGTCTACTCACCGAGAACTTCAGCGTGCCCTGCCTTCTCTCAAGGATCCTTCCACTGGCACATGTTATGTTTCTCAAACTGAGAAGGAACAAGCTGTCCACTCCTTTTACTCTCGACTCTACACACCCACAACAGTAAATCAACGTGATATACAATTTTTCACTAACATGATTCCCGCTTCCCATAGATTATCTGATGACTCTCATGAATCCCTATGCACTCCTTTTACTCTGAATGACATCTTGGATGGTCTTTCCCGGTCTCCCACCCAGAGTAGCCCTGGCATTGACGGCCTTCCCTATCAGATCCTGCGTCTCTTGTTCAAACATCCGTCTACCGCATCCATTGGTATCCGTGTCTTCAACGATGCTCTGCTCCATGATACCTTCCCTGCTTCCTGGTCTCAAACTAGTTTGGTGTTACTCCCAAAGAAAGGTGATCTCTCCTTCTTGAAGAATTGGCGCCCAATCTCCCTGATCAACACAGATGCCAAGACCTTCACTCGCCTCCTCAACTCTCGTCTGATGAGTCACCTTGCTGACAAGATCTCTATCCAGCAAATGGGCTTCATGCCCGACCGGTTCATTGCGGAGCAGGGTCTTATCCTGCAATGCATGCAAACAGTAGCTACCAGAAACAAGTTAACATCCATTGCCCTTCTTCTAGACCAGGAGAAGGCGTATGATCGCATCCACTTCTCTTACCTTCAAGCTATGATGGACGCCTTCAATATCCCTCAAACCCTCATCATCGCCATCATCAATCTCTTTTCTGCCACCCAAATCCAACCTAATGTCAATGGCTTCCTAGTCGCTCCTTTACCACAATTGCGAGGTCTTCGTCAGGGTGATCCCCTCAGTCCTCTTCTCTTTAACATTGCCTTTGATCCCTTTCTCCGGGCCATCCACAATGACTCTCGCATTTCGGGCTTCTCTTTCCCTCCTGATCCCATTTCTGGCTCCCAACCGCCAGTGGTCAAAGTTCTCGCCTATGCGGATGATACTTTAGTAACCCTTAACAATCCATCAGAATTCGCTGCTCTCGAGGATCTACTCGGAAAGTATATGTCTGCTTCTAATGCCTCCCTCAATTACAACAAAACTGAAGCACTCTCCCTATCTGGTAGCAACCATCCTCATTGGGTTCAGTTCCTGGCCTCTAAAGGTATCACTTCATGGCATGATCGTTCCTCTCTAACGGCCCTGAAATACCTTGGTTACCCTATCCATGCCAATCGTCAACAGCGAACTTCATTCGTCTCCGCCCTCATCTCTAACATCAGTCGCTCTTGTCAACTTCATTCCTGTCGGAACCTGACCTACCGCGGTCGTGTCACCGTTGTGAACTCCTTGATACTCTCCAAACTATGGCATGTTCTTCGGTTGGTTACCTTCACCAAGTCTGAATTCAACAAGATACGCCAAATCATCACTTCCTTTATTAACCGAAACTCCAAAATCAGCCGCTTCTCTTTTGACACTCTCATTTTACCTCGATCCCAGGGCGGTCTGAACCTGATCAATCCTGCGAGACAAGCCCAAGCTCTGCAATGGCGATGGATCCATCCACTCCTTCATCCTACACAACCCTCTCCATCATTGATGCCTTCCATTCCAATCCTTCGGTCCACCCTCTCCATGTGTCTCGGTTCCACTCGATTCCCATCCTACCACTGGTCACTCCTTTTCCCTCAATGTCGCCCGTCTGGTCTACCCTCTTTTGGTCCTGTTGCCAACATCATCATTGCCGTAGACTCTATCATTAGAAACTTTTCCTTCTGCTCCGTCCCCATTCCTGTCATCCTCCGCCTCCCTTTCACTTCTCTCCTTCAACATGCGCTACCCCCTTCCCATCCTTTCGCCTCCACCTTTTCCCCACCCTCCGTCATCCTAGCTGACCATCTCACCCTACGTCAGGATCTCTTTGGATCTGATATCTTTGATTACAACTCTACTTCCAACACCATTGTTTTCAAAGAATCTTTTGAGCACCTCCCCCATCCTCACTGCAGTCGCCGTGCCATCAATTTCATACATGATCAATACCTCTTCCTCAATACGTTCACCCTAAACACCATGCTCACAAATATCCCTCGTCCCCTCCCCACTACTGATCAATTATCCACCTCCTCCATACTCACCCTTGACTCTCTCCACTCCCTTCTTCTCTCCATGATCTCCTCACACTTTGATCTAGATTTCCAACAATTCCATCCAGTCCCTGCGACTACCACTGGTTATAAATCCTTACCTTCCTACCATGTTCCTCCCAAACCTCCATCTGTCTTATCCTCTGCCAAATGGAAACGTCTCTGGTCCTTACGTATCCCATTGAATGCACGTAACACCTGGTTCCGCATCCTTCATAATAAAGTCGCCACAAGAGACATTCTTCATGAACGGCAACCTCATATCCACCATCCCTTTTGTAGGATCTGCCACTCATCCACCGAAACATTGGAACACTTCCTCTTTGCCTGTCCCCACAAACGATCCTTTTGGTCTTCCGCCCTCTCCATTTACATGCCCCCTCTCATCTCCCAAAACAGTTACCAAAACTTCCAGAAATTCCTTCTTTTCGAACACAACCCTTCTCGTCAAGATCATTCAATCTATCCGAATCTCTCTGCTTACCAGGTTTTCGCCTGCATGCTACAAACTATATGGTATCACCACTACCAGTTTACATTCCAGGACAAACCTTTCCTACCATCAATTTTACTCTCATCACTTCGTAGCTCATTAGATACCTTACATTTCCAAGAAACCTTAGATCAGTCTCCATAATTAGTTCCCCCAATATATATCCAGTCTTTTTTCCTCTCCCATCTAATAGGCGTACGTAAAAGGACTTTAAATAAAGCAATACAATTGCCCTACAAAAAAAAAAAATATTTTACAACATTCGACTATATGAGTCGTGATGATCATCCTATACTTCCTTAAGCTTTTCAGAAGTACTTTTCAAGGCGCATCTAAAGGTGACAAATAAAATAGGTGTTTTGAATAAACGTATTGCACAATATTAAAAAATATAGAATGAGGATTTCTGGCCAAAATGTCGAGATTTTACATGTGAAAGCCTCAGAACCAAAGTTTCAGGGGTTGCATTGGATCGATAGAAACATTTTGAATTAATATATATCATAATAAAAGCCTTCATTTTTGGGGTCAAAAACGCGATCGTTTGATTTTTGAAGAAAACCATGAGGTACCCCTCATGGTTTTTGGTCGATTTTTGGCCATGTTTTTTTGGTCCTCAAAAAGTTGAGTAAAGGTGTCAGAAAGTAATTGCTAGATGAAAGCAACTGTGTAGCGCTATTTTGACGATCTAAAACGGTCTTGAACGCGAGAAAACGCAGCTCAAATGCATTCATATTTTGCTGTAGCAGGGACACTAAGGAATAAAAAGGGGGAAATACCAGTATGCTGCTTGCCCGTATATGAAGTAGCTACGTGCATATGGATGTAGAGCATCACATAAGAATCAGATCCGCAGATAATATGAAGGGTTTTCATGTGTAGGTAGAGGGTCAACATGAAAGTAGTAGTATTTTGAAAAGATACGCAAGGGCAGTCGGTAGCGCGAGCTGCCGCTTTGCAGGTTGGTTCTCTCCGAAACGAAGATAATAAAGAGCCATCCGACGCATAAACTCATACAATTAGTGATTTTATTTCAATCAACAATCAAGTTTCATCTAACATTTTGGCTATATTAATTTTGCAATATTAGCCAAAAGCCCACGGCAGCGCGAGCCGTTTGAACGTAGGTTGGTTTCCTGACCTACGCTTCGCTTCGTTGGAAACCACGCGAAGTCTCGAAAGGCTTGTATGATATAAACATTAAAGATACCTGCTTAAATTTGACACAATGTGAGATGAAAATCAACTAAATTGCCACTGCATAATTGAATGGCAAAGCGAATATCTACATGCTATCATGGATTCTATAAAAAGTGTATAATCGTTGAATGTTTATTAAAAATAACGTAAAGTATGTAAAATATATATATATAAAAATACAAATCATGATATTGATTGCTGAATTATTTATCATATTATCATTAGGCAACATCATTCATTCTGTAGAATGTACCCTCTTGGGGTTTGGCGGAATACTTGTACTTTCTGTAACCAAATACACTAATGACGGAAACAGCAACCACACCCACAATGACACCAATAGCTACACCTACTTTACCTCCAGTTGAAAGGCCAGATTCAATGTTTGGGTTGGATGATTTATGGGGAGTTCCATCAACAGTGGAGTTGGGCTTGAAGGCATCCAATGTACAGATATCAAGTGCGAGTCTTTCAGCTGGATTTGTGCAGCTAGGATATGTTGCGTTGGAGATAAATCCAGATTTACCCATTTGAGCAAAGGCACGAAGCCATGTCATTTCGTAATCGGGTTCATAGGTGTTGTATACCATATGAATGACATCAGCAATGGCAAGATCAGCTCTTGCGGCATGGCGAATGGGCCAATCTAGTTGCAGAGGGGATCAGTTTGGTTCATCTACGCTTTAAATAATAGACACTTACCTGAGAATCCAGTTTTACTGATCAACTTGTCAGTGCGAAAGACATTTTGGTTTGTCAAGAATGCATAAGAATTGGTATTGGGGCTCAATCCACCAGCAGAGAGCCAGTCTCCGTAGGCAAAATCAGTCTTGAAATTCGCAGCAGCAGAATCATCAATGATAAACTCTGCCTCTTCAAGAGCACTGTGGAAAAGGGTCAAGTTGGAGAATGTGGTTGTCTTGTTGTTTTCGCCAACCAAATTCATGCCTACGTATACTTTAGCAAGCAGCCCTTTTGCCGCACTCTCACACCCTTCTTACCGGCATCTTGAATCAATGAGCTTGTATAGTTATCATAGCGAAGAGTCCAGGCCTTATTCACAGCATCATACATAGTCCAGGCAATGTTTTTACTTCCAGAATGAGCCAAATTTGATTTGTGGCATTCATAATTTGTTGCAATCTTGTTGTAGATACCCAACCCCTTTTGTTCAACCTCAAAGAATTGTGCAATGTAGATAATCCAAGCTGATTGCTGTACCAAATCAAAAATGTAAATGGTCTGATGATTCCAATAAAAGGTCATTCAAGCAATTACCTGAACTGGTGAGAGTGTTTCACTGCCTGCAGAAACACTAATGTATTGAGGTTTGGTACCCAAAGCAGCATTGTTGGCTTGCGCTGTAAAGATGGCATCGATAACAGTAGTGGTAGTTGAATTTGGTCCGTCAGAGACACCGGCAAAGCAGGGAGAAGTGATATTAGCACTTGGGCTTGCTGACTTCACCACAGTACTGAGATTCAACAACTCAAAGAATGGAAGGCTATCTAATTCAGTATCAATGCCAACATTTGTCAGGGGAGTATTCACAACAGCATGATATCCAGAAGAGGTGAAATTGGCCAATGACTGGTTGCAGCACACCAAAGCATACTTTTGATTTGTAATGAGGTTCTCGACTACTTTGTAATTGTCAAAGTATTGGACTGTAAATCCATAGCCGTTGGATGCATCTGTTTATCGAAATGTTTAATATAAACAATGAGCTTGGACATCTAAAAAAAAAAAAAATGCTTACCGATGCTGACACTATTGGCATAATTCCCTTGTGCCTGGATGAACTGTAGCAGACTACTGCACATCACTATGAACAAACTTTGCTTCCATGCCATTTTCTGATAAGGATTAGAGATGTAGTGATGATGGAAAGAAGAAAAGAGACTGATTCGAGAAAAGAAAAATACAAAAAAGAAATTTTATTCTTTACAATAAAAGATGGTTCTTTCAAACGGAGCACAGGGATCAAGGTTACGCGAAATTACACATCTTTTATAGATGCTGTTGTTGTAAAATCTTGATGAGACCTTCTATGCAGTAATACTTTGCCTGTTTGGAATCTTTTGGTGAGACAATGCATTACAGTTTCTATTTGGAAATACATACTTCTTGTAGCAGCTCCTGACATCTAATACATGCAATTGCGATAATAAAAGAGAGATTAGGTTTATCCACCATCAAGTAACACAATAAACTTACATTTTAGTGTCTTGAAGAATGGTTGGTGGTATCTATATCCGTCATATTTATAAGTACATATCCACAGCGGCACTGTATCCATGGCAACCCACCCTTAGATCTCGAAGGTAATTCAACACAAGTCTAAAATGAGATGGATCACGGTCAATAAAGTAAGATCCATCTGATTCCGCTGAAATGAGATGTCTCCCGGAAAACATAGTAGCCAATAGACTATTTGTATCACGTCGCAATGTACTCAAAGATGTCTATTTGGAACCACTCGTAAAAATAGGATTTTAGAATCTGCTTTTTCTATTTTACCTCAAACATGCTTCCTCCCACATTCAATCGAATCTTTCCACTCTTTGGTAGATATTCTCTGTTTGTTTCATCTGTTTGATATTAATGATCGAATGCACGGTTAGCATTTGAGTGGGGGCCCACCTGATTTCAGCTTGTTTTTGGACTCGTTTTGCTCTTTTGTCAATGCATCACATTGGGATATTAATTGATTTGACATTTGCTCGTAGTTTTTTTCCATGGTTGAATGAAATATTGCTTTCACCGTGTTGAATTTGCGATCTAATTCTTGCAGTTTCTGCATTGTTGCATAGATTTCCTTGTAGATGTCTATTCTGAGCATTAGGCAAAAGAAAGCAGTCGATGATGGAACACTGTACCTTGCTTTACGCTATCGTATGATTCATTCAGCAGTCTATATTGCGGTTTGTAGTCTATAGATGGCAGCGTGAGCTGATATATTTGTTAAAGATTATACAACGTATACCTTCCCATTCAACAGAGGTCTGGATATCCAGCTTTTTCATCAAATCATTAATTGATATTTGCTGTTTTTGTTCCTGAAATGTCGTAGTTGATGGTAAATGCCCGTGGCGTTGATTTTCAGTTGAACTATTATCATCGTAATGTTCTTCTTCTTCTGAATCATTCTCTAGATGTTCTACAGCAGTAAATAATGAGGTTGCAATGCTTATATTATCAGCCTGATGACGATGTTGTTGCTGCTGCTGCTGCTGGTTATGGTTATGAAACATGGATTTATCAATACTCTCGTTATCGTCATCCACATCATCATACTGTAAATAATGAGGACTCGTTGACATAGTGTGCAATGAAGAAGCTGCAGACTCAAAATCATGTGCTGATCCTATGGAATTAGCTCGAGAGTGGTGGTGATGGGGATGGTGGTTCTGCTCTTGTGTCTGTTGATGATGCTGCTGTTGCAGTTGATATTGTAATTGCTGCTTCAATTGCAACTGTTGCAATTGCTGCTGCTGCTGCTGTTGTTGTTGTTGAAATTGTTGACTCCTTTGATGGTGTAACTGATGCTGCTGCTGACTAAGGCGATCTTGTTGATAGACTCCGGGATACGCTATGTGCAAACACGATTGAGTAAACATGATGTGATGAGCAAACCAATAGACTTACCCTCTTGTATCTCGGAAGGGCCATTGAACTCTTGATACACAATCTCGGATAGCGATGGCTGATGATGTATAGGTGATCTGTGGGTAGGTGAGTGAGCGTGATAATTGATACTGTTGGTGTTGTTGTTGACGGATGTTCGCCATTGTGGTGGTGGTTCAAAGATATCCATATAAAACGACGGTGCTCCTACTACTATTTGCTGTGGTTGCACCTGTGGTTGCGGCTGTGGTTGTTGCTGTTGTTCACGCTTTCTCATCTTTGCTGGCACAGTAAATTATTTATATCAAAAAAAGAGGATGGAGAGAAGAAAAAGAAGGGAAAGCGATATATCTTGTTTTAGCCAATATGTAACAATGCTCAAAAGAGTCGTGTGATAACAACCACAAAAAGCTTATGATATTTGGGTACACAAACGATACAGAGCTTGATTATGAATATCACAGACTTTTTGCATTTGATGGAACATGGCACAAAGATCTTGGAGAGTGTGTATCGACAAATGTACCCATCAGAGTCACTTTGAGAAGGCTGTGTATTGCCTCTGAATCACTATCTTGGATCACGCTGATATGCAATCTATACATTTCAGTAATCTCTTCAAACATAGCATCTCATACTGATTCTCTCTAGTACATTAGGATGCATAAATCATCCAAATTTATACTTGTATTTTGCTATCAATAGCTTTTTATAGCCGATCATTTTGGAGAGATGACCATGGACCATGATAAAGCGGCACCATCGCATTATTTGAGACTTGTGGAATCTAGATATGTCAGTACAGTTGAGTGGCAAAGCTAATGCCCAAGTAATCCGGATCAAATACACTTTCAGTATCATGGAATGCTTCTGTTTCTACAGGGCAGTAGCCTCCTCACGTTGCAAAACATCTCTGTATGTGTCTATTGTGCCGTCAGTGAAAACGGTTGATGTGAAATGTCGAGCCTCCAATCTGTTGAATCTCTTCATGTAATCTTCCTCATGAGCAACGCAAACGTCACTTACATGAACAAACCCATTTCAAGAGCACATCTACAAGTCAGAACAGCTAGATCCTGATCCATTACTGCTCTCAAATACTCACACACAACGTCTTTCAATAGAGGAAACGTTGAAGCGCCGCATTGCCTCCTCTGCGATGATGACGTTGAAAAGAGACGCGTATGAACCTGTTTTGTTGCACATTTGAAAAATTAGCATACATTACTTTCCTCTCCCTCCTTTCTATTCATTTTCTCTATTAAACTTATATATCATGTCTGGATACGATCGCGCTTTAACAGTATTTTCTCCTGATGGCCACTTGTTTCAAGTAGAATACGCTTCAGAAGCTGTTAGAAAGGGTACCTGTGCTGTATGTTACCAAAGAAGTGTCATTTCATGTTGAATTATACTGATATTTGTCATTGTAGGTTGGTGTCCGTGGAAAGAACGTTGTTGTTCTCGGCGTTGAAAAGAAATCAGTATTGAAGTTGCAAGATGCTAGAACTGTCCGCAAGATTTGTATGCTTGATGATCACATCTGTATGGCTTTTGCAGGTAAGCACCATCGAAAAACTTGCCTTGTAGCCCTAATTGTTCATACTCATCGCTTCCAGGTTTAACTGCTGATGCCCGTGTCTTGATCAACAAGGCTAGAACTGAATGCCAGAGCCACCGTCTGACTGTTGAAGACCCCGCATCCGTTGAATACATTACGCGCCATATCGCTCAAGTCCAACAAGTAATGACAAGTGATTGCATAAATTTGGATAAACGTACTCATGCTTGTGATAGAAATATACCCAAAGTGGTGGTGTTCGTCCCTTTGGTATCTCTACACTAATTGTCGGTTTTGATAACAAAGAACCCAGATTGTACATGACCGAACCATCTGGTATCTACACTGCCTGGAAGGTGAGAAAAGAGTGGTTCGACCTGGAAGAGATAGACAACATAAACTGATCAACGCAACTATCATAGGCAAATGCTATCGGCAGAAGCTCCAAAACAGTTCGTGAATTTTTGGAAAAGAATTATGGCGAGGAAATGGATGAGAAGGATACCATCAAATTAGCTATCAAGTCTTTGTTAGAAGTTGTCCAAACAGGTGCCAAGAATATTGAAATTGCAGTGATGACATCGGATAACACTGTCAAGGTAATTATGCCAAATGATCAGCTTCGATTATGGTATACTTATCAGGTCGTTTGTAGCTCTTGGAACAGGAAGAGGTTGAAAGTGTCGTTGCAGAGATTGAAAAGGAAAAGGAGGAAGAGGCCGAAAAGAAGAAGAAGCCTGCAGTCGCATCAGGAGGCAATTAGGGATCTCAAATTGTCATTAATAAAAAATAACTTGAATACATCTGATTGCTGGTTTTTGCGCACGTACGTAATTCAAGTGTTTAAGCATATGATGGCAGGTGAGGTGGTGATGGTTTACGTAATGGCCCTTCGTCTGTCATCTAAATTAGATTTGATGCAAAGCTCAAGCGATTAAGGACTTGTTTGTAATAAATGTGGCGATTCCACTTATCATTCACAATGTTAATGAAAAAATCAAACAACATCTTGAAAAGACACGTCTGATCCGAATCCTGCTCTTGTTATAAACGGTCAACTATGATGCCTTGTCAGTTTTATTAGTAATTCCTATCGAATTAAAGTGTTTTCATACTAGCCGACCAATCTCGCTACGCTCGATGGCAGCGTGCCCTGAGGGGGGGGGGGGGGCTCTCGCCAAAGACATTCCAAATCAGCGATAATAAAATTCTAGCATACAAAATAGGTTTTAAACAATCAATTAATAGAAAAAAAAAAGGCCATATCAGAGTCGAGTGGGAGGTATCCATTTGCTAATGTTGCTCTTGAGATGATGACATAAAGCTGGCCATGTGTAAATGCAGGACTTGTGCAAGATCTACAGCGACTTTTTTGACATATTGACATTGCAAAAGACACTTTTACAGGGAAAACTACCAAGAAAAACAAATTATTTGGGCTAAGCAATTGTCTTTTCAATTCCATGATCCCCATTTGATCCATATCGCAATCATTATTGTCATCGTCAGAAAGGTATTTGGGCAAGCCAGCAGCAAGCCGCTGCCAAAATATATTTAAACTCAGACTACTTTTTTCTTTTCAAGATTGGACAGATTTTGTCTTTTTTCGACTTCTATAATCTATTTTGTAGGCTTCGGCCAAAACATTTCGTCTGTCTGTGCTGTCGTCGATGGAACAACCCTTGGTCTTGCAGAATATCTCTGCTTCTCATTGGAAATTCTTTTGGTCCCTGTCTCTTACCTACATTCAACGTAATGTGATATACCGGCTCATCACAGGCTGTATCCCTTTTCGAAGCAGATTACACTACATGATGCCTGGAGTCTTCGAGTCTCACAATTGTCCTGTCTGCTTGTCTCCCAATGAAACTGCCAGCCACCTGCTCTTTGACTGTCCATCCAAAGAAAAGGTATGGCAAGGCGTCATTTTTGAATTCCTATGGCCCACCACGTCCATCACTGACATCAAAGAGGCTCTTCTGTCCCTGGACTTTTCGGATATCTGGTACTCCCAAGTCAAAGGCATCCATCCATACAGAATCCTACTCATCACCCTGTCTCAAATATGGCTAGCCCAGATGCGCTTTGTTTTTGACAACATCATCCTTGTCCCTGAAGCGATTCTGGTGAATATCCGCTCCACTGTTCGCCAGACAGTGGATGAGGATCAAATCCACTCCCTCTTGTAGTTTAGATAGTTTCGATAGTTCTGTTTAGGTTAGTTTAGTTAATATTTTACCTTCTTTTTATTATTTTCTTTTCAATTGCACCCGCCTCTTCACTTCGACCCATTACTCCTAGTGTACGCGGCTCAATCAATAAACAAAATTTAGCAAAAAAAAATCTATTTTGTGATATTCGATTATATAAATTGTGATAATCACCCTACGCTTCCTAATATATTCTTGAAGTGCTTTTCAAGGCAATTCTAATGGTGCTAACTGTAATGAGTGTTTTGACTGAAATTATTGAGCAATTTAGTAGAATTTGAAATGAGGTTTTTAACGAAAATAGCTATATTTTGCATACGAAAGCCTCATAAAAGTAGTTTCATAGGTTGCTTTGGATCAAGAGAAACATTTTGGTTTGATATATACCATAGTAAAAATCTTCTTTATCAAGATGAAAAACGCGATCGTTTGATTTTCGATGAAAACCATGAGGGGTACCTCATGCTTTTCGGCCAATTTTTGGCCATGTTTTTTTTTTAGTCCAAAGTGTTGAGCAAAGGTGTTAGGAAGTTATTACTACTCAAGTACAATTGTTTGACGTCATTCCGGCGGCTCATAAAGGTCTACATGTCAAGACATGAAGGCTTGAAAGCTGTCAAATTTGGTTATGTAGTGCTTTATAGAGTTTATTTACACGGCATAAATCACATCTTTGCCAGCTGAGATCTTCTGGAGGGGTAGTTACTTAGCCTGTGCAATTCTTAATTCCAATAGGAGACATATTGATTTTGGCAAAGCTAATTCATGCAAATTTTGATGCGTTATGCTGTTGGTAAGCTTATTAATAATGATAATGAGAAGCCAAACTTACTACTTGATCACTATGGCTTTGCACGTTTGCTTCATTACGGTAAAACCGCCGCATAGGTCAATGCTACCAAATGTTGCCTTGAAATCACAAATCACACAATCCACAGCCAAATAGCAGGCAAGAAATCACTTAAAGCAGATGAGTGATGTTCTTGGAAGAGGGGCCTTTAATCTTTGATTAGCTACAACGGCGCTTTTGTGTTCAAGTTTTCCAGTATATATAATCACGATGATAGACTGTAGACTGAAAATACTATTCAATGTACGTAGCTTGTCAAAATGAGCCTTGAATACAACTTTTGCTGCATTATTGAGAGTCTTGCGCATCAGAACTGGACTTGAAATGTCAAATCAAGGCAAAATCACACATCTTACATGAATACTCTCATTATACGCTTCTTATGCGATGTCTATATAGAATGTATGTACCAAATGGTAGCCATCTATCTAACGAATGTAACTGCATGGCTTCCATGGCAACGGCCTTTTGTATAGAGTCCAAATCACATTCATGTCTCGAATAAGAGATTTACATGCTGACAAAGATTTAATCGCACGTGAGTGGGTAGTATATTTTTTTTCCCATTAATATGGGTCCAATGCAAGCAACTCTTATTTTCCCCACACTTCTTCATCCTTTTGATTAAACATGTCAGGCCCAGCATCCTCCTCCCCATCATCATCATCACCTACAGTAGAAGCATCTCCAGCAGCAACAGCAGCAGACGCTCCACCACTGTCTTTCAACTTTCCATATGGTGCTCAGCCCGATATTAGTAAGTTTTGTGAATACTTTGACAAAATATGCCTGTGCTGACAATGGTACTAGTTCGCGCTAATCAAAAGGATGTGTATTATCAATCCATTTTGCAAGAGCAAATGACTCGAGTCGCTCAACAATTCTTGGGAGCTAGACGCCAACATGTTTGGCAAAAGGAAATCAACACCATTTCAGACATTTGCTATTATGGATTGACAACATTGTTGGGTACGCAGACATTGGGCGAAGAGTATTGTGATATCGTTCAGATCAATCAATACAACCAAACATATCCTGGACTTGCGGTAAGTATTTGGGTATCTTAGTCGAATGGTATATTCATACTCTGTGGACAGCGCCGTTTCTTGCTCGTTTTTACGCAAGCTGTGTTGCCTTACATCTATACCCGAGGAGCAGCTGAATTGAAAAAGAGAGGGCGAGTTCAACAACAACAACAACAACAGCTAGATATCGACACATCAGCACAATCATTACAACAGCGCACACTAAATTTCTTGAAGCAGCATCTATCTCAAATCCAAGATTTTGTCGTAAAGAATGTTCGGCCCGTCCACTTGGCCATCTTTTATTTTTTTGGTGCCTATTACAATTTCTCCAAACGATTGACCGGTATTCGATATGTAAGAATATATTTGACAGTGGAGAGAAGGGAGCTGATGACTGATCGAGTGTAATAGATCTTTACTCGCCAATTAGGACTCCATGAACAAAGAGTGGGCTATGAAGTCTTGGGCGTTTTGATTGTCCTTCAATTGATGATCCAAGGCTATTTGACAGCTCGAAAGCGTATTCAAGCTGCGGCACAGCTGAAGAAGGAGGAAAGTGAGAAACTGTTAGTGGCACAGCAACAAGAGCAACAGCATTCCGAAGCCGAAGATGCGGAAGAAAAGGAGATTGTAGATGAAGATGATTTTGATTTTATGGATTCTGTTTTAGAGGAGGATGAAAAGGACGAGCCGCAACAAGAGCTGACGTATGAGCAATTGCAAATGCTGAAATGTGCACTGTGCCTGGAGCAACGTACAGTAACCACAACGACGCCCTGTGGTCACTTGTTTTGTTGGAATTGTATTGTAGAATGGTGTCAAAACAAGCCTGAATGTCCATTGTGCCGCAGTCATGTTAATATCTCTCATTTAGTGCCATTAAACAACTTTTAGATTGCACAATCAAACAGGGGTGGTGAGGGTCATACGAACTTTTTTTTTTTAGAATTTGGTCAGGTTCCTGGATACAATAGCCAGAGGATCATGGTTAGTAAAGTGGGGGAAATTCAATTAACCGAGATTGGGCGATCTATTCTGACTGATAGATGAGTAATTGGAGGCATAAGTGTTGTTTGTTTTTTGTGTATACGCGCACTTTTTCTATAGAATACAATGATGGTGGCTGCGGTCGTTGTTTTTGCCTGATAGTAAATCAATTTGTTTATATTGGAAACGTATGATTTCTTTTCCTGTTATACAACAGGAACAGTTGATGATAAATACAACAAAACGGAGTATTTAATGGGCCGTTTTCGATGCACATCTAGTGTCTTTGGCCATTCTTTACTTTCAATCCATGGCATTGCATCATCTGGGCGATGGATTATTAAGCAAGTGCTGCAAAAATGCGTATCTTTATGTATGCCTCAATAGGACTCATGTATAGCCTTCATTCAGCTTTCTTTACGTTATATCAAATATGGTGGCATGCAGAAAACATTTAACCGTTTTACCAAACAGTTTGTCGGTAATACTAGATTTTCCAAAATTCATTTTAAAAAACCGGGATTGTTACACTACTTTTTTGTGCACAATCTATCAAAAGGAAATGAAAAAAAAAAGGGAATTACGCATGAATTTCACAATGTCAAACACTGAAGGTTGCGTGCGCAAAAAAAAAGGAAGGCCGACACAAACAATGTGTGTTCTATCCAAGCAGGAAAAGCCCACATTTGCAGTAAAAAAAAAAAGTGGGGGTAAAACAATGAAATGTTTCGAAATGTCAAAATCCAGCATTTGCATATTTTTATAGAAACAATAAGAAGGGTGGTGCAAAGTCGATACCGAATGCTGGCGATGTAACAAAATTTATCCGAGCTTTATAAAACCATAAAAAAAAAGGTTTTAGACATATGATATCATCTACAAGGTCAATTGATGCATTTAAGTGTCATTGATTGATAAGAAATTGCACGCAATGGGGTTGTTTAAACAAGAAATATCGATGGTATGAATGGCATCCATAGTCAGCAGCAGCAGCAGCAGCAGTAACGACAGCAACAAACAGCCATGCTAGCGAGCCATATGAACCAACATCTCAAGAGCCCCCCCCCCACCTGTTGCTAATGGGAAAAACCTTACATTCAGACATGGTTGTTGTATAAAAGATTGGAGAAACACTAGTATATAAATGACCCCCTCCCTCTCTTCTCCCTTCTCTCACCTTTCTTTCCTCCTTCTCCCTACTATCCACTTTTTTTTTCTTGTTTCTTTGGACTAAAAGGATGATGAAATTCAACATTTTGGCAATCATGCTATGTTGCTGGATGCGACTAGTAACCGCACAACATGATCATATGGCTATGGATGATACTGTGCCCAAATTCAATGCTACAGGCGATGAGCCAATGTCATATGCATTATTTCCTGACGAAAAGGGCTACTTCTACATTCACGTTACTATGATGGTCATTGCTTTTTGGATCCTGATGCCTATTGGTAAGTAGTAACAGTATATCAGGCCAGCATTGCAATATGAATGCTGATATGTGGGGTGTAGGCATCATGCTTGGTATCGCAAAATCATCACTCCATGTTCCTATCCAAATATTGGCATTTTGCTTTGCCATGGTCGGTTTCTTCTTTGCCAAATTATATGGTCACTCGACTCCTCATCTTTATAAGGGAAACTCACATCATACACTGGGCTGGATTTTATTCTTATTTCTGATTGCTCAGATGAGTGTTGGTGTGGTGCGAAAAGTAGCAAATGCGATTGGTAGAAGCAGCAGTAATCACTATGAGCGATTGCAAGAAGAACATCGTCAATCACTCCAGCACAGCGCCTCGTCTTCCTCTGCCTTCGCCTCCTCCTCCTCCTCCTCGGACAGTGGAAGTCATAGCGCCACATCGGATCGTCATAGTGAAGCCAGTGGTGAGACACTTCACATGAATGAATTTGAATTCGATAAGCATCATGTTGTTCGTCATCACTATGATGATGAAGATCAAGATCAAGACGAAGAACAAGAGGGACATCACTTAGTCAACAACATGTCAACTAACACCACACAAAAGGAGCCAATCGTTATGCGCATGTACAACACTGTGTCACCCTATATACCCAACATTGTCAAAAACTCATTTGTCATGCTGGCTTATAACCCATTCACCAAGGTAGTCTGTCGCTATTTCCATATGATAATGGGAAGAACTTTTATCGTATTGATCTTTGTGCAAACATTGAGTGGTTTAGTGGTGTATCATGGTGTCTGCAGGTAAATAATCATTTGCCTCGAGAATTTGTGTCTGGTAGACTCACCTAAAGTCATGTAGATCTTGGGAAGTACTTGGCTGCATTGCTCATTTAATCAAGGGCGGTATCTTTTACTTTTACGGTATCGCTACATTTGGCCGTTACTTGGGCGCATTTGCTAACCGAGGTTGGGCATGGAATCGTGTGGACAGCGCTTCTGGCTACAGCTTTGAAATGATTGAATCTTGTCTCATCTTTGTCTATGGTATTACCAATACTTGGATGGAGCATTTCGGTCAAGATTCTGCATGGACTCACAAAGATCTAGAGCATGCTTCATTGGCCTTCATGTGGTGGTGGTGCGGTCTTATTGGCATTCTAGTAGAAAGTCGTGCCATCCGAAGACTTTTGGAACGCACTGTTTTGACCAAGACAAACACGCAGGCGCCTCCTCAAGGCTATTCATTGAATCCTTTCCCTGCATTGACTGTTGTCTTTACTGGTCTTTCAATGGGTTTACATGCGCAACAATCTGCCTATTCATCTAATATTCATTTTATGTGGGGCCTTCTGTTGGGATTGGCGGCCATATGTAGAATCATAACCTACCTCACCCTTTATCGTAATGCACCCGATACTTCCGTTCCAAGCCGACCACCAACAGAGTTGGTTGGCGCCTTCTTACTGATTGCTGGATCTATCTTGTTTATGGCCTCTAATTCTGGCACTGTCCTATGGCTTCGTAGAAACAATGTGGACTCCATGTTCTTACTGAATGTCATTGTTGCATTGACGTCTATGACGTTGATCTATGTTGCTACGTTACAAATCATCAAAGCATGGGCAGAGAAGCGAGAATATGCAAAGAAACAAAGCATAGATCAACAACCTCAATTTTAAATCATACAATACACTTTATTACATATCATACTCTACTTAATCATATAATAAAAAACTTAATTTGGTCTCTTCAATGCATTCTTTTCTCTTCAGTCTTGTCAACAGGCTCCTGGCTTTTGTGTACATTTATAGATGAAGTCAGTTTATTTAAGATTTGCGCATCTTGGGACAACACAGCGCTCAAATGATGGATTTTAGTATGTTTGTTGACTATATGCCGCCATAAATAATGACCATTTGGAAATATGGATCATTTTGAATAGAGGGTAAAAAGATGTATTGCCAAATCGCCTTTGTTCAAGTATATAAGGTTTCAAACAGCTACCAACTGGGCATGGATATCTCTTCAAATGAATAGTGTGTTCGACATTTACTACATTGATATCGCAGACGTTCCAACAACACACCTCAGGTTTATTAACACCAAAATGTTTAAGCACGGCTGAGTGAAAATACATTTAAAACACCGCTTCAACTTACGAGCGAAAACATTGATCAAATTGACCAAAAATATATTCTATTGATAATTACTCTTGAAAAGCTATATATACCACCCTTGGCACATTAATAGTTATAAATACTTGTTTGGATTCTCTATCGAATGGTGCTAAAATCTTGACAATTTCTCACCTTAACTGTTTCCTAAATCGGCAAATTGTAAAAACGCTTATTTAGTCGAAACTGTTAGATTCGTATTAATAAATGTCTAAAATAGTGATTTCAAGTGATGGAATGAATTTGTAGCTTTCGTTTTCACTAATACGTGCCATAGTAAAAAACGTTGTTTTTAGGGTGAAAAATGCGATTGACTGATTTTGGGCAAAACGCTCAAGGGGCAGGCTCATGGAAAATGAATGGATTTTGGTCAATGATTTTCGACCCAAAAAAAATTGAGATATTGCTACAGTCAGTAGGTACTCGTCGAGAGGAATTGTGTGGCGCCATTCTGACGGTCTAAAACGGCCTACAAAGGGAGATACAGGCCGCGCAATACCATCAAATTTTGCAGGATTTTGGTTTATTATTGGCTCTAGAGCGATAAAACCAGTATGGCCTGCAGCTTGAGCATGCTGAATCCATTGATCTTGATGCTGTGTGTCGTATAAAGATGCGAATATGCATTATAGTTTGGCTTTGAGGCAGATTATCAGAGTATATACCGCTGGAGGTGGCGGCTCGTAGCACATGCCACAGTCCCAATAAATGGTTCTGTTAAATGCACGTCTTGCTCAGGAAAACTTTGGACTATATAGGTGTCCTTCATGCTATTAGACGATGAAAATTGTATATGATTTGTTGCTTGTTCAAAAAACATGTGCTGGTGCCCTGTTTGAGTTCCCATATGATCGACATTTGATGTGGCTAAATTTGTCGACTAGCAATGTTCTGTCTGAGGATTGCTGTAAAGCTGAAACAGGGGTTGATTGATAAAATAGCTGCAATTTCTTACCGTTGCCTACAAATCATGCTTTGAATGCTCCACCCTAAATGTCGCCTACTGGATCGGCTGGCAAATCAGTCATCGTATTCATTCCCTCCAATAAAGACATTTTGATATGATTGTTTAGATACAGCATCAAGCTTGTTCCGTTAATAAACATGGCAGTTGCCTTGACTCTGATGGCTTTGATCTACTATGTTGCTATGTTGCAGATCAACAACGCATCAGCAGAGAGAGGCAATCATGTAGTTTAGCAAATCATGGAACAATGACCACAGCAATGGCAATCAACCATTGCTTTGTTACCAATCGACTCTCTCAAGCACAGCTAAACCCATAGCTATAAACAACAAGCATTGATTCAGGAGCAGAGCAGCAGTGCCATTCAACAGGCAGAAGGAGGGAGGGCAACACAAGAAAGTATCATGTAAAATTTTTGAATTGGCGTCCGGCACACACCCTATTTTTCCTCTTTCGCCATTTCTTAACTTCCCTTTCTCTTTCTTTTAAAAAATAATCTTCAATTCTTGCTATTTCCATCAAATCATGTCTGACATCAAGACAGCACACAATACAAGAGAAACCGAATTGAGTGATGGAACCACAGTCTATATCAATGGTAAAGTAGCAGCAGCATCCCAAAGCAGGAAATCAGGCGTATTGATCCCTAAAAAAAAAAAAAAAAAAAAGACCATGTGTATTTGGCATCTGAACATTTAGGCGAACCTTATTATATCGGCCGAGTCATGGAGTTCTGCACATCACACAAACGCAAAGGGCTACAAGTGCGTATTGCCTGGTACAACAGAATGAAGGACATCATCAACCGTAAGACGGCAGATTCTTGTCTGCTGGTGGCAACCATGCATTCAGACATCTACCCAGTGTCTTCCATCCGTGGCAAGTGCACTGTGATGCACAAGCACTATGTCCCCAACATTGATGTCTATAGAAAGCAGCAAGACCATTTTTACTACAACCAGCTCTACGATAGATACATACAGCGTGTCTACGATGTGGTGCCATGTGAAACAGTGCAAAATGTACCCATGGATACATTGGAGGCTCTCAAATCAAGGTATCAATTCATCGCCGTGGAGCAGGGAAAGGCGGCTGATTTAACAGTGGCAAGAAGAATATGCTGCGTCTGTCAGCAATGGTGCCAGAGTGCCATGTCTGTCAAATGCGCTGCCTGCCACAAGAGCTTCCACATGTCCTGCCTCAACCCTCCTCTGGCCCGCAAACCATCCAAGGGCTTTGCTTGGCAATGCGCCTATTGCACCCGTCAAGAACAACTGGCTGAATCTAACCCGGAAAGCCCTGTCACCAGTGTTACCTCGCATACGCGCTCCTCATCCAAAGCATCATCTCCAGAGACCTCTGATTCCCAACAACAGACAACCAAAGAACTCAGTATCGCTGCTGCTACTGCGGCTGTCGTTGCTACCAAGACCGAGCTCAAAAGACAGATGCGCGCTACTCGCTCTCAAGTCAAACAACAGCAGCAACAAGAAACACTATTGCTCAATGCCATGGTTGCTGAAGACGCATCAGCCAACTCTTTCAACACATCATCACCCAATTGCAGCAGAAAATCAAATCCCACCATCAAAAGGGAAGGACCACAAGGTAAGATGTGCTCTGCTCTGTTGCTTGACACATCAACAGCACCGTGCTCACTCGATAGATGCTATAGCACAACACATGAATATGACCAACATGTGGCCATTTCGCTATTTTGGTGTCAATACAGCCATTACAGATATTCTGGGTAATGAACTAGAAAATTTTACACAGCTTAAAAACGTCACTCATTGGAAAAATATCACTTGATAGATGTGGATGATCGTATCTACCCAAGAGCCAAGAGCCGAATTGGCACTAAATACCAAGCCAATGTGCCCGATTTCGTTCCACCCTCTCGCCAATCTCGCCATTCATCATCTACACCAGCAGCTTCAAGATCACCTCGAGGCTTATGGCCAGAAGAAGGCAGTGTAAATAAAGAAGCACAGAATGTGCTGGATCACCAGACACCCACCAAAGACACCAGTGATCAGGACGACATGGCATCGCCCTTCTCTGGCAGCTCTGACCTGACGAGCAGCATGCGACCTACAAGAGGCACCGATGACACAGTGACAGTAATCTACCGACCAGGCATTTTGAATGAATTGACCATTGATCACTACGTGGATAGTGTGAAAAAGCTAAAGAACATTCCTCTGCCGCCACACAATTCAGATCTGATGGACAGAGCACTGTATGAATTGGAGCTAAACAACTATGATACGGAAACGGCTTATGACAACATGTCAAAGCTGAATGGAGACGATTTCAAGCATGTTGTGGAGTGGACACCTGCCGAGATGGAGGCATTCGAGCAAAGCATCCGCGATCATGGCCACGACCTCAACTATGCCAAGGCTGCAGTCAAGACAAAGGACATGGCGGATATTGTACGCTACTTTTATCAGTGGAAAAAGACAGACCGTTATGAGCCCGTCTACTCTGAATGGACCAAGGTGTACAGACCTCTCAAAAAGTTCAAAAGGTTCCCTCGAGACATGGAAAGAGAAGCAGAAGAGGCTCGGCTGGAGAAAGAAAACGAAATGGCAGTAGAGCATGGAGAGCACACCGACCTCACGATTGTGCCCAGATCCACCTACGCATCCAGGAATTACCAATGCATGAACTGCTTGACAGAGCAATCCAGAATATGGAGACGATCACCATCTGACTTTGACAGAAAGAGAAAAGTGTTTAGCAAAGTGCTCTGCAACGATTGCGGTGTCTTTTGGCTGAAATACGCAAAAACGAAGCCTATATCACCAGAAACAAGAATCGCCAATGTCACCATGAGTTCAGCATCCAACAATGGACCGCTCTCGGGAGGAGACAATAAACGAAAGAGAAGTGAATCTCATAGCAGCAGCATGAAACAGCGACTCAATGATGACCAGGAGTATTTGGAATTTAATCCCTCATCATGCACCATCTGCCATATCATGAGTGGCCCACCCAACAGTCTGTATACATGCTATTCGTGTGGTATGTCGGTGCATCACGATTGCTATGGTGTCAAGGACAAGACAGAGCATATTGGCTGGCAATGTGATCCATGCCAAAACAGAAAGAAACCAGTGGCCTCTTACAACTACGAGTGCGTGCTATGCTACAATACCACATCCAAACATCAAGCGCTTAAAATGACATCTGGCTACTGCTGGGCTCATGTGCAATGTGCCGTATTTATCCCTGAGGTCAAATTCGTAAATCCTTCAACGTTGTCACCTGTGGAGTACATTGGCTGCGTCAATCCAGCAAGAACCGAGGCTCAGTGTTCCCTATGCGATGATCAGCGTGGTGCCTGTATCGCTTGTTCCGAATGTAACAAAACCATGCATGTTCAATGCGCTGTGGACAACAATTATCGCTTGCTATTTGAGATACTGCCACCCAATGCTAAAAGCCATCGACATCAATCCCATTGTCCAGCCATACCTGCTGGCCACTTCAGCACCAACTCTGCCGCTGGCATCATGGTGCCTCAAGTCATTTGTCCTAGCCATAGTCTCACGGGTAAACAGCTAGTTCGTATTGAAGAGAGAACAGCCAACGAATCAAGAAAAAGCGCTCTGTATACCTTTTGCAACTATTTCAAGCGCATCTCAAGTAACAGCACTCCAGCCATGCGTAGATATCTAGCTTCCTCTGCATACAACCACACCAAAAAGATGTCTAAGAAGATGCCCTCTCAATTAGATGCTCTTGTTGATTCACTCACCATGGACGCTTCCCTATCATCCTACGCTGGCTCTCATGAATCTCGCTCAAGAGCAATCTTAACGTCGCTATCCCCCTCTTCATCAGCATCATCAGCATCCTCTCGTTCATGCAGCCAATGCCCTGCCAAATTCTCGCCCATTTGGTGGAGCGTGGGTTCAGACCCCTATTCCCTTCAAAGATTGTGCCAACGTTGTCACAACAAAGAACAACTCGATCAGCAACATGTACATTAAATAGCAAATGTAAATAAAATGCATACACATTCCCTGGTTGACGTAACCATTTTTCATCATGAGTACATGTGGTTTGAACGAGTCTTGTTGAGAGCCATTCTTTCTTGCAATAGAACAAACACGTTTTTATACACGAGGCACATATCAAAACGTAATTTATAGTAGGTATCAGTTTATTTGTGGAAAATCACCAGATGGCTCTTCCAGGGTAGACAAGTGTGTAGTTGTCTATATAACTGTCTGTCAACATCTCATCATCCGCCTCGACTGTGCTTTTCGCCAAAAACACAGGCGCAATACTCAGGTAGATCTTTTCCTGGCCCGGCTTTTCTTCACCCACATGACGATAGACATGTTTGACTTGATTGGGGATCACCTTGTCATTTGTGCGTAATGTGTGTATAAGAAGCACATCGTCCTGTCCATTGATTGGCAAGCATAGATCCGATGCCATGTCGACCAATTTCTCGATACGCTGTATGATATCTGGTGTCATTTCATACAGTGGTGTTAATGTGGCTGCAATCTCCTTGATGATCGATGTCTTTGCTTGTTCAATGGTAGCCATGATCTGAGGATCTTTTCGTTGAATCAGTTCTGCAGTTGCCTTTGCCGTTTTTAGCCTTAAATCCTTAGCCCATGCCGTATGCTTGGTATCAACGAATAGACGATGGATACGACCAAAGGACTCATTGGTAGCCTGGTCCATATGGATGCCTGTCTTGAGTACACTTGCTACAATCTTTTCTGTAAGGTATCGTTCAATCAATACAGAGACCAGCATGTAATCCGTCTTGTCTGCATTGGATTGGATTGCTTTATCAAAGAGTGCTGCAATTTGTGCTGCATCTTGCTCAAACAATCCACAAAAGAAAAGCTTGGCTTGACCTGGATTCTGCATGCATTTGAAGGCGCTCTTGGCGTTGGGCGAGAAATTGTTGACTTTGCCCGAAAATTTACCTAGTGTTGCAATGATGGTGGAGAAATCATCGTCGGTCACTCGGATGGGTTTGGTCGTCTCGTACAGTGTATTTTGCATCTCTTTTAAGTTGACCTTGAGCTCATCGTTACGCTGCTTGGCTTTATCCAACTCCATCTCACAATGGCGTCTTTGTTGAGATGCCTGCGCCAGTTCTTGTTGAGATTGCTTGACTTGATTTTGCAAGTTATCGTAATAGGTTTGTAGTAATTGTTGTCGCTTGAACAACATCTTTTCTCGAGCATCATTGTTGATGGAAGAGGAGAGGCGCTTGTCAGATGCTGCAGTAGATGCTGTTGTTGCTGTCGTGATGGTACTGTTGGCGAGAGACATGGATTTGGTATAGAAAAAAGGGAGAACAGAGAATAATAACACAAGCACGAAATCCAATGTATGAAAAAAATCAGGTACTCAGCCTCACAACGTGTAAGTTGTGCAACCTAACTTAGCCGCTTGTACCTGAATAGCTTGGCTTTACAGTTTACTTGTACAAAATTTAGGGCTTGCATATCGGTGAGACGGCGTTGTGTCAAAGACCCATCTCAACTTGCATACTGTGCGCAAGCGTAGCGTATGATCTTGCTGTGTGATATACCAGTATTCTCAAATTTATCTGTATATCACAACCTCATTAAACACATCCAGTTGACTTAAATCATGCGCAAATAGTTCTTTGGTTTATTTCTACATTAATAGTGCTCTCTCTCTCAAGCATCTAGCCCCTACTTGCTCCCATTCATCATCAGCAATCCACATATCCTTGGCTGAATCTAGCTTGGCCATCACAGAAGCACCCTTCCACACCAGCACTTCAGGGTCTAACTCTCTCGGTGCTGGAACCACTTCAACACGATCGATATTTGCCCTTTGTGCAATGATGGTTGAGAGAACACTATAGTCATCATTATTAGTCATACATCGTATCAAGTACATTTTCTACTTTACCGGTCTTCCAAGACACGACTGAAATTAACCACTTTGCCGCCGCCGCCAACGAGAATAATACTGGTAAAATATCTCTTGAGCTTCTCTTCAGATCCATTCGCTGCTGATACAATGGACTGGGCGATAGCAACATCGATAGGGAAAGAGTCATAATCTTTTGTATCATCCTGGCCATTCGCATTGTTACTGCTTGACTATCGACAAATGCCGTCAATGTACTGTCAAGCATACCTAATTCATTCAAACTTACATTGTTGGCATCTTCAATGACATCGTCAGTGACATTTTTGTTGACCCAATTTGCCTTTTTGCTTTTGGGCTGCAAAATGTTGGGATAAACAAGACAAAGAGGGGCCAAAAACACCTCATCATAGACTTTGCATTGATATTTGAGTGTTGGCTTGAAAGGCGTACGAGCAAAAAAGTCGTACACTTGCACACTGATGTCAGCTTCGTTCATTGTGCACCATTTCTCTTTCAATATCTCTGCTAATCGCCAGTCGTAAGTTGTTGAGAGATCAATGTCTGCATAGGGAAACTTGTTTTTGAGTAAAAATGACGCAAATGTCTTTGTGATATCGTCCCCACCAAGGCGAATGGAGATACGGGACTCTAACTGACATACACCATCTTCTATACAGACAATGTTGGTCTTTTGTGCTCCAATATCCACTACGACTGCACTCGATACACCAGCACCATAAGTGGCAGCCGTTGACTCCTGCTGCACAATCACTGCCTTGAACTTCATATAGCGTAACATCATGGTGACTAGATCACAAATGTAACTATGGTCTAGCTTGTCAGGAATAACCAATACTGCATTGCAATCCTAATATCTGTGTATCAGGATGGTGTACTCGTGTAAGCCCTATCATGTCCACGTACCTTGAATTCAGATCTCTCCACTTCTAGATCATTCACAATGACATCTGACCAGATAGCTTCCAAATCACTCAAGACTTCATTGACAGATGTGTAGTCTTGATTGTTCAAGGTGCCATTCTTCCATGGATATCGAACGCTGTATAAAGAATTTTTGGATACTGGTACATTCAAAGCCTTTTCGCCCACAAAATAAGGAATGTCCTTGTTGACTTCTGTCCACTCTACTTTGTAAGGGTCGTTGTGATCGAGAATCGTCTCTTTGACAGCTGTGGCATTGAAGCCAATCACTTGGCCTTCTGCGTTGGGCACTGCTCTACGTTTTGCATTCTTCATACGCCATCTTAACTCGCCTCTGATCTCCTCTAATGCGTAATCGTATTCCTCCTGGTTCACCTCGGGCTGATCAATGTCCATATGATCGTCTGCTGTATTCACTGGTGTCTTTAATTTTCTAGCAATGACATGAGGCACAGAGATGGGAAACGCCTCTGATGCAAGACCAATTCTCAGATTACGTGAGCCTGGGTGAATAACGATTGTGTCTCTCCATTCCTCCTCTGCCTATTCATCCGTCTGTCAGCCCATGTATAGGTAACATTCAAAATTGACACTTACATTGGGTAGCAGTTCGTCACTGCCTGCTTTATGGCCAGGAAAGTAGGAAGTATCATTTTTGGCGTAGTTACTGGTGATGTTACGTGTTGGCAGAATATTATAACCCTTGACAGGAAAGGTGGTGTATTTGAACAGAGGTTGGCCCTTCATATAATTAGCAGATGTAGTGATGGCTTGATCATCTTCTTCCTTGGTATGTCTACTGCCATTCTCTGCGGATGTTGTTATGGATGAAGATGCAGGCGTTGCTGTCTTGGACGTGTGGGCTGCATTTGTTTTTCTGCCTGGTTTAAGTCCTGGTTTTTCTCTTTTAATGGAAGCAGATGAAGGAGGAGGCGATGATCCCTTCTTGTGCTTTGAGGTGAGTGGTTTGGAGGATGTTGCTGTACTGAATGGTTCATTATAGACATCAGTGTTTAGCTTCTGCTTTTTGCTCTTTTTAGGCGTTGGTGGTGAAGCTGTGGCAGAGGTATCTTTGCTTTTATTACGTGCCTCAGGACTGGAGGAGGATGCTTGTGCTAAATGCGTTGAAGCAGCATGACCAGATGCATTTGCTACAGGCGACACAGGTGCTGTAGCTTCCTCCATCCACGCGTACTTTTTCTGCGACAAGTTTTTCAAAAAGTTATTACTATGCTGATGATCAGACATGCTTGCAAATGTATAGTAGAAAGATGTAGATAAAGAAAGGCTCAATTCAGTAGGATGTCCCCATTTACATCAGATGAAATTACACAGGAAACTGGTGACTGTGCAAGCTAGATGAAATGGCATGTCTAAAGCCAATCGCAGTAGCTACACAGCATTATAAATGTTTGGAAAGCAATAGCAAATTTGACTTTTATCACACCAATGGAGCTTTACAACCACCCTCAAGTATTTATTGTTTTGTTGTACAATTCCACACGTGCAACATGATTCATTTGTTTCATATTCGTATAGCCTGTGTCTTTGTTTTCTTGAATTTCCCTGGAGGCAGCTTCAACGAGAAGAGCACATCGTTCTTTCATCATCTTTCTCTGTTTTTGCACGTACACAGCCTTTTGCAACCTAACATACAAATCGCGGGCTAGTCTGCCTACACCGTCGTTCATGCGGGAAGCACCATAATTGTTCAATCTCTGCAATGACAGCTATTGAAAGAGCAAAGCACTAAGAAGCATGATACAATAGTCCGTAATTACGTTTGAGCAGACCTGCAAAATGACTAATCATGTAAGAATAATGTATGAATGATAGAGGAATTAGACATTGGTCCATTTAAAGTATAGAAGCAAGCCTTACCAGATCGATTTTCCCTTGGGTTTCACTTCTTCAGCCTTGCTGGACTTGAGCGCACTATCAGTTGAAATGCAGTATTACTAATCAAAAGCAAATATTTCACTTAATCGTACAAATGTATGGAATGCTTACATTACGAGGCTAACGAAAAGAAGTACTACTATAAACGAAAGCAATATAGACAATATCATGATCTTGTAGTCATCACCTGCAATTCTATCCTTTATATGGTTCCAGACACCGTAAATGCAGAGCCATAAAATTGAGAAAGCTTTGAATAGACTACTAAAACTGTTGCTTGAGCTGATATCGCTAAATTCGATTGAGTTTGGCTGATTTGTTACTCCAGAGTATCTCTCTTGGAAGTATGGATCATCTTTTCCAGCCAATAGCACTATCAAAACATTGGTAAATGCAAACATACAGTATTTTAACTTGAAATTGAGACGATTTTCAAAAAAAATTAGACAAATAAAAAATTAATTTTGGATGATTTATGATGTTTCTTTGGACGATTTCGCCCAGCCCAATTTAGACGAATGTGATTATTTTTTAGACGAATGTAATATTATTTCAGACGCATTTACTAATTAAATGTTGGAGACAAGTACTCTATTGCTTTAGCTATTTTAACCCAACTTCTCTTTCTATACATCGATCCCAGTAACTTTCAGCATGTCGTACCCAGCCTTGAAAATCGGCAACGGTAACTTGTTTACAAGCCTCAGCAATACGAGATGTAAGCATGTCTGATTTATCGAGTGGATTCCTTCTTATGTTTTTCTTGATCTTGGACCAGCATTCTTCGATAGGGTTCAAAAAGGGTGAGTATGGGGGGCATGAATAGTGGTTTGTAGTCACGTTGATTGATTGCATCTACTACAAAACGAGAGTGATGGATCCTACAGTTGTCCATGACGATAAACATACCTTTTTTTGTTGTGTTTATCTAAAATATCCATTACTGATTCCATGAATTTGACAATGTGGTAAGCCGTTGTACCTTTTTTAAGCTGGATCGGCTTCGATTCACTTTTGCTCCCAGCTTTTCTTTTCTTTGAAGGAGATGATCCAGGAAACTCTTTTTCAATTAGTGCTGCATCCGATTTCTTCAAGGGTTCAACTTTTGAAAAACAAACGGTGCCAAAGGAAGATATACAACCAACGATGCTGATATTTACGCCTTTCTGCGTATGAACTTTTACAATTGCTGGATCTCCTACCTTCGACCAAGCACGACTTCTCGTTAATTGTGAGTGGAAGCCAGCCTCATCAACAAAGATGCAATTTTCACTAAAACTGACACCTGCGGCTTTCCATTGATTGACTATATTGAAGCGAAGTTCGAGAGTTCTTGGAGCATCACGCTCCACAGTGTATTTTGTAGCTTGCTTGAGCGATATTGAACACTTCTCTCGGATATGTTTATACAGGTCAGGAATAGATATTTCAAGACCATTAAAATGTTCACACAACTTTAGTCTTGCCTCCTCAAGAACAATTGAAGGGTTGATATCAAATAACTCAATCAAGAAGGCTGAATGTTGTGGAAACAGTTTTTTTGGCCCTCGCTTAAGTGCCTTAGGAATATTGCCAGGAAGTACAGAACCGTCTCCAGCATTAAACTCATCTAGCAGTTTGTAAGCACTGCTGCGGGGTATACTGCATTGCTCTGCTGCTTTTGGTACTGTTAGTCCCTCCTCTTGGATAATTCGAATGAACCGCTCAATTTGATCCTGACCGTATTTCTTATACTTCGCAGGTGTTTTGATAGTAACTTCTTGAAAAGTTTCAACAAGATTTTCCGTCACTTCCTCCATTTCAGATGACTGAAGCTCAGGAACGGGGATTATGTCCATGTCGATCAACATCTGGACTTCTCCATACTGAATGGCTAGGTCGCTAAAATCCGTTTCATCGGTGCTTTCATCGTCTGCCAAAAGAGAGTACTCAGATGGGTTGTAGTGAATGAAATCCATTGTAATTTATTTAGACTTTAAAAGTGAAAGATCTAAATAAAAGTTAAGTTCGTTTAAAAAAGAAACACACCCGTCTAAAAAAATATCTTAAATAACTGCAGTGTCAAAAACAAAGGACAGTGTTCTGGACAGCGTTCTGGACAGTGTCCACGTAGTGTCAAAAAAAAAGGACAGTGTCCACGTAGTGTCAAAAAAAAGGACAGTTGTTGTGCCAGAAGGGCTACAACTGTCTATAAAGATTAAGGTATTCTTGATGGGTAGATATGTCTGTGTTGTGCAACAACATGGACAAGCTATGATAAGTGAAGTGCATCTCAGCTATCTAAATACTGAGGTTCACCAGATGTGATAAGCGTTGTACAAGATAAATTGCTACTTTGGCATTCAGAACTTAGTATAAATAGAATAACTCTTGTCTTCATCAATAAATCTTTAGTTTTTGTGTCTGATCTTATTCAAATAAGTCTTTTCTTGTTTTTATAATATTGAACATTTTTTATAAGCTACAAATAATAATCCTTTTATTCTTTGTGCTTAACAACAGTGTTCTGGACAGTGTCCACGTAGTGTCAAAAAAAGGACAGTGTTCTGGACAGTGTCCACGTAGTGTCAAAAAAAAAGGACAGCGTTCTGGACAGTGTCCACGTAGTGTCAAAAAAAAGGACAGTGTCCACGTAGTGCCAAAAAAAAAGGACAGTGTTCTGGACAGTGTCCACGTAGTGTCAAAAAAAAGGACAGTGTCCACGTAGTGTCAAAAAAAAAGGACAATGTTCTGGACAGTGTCCACGTAGTGCCAAAAAAAAAGGACAGTGTTCTGGACAGTGTTCTGGACAGTGTCCACGTAGTGCCAAAAAAAAGGACAGTGTTCTGGACAGTGTCCTGGACAGTGTCCACGTAGTGTCAAAAAAAAGGACAGTGTTCCGGACAGTGTTCTGGACAGTGTTCTGGACAGTGTCCATGTTGTGTGAAAAAAAGCTTTTCCTTTCTTTGATTTGTATAATGCCTATCATTTCGAAGGAACAAGCAGTGTGTATATTTTACTGCCAAGCGTATAACGAGTCTAATGTTGCTGAACTGACGAAAAGGATCGAAGAAATGAAAGATGTTGATATATGTTATTTGGAAGATCCCACCGAACCTATTTTGGTTTCTCTCTTGTCTATGAAGTCTTATCCTTCAAAATATCGGCGATATCCCACAGTTCTCATCGAAAGACCAACTTTAAGAAGAAAAATAGAGGGAAAGCATAGTTTTTTATAATAAGAGGTCTTATGCTTTAATGGAGTCATCATCATCTTTCTAATTTACGTTTTTATACTGTAGGGGGAAAAACTGTCCCGTTCGTTCAAATAATCTTGACTTTTACCCAGTATATTGCCAAAACTCAGAAAACAAAGCTACCCCATACTGCGTTCGATAGAACAGCTTATAGGAATCACAGCAACGTAAAAACCTTATGGCTGGACTATATTTTAATTCCAGTATAACCAGCTAAAGTGAGACGTGGCAAAAATGTTAGGTGGGTAATTCTAGATGATATAAAATGGTTGATATCTTTACTTCAAATAGACGTATTGAAGAAATCTAAAAAACTACTCGCGGTATGCTCAGGATATCTAATATCCCAGGAGCACTCTAAAAGTATAAGAGAAGCTAGTTTCTTCATGTTTTTTCTTTATTTCTTTGCTTTCTTATTTTTTTTCAAAACTTTCATTTTGCCTGCTCGTTTAACACAAGATTTGCGCAACATTCTCCAATCTTTGCTCCAACGTGGTCTTTCGCTCTCAAAGATAAAGAATTTGTATCCAGGAGTGGGTAACTTTACCCTTACAAGGCTCAGAAAACTATATTGCCCTGACCTCGCTATACTTGTTGGCGGAAGACCGAAAAAACTTGATGTTAAAACTATGTCCCTAGTGTCAAGAGGACTTCGATCAGGTGCTTTAGAGAATCCCCGAGCAGCACAAGAAATTTTAAGATCGATGGGCCATGATATGTCAATTAATGGCATCCGCAAGTCATTGAGACGAAATGGACTTAAATCTCGTAGAAAAGTAAAGACCAATTTTGTTAGCAAGACAAACAAGCGGCTTCGATTGGCGTGGGCTAAAAAGCATAGGCATCTTACTATTGCTGATTGGCGTCGTTGGGTGTTTTCGGATGAAACAAGAATAAATCTTTGGGGCTCAGATGGTAATTCTTTTTACTGGACGAATGGTGGCCGAATCATGCAGTCGTATCAAGTCAAGTCTCAGTTGCAGGGAAATGACGGTGGGGTCATGTTCTGGAGTTATATAACAACGGAGGGGCCTGGTTATGGTACTACCATTATTGAAGACGCAATAAACTCGGGCTTGTATGTCGATATTTTGAAGACATCATTGGTCGACACTCTTGAGCACTTTGGGAAGGCACCGTCTGATGTGCAATTCCAACAAGGCAGGGCAACACCGCATACCTCAGGCACTACTAAGCAATGGTTCACCGACAATGGGTTCAACCCAGACGAAATTATGGATTGGCCACCCCAAAGTCCCAATCTTAATCCCATTGAACATGTCTGGCATCTCCTAAAGCTTCGTCTTAATAAGTATCCCAATAGGCCCTCTACAAAAGAAGAATTAGAGCGGCGTATTAACATTCAGTGGTACAAAATAACAGAAAAAGAGTGCCAGAAATATATTGATAGTATGCCTGCCCGAATCCAGGCTGTCATCAAGAGCAAAGGTGGTTCAACTCACTATTAATGATTTTATAATAAAATGTACATTTTTCTATATTTATTTTTTAACCAATAAAATCATTGGATTTTAGTTTTTGAAAACGTTATAATTATGTATAGATAGCACTGCTTTCTCTCATTCAAACGATATATATTTCGACTTTGTATACAAAGAAATGACCAAAAACTTGTGCAAAAAGACAAAATTTTAAACGAACGGGACAGTTTTTCCCCCTACAGTATATTAATTCTACTTTATTTCCTCCAGGCAAAATTTTGTTACCAGTTTTGGTCAATCAAGTTTATTTACAAATAAAACTGCAGTCAAGATAGTCATTTTGTATAAAATGGTCCAAACTATATTTCATGAAGAGAAGAGAGAAAGGTGGGAAGAAAAGTGTAGGGGATCAATAATCAATGACATGATAATGGGATTTAATATTGATGGACTGAATAATGGTAGATAAATCATAAAAATTGGAATCACTTTGATCTCTGGTATGTCCTTGTTCGACAGTTGAAAATCTGCAATTTTTTTGGATCCTGTAGTAATTCGCAACAATTATAAATGTTGATTGTGTTGTCAAATGGCAAGTGATCAACTATAATTTTGCAAATATTCTTGCTGTTGCTATAAAAAAAATTTCAGTAATTTACTATCATGAAACGTGTCTTTACGACATTACCGTAAAAAGGTTTCCAAATCTTTACAATTGGTTGATAAACCCGCATAACCGAGAATAATTAAGCAAATGTTCTTATTTTGGTTGATGTAATTAAGCAAATCTAAAAAGTTGTTAGAATCAAAGATAAATGCATTGACGACTTTTTTTTACCTTGAGCGTCGCCATCGACAGTCAGTTGTTTAAAAAGATCTTCGTTTGTTATCAAATCCCTTTCTACCATCAATTCATTGGCATTGGCACGAGGGGAAACGAAAATCTTGTCGACCAACGATCTTTCTTTTAATCTACTGGCCATTTGTTGCAATAGCCGAGTACGAGATTCATCGTTTTCATTTGTTCGAGATTTTCTTGCATAGCCTACAATGTTGTATTTTTCCTTCTTGAGATTTTGAATTAACAACTGATAGTGAGGCAAGTAATCCAGTACTTTTTTTGCTATATCATCTGAAAATCGGATTAACACAGATAAATGATATCCAAAAAATTATTTTACCAATATATTGTTCTTTTGCAACAAACAGTGAGCGTACGCTGACTTTCCCGCTGTCACATTGTCTTCTTTTCGAGTGTGCAGCTGTGAAGTCTACTTTATTTGTACACCATTTACCAAAAGAAATAACGGTCTTTTTGTCAAATAAATCGGTATATTTACAAACCATTGAAAGTATGTCGCTGTTGGCCAAAGATTTGCATTCGTAGACTTCTTCATTCATTGGATCACTGGGCAAGTATGCTATGTTAAGAAATTGAATAACCTGAGCATGACTGACTATTATAAAGAAAAGAAAAAAGATTAGATATCGTGAAGAACTGCCAGCTATCATCTATCATTACCAAATTGAACTTTATTTTCCTCTTGTTGATTATCATCTGTGCGTGGAATTCCTGTTGTATACAAGTGATAGCGAAAGGGCCGGCTGTTTATAGTTATGATACACGCCAAAATAGGTTCGGTGGGGTCTTCCAAATAACATATATCAACATCTTTCATTTCTTCGATCCTTTTCGTCAGTTCAGCAACATTAGACTCGTTATACTCTTGGCAGTAAAATATACACACTGCTTGTTCCTTCGAAATGATAGGCATTATACAAATCAAAGAAAGAAAAAGCTTTTTTTCACACAACATGGACACTGTCCAGAACACTGTCCTTTTTTTTTGGCACTACGAGGACACTGTCCAGAACACTGTCCTTTTTTTTTGGCACTACGTGGACACTGTCCAGGACACTGTCCAGAACACTGTCCTTTTTTTTGGCACTACGTGGACACTGTCCAGAACACTGTCCTTTTTTTTAACACTACGTGGACACTGTCCAGAACACTGTCCTTTTTTTTGGCACTACGTGGACACTGTCCAGAACACTGTCCTTTTTTTTTGGCACTACGTGGACACTGTCCAGAACACTGTCCTTTTTTTTGACACTACGTGGACACTGTCCAGGACACTGTCCTTTTTTTTTGGCACTACGTGGACACTGTCCAGAACACTGTCCTTTTTTTTAACACTACGTGGACACTGTCCAGAACACTGTCCTTTTTTCTGGCACTACGTGGACACTGTCCAGAACACTGTCCTTTTTTTTGACACTACGTGGACACTGTCCAGGACACTGTCCAGAACACTGTTCTTTTTTTTGACACTACTGATGAATTCGTAATAATAAGTCGATGATAATAATCAGTTGTCAACTGTATCTAAAACGAAAGCAAAGAGCTTCTTTATTACAGGGCATCTAGCTTGCTTAAATATGGTAGATCCCTGGTCAATGACTACTACGTTGAGATGGTATATAAATAGCAGGCCACTGGGGCCTTATGGATTGTTGGTATAGCTTGTTGGGAGGCCACCTAAGTCGATATGTTTCATGTAGTGTAGGTGGATCTCGATATCTTGACATTGGGGAGATTGAATGTATTGTAGTTCCTGAGGCACCTGTGCACACACAATCGGCTGGACTTGTAAACATAGATGTGATGTGATACGATAAACATCATCTATGCTGCTACACTGTAAAAGGTGGCTTGAGGAGAGAGTGAATGTAGCCTAAGATGCATGCTTGTATGCAACATAATCTTGCAATATTAGCCAAAAGCTTGCAGCAGTGCGAGCCACCTAAACCTAGAATGGCTTCCACTAAAGCAAAGCGTAGGTCAGTAAACCAACCAAAGAGTCCAAATCCTCATTGTAACGTAATAAATTTATGGTCCCTAGACACCTTTAAAGCCTCAAAAAGGAAAGGAGTTGATCTAACACGTATTTTGATAGACTGGCATTATTAACTATAGAATACAAGGAGAATAGCATGGCTAACAATAGTGATATGTAATTTGTCGCCTACTTTCCATACGTTGCAAAGGCATCTATCACTGTATTGCCTTCGTGATGAAAAGAGCATTGAGTTTGCTAGCTGGCCCCGCCAGTCGCCAAAATTAGTGCCAACTCAGACTCGTAGTCAACTCCAGATTGGCCAGATTTAGATAGCTTTTCGACTTGATTCAACTATTTTGCCAAGTTCAACTATAAAAAATAGGTTGATCATCCCATGCTTCCTAATACATTCTTGGAGTGCTTTTCAAAGTGCACCCAATGGTGCCAAGTAACGTAGATGTTTTGAATAAACTTGTCGAGCAATTTATGAAAATATAAAAAGAGGTCTCTGTCCAAAAAGTCAAGATTTTACATATCAAGCTCCCACAAAGATGACTTCAGGGATTACGTTAGATCGATAGAAACGTTTTGATTCAATATATACCATAGTAAAAGTCTTCATTATCAAGGTGAAAAAACGCGATCGTTTAATTTCCGGTAAAAATTTTTCTTTTGTATGGAGGAAGGCAGGCTACCACTCGTATTTATTATGTTATTAACATGCTACCAGAAGACTATTCTACCTAAAACGACTAGTCTATAAGTGTGTGCACAAGAGGGACAAGAAGGGCATGACTACTAATTTGAATTGTTACTGGGGCAAAGAGTGTGTTCTCACGAGAAGAGCCCAGGAGATATTTGACTAAGGATAGTACTGTCAGCACTTGATCAGATGGTTATCGCGAGAGAACAAAGATACTCGACCGAAGCCGCAAGCAAGAGAGAGAGCAATCAGAACCACATCAACAACAAACCAAACGTTCACGTCAGTGAAACACATCATCCACAGTTGAGAGCAGAAGAGACTCGGTATATGTGATAAATCACATACCCTGGCTACTCCTGACGTTATTCTTCTATGTTGAAAAAAAACCTTGGTAAGGGAAAAACATAGCGACTATGTACTCTGTCAACTATCGAGATGGGAGAGACCATAATGTGCGCCACTACCGCACAAAAATAGGGAATCACCCCATTTGACCAAAAATTTCGTAGAAAAGGGGAAAGAAAGGTTTATTTCCGGTGAAAACCATGAGGGATACCTCATGCTTTTTGGTCGAATTCTGTCCATTGAGCAATAGTGGCAAGAATTAACTGCCAGATGAGAGCAATTGTTTGGCGTCATTCCGATGGCTCAGAAAGGCCTACATGTCAAGATATGAAGGCTTAAACGCTGTCAAATTTGGCTATACGTTTGCTTTATAGCTTTTATTTATACAGCATGAATCACATCTCTGGTAGCTGAAATCCTTTGGAAGGACAGTTCTGCAGCCTGTGCAGCTTCTAATTCGAATAGGAGGCAAATTGGTTTCGATAAAGCTAATTCATGCAAACATTGGTGCGTTCTGTTGTTGGTAAGCTTATTAATTAATATTAAAAGAAAAAGCCGAGTTTGCTAATTGAATACTATGGTTCTGTATCTTTGCTTTGCTACGGTAAAACCCTTATTAGGATTAATGTTGCTAGACGTTGGATTAGATGCTTGGTTGCCATGGTTTTGAGCCTTCGCTTCGCTGTTGTAAAACCCTCATACAAATCAATGCTATGAAATATTGAATTATAAGCTTAGCCGCCATGATTTTGCACCTTTGTTTCGCTACTGTAAACCCCTGTTATAGGTCAATGTTACCAAATGTTGCGTTAGATGCGTCAAGTTCTTAGGGAAAAGCTTCCGATCTCTGATTGGCTACTCTGACGTTTTTATTTCATAATTTTCTAGTACTTACTATACTAGTCGATCTATCTCGCTACGCTCGATGTCGGCGTCGCCCTGTGGGCTTTGGCCAAATACAACAAAGCTGGTTAAATCAATGTTATAAAGGGTAAAAAGAAAAGAGTAGTTATATTAAGTAGTATCTGAAAATAGAACTTCAGGATACACCACATTTTCTGTGTGTTTCATATTTTTGGGCAACAATATAGTCATGCCATTGGGAGATGTTGCTCTTGACATGACAACATAGTGTTGGCCATGAGTAAATACGGGGCTCCTGAGGTCCACGGCGACTTTTCTAAGAGATTGCCCTTGAGATTTGTTGATTGTCATTGCAAAAGATACTTTTACAGGGAATTGTTTCCTAGTCAAAATAAATGGTAATGTACCAGGCAATGTTGATAATGTAAAGCGAGGAATCAACTCTACTACATCTGATCTTCCAAGAATTTTAACCTTCAGTACATATTGTCCAATATGCTGTATAATAAGCCTTGTACCATTGCATAGGCCTCTCTCAGGGTTGATGTTTCTTAGGAGCATGACAGGAAGACCTACTTTCAACTCCAAAACTGCTGGCGGCAGCCCTGAAGGCGAAAAGGTTTGCAAATACTCTGAGGGATAGGCTTGGGTCTCAGTGTTGGTCTGATCAGATTGCATCGTGTCAGCAGAGTACAAAGTGGGCTTTTCACCAATCACGTTCTCTATCACCTTGCAATTGATAGCATCGACATTGCCATTTTTTGAGCAGGGAATAGCTCTTTCCTTAAAGAAATCACTATTTTGCAGAGGACGCTGCAGAACATGCTGAGGATAGATATCTTCAATGAACTGATCAAGATCAGTCATCTGCCTCAAAAAAGAGGGCAAAGCAATGCTGCCCATCATGGATGGTTCATACGACATTTTTCCTATCCAATCTGCAAATTGCCTATCTGTATCATTCGAGTTGGCAAGTCTCGTATTCTCAGTCAGTCTCAGCTTTTGTAGTCTGGGCCACAACCTTGACGACATCAACGAAGCAGCAACGATTTCAGGACGGCCACCTTGTTTCACGACAGGAGGAATCTGAGTAAAATCACCGCCAAGAACGACAGGAATACCACCAAAGGTAACTTCATCACCACGACTACAAATATCACGAGGTGTTCGATCAAAAGCTTCAAAGCAATAACGATGCTGCATGGGCACTTCATCCCAAATTATCAATGCTGTCTCTCGAATGAGATCAGCAAGGTCATCGTTCTTCTTGATCGCACATACAGACTGCTCGTGGGTGTTGAGTGGAATGGCAAAGCGAGAGTGCGACGTACGCCCACCAGGAAGTAGCAAAGCAGCAATGCCAGAGGAGGCAACACAGAGAGCAATCTTTCCTTGGCTTCTATAAAAATGACAAAGAGTATTGTAAATGAAATTTTTGCCAGTGCCAGCTGGACCTTGCAAAAAGAAATGTGAGCTGTTGGCGTTGCTGTTAATGGAGGAGGTGATGGTCTCAAATACGTACTTCTGGGTAGCGTTCATTTGAGCGTACTTTTGCTGGTACGAAAAGGCTTCTTGATCTTGGAGATATGACATTTCATTGAGTATCAATGAATTGCGTTGTATGCCAGTCATTCCGCTTATCAAGCCATTCCAGTTGAAGAGAGGCAAAGGCAAATTGAACTGACCCAGAGATCTGTCTTGTGCACCGAGAGATGCTTGCAACAGATATAAGTCGTAATCAAGACTACGCGTTCCACGATAAAATTCAACATCAGGTTGCATGCTGAGCAGCTGCGAATACCCTTTTTGCACGATTGCATGCTCAAGATCATCACAGAAACTTTCACAGAATTGATTCCAAATCTGAATAGGCGATACCAATGAGTTGAACATGAGCGCAGAGACAAACACTGAACGCATTGCGTAGCCAGAGGCAAAGGCAGCAGCTTTATCAAAGGCTCTGGTCCATTCTCCATCATCTTCGACCAAATGTAGCATCATACAGGCCTCGCGAAAGGTGGCGTACTCGTGATTATTGACAGTTCTCAGATGAGAAAACGACGTGGCTCCTCTGACAACTGTGAGCAGCAGGCGCAGATAACACCTCTCGCCGGCAGCAGGGCTACAGTAGTACATGCGGCCGATAGACATGGTATCGGTTCTTCTTTCTTCCCACCTTTTTGGCTTTTTTTTTTCTTTCCAAGCCATATGCTCTGGGAATTGCTGGTAAAGCAATGGTTGAAAAACAGGTTTGTTTTGGTTCACAGCATTATAATGAAAGTAACCCATGAGCGTGGTATGACTCTCTCTCTCAGGACATTATCAATTCTTAATTGAGGCCAGGAAGAATCAAAATATACAGGCTGCTCATTTTCAAGATGAATAGCAAGTGTAGCGACAGGTGGGCTTTCCTCATGCATTGGGAACTCGATCAATCTCCAGACGGCTTCACACGGGCTGATATATCGACCATTCAGATACTTTTCACATTCATCATTCTGGCTCGTTGCTGTAGTGGTTGTTGTTGTCTTCAAAGTAGTTTGGTCAGATCCTTTGTATATATATACCTGTTGATATACTTGATTGCCTGAACGCTGGCACACACTTCCACATTAATATGCGCATTGCATCTTTTTGACAGATAAGGATTGTGTGGCACAACCCATTCGTTAGTCATATGGAAGTCGTGATACGCACCCTGGTTGTCTTTGATACGCACTTGACGGGAGCGACCACCCATTCTTCTTCGGTACATTGGGTACCCATCATCAGTGGCTACTGTCGCCGGCTGATATGGCTTTGGAAATTCTTTGGAGCACACATCGTTACCAAAAGCATCCTTCACCATGCAGGGTGTTTCCTTGTTGATTTCGCCACATGGGCCATGCATCATATTTCGGGTGACAATTGCATGCAATTCGGGCTCTTCATCGACGTTGGGAATTTCAGCACAAATGATCTGATCTATTTTTTCTGCCGTATCAAACCGATCATTTTCATTGTCCAAAAACAACAGCATATGACCATGCGGAAGACCACGCTTCTGGTATTCTATTGTTCTCACAATCCCTCTATAAGTACCAAAAATCTTCTCCTGCTTCAGATCTTTGAGCAGTGCGTCATGCTTCAGATTAAACATTCGAGCAACCAAGTCAGGACGGTCAGCAGCGGTTTGGCCAGGCAACAGCTCGTCTTGGATTTCCCTCCAGTTCGGGTTTGCAGTGAATGTTATGAACAACGTTGGCTTACCAAAGAATCGAGAGATAGCCATTGCATTTTGGTACAGTTGCATCATAAAGCGAGGCCCTTCAGTAAAGCTACTTGGCAAGATGAATGATCTTCCAACCATTTCAAGATCTGCATCAGCAGCACTGGTAGCATCAGCAAGACCTTTGTAGACATCCGCACGAAGGTTTGCCTGGTTAGACTTGATCCAGTCCAATTTTGTTTGCTCACAGACAGCCCAAGCATCGATCACATACTGCTGGAAGAGACGTCTTGATAAGAACAATATCTTTAATTCATCAGCTCTGACATGCAGTCTAAATCTGTAAAACACTCGCTGAGTGAGCCTTTTTGCTGCTTGTTGCTGTCCTTCTTGCGCTTCTTCATTATCAACATCCATAGCATCAACAGTTGAAGCAGACAATTGCAAACGAAGGCCCCAATGCCACCCATATTCACCTCTGGGAAAAAGCAAAACGTAATGGAGAGGCATGTAGGCAGCATGTGTCTCGTTGATCCTTTTAAAGTGTCCTCTGGAACTGGTGGAGGAGCTATTTCGATAGATAACCAGGATGTCTCTGAAACTTGAATCAGCATATTCATTGGGGATGATAGCTGCAATCTCGTTGACAGTTGGCAGGTTCTGAGTACGCCTATCTTCACCGACAATCAATTCAAGTCTTATTTGAGGGTCGAGTCGAATATATGCATCCTCGCTGACATGACCTTGGGCTTGTCGTTCTTCCTCTGCATCCAGAATCTCGTGGGCATGCTTGTAGATACGTACAAATGGGTTACCACAACGAACCGCATCACCAATCATTTCACTTAATGCTTCAATGGTAGAATCATCTAAATGCTGATTTCTTGTGTTGGCAGATCGACATGCAGCGGCATACTCGGGATCGTAAATGTACAGCTGATTGTACTTTGGAGCATTATCAAAATTCAAGGGTGCTTGCATGTGATACAATTCACCATGGGCACCTACTGGAGTAATCCCACCTCTCCTCTCCTCCTCTCTTTCTCTCTGGGTCCCTGCTGGCATAGCAGTGGTACCGAATGAAGTAAAAGCAAACAAAGTATTGTATTGCCTTATATGTTTCAAGAAATGGGATGAGCGTGGGTGGCTTCCGTTGATTAAACTATTCAAGGGCTCAGGCGGATCTTGCAATAAGGGCAAAATGGCCTTTCCTTTTTTACAGCAAGAGTAGAAGAGATTGTTGCTTCTGGCTTGACCGGTAGTTCTTGCTGCGTCCCAATGCAATGCGCCACAACCATCACATACAACGTCCATTCTTCCCAGATAATGAGGTTGCATTCTTCTAAGCTCTGATATGAAAGCGGCAGGTGCTCTAGGTGCTCTAGGTGGCCTTAATGCAGCTCTCTGTCTGGCGTAGTTTCGGGCACGTTCCTGAAACAATATATATATATATAAGGTTCGTTCGAATATTTGTTTTTCATTTCTTTGTTCTATTTACTCGACATGAATCACATTTTCGAAAATTGTAATCTTCAGGTGGAGCAACTCTACAGGTTACACAGTTTCTAGCTTGAACAGGAGGCATGATAATTCGATTTGATTTTAACAAAAAGATATTTCATACACTTTATGCAAATTGTGATGCTTGATGTTCTTGGTGGAGGGGTTAAGCCCCTTCCCCCCAAACCCCCTCTCCATTGCCGGCTTCGCCGGTGGTTATGCCCACCTTTGTTCTGGCTTTCAATACTATCAAATTTTAAAAGGATATGATTGGATTGTCTATAGTTTTCCAGTATATATATTTAGTGAAGTGATTTAGTGAAGTGACTAGAGATAAGTCTACTGTGAGTCAGTTATCTCTATACACGGCAATACTTCTATAAACGTATATATAATACAGAATGTTTTTTTGAACCTGATTCTCAATGCCAGCAGGAACAGAATCATGTACATGCTGAAGTCATCTTCTAAAGTAAATGGTGTAACAGTATCCACCATGCAAATGTCAAGATGGAAACTGCTTGATTTGATCCTTAGCGTAACAATATTCAAGCTGTCAGTCAACATCACAGTTTCTATTAAAAATTTATACATGTAGATCAAAAAAAAAAAGTATTGTCTAGAAAAAGTGTTATTTTGATATACAATATGTTTAATAAGTCTCATCAGTAACATCTATTGTTTCTTGAGGAGACTTGTCATGAGTATCCAGGACACCAAGTTGTACGCCCATTTCCCGCACAATGTGATGAATATCTTGTTCCATTGAGTCTATACTTCCGCTCATCTCAGTCGGGCCGTTTCTAACTTCTTCTCTCATATCATCAAATTCTGTCTCCAGGGCAACAACTCTTTCAAGGAGTATTTTGAGCTCTTCACCTCTGTCTTCCGCCACAAACTGCAGCATCTCACGTTCAGCTTCCACCTTATTGAGCTTACTTTCACAAAGGTCCATTGCATCGCGAACGCTCTTCCCAAGATTACCCAGTGCATTCGAAGCGAGAGTTTCCTTGATCGTTGCAGTGTTCATTGCAGTATCTTTGGTCTGGCTTGCTGTCTGCTGAATTTGTTTGTCTAGTTCTACCTTGAATTCATCACAACGTTTTCTCAAGGACTTGAAAGTGGTGGCAAATGACTGGAGCTCTTTGCTTCTTCTGTCTTCAAACTCTTCAAACAACTTTGTTAGCTGGTCCTCCACAGCGTTGATTCTTTCGTTGATCAGATCAGTGTTTCTTTGAGACAAAACTTGGACTTCTTGCACCTCATGCTTTCTTTGATCCTCAAACTTCAAATCGTTCTGTACATAGCGTTCCAGAATGTCAATTCGGTTTGCTGTGGTATGTAACAGGTTGTCCGCTCGGCTTTTTTCTTCTGTTAGCTGATTTTGTAAGGCAACAATGTGCGCATTCAATGCTTGGTTCTCTTGCTTCAAATAATCAATCTTGTCAGCCAAGTCCAATGCAGCTGCGATAGATTGCTCTTGAACGTTCTTCACTGTAGCCGTAAGAGATTCATAAGAGCTACTGAAAGGAATGGGTGCTGCTGAGACATAGCCTAATGAAGATGATGGAGAAGATGGTAGAGATGAAGGGACTTTAGTGTCGGCAGGTGTAGAAGTAGTACTGACGTTACTAGCGCTATTGGTGCTAGCATTATTGTTTATGGCATCAGCATTGGCGTTAATGTTAGCATGGCTGGTACTAGTAGCATCATTGCTATTATTGTTGACACTACTGCTGTCATCAGCTGGATTGTTGTTTTTCTCTGAAAAAAGTGCTACCTAAAGCAAGAGTGAGTACATCATATTGGAGCACATTTTATTGCAAAGACATGCCAAGGTTCTCTCAAAGTTCTCGAGTCTGGACAGAATTTCAGCATTTTGAGAGCCTCGGTCTAGTTTATCAATGAGCTCATGTTTTAATTGACAGTTTTTACTCATACCTCTCATAGTACGCATCAATTCACTAAAAGGGAAGAGAAGCAGGACAAAATATTTGAAGGAAAAGATGCAAATGGTTGCAATAACACAGCTGAGGGCGTGTGAGTCGAAAATCATAGTAAGGTTATATGAAAGTTGTTGAAGATACTATTTGAAAGAGAAGTTTTTATATACACTTTCATGGTGATGGAGTCTTTATGGTCTTAAAATAGTCTTCTACATTAAATGTGATCAATCAAATGTTGCTGATGAGAGCAGCTCCTTTTGATTGATTATTGCAGTATTTAATGAGCCCTTCTTTATCGATGGTGACAGCAACGTAGCAATCAGGAAAAGGACTATAGCTGACCTGAAACCGCTTTCAGAGTAGGCTGTTGTGTAGTGTAACAAAACCACAGCACTATGACTCTTCTTGACAGATGCCCTTTTTCAATCACCTCCACAGTTCATGTCTTTATTTTTGTTTTCTTTCTCTCTCTCTCTCTTTCCACACAATACAACACAATGTACGAAAACGAAAAAGAGTCCATTGAACTCGGCATTATTGGTGCTGGTGGCATGGGTCGTTTCTATGCCCAAACCATATCAAAAGCTGGATGGAAAAAGTAACGTAGGGTCACATTTGACATAAATCACCACGAGCACTCAATGTTTGCGCGTTCTTGTAGTGTCAACATTTGTGATCTTCCAGAGAAATACGAAAGCGTAAAGAAGGACTTTGAAGGTGAGTAAGGCACATGTGATGTTGAGGGTGGGCCAAATTAACAATGAGAGGCAAAACCAGGTACCAATATCAATGTGCTTCCTGATGGCTATCATATTTCGAGACGCTGTGATTGGATTATGTATGCTGTGGAGGCCGAGTACATTGATGCCGTTGTAAAGAAGTACGGTCCAGGTAGGACACAATGAATTGATCAGGCGGGAACAATTGCTCAATCAATGCCGAAAATAGCTACAAAGATGGGCGCTATTGTGGGTGGTCAGGTATACAAGAGATAGATGAAAAGAAGGTGTGCCAGATTGTTGACGATGCAAAGTGTAGACTTCTGTCAAAAAACCCGAAGTGGAGGCCTTGGAGAAATACTTGCCAGAGGACGTACACATTATCTCATGTCATTCCATGCACGGACCAGGAGTGGATCCCAAAGGCCAGCCTCTGATCGTGATCAAGCATCGTGCCACTGACGAGAAGCTCGACCTTGTCTTAAAGATTTTGTCTTGCTTCAACTCCAACATTGCGCATTTGAGTGCGGAGGAACATGACCGTATCACAGCAGACACACAGGCAGTGACACACGCTGCATTTTTGACAATGGGTAGCGCATGGAAAGCCAATGCTCAATTTCCTGTAAGTGTGTATGGATGTCCCGTGTTGGTATCTATTGACGCATGGCAATAGTGGTTGCTGCCTCACTTTACAGGCGGCATTGAGAATGTCAAGGTGAATGTAGCATTACGTATTTACAGTAACAAATGGCACGTATACGCTGGTCTTGCCATCATGAACCCCATCGCCAATCAACAAATCACACAATACGCACTCAGTGTAGCAGACTTATTTAAATTGATGATCCAGGAGAAAGAGGAGGAATTCCGTGCTCGAGTCAAAAAGGCAGGCGAATTTGTGTTTGGCGGCTTACAGAAAGATCACGTCCCCATTTTGCTGGACGACAAGATTTTAGACGAATTCTCACTTTCAAAGATCCCCAAAGAGCAACGCACTCCCAACTCACATTTGTCGCTATTGGCCATGGTCGATTGTTGGCATAGATTAGGATTAAACCCCTATGAGCATCTCGTGTGTCAAACGCCACTATTCAGAATGTGGATGTAAAGTATAGAGCAGAGCGAAAACGGGTAGTATGTGTTCTGATGGATTACAATAGGGGTATCACCGAATATCTGTTTCGTAATCAAGCCATGTTGGATGATGCGATCAATGCAGCATTGTATCGCAAAGATATTCGACCTGATGATATGGAGTTTGTCACTTGTGCTAGAGGTTGGGCAGAATCTGTGTCTCTTGGCAGCATGGAGGGCTATAGAAAGCGATTCGAGGAGACAGCCGGATTTTTCAAAGATCAGTTTGCAGAGAGCACAGTTGTTGGTAACAGAATGATTGCCATGATTACAAAGAACACTTCCAAATAAAAAGGGGTATGGTATTCGACGTTGCGATTAGCTCTATAGTTTACATTTTATTACAAATTGGCTGTGGCAGCATCAGCAGCAGTTGTTGGTAATGCCTCTACATATGCCACGTGTTGTTTTTGCTTTTTGTGAGTGCTTTTGGGAGTATTCAGGCCACTTGCAATTGAACTGACATCAGTGAAATCATCATCTAAACCACTATCACTGCTACTATGGACATGTGCATCTCCAATCACTATGCTGAATAGTTCAATTTCATCCTCGCTTGGAGCAGTAGCCGTAATCTGTTGACCATCATCCTCAATGTGGATATGATGCTTTTCAGCGGCATCTCGATACACTTGCACCATGCTCTCCATGGCGCCCCACCACGTATAAGCACCTGATAGATCAATTGCCTTTTGTCCCATCTTTGCCCTCATTTGCGCATCGTCAATCAAAGTGGTCAACAACTGGCCGTACTCTTTGATTTGCTCCCGCCTTGACATGTCTGTTGTATCCAGTAATAAGCCAGATGTCTGATCTTGTACCAAATCTTTCACGCCTTCCGCCAATAACCCCACCACAGGTAGACCTGATGCCATGGACTCGAGCACCACTTGACCAAATGTTTCTGTAAATGATGGAAACGCAAATATGTCAGCCGATGCATAGGCATTAGCAAGATCAATGCCTTGCAGATAGCCTGTGAAGGTGACGGGTGTCCGTGATCGACTACAATCTTCTTGAATGGGATGAAATGCAGGCCCATGACCGACAATGACAAGGTGGCATTTGGAGTGATCCATCTTTTTGTAACTCTCTAGTACCAAGCCCAAGTTCTTTTCATATGAAACTCTTCCCACATACAAGATGACCACCTTATTCGTCGTTTGAGCTGTCTCCACCTCCGTCGCTGCCACAGTGTTATTTTGTTCTCTTTGCCCGCCTGTTGTCAGCCATTGGATTCTCAATTCGTCTGATCGTTGCTGTGGTGAAAACAGCGCTGTGTCAATTCCACGTGGCCAAATTCTCAGATTTTTGAATCTTTTGGTATGCAAGATGTGCCGTGTTGATTCGGATGGGCACACTGTAAAATCACATTGAGAGTGGCAGTATCTGTTCCAGCTCCACATGAGACTAGCAAACAACCCCCAGCCGAATTGAGTGCAATACGTACCGAGATTTGTGTGATAGGATGCCACAACAGGGATCTTTTTGGTGTTGAACAAGCACAGGAAGGCAGCACAGATGTAGACAGGATCCACCAGATGGATCACATGAGGATCAAATGCTCGCAAGGCCTTGGTAAATGCAGGTCTCCAGATGTTAAGCTTGAGTTCAGGATAGGGCAGGAAGGGTATACCTGCTGTGCCATAGAGTTTTGCACCAGCATAAACATCCATACCACTTTCGGGGCCAAATAGGATGACTTTATGACCTGTGGCTTGAAGGTGCTCCAAAAGTCTTGTCAATGTGCGCGTAACGCCATCGATTTTTGGCAAGAAATTTTCTGTAATGATGGCGATACGCATTGTGATTTAAGCCAAATTGGGTAGAGTTTGTGTAATCCAACAAAACAGAAAGAGAAAAAAAAAAGAAAAGAAGAGGGAAAAAAAAAAAAAAAAAGCATGAAATAGACTTTTTAAACTGTTCTACTGTAATGCCGCTTCAAATGAGTGTCGATTCATGCTTGGTTTTCAATTTGAATGAGTGGGATCATAGAGCCGTGATCCAAAGCGCAATCAGATGTCATCATTGCTTCTTTTGGTTCGATACATGTAAGCCTAAATGTCTGGGATTCGCTGTCATGTAGCATCAGTCAGCCAAACAGACAGAGATGCAATAGGATAAACCTCCTATTGAAGCATCCAGCAAGGAAAATTTAATAATGGCAGCCATTTCCTAGTGATTTGTTTACTATTTGTGTGCATGCGTGTGTAACAGATCAATCACATCATACTTGTAGCGGACAAGTGGCTCAACTGCTTCCGAGATTCTTTCGGTATTCTTTCCATAGAATCCTATGTGCCAAGACTAAAAGATACGAGAAATAGGCAAGTGCTTACGTACCCAATGTTGCGTCTCTTGGATGCATGTCTGTCGCTACATCATGACGTCAAGTGATACATAGGAAAATACAACGACTAAGCACAGGTAAAGATGCCATCGAGGCTGAGGGAAACTTTATTGTTTACCGGCATTTCTATAGTACTAATACGGCACACAACATGTACCTGGCTTATTTATAGCTTTTCAACTAAAAGGCGGAGTTGCCCCATTTTCAATTCGTATATAAATAAATCGATTACAGGTTTCAATCGAAACGCTCTTCTTTCTTTCTCTCTTGTAAAAAGAAATCCCATCAACTATCAATGAAATATCTTTGTAGCATTCTGTCTACAATTTTATTACTTAGTAGCACTGTGGCATGTAAGGGCTTTTTTCCATGGAATGATCCAACAATTCAAATGTAAATCTCATCTCGTTAAATTCAGGTCACAGTGTGAATAATAAGCAATTACTATGGGTGGAGCCTGTTTCCACAGTAAAACTAGAGATCGCACCACGTTCTGATCAATTCTTTGCCAAGCGAGATATCTCACAAAATAGCAACTACCAGCCCAATGTGCGCTCGTTACAATATGACGACTCACTGCGATTATCAGTCAATGCATACAACAAAACCATGTTCCTTCATTTGGCCCCCAATCTTGACCTATTTCATCCTAATGCCGTTATTCACACCAACGGCATATCCACCAGAGTGAATCCCGTCGATTTCAGAGTGTATCACGGCTATGTGATTGATGATATCTACTCAGATCATTGGTGGATCTCCGGTTTGTTGCAAGATGAACAAGACATGGAGAATCAGCCAGGTGTATTAGGCTGGGCGAGAATAGTGGTTCGAAATGATATCAAGTGAGTCCAATGAAAGGAGATGATAAAACATGCGAGCACATGGACTCATTTCGCTGGCGTAGGCATGATTTGGACCATCCGCTGTTTGAAGGCGCTTTTACAGTCTATGGAGATACCCATCATGTTAAATTAACAGACAACTATCGGCTCACTAAACGATCCGACGATGCTGACCTGAACGGCAATTTAGCCCGTATGATCATCTACCGTGATTCTGATACCGTTTTGAAAGAAATGATCTCAGAAACCCACAATAGTGGTGAATGTGGCTTTGATAGATTAACCCACATCTCAAAGCGTGCCTACAACCCACTTACTCTTGATTTCAATGTAAACAATAACAACAATTTTGCAGTAAGAAACTCTTATCGTGACATTTTCAACGGCGGCGATGGCACCGGTAAAACGCTTGCCAAACGAGCTCCCACTGGTTGTCCCACATCCAAAAGAGGTAAAAACATATATATATATATATATATATCCAATCGACCAAATGGCTAATATCAACAATTAAAATAGTGCTTTATATGGGTGCAGCGGCAGATTGTACCTATGTTAAGTACTATCAGTCAGCCGATAATGCTCGTATGCAAATCATCAATGATTGGAATTCCGTTAGTTCGGTTTACTCAAATACATTCAATGTGGGTATCGGCCTGATCAACATTACCATCATGGATTCCAATTGCCCCGCCACACCCAATACTGCGACAAACTGGAATCAAGCTTGCTCAACTGCTTATTCTATTTCAACAAGATTGAGTGATTTCAGTCAATGGAGAGGCCGTATTGGAGATGATGGTGCTGGACTATGGCATTTGATGACCAACTGCGCGTAAGTCTGGCAATAAGAATTCTGATGCTTTAAATACTTATATGCCGGATATATGTATATAGCACTGGCGCTGAAGTCGGTATTGCTTGGATGAGCCAAGTGTGTAATACAGGTGCTATTAGATCAAGCTCTACCGGCGAATATACATCTGGCACTGGGGTGTCATCTATTAGTAAGTGATGCACTGCGAGTTGAAATAGGACCTGGGGCACTAATCCAGTGCATAGTTCGTGACGAGTGGAAGGTTGTTGCGCATGAAATCGGTCATGGCTTTGGCGCAATTCACGACTGCACGTCTCAAAACTGCCCCTGCTCTGGATCAAGCTGTGGATGCTGTCCGTACAGCTCCTCTCAATGTGACGCTGGAGGAAAATACTTTATGAATCCTACAAGTAATGCCTCGTCCGACGCCTTTAGCCCTTGCAGTATCTCTACCATTTGTTCGACCATGTCTGATTTCACCAGCTGTTTGCAAAGTAGGTTCTTTTCTCTAAATAGAGAGTACTATTTACTAATGTCATGATATAGCTCCTGGATCAAGAAACACCACCTCTTTGCAGCAATGTGGTAACGGTATCAAGGAAACAGGCGAAGACTGTGATACAGGTGGACAAGATAGCGCTTGTTGCGACGCCAAAACATGTAAATTCAAGGCGGGTGCTGTATGCGAGTAAGTTGACTCTTCCATCTCTCCTTGAGTTTTGCAATTAACATCTCTTTGCCCATTCAGCGATTTTAATGACCTGTGTTGCAACAACTGTCAAGTGCGTCCTGCCAATTACACATGTCGTCCTGCTTCTACTGAATGCGATATTGCTGAAGTCTGTTCTGGTACATCGGGTGATTGTCCTGAAGACAAGTACAAAGACGACCTCACAAGCTGCGGCAACGGCCTCCAATGTGCCTCTGGTCAATGTACATCACGCAATACCCAATGTGTCTCTCGTGGCTCCAGCATGAACATCACCAAGGCATGTGGTGCCGATAGTGGATGTGGCGTTACCTGTCAATCACCTGGATCTGCCATGAGCTGTTATCAATTTCCAGGTTACTTTGTGGATGGCACTCCTTGTGGTTTAGGCGGTGTGTGCAAGGCTGGTTCTTGTGATAGCAGTAACTTTGGTAACAATGCAAAGAACTGGATTGATAGCCATCTGCAAATTGTCATTCCTGTGGCTATTGTGGTGGGCTTATTGCTCCTGTTTTGCTTATTCCGCTGTTGTTGCTATGGTGATAGAAGTGGATACAACAATATTGGAAAAACTACCACCTATGTGATCCCAGGTCAGCCACAACAGCAGTACCCTGCTCAATACAGCAATACACAACCACCCTACTACCCTCCGCCTCCTCCAGGCCAGCCGCCTTACTATGCTCCTCCCAATTCGGGTTGGGTCGATCCAGCCTTGTACAATGGAAGATCTGCTGGCAACTACACTCCTCAGCAACCCTTGCCCGTATACTCTCAAAACGATAATCATCAAAATGCGTATGAACTCAACAATGCTAATCAATGGCAAAGCAGCACTAACCGTGGCATGGCAAGTCCTCTCATACCGAGTTCCCCAGCTCCTGGTTATCAAATGCCATCAGGTCCCTCGCCAGCACCTGTCAGTTCGCCTCGTATGGGTGCTCCTGCACCACCCAACCATGGCACAGAAGGCAGACCCTATCGTGAAGGCATCATTTAGATCTCTTCTCGCTGTGTATAGATTTCAACTCTCAAACAACATGTATTTTTAGTCTTTATTTATACAATATTCCCCCTTTCTTTTTCTCTGATAAAGCTTACTGGTTGATAGAGCCATGTATTTATTTGAATAAACGTTATGCCTGATATTTGAAATCAGGCTAATCAAAATGAAGTGCTTTTTCATTAAAAGATACATAATTCTTATCAGTTTGCATATTTTATGCAACTGTAGATCTTTCACGACATTCAAGGGGCGTGAAAAGTACAAAGACCAAGAACAGAGCAGTTTCACACAACACGATGTAATAAGAATGAAATGATGAATTTTTTTATTTGAGAAATGAATGATTGAAAAATGAAATAAAGTCTAATTACAGAAACCCTCTTTGCGCCAGTAGCAAATGTACTTGTTCAAAAGATCCTTATTAAACGAAGGAGCATCTTGGAGCATGGGTGCAGTTTGGATGGTTTTGTCGGTATTCCAGTGAGGACAGTCAGTGAGATCTTTAAAGGCACTCTCGTAAAAGGACATGAGCTTGTAAGCTGGGTTATCTTCATGTTCAGACAGAATCTTGATCCATTCTTCTACAGAGACTTCTTCAAATTGCATGCCGCTTTGCTTCATAGCGCTCAGAACGTCAGTCCACATGACTTCATTGGGGTTCACAATATGGAAAACAGCCTGGGGGGCATTGGCATTGTCGGTAGCAGTATCAATCATGATTTTGGCAATGGAACTAGCGGCAAAGTTGAGCGGGATCCAGTCAATACGAGTGGTGAGCTTTGGCATGGCATGCATCAGAATGCCACCACTGACAATCATGATGGGGAATTGTTCGCTTGTGTTCCAGGCACCATTAGCAGAATCACCACAGACTTGACCAAGACGTTCGATATAGCAAGGGAAGTTCTTTTCGGCAGCGAGATAAGTCATCAAGTGCTCACAAATATATTTCGACTGGCCATAGCCCATCGAAAGAGCCACAAATGGATTCCTTGGCATAGGTTCTTCTGGAATGACAGCGCCGTATTTAGCGGTAGCAGTGATGGACGAGACATGGTGAAAGTGCATAGGGTTTTCTTCCTTGTAAGCAAACTTGATCAAGTTATAGAAACCAGCGAGGCATTCCTTTTCATAGTGGGTCACAGGCTGATTGAAATCAAGGAGCCATGCACAGGCTTGAACGACAGTAACTTCTTCCCTTAAGCGGTTATAGACCTCTTGAGAGAAGCCAAGGTAGGCGTCATTTAGATTCATGGGCAAGGCTTCGACACGACCAGATTGCAAGAAAGAAGTATCCAACAAACGATCAGAGAAAGCATCTCGAATTCTGCCCATCAGATCAGTGCCCTTACGGCCACGCACGAGACAGTAGACCTTCTTGATCTGGTCAGATTGTAGTAAATCACGCAGCATGAAGGAACCCACAGCGCCAGTAGCACCAGTCAAAAGAACAGTTTGCTTGACATCCTTGGGATAATTGGTCTTTGCAACAGGGAATTCTTTCTTGGCCATACGGATGTACTTTTCGAGAATTTCTTCAGTTTCCATGTAATGCTTGGCGACCACATCTTCTTGTGCTTCTTCAGATTCGCCCATCAAGGCATTTCGCATGCTCTCAATGTTGGGATGCTCAAACAGAAAGTTTTGGGCCACGTTGTCGAACGACTGGGCAATACGGTTACGCAATTGTATAGACAGTAGTGAATTGAGGCCTAGATCAAAGAGAGAAGCAGTAGGATTCTTCAAAAAGACGTTGGGGTCAGTGTGGAGAACGACAGCAGCAGCTTGAGAGAGATAGTTGTCAATTTCATCAGCGGCCCAGTTGGCAGTGCTCTTTAGCTGGGACTGGGTAGTGTTGGAAGCAGGAGCAGGGCCGTCGATAAAGTCCTTGTAGAGCTTGTCAATGACTTCACTGTACATACGGATAGCCTTCTTGCGAGGAACAGTACCCTTGTCAGTATGAGGCAAATGGAAGTCAAATGGTAAGATGTAGATCATTTGGTTGAGCAGATGACTATGACTGGGAGCATTCTCATTGGCCTTGGCAACAGCTTCATAGACCTCGTCCATCATTTGCTGAGGAGTGCAACCGAAAGCATGATCTTTGTCTAATTCGATCAAGGCAGCAGTGCACTCACGACCCTCGCCAATGACGGTACACAGCTTCACGATAGGAGAGGCACGAATAGCCGATTCCATAGGCACGGGGTTGGTTTTTTCGCCATTCTTCATAGCCAACGTATCATCCTTGCGGCCTAGGTATCTCCATTGATTGCTACCCTCTGCAATTTCCATGAAAAGATCGTTGGTATCATAATCACCATCAGCACGGTTGGATACGCCAGTAGCTAAAGCAGGGCAATTACCACGGACAATGAGAGCACGTTGCTTGGGCTCATTTTCAACAGGTTCCCAGCGAATGTAAGGGTTAGCGGCCTTCATGGGGCTCATAATGATCCATTTGTTCTCCTTGACCTTTCGCATATCACCACCCATGAGGAAATTGATTTCTATTGAGATGAAGAGATGTAAATATCATATGGCTTATCAAGGCGCGTTCAAAAAAAGGTTTACCTGTCATGCCATACACGTTACAGATGTTGACCTTGTTGGCATGGAAGTAATCACCCGTCTTTTCGTCCAATTCAGCACCAACAACACTGCAATGTGATATGAGTACAGTGTTATAACGCAAATATGTGTTTCACTTACCAAATGTACTTGAGTTTTTGAAGAGGAATATAGTCCTGGGATTCATTGAGAGAAGGAATCAATTGATCAATGATAAGAGGAGGAGCGAGCATATGAGTGCCACCATTGACCTCGAGAGCCATCAACACTTCACGAGCCGAAGGAGGAAACTTGGGGAGATAGACATTGCTGCCACCTACAAGAGACATATTGAAAGAGCCCATGAAACCAGACATGTGGAAGCTAAAAGAATCAAGAGAAATGAGTATAGATTACCAAAAGCAAGAGGTATATTAACTTACATGGGAAGACAACACAATTGAACATCGCCAAAAGATGGAGCTACGCTAGGATCTTGGCCAAACGCATGGCGAGGAATTGACTGAATACCACAAATGAGGTATCTGTTGCTGAGACAGATAGGCTTTGGGAAAGCAGTTGAGCCAGAACTATGGATGATGGCACAGGTTTGCTCGATATCCTTTTCACTGAAATGCTTGTCCAGGATCTTGGAAGCCAAGGGGTTGAGAGGTTGCTTGAGACGACCTACCAAATCAAAAGAAGGGAGCACTTCACAGATAGTGCCGTCCACTTGACCAGCAGCACTTTGAGCCAGAGTGGCGTACTTGCTGGTGGCAAACAAAAAGTGGCAATCCGTCTTGGTTAACAAGCTGGCTACTGCAGCTTCAGAGTTACGAGGAGACAGAGCCAAGAAGGTAATACGCAATTTCAGGCAAGCAAGTACACAGAGGAAATACTGAACAGATTGATCAGCCATAAAAGCCACTGTCTTGTAGCCCTTGATCTTGTTCTTCCATTGACAGGCCAAATTGGTTGCTACTCTGTCCACCTCGGCATAAGTGAGTGTTTTGTAACCGTGCTTGCCATTCTCGATACGACCATAGTAGCGAACATAGACTTGATCAGCATACTTTCCGACCTGCTTTTCAAAGACGTTGATGAGAGCAAATGTTTCTTGGTATTTGATGGGGAAGTTTTCAAATGAGGTTGTTTCTGTAGCCATTTTTTTTTTGTTAGGTTTGTAAATGGGTAGAGAAGATGAGAGAGAAATGCAACATTATTTTGTCTCGTATTTATATATCATGTCTAGTGCGAGGGAGGGGAGGCTCATATGTCAAAATGGTAATCAAAGATGCCAACGGATTGCTGACATAAGGGTTTTAAAGTTTTGAATAGTATTTTACCTTCTTCATCCCCTCTACTTGGTAATTGTGATTGAGCAATTAGCAAGGTTTGTTTGAGGTTACCCTTTGCCAGTGCATCCATCAAGATGGCTTATACTGTTAGAAATGCTCGATACAGTCTAAATTACACATTATATCATTATTTCTGCCTTCCTTTCCGCTCACATCTTCAAGATCTACGTTGCTGATCAGTGAAATGCACAAAAGCAGTAAATTGAATTTCAACAACCTTTATCCGAAATAGCACATCCAAACGGAGACCACATTTGACATGACATTAGCATTAAACAGTTGTTACTAGAAAGGAATTCTCACATAGAAAATGAAAAATGAAGGCATATCGCGCCATTCAACTCAATTGTAGAGTAAAAATCATTGATTGCACGGTAAGACACTCGATTGGCAGCTGTGAGATGGCATACATCAGGGTATGTCTCGTTGATTATGTAAAAGGCTTGTAATTAATCTCCTATCCAGGGTCTAATCTGGGAAGACGACACTTGTTTGATATGTAGGTATTATGGAGACAGGCAGCATATTGACCTTGATATATTTCTAGCTTACATAACTGTTTTCTGTATATTGTTGTTAGATTTTGCTGCTGATGGGAATAAAGTTTTCTTTCTTCAGGGGTTGATGACAGCAGCTGTGACAAACGTCTCGTGTGGCATTCATCTCAACATTCGTAATGTAAATACTGCAGGCAGTATATTGCCTCTATCTGCTCTACTTACATATAAGCTGTCTACTGTATATTGAGAAATCAAACAATGGTTTGTTTATGCACCATGTTCCCGCGATTTCCCAATTTCCTTCCACTTATGTAATCAAGGTTTATGTAATATTAGGTAATGTAAATGTATTTTACCTCTTGAATTTGGTGCCACGTTTGTTTCCGAGGAAAAAAGGCGTGCAGCTCCCCTTTTACAAGAAGAACGGATTACCTAATGCGACCAGGTCTCTAATTCGTTTCTTATGCAACTCTGGAGTTGGCATGTCGTTCAAGAAAGCTTCCAAACACATTCAATAAGCTGCTTGAATTGGCAATCCACTTTATCAACCTTCTTGATTATATGCTTATACTTTGTAATCTAAAGACTTCTGCTGCGTTGTACTTGCTTATCGCGAGCGTCTTAATATTACACAACGTACGAGCCTTAGTTTCACAGAAGCTCTGGATGCTTCATGTAGGAATAATACTTGTAAGGCCAACTGTAAGGTAAAACTCGAAATAGTGAAGACAAAATAATCAGATGGCTTGTATAGCGGATAGCAAAAACATGGAGAGTACGTATAAAGGCATTGATTTTATGTTTGCATTCAAGTATTAGACTAAACTCTTCATCATGAACTGTGTTTCTTTCTTGCCAGCCAAAATCAATTATATCTCCGCCTAACGTTTATATCCTTTGTTTGTTAATTTTTGGACTTTTGAGATTCGATTCGACTTATTTTGAGAGATACCACCGAAACATTGGAACACTTCCTCTTTGCCTGTCCCCACAAACGATCCTTTTGGTCTTCCGCCCTCTCCATTTACATGCCCCCTCTCATCTCCCAAAACAGTTACCAAAACTTCCAGAAATTCCTTCTTTTCGAACACAACCCTTCTCGTCAAGATCATTCAATCTATCCGAATCTCTCTGCTTACCAGGTTTTCGCCTGCATGCTACAAACTATATGGTATCACCACTACCAGTTTACATTCCAGGACAAACCTTTCCTACCATCAATTTTACTCTCATCACTTCGTAGCTCATTAGATACCTTACATTTCCAAGAAACCTTAGATCAGTCTCCATAATTAGTCCCCCCAATATATATCCAGTCTTTTTTCCTCTCCCATCTAATAGGCGTACGTAAAAGGACTTTAAATAAAGCAATACAATTGCCCTACAAAAAAAAAATTTTGAGAGATAATTTAAAGGACTTTAAATAAAACCTGGAGCTCGACTCCCCTACAAAAAAAAAATATTTTGAGAGATAATACAATTGCCCTACAAAAAAAAAATTTTTGAGAGATAATAAAACCTGGAGCTCGACTCCCCTACAAAAAAAATTATTTTGAGAGATTCGACTATATAAAATGTAATGGTTACCCCCTACTTCCTTAAGCTTTCTAATAGTACTTTTCAAGGCGCATCCAATGGTACTAACTATAATACATATTATAAAAAAGATTATGGAGCAATGTACGGAAATACGAAATGAGGTTTTCGGCAAAAATGTCGAGATTTTATATACGAAAGTCTCACAAACAAAGTTTCAGGAGTTGCATTGGATCGAGAGCAACATTTTGGTTCAATATATGCCATAGTAAAAGTCTTCATTTTCAAGGTGAAAGACGCGATCGTTTGATTTTTGGTGAAAATCATGAGGTATATCGCTCATGCTTTTTTGGTCGATTTTGGTCGATTTTCAACGATCCCAAAAAAGGTGAGCAAAGGTATCAGAAAGTATCTGCTAGATGAGAGCAATTGTTTGGTGCTACTCTGACGGCGTAAAACGGCTTCTAACTCGAGAAAATACGGTTCGAATGCATGCAAATCTAGCTGTGATTTACATAGATTTGGATAGTATGAGGCAGTGTCAGTGTGATGTTTTCTTAGCTGTAATTTTTTCCATTGATACAAGCATAAAGCGTTCTGGAAGAGTCAGATCTAACCAGGCAGATCGTTCAAAGCCGGCCCTTAGTGGTAGTCTAAGGTTGAAAAAGCGAGTCAATGGTATTTATCAGTAGAATACGCTACGAACAAAGTATTTATTTTACGGCCAAGCGAAACTTTATGCATTCATTTTGACCTTGATCTGTCAAACTACTGCCCGAACGTCACAAAGGTGTCACATTTCACATCCAAATGTAAATCCTTCCACATCTGGATTTCGGATGTCTTTTTTTCTTTTCTCCCAAAATGAATACCTCATCACTACTAAGAAGGCTGTTTTCACCCACTCAAGCAACAGGTAAGTATATCTCTCGATGCTACTATACAATGATATAAACCTATGTTTACAGAATGTTTGCAACAACGATCTTATGCCATCATGAGTCGAGCGAAACATCGAGCCGGCCTCCCTGTTGAATCACCTGTGAAGGCAGCAAAGAGTGCGTTGTCTAAAAAGAAAGCAGCTCCCATTACCAAAGCCAACAACAACAACAACAACAACAACAATAGCGGCTCGAAATGGCGTACCACCGGCTACTTCAATAAGCAACATGAACACGCAGACGAGGAGACCACTCGAGCCTTATTGAAAAGTCGTTTAGAGAACATGAATTTCAGAAAACCCGCTGGCATGAATGAACGATTGATCAAGGTACAACAACAACGAGATATTGCTCAACCTGAACATCCACATTTGCTCAAAGTAGCGGTTATTGGCGCTGCCAATGCAGGGAAATCGACACTGATCAATAAGATTGTAGGAGAAGAGGTAAAGTTGGCTAATGTGTTTTTGACAGGTATGAGAATGGGGGTTTTAATGCATTGCGATTAAGGTATCAGGTGTATCGCCTAAAGCACATACCACAAGGGAGAGAACTTTGGCTGTTTATTCTCATAGAGATTATCAAATTGTGTTCCTGGATACACCAGGCGTTATTCCAGACCATAATCATGCGAAAATGAATAGAACATTGGCAACTTCTTCCTGGAGATCTTTGGATGAGGCGGACCATGGTGAGTGGGATGCGAAGGGTTGATGTGTTGTTCATGCGTAACCAACAGACCTGTCATAGTGGTGGTGGTAGTGGATGCTGGAAGATCAATTCAGCCTCAAGCACGAGTCACTGAAGAATTCATCCTAAACAGACTTCACGACATGAATATCCCAGCTACTTTGATTTTTAATAAGATGGATCTGCTCTATGAGGATCGTCATTTGTTGCAGGAGGTGGCAGAGAGATACAATCAAGGATATCCGCATTTCAAAAAGACATTGTACATATCAGCAGTTTACGAGGAAGGATTAGATAAGGTCAAGGTAAGCAACATAAGGAATGCACACAGGTAGTAGCACGGCATCTCATGACGCTGTATTATTGCAGAATGTATTATACGAGGAATCGCCTCAAAAACCATGGATTTACCCAGCAGACCAAAAGACGGAAATGCCAGATTTGAAACGAGTCGAGGAAATGATTCGAATCCAGTTTTTCAAGCGATTGCATCAGTACATTCCTTACATGCTGAAGCAAGAGAACGTAGGCTGGACAGAGATGAAAGACGGTACTTTACGCATCGATCAGAATGTCTACGTTGAAAGGGACAGCCAGCAAAAGATCGTGATTGGATACCAAGGCCGAATTATCAACAGCGTTGTAGAAGAAGCCAGAACACAAATCAGTCAAGCATTGAAACGACCTGTCAAGTTGTTCATCCAAGTCAAGACAAGAAAACCCACACAACCATAGTGCTTTATTTTTATATAGACTAGACAGCTTGTTGCTGCTGCTTTAGAGATAAAAGTTCATCAATTTTGCTCATACCATCTATAAATGCATGTTTATCCAATAAACCCTTGTGATCTGGATCACACTCTCTCCAAATACGAGCTAAATCCTCATTAGATAATTTACTCTTGAGCCAAACGAAATGAGCTGTTTCGCCATCCACATAGCCATCGTCATGAATTGTGTCAAACAAGACTTCATAGCGCTGTTTGCTGTTGCTGTTTTGGCTTTTTGGTGGTCTGGAAGGTGGTGGAGGTGGTGGATTTTTCTTTGTGGTAGCAGCAGCAGGCTCAATGACAGCAGCTGCCACAGGTGCGGGTGATCGAGATACTGGATGAGCAATTGGTGATGTAGGTCTCTCATAAGGCACAGGCGCAGGTTTTGTAGCAGTGCTTGGTTTGGGTTGCTTATTAACAGCAGACATCCATTCAGGCATTGTTGAATATGAGACTGGATTTGTTGCTGATCTGACTCGGTTGTTCTTGAGTAGAGCGGATGGCTTGATATTCACATCGTGTGATGACTCTTTGGCATTGTCCAACGATTGCCAGCTGTCCAAACTTGGTTTGCTAGATAGGTTGAACGGTTTCTTGTTGGTGCTCGACAATACTGGCTTTGTAGCTGCGTTGCGAGGAGGAGGTGTGGTGGACTTGGAGGGTGTGGCGGATACAGCAAGCTCGTTCTTGTTTTTGCTCAACAAGATTTCGATCGAAGACATGGCAGGTTTAGGTTGAATAGGAGGCGGATTGGATGTACTGCGAAGTTTGGGTCTTGGTGGCAAATTAGGTTGTGCAGTGGCAGCTATCTGTGGTTTTGGCTTCAATGCAGGTGGCGCAGAGTTGGTTTTCTCGTTTGTTTCTCTGACGGGCGGTAAGTTAGCATTCGATGCGGTAGGCGTTGTCTTGTTGGAGGTGGAAGGTGATGATTTGAGAGAAGACGAAGAGTTTCTACTATTGCGAGATCGTCTACTGGCCGTAGACACAGGTCGAGATGGTAATCGAGGCATCGGTGTACTGGTTGAAGGTGCAGCATCGAGTTTGGACCCACTTGTAGGTCTAGGTGAGGATGATGTAGAGGACAGAGATGATGGAGATGCGGTTTTGACATTGGTAAACACTGTCGTGTCGGTTGTTTTCTTCCAAGAAGGCGCTGTTGTACTTGTACTGGTTGTAGAAGCAAAAGAAGACGATTGAGATACAATAGGTCTTATTGGTGTCACCTGCTGCCTTGAGCGCAATTGTGAGGGCTTGACCATCTGAAAACCATCTTCTTCTTCTTCAACTACATCATGAGGGGTGCTGTTTAGCTTAATCGTACTCAAACCAGGCAAAGCAATGCCACCTGTGCTATTGCCTACACTTGTTGAAAATGCGTTGGACTTTACACCAGAAGAGGAGGAGGAAGGCGATTTGGGTGACCCTTTACTCAATGCTAATTCCAACGCACTCTTTGTCCCTTTGCCGTTCAGTAGTTGAGATGGTCTGAGCGTTTTCTCGGCATTCATAGGTTCCTTTTCTGGTGTGTTTGATACTGCAGACGTAGAGTAGGATCGAGAACGAGTAGGCGATGTGGATGATTCCATGGATTTTATGCTACCGATGGGCTTTAGTTGAGGTTTTTCAAATGTGCTGCTGCTGCTGATGTTGTTGTTGCTTCCATAGACTCGGATACCCAATCCCACATTACTGTTACTGCTAGAAGATGGAGCGGTAGATGCTAGCTTTGGTTTGGCAGCAATGATCGGCGGTTGGCTGATAGTAGTAGCTGTAGCAGTGGATGTCCAGTTGTTATTTGATTTTGAAAAAGCCTTTCCAGCATTATTAGGAGATATGGCAGCTTCAAAAGCATCGAGAGGTGGAAATTTCGACAAGGGTGGCTCTTCTTGCTTTTGTGCAGGCAGCAATTCCACTACATAGTTGTATGGGAACAAACCTGTCTCTGAAGTATGCTGTATTCTGCCAGTATACCAGCCTTCCTCACCTGATTCCTCCACATCGACCAGAATATCTCCTTCCTTGAACGATAATTCTCCAGGTTCATCTGCAGAACAGTCAAATACTGCTTTCATGCTCTTCTTGGCAGGCATCGTTATTTCGCTATAGTAACAAAAATAAAAGAGAGAGAAAAAGAGAGAGAAAAAGAGAGAGAGAGAGAGAGAGAGAGAGAAACGAGCAACACGAAAAAGCAGCTCTCACATTTATGTGTCATTCGGGAAATCAAACCCTCTCATCATGGACATGACACCATCATTATTTATTAACATCTTCTACAGTCAAACCAGCTAATCCTTTGCCATTGATCATCTCTAGCACATAGTCTGATATATACTGTGATTCTGCCATGGCGCCAATGCCTAGTTACGTATGCGGTTGTTAGGCACACTGGTCACCCGAAGCTGAAACATCCCAACAAAATCTCTTTACCTGTATCTCCACACGCCAATTTTTTACTGATTGGTTGAATGATCTTGTAGTTCAATACGTTTTCCAGCACTTCCAAGTGTTTTTCAGTGAAGGGGTGATGCCACATGCTGGTGTTCATGGCTGGACATGCGACCACAGGTTTATTGACATCCCAAGCACGCAGTACACACGTCTAGATGCCACAGTGAATATCTCACATGCCATGCATGAATTTTATCCTATTTACCAGTAAATTGTCGCATAATCCATTTGCTAATTTTCCAAGCGTATTTGCATCCAGAGGGGCAAGGATCATGATATCAGCCCAGTTACGCAGCTACCGCGCTCGCAATTATCAGACTGTGGCAGCAAGAGATCAAATGCAACATACCTCGATATGCAAGATGGGATCAGATATCTTTTTCCATTCCTGAAACAAACAATTGCTCACATTAAGTTCAGACATTCTCTCCCTTTCTTTCTTTCTGTTCATCGAGGATCTCTATTACAACATACATTCCATTCATCCTGTTCTCTATACACTGGACAGTTTATCTCCATGTCCTTGACGAAAAAATGTGCTGATTCTGTCAATACAACCTTGACACTGATGTCTGCATACTTTTGAAAAAAGTTCACTAGTAATGGTATCTTGATAGTAGCGATACTTCCTGTTGCGCCTATAAGAATATTTGTCATGATGTTGGTATAAAAGAAAGAAAGAAAGAAAGAAAGAAAGGAAAAAAGCTATTACGGCTCTAGCATGCTTATTCATATCAAATTTTGGAAGGCCGAGATTTCAAGTATCCATCATCTGGCAAAAAAAAAAAAAAAAAAAAAAAAAAAAAAAAAAAGGGGTGTAGGTGTCTTTATTCAACAAAAATGGACCCTCAGTCCTTCATGACTGTGTCGTGGTTAGGCAATGGTGGTGGTGCTGCTGCGGATGCTGTTCGGCTGGATTCGTCTTCTTCCTCATCATCATCTTGATGGCGTAAAGCAGCGCCCATATGATAGTGATTGGCACGTTTACGAAGAAACTCTTCGTGCTTCTTCTTGGCTGTATATCCATGTAATGTTAGACATGCCCTTTTTGCTCGAGCAACTGCTTGTAACTCACCCTCTTCTTCCTCTTCCTCGGTCTTTTCATTTTCATCCATATCCCAATCATCATCACTCACTGAGACTCTTCTGCGCGATTTCTCTCCACTGCTAGCGACACTGGATTTGTCTGATTCCATACCTCCATCGAGCATAAATTCTTCGGGTTCAGCGCGAGCAGAGCCTGCACCATATGGGATCTCAGGGATTTCTAGTGTAGGCTGAGGTTAGCTCACTTCTATAGAAGGGGGGGGGGGCATTGCGTCTTACGGTCTAAATTCAATACTTGATCACTCTCTGCATCGTATCGAACATAAGGTGTCTTTGGCTCATCGACTTTCATTGTGGAATCTTTTTGAGATTCTGTTAATTCGAGGTTTGCTTCGTCCCAACGCAATCTGATCAACGAGCAAGAGTTGTTAGACACGAGTTGCTGGCCAATCTCGCAAGTACTTACCGTGTAAGTTCATTGGGATTCTTGTGCTTCTTCAAGATGCCTTTTGCTGGTTGAGCTTTTAAATTAGGTGAGTGACTCATGCTATCTTTTGCAAGTGTATATAGAGAAAAGAGGAAAACGAGGAAAAAATTATCATGCTTCAAATGATACACGCACTGAGACAATTCAAGCGGCACTTGTTCACTTTATTGACACTCTTCGGGTTCATCGTCGTTGGGCAGTTCAACATCCTTAAGCTGATCTGCATAAAAATAGTGCATGATGTTCCTTGCAGCACGCAATGTGATGTTGTGGACGGGATGAGCAGCAGCTAACAGATTATTGACATCGCCTACAATGACGTATTCGTTTCTACTGGCCCACAACAAGGATCGCAACCCACCCTTGACCTGATCATTGTGATGAAAATCCAAGCGATGTTGAGCTACAGACAAGCCAGACAGACAGTAGCACGTATGGTAGTAATCTGCTCCTTTGCCTGGCTTATCAATCAAGCCACCGTACCCTGATTGGCAGCAAATCAATATATATTCTTGCAGAGCCTCTCTATCAAACAAATAGTCCTCCCACTGCAAATGCGCTTGAAGGATGGGGAAATCACCTGCTCCCCAGAACGAATAACAGCCATCTACCAGCTTGTTGGTTCTACCTTGAAATCCGCCTTCCAGGCCCATTTGTCGCCCTGAGCACCAACTGACTAGTTTCTGCATGTCAAATCTCGAGAATCCATCTAAAATTTCCATGGCTGCTAGCCCACAGAATGTATAGCCGTTGTGTGCTTCCTTGCCCGGATATGGGCCAATGCCTCCCTCGTACGTTTGTGATCGTGCAATGAAATCAATGCAATTCTCTGTCAGTTCAGGCGTAAGTAGGTTGATCAATGCTGCTACAGATAACGCACAATAGGATCCTCGAATATCAATTTCGCCGCCTTGGTGCATGGTGAATGATCCATCAGGCTGCTTCATGCTCAATAAAAAGTTGTACAGTGTTTCTCTAGATACAGCGTTTGAATGAGAATAGCTCGCAACATGCCACTCTCTGATGTAGCCGCTTTTACCTGTTCAATACATCGTAAGCTTCCTTGGTGCCAGTAATTGCCAATGCATTGACAGCAGCATAGGTTGTTGCTAAATGAGCTAGTTGGTCTGATCCACCTCCAAAACCACCTGTAGGTAACTGCCAGTTCTTGAATGTCTCGATGGATCTATGCTGCGTGATGAGCTTTTTAGCAGCTACCAGACTCTCTTTTATTTACCTGGCAATGAGGTTGTTATCGAACTTGTATTCCAATAAATCGAGTGAATGGAATATCCAATAGACCAACCATGGTTTGCTAGCGTCCAAACTAGATCCCCAACGACCAAGGCCATTTAAACCTTTCTTCAGGTAGTCAATGTGTCTTTTGCGATCCAACTGAATCCTACAGTAGCAAGACAAGATCAATAATGATACCAGCCATGTCTTTGGACCATTGACTCACTCATCCAGTGGTAGTTTGTTTTCGTTATTGGGCGCATAAGGGACAAACTTTTCTAGCACTGTCTCTTCTGTTCGTTTCTATAAGCTATGATTTAGAATAGAGTGGATTGCAAACTATTGGAAGCATATACCTGTTCAATAGAGGTATCTGAGGGTAAGTTGTCGTCTTGAGAACGCAAGTTGTTTAGTGGAATATTGCCGTTCAATATGCCCATGATGCTTATTTCAAAAAGAAAAGAGAATGCAATGGAAGAGAGGACTTGCTTTTGGCGTTCATGTAGATGAGAACTTGTCAAATAAACACGCACGTGGTGATGATGGCATGCATCCTTTCGAATAGATAGGCTTTTGCGTGAAGGCTTATATAGACGGCAATGGCATTGCTCTCTACGAGGGCAACATGCGTCATTCGCCTACAGAAAGGTTTTCCTCAGTGATTGCCATCTAATCATCTTTTACAGACTAGATGTATGCAATGCAAAATGTGTCAATCCAGCACGATAAAAAACACCAAATTTTTAATGTGCCGCGTCTCTATCCCTTTTTGCTCTTTTTTTTTTTCGACACTGCTAGAAACCACCATGGATTACGGTAACTGCCATCAAAGCAATGACCTGCCCCAATCCTTTGCTGACATGCTGTCTGACTAGAGAACGAAGAATCCGAGCAGCAAACGATCATCAACGAGGAATACAAACTGTGGAAAAAGAACTCTCCATTTCTGTATGATTTAGTGATAACACACGCTTTGGAATGGCCGAGTTTGACCTGTCAATGGTTTCCAGATGTAGAGAGGTGTGTAATATGAGGGGAATAGCGTGGATGCAACGGACTCACAGATGTATTTGTAGCCGCCCTGACAAAAACTACAAAACACAGCGACTTTTACTCGGCACACACACCAACGACGATGAGCCCAACTACCTGATGATTGCCAATGTCCAGCTTCCCAACGACCAAGACATTGATTTGCGAAAATACGAAGAAAGCACCAACGAAATTGGAGGATACGGTGCCTTTAATGATGCCAATATTCACATCACACAAAAGATTGTGCATGAAGGAGAGGTGAATCGAGCCAGATATCAGTTTGAAAATCCCAATGTCATTGCATCCAAGTCAAGGTCTGGCGATGTATTTGTGTTTGATCGAACGACACATGAATCGTTTCCCAAAGAAAACGAACCCTTTAATCCGGCTTTGAGACTCAAGGGACACACACAAGAAGGCTATGGTTTGGCTTGGAATCCTCACAAATCGAAATCAAACCATATATTAAGCGCAGGGTTTGATCATTTGATTGCTCACTGGGATATTGCTGCTGCATCAAAGGAAAACCGCGTATTGGATCCATTGAGAATTTACAACGGACACACTGCTGGTGTCATGGTAAGGCCCATTCAGCAGGTAGCAAGAGAGAGAGAGAGAGATGGGGAATGTTAATACGTGAAAATGCATAGGATGTGGCCTGGCATATGAAGCATGATTCCATATTTGCATCCGTGGGTGATGATCAGCACTTGATGATGTAAGTTGTTGTATCCCAAAAAAAAAAAACTTGGTTACATAGACTAACGACAGACGCAGTTGGGATACAAGAGATGAATCTCACAAAGCAACACACAGTGTGCAGGCACATCACGCTGAAATCAATTGTGTTGGATTTAGTCCGGGCAACGAATGGGTACTAGCGACAGGATCATCAGACAAGGTAAGCTTCATGGTCTCTTTTACAAGTAAGACGATACCAACACGCATCAACACTAGACAGCCGCATTATGGGATTTGCGTAATTTAAACAACAAACTACACACGCTCCAGAGCCATACCGAAGAAGTCGTTCAGCTTGCATGGTCACCCTTTCATGATGCTATTCTGGCAACTGCAAGCAACGATAGAAGAATATGTGTGTGGGATTTAGCGAGGATTGCAGATGAGCAGTCGCCTCAAGAAGCAAAAGATGGACCTCCTGAGTTATTAGTAAGTAGCCTCTTGTCATGTCATAGTGTGTGAAATTTAACACGGATCCCCAAGTTTGTGCATGGTGGACATACCGGTAAAATTTCAGATTTTGGTTGGAATCCTGCTGAACCATGGATGCTGGCAAGCACTGCAGACGATAATATATTAGAAGCATGGCAAATAGTAAGTGATCAGCTCCAATGATGGATATCAGAGATTGACATGATATGCACCACTGTTAGGCAAGCACAATTTACGGTCAGGAACAACAAGATGAATCAGACAAAATGGAGCACTGATATTCTAGGATAATATTTCTCCCACTGATCTCCAAGATTTTAGTAAACATGCAACATTCATTCGCACAATACGCTTTGTCTTTGTACAGTGTTTTATTCAGTGTTCGCGTAGTGTGTATTATCCAAACTATGGTTTCATTGGAGAAAAGAGATGGTAAATGATCACAGTGACCTTTGGTATGATTGCGTTCTACAAGCCCTATCACCGAGTAGCTGTTGGATCACTCTGCATGTTGCCAGACTATCGGCAGTCACTTTTCTGTTATATGTCTTGTTGTTTAAGGATCAACCAAAAATGAAATCAGATTGAACCATTCATGGAAGCTGTAGTGATGCTATGAAGGAGAAAGGCACTACAAATTCCAAACTCACATACCAAATGTTGATGTCAAATAAAGCTCATCCCTGCTGATGATTCGGACATTGCCTTCTATTACAGACCAAGTTGCCCGCCATCCATCATTAATTACAATAAATGTATCCTAGTCAAGATCACGCCCATCTAATCTTTGTGTCAATTTCAAGCAACTGGTGCGCTCGAGCCCTTGTTGAACAACGTATACACACGTGAACGAATTTTTCCCATGATAAATTTTTCGCGCAACAGGAAAAAAAAAAAGAGAGCTGCAAATCAATGTCATTCTGCCTAGATGACTCGTCCCATTCAACCTTATTCGCATGTGTTTAATATAGATTAGGGCCCAATCAAGGAGAGGGTGTGGGGGAGGAGGGGGGGGAGAGAGAGAGATAAAAGGAGTGAAAATGAAAGCCTAAAAAAGCACACCAATTGAATAAAGAAATTTTCTCATTGGTGAGTTTAACCAATGATCTGTAGAGGATATTGTCATCACTGGTTGTGGAAAAAGATTCTTCGCCATAACATCATTCGTATTGCAAAGACTTACCTTTTCAAGTAATCGTAGAAACAGATAACAGGGCACAGTGTCCGCTTTTTGGAGAACGTGTAGTATGTGATAAGAAGGTTAAATTTGGTTATATCTAACCAATAAAACAGACGATATGTATCAAGCATAAATATCCACTCAAGTTGAGGCATTTATAGCGTCTTTCTTTCTCTCTTTTTTTACATCACTCCTTTCTTCTCTCTCTCTCTCTCTCTCTCTCTCTCTCTCTCTCTGTGCACTATTAAATGTCATAGTGTTTCTTTGTTTATATATACTCGTATATAACAATCAACCATCAACATATCCAACATTTAGCAATTTAATTAAAAAACGTCTATCCCATCATGACTGATCTCAACTGGTGTACATTCTGTGATAATGCTGTAAGCCCCTTTTCTGTAAGTCACCGTTGTCTCTGAAATGGGTATGAGCAATGACTGATGATTCTCTACTATAGGAGTCTCTCTATTGCAGTGAGCAATGTCTACGTGCTGATGCCCTTCGAAATCACCCATTGTTGGGTTACACATACCCTGAATTTACTGATTTTCCTCGACCCAACAACCATCATAACCACAACCACATCCATCATGACACTACGCATCAGAACAACTCTAAAACAACCCCTTCATCCTATTCAAATTATTCATCGGCATCTGTTTCTCCTGCTCTAACTGCTACATCATCGCACACAAGTGGATCATCCATTCAATTATCGTCCCCACCCAAGTTTGATTTGCTCTCCAACTCAACTTGCCTGCCTCCCATCACTACTACCACCACTGCTAAACCTACCCATTTCAACTACTTTTCGATATTTGATACCACTACAACAGCTTGAGAAAAAAAAAAGTGATAGTGCGGGGTACATGCAGATGAAAAGGATATCTATGGCCAATCATCCACATCAGCCCACATCTTATTATATATGAATTTAATGTAAATATCACACAACAAACCCTAAAAAAAATATATACAACTGGAAGAGATTTCTTTCATTTCTGTTACTACAACAACACAATTATACCCTCTTCTCATTTTCTATTCAAATAAAAATAAATAAATAAAAATAAATAAATAAAAAAAAAAAAAAAAAAAAAAAAAAAAAAAAACTTCTCATTTCAGGCACATTTTACCCCTTGTTTACATTATATCATGGTCATTTTATTGGTGGAACACTATACGAGATGCTAATGTAAAGAGCCCATTTCACGATACATTGCTCCTTTTACCATCCATGCTCCCTATGCTTTCCGTCGTATTTCAAGACGCTACTGACTGAGATCAACGAATATAGGCTTCTTCTTTTTTGATCATCACTCGCTCTCAAATGTCGACGGATGATCTTCGAGTCGGCGTGAATAATACCATTCTATCAGCAGCAGCAGGTGATACCAAAACAATCACTAGCAATAGCAAGGTAGAAATTAAAATTGGCATTTTACTCCATAACGATACAAGGCCGTAAGTGTTCACAGAAATTGTATAACAAACCAAAACACTGATGCTGATGATGATGTTGATAGGGGATTATCAGGTGTCCAAATAGCAGTAAACGAAATAAATCAATGGAATATCATTCCAGGCGCATTCGTGACATTGATAGAAAAAGACGCTGTCGACAATCAACCAATAGAACAGGATCAATTCTCCTCTCATGCTATCTCACAAGCCATTGACTCGGTAGTGTCTTTGATTCAGCACGGTGTCATTGGTATCATTGGAGATGTCTCCAATTCATTTACTACGTTATCCGCCCTAATGACGGGCACATTGGAGATACCACAATGTTCCTATTCAGCAACTGCGGGTAAATCTGTGCACTTGAACGAATGCACAGAGCTCTCACCACACACTCCATACAGCGTCCCTGGCAGATAAATCGCAATACGATTACTTTTTTCGCACCATACCAACGGACCTACTGCAAGTAGATACAGTTATATCATTCGCCGTCAGCCAGAATTGGACCACATTAGGCATTTTGTACACAAGAGACGCAGACCTGGGTAAAAGATTTTGTGATGTCTATTGCTTGAATTAGAAGATGAGAGATTTACACAACCTGTCTATATATATATATATATATATACAGTGACTCAAAATCTAATTTCCAAAACTAAAAAGATGGGAATCCTTTCAGTCAAATCTTCTCAAACTTATGAAGATATGGGTGATACAAATAATATTCATGCATCCATGGATACCTTAATGAGCCTTGGTTCACGAGTTGTGTTGATTGCTTCAAAAGATTCAGCTGCAAAGGCTTTGTTCATAGCTGCAATTTCGGGTCACGTCAATAATGAAACTGCATGGCTTATCATGGGGAACTCTGCTAATGTGATCCGTCAATTGAATCAGCATGTGGATGTGTATAATCATATTGTGCAAACAAGGTTGGATAACGCAAACCAGTCCAGTACTAGCACCACCTATCAAAATGCTGTTGAGCAATTGGCGTGGACCACAAACAAGCTGGATCGCTTGACGATGGAACATTTGTTTGCAGGAGGTGTGTTTATTTTTGAACAGCAAACAGACTTGACAGGCTATCCACCGTACGACGCATTCCAGCAGAAGCTATCACAGTAAGATTGTTGCTATCGCTTTTGTGCAGAGCTCTAAATGAACCCTGTCTGTATAGATTTGATCCATCCGCAGCGACCTCCTCCACGTACCAATCAGGGTAAATGCAAGGCAAGTTGCTGATATACGATAATTTAATACTAACGCCAGAGTAGACTAGCTTATTCTTGTATGATGGTCATGGCTTACGGTTTCGGCCAACTTGTTCGAGACTCCATCGACTCAAATTACACATTGCAAGAGTTAACCTCAGGACAATTAATGCCTCGTTATTCATTATCGATTTTCAATGATACAGGTTTCGCAACTGGTCCTCAAGGTCCTGTCTTATTTGATAAGAATGGCGATGTTAAAACAGGGTATGTATTCAGCTATTTTCTGTGTCTATCCGATCATTGACAACCTGCTGTTTATGATAGAAACTTCAAAATCTTTAATTTGCATCATGGTTCTCAAGTAACTGAAACTGGACACGTTTTAGGTGGCATCTTTCATTTGTCTACGGACCCCATCTACTTTGATGGAACAAAAAAGGTATTATCGACAAAAGATGAAAGAGGCTCCTTGGATTCACATATCGTATACCAGCCTCCTTCAGGAACACCTCCCTTTACAGTGATCAAAGCAGGTATAACCGCGCCAATTTCCATAGTCGCCGCAAGCACCGCCATGGTAGGCGTTGCAATGACTCTGATTGCACTCATCATGGTGATCAACTTCAGGCACCATCCTGTATTTAAATCTTCAAGGTAGTATCCAATCCTTTTGATAAACAGCGATTCAATCTTTAACGCACACACACACACACACACACACACACACACACATACACACACAATGCTAATATGATGTAGTCCTATCATTTGTATAATGGAGCTACTAGGTCTATTACTGTCCTACATAGCAGTTCCACTCTTTTTCATTAGCAGCTACTCCACCTTCACATGTTTCATGCTTCCGATAACATTTTACATTGGCTTATCTTTGATACTTGGCTCCATGATTTCGAGAAATTATAGAGTTTACAAGACTGTGAATAACGTGTACAACAACAGCAACTATAGTAGCAGCAATAACCAGTTACTCAAGATTTCCTGTTTTATTCTAGCGTTCAATACAGTAAGTGCCAAATGACATATTTATGATGCCATCAACATACATACGCACACTCCCATCCAAGGTTATCTTAGCATGTTGGCTTGTTTTGTTTGGCAATGTAAAACTATCTGCCATTCCAGTCTCTTCCACGGTGGTTGTCAATACCTGTTCCTATGATGGCTCAGGGCACACCTTCTTTGTGGCCTTGCTTACTATTCAAGCAGGCATCCAACTATGCCTGTCTGTCTATCTAGCCCTTAAAACCAAAAGTTTTGGTGGTTATTCAAAATATAGTGAACACAAGCAGCTGGGACTATCTGTCTAGTAAATAGAAATCATCCTATAGTTAATGAGTCATTGACTAAGCACTGTTTATAGTAATATTTTCTTTTCAGCATTGATTGGATTCATCATCTTTTTCATGCCTACCACAGATTTCTATACAAGGTATTATCTTACTGCAATGACTATACTCTGGGCTTCGACATTTTCGCTCTGCGTCTTGTTTTTCCCAAAAATATTCAAGGTCTTATTTCCAAAGAAGGCGCTTGTATTACCTACTACCGAGAAACGAGATGGCCATGATGAAAAGACGCTTTATGATGAGAAACAGCTATTGACCATGAACCGTATGACAGCAACGAGCACTCATATTTTGGTGGATGAGGACAAGAAGAACGATCCTGTAAAGTGGAATGGATCAATGCCTTCAGCGATGATGGACACCTATCAGGTATAAATTTCCTTATTCTGTCAAATCAATTTCTCATCAAACATCTCTGTACAAAAGGAGAAGCTTCCGGTGCAATACGTATTCAGGTACTTTCCCTTCCTAGCAAGATGGCAAATGAGATGCATAACGCTCTTGCCTCAAGTCTCGTTTCTATCCATTCAACCGGTATGTGATTACACGAGTCCTTGCATGGTACAGTATTGACACAGTTTGGAAGCCCCAGGGAAATCAAAATGCATTCAAGAAACCAATACTATTCTGTTACTCACATGCATTCACCATCTCAAATGTCCCAGGAAATTACGTTTTCAAGGTGCATGGAGCCATTGGTAGTGGCCATTGTGATTTGCTGATTCAGGTCTCAGATCAGAAGCAGTTGAGCCGATGGCTCGGCTTGTTCGATAGGTACCGTCATATGTCATGATCCTAACACTATTCTTAAAATTGATTGTTTATAGAAAATTGGCTCGACATGATAGAAACGAAAGAAGTAGTCGTCCGCTCTCGTTATCTGTAGACAAGACTCATTGCGGCTCTAGCATTACGGACGATATGAGTGATAACAGCAGCAAGAGGTCGATTCTTGACGGAAAAGCGAGCCAATTTACCATTTGCTCAGATGATACAAGTGCCAGCAGTGTTACTCAGGCGCACTGTAAGCAAGACGAAAGAAATCGCATTTAGTCATACTTGCTCTAGTCCAATATCAACTACGATACCCTCTCCCCCCCCCCAGGATAATTCAATATATCTCTAATAGTACTCATACTATCCTACTACTAAATGCATAGTAAAATTTCACTTCTTGACCATTTACTTTCATGTAAAAAACACTTCTAGAACGATATCTGACTGTAGATTTGAGCTTTTTACCATGCTCCACATATGTATCATTGTGATCAATCGGTATATACGCATACAGCATACTGACACTCCCTCATACTACCCAAATATATGTAAATCACAGCTAAATTTGCATGCATTCGAACCGTATTTTCTCGAGTTAGAAGCCGTTTTACGCCGTCAGAGTAGCACCAAACAATTGCTCTCATCTAGCAGTTACTTTCTGATACCTTTGCTCACCTTTTTTGGGATCGTTGAAAATTGACCAAAATCGACCAAAATCGACCAAAAAAGCATGAGCGATACCTCATGATTTTCACCAAAAATCAAACGATCGCGTCTTTCACCTTGAAAATGAAGACTTTTACTATGGCATATATTGAACCAAAATGTTGCTCTCGATCCAATGCAACTCCTGAAACTTTGTTTGTGAGACTTTCGTATATAAAATCTCGACATTTTTGCCGAAACCCTCATTTCGTATTTCCGTACATTGCTCCATAATCTTTTTTATAATATGTATTATAGTTAGTACCATTGGATGCGCCTTGAAAAGTACTATTAGAAAGCTTAAGGAAGTAGGGGGTGACCATTACATTTAATATAGTCGGATCTCTCAAAATTTTTTTTTTGTAGGGCAATTGTATTGCTTTATTTAAAGTCCTTTTACGTACGCCTATTAGATGGGAGAGGAAAAAAGACTGGATATATATTGGGGGGACTAATTATGGAGACTGATCTAAGGTTTCTTGGAAATGTAAGGTATCTAATGAGCTACGAAGTGATGAGAGTAAAATTGATGGTAGGAAAGGTTTGTCCTGGAATGTAAACTGGTAGTGGTGATACCATATAGTTTGTAGCATGCAGGCGAAAACCTGGTAAGCAGAGAGATTCGGATAGATTGAATGATCTTGACGAGAAGGGTTGTGTTCGAAAAGAAGGAATTTCTGGAAGTTTTGGTAACTGTTTTGGGAGATGAGAGGGGGCATGTAAATGGAGAGGGCGGAAGACCAAAAGGATCGTTTGTGGGGACAGGCAAAGAGGAAGTGTTCCAATGTTTCGGTGGATGAGTGGCAGATCCTACAAAAGGGATGGTGGATATGAGGTTGCCGTTCATGAAGAATGTCTCTTGTGGCGACTTTATTATGAAGGATGCGGAACCAGGTGTTACGTGCATTCAATGGGATACGTAAGGACCAGAGACGTTTCCATTTGGCAGAGGATAAGACAGATGGAGGTTTGGGAGGAACATGGTAGGAAGGTAAGGATTTATAACCAGTGGTAGTCGCAGGGACTGGATGGAATTGTTGGAAATCTAGATCAAAGTGTGAGGAGATCATGGAGAGAAGAAGGGAGTGGAGAGAGTCAAGGGTGAGTATGGAGGAGGTGGATAATTGATCAGTAGTGGGGAGGGGACGAGGGATATTTGTGAGCATGGTGTTTAGGGTGAACGTATTGAGGAAGAGGTATTGATCATATATGAAATTGATGGCACGGCGACTGCAGTGAGGATGGGGGAGGTGCTCAAAAGATTCTTTGAAAACAATGGTGTTGGAAGTAGAGTTGTAATCAAAGATATCAGATCCAAAGAGATCCTGACGTAGGGTGAGATGGTCAGCTAGGATGACGGAGGGTGGGGAAAAGGTGGAGGCGAAAGGATGGGAAGGGGGTAGCGCATGTTGAAGGAGAGAAGTGAAAGGGAGGCGGAGGATGACAGGAATGGGGACGGAGCAGAAGGAAAAGTTTCTAATGATAGAGTCTACGGCAATGATGATGTTGGCAACAGGACCAAAAGAGGGTAGACCAGACGGGCGACATTGAGGGAAAAGGAGTGACCAGTGGTAGGATGGGAATCGAGTGGAACCGAGACACATGGAGAGGGTGGACCGAAGGATTGGAATGGAAGGCATCAATGATGGAGAGGGTTGTGTAGGATGAAGGAGTGGATGGATCCATCGCCATTGCAGAGCTTGGGCTTGTCTCGCAGGATTGATCAGGTTCAGACCGCCCTGGGATCGAGGTAAAATGAGAGTGTCAAAAGAGAAGCGGCTGATTTTGGAGTTTCGGTTAATAAAGGAAGTGATGATTTGGCGTATCTTGTTGAATTCAGACTTGGTGAAGGTAACCAACCGAAGAACATGCCATAGTTTGGAGAGTATCAAGGAGTTCACAACGGTGACACGACCGCGGTAGGTCAGGTTCCGACAGGAATGAAGTTGACAAGAGCGACTGATGTTAGAGATGAGGGCGGAGACGAATGAAGTTCGCTGTTGACGATTGGCATGGATAGGGTAACCAAGGTATTTCAGGGCCGTTAGAGAGGAACGATCATGCCATGAAGTGATACCTTTAGAGGCCAGGAACTGAACCCAATGAGGATGGTTGCTACCAGATAGGGAGAGTGCTTCAGTTTTGTTGTAATTGAGGGAGGCATTAGAAGCAGACATATACTTTCCGAGTAGATCCTCGAGAGCAGCGAATTCTGATGGATTGTTAAGGGTTACTAAAGTATCATCCGCATAGGCGAGAACTTTGACCACTGGCGGGTGGGAGCCAGAAATGGGATCAGGAGGGAAAGAGAAGCCCGAAATGCGAGAGTCATTGTGGATGGCCCGGAGAAAGGGATCAAAGGCAATGTTAAAGAGAAGAGGACTGAGGGGATCACCCTGACGAAGACCTCGCAATTGTGGTAAAGGAGCGACTAGGAAGCCATTGACATTAGGTTGGATTTGGGTGGCAGAAAAGAGATTGATGATGGCGGTGATGAGGGTTTGAGGGATATTGAAGGCGTCCATCATAGCCTGAAGGTAAGAGAAGTGGATGCGATCATACGCCTTCTCCTGGTCTAGAAGAAGGGCAATGGATGTTAACTTGTTTCTGGTAGCTACTGTTTGCATGCATTGCAGGATAAGACCCTGCTCCGCAATGAACCGGTCGGGCATGAAGCCCATTTGCTGGATAGAGATCTTGTCAGCAAGGTGACTCATCAGACGAGAGTTGAGGAGGCGAGTGAAGGTCTTGGCATCTGTGTTGATCAGGGAGATTGGGCGCCAATTCTTCAAGAAGGAGAGATCACCTTTCTTTGGGAGTAACACCAAACTAGTTTGAGACCAGGAAGCAGGGAAGGTACCATGGAGCAGAGCATCGTTGAAGATACGGATACCAATGGATGCGGTAGACGGATGTTTGAACAAGAGACGCAGGATCTGATAGGGAAGGCCGTCAATGCCAGGGCTACTCTGGGTGGGGGACCGGGAAAGACCATCCAAGATGTCATTCAGAGTAAAAGGAGTGCATAGGGATTCATGAGAGTCATCAGATAATCTATGGGAAGCGGGAATCATGTTAGTGAAAAATTGTATATCACGTTGATTTACTGTTGTGGGTGTGTAGAGTCGAGAGTAAAAGGAGTGGACAGCTTGTTCCTTCTCAGTTTGAGAAACATAACATGTGCCAGTGGAAGGATCCTTGAGAGAAGGCAGGGCACGCTGAAGTTCTCGATGAGTAGACAAAGCCTTGAGAAATCCAGCCGAGGTCTCTCCCTTCTCTCGCCAGCGCAGACCTGATCTTAGGGCTTGGTGTTCAACCATTTCCTGTTGTAAGGCACTGATCGCTTTCTCAATGGTAGGCAGACGATCATTCAGGATGGCCGTGGACTTGTAGGCACGGAGGATCCGGTTACGTTTACTCTGCAATTGTCTGAGCTGCCGACGCCGCCATTCAGCCTGTTTCCGACCGATCTTTTGGGCTAGGGATCGAGTTAGAGACTTGATGTCGTCCCATAACACTTGAGGAGAAGCTGGGAAGGGATTGGAAGCTAGATCCCGATGAAAGTCATCCAGGCGTTTATACAACTGATTCACAAAGAAAGAGTTATCAGCCAGGCGTGGGTTGGCCCGCCATAAGCCTCGGCCATGGTTGTTTAAGCGCATTCGGAGGTGGATGCTAAGCATGGCATGATCGGTCCATTGTGGGGCTATAAAGTCGACAGTGGATGTGTGGACAAAGTTGGTGAGAGAGGGGGCCACATACATGTAATCGATGGTGGATCTATATCCGGCGCCGTGAAAGGTTGGTATGGGTGGATCGGGTTGCAAGCGGTGAGAGCACTCTCGATAATGGTGTTGCAACATAGCATGCCAAAGCCATTGGGCCCTTGTAGCTGGTGGCATATTTGAAGGGTCATTGGAGTCTAGGTGAGGCGAGGTGAAGGAGTCCTCAAGAGCATCCGGCACAATGAGAGAGGGGTCGGAAGGATGGTGGTAATTGAGGTGTAAATTTCTGATGAAAGAGGGATTCTGGAGGCCATCTTGGATGATGGTTGCTGGGAAGTGACGGAAATTGTAGTTGAAGTCGCCTACAATCATATCTGGAGCTTCAGAGGGAAAATTGAAGGAATGGGTGGAGAGGTTTAGCAACAAGGACTGAAAGAAGGGAAGTTGAAGGAGATCAGCATAGAAATCATAGCGGGCGTGGTAAGTGGCAGGTGCATAAATATTCATGAGACGGAAGGGACGGAAAAGGTGGTTGGCATGAGAGACAGTACAGATGATTAGACGACCATTGTTAGAGACGTATGCATCATCAAGCTGGATAGCTGGATTGAGGCTGACGACTCCACAATAGTGCGTCCATATGGAGGTTTTGGCCTGGAGTTGCATATCCAAGCGATCTTGTACAGCGGGATCAGAAGAATAGGTTTCTTGAAGACAGAGGATATCCATACCAGAGGAGGCAAGTAGGCGAGAGAAGGACCGACTAAGGTCAGGAGTGGAGGGCTTGGAAAGACTACGGCAGTTGAGGCTACAAATATGGAAGTTGGTAGTTTTGTTCTGTGATGATGCTGGATGGGATATCGGGTGTGGAGGATGATTCGTTGAGGGTGGGGAGGCTGGAAGATGATTGAGAGCTGATTCCAAGATCTCACTCATTGAGAGAGATCATCGGTGTCAATCGAGGAGGTAGAACCGGTATGAGAGAGTGCCTCAGCAGAGGCATTGGAGGCAAAGTCTGGAGTGGTGTCCATTTCTTGGGTGGACACCGCGTTACCAAAGTAATCAGTGAGAGTGGGAGCAGCAGGAGGGACCAGGGAGATAGGGTCAGAGTCAGTGGAGGGAAGAGGGATACTAGATTGAGGAGCAGCGGATTGGGAGGCTTGCAAGGCCTGGGCAGTAGCAAAGTGAGGGGCAGGTCGGCGCTTGGCGGGACGAGGGAGGCGTTGGTTAATGATATCAGTAGCCATGGTGTGAGGTACCCAGCCTTGACGAACAAAGTACTTAGCAACACCAGGAACGAGATGAGGACGGATGAAGTAGAGAGTTCGGATGCAACGGTCCTGGTGGAGAGCATGGGCTAATTGGAGGCGACGTTCCTCAGAGAGATCATGGTATTTGGGATCAGCGACGTGATGATGGTCCAATGGATCGAAATTCTGGATTGGTTGGGTGTCGATTTCCAAAAGTTTCGACTTGAACTCGTCGAGATAGGCTTCGTGAAGGAGAACTCCAATGGTGTTGCGAGCGGGGAAGTTGAGGTCCAGAATTCGGAGGTTGTCAATCGAAATTGCGCGAAATTTCGATCTGATTTGGCTGCGATTCATGCGACGAGAACGAGGGAGATAAACCAAGGTGTAAGAACCATTTTGAATGGAGTCATCAGGAGGAGGAGAGAAAAAGCGATGTAAGGCTTGGCGCTTACGATCGGAGAGGGGAGCAGGTGGCTTACTGGCAATGGCAGCCCAGGAAGTGGTGGATTGGGGTGGTTGAGTACTAGGCTTGGATGTAGATCCAGCAGAGGTACCTTTGGAGATGACATGAAGAGGTGAAGGAGTGCTGGAGGCAGGAGGGGAAATTGCTTTGATGGCCTGGAGAATTCGGCCCATAGTGGCCTCAACAGAGTTGAGACGAGCATCGTTGGCCCTGAGATGTTCATCAGTGGCATTGAAGCGGTCAAGAGTGGAAGTGATACGATCCTCGATGGATTGGTTAATACCTTCCTGTTTCTGCATGAAGGTATAGATGTCCTTGAGGGATGCCGCAATGTTGGAAAGGTGTTGTTCAGTTGAAGACATGGGGGTTGTTTTCAAATTCTTTACTAGAGGTTAGGGATTCGATGTTATTAAAAAATTCGAAAAGTGAGATCTCTCAAAATTTTTTTTTTTTTTTTTTGTAGGGGAGACGAGCTCCAGGTTTTATTTAAAGTCCTGTAAATGTCGCTATGAGTGATAGACAAGACTGTGATCTCTCAAAATAAGTCGAATCGAATCTCAAAAGTCCAAAAATTAACAAATAAAGGATGAAAGTGCTGATCGGAGATACAATCGATTTTGGCTGGCAAATGCCTTTTATGAAGAGAATAGATGTTTCTGAAGCTAATAACAAAAGGCATAGCAATCTAAAAAGTATTTTAAGATGTTTGGATCTTTTGCTTTGATTCTGTTGTATCTTTTTTTTTACGTTTTTCTGATTCTAATCCTTGCAAACTGCTAATCCAAATGTGAATCGTAATGCAAAATGCAGAACAATCATTTTACTAGTAGTACTCCAAAGGTAAGCCCTACTTTGCTTCTAATTCAATCGTCTCGTAGGTAGTAATTTTAGTTTTTATGATATACTGCAATAAACAGGACCATTTGCCTAATGCCACTTTATCAAATGCTCTTTTACCAAGACAGTGTCAAACTCAGTAGCTGCCAAGAGCGGATGAACGCTGGATGCATGTGAGACTCAACGTTGTTGTGTGCATAGTTTTGTTTTACTCAAGCTTGACTACACAGCACTTTTTGCCAACAATACGAGAAACTGATACCAACAAGACTGAGACGGCACTCTTATGCTACCCATTTAAGCAGTTTGTAGAGTTGACCGAATGTTGACAGGCTGGAAAATATATGGAGTGTTACTGAGTGGCTTGCGGTATCAACGTTTTTCTTGATTGGGCTCGGGATGTAGCTAATTTTTTTCATGTAAAAAAACCAAAAACTAAATCTTGCTCTCTCTCTTTTTTTTTAAAAATTATTCACAACCACATTTACAATCCACTATGAGACAATTGAAGCATCACGAACAAAAGCTGTTGAAAAAGGTTGACTTTTTGCAATGGAAAAAGGAAGACACTATACGTGAGATGAAGGTCATTCGTCGCTACTTTCTTCAGCAGAGAGAGGACTATCACAAGTAAGTTGCTGTGCAATACAAAAACCATTTTGGTTAGGGAGAAGGTCTGACATGTTATCAAACAACAGATACAACAAACTAGTGGGCAGTATCCGTCAATTAGCCAACAAGATTTCATTGCTCGACTCTCGTGATCCATTCCGTACACAACAAGAAAAGGCATTGTTAGAGAAACTATACAACATGGGCATCATTACAGCAACAACCAAGTTTTCGGATTGCCGCAAAGTGACAGTATCCGCTTTTTGTCGTAGACGTTTGCCTATTGTCATGTGTCGATTAAAGATGGCAGAAACCGTAAAGGAGGCAGTAACATTTGTTGAACAAGGACATATCCGTGTGGGGCCTCAGACAGTGACAGATCCTGCCTTCTTGGTGAATCGCACGATGGAAGACTATGTCACTTGGGTGGACACTTCCAAGATCAAGAGAAAGATCATGAAGTACAATGACAAGGTAAGATTTGCGCTCGTGTATATATTGAGTGTATGTCTAACTCTTTTGATTAATAGTTGGATGACTACGACCTTTTGTAAATTTTATTCTCGATACACATCTACATGTTACTACATAAATACATTTTCTTGCTTGCAATCACTATTTGATGATTCGAATGAGTTTTAAATGCATGTGCAACCCATTTACTGCTGTTAAAACAGATTATCTTTTTTCCCTTGTGTTTTTCGCCTCTATTTCTTCTTGTCATCATGAATCGTTTGAAGAATGCAACCACCAAAGTCCTCGGTCGTCGTAATTGGATGGTACATAATAACCGAGCAACACTATATGTCAATGCAGCTAATCATGTCTACATACATTGATGCAGAGTACAGCAGGCATTGAACGCTCGCATCGTGCTATTTTATTTCCAGGTAAGATGGAAACCATGTGGAAGAAAGGATTATCCACCTGTTGACACACATACATGCATCTACAGGCCAGGGATCCCAATATGTAGGCATGGGGAAGGATCTCTACAACTTGTACCCAAGAAGTGCCAAACTTGTTTTTGACGAAGCAGATGAAGCACTCAAGAATGGACTTCGTGCGCTTATATTTGAAGGGCAACAGGATAAATTGAAACTGACCGAGAACGCACAACCAGCCATCCTCACAACATCCATCGCCATGCTACGAGTGTTGGAAACTGAATTTGGATTTGACATTTCTAAAGCATGTAATCATGCGTTGGGTCATTCGCTGGGAGAATACACAGCATTGGTAGCTACCAAGGCCATGTCTTTGACAGATGCTGTGCGTCTAGTGCGTTTGCGTGGTGAGGCAATGACTCGTGCAGTTGCAGACAAGCAGGGCAAGACTGCCATGTCTGCTTTGGTAGTTAGAAAGGATAGATTGGCGGATTTGGAGAAGGCTATGGAGGAGATCAAAGCTAATTTGCCAAATGGCGAACTAGTCGCTGTAGCAAACATCAATAGTGTGAGTATCAGATAGGTCTTTGGATGACCATCTCACTGAACATGTCAGAATAGTCATTTCAAGTGGTCATCAGTGGTACAAGTCAAGGTGTAGATCAAGCATCTCGTATTTTGCAGGAACGTAGATTTGCTGCTCGTGCCGTTGATTTGCCTGTGAGGTAAAACTGACGTCCTGTCTGACTGGGCGATCTGGATTGACTCATGTCGATTGTGTAGTGCTCCTTTTCACTGTGAATTGATGCAAGAAGCTGCTGACGTTATGGAGGATGCTCTGAAAAAGGTTGAAATTAAGATGCCATGTGTAGAAGTTGTCTCCAATGTCACTGCCAAACCAGTAAGTGCACTTTTTCCGCAAGTAAATGGCGGCCTCTAACATAGGTTGACAGTATGTCAATGCAGAGGAGATCCCAAAGAGATTGGTGGAGCAAGTTGTGGCTACAGTGGAATGGGAGCGTAGTATCAATTACTGCAAGGGACAAGACATTGACGATTTTCTCTGCTTTGGGCCTGGTAAAGTGCTGGCTAATCTATTGAAGAAGGAGTACCCATTGGACAAGATCAGAACCATCACTAGTGCCGATGATATCTTACAACATGCCTTGGAATACAATCGTAAAAAGGACAAGCCTGATGAACCTTCGTTTTAGCGGAGAGTTTAAGCGCCCCGCAAACAACGCCCTACAAATCGAGATCGATGACTGATTTCGATCCTGCTAGAGCAAGATGTCATGTACAATAAAAAGTGAAAAAAAAATATATATATATATTTCCCTTTCTTTTTTTCTCTTGTTTATGCTATCGTTTTGTACCAAAAATCTATTCAAACATTGCATCAGAAATATGGGGAAAAAAGTTGCCGCCACTGCTGTCAAATTGGAATCCACTGTAGCTGCCACTACCATTGTAGAGCCAAAGAACGAGGAGGCCAGAAAAGAAGAGAAGGTTACAGTCAAATTAGAAGAGGAAAATCTGACAGAGACAGCCGCAGTAATTGAGACGCCAAGATACGTTCATGACAACCCTCGCGCCTTCAAAGGAAGACTCGGTTATGCGTATGTGTTGGAGGGAACATTGCTGAATGTGCACAATGTAACCTTTAAATTGTATGTAGTTGCATGAATACCATATTACGTAAACAAAAGCCATCTATTTTCAGTGCAAGAACATGTCGGTTAGGTTTGTATCTGTTGTGGCGAGTATGCTATGGACTGGAATTAACCAATCTCTTTTATGAGTAGCTACTGTGGCCGAAAAAGGGATTGACGTTGTCAAAGAGATCGCACTACAGGTAAGTACGAATGAGAGCTATCATTACCGGCTCCTTATGCACATTTGCATTAGAATGTTACGGATATGAAGACCATGATTCAATGGAATGAAGGCAGGTAGCTTAACTGTTACATGATGACAACGATGCTAATACAAAGACATGACGCAGATCACAATATTCGATTCATGCGTCTTTCAAGTGATATGTTTCCCTTTGCAAGTCATGAAAAAATAGGGTAAAAAAAAAAACAGCACAAAAAAAAAACGAAATGTGTAGATAATGTATAATAATGACATAATGTTACAGCTACGAAATCGATTTTGCAGAAAAACAGCTGAAAGAAGCAGGGGATTTGGCCAACAAATACAAACATCGCTTGGTAAACAGCGTGGTAGTGCAATGTCAAATTACAGCATGTTGATTCGTTTATATACAAATAGACAATGCATCCCGGCCAATACAACCAGTTAGTCTCACTTAATCCAAAAGTAGTTGCAAATACAACACGCGAACTTTATTGTAAGTGCCATTTGAAAATATAACCGCAATGTATTGAGTGCTATCATCATGTAGATCATGCACACATGTTGGATTTGATGGGTATGGATCAGGATTCCGTGATGATTATGTGAGTGGATACAATGGATTGCCTCTTACTCGTGTCTAATGCTTTGTATTTTATAGACATATGGGAGGTGTTTATGGTAAGAGAGTGTATAGGCATGTTGGGTGGCACAGAGATTTAACAAGTCTTTTTTATAGGCGATAGAGAGGCTGCTTTGGCTGTAAGTCTATTGTAAAGAGGAAATGAGCAGATGCTCACATCACACAAGAGATTTGAACAGGAATATCAAAAGTTACCAGACACTGTCAAGCGAAGATTGGTTTTGGAAAATGACGAATTAGGCTACTCAGTCTCTGATCTTTTACCAATATGTCAAAAGCTTCAAGTTCCATTGGTACTTGACTGGCATCACCATCAGTATGTTTAGAGGAGAAACTCAAAGCGGCTTTAGCTAACATTCCACGTAGCATCAACCCTGGAAATGTGACAGATCTGATATCCTTATTACCTGCCATCAACAAAACTTGGACAGACAAAGGCATCAAACCCAAGGTAACTAGATGAGCTGCATGCACATGATGAGCCATTTCTCATACATTATATACTTCAAGCAACATTATTCAGAATCAAGAAACGGCGCAGTAACCCAAATGGAGAGAAGAGCACACAGTGATCGAGTACAGGTAAGGTCTATATAATGAGGCATAGCCCTGCTCTACTCACTGTATGGTATGCATGTGTGCTTAGAACTTGCCACCTACCACTGATGATGTTGATTTGATGATTGAGGCAAAAGATAAAGGTATGTGGGGTAAGCCCCATCTAATACACATTTACTCATACTCTCACCAAAGAGCAAGCTGTATTCCACTTGTACAGATTATTCGAATTAGAGACTGTAGATGATGATGTCTGGATACCACAAACTGGCGTTGAAACAAAGCAAACCGGTGGTCGAAAGAGTACCAAGGCTGCTCGAAAGAAAAAGGCAGCAGAAGATGCATTAAAGGATGAATTGAAAGACGAAAATGGCGACGATGATTACAGCGAAGATGTCAAGCCAAAAAGAACACGCAAAGCCATTACTACCAAGAAAGCAACATCCTCTGCCAAGAAGCGAAAGGCGGACATGGTTTCTGGTGATCAAGAAGAGTTCAATCTGGAGGAAGAGGTAACTCAAGTGCGTCAAACCACCAAAAGAGCAACAGCCGCTGCATTAGCAAAGAGAAAGGAAATTGAAAAAGAAGTAGAGGCCATTGAATTGGCCATGGAGGAAAAGGAAAACGAATCTGCCCAAGCAGATGATGATGTGCGCATGGATACTGCCATGCCTGAAAAGATGGCAAAGAGAAAGAAGCCTGCTGTAAATGGTAAGGCCAAGAAGAGCGCAAAGAAAGAGCCTACTGCTATTGATTTACCTGTCAAAGCACCACCAGAGGTCAAAGCGACTACTCGCAGATCAAGACGCAGTGTTGACGGTAAACAGGCCAAGAGCAACGAGTAACATGTCTAGTCATTTACTTGCCTTTATTTAACGTATATACTGCACATACTTGTCATCTCTTTGAAAGTTTATTGTAACATTGTGAATAAATCAAAATCTATACAATGCTATCATAAACCACACTTCCCTGCCAACGTTACCAAGGTGCACTGACACTTGACCCCAAAAGCCCCCCATCACTACGTGACTCTCGTCTTTTTCAAATGTCAAAATCAAACAATTCAAGTAGAAAAAAAAAAAAAGGATTTCGTTTCTTCTCCACATAGACACATCATTGACAGCATGTCCTTGAAAGCACACGTTCATCTCGACGAGCCATACACCCACCAAGCTGTTGTCAAAGCACTTGAAAACTCGACCAAATTAAAGTGGATCATCAACCAAGACATTGTGCCAGATCATGCCGACACAGACATTGCAGATGTTCAATTACAGTGGCTGGAATACGAGCTAATCAACTGGCACCACCTGTCCATGCACGACAAAGACTCGCTTGCCAACGCCTACTGTATTCGTAAAGGGCTTATCCGTAAATCACAAATGGCCTACAACATGACCAAGTATTTATCCAAACATCCCAACAGCATTCTCAAAAAGGCCATCCCAGAGACCTGGCTGTTTGAACTGGATCATGTGGATTACTTTGAGGAAGCCATGAACGATGTGTTTGAAGTGGAAAGAGACTTGCAAGAAGGGCACATGTTTATCATCAAGCCTAGTATGGCCAACAAAGCAGCTGGTATCAAGGTGTTTAATTCGCTGGATGAATTGCGCGCCATGTTTGAAGTGGAAGACAGCGACAGTGAGGACGAGGATGATGATGCGTACGATAGCGATCAAGAGGACTTGACTCAAGTGCGTGAATGGGTGATTCAACGTTATATCCACAAGCCTCTGCTGGTGAATAAGCGCAAATTCCATGTGCGTGCCTATGTGCTGGCCAAATCAAACATTCAAGTGTACCTGTACAGGGACATGCTGGCCTTGTTTGCTATGAAAGATTACGATACCACTTGTTTAGACGACAATTTGATCCACTTGACCAACACATGTCTGCAAGCAGATGAGGAGGGATACGATGAACAAGCGTCCGTTAAACTCTTTTGGGAGCTCGGCTTGGATGAAAAGGACCTCAACAAGATGTTTGATCAGATGAAGAGCATTTTAGCTGATGTATTCGATGCTTGCACTAGCGAAATGACAACTTTCCAAGCCATGCCCAACGCATTTGAGCTATTTGGCGTTGATTTCATGATGGATGAGGATCTGAATGTCTACTTCTTAGAGGCCAATGCTGTAAGTAGGTACTAATTGTAAATGGTTTTATTTTATTAAATGCAAATTTTTTTTGTGTAGTTTCCTGATTTCAAGCAAACTGGTGGTAAATTACAACACATTATTCAAGAGCTGTTTGAAGCAACAACCAGAGTGGCTATTGAGCCTTTCTTTACAGATGGACAGGCAGTAACTGATGAAAAACTAGTCAAGGTGTTTGATAGAGAATTACTGTCCTTATAGAAAATGATTGTATTGCGGATAATGACCATAGACACCGCCAAATAAATCGTCCTGTTGGCGTCTGTTATATGGCTGTTGAATTTGTTGTTGATGCTGTTGAAAGTGAAGTGGAGAGTGCATGTGCTGCATCATTTGCTGCTGATGGAGCATCATTTGCTGCTGGTGCATTCGTTCTCTCTGTTGACGCATGTATTCATCGTGTCGTCTCTGTTCTTCCCATAATCTCTGCTGTTCCTGTTGTAATTTGAGCTGCTGCTGGCGAATTTGCTCTTGACGGTAAAAGTAATCTCGATGCTCGTCATACTGATCCAGTTCGTCCTGCTCTTGTTCATCCTCCTCTCCCTCACTGTCGCTGACGATCTGGATCTTTTCTACTGATCGACTGTGATGGCTGGGTGGACTCGTTTTGGCTTCAATCTGGTGCTGTGTTGGCTGCTCTACACCATTGATCTTTGTCAGTCCATTTCCATATTCTTCAATGACTTGCGTCCCCTAAGTGCAGGTAGTGTCAGTATGCAACTGCATTTGAGCAAGCTGAAAAACTCACATTGCTGTCTGTAATCTTTGTAATTTTGACAGTTTCCATAACGCCATTGACATTGCGAGTCGTTGTAGAAACCGATTTCGAATATCCACCACCACCGCTGCTTAATCCTCTACTGTTGCTCTGACTTGATCCGATAAAAGATTGCTGCTGGAATGAGGATGACCCCATCAACGGCGACATGAAATCATGATCAAAGAATCCCCTCATATCGCTAAATCCGCCCATCATGAATGGGCGATTGAAGCCGCCAAAAGGCGAGGGTGGAGGTGGAGCTTGATGCATTGGAGGCATCATGAAGGAAGAGAATATGTCGCCTCCTTGTCCAAAAGCGCTCATGTGATTGAAAAACTCTGCGAATATCTCTTCAGGATTATGGAACTAGCTGCGGGTAAATAATAACGTATAGCAGGTTATCTGTAGCTACTTACTGCAAAACCAGCGAACGGATTGTGATAGTCGTAGTCATCATCATGCATTGAACTACTGCCGCGGTTATCATACACTCTTCTTTTTTCAGCTATAGACTGAAATTGAGCACATACTCTCTAGCTAGATTCACTCTACACTACTTACGGTCAGATAAAATCTCGTACGCTTCACTATATAAGCGTCAATATCTCATGCTGTTCTATCTGTCATCATGTGAGACTCTACCTTATATCTTTAAACTGGCAATGGATAGGTTGAGTGAACTGTTTCATCTCATAGAATCATGCAAATGTTACCTTTTCTACAGCGTCGGCAGAAGAATTTTTATCCGGATGGAACTTGAGAGCAAGCTTACGATATGCCTTCTTGATCTGTTGATCAGAGGCATCTTTCTCGATTTGTAAGACTTGGTAATAGTCTAATGAGGCTGGCATGGTTGTTTAGAAAGATATGAAAAAAAAAAAAGAAACGGAAAGAAATGATTCGAATCTTTTCGTACTATATTCAGCTCGTAATTGTTATTGCCAAACACTCAAATAAGTAAACTCCATTAGCCACGTGATTCCTAGTGATAAACCCAAACCCCATCATTGTTGTCTTCGCCCTAGATCAACATGCATTTAACAGATGGGATCATTCAACTTGAATCAGTCAAAGACAGATGGTGTCTTTATTGATTACATTGTGACAAATTCACTAAATCTCAAGTCAGATTCCTCGCTTAAATACTCTATCCATCGCTTGAGGAATCCGCCATCAAACCGAGCGGCAGGCTTTGCACCGCCCTTGGTTCCCAACAAGGTCTCTGAATCACAAATCACGCATAAATGTCTCTTGGCTCTCGTCATGGCCACTGAATCAAGAAAAAAAAAAGTCAGGATTTCCATTATGCCATTATACTTTGGCTACACTAACCATTCAATCGTCTCTTTTCAGCCAAGAACCCCACTTCTCCCCTATCGTTGGATCGCACCAAAGACAGTAAGATGGCTTCCTTCTCTCTTCCTTGGAACCCATCTACTGTACCAATTTCAATGCCAGGCCAATGCTCACGGATATCTCGTTTCAACTTTGACACTTGGGCTGCGTAAGGTGTAATCACACCAATTTGCTCCTCCTCCAATCCATCGTCTATCAAAGCACGGATATGCATCAAAGCCAATTCCACTTCCAGCTCGTTTGCTTTACTCTGCTCTTCCTGAGCATCGTCTGTGATTTCATGTCCTAAGCCTGTATCACTGGTATCGATCATCACTAAAGGCATATCTGTATTCTCAGATGCTTCAACACTGGGTAAATCTACCAGTAAATGGCTGGCCACACTCTTGTCAGCGACGAGCTTGTTGTCGTAGAGCTCTTTTGAGCTGAATTCCATGATTTTTTGATGCATACGGTACTGCACCATAAGCATACGTTTGACTTTGTCACCATACATGCTGAGAAGCCGATCAAACAGTGTTGTGGATAGATCAGTCTCTGTAGACAGGCCTCCTTTATTGGCTTTCTTCGTCTGATTCATCTTGATGGGTGTCTTGATGGTTGGAGGCAGTTGTAGATGATCGCCTGCCTATAAGATCCTCATGGTATTAGAGCGAGTATCTCACAAACAAACAGCAACTACGTTACCAAAATAGCCTTCTTTGCTTTCAGTAAGGCAATCCAACATTCCGCTTCCAATGCTTGTGTTGCTTCATCAATAATCACTACATCAAATTCTCGGTTCCACATATTCTTGCTCGCAGCACTGTGATAGATATCACTGTTAGATGATGGGCTATCTTCCGACTTCAACCAAACTTACCCATTCAACGTAGAGATGGTCACTTGCGCACTGGTCAATACCTCGTCTACCACCTTTTTCTCTCTGATTCGATAATCCTTTCGAAGATCCTTGACAAGCCCATACATGGATCGTCTCTCTGCTCGACTCTTTGTCTTGTTGATTTTAGCGAGTGTTTCGTCCATTTCCTTTCGAACATCGGATACAATTTGACCTGAATCGCAGGTGCGAGTAATAATGTCCAATGTGTGATCGACGACAGAAGGCAATACTCTTGCTGGATGGCCTACTCGCACTATATTGAGTCGATTCTGAGCCAGTCTCTCCACTAGGTTGTCTATTATGGGTCCATTGAGTAAGATTTTCTCAGGGCACTTTGCATTGGCTTACCAACAGATATATTTGAGGGACCACATACAAGCACGCGCTTGTTTTGATTGACTGACAATTGGCGAATAATCTCCACCAAAGTGTAGGTTTTTCCTGTACCAGGTGGACCATGGATCAACGCTACTTCAGGAGACCCCAAAGCGAATCGAACTGCCTCTTTTTGTGAATCATTCAGTGTCTCATCAAAGAAACTGATATCTGTAGGTATCGATGCTCTGGAAAGGTCTGATTGACCAAGCAAAACATTGATCAGACTAGATCCACCCTGTTCACATTTCTTTTGCAGTCTCTCCAATCCTTTCAACATTCTTTCATACGTGATACTGTTGGCAAGCTTGACACTATTATCTCCCCGTCTTAGTTTTCATAATGTACCATCACATACTCTCGAACTCACATTTGACACCGTTCCTGAATTTCTGTAGGCAATTCTTCCTCCATCTCTTGAAGTGCTACTGTAATTCTGGCATCTGCCACTCTCAGAACAACACCAGACCATTTTCCAACTTGCCGGGAGGGCTTGTCCTTTTTGTATTCATCCAAACCAACAATATCGCCTGTGGTGATCTTGTGAGCTGGAAAAATAGGCGGTAAAATGCTTGGATTAGCCAGCTCCAAGTCGATCAAACTATGCTTTTGTTAGAACACGATAGACTGGATGCGGCCAATGCTCTACCTTTTGCCTCCCAAGCCAGTTCGCATGCCTATTGTTGCGACTGGTTAGTATGATGCGTCCGTGTGTGTATCTTGTTGTATCTACCTGTCACTTTGAGACCAACAAGAGCTACTCCTCGACGTTGTAATTGAATGGGTGCGTATGCTGACAGCAACTTTTGAGTATCCTCGACATCAATCTTTCTTTCTGTTTCTACTAGTTGTATTTGGTGAGCAACAAACTTCTCCATGATAATGTATTTCGAGCTAAAAAAGAAAGGTAGTAACGACGCAGCATTAGGCGAACGCGCATAAATACACGTTTTATAAACTGACGTTGAAAATGAAATCAATGCAATGTGCAGAAGTGGCTTATGGTGCCTATTAGTTTGATACCTCGTTCTCCATGTTACAGTTGCGACATGGAGACAAGATAAAGCGACCATAGATACTTAATAAAACCTGTCGCAGTCCACTGACATTTGTGGCCTTTATTTGATCCGATGGAATACAATCCTGCTATATATATATGAAGGAAAGTGAGACTTGAGCAGATCTATATACTACTTTAGAAGGGGGAGCAGCACGCTAACATCTGGCAGTCTATATCTCCATTTTTAAAAGACAATTTTTTTCATAAACAATCTGCATGTAGTTGTGGATCTGGCTATTCTAGGATGCTCTGCATCTGTATCATTGTGATCAATTCGTATACAGGCATACAGCATACTGACACTGCCTCATACTACCCAAATATATGTAAATCACAGCTAGATTTGCATGCATTCGAACCGTATTTTCTCGAGTTAGAAGCCGTTTTACGCCGTCAGAGTAGCACCAAACAATTGCTCTCATCTAGCAGTTACTTTCTGATACCTTTGCTCACCTTTTTTGGGATCGTTGAAAATCGACCAAAATCGACCAAAAAAGCATGAGCGATACCTCATGATTTTCACCAAAAATCAAACGATCGCGCCTTTCACCTTGAAAATGAAGACTTTTACTATGGTATATATTGAACCAAAATGTTGCTCTCGATCCAATGCAACTCCTGAAACTTTGTCTGTGAGACTTTTGTATATAAAATCTCAACATTTTTGCCGAAAACCTCATTTCGTATTTCCGTACATTGCTCCATAATCTTTTTTATAATATGTATTATAGTTAGTACCATTGGATGCGCCTTGAAAAGTACTATTAGAAAGCTTAAGGAAGTAGGGGGTGACCATTACATTTTATATAGTCGAATCTCTCAAAATTTTTTTTTTTGTAGGGCAATTGTATTGCTTTATTTAAAGTCCTTTTACGTACGCCTATTAGATGGGAGAGGAAAAAAGACTGGATATATATTGGGGGGACTAATTATGGAGACTGATCTAAGGTTTCTTGGAAATGTAAGGTATCTAATGAGCTACGAAGTGATGAGAGTAAAATTGATGGTAGGAAAGGTTTGTCCTGGAATGTAAACTGGTAGTGGTGATACCATATAGTTTGTAGCATGCAGGCGAAAACCTGGTAAGCAGAGAGATTCGGATAGATTGAATGATCTTGACGAGAAGGGTTGTGTTCGAAAAGAAGGAATTTCTGGAAGTTTTGGTAACTGTTTTGGGAGATGAGAGGGGGCATGTAAATGGAGAGGGCGGAAGACCAAAAGGATCGTTTGTGGGGACAGGCAAAGAGGAAGTGTTCCAATGTTTCGGTGGATGAGTGGCAGATCCTACAAAAGGGATGGTGGATATGAGGTTGCCGTTCATGAAGAATGTCTCTTGTGGCGACTTTATTATGAAGGATGCGGAACCAGGTGTTACGTGCATTCAATGGGATACGTAAGGACCAGAGACGTTTCCATTTGGCAGAGGATAAGACAGATGGAGGTTTGGGAGGAACATGGTAGGAAGGTAAGGATTTATAACCAGTGGTAGTCGCAGGGACTGGATGGAATTGTTGGAAATCTAGATCAAAGTGTGAGGAGATCATGGAGAGAAGAAGGGAGTGGAGAGAGTCAAGGGTGAGTATGGAGGAGGTGGATAATTGATCAGTAGTGGGGAGGGGACGAGGGATATTTGTGAGCATGGTGTTTAGGGTGAACGTATTGAGGAAGAGGTATTGATCATATATGAAATTGATGGCACGGCGACTGCAGTGAGGATGGGGGAGGTGCTCAAAAGATTCTTTGAAAACAATGGTGTTGGAAGTAGAGTTGTAATCAAAGATATCAGATCCAAAGAGATCCTGACGTAGGGTGAGATGGTCAGCTAGGATGACGGAGGGTGGGGAAAAGGTGGAGGCGAAAGGATGGGAAGGGGGTAGCGCATGTTGAAGGAGAGAAGTGAAAGGGAGGCGGAGGATGACAGGAATGGGGACGGAGCAGAAGGAAAAGTTTCTAATGATAGAGTCTACGGCAATGATGATGTTGGCAACAGGACCAAAAGAGGGTAGACCAGACGGGCGACATTGAGGGAAAAGGAGTGACCAGTGGTAGGATGGGAATCGAGTGGAACCGAGACACATGGAGAGGGTGGACCGAAGGATTGGAATGGAAGGCATCAATGATGGAGAGGGTTGTGTAGGATGAAGGAGTGGATGGATCCATCGCCATTGCAGAGCTTGGGCTTGTCTCGCAGGATTGATCAGGTTCAGACCGCCCTGGGATCGAGGTAAAATGAGAGTGTCAAAAGAGAAGCGGCTGATTTTGGAGTTTCGGTTAATAAAGGAAGTGATGATTTGGCGTATCTTGTTGAATTCAGACTTGGTGAAGGTAACCAACCGAAGAACATGCCATAGTTTGGAGAGTATCAAGGAGTTCACAACGGTGACACGACCGCGGTAGGTCAGGTTCCGACAGGAATGAAGTTGACAAGAGCGACTGATGTTAGAGATGAGGGCGGAGACGAATGAAGTTCGCTGTTGACGATTGGCATGGATAGGGTAACCAAGGTATTTCAGGGCCGTTAGAGAGGAACGATCATGCCATGAAGTGATACCTTTAGAGGCCAGGAACTGAACCCAATGAGGATGGTTGCTACCAGATAGGGAGAGTGCTTCAGTTTTGTTGTAATTGAGGGAGGCATTAGAAGCAGACATATACTTTCCGAGTAGATCCTCGAGAGCAGCGAATTCTGATGGATTGTTAAGGGTTACTAAAGTATCATCCGCATAGGCGAGAACTTTGACCACTGGCGGGTGGGAGCCAGAAATGGGATCAGGAGGGAAAGAGAAGCCCGAAATGCGAGAGTCATTGTGGATGGCCCGGAGAAAGGGATCAAAGGCAATGTTAAAGAGAAGAGGACTGAGGGGATCACCCTGACGAAGACCTCGCAATTGTGGTAAAGGAGCGACTAGGAAGCCATTGACATTAGGTTGGATTTGGGTGGCAGAAAAGAGATTGATGATGGCGGTGATGAGGGTTTGAGGGATATTGAAGGCGTCCATCATAGCCTGAAGGTAAGAGAAGTGGATGCGATCATACGCCTTCTCCTGGTCTAGAAGAAGGGCAATGGATGTTAACTTGTTTCTGGTAGCTACTGTTTGCATGCATTGCAGGATAAGACCCTGCTCCGCAATGAACCGGTCGGGCATGAAGCCCATTTGCTGGATAGAGATCTTGTCAGCAAGGTGACTCATCAGACGAGAGTTGAGGAGGCGAGTGAAGGTCTTGGCATCTGTGTTGATCAGGGAGATTGGGCGCCAATTCTTCAAGAAGGAGAGATCACCTTTCTTTGGGAGTAACACCAAACTAGTTTGAGACCAGGAAGCAGGGAAGGTACCATGGAGCAGAGCATCGTTGAAGATACGGATACCAATGGATGCGGTAGACGGATGTTTGAACAAGAGACGCAGGATCTGATAGGGAAGGCCGTCAATGCCAGGGCTACTCTGGGTGGGGGACCGGGAAAGACCATCCAAGATGTCATTCAGAGTAAAAGGAGTGCATAGGGATTCATGAGAGTCATCAGATAATCTATGGGAAGCGGGAATCATGTTAGTGAAAAATTGTATATCACGTTGATTTACTGTTGTGGGTGTGTAGAGTCGAGAGTAAAAGGAGTGGACAGCTTGTTCCTTCTCAGTTTGAGAAACATAACATGTGCCAGTGGAAGGATCCTTGAGAGAAGGCAGGGCACGCTGAAGTTCTCGATGAGTAGACAAAGCCTTGAGAAATCCAGCCGAGGTCTCTCCCTTCTCTCGCCAGCGCAGACCTGATCTTAGGGCTTGGTGTTCAACCATTTCCTGTTGTAAGGCACTGATCGCTTTCTCAATGGTAGGCAGACGATCATTCAGGATGGCCGTGGACTTGTAGGCACGGAGGATCCGGTTACGTTTACTCTGCAATTGTCTGAGCTGCCGACGCCGCCATTCAGCCTGTTTCCGACCGATCTTTTGGGCTAGGGATCGAGTTAGAGACTTGATGTCGTCCCATAACACTTGAGGAGAAGCTGGGAAGGGATTGGAAGCTAGATCCCGATGAAAGTCATCCAGGCGTTTATACAACTGATTCACAAAGAAAGAGTTATCAGCCAGGCGTGGGTTGGCCCGCCATAAGCCTCGGCCATGGTTGTTTAAGCGCATTCGGAGGTGGATGCTAAGCATGGCATGATCGGTCCATTGTGGGGCTATAAAGTCGACAGTGGATGTGTGGACAAAGTTGGTGAGAGAGGGGGCCACATACATGTAATCGATGGTGGATCTATATCCGGCGCCGTGAAAGGTTGGTATGGGTGGATCGGGTTGCAAGCGGTGAGAGCACTCTCGATAATGGTGTTGCAACATAGCATGCCAAAGCCATTGGGCCCTTGTAGCTGGTGGCATATTTGAAGGGTCATTGGAGTCTAGGTGAGGCGAGGTGAAGGAGTCCTCAAGAGCATCCGGCACAATGAGAGAGGGGTCGGAAGGATGGTGGTAATTGAGGTGTAAATTTCTGATGAAAGAGGGATTCTGGAGGCCATCTTGGATGATGGTTGCTGGGAAGTGACGGAAATTGTAGTTGAAGTCGCCTACAATCATATCTGGAGCTTCAGAGGGAAAATTGAAGGAATGGGTGGAGAGGTTTAGCAACAAGGACTGAAAGAAGGGAAGTTGAAGGAGATCAGCATAGAAATCATAGCGGGCGTGGTAAGTGGCAGGTGCATAAATATTCATGAGACGGAAGGGACGGAAAAGGTGGTTGGCATGAGAGACAGTACAGATGATTAGACGACCATTGTTAGAGACGTATGCATCATCAAGCTGGATAGCTGGATTGAGGCTGACGACTCCACAATAGTGCGTCCATATGGAGGTTTTGGCCTGGAGTTGCATATCCAAGCGATCTTGTACAGCGGGATCAGAAGAATAGGTTTCTTGAAGACAGAGGATATCCATACCAGAGGAGGCAAGTAGGCGAGAGAAGGACCGACTAAGGTCAGGAGTGGAGGGCTTGGAAAGACTACGGCAGTTGAGGCTACAAATATGGAAGTTGGTAGTTTTGTTCTGTGATGATGCTGGATGGGATATCGGGTGTGGAGGATGATTCGTTGAGGGTGGGGAGGCTGGAAGATGATTGAGAGCTGATTCCAAGATCTCACTCATTGAGAGAGATCATCGGTGTCAATCGAGGAGGTAGAACCGGTATGAGAGAGTGCCTCAGCAGAGGCATTGGAGGCAAAGTCTGGAGTGGTGTCCATTTCTTGGGTGGACACCGCGTTACCAAAGTAATCAGTGAGAGTGGGAGCAGCAGGAGGGACCAGGGAGATAGGGTCAGAGTCAGTGGAGGGAAGAGGGATACTAGATTGAGGAGCAGCGGATTGGGAGGCTTGCAAGGCCTGGGCAGTAGCAAAGTGAGGGGCAGGTCGGCGCTTGGCGGGACGAGGGAGGCGTTGGTTAATGATATCAGTAGCCATGGTGTGAGGTACCCAGCCTTGACGAACAAAGTACTTAGCAACACCAGGAACGAGATGAGGACGGATGAAGTAGAGAGTTCGGATGCAACGGTCCTGGTGGAGAGCATGGGCTAATTGGAGGCGACGTTCCTCAGAGAGATCATGGTATTTGGGATCAGCGACGTGATGATGGTCCAATGGATCGAAATTCTGGATTGGTTGGGTGTCGATTTCCAAAAGTTTCGACTTGAACTCGTCGAGATAGGCTTCGTGAAGGAGAACTCCAATGGTGTTGCGAGCGGGGAAGTTGAGGTCCAGAATTCGGAGGTTGTCAATCGAAATTGCGCGAAATTTCGATCTGATTTGGCTGCGATTCATGCGACGAGAACGAGGGAGATAAACCAAGGTGTAAGAACCATTTTGAATGGAGTCATCAGGAGGAGGAGAGAAAAAGCGATGTAAGGCTTGGCGCTTACGATCGGAGAGGGGAGCAGGTGGCTTACTGGCAATGGCAGCCCAGGAAGTGGTGGATTGGGGTGGTTGAGTACTAGGCTTGGATGTAGATCCAGCAGAGGTACCTTTGGAGATGACATGAAGAGGTGAAGGAGTGCTGGAGGCAGGAGGGGAAATTGCTTTGATGGCCTGGAGAATTCGGCCCATAGTGGCCTCAACAGAGTTGAGACGAGCATCGTTGGCCCTGAGATGTTCATCAGTGGCATTGAAGCGGTCAAGAGTGGAAGTGATACGATCCTCGATGGATTGGTTAATACCTTCCTGTTTCTGCATGAAGGTATAGATGTCCTTGAGGGATGCCGCAATGTTGGAAAGGTGTTGTTCAGTTGAAGACATGGGGGTTGTTTTCAAATTCTTTACTAGAGGTTAGGGATTCGATGTTATTAAAAAATTCGAAAAGTGAGATCTCTCAAAATAAGTCGAATCTCTCAAAATAAGTCGAATCGAATCTCAAAAGTCCAAAAATTAACAAATAAAGGATGAAAGTGCTGATCGGAGATACAATCGATTTTGGCTGGCAAATGCCTTTTATGAAGAGAATGGAAGCTCTGAAACTAATGATAACAAGGAGATTGTGAATCAAGAAAGACATTATAGCTTAGCTTAACTGCTATCTTTTACATGCCAAAGAATTTTTTAAACTTGATGGATTTAATCGGTGGAAATTGCTCATTCAAAAGAAACGCTATTGTGCTTCGCCATGTCAAGCATAACGTATCAACAAAATCAATCTCACCTACCGCTTATAGTTATTGCAATTACTATCGCAATAGGGCTATTAAATGTATTGGCTAATGTTTAGTTCAATATCGCTTCTGTAGATGCATTCAGTTTCTTCAACGTAAGAGGCGAAACGCCATGTTTACTCATCAAACAGCTCATAAGCCATCTCCATGTTTCACTAAACATAGCTCCCCAATAAGCATTTGCGTACAAGTGCTTGAATTTGTTTAGTCATCCATGGATTGATTGGCTGATTACATTGGGGTTGGAGATCAGAAACACACACACGAGAAATAGTAACAATAAATAGAGCTGCTTTAACCGTACTCACGCCTTTTTTTTTTCTCTTCTCTCTTCTATACATCTCTACTTGCAATGAACCCTCTTCGCTCCACCCTACTCAAATCTACTCGTGTTAATCCTCGTGCATTAGTCGCTTCGGGATCTATTCTCGGTGCTACCAGTCGCATTGGAGGTATTCGTGCTGCTGGCATGCGTGGTTACTCTACTGAAGCACCCAAGAAGGGTGGCTCTGGTGGCCTCGTCTTTTTGAGTAAGTATAGACCTTGTACTGTGAGTGATCCAATTTGGCTTATCCATGCATGAAACGCATTAGCATTGGCCGCACTTGGCGCTGGTGCTGGTTACTATTACAACTCGACCCAAACCATCAAGACCAAGACACTTTCTACTCCCACTACTGGCAAGACTGAAAAGAAAAAGAACATTGACTACCAACAAGTGTATAATGACATTGCCGAGATGCTCGATGAAAACTCAGAGTAAGTGTGGTTTTAGTATGTGGGAAAATATACATCAGTATTGACACTCCTATCATTCACATTAGCTATGATGATGGATCTTATGGTCCTGTTTTGGTTCGTCTTGCATGGCACGCTTCTGGCACTTATGATAAGGACACCAAGACTGGTGGTAGCAACGGTGCTACTATGCGTACGTAATGATGGTGGTGGCAATTGATTGCTTTGGAACTGATTAATTTTTCATTTGCAGGTTTCGCTCCTGAATCCAAGCACGCCGCCAACAATGGTTTAGCCATCGCTCGTGATTTGATGGAAAAGATTCATGCCAAATATCCCGAAATTAGCTATGGTGATCTCTGGACTTTGGCTGGTGTCTGTGCTGTTCAAGAATTGGGCGGTCCTACCATCCCATGGAGAGCTGGCCGTGAAGATGCCTTTGAGACTAGCTGTACTCCTGATGGCCGTCTTCCTGATGCTGGTAAAAAAGCAGACCATATTCGCGACGTTTTCTACAGAATGGTAAGTGTGTGTTTGTGTAAACAAAGCCTTTGAAGGTTACACAACCACTGTCTAACTCTGGCATTCATGGCTAACTTGTGTACGATGATAGGGCTTCAACGATCAAGAAATCGTTGCTTTAGCTGGTGCTCATGCCTTGGGCCGTTGTCACCCTGAACGCAGTGGATTCGAAGGTCCATGGCAAGAAGCTCCTACTGTCTTCTCCAACGAATATTTCAAGGCCATCTCTACTCGTAAATGGGTCAAGAAGGACTTGAAGAACGGCGGTTGGCAATGGGTCGATAAGAACAACACAGATGTCATGATGTTACCTGCTGAAATTGCCATGTACAATGACAAGGAATTCAAGAAATACTTTGACTTGTATGCCAAGGATGAAGACAAGTTCTTCAAGGATTTTGCTGCCGTATTCCAAAAGCTTCTTGAATTGGGCGTTCCTTTCAAGGGCGACGAAAAGGTATATCACTTTAAGCGTACCACCGAGTAAATTTACCATGTAAATCACTTGACCCTTTCCTATTTATTTTGCTGCTGCCAAATGCAATTCTCCATATTTATTGAACAAAATGTGTAATAAACGAATTTTTGTGCATTTTATTTTCTCTATAAAACTTTTCTCGAATATCTAAAACTAACATGGCGGATAGTAGCCCTGATGCTCCTTGACGGCTTTCAGCCATCTATGCACATCTTCAGCATCGAACATCTCCAAAAGCGAGTCAATTCCAACAAGAGACACCTTGAAATTGTTCAGAAATCCACGACCACCAACCGACACGGGCGTCTTCAATTCCAGCTGAAGAGAAAAGAATTCCTTGCCAGTAGGAGACCAACATCCTTGCAAGCCAGTCTCCATACATGTCATGTTGTAGCTTAAAAAGGCCAGTACTTCTTTATGGGTTGCCATGTCATATTTGCCTGCGATGCTGACGGTATCAAAGTAGATGGGAGATCTCTCGTGTTCAATGAATTGACGACATCCATTGCATCCATAGAAATGCTGCAATCTATCTTGGATGACTGGCTGAACATCACAGAGCACATATTTTGGATCGCCATACTTGTTGACAAATCTTTTGTAATAATTGGGTGAGCAAGGAAGGTGGAATAAAGTGTATCTATTGTCATGAGGTGGAGCACAACCATAGTGAGGATGCATGCTAATGTCGTTGAGAAAGTGGGTTTCGAACACTGGGTTGTTTTTGATCATATTGGTCGAGTGGTGCAATCGTTGATGGACCTCAAAATTTGACATGGATCCAAACAACCTATATAACAGAAATGGTTACTAGTTCAGTTCAATTCTTGGAAATAAATATGATAGATACCTTTCGCAGCCAATGCAATATGTGGGATTAATCTCATCAGGGCTTGATATAGTCAAAGTGATGTAATTGAAATGAGTAGCACATCCTCTACACATGTGTCTGCGGCTGATTCTGGCTGTTGGGATGTATTTTTTATCGTACTGCTCCATTGGATTATTGATGTTGAGTCTACCGAGATCAAGCATGTTGGGGTCATCTGCTGGTTCTTCACAAGCTTCGTTGGTTGCTCTATTGAACTTCCAATCTTCATCAGGATGCCGCACTCTTGGGCTTTGTGCATACTCCTGCACTAGATTGAAGCTCTCTGTTGAATAATTGTTGAAATATATGGGATAGCGTATATCAAAAATACTGATTTCCTGCTTGTTTGATGGCTGATAGCCTTGTGCTGGCACCTTGCGACGTTTGATACTGAGATTAAGCTTCTTTTGAGATAGTCGACGTGCCTTTTGAGAGATTTTGCGATGAACTTTCGTTAATGATTTAAGCATTTCAAATAGAGATTACAGTAGGTTACTGTCGTGGAAACCATAGACTATATAATATATATATATATATACCAAACAAATTCATCCTTTGTACTGTGCTGTATACTTTTAATGAGTGTTTTCATTGTCGTAATTCGCGTCCAAATGGAACACTCGATCTTTTGAATCAGCCCACGAAAGGGAGTCATTGTGAGTTACCCTAAAATCGAACCAGGTCTTTACAATGATTTCAGTTAGGAACACCATTTATGCAACTTGTCTCATTCATACAATCTGCAACGTACCACTTTGTGGAATGACAACAAATCCAGTTGAAAGAAGGAACGAGTCTTTATTTTGTAATTGATTTGAAATGATCTGATAACAATGCTTTAGGTAAACATAGAGTGATAATTATCTATGATTATCTCAGAAATTATTTACTCAATTCCCTAATAGACCTTGCGTGCATGAAACCATTTATCAAACTCATAAAGTGTGTACTTTGTTTCGATGTCGTGGAAGCATTGAAGAGAAACCTGAAGGTTGATAATATCAGAGTTATTTTTGTAAAAGTTTGATGGCTGTATATAATCCAATGCTAAGACGGACAATGGATCAGCGGGTTGGCAGCACTAGACGCCCTTGGTACCAGTTAAGGCACATCATTTATCTGATTGAACTACTAGCTCCATCAAATCTAGGGAAAGTGGTACCTCAGCAAAGCTACCGATAACTTCACGCAGCTCTGCTCTCTTTTTCTCAACAAAGTCTGTACAACGCTTACAAGGATGATAAAATCGATTTACGCGTTTCTTTAGCTCGTTATGTTGAAAGGTGAATTTGTCAAGCCTCTCTGCCAATTATTTCACGCGTGCAATAGTTGCGTGAAGGTGGAAAATGGAGCAATCTGGCATTCACAGTGTGAGGAATCGAGTAGGGTTTGGGTGATTCGTGCATGTAGCCCTTATCAATTAATTCAACTTCTTGCTCGAAAGAAATGTACTGTTCATACTTCATGCTTAAGAATCGCCGTCGTAAATCAGTGACACTCGTCATGCTAAATAGCCTAAAATAGAGTTGTTACTAAGTAGTGTTATATGAAATCGAGACCACTTACTTTCTGCATGCAACGCAAGTTGAAGGATATTGTGTGTCGCAATAAAAAATGCACTTTGGGCTGTTGTCAAAGAGATGGTCACATCCTTTGTAGTTTCCAAGGTATTCGAGGGAAAGGTTTATATCGAGCCAGAATGGCCTCTTCTGCTTTACGAATTTGTTCAAAAAGCTCTACTTTATCAATGTCGACGTTCTCAATATTGGGCTTTGGCATCGTTATTTAAGCAGTAATATTGTAGAAGAAAGTAATGACACGGGCACTCGAATAATCAAAAAGAAACGCGTCAAATCACCATAGCAACCCTTGACTCAGTGGCTAGATCGCTCATTGAGCTACATTTGCGTTTATTGTGATTACTGAATAGAGTATGTTGAATGAGATTTACTATTTAGAATCATGATTCATACTTTCGGCATTTGCTTGATTGCTGTAAACCATCTCTTGAAATCTTCTGCTTCGAAATCTCCCTTTATGTTGTTGAAGCTTTGTAATGTAACTTGAAGGTTATCAATATAAGATGATCCACCAGCACGTAATGGTATCTTATGATCCAGTGATAGTAAATACATTGGATCACCAGGAAACGATGACCAAGAGCCCTTGATACCAGTCAGTGCACATGTTGTATTTGAGTTTATCATGAATTCCATTAGAGAATCATATGAAGCTACACCAGTTCCTAGAGCCTTTTGAGTAGCCGTCTTTAATGTCTTTCTTTTTCTCTTTACAAAAGCTGTACAGTCAGAGCAGCGAGTGTAGACCTCACCAGTGTTTTCATGTGTAGAATGATGAATGTACTCCTCCTTGCCGTCTTTGTTGATCTGCTTGATATAATAGTTGGGCGACAGCGGAAAATGATACAGATCAGTCCTAATCAACGGATGTAGGTAATACGTGTTTAAATGTCGCGCTTCGTCTCCAATGCTATCAACACAACCATTCTCTATTCTTTTCAATCTTCGGTACATATCCTCTCTACTGACAAAACTAAATAGCCTGTGTGTATTCGTCAGATGAGTCATAGTTCGCGTTGTAGCTTATATATATGCATTCTTACTTGTTACATCCAAGACATGTTATTCCGCGCCGATGTGGGTTGGATATCGAATAGTAATTGTATTTAAAAGGTATCTTGCATCCTGTACACAAACGAGTTAAGAGAGTACCAGTGTTCAAGGGTTCAGTGTGATTCTGTAACTGTTCAGCCGTTTTTAAGATTGTAGAGGGCACTTTAGTGCTTTGAACAGCTTCCACTACTAGTTTTCTTTCGAGATCAATGATGTATGGCTGTAACATGGAAGAATGAAGCAAGCGGAAGAAAGAGTGAACATCATAAATTGAGTCAATGCTTTGATTTTATGAAGGTATGGCGCCGCGAATTTCTTTCGGGATCGAGTTCATTGACTAATGCTTAATTTATCAGTAGTAGGTTCAGCTGATGAATAAAGGGGTGCATGTAAAAGTTTAAATGCGTATAAATCAAGCTTCAGGTTTGTTTGTAAAATGATAGATTGTTATTCATGTACGTGACACTCAAATATCACAGTGTAGATCTACTTCAGTTAGTAAATCAACATTGATACATATTCAACTGTCTTGATCTCTCCAAGTGCATTCGGCTTGGGTCGATATTAAAATTAGTGAATGCGACAGTCAAAGAGCAAGCAGTTTATGATTCACTTGACTTACTAAATCATGTAGTAGCTTCTTTATAGAACAAGAAACGCAGCCTTCAACATCTATATCTATCTTGTTTTATTATGTATCATGTAATCTATAATAGGAGCATAGCATTTAATATCCTTGGTAAAACATGAATGCTTTTAGCCACTTCTGAAAGTCCTCAGAACTGTAATGTGCTTTGACATGGTTGAAACCTTGTAGGGTCACTTGAAGATTGCCGATATGCGAGGAACCACCAGCGGCCAAAGGAATGATGTGATCCAATGACAGGAAGAACATGGCGTTCTTTACAAAATGATCTCGAACCCAATGTCTACCATTTTTTGGCCGTTGAGCTAATGTACAAAAGAGCGTTAGACCTTGATCTACTTGTACATGTCAAGCTCTATGTTACATACTTGGAAACGGAGCCCATGATCCCTTCATACCTGTAAGACTACATGTCGATTTTGAGTTCACCAGCAATTCAAACAGTTCCTCCAATTCTGCTATGGCACGACCAGGTCCGCATTTCTTGTCTGTAACAAGCCTGAGTGTCCTCTGTTTTGTTTTGACAAACTCTCTGCATCCATGACACGAAACGTATTGCTCAATCTTGTGCAAATCATCCCTTGAACAGAAATACGTGAATGTCGCTCGTTTGTTCTCATCGACTCTTCTACTGTAGTAGTGTTCAGATAATGGTAGATGATACAATTTATCTTTTTGTTGCTTCTCAGGGTTGTATTGATGTAAATACCAGTCTTGCAAAAACCGAGCTTCAATCTTGTAGTTTCTATTCACTGCACAATCAAATCTTTCGACAATGTCCTTCTTTTCAGTCAATGTAAATAGCCTGCGAAACACTCCAGATTAATTGTGATGCAGTGTAAATGTCAACAATGCATAGCTTACTTTCTACAACCTTTGCAAAGTTGAGGATCACAAGTTGATCGACTAGAAATGCTGAGATAGCTACCTTTTCCAACAAACTCTCTGCCGCATTGAAGACAGTGCTGACAGTTCTCATCTTCTGATGAACAAGGGGATGCTGGCGGTGATGGCGAAAAGCTGCTCAGAACACCTGTGTCTAGTTCTTCTAGCATGAAAATCTCATCTTCTTTGATAGGTTCTTTTGCTGATACATTTGTAATACTGGCTACTGAAAGATCGCTGGTGATTATTTCTAACATGATTCTGATATGATATGAGCTGAAACACAGGAAATTAAGTTCTGCTTATATACGTCTTGACGAGTCGCTTACTCCATTCAACCAAATAGTGACAATCTGAGCCCAACCTCATTATTGTATTCATTGTACCTGAATGATAGGCACACTGTTAAAAACGCGTATTCTTTGTTTCACAGAACTGCTAATGGTAATGCGCATGGTGTGGATATTTAGACAACAATCAATCCATGATCGTTGTATTTAGCGAGATTTATATAGCCTATTTCATTATTACATAAACCTAAATACAGCTTCATCATTTTACGGCATGTTTTGCTTGCCGATCTTGACATTCATGACGAAATACAACAGTTATAGCAATTTCAGTCGTCAGAATGATGCGAGTAGGCCTACTTTAAGGCTCATTTGCGCAGATAATGTAATAGAATTCAATAAATGCGACTGAGATATGTATACACATTTATTTTATACTTCAAATGGTACTTATTTCTCGCAATCGTCATCATTGAACCATGAATGATTACCATATGTTTATTTACAAGATTTCAATAACAGTTCCAATTTTATTACATACTGCTTTAAACAGGTATCATATAACTAGAGACATTTCTGATGTTATTTAAACAACTGAGTGACACTTGAAGATTATCAATTGCAGAGGAACCACCTCTCGACAAAGGCACCTTGTGATCCAAGGAAAGCGAATACAAAGAATGCTTGGCATGTTTAGCAAATGAATGCCAAACCCCTTTTGTGCCACTGAAAACACAGCTTGAACTGGATGCTGCCATGATTTTGAACAGGTCTTGAAGAGACGCGACTTCACTGCTGGTTCTGCTGCCCGCATTTCCTCTTTTGCGTCTTGCTTTGAGGGTGGCATGTAAGAGTGTTCTTCTTCTGGTAGATACAAATAATCGGCAACCGGTGCAAGTTCTCTTTGACTCTTCTTTCGGTAGTAGTTGGTGGACAGTGGTAGGTGATATAAGTCTGTTTTCGAGAAAATCGAATTATTGGAGCCTTGCATTTTGTGTAGATATTGCATAAAATTTGCTTCGTGATGGCGCTTATCATTTTGTTGTTTGAATATTTGGATCAAATCATCACCTTTAGCAACCTTAAGCATCCTAAACAGACTGTGTATAAGTAACACTGTATTCGAGTATGAAGAGTCTTTACATTGTGCACGCTAAACATAATCCAGGAAGCATTTGACGTCGATAACGCAAGCTTCTGATATCGCAACTAAGCCGTAGACCACAGCCTGGACAGCGACGTCTTCCTTTTCTTGTAGAAACTGGTTTCAGTACAAGAGGCCTGATCCTCAAAGGTGTATTCTTGGTGTTGATTGTAGTTGTTCTTGTTGTTTGCTGGATAGTATGCCGATACTTTTGAGTTCGCTGTAATTCAGAGCTCCTCCATCTTGTTTTCGCATCGTCACTTTCTAAAGGATAAAATAAATGATACACTGTCTGTAATATTGACAGAAGCATGTAAATGGATATTAATGAAAGTAAAGGAAAGAGGAAGAAGAGAGTTGTAGTAAAAAATCATGCTTTAAATATCCAGGTCAGTTTGTTGTTGACAGAAGCTATTTGGCAGCATTGATTGCTTCACATCAAGGCATTGGTAATTAAATGTTTATATTAGTAGTGAACAACATGTTTCATGTTATTGAATTCTCTCCTGACTTGCGTTATTCAAAAGATATGAACTTAATGGCGATGACTATTGACATAGTCGGTGCAAGGGACAATTCAAAGGTCTGATGGAGTGTTATCTCCTGTTGAGAGGCCATTATCTTACCCAGATGCAGATATAAATATCAATGATCTTAATTAATATTATGCAATACGAGCCTTTCAGCACTTCGGGTGGTTTCCTGACCTATGCTTCGCTTCGGTGGAAACCAACCTACGTTCAAACGGCTCGCGCTGCCGCGGGCCTTTGGCTAATATCCCAAAATTAATATAGCTAAAATGTTAGAAGAGGAACCCTGTTTGTTGATTGATATATAATCACTAATCATATGAGTGTTTATGCTTCGAATGGTTCTCTACCTTCGCTTCGCTTCGGTGAGAATCAACCTGCACAGCGACAGCTCGAGCTACTGGTTGCCCTTGCGTACCTTATCGTAATACTATTACGTTCAAGCTGACCCTTTACTTACACATAAAACCCCTTCATATTGTGTGTGGATCTGATTCTTATGTGATGCTCTACATCCATATACACCTAGCTACTTCATATCCGGGCAAGTAGAATATAGCTATTTCCATTTCTTAGTCCTTAGTGCCCCTAATACAGCAAACTATGAGTGCATTTGAGCTGCGTTTTCTCGCGTTCAAAGCCGTTTTAGATTGTCAGAATAGCACCAAACAGTTGCTCTCATCTAAGAATTACTTTCTGACACCTTTGCTCAACTTTTTGAGGACCAAAAAAACATGGCCAAAAATTGGCCAAAAAGCATGAGGTACCCCTCATGGCTTTTATCGAAAACCAAACGATCGCATTTTTGACCCTAAAAATGAAGACTTTTACTATGGTATATCTTGAATTAAAATGTTTCTATCGATCCAAAGCAACCTCTGAAATCATCTTTGTGGGACTTTGATATGTAAAATTTCGACTTTTTGGCCAGAAACCTCTTTTCATATTTTCATAGACCATTTGATAAGTTTATTCAAAACATTTATATTACTTGGTACCATTGGATACGTCTTGAAAAGTACTCCAGGAAAGCTTAAGGAAGCATTTTTTTTTTTTTGTAGGGGAGTCGAGCTCCAGGTTTTATTTAAAGTCCTTTAAATGTCATGCTGAGGGATAGAAAAGACTGTTGGTGGACCCAATGTCTGCAAAGAAGGGGAATAAGATATTTTTGAATTAAGTTGGGAAAGAAATCTACTGCTAATAAGGTGCGACACCTAGAGCCAATACAGTCTTGCGGAAATTGTCAAAATATAGATAATGGATAGAGTACAAAAACACCAAACGAGGACATCAGTACTACCTCAAAAAATCAAACAACTTGCGTTCACCAGGATTTGAACCGGGGATCCTCCCGTTGGCATACGGGAGTTCTACCACTTCGCCCTACCACCAGGGACGCTTAAGGAAGCATGAGGTGATCATCATATTTTACTTAGTCGAATCTGCAAAAATAGCTCAATCGAGTTCGAAATTATCAAGATTTGTCCAATCTAGAATAGACTATGATTTTGGGTTTGAATTGATTTTGGCTTGTGGGGCTAGCTGGAAAACTCAATGCCCTTTTCATGCTGCAATACAGTAGTAAATGCTCTTGAAGCGTATAGAAAGTAGGTGGCAGGCCATAGCGCTATCGTTTATAATGGTATTTTATTGCATTCTATATCGTTCATAATGATATCGTCTTGCATTCTATATTTAATAACGTTAGTCTGGACATTGACAATTCATGGGCTGCGTAAGATGTCTGCAGTAAGTAATGAAATCTCTGAGGCTCCGAGGTGTTGTTCAAAGAAAATGTTGACAGCATTGAGCAGAGGAAAGAGGGTAGAACTAACAGTGGTTTTTGTTGATTGATTGTAAAATCATTATTCTCATATGAGCCAGGCCAGACAAATGTCTTGAAACTCAGGTTCCATATTAGGGTTGTAAAGTGCCTAAGAACTGAATCCTTTATTATGTTATGATGTGACAAGAGATGGGCAAAAAAAGTGTCAGTTTACTCTTCATTCACGACATGTTCATAGTTTAATGCAAGATAGCAATTATTTAAGCAATTAAAGCATGTATAAAGCAGTTTAAAGACAAATAGAGTTGTAATAAAATCGAGCTGTATATGCTTTTATATTTCATCGTAAAGGCCCCTCTCCTTCATCGCAATCTACCAAAAGCAGCTCTGGTCAATTGAGCAAGGCTTTTCTGGTTATTCTCCTTTTCTACATGCTGCATTGTAGGCACGGATCTACCCTTGTTTGGTGCCAAATTCATCATCATGTTTGGATTGGCGTTTGACATCATCATGTTGTTATTCATCATGTTGTTGTTTTGCATCATGCTATTAGCCATCTCAAACGCAAATGCTTCCATTTCGCGCATACGAACTTGAGTATATCTCCAAAAACACATGGCAAAATGGATCTACGCCATATAAAATCAGTATTGTAAACTTCAAATGCTTCCAATTAGACTTACATAGACAGAAAATAGAATAACAAACACTACCGCAGAAAACTTGACCTCATCTTCCCATAATCGAGCGCAATTGTAAAGGCTCAGTCCATTTCCTCTTGATGTAAACTCAAGCTGTGAGTTGGGTAGCAGTGTGCTGTTATTGGGAGGTGTTGAGAATAGATACTTGCTGGTGTCTTGTCTCGATTTGTTGATACACCACTGATCAAATTGTGGTTTTTGAACACCAAATAGGATCATGTTGACGAAATAACTGACCAAGAAGATGATAACGATGGTCCATGTCAAACGATGCGATATCTTCAATTGCCGAGGCGTGTTCTATTTCGCTCCATCAGTATTAAACTGAGTAGCTGGTGTCAAATCACTTACCAATGCAAAAGAATACAGGGAAATCAACGCTGATATAAAGAACAGCAGACATATCACGCCTTGCACAACCAGGGCAGAGCTATTGAGGTATGAATAAATGGCTGCAGCATGTTTATATCAGGCCTTTTTGCTATCATCATATCATGAAACACTTACGACTTCTTCTCTGGAAGGACAAGACGGTAACATACATGTTCAACACCTAAGTGATGTATAAGCAAATTTTGAATGATATCCTCTATTGCGTGTTTTGTTCTGTTATTACCAGCCATAGAAAGCATACAAATGGACCACCAAATCTCATGTCAAACATCAGGCAGATTTTGTATCTTCGAGGGTTTGGGTTTGCGGGGTATAATTCTTGCATTTTTGGAGGTAGATTGGAAAGAAAGGTGTAATAAACAATGAATGCATTTGATCAAGGAAAGAGAGATGCGGTGGTTACCCTTAGCAAAGTGTAAATCAAGTAATTTCCTGATTAGGTCTATTTATAATAACAATCAACCTGTAGCTCTTGTCGCGAGCTAGGGGTTGCATGAATCAATCTAGATATACGGCAGGCAAGAGCACATCCTTGTTTGACGCTTGGTTATAGCTTAGTTCTGCTTACTTACATGACTTGACCTGCTATTTATACCGATTGACTTGAAAGCATACACTCAATGGAAGCCATGCAAAATCAGATGTTGGAGGATGTTTGTATCACAGGTGTAACCTGTGCAGGATCTCTAGCACGTATACTGAAAAAAACGTCGGATTGACTAATCAAAGATCAGAACCTCCCCAAGAACATAACGCATCTAATTCAACATTAGGTAGTATTGACCTATAAGAGAGTTTTACCGTAGCGAGGCAAAGCTGCAGATCATAGTATTCAAGCAGCAAATTCGGCTTTTCATTTCCATTGTTAATAAGCTTACCAGCAACAAAACGCATCAAAACCTGCATGAATTAGCTTTAATAAAACCGATATGCTTCCTATTCAAATTAGAAATTACACAAGCTGCAGAGCTGCCCTTCCAGAAGATTTCAGCTACCAAGGACGTGATTCATGCCGTATAAATAAAGCTATAGAGCAAAATTATAAGCAAATTTGACAGCTTTCAAGCCTTCATATCTTGATATGTAGGCCTTTCTGAGCTGTCGGAATGACACCAAACAGTTGTACTTGAGTAGTAGTAACATCCTGATACCTTTGCCCAGCTTTTTGGGCCAAAAAAAACATGGCCAAAAATCGACCAAAAAGCATGAAGAATACCTCATGGTTTTCATCGAACATCAAACGATCGCGTTTTTCACCCTAAAAATGAAGACTTTTACTATGGTATATATTGAATCAAAATGTTTCTCTCGATCCAAAGCAACCTCTGAAACCACGTTTGTAAAGTCTCTATATGCAAAGTGTCGACATTTTGGTCAATAACCTCATTCCATATTTTCTAAAATTGCTCAGTAAGTTTAGCCAAAACATCTATTTTACTTGGCACCACTGGATGCGCCATGAAAAGTACTCTTAGAAAGCTTAAGGATGTATTGCATGATCATCACAATTTATATAGTCGAATTGTGCAGAATACTTTAAAGAAGTCGAAACTAGACAAGTTCTGTCCAATCTTGAGCAGAAAAAAAAAATAAGCTGAGTTTGAACTGATTTTGGTAGATAGGTGTTGCTGTTGCAGGCCGGCCCAAATGCGTTTCTGATGATGAAAATGATGATGGCAGCAATGATGATTGCGATGCTAATGAAATGAGGATCATGGTTTGAAAAAAAAATTGACTAGATTGAATTTTTTTTTTCTTTTGCTTTTGTTGGAAGTTTTTCCATATAAAAGTGTCTTTTGCAATGACAATCTCTCAAAAAGTCGTTGTAGGTCGTATAGAGGGTCTGTATTTACACATGACCAGCTGTAATATGTCGCCATCATCGAGCGTAGTGAGATAGATCGACTAGTATATACTGTACATACAAAAATTGAGGTAAAAGTACAGGATTTATTATTAGATTATTATATAATGATTGATAAAGAATATGTATTATTAAAATATTACAATGTTTACATGCATACAAGTACAATAATGTACATCAGATGTTTAGTTTTGCTGACCTTTAGATGTTGGCTTCGTTTCATCTTTCATTTCTACAGAGACATGTGCTGGTGTTGATGATTCAGCAGAATGGTGTATCTGTGCTTCGCTAATAATAGACGATGATCCATCAAAAGGGTTTAAATCGGGCTTTTCGCTCTCATCATTAGCCTGATCAAACTTATTCAAGTGATGAGCAGGGAGATGTGGCGTAGAATCATCTTTATCAAATGGACTTTCCTCGTCTGTTGGAGCCATATTGCGATCTGTAATACGAGGCGATGGTGGTGGGGATGAAGCTGGCAGAATAGGTGGTGGTATAATGCTGCCTGTAATGCGAGCTACATGCGCAACTTGGGGTGGTGTGACAGAAGCGGAAGGAGTAGCATTGCTCATATCGATGGCGGTTGCATGGGCATGATCATGATCTCCAGTGGCAGCTTCGCCTTGCTGCTGTTGATGCTGCCCTTGTTGGTGCTGTTGTTCTTGTTCATGTTGCTGTTGATTTCTATCACGGCGAAGGTCTGTAGGCAAGCAATCCCATTTACAAATAGGACACACTGTTGATTTCTGAGTAAGCCAAGGATCTAAGGTAGCACAATACACAATTTAGCTTCTGATTTCCAGTGCTTCGATGAGCTAAATTCTTACCTATACAGAGTACACAGAAGCCATGGCCGCAAGGAAGAATTCGTATATCATTCTTTCCAGGCACGAAATCCTCGAGACAAATAGCGCAATTGATATTCTTGATCAAATCAGGCGAGTATTTATCAATGGGTAATGCATTGACAATGTCCACAGGAAGCGGATCTATATGCGAGGCTCTTGGTTGCATGTGAAGTCCATTGCCACCTTGAAACCCTGTGTATCCGTTAGGATAACCTGCTCCCATTCGACGAATTCTCCACCATCTTAAAAAGATGACACCTATTTTACACCCTGTAAGTAACACATCCGCTGCAAGCACACTTTCGGGATAATAATTTTACCAATCAAGAATATAGCAGCCAAAGCAATGATATAGGATAAATAGCCTTTACCGGTTGAAAAGAAACTATCGCCACCAGCATAGCCCCAGCTTACTTCTTCCAGATATGGCGTAATTAACCAAAATGTTCTCATGTTTGGAACACTAGCATTGTATGATTGGTTGATTCTGTCCACAAACGTAGTGCCATAGACATTGGGTACAAAGTAAACCACTGTAGTGGAAGGACTCGTTATGCCAAGATCATTGTCGGTCATATTCATTACAGATCTATTTTCTGGTAACGGTGTAGAGTATTCGGGCGGACTAATGCTTCCAGAGCCAACAACCGGCTTTAGAGCAATGGTGATGTTGTTGTTGTCATTGTTGTGGGTATCATTGTCGTAAATAAACATTGCAGTAATGCTTATATTGTTGGCTAATGCCAGATTGTTTACTACTGTCAACTTTTCGTTCCAATTGCAATTGCCTCTCTTTACAAGCGCTATCTTTTGTGCGTACTCAATGGATGTGGCATTGATGCTGTTGTGGTTTATTTGCCGAATAGTGTCCATGGTGATGTTTGAGGATTTACAGCACTCTCCAAAGTTGAATATGATTCTCTGCAAACCAAATGATTCGCATCAGTGCACTTGCAATCCATCAACATCTGTTTGGGTATACTTACATCAGGCGCATTCCTTGGATTGGAATCAATGTGGATACCCTGAAAGTCTTGCGATGTTGCCATGTTTGAAGTGGATTGAATGAGAGTGCCTTGACTGTTGGGCTGTGAAATGTCCATGGTGAAACTACGCTCCCAAAACACTGGGTTCAAGGAATCTGCATGTATAGAGCGAGCACATAATGCTAGTAGTAGTAATAAGGTGCACTTCATATAACTGAATAGATGATAAAAAAAAATTGAATAATGAGCAAAAAGAAAAAGGAATCCAAGCAACATTGAACCCAAGGTATAGTTTCAAGATCAATTCGATTTCCGGTTGAATGGCTCTATCGACAATGTCTCAGGTTTGTGAAATGACGAAACATTACTAATTAGGACACTAACATTGATATTATCCATACCATAAAAGCACAGCTCATCAGTATGTACGCATCATGATCGTAAACAATCGATAGAGGAGCTTTTAGGCTAATAATTGTAATGGCCGAGGTTCATTTTATCTCTCTTGTTCGCTGACTCTGCGCCAGAAGCGAACCATTACAAGCGGCTTGTTTAATTGGGCCATTTCAGTTATGAGAAAATATGCTATCGCCACAAAGGCACCAAAGATCCCATGGAAAATTGTTGACAGAAACCTCCATAGTACGATACACAGCCTATAGAATGCTCACTTGTCATGCTGAACATTTTGCAATCTCATGTCGAAACACTCTATTATCGAGTTGTAGTTATGGATAGATGGTATGCTAATTCACTTGCAATATGTACACTACTGTGATCATGGCAATGGTTAAAACTTTGGGCCCGAGCTATTGGCAATCAATACCATCTAAATCTAAAACATAAGCACTACAGACAACTACACTTGGCGAATGACATTCCGGACATCTGGTTTCGATAGGTTGAATGTTTCAAATCAATTGCCTCAGAATGTATGAGTGACCATGCCGTTTCCTGTTTATGCAGCAACTGCAAAGGACCTTTAATACAGTGAGGCTTTTATTGGGGACAATGCCAGCTCTGAATCAAGACACCTGTTTCTTAGAGCCTTACTGCACATTACCGTAACATTTCTCTGATGAAAATTGCTTATAAAGCTATCTAGCAAGTTGCACCATGGTAATGTTGACAGCTTCTTCACCTGGTAAGCCTAAACACATTAGCCAGTCAGCCTACAGAGCTCCTCGAAGCGGCCAAAAGGTCTTTTCAAACAAAAGACCCCTTTTTCTCGAATCACATTATGGGAGTTTCATGATCCACCCTATCAACAGAAAAACTGCTTAACATGTCTGAACATCTGAAATGCCCCCACCCACGTATTTGGGATCACACGATACTTCTGCCAATGCCGACTTGTCTGCAAAGCGTGGAATACACGCGCCACAGAAACCTTATTCTCTCTTGAGCATCGTTTATCATTTGAACGCAACATGATCCAATTTTATAAGTATCTATCAACAACCCCATCACTAACGCACAACATCAAGATACTACGAATTGGTCTTTCGAGATGGAACATTATAGATAAAGCACTCCACACACGATTCTTCATCCTTGTGTTGTTTCCCGCCATCGTATCGTTAACAGGCAGCCTTCATCCTAAAGCGATCGCAATACTGGCAGAACTCTTTTCAGCTGGCATTCCAAAAATTCAACAAAATCTAACGTCTGCCGATATTACACAACGATGGTTAGATGAGAATCTCCACAAGATGCTCCTCTGCTCTAATGAAAAGTTGGTTCAACAAGCTCCAGTTGCAATTCTATCATCATGACTTTGGAGTCAACTCGTTGCAGACACAAGTAGAAAGTTGCATCAGACACGTCTATCCTTTCTCTGACGTTTTGGTGAGAAACCGGCATGGAAGTAGTGGAGCAAATCCTTTCATTACTTGGCACTGAGACAGAGTATCATTTGCGGATCATGGGAACCGATAAACCATTTGTTCACAGCTCAGTTTCCACGAGTCATCAAAATTGGTTCCTGATGCTGAAACGCTTATTCTCGAAACACAGCAAATCCCATACCGAGCCCGCTCTTCTTGCAGCTTGATGTTGATAAACCTCAAACATGTTATAGTGACATGAGCAGCAACACTATCGCACATTCTCTAAAAATTATGAGCATCACATGAAAGCCAATATTGAATCACTTTCCGTAGATTGGCAATTGTATGTAATGGCCTAGGCGTTTCCTAATAGTAGCAATTCGCAACCGATGATATGGATTTGAGGGTGTCTCCCAGTAGATTTAGCCGCGCACAGCAAGAAAAGAGTAGCTTCCCAGAACCCGGAGAGGTCTCTATTTTTACATGATATCTGTCCCACCTGAGCGGATACTCTGTATTTGGTGATATCTGTAATCACACGAAACATTATAGTAATTTGCACCTACGGCATGTGAGCTAATTAACTGATTTTTTAGAGTCTAAATTGCAAATAGCAATTGCTCGATGAATGGTTCCAGTCCTCTCGATTGAGCTGTATGTGCTCAATCACTTTTTCGTAAAAGTAAAACAAGTTCATGTATATCTGCAATCATGATCTCGCACAAACAATGGGAAATCGATCATCTACATATCAAATTTGTCAGCCCCTATGACAATGGTTACAGTTCACACACACACACACACACACACAGTATATCAATCGAGAAAACCAGAAAACTGAGATTGGTACAATGTATAGAATGTATTTGGAATGTCTTTTTATGCGTAAATGGACATGGTGATCTTGTAGTTAAAAGCTGCCAACAGAGCTACGTATCTGGGACGGTGTAGTGTCATTAGAATGCTGTTGATTGCGGCGTTTGTGAACCACTAAGCGTTGTATACAAATGGTCAGTGCCTCCCACAGTGATCGAATCTATTTCCTTATATACCGATCTCTAGCAAACCATCAGTTGCGCTTTTTATACACTCCAATTCATTTTGATCCAACAACACAAACGCATGCACCTAATTCTTTATTTCATCCTCTAACCGGAATAGTGGGTTTTGATGGAAAAGTTTTCTTTAGTTTCCAATTAAATGTAATACAAGAAAAGGGTAGAGTTAAATTTCAGATATCACAAAATGTAACACTAGCAAAGCCAACTGCAGCACAAACCAATAAACTCTAAATCGCTATAGAACAAAGCTTTGTAATATGTTTATTATACGTTTGTATACAGATTTGAATAAATAAAAGGATTATACACATACATGCCTGGAGAAGAATAAAAGAATACATTGGTATTTAGAGATATGTAAAAAAAAAAAAAAGAATAGTAATAATAGTATAGAATAGTAGTAGTAGTAGTAGTAGTATTAGTGTATTGTGTTCGTATAGTGTCGATCAAACGTATACAACTAGGTGTTTCTTCTATCAGGCGATTGCCATAACCAATCTCTCACCATTTGCTCTCCAGGTTGGCCTGGCTGTTGCTGTTGATACTGGGATTGCATGTTGAGTTCACTCATGTCATTGCTACGTTCCCAGGAAGGACGTCCGATCTTGTGAGGGGATCTGGTCTGTTCGTACTCGATGTAATCACCCTCACCATCACCATAGCGTCTTCCGGATTGAGGAGAGGAAGTGTTGATGCGGCTGATGCTGCCATTATTCATGCCACGCATGGGGATGTCATGGCGGCCCATTTGAGTTGGGTTCGTTGATGAGCCATATCTAGCTTGTTGTTGTTGTTGTTGTTGTTGTTGTTTGATATCCATCATGGAAAACATGACGGGTTGACTGCTGTAAGGATCCTCGACAGCAAGGTTTCTTTGTTGTTGTTGCTGTTGATAGGCATCTGGAGGAGACAAAGGTCTGCCTGTGCCAGCTGAAGATGTTAAGGGCATAGTGTCGTTGGAGAGCGAATGAGGATAATCGACTGTTACTGGCGACATGGCACGCATAAATCCACCGCCGTTGGGATTGTTGCCATTGTTGTTATTCGTGGAAATGGCAGCACCAATGTACTTGCCATCCGCATTGACATTTTCAGTGATGCCACGAGTGCTTTCGTTCACGACAAAGTTGTTTGCTCGTCCACTGACTCCACCAGGGCCAGAGGCCTGTGGTCTGGTTTGGTTGCGAGATACGTAGGAATCATCGTTGCTAAGTGAAGTGCCACCAACTTCGCGGGAATATTGAGGACGGGGGTGAAAAATCGAAATCTATATTTGGTGATTTTAGTTGAGATTAGGGTCCTATTGTATTCTGTGTTTGCTAACGTACCAAAAGCAGCCATAGGAAAACGGTACAAATGTTCGCATTGGCAATGAGAGCATCAGTAGCAAACTTGTTGGAGTTGATAATCTTGCGATCTGTCAAACCGTCAGAGCAAAGAATGATGATGGAAGCAGCATAGAAGAAGAGAATGATTGAACTCAATACATTCATGTCCTTGAAATAGGCCAATCGAGTAACAATGGCCTTGTTACTGGCACCGTTATTTCTGTGTGATAATGCGATAATTCGCTTGAATCTAAAGTGGGACCGAATGCCCAATAAAGACGTAATTAAAGCTATAGGCTGGTTAATAAGGTGTTTTCACATGGGAACGGTGCTACTCGATCTCTTTGTGTGTGTGTGTGTGTGTGCGTACTGTACCTTCAATGCCATAAGCCAACTGAGGAATGCCTTCTCTTTTACTGACATCGTCTCTAAACACCCATTGAAGAATAGGGAACATGGCCATACTTCCCAGAGCCCTGCATTTGAATGAGACGTTAGGCTGTGAACACGGATTGACTAGGACAACCATACCACAAGATGTAGAACTTGAATTCGAAAGAGCTCATGAAACTCTTCTTGGCCACCGCATTAGAGAGGTAGTTCCAGAACGATTGCATCAAGAAAAAGACACCCACTTGCAGTGAGAAGGTAACGCATTCGACATAGTCCATTGCCTAGTACAACACCAATGAAAGAAAGGTTGGCACACCAATGTAACACAATTTTTATGTTGTTCCAATCAAAATTACCATCATATTTGTTTGATGTGTCGAGGACCACATAGCGAATGGCTTGGTGATGATTTTGCCTTCATAGACGGTGAAGCCTTCCTCGTATTTGACATAGGTTGAGACAATATCTGCGTGATAGGTGGGTGTGCATGTGTGAGTACCATACAATGCAGCCAAACAACAAGCCCGTTAGCGTACCCCACATGAACTGCATTAGCATCATCAGTATTAGCAGTATCGTAATGATCGACTTCAATTCTCCAGAGATGATCGACTTTAATCGCAGGCATCGAAATCTATCGCCTTTCCAGACACAGAATATGAAATACACCGAAATGTATGTCCAGATGGTACATCTCTCTATTGTGTCATTTGCATTAGTGTCTGCAAGCATGCGTGTGTGTATGTAGTTGCAGGGCTATACCTAAATATGAAAAATCACTACAAATGGAATTCAGGGGCTGATTTAGATTAAATGTTTGTGTATCAAATGGTTGCCTAGATTTACCTCAAATGGGTCATAGTGAAATCAAGCTATGTATTGGAAACAAAAGCAAGAGAGAAAAACAAGAAGGAAAAGAACTGGTAAATCCTATTAGTCAAGAAGGAATATATACCAAATGTCTTTGATGCTGTACGACTATGGCATTTTTTAAAGAGGATCTTGTAAAAATGGGTAGTGTAACTGCTTTTTCCTTGTTTTGGCCCCTCTCAAATCTGATCTATATTCAGGAACCAATACACGAGTTGGAGGGCCATAAAAGGGATGCATTCATTTACACGGAGTTGATGGTATTCTTTGCTCGGTTGGCTTTATTTCTTTCTTTCTTCCTTCTACTTCTTCCTTTTTTCTTTTACTTGTTTTCTACATTCATTTCATCTCATCAACCTCTACGGCCATCAGCAAAATGAAACTCAGTCTACTTTTAACCACCTCGATCTCGACCCTCTTTTACATTGTATCCGCTTCTCAACAGTTTGATGTCAATTCAGTAGCTCTTGAGAAGAGAGATCATGGTTTACCTTACGCCAGCTTACCATCAACCACTTGCGCTACCCCATCCACTTGTAGCAGCATTTCTGGAACTGTTACCTGCCGTTGTAGCGATACCGTCACCACATGTATCAACACAAGTGGACAATACTGCTGGGGTTCCATCTCATTGAACTCAACTTCATGTCCTACTGTACCAGAATCATGTTCATCTACCTTGACTGGAACCAAGACTTCATGTCTCTGTAACGACAAAAATGTGCTTTGTGTAGACAATGCCAACAACTATTGCTATGGATCAGTGAATGCTGGTGCCGTCTCCATTTTACCTATTCCTTACGCTGCTTCCTCTGCTGCCTCTGCCTCTACCTCTGCCTCTGCCTCTGCCTCTGCCTCTGCCTCTGCCTCTATCCCGGTTGCAAGTGGAACTACAAACCCTACCATGTCTGTTGTTGGTGCCCCCTCTGTCGCTCCAAGTGCTACACCCTCGACATCTGGGTCAAACACATTGGCTACTAGCGGCATGTTGACATTAGGCTGTGCTGCTTTGATTGCTTACATTGCCATTTAAGCTAAATATCTCTTAAACTTTTCTTTTCTTTATTGTTGATTAAAAAAAGAAACAACATTGTCTCGTCTACTCAATTTTCTCCTTACATTCGATGTTTTTATTTATAGAATCAGCATCTTATCAAACATTCACCATACTCTCGAACAAACACCATCATAAATCAATCAAAATCAACGCTAGTTCCAAAATGTATTTTGTGCATATTTTTAATAAAATTAAATTTATTACTAAATGTTTATTGTGTTTATTGTCAAATGCCTTGTTTGACCAAAAAAAAAAAAAAAAAAAAAAAAAAAGCCATTTAAGCGTCCAACAAAACGTTGAAATGTGCACCTTCTTGGTATTCTTGCTTCTCTTGTTGTTCTCGATAGAAAGATGTCAGGCCAAGTTTATTATTAGATTCTGGTAGAAATATATCATCATTTAAATTATAAGAGTTGTACAGAACAATAATGAAATTATCAAAATTTCATTTGCAGTATACGCAGATTTGTTTGTATCATATGAGTTTTTGGGATTTGACATGGACCTTATCGTGTACAGCATACGTGTGTTTATGCCGTGAGACTTCCACGTTTGATTTGCAATACATCGCTTTGTCTAGAACACGTAAGGTTATCTCCCTCCTTGGCACTATTATATTAGTATCTAAAAATATTTAAACTATTTATCCGTTTCACATCGATTGATCATTGACATATCTTCTGTTTAAAGGCCATGTACTGATAAACATGCAACAGAACTTTTCTTTTACCTGCATAAGCATCATCAGATCAGAATCTATCATGGTTTATGTAAGGTTCATTGTTATTAGATTCAGCCCCTGAAATTAAGAAAGGTACCATATTTCAGCGGCGATGGTATACATGTGGTTTATTATTCGTATAATAAAGGTATGCTACAATTTCTTGGTTGTATTTCTACAACACAATGTTAAGCCTGACTCCTTGTGAAGCTCTAACATTGATATAGTATTAGGCATAAAGTAGTGAGTCTCTATCTTTATCGACTCCTTCTTGTCCCTCTCCTAAATTACTTTTCTTCAGTTTATAAATGCCTGTCAGGGTTTTATATTGAGTTGGTAATAAGAAAGGGCTTGTATTATCTGAATCGAATCAGACTGAGTAAAAGAAAATCCAGCGCGCCCCTTTTGTACAGCGGGATATATCTAGCGGCCGCATACACCGTTGCATCCCATGACACATTCGCCGTATACCACGCCTCTGTATTATCATGAAATTGCTAGTTGGCCATTCGTTAGCTGATCATTCATTCAAAGTGTACACGTCTTCATTTTCAGGTTCGCTTTTTGACAGCTCCTCTCTTTGTAAACTTGGTATTTGTGTGCTGTTGATGTTCTTCAATAATACAGCAACCTCAGCAAAATATATCATACGAAAAACCTTGAGATAGAGTTTGATTTCATCCAAACAATCCAACATGACTTGCAAACAATAAGTGAAGTTGGAGCAGGGACTATACCTCGGAATCATCGCTCCTCCCCTTTTCTCTATTCCGTTCTGATTTCTCTGAATTTCGAATTGAATTTCGCATTGAAAGTAGCATGTTGTTATACCAGTTTTTTGCGGTTTAAACGATGGTGCAATTGAAATTCGGATAGGTATGATGGTTGATGAGAAAAAGGAGATTTTAGAAAATAGTTAATTTTGAATAGAAGCTGCTAATAAAACTTTTTAAATTACTATATGAATATGGAATGTATGTGTAGTGAAAGTTGTAGAAGGTAGTTTTTTTGACTAGGAGATGTTTGAAGTGGGGTTATTGAGGAGGATGTCGATGAGTAATGATGGAAAATATTCCAAATGACCGATTTTCCAAGGGCCATATCTCTGAATTTTACTAAGTAAACTGATTTATCAGAAATAAATTATTTATAAAAAAGAGCATGAAATTAATCAGGTAAAGAATATCGTTTATTACATTGAAAATAAGAGGGTTTATATACTATTCGAATTAAGGGATTTGATGTGAGGATAAGGTATTAGATGGGTTGGTTTGCGTGATAGGATAATAGATTGGATCTATTATCCTGAACATGCCATGATATGGATCGTAACTGAATCCTGTTTCATGTCAAAGTTTATGATCTGATGTGATCGGTGCTTGAACTGCTTGTTTCTACACATTTGGAGATCCGGTTTAGAAATGATACATCAGTCAGGTATAACCAGACTTTGTGAATACCCAGTATTTAGGAAATATTAATATCGAATTAATTTTAAGATTATCAAAGGTTATATTCAATCTCGGAAATACTTCTTTATATAAATCCTGCCAAGTTTGGTCTGAAACTATATCTCTGCAGATGGCAATACAAGAAGGGCAAAAACTTGAACATTACGTGAGACGTTATTAAGTAAAAATTATATAAAATGAAGTTGAGGCTACCAGGGGTCGAACCTGGAATCTCCTGATTCGTAGTCAGACGCCTTATCCATTGGGCCATAGCCCCTCAACTTATTTTGTCAGATGCGAATACGTAGAGATAGTATATGCAATCTGAGATCTGATCGAGATAGATATAGATATAGATGTAGGGATTATGCAGGAATGTATATAGCCTTTTAGTTGAATGGATAAAAAAGGTGCTTTATTAATATTAGATTTGAACATTGATTTTATCCAATATAGTTTGTGTAATGTTGTGCGCTATCCAGGTTAATCGCTGTTTAATGTTCCTGGTAGCTGGCGCTCTAGGTTTAAACCTGCGCTTCTTATTCTTGTTTGTGTTTAGTCTGTCAATGATATCCTGCAGATCTAAATCACTGTCAGAATACCCTTCTACCCTGACATTTTTGTCGTGCCTAAATTTAGGTTTAAGCCAAATTTGAAAAAAGCGACTAAAAGGCGCCAGCACATACTCGAAGGTTCTGGAAACTGATAGCAGCAGACATTGATCTGATTATTAGTTGCTATATCAAGTATTATATCTACTCGAAAGTTCTATTGATTAAGTAATTATCGATCGTAGAAATACTGTAGGGGGAAAAATGTCCCGTTCGTTCAAATAATCTTGATTTTTACCCAGTGTATTGCCAAAACTAAGAAAACAAATCTACCCCATACTGCGTTCAATAGAACAGCTTATAGGAATTACAGAAACATAAAAGCCTTATGGTTGGACTTTATTTTAATCACAGTATAACCAGCTAAAGTGAGACATGGCAAAAATGTTAGTTGTGTGGAATACATCCACTATGATCTGCATTCCGACAGTTCATCCAGTTACCAGATCTAGATATAAACTGTATGTACACTGGATTAGATGTACGATATCGATTTATACTATGAGAAGATATGGACTTCAGATACGCTAGTACTATAAGATTCATACTATATAAGATATAGGCTATAGATGGCACTGCAGTGAAATCAGGTTTAAATAGATTTCACAAAAAAAATAAAGCAATAGTAAAATACAATAGAAATCAACTGTATTTTATTTTGTGTATAAAATGAACTGAAAATCCTGGAATTGAGTAAAAAAAGAAGAGTATTTATACATTTGCAACTAGCTTGTAGGATTAGTGATGATAGAGAGCAATAGGTGCTGCTATTGCGATATCTGGCAAATGTTGTTGATGTTTGATTTAAAGTGGTAATCAATGCAAGAGCACTGGCCATAAGGGTCGACTTGAGTAACCTTGATGGGCTTGGGTGAGCTGTCGTCATAGCATGATTTAATGTAACCTTGATGGTTTAAAGTGTGATGTTTGTTATTGAAGTATGGAAATCCTTTATCTGGGATATTGTGCAACTATGGCAGCAGGACATAGTTGTCATATTTGAATATGCTTGTTATTGATTTGATTTTATTTGGATAAAGATACCATCACTTATTACGACCATCATGGGCGTGATTGAATACACTGTGACCAGGAGTGATTCATTCACACGATGTGCGATATAAGCATGCATCTTTACTTTAGTATTTTTAAATGGTTTTTTGATGTACATTTGAGCGCTTTCATTAATAGATCCAAATAGCATGAATTTGAATGAGTGCTATTTGATGAACTTTGGTTTTCAATTAAGTTGCGTTTGGGTGGCTATTTCATTACACTGCTGTAGTGTCTATTATATGATTTCCCTTACAAAATACAAATAAAAAAACATCGCTCACATAAAATTATTTAATGGATTATAAATTCAATGATCGCACCTTATAATACCCTTGAACAAAGAAGGATTTGAATTGTTTCCGTTTGATTACGTTTTTATTATTACAAAAGACACAATAATGTTGAATGGCAGATCAACAGAAAATCAACTAGTTGTAGACCTTTTCTCTTTCAATCCCTCAGCCAATTAAATCGCTTGAAAACTCCGCTAACCTAAAAAAATTTTTGCGAGGGTTTCCCCCTGTTTTGATGTGAGGCAAAATTTTAAGCTCCGCTATATAGCAATATAGCTGTTACTATCATCAAATCTCCCTCAGGTGCTAGAGCATGCCTTACTTACACCACCTAGCTTTAAATTCAGGCATTGAGACCTTCAATCATCACTAAAGTAAGTAGTGATAACCAAATGGAGGCAGCCTATCTACCTCTTAGCCTCGGATAGAGTCTTGTTGAGCTTCAATGATAGGCATATCCACACAACGTAAAAAAAGGTATGCTTCAAAAGAAACATAATAATAATAAAAGAAAAAAGAAAAGAACATAATGCTATAAGAGTATAGTAGTATGTAGATAAAAAAGAGACACTCACACGAAGCGAGTCAAAGAAAAGCATAACAAACACAACATCAAAGATGTTTAAAAAAGCTCGTTGCTGTTGCAAGAAAAATGCATGCATGAGCAACGTGCATGGTAGCAATAATAGTCGGATGTAAAGCAACATGACACACATACGCACAACTGCAAAAGCAACAGTGGTATTATAAGTTTGCGCTACAACATAATGACTAATGCTGTTTCATGTAAAGCTACAGAGGAAACACTACCAACAAAAGAAAAAGAAGAAGAAAAAAGCGCAACAAGGCAAACATCATGAATGCATTATCACGAGAAAGGAAGCAATAATATAAGCGTTCAAAGAAGTTTTATATTATTGCTACCAGAAGAAATAAGATACTTACGACTTACCACAGCCACAGATAGACCAGAGGATACACAATCACCAGAGGTAGACCAGACAACGAGCTTGCACCAAACACAGTAGATCAAGGAAGACCATATTATCAGCAGCAGCAGTAACACCAGCACCGTAAAAAAAACCGAGGAACGAGCGACACCACATAACGAGCATGCACCAGAGACAGTAGACCAGAAAGACTGTATTAGCAGCAGCAGCAACACCAGCAGCAACACCAGAAGCCAGACCATCAGTAAGACCATCAGTACGACCATCAGTAAGACCAGAAGCAAGTCCATCAGTAAGACCAGAAGCAAGACCAGAAGCAAGACCAGAAGCAAGACCAGAAGCAAGACCAGAAGCAAGACCATCAGTAAGACCAAAAGCAAGACCAGAAGCAAGATCAGAAGTAACACCAGCAGCAATACTAGCAGCAACAACAACAGCGTAGAAAAACCGAAGAACGAGTGGCACCAGAGACCAGACAGATTAACGAAACAACCGCCCGAGATAGGGATCAAGAAGCCGCTACCAGACATAATAGACCAAAAAAGCAGACAGCAAATATAGCAGAGAAGTGATGGCAGCAGCACCCACGTCAAACAGGCAAAAAAAAACTATCGAAACCTAATAAACAAATTCGATTAGTGCTTGTTCTACATCTTTCTGTGCTCGTTATCGAATGGTACTTACTGTATTCCACTTCAAAGAAGCAGTATCAAGTACTTTTGACTGTGCAAGGCCGTGTTATCAGAAGCTAGAGTGTTATTTTCAATCAAAAGGGTCCCAAAACAGGTATGGTTTGATACTAAACGTGTTTTGCAAAAAGGATAAAAAACGATGGTATGGAAAAATCAGAGGGCGCCCTATCCGACGTCACAACCAGTAAATTTGGTCTCAGTTCTCTGCCGTAGCAGCCGTAACTGCGGTAATTTAATTTGAAATTGTGCAATGGTATTTTCGTGTTCAAACTTGACTTGATCTCACATCCTTTAAATGTTTTTGCTAAGTTTGACTATGAAAGTTGTCGTCGAGACACCCTACTTTCTAATGCATTTTTAGAGAACTAAAGAAGCCGCATCGCATAGTGTTGATTGCATCCAGCTTTTAGGCCGAAAATAATGAGCAATTTGTAAAAATATGAAAACAGGTTTTCTGTGAACATGTCCAGATCTAGCATATGTAAGCCTCATAGAAAGAACTTCTAATGTTGCATTTCATCTTTACAATTAATCTGACCTAATATGTATTATAGCAAAAGTCTTCACTTTTGGGGTGAAAAACGCGATCGTTTGATTTTCAAGAATTTTCCTTTACAAATACTCATGAAAAAATGAGGATTTTCATGAATTTGCAATGACCTAAAAAAAATTGAGATAAAGCATCAGTAGGTAAGGTGTAGCCAAGAAGTGTTATTTGGTGCTATTTCAAGCGCCCAAAACGCTTTGTAGCATGAGTTATTCGTGCTTGAAAATGGCTAGCTTTGAACAAGATTCGACCTAAAAAGTGGGCGTAGTAGGCTGCGTTTCCAAAGGTGTAAGTAGATTACAGTCCTGTCTGATGACCCAGATGTTCTGCATTGTACGGCACTTAGTTTCTAAGTGATAGATGTTTTGATTCTAATTCTAAGACGGAATCTTTCTGTGAAATACATCCACTATTATGATCTGCATTCCGACAGTTCATCCAGTTACCAGGTTTAGATATAAAGTATATGTACACTAGATTAGATGTACAATATCGATTTATACTATAAGAAGATATGGACTTCAGATACGCTAGTACTATAAGATTTTTACTATATAATACGAGCCTTTCGACACTTCGGGTGGTTTCCTGACCTACGTTTCGCTTCGGTGGAAACCAACCTACGTTCAGGCGGCTCGCGCTGCCGCGGGCCTTTGGCTAATACCACGAATAGATAAAAGCTAAAATGTAAGAAACTTTATTAAATGAAAAACTTTGCATTTTTAAGAAAGAATTTCTTGATAGACAACGTTTATAGTTTGTCTTGATTGTTCGTTTTCAGCCTTTTGTAAAACAATTTTGAGATGATTCAATGTTGTTACTCTTGATAGAGCAACATACAACTGTCCATGGGAGAAAACGGGGTCCAGCAAAGAAACGACAACATTGCGGAGGGTTTGCCCTTGAGCTTTGTTTATAGTGATAGCGAAGGCGCTTTGCACTGGAAATTGCGTTCTTGACAGCTTTCCCTCGAGTTCTGCGGTGTCTTGGTCACTGTGCAGCGAAACTTTTGGAATGTATACAAAGTTCCCTTGGTGGCTATCGCATGCAATTTCGGCTTCAATCGTATTTCTCATCAAATTTCTGACTATAAGACGGGTTCCATTGCATAGGCCTTGTCTTGGATTGATGTTTCGAAGACACATGATAGGCTGGTTGACTTTCAGCTTTAGTTCATGTGGAGGCATTCCAGAAGGTTTCAACCTATTCAGATACTCAACAGGTGTATTAGACGGAGACCCTGAATCAATGATATGTTCATCGTTGGATAGATATACAACAGATTCTCCAGAAAATGCTACCAGAGCTAGATCGTTTATCTGATCCATCACCGCATTCGTTGCTGCCAGGATAGTTGTGTCTATAAAGGACGTCGGTGAAGACATCATAGATACATTACCAAAAGCAATTTCAATAATCTCGCTGTAGCTTTCAATGTAACTACAATCCAAATGGGGGTCAATGGCCAGAGTATCACCAAATTGATGTTGGTCAGATCCTTCACCAATACGGAGCAAGTATTGAGCGAAATCGTTAGAACCGAATTGAGATGAGAAAGAGCCTTCATCGTTGGTGAGTCTCATATTTTGAGTCAGTCTGAGACTTTTAGTATGAGACATCAAGTACGATGCCTTCAAAGAGGCTGCAACTGCATCTGCCCTTCTACCTTTCTTGACTACCGGGAGAACTTGACGAAAATCCCCTCCAAGAACAACGACTTTTCCACCAAAATGCTTTCCAGCATAAGAAGGATGTACTGAGGACATCAAATCATGAAGCGATCTGTCTACAGCCTCAAATGCGTGCTTGTGAGTCATTGGTGCTTCATCCCAAATAATCAGCTTTGCTTCCTTCAAAAGTTTAGCAGTGTTTGATTGTTTTGAGAAGTGGCAGGCTGATGTTTGGTCTGTCTTGAGAGGTATATTGAAAGTACTGTGAGCAGTACGACCGACCACCTGGTAAAAGAGTTGCTGCGATACCTGAAGAAGCACTTGCCAAAGCAATTCCTGATTCTGCTCTAACCTTAGTGAGAAGAGTATGATACAGATACGTTTTTCCAGTACCACCGGGACCATCAATGAAGAAACATGTAGGGATACCAAGGCCAGGATTGTTTACAGAATTAAGCACAGTGTTGTATATTTGAAGCTGATCAGCGTTGATCCTTTCCTCGTAAATTCGAACTTCAGTAGCCAAAGTCTCCAGATTATGCCCAACTACTACCTCGATCAAATAATGATCGAAGCTCTTCATCCTACTGATTGAGAACAGATTCATCGATTTGGGGCAGCTCAGGATAATTCTTGACTGATTTTCCATGCGTCATTAATTTTCTACTAATGTCAGTCAATGCCTTTTGATAGCAAAATTCCAGCTGAGCATCAGTCAATTCTTGTGGAACAGCTTGAGATTGTTGAATTTCATGAATAAAGTCTTCAGACAGTTGAACCTTGTGATCATCCCATAGTTGTTTGTAGGTGGAGATAGTGCAAAATATCAGAATGGTTACAAAAAGATCTCGCACCTGAGAGGATCCAGTTCTTATCATCGCATATCCTTCATCCAGACAAAAATGCCATTCATCCTCGTTTGCTAAGAGTCCCATGGATTGAGCAGCTTCACGAAATGTGACATATTGAACACCATGGACGTTTTTTAAATTATCAAAGCTTTGAGGGCCACGAACATGCAATAAAAGTAGACGCATGCAGTATTTCTCCATATTAGCAGCACTTGGAGGCACGAAATACATTCTGCCTATCCCTTTAACACGGTTCTGGCTGTTGATGCCTCGCCTTCTTTTTACCCATTTTTTCTGCTTTTTGTCGAATGAAGAATGTCTTGGGACATCAATATAAAGCAAATTCTGCGCAAAGACGTCTCCTGATGCGTTCAATTCAAAAAATGCTTGCAGAGTAGTCTTCTTTGCTGTGGCAGCATTTACGACATTGGCAATAGTAGTGTTGTTAAAGTACACCCTGTGCTGATCTGGAAGATCAACTGCCAGTCGAGTGACTGACGGAAAAGTAGAGTGTAAACTCTTTCCAAGTAAGCGCCAGCAAGCTTCAGACGTGGAAATGTATCTGGCATTGACCCAAGTTGAGATCTCGTCTCTATCGCTATTATCTTCTTGAGGCTGCCCTACTGTAGGAGCAGATGATGTGACCGTAGAGGTGGATGCTGCTGTCATAGTAGAAGTGGCAGTATTGCCGTTGGTTGTGATATTGACATCTTGGGCTTGGTCTCTACTTAATTTGACTTGAGATTTGTCACTACCCTTTGTGATATATTTGTGAAGATATTTGATTGCCTGGGCTCCTGCGCAAATTTCAACGTTGATATGAGCATCATACTTTGTCACCAAGTATAAGTTATGAGGTACGACCCATCGATTATCTGCATAATAATCCCCAAATTTGACAGGCATGCTTCTTGGTTGACTTCGTCGTTCGTAATGAACAAATTCTTTTGAATCGATGAAAGTCTCTTCGGCGTATTGCTTTGGATATTGCTTGGTGCACTTGAAATTATCATCTAAGCATGGCCTTTTTTTATTGATGTTTTTTCCGCATGGAGTATGCATCATGTTTCTAACGACTGTAGCATACGCTTTGGGGTGCTTGCTTTGATCTGGGAGTTCGGCACTGACATACTTATCATACTTTTCAAGAGTAGGTCTGCTCGGTTCATCCACAATAATCACCATATGAGCATGTGGCAGGCCACGTTTCTGAAATTCAACGACATGAGTAAAAGCCAATGACATTACCAAAGATGTATGGTTTTGTCTTAATATCAGAAATCAACTCCTTGAGCTTCATGTCGAAAACTCGTGCACACAGATCCGGTCTGTTGTCAGTTGGGCTCAAACCACCGTTGCGTAATTCATTGACAATTTCGGGCCAGTTTGGATTGCAGGTAAATGTTATGAAATAGCTTGGTTTACCCAATGAAGAAACCATTGCCATTGAATCCTGATATAACTGCTGCATTGATCTTGGTGATCCAGTAGGTGATGAGGGTAAAATAATTTGCTTACCAATCTCCTCAGTGGAGATGGTGCTATCAGGTACCGCTGCATCTGTAAGCCCTGAATACAGCTCTGTTCTTAACGATCCCTGGTTATTTCGTAGATATTCCAAACGTCGATGTTCAACCTTCACATACATGTCCACTACATATTGATGGAGTAGTAGCCGGCCGAAATAATGCAGCATTCCTGCGTTGGATCTCACTTGCAATCGATGAACATAAAATTGCATTACGCTAATGTTTTGCTGGGCTCTTCTAATGGTGGTAATAGGCCTTGTAACTTCTTGTTCGACATCATCGCCATCGATTTCAGTTTCAACTGCATTGGCAGCATTATCGTTGTAATGAAATAGCCACCCAAACGCAACTTAATTGAAAACCAAAGTTCATCAAATAGCACTCATTCAAATTCATGCTATTTGGATCTATTATTAATGAAAGCGCTCAAATGTACATCAAAAACCCATTTAAAAATACTAAAGTAAAGATACACGCTTATATCGCACATCGTGTGAATGAATCACTCCTGATCACAGTGTATTCAATCACACCCATGATGGTCGTAATAGGTGATGGTATCTTTATCCAAATAGAATTAAATCAATAACAAGCATATTCAAATATGACAACTATGCCCTGCTGCCATAGTTGCACAATATCCCAGATAAAGGATTCCATGCTTCAATAACAAACATCACACTTTAAACCATCAAGGTTACATTAAATCATGCTATGACGATAGCTCACCCAAGCCCATCAAGGTTACTCAAATCGACCCTTATGGCCAGTGCTCCTGCATTGATTACCACTTTAAATCAAAAATCAACAACATTTGCCAGATATCGCAATAGCAGCACCTATTGCTCTCTATCATCACTAATCCTACAAGCTAGATGCAAATGTATAAATACTCTTCTTTTTTTTACTCAATTCCAGGATCTTCAGTTCATTTTATACACAAAATAAAATACAGTTGATTTCTATTGTATTTTACCTTTGCTTTATTTTTTTTGTGAAATCCATTAAACCTGATTTCACTGCAATCGTCATCAGTTTTACTATTAACTGCATCACCTTCATCATCGTCTTCGAAGGAGGTGTGGAATTTGAGGCTTGATAGACTAAAATTCACGGAAAAAAAAGATTAAAAAAAACAGTAATGTCAACTTGATAAAGGTATATTTTATTATCAAACTGACAGGTGTAAAGTAAACTGAAGTCTCTCTACTGGCGAGGTAGATGATCCTTCTTATATACTATAACAATGGATAAAAGTTCTATTAATTAGATTAACAAATAAGTCAACTCAGATCAACTAATGTCTAATCATGCTAAAAGACAACTCCAGCAAGCTAATCATGATTTAGCTCTGTCTGGATGAATAATTAGACTCTCATCCGAAGTACCCTGATCTATCCTTTCTATAAGGATAATTAATATCGATCTAGCAGCATGTATCCGATAGGTACAGTCTTCTTAGTCTATATTAATAGTACATATCTGAGTGTATATCGCTAAGCATACATCTTTAGCATGTATCTGGATATATGGCATGTCTATAGCATATCGTATGCATGTCTATAGCATGTCTCATATATAGTACAAGTCTGTAGTACATAAAGTATCTGTAGCTAGTATCACGGATATAAGCATGTGTCTTATAGCGTGGATCATGAAGTGCACATCTGAAGCAACAAGCTCATATTGCATTAATCTTGGTGCCTATCCAGATATGGTAAACATCCGTAGTCAATGTCGGAATACAAGTATAAGTCTATAGTGCCATCCATGTCCGTGGTGCCATCTATAGCCTATATCTTATATAGTATGAATCTTATAGTACTAGCGTATCTGAAGTCCATATCTTCTCATAGTATAAATCGATATCGTACATCTAATCCAGTGTACATACAGTTTATATCTAAATCTGGTAACTGGATGAACTGTCGGAATGCAGATCATAGTGGATGTATTCCAGACAAACAAAAAAAAAGTTTTTGTCACGTGATACCGCCCTATACTGACCGTTTGTGTGGCAACCTCTTCATCGTAGGAACATTTAACATGGGCGTTTCATGGAGCCATGAATTCGGCAGTCTATTGCTTATAGCTGTACGTGTGCTGTTTTCCAAAGGCGAAGAAAATAGGCTGTACGGCATGGCAGAACTGTCTGTCACGTTGCGAGTATATAAGAGATGATGGAGTATCTTGAGCAACTACCAGCTTTTACGGCTCGAGATTTAGATTGCTCAGCAAATTTAATGACAAAAGAAAAACATCTGATGATACTCTCTAATAAGAAGGAAAAGCAGCAATATTATTATTTTTATACAGCATTTCATTACATATATAAATATATCAATGTAATATAACGTTTAAGGTGTGATGGCAGAAGGAGATTATGAAAAAAAAAAAAAAAAAAGATGAGAGAAGGGTAAATTAATAATTGTAGTTATCACGACTGAAATTTGGGTCTTGAATAAAAGCAGCAAGCACTTTACTACCAGTCTGTAATAAAGGATGTCCAGCAACACTATAAATTTTAAATGAATACAGGTGCTAAGAAACCTTCATCAACCCAAACTTACATTTGTAGGAATCTCTCTAAACCCTCTCTGCGTTGCTCAATAACATCATCAGCGAATCTGTTTGTGAAAACCTTTCCTGGTAAAGGGGGAATGTTGACTCTTGTCGATTCACGCTCCAAAACATCTCTGAACCATTCGAAATCACTGTATCTTCTGCGAACTGCAGACTGTTTCAACTTGAAAGCCGGGATATTTGTCTACAATCGAACCATCAGCGTCTAATCTCATCCTCAATAATATAACAGCTACTTACTCTGCAAAGAATCTCGTAATCGGTATACATTTTGCGGCCAAATCCTACAACAGACTATCAATACCTTACCAACTTGCATGCTGCCTGAAAGCTTGGCAATAAACTACAAATACTAACCATGTGTTTGAGGATTTTTTACTTCAATCTCTAAAAAGTTCTCAGGGATACCGTAACGTTCCTCGATAGTTTGGTCTCGGGTTGAAGCCCCCGTCATGGTTTGGAAAGATTGAAATTTGTGTTGACCTGTTGACATGCTGATTATTGGATATAGTAATAAGAAACAAAAAGAAGAAGGAGGAAAACAGAGAAAAAGAGGTAAGATATACAAAAGATTGTTCTCTCACACAACTGAGGTTCAAATTAGATTTACAACATTGAATAGGTCGAAAGGGTTTATTCAAAGACTTGTTCGTCAGTTTTTCTCTTTTGACCTGCTCTAGCTTTAGGTCCCCAATTGGCAGTGGGGTTAACTTGGTAGCGCACTAAATGCTCTGATCTAGATTCAGAAACAGCCTTTGGATGCCTTGTGAAGTCAACAGTGATTGTAGGTTCTTTGGCAAGAAGGGTTCTTGCAGGTGAGTTTTCTGGAATATTGTTCATCACGACAGGATTCTTCTTAACCCAAGCTCTCATAATATCCCAAACGACAGGCGAAGGTGCATCGGTTTTGATAGATTGCTTACCAGCATGAGCAGCAGACACTTGATAACCAGCATTCAAGATAGCAGAGAAAAGATCCAAGATGGGAATACTATTACAATGCAAAGTACCACACAATCTTGCGAGTGTCCAATAGAAAGGTACATGGATCTCTTCCTTGATAACAGACAGCATGCCAATCATGCGCTTAGCAGTGCCATAGCTGGATTCGTTGTTCTTCACATGTTGCAACATCTTGGCTACAAATTCATCGTCGTGGATCTTATCGCCCCAAGCAGGACCGCCGATGTGATGTGTGCTGTTACAATTCTCACAGAGACTGTTGACAGAAGGGCCTGTAGCAGGTGTGTGCTTCTCACCACCATTATCTTTGACACTGATTTTACCGAGAGGCTGTGTGGAGAAGGCATGACATCCCGAACATTCGTAGACAATGGCCATTTTACTAGCAGATTTTTTGACTTCTTTGGGTGATGTATATACACGCACGAATACTCGCAAATAGAAATCGATGCTGCATGATGCGAGAGGAACAATATGGCGCTTGTAACGACCAGCTGAAGTCTGCAGCATTTGTAACACTAAACGAAGAGCCATTTCGTGGGGAAACATGTTTTTCAAAGGCATACCACCATATTTACCAAAACTAGATGGGATCTGTCAGTCAAAATGTGTCCATTTGTAGCCCCATCTCTCTGATCTTACCATGTTTCGGGATGCATTGAGCCAGCAAGAATGGCCAGATCAGTGCAAGTGACACACAGCAAACCACCCTCAGAAACAGCTTGAACAGCACCATCCACAAAAGGAGCAGCACTTCCGTAGGGGTCCAAATCAATAACATCAAACTTGTTATCAGTGCCAACACAATCGTACATGACACGCATAGCATCACCATGGTTGGGCTTTACTAATTCCTCTGTTAATCCATTGTATTTCACATTACGCTTGATAGCTTCCATTGCGTCTAATTCAATGTCGTTACAGACAACCTGCTTTAATCTCGGGATTTCTTTAGCATAACGGACGGATCTCAAACCACTAGCAGCAAGTGCCTCGAGGACGACAAAGTTGTTGGAAGTCTTGACATCATCCAAAGACTGTTGTGGTTTCACTGTGAATAGATGGTTTCCTGGAATGTATGTTGGTTACAAACCTTTTGCAATTTCTCGATAGATTCTTCATCTGATTTCAATGCGTTAAAATTGACATTTGATTGCGCCATGAAGTGTGCACATACCTTTGGCCTTTGCAAGTCTCTTTTCAATGCGCTCAGCCTTCTCTTGATTGTAGATCTCACTCCAGGTGCGAATAGCAGCAATGGACATGTCACGATTGAACTGTTGAACAGGATTATAAAAGACCTCATTCTTCTTGGGGAAAAGAATGGTAGCTTTTCCTTCTGTTACAGTGTTGTATTGAGTGATATCGATTTCGGAAGTTGCTGAGGTAGACATAATTTTTGAGGCGTTGTATTGAATGGAATTACTACGAAAAAGACGAACGAAGCTTCTTTTCATATACAAGTAGAGACCAAGTAAAAACTTTTTATTGTCATTTATATGATTTGGATCCATTGCCCATCACTCTTGGACTGCTTTATCTGTAAAGAGAGCAGCATTTCTTGAATGCTTCCAGTACCTCTGGGCTTCTGGAGCGTAAAGGTGCTGTTGCCAAGGCAGCAGGGATGTTCTCTGGCTGTTCAATCCATTTCTTGTAGGGTACTTGATGTTCTGTAAGAATGGTAGCTAGTTTCTCCAAGGAGCCTTCGTTTTTGGTCTGCAGAGACTCAACATTAGTCAAATCATTGGTGGCGACAGTCTGTAAATTACCTCAAGAACCACTTTTCGCATATTGTCTAGATCTGAAAGGTATTCTTTTGTATTCTCATCCTCGCGCGTGATGTGTAAGATGGCGGTGGCAGCATGGCAAGCCTGTGTCATTACGCTGTGAACCAATTTGCATAAGTAAATACTACTTCTCCATATACTGTGCCGTCTCTCTCTCTTTTTTTTTTTTTTTTTTTTTTTTTTTTTTTTTTTTTTTACCTGCCTGTTGACCATTGGAGATTCTATCAAGCATGTTCAATCAAAATTGCCATAAAAAAAGCTAAGCGCATTGCGTACCTTTGCAAGATCCTTTCGGACCACAATAAACATGGTTAGAGGTTCTACTACAGCAGCCATGATTATCAAAGAATGGTAGGATGGCAATCCACTGGAAAGAAAAAAGAAGCTGAATGGTCACAATGACATGGATTTCGTATTTCCAGATCTCGCGTCTGCGTTGTTCTCGCGTTCAATTCACTCTTTCGACAACATGGTGACTTATCAAGAAGCCATCCTTACAGAAACAGAGCAGTTGATAGAGAACATAAACAAGGTTTTTTTTTTTTTTTTTTTTGGTTGTTTGCTTGACTAGACAATGAAACGAATCAATTAACTCATCCAATGTTTAGCTCAATGCGACGATAGAAAGAGTGAACAATGTAGAGACAAAGCAAGCCATTGAAAAATTAAGACAAGTCGAACAAAAGATGAATCTCGTCTATACCTTCTTCAAAGCATCCATGTACGCCAATAATATACACAGCGAAGACAGCGAGACAGACCCATCCTCATCCACAAATCGACCTAGTTTTGAAGATACCAACAATGATCGAAAGCAAGATCAAAACTCTTAAATTTAATTAAAATTGTACATTTCACACAGCAATGATTTAACTCATAAAAAAAAAAAGGGATTTATTTGTAAAAGAGAATAAGCGTATTGACAAAGATAATGAAAAATGATAGTGATGGAGTGGAGAAGTCTATTTCTCTTCAGTGGCTTCAGCAGCCTTTTCCTCCTTCTTGTCCTCCTTTTTGTCCTCCTTCTTGTTCTTGGGGTTCTCAGGAGCCTTGCTCCAGTTTTGAGCCTAAACAGAAGAATTGCGTTAATTAAACCTCAGGCTACAAACACACGACAATCAATGATATATTTACAGCCAACTTGAAAGCCTATATTATAAACAAGTGTATATTAGCGAATGTTTGGTAGCGGTATGATGATATAACATCTGAAAATTTTTCCTCTCTTACGTAAAGAGTGGAAAAACAACACGCAATGTATGTGCTTGGAAAAAGGAAAATTTCCATTCAGAACAAGACATTGGGTTGTCAATCATATAGCAAATGTACTTACATCCTTGTGAGTAATACCAGCATTGGCTTCCTTAACCTTGGCGAGTTCAGTCTAGAGCAAGAGGGCGTTTGAGTACCAATTGATACGTCCATCTAGACAAAACGGCTTACCTTCATGAACTGGTTATAGGGACTCATCTTCTTTGCTACATTTACACGAGTTTTTCTTATGAGCAACACGCTTTTGCGGGCACAAGAAAGAGCAAAACTTACGTGATTTCTTTTGAATTTTCTCTTTAGCCATCTTGAATTTAGAAAATAAACTTTTTTATATGAAGGATATTAAGTGAAAGGAAGTTATTATTATGAAAATTTCTCTTTTTAACCTTGCTCCAAACATTAAATCTTTTTGCCATTTTATAATAATGAGCCAATTATGAAGCGGCTTCCATCTAATACACTATTAAAAGCCGTCAGCTTATTTATTTTCTTGCCAATGACATGGGAAGTTTGGGTTTGTTTTTTCATGCCAAAAAGGATGTGCACCCGCACTATTTAGTGGCTTAAGTGTTGCTCTTGATATGAAAGGCACAGATGATCAGTATTCGCATGCTCCCGATTTGCGCCATGTTGTTTATCTAAGCTTTTTTTTTCGGTACTAGATCAATTGACGGGCATGTCAAGCGACAGTTACATTGGTCTAAGAACATGCGGATGCTTTTAGGTGTGGTAATTCAGCATGAAAGACATCGCTAAGTACTCGCTCAGCAAACAACTACTCTTTAATTAATATCGGAAGAGAGCGCACAGCAGATCAAACAAGCTGGTGATCAAAGAGGGTCTGATCATCGCATCCACCAGTGATTTCATTTTAGGTGATATGATCATGTTTGGGCTAATTTGGTTGCAGAAGCACGCGTCAAACTCAAGCAGTGAGACTAGACCTATGATGTTAAATTGATATCTTATAGACAGTACTGCTTATATACCATTCTTTTCATTCATTTAAACATACATTTGCTTGCATCTTTAATACAGGAAGCTAATGCTAATCTCCGCTAATACACTAGCATTGCTATGTGCGGTTTCTATGCACTCCCTACGGTCCGAATCTTTATCGTGGCGTAATTCGAAGCATGTCCAATGGTGCCAAACTACTTGGCACTCTTCCAGACAAAGTATTACAGGATTACTGGTAATCTGAAAATACGTTGCTTGAGCACTAGAGTTAAGAAACCTCCTAAAAGTTAAGATAAAAACGTCCAGTGGCATTTGGGTTCTAGGAAACTGGTGGCCCTGAATTGATATCGAGGATAGATATTGCTCGAAACACTCCTGGCTGCCATGGAGTGCTACGTGCCTCAAGAGATCCGTCTATCAGTACGGCAGGATGAGCTGCACACTTATGGATAGACGACACATTTTTGGCACTAACATCAACGAAATGTAGGTCTTGATCAATACGCGTAGACGATTTTCACATCAATATGTCCTCTGCAGCCAAACCTGATTCAGCCCTGCGTAAGTTATATCTTCTCAAGGTACGGATTTACATTTTCTTTATAAGTTTAGCACATGTCAATCCCATATTACTGGTCCTTTTTTTGGCGTCATTTGAAGCTTCACACCTGCTGCATGTGAGAAAATTAAAAAAAAAAGAGCATTATGAATTTTGCTCTTTCTCTCTCTCTCTCTCCACTTTCTCTACATATCCAACAAACAAATGACAGAGGGTTTGCAAGTCGACTTGAGAACGCTCCGTTTTGTCGGTGCCACCAATGACAATTTAATATGTTGTATATGTCAGAATCCATTCATTGACCCAGTGATATCTCGATGTGGGTAAGTGGGCTAGGTTAGCTAGAGTGGGGAAAAAAGAGCTTGTTACTAAGGTACTTGCTCAGGCATACATTCTGTCAACACTGCATATTCCAAGCAATAGAAGCTTCACCTGTATGTCCCATTGATAGAACATCACTTGGAAAAGACGATTTTGAACCAGCAGCCAAGATTATTAGTAATATGGTGAACGAACTACTCGTTTACTGTCCTCGCCATGAACAAGGATGTCCCCACGTAGGACAACGCCAATTTATCGAATCACATTTGAAGAATGATTGTGAATATACCATGGCACCGTGCGAATTGGAAGAGTGCAAAGAGCTATTGCTGAAGAAGGATTTACAATCACATGCAGAGACTTGCAAATATAGAATACTCGAATGCAATATGTGCAAAAAGAAGCTGCGTGCTTTTGAGCTCGAGGTAAGCCATTTCTCACCTTCTTTGTATGATCCGCATTGCTGATGCCGTATGTGGATACAGGATCACTACAATCTCTGCCCCTCCGAGATCATCACTTGCCAGTACTGTGACACTTCAAGACCCAGATCTGAACATGTTTCACATATCAACGAATGCCCTCAATTCAAGATCAAATGCACGCATGAAGAGTTTGGATGCAACTGGACAGATCAGCGACAAGTGCTGGCAGCTCATTTATCCACTTGTCCATACGAATCTATCAAGCATTACTTGTACAAGCAACAGCAATCCGAGAAAGCTTTGTTGAATGAGCTGCAACAGGTGCATCGAGAGAACGAATCATTGAAAAGACAGCAGTCTGAGTCACGACAGCACATCGAGAGCTTAACGCAGCAATTGGATTTGATGTTTCCGGGGCATTTCATGACAGATCCAGATATACCAGAAGAAGCACGCAACGAATCTGTTTTATCGGAAAATCAGCGCATGAATAACGAATTGGAGACACTATCAGCCAACATTGCCTCTTTGGAATTGAAGCAGAATATGGCATTGATGACAGAGACGTTCCGTTTGCAGGAAGAGTTACAGAGCCTGAGAGCCATCTGCCATGGACTCAGAATGCAGATGCACTATATCATGATGGACCGAAAAACGGCCGCTTCGAGTAATGCTTCTGCAAGTGGGGCAGCAGCGGGTGGTGCTGGTGGTGGCAGTGGATCTGCAAGCAGTGCAAGAAGTGCCAGTGAATCCAGTGCAACAAGTGCAATGAATAGAATGCGGACATGGCTAGGTAAGAAAATGCAATGCCAATGATGTTGCTAATGTGGTATTCACTCAATGTATCCTTAGATCCCAATGGGTCAGGACCCAGACAAGAAACCAAACTGTAAAAATGGGCTCCACTCTTTATTGTTTATATCCACCTTACATACTTATCTTTTTTGCTAATCAAATACCCCTTTAAAACAAAATAAAGCATCTCCATGATTGAATCACACAATACGCACAGGTGGATCAAAGGGGCAAGCAAGGGACGAATCACAAGAGCGGGGCTATATCAAGCCACCTATCAACATTTATCCAGGTCCCAAACTTTAAATTTCTTTTCTTTCGTTTATCCCACACACATCACCATGGCAACCGCAGAAAAAGCTACTCTAGTATTAGGAGGAGCAGCACTTGGTGTTGTTTCCTTTGCAGCCTATCAAAAGTTCACCCAAAAGCCTGCTGTTCGTCCTGCTGTCAATGTGCCTGTCAATAGACCACCACCACCACCATCACCACCATCCACTCAAACCTCTGCTTCAGTTGGAGGACCCAACCTGAGCAACATGGAAAAGGCCAGAACCATTTTGCCCTTTGGATTTCCCGGTCCAGTAAGCGACATTGTATACCGTAACGCTTATGTCACTTCCTACAACCGTCGTGATCGCAACCCTAACTGGGTAGCAGAACATTTGACTGCAGCCAGTTTGAAACGAGGCGATGATGTAGATCGTCAAAAATCCACCTTTAAAGAAGACGATCATATTCCACCTCAATTCCAAGCCAAGCTCAACGACTATTTTAGAAGCGGGTTTGATCGTGGACACATGGTACCAGCTGCTGATGTCAAGAATAGCCAAGTTTCCATGAACGAGACCTTTTACTTGACCAACATTGCACCACAAGTAGGCGAAGGATTCAACCGAGATTATTGGGCTCATTTGGAGCATTTCTGTCGTCAATTGACCGCCAAGTTCTCTGATGTGTATGTGTTTACGGGTCCCTTGTATTTGCCACATCAAGAAGCTGATGGTAAATTCTACGTCAAATACCAAATGATCGGCAATCCACCCAACGTGGCTGTTCCCACTCACTTTTACAAGGTCATCCTGACACATCACCAAGGCAAATACAGCGTCGGTGCCTTTGTATTACCCAACCAGCCTATCCCTGATCAAACGCCTTTAACTGCATTCCAGGTGCCCTTGGATGCTGTGGAAAGAGGTGCTGGTCTCACCTTCTTTGATCGCATGGATAAGAACGCTTTGCCCAACTTGTGTCGTGAAATTGAATGTAAGCTGGTAATCCGTAAGTTTGATAACGCTCAAAAAAACGTACAAAAATTGCCTGCCAAATAAAATATACACTAGAAGCACAGAAATTTATTCTTTTTGCTGTTCATCACATCTTGCAATCTCTTTTCTAGTATGGCATGTGCTTGTTCCGCTTTTTGCCTTTGTCGTCTTTCGCGATCAAGGTCTTTTTGTATCTGGCTGCACTGATTTTGCATTTCCTGCTGGTTGTTTTCCATGTCAGATGCTAGTTTCTGCACTCGTTCCTGATCTGCTCTCACTTGATTTTCTGCCATCTCGAGTTTGATGCGGTAGGATCGAAGTTGCGTATCGAATTGCTCGGATACAGGAGGTGTGGGCGGGAGTGGCTGGTTGGGAGGTTCAGTGGGTGGTGGCACATTGGGTGTTGCGGATCGATGTTTGCTGACCAAGGAATCGGATAACACTGATGGCGGCGTATCGTCTCGTCGTATGTGATGTGTAGAGTTGGTGGCAGCACTGGATCGACTGGATCGCGCTGGTGCTTCTATCTGACGCTCCAGCTGATTGTTGAGTACCGTCAGATGCATGACATCGCACTCCAATGTCTTGACTTGCTGTGACAAATGATGGCGCTGCGACATGATCTGTGTCTCCAAGTCATCCACCATAAGAGCCAACTGCATGTTTTCATCCGCTAAATGTGATACCTTTTGCAAGACATCCATAGCACACGATGTATCTAGCTTTTCTTGCACCCAGCTGATCAAACGAGGCTTTTCATCCACAGACATTTGATTAGGCGTTCTTCTCTTTCTGTACACAGAGGCGACTGATGTGGTGGATTGTCTGCTGGCTACCGAATGTGATTGTTTATTCACTGCCACGAGTTCCTGGTTCAGTTTTTCCATCAACTCGTATTCTTTCTTCAAAGCATCATAGGCCTGCTTGATGCTTTGTTGCTCTCCAAGTAGTTGATGTGATTCTGTTAATGCAGTTTGCAGTTGTTGTATTTGGTATGATTGCTGATTTGCTAGTTGGGACAATTTGTCGTTTTCATTGACGGCAGCTTCATAGCTGCTTTCAAAGTCGGCTTCTGCAGCCATTTTTTCTTGCTGCAACCTCACAATGTTATCCTGAAGGCTGGCAACCATACCACTTGTATCACCCTCTCTGAGAGCTGTTTGGTGCATGAGTAGCTCATTTACTAGCAAGCCAATTCTCTTTTCTAATGCATTGATTTTGGCTGCTTGTAGTTGCGCGGTATTTCTCCACCTTTCGGTCTCTTCTTGAGAGGTATGATGTTTCTGCAGTTTATTAATGTAATTGTCAAGTTCCTCCACTCGATTTTCTAATGCTCGTGTCCGTTGTTGATCGAGAGAGCTATCATTACTACTGATCTGTGTGGTATTATGTGATGGCTGTTGCTGCTGCAACATGGCAATCTCGTCCAATACCCTCGCTGTATCTTTATCCTGCTTCAAAGCTAGACATTGCAGCGTTTGCAATGCACCTTCCATGCCATGGCGTTCCAGTTCGAGTTGCCTCATCTCTCGCTTCATGTCAGCAGTTTGATTCAATTTTGACTCCAAAGCATCTATCAGTGCTGATTGCTTATCACTCAAGCTCCATAGCTTCATATTTGTGGTGCGCATGCTGGCCAGCTCGTGCTCCACATGCTTACTACGCTCGTTGGTTGCTGCCATTTGGAATTGCAGGTGTTCAATTTGTGCTACCAGTGCAGGTGCTTTCCCCTCTTCTTTTATAATATTTGGTAATGTATCATGAGTAGAATGAGGTAGAGAAGTGAACATAAAGTCGTGTTTAGGGTATCAATAGGTAAAGAAGGAGAGATCAAACCACATTGATTCTTTCGAAAGTTTGACAATGACGCTTTTTATATACAACTCGGGATCTATTTGAACCACAGCAGGCGTGGTGGTTAAAAATAGAGCTGATGGGATGGTTGCACTTGCAGATTACATGTTGCAAGAAATAGAACACATAATGCTATACATTTACACTTGTCTCTTTCCATGACGACGCAAATGCTTGGAGCCCTGCTTGTTATTAATTCTCAATACTTATACGTATACATGGAGATGTTGTTTTGCTCTTGAACGAATCAATGAAACGCATACTGCCTACATGCCTTTTTGAAATGCTGCAAATCATGATTAGGAAGCTGGGACGACATATATTTTGGTGGTGCGCGAGAACTCCTGGCGCTTTCATATATGGAAATGTCATACAAAAGCAAAGGAAAGTATTCGGCTAAAGCAATGGTCCTTTCAAATGCATCATAGCCATCATCAAAAGGCATTTTGGTTAGGCAGCAGCGCCAAATTATATTAAACTCCGACCGTATTTTTTCTGCCCAAGATTGGACAGATTCTGTTTATTTTCGACTTCTTTAATTTACTTTATAAGGTATGGCAAGGCGTCATTTTTGAGTTCCTATGGCCCACCACGTCCATCACTGACATCAAAGAGGCTCTTCTGTCCCTGGACTTTTCAGATATCTGGTACTCCCAAGTCAAAGGCATCCATCCATACAGAATCCTACTCATCACCCTGTCTCAAATATGGCTAGCCCATATGCGCTTTGTTTTTGACGGCACTATCTTTGTCCCTGAGGCGATTCTGGTACATATCCACTCCACTGTCCGACAGACAGTGGATGAAGATCAAATCCATTCCCTCTTGTAATTTAGATAGTTAGATAGTTCCTTTTGTTAGTTTAGTTTAGTTTCCATTTATATTTATATTTTTTTCATTTCTCAATTGCACCCGCCTCTTCACTCTGACCTATTACTCTTAGTGTACGCGGCTCAATCAATAAACACAATTTAAAAAAAAAAAAAAATTTACTTTATGACATTCGACTATATAAACTGTGATGATCACCCTACGCTTCCTAATACATTCTTGAAGTACTTTTCAAGACGCTTCCAATAGTACTAATTGTAATGGGTGTTGTAAATAAAATTACTGAGCAATTTGGTGAAATATGAAATGAGGTTTTTAGCGAAAATAGCCAGATTTTGCATATGAAATCCTCATAAACGCGGTTTCAGAAGTTGCTTTGGATCGAGAGAAACATTTTGATTGAATATATACCATAGTAAAAGTCTTCATTTTTAAGGTGAAAAACACGATCGTTTGATTTTCGATGAAAACCATGAGGGATACCTCATGCTTTTTTGGTCGATTTTGGCCATGTTTTTTTTTGGTCCTCAAAAATTTGAGCAAAGGTTTCAGGATGTTACTACTACTCAAGTACAATTGTTTGGTGTCATTCCGGCGGCTCAGAAAGTTCTATATGTCAAGATACAAAGGCTTGAAAGCTGTCAAACGTGGCTGTGTTTTATACATTTGTTCGTCAATAGGCGCGTTTTTGTTACGATATAAAGGTGAAGAGACATTGTGTGCATCAATCTAGATTTGTAGCATGCTGTTACATCCAAATAATCTGCTGGAAATAGTAGGTTGAGTGGCACCGCTGTATCATAGCACAATTGCACAGTTTATTAGTGGGGTGATGACGGGTTGTAAGACACGCTGGACATTCTAGACGCAATGGATAGTCTGCATCTAGTAAAAACCATACTACACAATTAGCTCAGATAGGTGGTCCATAACGCAGTAGTTCAAATTACTAGGTAGTCCGTAACATATCCGAAATAAAATCATGAACGTATAAAGTCTCAAGTGAAAAGCTAGTTGAATGTGCCATGGAAAGATCTTTAAGAGAAATAGTAGTGTGGGTATGAGTTTAAGTACAAAGTGCTCCTTTTTCCTTTCAGTTATTCTCCTGATTCTCTAGGCCGCAAATTTCCTTGATTAACAATCATGGCATCCTCAGTAAATAGTACAGATGGATGCTCTTGGGTGTGATCACACATATAGCGTACATCTTGCTCTAATTCAATAGCGACTTGATCCTGCTTGAGCCCAATGGAATTTGCCATTTTAAAGACATCAAACGAGCCGGCCAAGCATGACTGATCTGGCTTGAATACATAACTTGTCTTGAAACTGTCGATGATGGCAGAATGCAGTAACTCACGGTGGATGACGGTATATATGGCCCAAGTTGGCCTGATCTTTTCCCAAATGGGGCTCCTTTTACATTGATGCTCATTTGCTAATGAGAAGGCAGTATGCAAATAATCGCGAGCCACTTTGTACCTATGCGCGGACATGTTTAGATGCGCTGCGTCAAGCACACGACGGATACTTACATTCCCTGCCGGTAACGGTAGACAGCTAATTCATTAAAGAAAGGGTCGTGATTGCACCGTTGAAGACTCATCTGAAAGTAGCCAAACGCCAGATGCATCCTGGCCAGTTTCATGTCTTCCATTGCAACGTGGTCGTATGGTAATTATGAGCTAAATCAAGTCAGTGCTCAGCAATTAGCCGGTGTATAGTGTGTCCTTCACCCCAGAACCAGCCTACTGCAATTCGTGTACGCCTCGATCGCCTTGTCGTGATCCTTTTCCAGTGAGAGTATATAAGCGTAACCCAGCTATGAGGGCCTAAGGAAGCATTTGAGGATCAACGCATGGCTAAAATAATGCGTGCTTGTTGATGCAAAGATGATACAGTCCAATAGCGTGCCATGAGATAGCCTCCTCTTTCAATTTCTTTACTAGCTTTTGCGCATACTCATACAGCTTGTTCTTCGTCTCCAGTTCATACAAACTTGACACATGAAGCGGTATGGCTTCCGTGAACCCTAATTCTTTCTACACCTGTAGACTCTTGGCTTGAAAGACTGATGGGAGAAGATGACAGATGCTCAATCTTACTGCCCACTGGTCTTGCAGGGGAGTGGGGTTCATCATGGCATGTGCCAATGCGAGGTGGAGCTGATCTCCTTCTTGCTGGCAATGCCGTATTTTTAGAGTGTTGCATGATCAAGTAGTGGAAAGAAACAGAAACTAGAGCAATCAACATTTCAGTCGTTCAAAGAAAATTAAGTTGCAGAGCAATGCATATTCATGTTGAAACGATGAGTGTCAATTGTAGGGTTGCGTATATTCGTCAGCCTGTCTATATGAATACTGGTATCAGACTGTACTATTCAGATGTCCAGACATATAACAATTTAGCAGATATCATGCTATAGCATAGAAATGTATCATTCATATGTTTGTAATGGAAGGAAGGGCAAGCCGAAGACAAGTGCCATTCAGGCAGACAAAGTTGTCTCATCAATTTAGTTCCGTAACCCATTACAGCCGAGAACAAAACTCGAAATTATGATGATAGCGCCAGATAGCTGACCGTTGATAAAATCGAGAAAAACACTATAAACATCACTATAAACATCACGATTTATTTCACACACCAGGAAGCCTAGTATTAAACATACAGACTCTACTTTAGTATCCGTACTGCATCCTTTGAAAAGATATAACTAGCTCCCGACCACACAGTAGTTCCTCCAACAACCCATCTATCATACAAGGCATAAATATCAAGAGCATTTCGTCTGATCCACACACAACTTACTGTAATGCTGTCATGGCCTCACTGGAAGGCATCCCCATGCTCACGGTAGTCAATGAAAAGCCCATTAAGAGCAACTGCAACGCAGTATTGATTTTGCTGATTTGAGTTGGCTTGACTTCTGCTGAAGGTATTGTGCCATCAAAATAACGTGCAATGGTTTTCTATCCGGATTTGACATTAGCAAGATACACATTTGCACCCTTTGATAACAAACATACTGGTTCTGGTAGGGAAATGTAGCGATAATAGAATGCGGACAGAACAAGTCCAGCGTCTCTACCTAGAATGATCGCAGCTAATGGCACTGTTTCAAGCGTTTGTATCAGTCGTCTGTTTTGATCCACACCACCTCAAAAGGCTGCTGCACACACAAACCTGGTAATGTTCCTTCCATGGCCAATGTCACTGTCATCACTGTCATCAATACCTTGTCTGCTAATGGGTCAATGATTGTGCCTAGCAGCGTCTTCATGTTGTATTTTCTAGCAATGTGGCCATCCAGCTTTGTTGTACACATGTCAGCCACTTTTTGCTATACTTCCAGCATCTTTGAATTACTCACTAGATCTGTAAAGCCTGCCAATGCAAACAAGACCAACGCACCATCATAGTTTTGCTGTAAAATCATGTATCCGACGCACGGTGCTGCTGCCAATCTCCCAAATGTTAATAGGTTGGGAATAGTGTAGATGTCTTCTTTCAATTCCTAGTGTCCTGATGGTTGGTATGTGTCTCTTCCTCTGGTAAAACGCAGATGGCAGCACTATACCTCTTTGAATGACTTTTTGTCCTTGCCGTCTTTTGCGGGTGGCGGTGGCGGTGTCGTTTGCTTGAGATTCGAGTTGAAGCAGCGTTGTAATGGCCTCCAGGTATTGATTCTATGTCGCAAAAACCAGTTTGTATACATGTAGTATCATGCACCCATATGTCTACTCTTTACCTCACGACAGGCTTTGCCAATGTAGTCAGTTTGATCCAATGTGTCTTGCTTGGTACTGGCTTGATTCTGCTCGATGCCATCATGAACAGAGTACGCGTTTGTTGGTGTTGTAGCCGAAACATTGGAGAGTAATAAGAAAGCGATGAAATAATGACGGATTTGTTGTGTGTGTGTGTGTCCCTTTTCATCTTGCACAAATACACAATTGTGACGCCCCTTGCATTAAAAAAAAAAAAAACTGATGTGTAGCATGGCAGCAGGCACAGGCATCATCTTTCTCTCGTTGTTGCTCTCATTTGAAACCAAGTTTTTCCGTGTGTGTGTGTGTGTGTGTGTGTGAAATATCAGTTCATGTTATGATTAAGAGGGAGGGTTTTATATATATTAAAATGTAGTATCTAGTTTTTTGGTTGTACTGTTGCCACTGCAGTAGCATTAGTGTTAGATGATTTCCAAAACATCCAAGATTTGCGTTTGTTTAATTTCTTTTCTGGTTGCTGCTTCTTTTCTGTTGCTTGCTGGATCACAGGTAACTCAGGAACAGGAGGAGTCTATTGTCATATACAAATTGGTTAATATATCACCAAGGGGATTTCATGTGTCATTGTGTCATACCTTGTCCCCACCACGTTTAAATAACCCTAAAATTTGTGATTTTCTCTTTGTCACACTCTTGTTTTCCTTGCCTAGAATGCTTCGCTTCTTCTTGAGAGAGCTCTTGGGAGTAGCGATTTCTTCTTCCTGGATGGTTGCATCTGTGTTGATGCTTGTCAATACACTTTGTGATCGAATAGTGGGTGTGTCTTCCTTTTCCAATGATGTGGTACTAACAGGAGGAGCAGTTTCCTTTTCTGTTTGAGCGGGAGCATTCACATCTGCTTGAGCGGGAACATCCACATCTGCTTGGGCTTGTTCCTGATGTTGATCGACATTGTTGACAATAACAATAGGGGGAGCGACTTTTGATACATCAATAGGTTCTGTGGTGCTGGCGGAGGTGGTGGTTGAGACGGGTGCAGATGTTTGCTCTTGAACAGGTTCCTCTTCGACACTGACAGAGGGAGTGATGGTAGGTTCCGATACATGAGGCTCTTGTACATTTTTGGCTTCACACTCTGTTGCTTGTGGCACGAGGAGACTTTTAGGTTCTTTTTGTTCAGGTACTTGATCATTTTCGTGAGTAATAGCTTGTTCGGGTTCCTGTTCAGTTTTTAAGGGTGCTTCTTCAGGCTTTGTTGAATCAGATTCAGTTGCATTGACTTGGGCATCTTGCTCACCAACTGCTTGATATGTCCATTGACCTTGATCAGCGGCAGTGGTAGCCTCTTTCTTCTCTTCTTCTTTAGCGCTTGTAGAGGAGGTAGTCTCAGATTCAGAGACAACCAGGACAACAGGCTCTTGATCTTGCTTCTTTTCTTGCAGCAAGGGGATGTCTTCTTCAGTCTCCACCTTGGGCAAGACGGGTGAGATCTCCTCGGGCACAGGCTCTACTTCAATGGTGGTTTGCTGTTCTTCAGGAATGATGGCCTTCTCCAATGTAATCACTACAGGCTGCTCAGTTTCGGGAAGACTATCCAAGACGACGGCGACAGGTTCAGCCTTGACTTCGACATGGGGAGGCTCCTCCAAGGCATCCTTGACTTGCAGAGATTCCACGATATTCTCAGATGTGGACGTCAATGCTTCCTCTGATGCATTGGACAGGATAGATGGCTTCTCTGCGGTCTCCTCCTCCTCTTGCACCTCCTCCTTCTTCTCAGTGACGACAGGCTTGATGTTCTCCTCTGAGCCCTCCTTCTCGATCTGCTCAATCTCCTTCTCTGCAACAGCAGCAGCAGCAACCTGAGGTTCCTCTGTCAACAAGGCTTTATCATTGTCAGCGAGCGCGTTGACAGGTGTAACAGGCGAAGACTCTTCGGGGGTTGCAGGAGCCGTAGTAGCAGTAGGTGTGGTAATAACCTTCTTTTGTTGTTGTACCTTGCGAGCGTTTGACTTTTTCTTGTTACCTTTCTTGGCCATTTTTTTTTTTGTTTTTTGGTGGTGAATTGAGGAAAGAAAAGAAGAAGAATAGAAATCAAGAAAAAACAAAGTTTAAATGTTGAAACAATAAAACGACCTATTTTTTTTTTTTTTTTTAGGGAGCACCACTGCCATTTTAATTCAGGAGCCAAATGTTACACATTGCACTCTGTTTAGGCCTCGTTTAACATGACAAAATAATATACCACACACAGCCAGTAAAATGTATAAATATATGTCGACGGGCGAGGTTTACTAGCGGCGTTCTTTGCTGCCTTTGCTGTCGTGCTGTCGTTCGTGGAAGCGACCCATGTTGTAGTCCAGAGTACTAAAAAAAAAAAATAAGCAACTTTAGCGCTCAAATTGATCTAGTGCAATTAGAAAGAAGCTCTCACCTTGATCTATTGTGTGGATCAGGGCATTCTCGGCTATGATGTCTTTGACACGAATGTTGGCCGTATGATTGCCAATGGAAACTACACAAGGTGGTGTCAGGTACCAGTGACGACCTTGGTATACCATTGCAAGGTCAACTTACTCTGATTCTCACGCACGGTGATGTTTGATCCAACCAAGTTGTGTATAGTGCTGTTAGGGCTTCTTAATTGCTGGCTCGTATACAGCCCTCTCACAGCATGCACATTATAAAGCATAGCATTAATATCAAACCCAAGTGTAGTGGGATCCACCGTGCCGAATGCTTGATTATTTGGCATAAATAAGGTCATCATCTGCAACGCATGAAGTGCCAAAAAGGAAGAGATGACGATAATGAGACTTTTTCAGTTAATTATTAGGCTTGTATGATTACTAACCTCATCATTTCGACTCGAGTTTGCATGCTGTTGATCGACTAGAGCCATTAATTGCTTTGCTTTTGTGAATTTAAGGTTGCCCAATGTCGTTTCAATATCAAGAGGCACTGCCAATACTAAATCATCACAAGCGTCAGTGGTACATGCTGAAGGCAAAAAGGAGAGATAGGGCGAGAGTGAGGGCCACACACTTACTGGAGTCAATGATATGCACAACGCTTTGCTGCGAAGAAACTTGTATCGAGTTTACAATGGCTGCAGATTGCATATTACCCGACTCTATTTGTTTGGTGTTTTTATCGTGGTTTATCCATAGTTTCATGTACGAGGTTGATTTGTACAGAGATTCGCTGTTCTGTGTCCAGCAATCGTCCAAGCACAGTTGCGGCAGTATATGGTATTTGGTCGTGTTGCGATCCAGTAGCAATGTCTGATAAAAGGCATCGTTATGCGGTGCAAATACGGTGATGTTGGTTTGATTTTGCAAGTAAGATTGGAGCTCTGGATCCAATAACGATGAAAACTTAGAGGTTTCTGGTAGCCGCTGTAGCACTTCATATGCATTCAGTGGTTGTGTCAAGGGGTGTTGGTTTTCGGATGACTGAGCGAGTATAACTCCAACAAGAAACAGACATACGCATAGCACAATGCGATGGATACTGGTATTAGAAAGCATTTGTTAGGTGTATAAACGGAATAAAGAGATATATAATGTTGAAGGAGAAAGGTAATTTATCGCTATTGCGTTGTATTATATGGCGATGAGCTGTATTAAAGGGGGGATAGTATATGGTGCGTGGTATGTATATGTATGTGAAATGCCCCAACCTGGAAGATCAAGGGGGGTATGGTTGTTTTGTGTTTGCTCAAATGTTAAATCTCAATCAACTCGCCCATACAACTACTGCATAACTCTAAACACAGGCTCAGTATTTTGCCTACATGCATTACAGTAAGGTGATTTACCTGCTGAATCGCCTTTATATCGTTCTTTGAGATCAATGATCTTGTGTCTAAACTCATTGTATATAGTCCTACGCCATAGCAGCTTTAGTTGCCTCTCCTCTCTATGTATGCTCATTGTGAATACTACCTTTCCTCTCGTTCATACGCCTCTATTGTAAAGATACACACACGCATTAGCATTTTCAGAGCAGTGAGAGTAATCACATGCACATTACCCAAGGCTTGATGATCCAAAAATCTTATTTCAGCATCGTCTCTTGTTAGCAAACCCTTCAGCTCCTTGTTTCTCTGTCTTAGACTTTGTATTTCATGTTGCATCAATTCAATCTGGTTCTCGGAATTGAAGAGCCTCTCTTTTAGTCTGATATTGTCTTGCTCTAAACCATCCGTTTGATTAACTTTTTTGGATTGAAACTTATGTAACTGCGATGATAGACTGTAAATCAGCATGTTGATCCGCTGAATGCTTGAGCTACTCACAAACCTTCTTCTTTGCCAATGCTGCGAGTTTATCTGCCCTTTCTTCTTCATGCACAGAAATCATCTTGAGTATTTCTAGCAAAAAAAGAAGAAAGAGAGTGTTAAAAATAATCCTACTCGGACCGTGTGTAATGGACTCACGAAAATTACAGGTTGTGATACAAATGTGTAACTGAAATTATCACCATAGCAACAAACACACACATTTATAGCAATGGACGAAAATACGGAGCGATTTGATATGCGTTTTATTATACAGATTAAGAGCAGCAACTATTATTATTAAAAAAATCCAACTAAGCCCAAGACTAACATGGACAACGCAGCCAAACCGAGCTTTTCCATGGGCAAGTTCATGATACCAGCATTAACATGAAGCACAATAGCACGAGAACGCATACTTAAATCGACATTAGAGTAGGAAAGTTTTGATTTAGTGGTGACAGTCAAGTAAACGGTTTTGTTTAGTCCATGGGGGACAGACCAGCTATAAGTAGAATTCATAAAGAAATCGAGTTGGGTACCAGTGGAATTGCCAGAGGGAACAGGGACATCTTTATCGATATTCTTGGCCAAAGAGGTCAAAGTATTGTCTTGCCAGAGATCAATGTCGACAACATAGGATCCATTACCCATGTTTTGATATCCATAAGCAATGTCAATCTTTTGCCCGGGTTCAATGGTGCTGTTGGAGATTGGAAAGTTGATTTGCGTGCCAATTTGAGCAGCACATGCAGTGATCAAGACAAAGACTGCCATCAATACTTGCAAGAAACGTTGGTTGATCATTTTTTTTTGAATGTGTGTGTGTGTGTGTGTGTACGCTGAAGGAATGGATCAATGGACAAGGGGAATGAACGAAAGGAAATGTGGGTAAGAGAGAAGAGATGTAGATTGAAAGAGAAAGAGAGCGAGATGATGATTTATGGCCAGTGTTATTCTTTTTCTCACCAGATTTAAAATATTCTAGTGACACAATACAAAATTTGTCTTGATTTGTAGAATTTGAATTTAACTGGGAAATGCACATGTACGCCAGTAATTGATGAGATGGGTGGTACATTCACTGCTGGGCTCAACCATTTGAGAAAGTCTATCTTGTACGCCCAGCAGAAAATTATATTGTAAAGCTCACATTGTAATCTGTTCTGCTCGATGAATTTAGCACAATTGAGCATCTCCTTCTTTGACTGATGTTAATTGTACAGTTGGATCAGTTTAAATATGGTGTCAACATCCATTGGGTGATGATCAGGTACAGATCGCTCAAAGTTGACTTGAATCGCTGATCAAAAATTTGCTGAGCAATTGGTGTGGTTTATATGCGATTTGACCAGCAACCGGTACTTCATAGTCAGTTAGACAAAGCTACATCTTACCTCATTCAAAGCAATCATGTTAGGATGACTAGATACGAACAGAAACTTTATTCAAGTTGAAAAAGAAGCGAAATGATGGTATGATGTGTCTAAGACATGAGCGACATTAAATATATACAATTTTCTCAAGTAAAATCAATGGTGGACATGTCTGGCACAGCTCCATGATCCACCAAGACTTGAAACATGTCCCACAGATTCTTTTGCACACAGGCTTTCAAAGTCTCACTATCTGGCTTGACATGTAACTCATCTAAAAAGTAATCTACCATTTCACGATTATTTCTAGCAGCACATACTCGAAGTGCCATGTTATTACGCATCGTGGGATCTGCGCCAAACTTGACTAGCAATTTGACTTGATCCAATCTTCCCAATTGTGCTGATTTGATAAGAGGGTATCCTTTGGGTCGATTGGCAGAGGCTCCCTTCTCCAGCAATGCCAAGATAAGCGAGTCTCGTTGTTGCAATGTGTCTTGAGGGTCTTGTAGAAATAGTCGAGCGGGTATCTTTTTGTCATTGTATTGCAATGAGGGCTGTATTTTCTCAAAGCGTTGCATAAGGTCCATGTTGAAAAACGGGAATTTGATGGCATCTTCAAAGGCCTTTTCAATGTTGTTGTGTGCTCGTTGTAGTAGGAAAGAGATTTTGATGGAATCATGGCAGTAATACAGTTGTTGATAGAGGTATTTGCAGACTATGGGTAAATCAGTGTTACCAGACAGGATGAAAATGCTGGATAGGATTTCAAATGGCAGTTTGAAGAGGCTACAGGGCTTTGGCTCTACTGAAGTTTCTTCATCACTGCTATCATCAGAAGAGGAAGAAGAGCTGATTCCCCAATCTTGGTCCATTAAACGCTGTCGTTTTGACATGATGTAAAGCAAATGAATGTGCTCAGAATAAACAATGATTTGCATATTTGCTATTGCCAATTGACTGTTTAGACTTTAATGTGGCTTTCCATTACTCTAAATCCATAGTTTTTTTTTTTTTACCTCTCCGTTTTCATGTAAAAAAAAAAAAAAAAAAAAAGATCCAGCTTTCATTTATTCAAATCACAATTTCATTATGGTAGCAGAAAAGCGTCCTCAAGAATCCGCAGAGAGCGAGCCCAAACGTATTCGTGTTGGTACCACTCGTACCGATGTCGATGTGCACATGGTGCCTCATGCACCCAAAGTACCCAAAACTGCCATTGAGAAAGAGAATGCTAGACGACTCATTGTCATCTTGGAACAAGCAACATTGGAAACACTCAAGATTGGCAAAAACAAAGAAGGCCACTATCAGCTCTTGAACGTCGACGATCATTTGCACATACTCAAAAAGAACAACCGTGAGACCTACGAAGCCCGTCCTGACATCACACATCAAGTAAGCCAATGTACAAAAGCACAGCAATAGATATGGCGATGTTAACCACTGTATTGCAGTGTCTCTTGACACTCTTAGATAGTCCTTTGAACAAGGCAGGTCTTTTGCAAGTCTACATCCATACCCACAAGAACGTCTTGATTGAAGTCAACCCTCACATCAGAATTCCTAGAACTTTCAAGCGTTTTGCAGGTTTGATGGTTCAATTACTTCACAAATTGAGTATCCGTGCTGTCAACGGCAACGAGAAGCTCTTGCGTATCATTGAAAACCCTGTCGAAAAGTACTTACCAAGCAATAGTCATAAGATCGGTAAGTGTGTTTTGTGATGTGGAAGGGCCGAAACGCAACAGGAGCATTAACAGCTACAAATTAGCCCTTTCTTGGGATGCACCCACCGTCAAACTATCAGAATACATGCCTACCATTCCCAAAGATAAGAATATTGTGGTTGCAGTTGGTTCAATGGCCCACGGTACTGATGATTTTGCTGATGCTTATGTGGACGAGAAGATCAGTATATCCGACTATTCGTTATCTGCATCAGTTGCTTGTGGTAAAATTGCATGCGCAGTAGAGGAGATGTGGGGAATTTTGTAAATAAAAAAAAAAAAACTACTATTAGACTTTATTTATGATGACTGATGAAAGGAAAGAGCTTGTTGTTCAGCCATTGATTTCTCTTGTTCTGTTAATCCTTGGCTCCAATGCTGATTTAGCCATTGATTCCACTTGTTATTGGATGCAATGGTGGCTGCTTCTATCGATGGCTTGGAGAGATGACGGACAAAGGCATCTTCTGTACCGATAATGTAAAACATGTGGTAAGTATCACGGCAAATCTTGTATTGCATGCCAGATCGAACAGCAATGTCCTTGGCTTGGTGTCCCTTGTGTTTGAGATTCCTATCGACAAACGATATTCAGAAATTGGAGTCATAGCATAGATACTGTTTTTTTTTACAAACCTCTTTAAGAATCTGGGTGTCAGAGACGCTTGATTGATGCCCTTGGTCTCATTGGCCCAGTCAATGTAGTTGGCAACATATTCATCGTATCCACTACATCCTTCATTTTCCTGTGCTGAGCCATGTGCACCATCTAATAATTTGATGGCCAATGTTCGACTCTTCAATTTCTAGGAGACAAAAGCATGGATAAGGTCAAATAGAGATGTTGTATTATGAGTGCGTGTACTTACAAAGGTAATGTGGTATGTACTTTCTGTGGGTTCAATGATGCCAGCAACACGGGTTCTGTAAGTAGTGGGATCGCCTTGGTCCATTTGCTCTGCTCTGTTCTCAATCTTGAAGAGCTCAAATAGCTGTTGTGATTGAGTATCTGCAATGATGATGTGAATCTATGAAGCAAGCATTAGTGACAAGCTCATCATGCTTCCCCTCTGCTGTCAAACTTACATCTCTCACCAGGGACAGCACGAGTTTATCAATAGTAAACATGATATAGGCATCACCGCCAAATATATATCGCACACATTCTTCAAACGTTTGCTGATCAATCTCACCCTCAAATAGTTTGTCAATCAATGACAGCAAAATGCTATAGTAACCCCGCTTTGTATCCATTTTTAATGCTAAAACAAGTGTCAATCTTGTGCTGCACACCAGCCTCTCGGTCTGTGCACTTACCTTTGAATCGTTTGGGCGTGATTCCTAAATCACGGGCTTCCTTGTGCGCCTTTTTAGCTCTCTCTGGATGCGCTCTGAACTCGGCATCTAACGCTTTCATCTTGCAGAGACGATTGTATAATATTTGGTATAAACGAAAAAAGCAGTAGAACCCACTATCGCCGTAAAAGTTGTATGTCTTTTGATTCTCGGGTTCCAGCGATTTCTCCTTTTCAATCAGTGATGCCAAAGTGGCCATCTTAGGTGGAGTAGTGGACGTGGCCTGTGCTTTCTTTTTGCTTATGCGCTGGGATTTCTTTGATTTGCCTTTGCCGCTTCCTTGACTCGAGCTTCTGGCAGCACGACGACGTGGACGACGCGAGCGTTCATTTGAGTCATCATCGTCCTCATCGTCCTCATCCTCATCGTCCTCGTCTTCTTCCATCTCTTCGTCCTCCTCTGTGTTGTTGTTAGTTTGCGATGCGTCGTCGTCGTCCTCTTCGTCCTCGTCTTGGTCATCCTCATCTTCTTCTTCAGACGACGATGTAGATCTACCCGACTTTTTCTTCTTGATGTTTCGAGTCAGTACATCTTTCAGTAAACCATCATCGTCGTTCAATTGACCACGCGCTCTTCGAGGACGTCTGTTGGTAGCACGCGCTGCGCTTGTAGCGGTTGTCTTTACTTCATTATCGGATTGCACAGACGAGGCATCGTCATCCAAGATCTCTTCCATGACAATATCAGCGCTGTCCACTGTAGAGGGCTCCACATCGTTCACGTTGAAAAACAGGGGAATCATAGTGTTAATAAACACACGCATGGAGGCGCAATCCTCTGGGTTATACACGGGCTGACGGTCCAAGTAAAAGTACACCAGTCTGGACACATCCTTAAAGACAGCAGCGTCAGAGAACTCAAATTGAAACGTGTCGACTTTATGCGCTTCTTTGGCGTCTTCTGCTTCGGCTACAAGCGATCGGGTGGTCATGGCCTTTCTGTCAGTCAATTTGAATGTAATGCCTTGATAATCGAGTGATTTCCAATAGTTTTTAGCTTCCACTTCTCTCCAGATCTTGTTCCATTCTCGTTGCGCACGCTTCCACTCGTCATCCTTCTGCTTGAGACGCTTCAACACGATAGGCACCGTCTGCGCAGGGTTGTTGTGCAGCAAATCAATCATCTCCAAGCCTTTGTTGGCGTAAATCTTCTTTATGATGCGTTGGTAGATGGTGCGTGATGGACTGCCCAATCCAGGCGATAGACGGAAGCTGCTCTTTTCATCTGCTGTCATGATGCTGATCTTTTTGGCGATGGGTTCCAGCAATGCAATGGTGTTGAGATTCGCCTCAATATTGAGATCATAGTCGTAGCGTTCCTCTTCGACACGATGCAGTGCTTCTTCATACTGGTTCTTCTTGGAGGCGACATAGCCAGTATCCTCAGAGGCCCACGTAGGATGAGAAATGTAAGTGTCGTTCAACACATCCCAGCACAGGGCGTCTCTCCCAGAGCAGGTTCGATTCTGCCATGCTTTGGGAACATGACGATAGCTTGGACCACAGCCGCCAGCGTTTTTTGTCACAGGCTGCATGCGAGGCATGTTCTCAATCACTTGATCTGTGCCATCATAGCCCACCAGGCTCTTGAACCACTCAAACAGCTCCGTATTTCCACCAATGAAGCTTTCAACACGACTGACAAGCACATTTTGATCCACAATCTGCTGACTAAACAAGTTGAGCACCTTGAGGAATGCATTGTATGTTGCTTTGTTGCCAATGTAAGTCTTGACTTTTTCGAAAAACTCGGCTTCTTCTGCTGAAAAAGTGGGTCTGGAAAGATCGTCGTTTAAAGAAGAGGAGACTACATTGTCGCTGCTGTTGCTGCTGTTGGATGGATCTCCTCTTACATTTGATGTCTGCAAATCTGTCTTGTGATGATGCTTGGTTCTCTGCAGCATAGACACAGTATCATCAATTCATCTGTGTATCATGCATTCTCCATGCTACCTTACCTTGGAGATGCTGAGATTGGGTATTTGGCCAGATCTCTTTTTACGTTGCTTGGGCTCAGGTAAAAACTGCTTGAATTCCTCTAACAATTCGGTGGAGCCATCAAAGAGTGCTTGCACTTCGGTGTAGACCTAACCATCAACGATAGCGTCAATATCTCATGGCTGTCCTGTTCATTGCATTTTACCTCGCCAATGGGTTTTTGATCCTTTTGATATGTTTGCAGGATTTCCAAGAATTTCTTGTAGGTATCGGGTTGACCTGCAAAACGGTTCTTTATCTTGTTGACATAGGTGATGGCGTGGTTGAACTCGACAGGCGATTTGCGATCCTCTTGTTGTGGTTGAAAGCTATCATCGCCTCTCAAGTTGAGCGATTCGCTTTCTGTTATACAAGTTGTGCCCGTGGGTGTCGTTACTTTAATGACGTTTCGCTCTTGATCATCTATGCTACATTCGATGCGATAACCAGGTGGTAGAAAGGTATTGAAGCCAGATATCAATGCAGGATGGCCTCGAAACAGTGTGGATACACGCTCAATGACGCCAGGTGTATCGATCCTGAGATGCGTACGGTTGAGTCTTTTTTGGTGCTGAAAATATAGCCTGGAATCACTTACATTTGACTTTTAAAGTCTTTCATGATGTCCAAAAACTGATTGTATACATCGTTTTGAGACGAAAACTTGGCCTTGACTGTATCGAGGTAGGTCAGTGCATCTTTGACATTGAGAGGACGATACTCCTCTTGCGGTGCTGGTCTCTCTGTAACTGCATGTTGTGTTGTAACGTCTGTTTCTGTGCTGGTCTTATCTTGATTGTCTGCTCCCTGTTGCTCATGCTCATCTTTTTGCTCTTCCTTGACACACGGCACTTGAGTGTCGTTCACTTGGGGATGACTGTAGTCATGAATAGGCTGGTAAACAGGCCTACTCGTTTCATAAGATGGTTTCAATGACGAGTTAATCGTTAGCATCAAGACATTTTACCTTGTTTCTTTGGGTTGTTCTGTCTGCATTCTATCTCTTTCAGCAATGTACTAGTTGATTACTGATGGCGAGTGCTCAGTGTTGTATCAGTCGATATACGCGTTACAAAGTAAACAAATACAAAAGAGTCGAAATAAAGTAAGAAAGGGTACTCTGAACGGAGTACTACCGTCTTTTAAAGTGACTCTCGTCCCAGATCTCACAAGGAGTATAGTGATGTATACAATGGGATTGTCTGAACAGTGCCCTTGAAATGCCTTCTTTCATGACATGCTTAAGTGCTCAATTCTACAGATAAGTGAGCTGATTGGAGTAGTGTTTCCAATCGACTCGAGCAGCCTTCTTGTGGGGCGTGCCTGAGACGATAAATCGCATGCAATTTGATGAGGTTGTACAAAGCTGCTTGGGTGGTAAATGAGCAGATGCAATGCGGACTATCCAATAATTTGTTCGAATCAGCTAATAATCTCGAAAGCGCAAGGCTCCTGCTTATAGAACGCAATCCCAGGCAAGTGGTTTGATGAAGCCATTAATGGATTAGGCCCAAGTCTGTCGCATCTTGATAAAATGCGCCACATTTCTATGTTGAATGAAGTTGAGAGCATTTGCGTCTAGTTGCTTATTGGCATCAAGGCTTATAATAATTGCAGCGCTGCCAATTGCACATTCAATATTTACTATAATAATAAATAATGCTATGGTATAGGGTAAGAATTTTTACCTACAAAAAAGTTTATCTCTTTCATTGTTGAGCAAACGAGATTGAAGGCTTCTTCTTAAGGCTGTTCCTGTATAAACTGTCCATTCAACATGTGCTCTAAATGTCTTATCTGAATAACACTTGGTAAAGCATGTAAGCCTTTATAAAGACCTCACATATTGAAATGGCTACCGGCAGCGCGGCTTTTGAGCACCCTCTCTTGGTAAGAGCGTCGCAAAATTGAACTTTGAAAAGCATCTTTATTCTACAGCACCGATGTTTAAGTACTGCACCATCAGGGACGTACTATACTGCGTTGTATTTGCGCAAATGCACCAACGATTTGTCAACGAAGGTCTGCGGAGATACCTGCTGTCTTGTAGATATGATAACAACATACAGCGAGGCAGAAAATAAGGGATTGAAAACCTAAAGCTTCTATTATATCAACACGATTTGGGCTTGCAATGATGCAGAATCAAGATCGTTATTATATGGATATAGCACGGACCACTTGGCAATTTGCGCTACTGCGTTATAGACCACCTATCTGAGCTAATTGTATAGTATGGTTTTTACTAGATGCAGACTATCCATTGCGTCTAGAATGTCCAGCGTGTCTTACAACCCGTCATCACCCCACTAATAAACTGTGCAATTGTGCTATGATACAGCGGTGCCACTCAACCTACTATTTCCAGCAGATTATTTGGATGTAACAGCATGCTACAAATCTAGATTGATGCATACAATGTCTCTTCACCTTTGTATCGTAACAAAAACGCGCCTATTGACGAGCAAATGTATAAAACACAGCCACGTTTGACAGCTTTCAAGCCTTTGTATCTTGACATATAGAACTTTCTGAGCCGCCGGAATGACACCAAACAATTGTACTTGAGTAGTAGTAACATCCCGAAACCTTTGCTCAAATTTTTGAACCAAAAAAAAACATGGCCAAAATCGACCAAAAAAGCATGAGGTATCCCTCATGGTTTTCATCGAAAATCAAACGATCGTGTTTTTCACCTTGAAAATGAAGACTTTTACTATGGTATATATTCAATCAAAATGTTTCTCTCGATCCAAAGCAACTTCTGAAACCACTTTTATGAGGATTTCATATGCAAAATCTGGCTATTTTCGCTAAAAACCTCATTCCGTATTTACTGAAATTGCTCAATAAGTTTAATCAAAACATCTATTTTACTTGGCACCATTGGATGCGCCATAAAAAGTACTCTTAGAAAGCTTAAGGATGTATTGGGTAATCATCACGATTTATATAGTCGAATCGTGCAGAATAGTTTAAAGAAATCTAAAGGACTTTAAATAAAACCTGGAGCTCGACTCCCCTACAAAAAAAAGAATAGTTTAAAGAAGTCGAAAATAGACAAAATCTGTCCAATCTTGGACAGATAGAAATTGACTGAAATTGAATTGATTTTGGTGGTGGTGGTTGTGCTGCTGACTGCCCAAAATGCTTTTCTGATGATGACAACTATGATTGCGATACTGATTAAATAAGGACCATAGATCTGAAAGGACTATCACTTGGTCTGAATACTTTTGCTTTTGTTGTGCATTTTCGTTTCTGACAGTGCCAGTCAGCTTCGCTTACCATCAAAATATATGTAATCCCAGCCTCCTAATCATGATTTGCAGCATTTCAACATGACACATAGGCAGTATGCGTTTCATTCATTCGGTTAAAAGCAAAACAACATCTCCAGGTATACACATAAATAATGCAAAGCAATGACAAGCTGGACCTCAAGTATATACGTCGTCATGGAAAGAGACAGGTGTAAATGTATAACATTCTGACTTATACGAGTCAATATACTTAACATTGCATCATAAGTATAGAATCAACAGGTGGTCCGTATCAAGCCTGTTATTATACTGCTGCGAATGTTATGCTGATCAATCATGTCTGAGCAGTGATTTCGAAGTGATGAAACTGGCTTCCTCGTCATTGCAGCTTTCGGCATGCAAGGACGCAATCTATTAGTTTATTTTGTCCAGTTGTCATGAACGCCTTGCAACTTACAGTTCAGTAGTAATTTTTAATAAATTAGCAGATACTGGGCAATTCCAAGTTTTCGAAATAAACTCATGGATAAATGTATATGCTGTTGATAAGCTTGCGAATGTATGGTTTGACAAAACTCAGATGTGTTATCTCTGACTAAAGAGGAGGATATTACAGTAGAAATTAAGACCGCGGTAAAGCTTGATGGGAAGAATCGATTTCAAGAGCTAGCTGTTTAATGACAAGTGAAGGAACATAAATCTGGTAGCTTCCTGGTGGTAAGCATTGGCATTTGCTGTGAGCATATCAAACTTGAGTTTATCTCGCTGCAATGTGTATAAAGCCATCATTAGAATATAGGTTTTTAGCATACCATGTGTATCTGATCTGACTGATCTCTTTCAAATCGATCCTGAGCTACAAAGTTCTACGGATCAGAGCTTATCAAACTCACAACCAAGTAATGATGGCATTCATTTCAACTTTGACAATCTACAAATTTGTAAACTGCTTCTTATCTAGAGTTGCACTCGTTTCTTCGTCTTTCATTCAAATTCAGGGCTTCCACGACAAGGCGCCGATATAACAGAAACTGCACCAATTGGATGTAGTAATGACTCTATCAAGACCAGCCAATATTCCCTTTTTTACAGATGTCTTACAGTAATTTATCTAATTTACTTTGCAGCCACCATTCCGCGATTGAATGCAGATTGTGCTGTATATTTTATTGAAAATTACAGAATACAGCCAATGCTTGTGATTTTATTACAATGAAAACGCACTCGAGTTACACATGCTGGTCTTTAGCCAGCTCATCTCAGCTATAACCGCTTTCTACAAACATACTACTATACGTTCCCGCAAAATACACCGATACTTCAATTGATTTTCTATTGAGAATACATCATCCCACAAACAGGTAAGAAAGAGAGGCCAGACAAACTTAAACTCTAATCTTGCAGGATTATGTAGAACAGTGCAAAGCAACACGCAATGCTTTTCTGCAATTCATGTGTACTATAAATGCACATTGTACACCTCGGTACAAATGTATGTCACTTGGCAGTTACACTGACAATATCTATATTCCTCTTTGCATGGAATGTACGAGAAATATACCAGGCTCCAATAAGCTTTGAGACCCGTCTGCCCAGCACAAATCTTGGCTATGAAGTTAGCAGCACTTTTCTTTAGTGATGGTTAGATCAATAAATTAATTGACAATTATTAATCCAAAAGCCGGTGCCATTATACCAGATCAGCGAAAGCAGATCAAAAAATGTTCCAATGGAACCTATGGAGTATAACATCAATGATGGATCGACATTGCTAAAGGATTATCACAAGGAAACAAGTGTATTTGTAATATCATGAAAAACCCGATGTTTTCGGGTGTTTTCTTGTAATCAAATTTAAGGTTCTATAAGAGTGATATTATGTGGGGAAGCGTGGTTATTGAAGAGGGAGAATGGTTTCGATTCCCTGGTAAATGGATCGGGAATGCAATCCTTTACATTGACCCATGTTTCAACTTGTTTGGGTACAACTCGGTACCAAGATGAACATGCGATATATTTTGTAGTTTGTTCAACTAGATGCGTGTATATGACATGTGACAAGAGACGACAATGATATGCATACTATGTCATGTATGCGATGTACTCTCTTCTTTGGGTATATCAATATGACATTTGGGATCCAGTTTGATCTAACATCTCCGTTGCAATATCCCGTTCAACATCTACATTATTACTTGTTAAGGCAAAAGAATCTGTTATCTCTCCTGCTTCACTTGGGGTTTCCATTCCTCTCTCTCTCTCTCTGACGGTTCTGATATTTTTTTTCTCTCAATGGTTTTATGTCATCCCAAAACCAATCAGCTGAGATTGACCGAAAAACATATTCATTGAGTTCTCCGTAAGACTGTGGGAAAAGCAACTTGTAAAATGACTCTTACATGTTGTACAAAGATCTTGTAACTTGAATTCAATCTTGAAAAAATTTTAACTGTGGGAACTTTTCGCCCTAATTAGGATTATATTTTCCATTTTTAAACAATAAATGTTTGCAGTTGCCATTCAAACAATTACCCATACATTTGACAGGTCGCTTGATCTGTAAATGAAGGGATCAAAGCCGTTTTGTTTCTTGTTTCGTTATCTGGTTTTCTATGCTTTCTATGCTTCAAATTTTTGACTCGGAGCAAGATGAACACGAAACATTACCATATATTTTTAAAACTGTACACAAGAAAAAAAAAAAAAAAACTGAAGAAAGACTAGCAGTATCGCCGCATCAAATGGACCTTCAAATCAACATTTGGCCTTGATTTGGTTTCATACTACTTTGGAACCATTCTGTCGAGAAAAAAAGTATATATAAAGCCCTCAAATTTGCAAAAATGATCCAGAAACCTCAGATCAATCTTTCTTTATAAAGTTTTTATGCCTATTCAAGAAGCCGAAAAGTACCCAACCGATAACCAAAGTTACAACGGTAGCTTCAAAGTTGAAGAAACTGTCATTGATGACTATGTGGAAGATGATGCTCAATCAACCACCAACGAATTTGGACATGGCAACGGTTCCTTCTTGACTGGTTACTTTAACGTTACTTGTGTTGTTGCTGGTACTGGTACTCTTGGCCTTCCTCATGCTTTCGCCCTTGGAGGTTGGCTTGGCATTCTGATCATGTTGTTATCTTATGTGATGGCATGCTACTCAGGTGTGGTCTTGATCCGCTGCCTGTATGCCAAGCCTGGACATCGTCTGCACGATTTTAAGGCTGTGGGCACTGCAGCCTTTGGATGGCCAGGATATGTGGTGGCCTCTTTTCTTCATTGGCTCAATCTGTTTGGTTGTCCAGCTCTCTACTTGGTTCTTGCTAGTAGTAACTTGAACTATTTGCTCCAAGGTACCAGCGGTGCTCTTGATACTAAAGCCTGGAGTTGTATCCTTGGTGCCATTCTCTTGATCCCCTCTTTGATTGCAAAGACATTAAAAGAAATCACTAGTCTTTCTGCCGTTGGTGCTGTCTGTACCATGATTGCAGTCTTTATTGTGTTGATCGAGGCTCCCATTGAGCGCAGCCATGCTACTGAACCTGTTATTACCGATTCCGTGATCTGGACAGGTTTCCCTTCAGCCCTTGCGACTATTGCATTCAGTTACGGTGGTAACAATACTTACCCCCACGTCGAACATGCTCTCAAGAAACCTCATCAATGGAAGTGGGCCATCATTGCTGGTCTGAGTACTTGTACTTGCTTGTACTTCTTGACCGCCATCCCAGGTTATTACTCTTATGGCCGTGGTACTTTATCTCCCATCTACAACTCGCTGAACAATGTTGTCGCCAAGAAGATTTCTATGATTGTGATGACGGTGCATGTTATCCTAGCTATTCCTATTTATACTACTTCCTTTTCTCTTGAATTCGAAAAGTTCACCAACTTTACTGATGAAAGACTCGGCCGATTCAAGGCTTGGTGTGCCCGTGCCATTATTCGTACTTGTACTATGGGTGTCTTGGTTATTTTGGCCATCTTCATTCCTTACTTTGATGATTTTATGGGTCTTATTGGTGCTCTTTCTAACTGTGGTCTTGTCTTCCTTTTACCCATCTTGAGCTATCTCAAATTGACTGGTGTTCGCAACAAGCGTTGGTATGAACTTGCTTTCTGTTCTTTGACTCTCTTCTTGGGTATCATTGGCTGTGTCTTTGGTACCATTGATGCCATTAAGGCACTTATCCATGATTTCACTACTCATTAATTTCCCTATACCTTTTTCCTTCCATATAATGTAATTTAGCCTACCTTCTTTTCTGTATATATCCTCTTATTCTGAATAATAAACTCTTGTTCTGTAAAATTATCAATTTGATTTGTTTGCTATTGTTTTGAATTGGCACATCTCCGGCTGAAATAGCCTTTTTCCAGATTTTCCAAATGCCTTGAAACATGCAAATCGTATAGGCGTTGATGTACGATTTTTTTTTATAAGAGTTTCAGATTCATAACAGTGCATATCATTAAAAGTTGTCAACTAGTGCACGTCAAGCTGACAAATGTGTAAGGTCTTTCTTGTCTGCAGTGATATCAGATGTATACAAATGTTGATCCAGCTGCTCTCTTGTAAATGAAAAACAAATAATAATAAAAAGCGCCGTAGACGGCGCTACGGTGAATCAATGGCTATCGATCGCTAAAAAGGAATTCTTCATTAGAATCAGGGTCTAATGGAATTTAGGTATACCTCGGTTTTGGTTGCTTATCACTGATTTGAATAGGAGTTCTTCCAGCTATCATTATCTGTGTCAAAACGAAACCGATAGAACGCACGCCTAACATTGCCTTTTCAATTAGTAATACAGAACAAAAGATCACGAGATGCAAGTTGTCAAATTGACTACTATACATGTCGTAATGAAGGAGTCAACGTGATTTGAATTGACATCCGATTACACATGGTTGTTATTTATAAGTGCATGTGTAGGTAAGAATTGTAGCACAATGCTTTTCTATGTATTATGACATGCTTTAAGAGTGGATTCAACGGCCCTAAATTTGTAATGCCTAATGCTGTGTATTACGTAATGTTTAGGTCTATGTATGAACATGAATGAGCTTTTATGCTCACTTGAGAACTCTGCCAAAGCTTCAATAACGCATACGCAGTGCCAAACATACGAGCTCCCGGTGTATCCAATGCTCTGGCATGGGCGAGCCCGATATCCTGCCTGTAAAAGGTATAGACTCTGACCGATCACACTTGGATTTGACAAATTGATCCTTTACTACTCACGTTTTACTGGTGAAACCTCCTCGAATAGGAGCTTTATTGTAAAATTGACTGAAAAACAAGCAACAGTGAGCTAGATCAACATACAAATTCATTTTAGCTATAGTATGTATAGTATAGTTACCAGATAATAAGCACTTACCTATTTGCACCAAACATGGACACTTTAAAGGATTGCTTGACGCGTTTCCAATGCGCTACAAACGTTGAGAAACGGTCCAAACCGTTTCTCTGATCATGTATATGCTTTCTGTACTTTTATGTCAATTTTTTTTTTAGTCATCGAATTTTGATACAAAATCAACCTCGAATCCCTTGCTATCATGCATGGATTTTTGTCAATTTCTTTTGATGCCATTTTAAAGACCAAAGGAGCCATATTTCAATAAGGTGTTTCTAGGCTCAAAATGTTTCAAGTTCTTCACACTTTCGTATGCAAGTCTTATTTAACAGAATCAGCTAATAAAATCTTGTCTTTTTCGGGAAAAACCTGATTTCATATATTTCGAAATTGAGCAGCATTTTTGGGTGCAAAATATTTGCAAAAATGTCACAACTAGACAGAAAATATGTCAAAGATGCTGTTTGCATTATTATTAAACCCTGAGTTTGCTTAATAAAATCTCGAGAAATCGACCGAAATGTGATTTTGGGATCCCAAAATCAGGTTTCGGGAGCATCATGCATCTGCTACCATCGGAGTTTAAATTTGTCTATTTTTTTTGCAAGTGGATGCTCCTCCAAGATGGCGATAAGGCTTGCAGAGGCAGCTATGGGGAGGTTTGGAGGGCTATTTACACACTTTCAGCTACAGGATGCAAATTTTGATATCTCTGTCGTATAAATAAACCCAATAGCTGCATAAATCCAAGTTGAACAGTAAGGAACGAGGGTTTTACAGGCCTGCAAACGCCAATGAAAGGCGAGACACAAGACAACTCATTTAATGCTTGGTGCATAGGGTGTTGAGATGGAAACGATAAATCAAATCTAATAAACGATATTTGCGTAGGTGACACAACCAATGTTCAAACCGTAGATTGGCCAAAAAGAGCAAGAGATGGATGAATGTATAAAGCCCATTTGTCATTGTTTATACGAATTAACTTTAATCCATTTTGATAATTGTGTGGGGCGCATGATTAGATTCACAGGATGTCGGCCGGCTCAATGTTGTTGTATCTCTTAAATATGAGGAGGGGGGGGGGATCCTCAGCCGGTTCGGTTATACATACATGCTGTCTCGAGGATAGCCAGCATATAAAGGCCAAAGCTTGTGATTTCACACAGTCATTCAACGAATTCGCACATTTCTTTTGTTTAGGACATGTTGACATCAATGTTCGTCTCACTTTACCCTTTTCCATGATGCATTTATATGACCTTGAAAACATAAATCAAGTTGGCTTTCAAGACGCCTTCAATGCAAATCAAGTGGACATTCAGGTTGATTGACTACAGCTGTGTACCTGAATTATTCACATCAATAAAAGCTGACAAAATGAATTTAGTTTACCCACTCAACAATACACCTTATCAGTCACATAAAACGCTTGAGTCAGCATTTTCTCTTGATGATGAAAATTTAAAAATGAAAAATTCCCAAATGCATTTCATTACGCTTTCTTCCTTCTTTATCTTTTCTCTCCCTCTTTTTACACTATAAATGGCAGCCATTACAAAAGAAACACTACCTCCTGTAGGCCATGCAGCTGCTGGCTCTGCTGGTGCCATGTTTGCATCCACACTTGTGTACCCTCTTGACATGTGAGTTGAATGTGAAATGTTGGAGTTTCAAAATCGAGATATTCATGTCAGGTTGGATGATGGATTCACTCTAGTATCAAGACCAGAATCCAAGTGCAAACAAAGAGCGAGAAATCAGACGACAGCAGCGAAGAGCATTATGCATCTGCATGGGATGGTATTACACAGATTGTGAAAAAGGAAGGTATTTCGGGCCTTTACGCTGGTCTCGGTTCATCCTTGATCGGAACTGCATCCACCAACTTTACATACTTTTACTGCTACTCTTTAATAAGAGAAAATTACAACAAGAGATACAATCCTCGTGGCGGCACCTTATCTACTGCATTGGAGCTTGTGCTTGGTGCAGCAGCTGGAGCACTCACAACATTGATCACCACACCTGTGTCTGTCATCACGACTCGTCAACAAACTTTACCACCAAATGAGAGAGAGGGTGTTATTGCAACTTGCAAGTCTATCATTGCAGAGGAAGGTATTCAAGGCTTGTGGAGAGGTATCCAGCCCTCTCTCATTCTCTGTGTGAATCCTGCCATTACCTATGGTAGTTTTGAAAAGATCAAGCAAATTGTTCTCAAGGTATTGCAATTGCAACTTACTCCTGGTGTCAATTTCCTTGTGGGCGCTCTTTCAAAGACTTTGGCTACCATCATCACCTATCCTTATATCATGGCCAAGGTGCGTCTCCAGTGGAGACCTTCCAAGGACATGAAGGATAAGGTTGTGGCCTACAAGGGATCTGTGGATGTGCTTGCTCGTGTGCTCAAGACAGATGGCTTCTTTGGGTGGTACAAGGTAAGAGTTGAAAGATGAGCTTTGTTGTGCATGCTTCATAATGCTCATGGATGTTTGATCTAGGGTATGAGCACACAAATCACCAAGGCAGTTTTACAGCAAGCTCTATTATTCATGATGAAGGACATCTTTACCAACTACACTGTCTTGGCTTTTGCCCTTATCAAAGCATCTCAAAATGCCAAGTCAGCATGAAAAAATGGACTTATAGACTGTTTGCCTACTATAGATGATCACTTTTAATACTGATTTTGATATGACTTCCTATTTTCCAATAGATAACAGGCTTTTTGTTGTTTGACTTGAATAAACACTATACATTTCTTGATCTTTTGCATGTAATCAGATGTCTTTTTGCTTCAAAAGCACACATGGCCAGAAAGCTTGTTTTTTTTTGCATCAACACATATACGCTTTCAACGCAATGACGACCAATAGGTACTATTTCCGAAATGTAGGATCTTGCGTGTCATGTTGCTGTGTGAAATGGTTGCCTTTTACCCATTCCATGTAGCGTTACATCATCTGCAGACATGGATAACTCAACATTTGATAGCTCCGTTCATAGCTTATCTGGAGGGGCTAAGGAACATTAGTTAGCAAGAGATGATAGAGTCTTCTTGTCTGGTAATTGCATCTCATTATCTTGTTGAGATCCACCGCATGATGACTAGATGGAAACACTATAAGCGCAGTAGCAAGCAGAAAAATTCAGATTGCCATCGTCTGCAGCAAAACGCATTGATACAAAACTACAATGAACTTTGGTTATGTATTATTACCCATGGTTCGCATCATTGGATCTACATTCAGCAGAGTGTCAGCTACACACCCATGACACATGACAAACCTCTGTCCTTGATACATGTCTTTGCGAGCCCACATAGTAGAGCGTATGCTCATGGCCTTGGAATACTGAATTTACTGTATTGTTTACCGAGTGCTGGATGCAGCAGCAGAATAGAAGGCAGCAGTGCTTGTGTTGGTTGTTTGTATGAATGTAAATGACTCGATTACCTTGATTAGCCAGGCCAATGCCATGTTATTTATGGGCTCAACTCTAATGAATGCAGGTACATACATGCTGTAGCACGTCTCTTTGAATGCAATTTCGTCTGTCTGGCTAAATCAACATGTCTATGAGGCAACGGCTCAATGGAATACCATGTGCATGCTTGATACCCAACTGAAAAACACGTGATTCTATAGCGAATGACACGCACAGAGCAAACAAAAACGAAACTCCTTTTCTTATTTTCAAACAGGCCTTTTCCCTTTTGTTGAATATCAAGGTAAGACACTGAGCAGTGCTGTGTATGTGCTGAATGGGCTGATTTACAACATGTAGCTAGTACAATGGAGGATACTTCGCGTCAACAAAAGCCTCACTCCAATAAACCCTGTAGCAGCAATACTACATCGCCCACCAGTCCACTTGGTAAAAAGTCTCTGGAATCTATTGTAGGCAGACCTATCAAGATAAAGACAGCTTCAAATGAACAAGTAGAGGGTTTGGTTTATACTTATGATCGTACTACCAACTGTCTTGTGATTGATTACAGCAATACATCCAATACCAACACAACAACACAACAAGCAGGACGCAATTTGTCCTTTCGTATCATCAAGATATCTCACATCAAAGAGATCATTTCATTGGGAGAGGGTATTAGCAGCAGCAACAAAAAGGACTACTTGCCTGTTAATCAAGTGCAAGTGGATCGTTTAAAGAGTCGTGAATCAGAGGCATTGAAAGGATTTCAAAGCCAAGTATCCAAGATTGGTGTTGGCGTAACAAAGGAGGGGCAGGATATATTCAATGCCTTGAGCAAAACGTAAGTGTGCCGTGTGTGAATGAGGGACGATGTGGGCTAAGAGAGCAATCTAGATTACCGTGCCGATGGTCAAAAGACACAATTGTGGTGATGGATGAGATACTGATTACACCACCTTATGGTGTTGAGAACTGCAAAGCCAATGCTACATCCTCAGCTTTACTTGCAAGAGTCAAAAAAGTGGTAAGTACCTTGTAAAGGGGAAAAAAAGAGAGGTATCTAATGCTTTTGGGTGGTTTTTAGCTTGAAGGGGAGCGAAAGAGACTTGCTAAATAAAATGATGGATGATAACACACACACACAGACACACACACAGACACAGACAGACAGACAGACACACACACACACACACAAATCCAGGGCATATTAACAATTGTTTTTTTTTCACATGTTGGCATTATAAAAAGTATCACGCGTGCGCTATGATTCTTTTTCCTTCTTCTTCTTCTTCTTCTTCTTCTTCTTCTTCTCTTCCAACAAAAACACCATGGTACATTCATTCTCAAACTGTCCTTTGCGATCCTCCTGTCTGCTCATTACAAACCACTCTAATCAGCATATAGTGACAGCAACAGACGAGGTGCTGGATCTGCTAGGCTATTCCATGTCAGACATCATTGATCATTCGATACAGCAGTGCCTCCATCTTAAGCTATCGTCAGAGATATCATGTATACCTCAGTGCAAAATAAGGCACGCCAATGGCAGTATGCTGAACTTTCAAGTGTGCATACATCAGGATCCACTGGGAAGCAGTAGCTGTCTGGATTATTGGCTGATTCGATTATCTTCCACATCCTCAAACACTTTGCTAAGCTCAACATCTACAATAAATAATGCAACATCTGTGCTCTGTCTCAGTCCGTTTGGCACCATTGAGCAAATACAGGCTTCTCCCATCCTCAAACAGCCCCCACATGAGCTGTTGGGCAGACCCGTCATGGCATTTGTATACAAGGACGATGTGGAGCCACTGTGCGCCAACCTCTCCAGAATCTGCTCGTTGCAGCAGCAGCACCGCTATCACCATGTGGTGGATCCCCTGTTTATTCGATGGTCCAGTCTACCTTATCTGCTCTCCACCTCCATGCTAGACCACGAAGACAGCTTAAACTACGATTGGATGTCGTTTACACTCATGTCTGGAAACAGCAACAGCAACAACAGCAGCATGCGGCGACCTATCTGCATCTTGCAGCCATTACAAATACCAACGAAAGAAGCAACAGCATGTGAAGAGTCATTAGTGTTACATTTTTCTGTATTTGACCAATTGGTAGACTATTGCAAATACATGATCCAAGTAGCTGAAGATAGTAAAGTGTACATTATCGAGTTCTATCATCACGCTGTCTGCAGCCTCATAGAGCTGCTCTCCATTTTCATGCAACAACATCCAGCATTACAAGAAGCGGCACACCCAGAGGACGAGGCTCCATGCACCACTCCAAATGCCACACCAGCAAGTATTCACAGTGTCTTCTGGAATTTCGTCAAATCAAACTACATTTTGCAGAGATCTCTCACCATCCTGGAGTTCACTGGTCTTTTGGACCAGCATCATTATTTTAAGACATGCATCGAAACTGTATCTAACTGAAGCATCTACATAACACAATAAAAATTTAAATGGGTCACACCACATTTGATCATTATACATATATATATACATATATATATATCAACGCGCCGATTTCATTTTTTTCTGTTTCTTTTTCTTCTTCTCTCTTTCACATTTAAACAAAAAAGACGCATGGTGGAATTAACAGAGCAAGAAAAGCTTGAACGTCGTAGACAAAAGCGTCAACAGCGCATCTTACAATCTGGAGAGAGCCGTCTTGGTAAAATCACTGGCACTGCCTTCCGTAAGTGTATCTGTAAAAGGGCTGTTGCATGGAAGCTTAACCCGTGTACGTCTCTTTAGCCAACCGTGCTTCTGCATCACCCTCACCTTCGCCCTCACCCTCTACGTCCTCCATTAACAAGCCTGCTAGTGCCACCACCCATGCACCACTTTCATCCCGTACACAGCGCAGAGACAGCGATGATCCCAGCGAGGAATTAGGAGCACCACCACCTTTGAACGATATCAACACCATGATGAACCAACAGTTTGCTAGCATGTTTGGTGGTATTTCAGGTATCCCAGGAAGTGAAGGAAATCCTGCTGCAGCTGCTTTGATGGCCAACAGCCTACATGCTGAAGGACAACAATCCAACATGGACCCATTTCAGCAACTATTTGCTAATGCAGCAGCCGCTCAAGGAGGACAAGGTGGATTCAACCCTGCTGCTTTGTTGGCTACCATGGCAGGCGGTGGAGGAGCAGAGCAACCCATGACAGAGGAGCAGCAAAAGATAGATAGATCACAAAAGTATTGGAACCTGCTGCACTTTATCATGATGATCTTGTTGGGATTCTACGCCGTGTACACAGAATGGACCAGAGCTGGATCCGAAAGATTTGCTTCATTGCTGTCTAGTAATGCCTCTGTAGCCAGCTATCCTGCTATCCATGTGCCATTATTCTGGTACTTTATCACAATCGAATTAGGCCTTCAATCAGCTCGATTGTTCTATCAACAGGGCACCATGCCACCCACATCCACCATTGCAACATTGGCGACTCAATTGCCTCATCCATTGGGTAGCATCATTACCATCTTTCTGCGCTATCGCTTGATTTGGACTTGTCTTTCACAAGACATCTGTATATTAGTGTTCATTATTGGCTTATCTCAGGTGATTTCCAATGTATTTTAGATGATTTATATATATATATATAAAAAAAAGAGTTTATTTGATTAATATACACATGGTTTACTTTTTCGGCGAGGGTTTTTTGATATCTATTTAGGGTGTGGCAGCAAACACTTGATCAACAATAACATTGGATTGAACTCGAGGGATCTCAATGACTTTGGAAGTGCCATTTGCTGTAAAAAGAATGGTTAGAATTAGCTAGATTCGACATGCTGCCTCAACTTACAGAAATGAACAGCAATGGTGGGCTTGGTGGAGGTATCCAATGTCTTGTAGACTTCGTACTCAATATTGGGGTTGTTGTATCTGATGCGAGGAAGGTTCTCTTGTAAAAAGTGTCTATTATCAATGTTAGCAACTATCACTGACTACGGATTCCAGCCGACAAATGTACATACCTAGCACCTGCGCTCTCGTTCTTTCCCTTGGATGCAAATGTCAATGCAATTTTGGACACATTGGAAGGTAACTTGGCGGCACCAGGTCCTGAAGACAAGTGCTTCAAGATCTCTCGTGTGCTTTGTGCTGCTCTTAATGACATGCTGAATAAATATATGGAAATGGTGAAAAAGAAATTGCAATAAATCGACCAGGGGACTTCAAATTGAAAGGGTGAAGAGCCATTTCGACAGGTTTGAAGGGTATCCTGCGGTCACAAAAATGCAATAAAGTGGAGTATGCACTCACCCAACACCATCCATAGCTCCTGATTACCCAAAATACTGCTGCCAAGGTGTCTCAAAGCTTCTTGTTCCCGCCTGTGTATGTTGGCTTTGATTTAGAACACATGGTAATAAAAGTTACCTCATGAGTATGGGTGCGTTTGGAGCAATACGGTCACCCTTGGATATTTCTGACACAACAGCATACGGCGATAGAGATCACACATTACCTATCTATTCTCGAGTCAAGGAATTTGCCGTAAGCTATTGCCTGGTACTTTGATGCAACAAATTGGTCGTTTTACCGTTTTTTGACAACTGAAGGGATGTCACTAAAACCACATGTAAATAAATGATCAGGTTTATGAAAAAGGCATTGTTGGCAGCGTCGCCGCTGGTAGTAATGACAGAAGAGATGATGATCGGGGCGAAAGTTGTCGTGGTCATGATGATAACAAAACAAAAAAAAAAAAAAAAAAAAACTCAAGAAGGTTTTAGAAACGATACAATTGCCAGCATAGCAACCACATTAGCCTCAGCAATGCTCGACCAGATCTCTTTTGTCATCATTTAACCACCATCTGTAACAAAATACTACTAATAACAAAGTATCATCATCATAGCGGCTGAGGAGCTGGTGATAGACGTAGCATTTATGTTGAGTCAGTCTCTTAAATCAATCGATGATTTTAACCTGTGAATGGCATAACTATTGGCTCCTTTGGGACACTTTGAAAAATCTCCATATTGTACAATAGCAGAATTGGTTATTTGATTATTCATTATACTTTGCTTACTTTCTATTAGTCTATCTTCTATCTATTATATTTCTTATTCTTTATTAGTGGGACAATTACAAATTTAGTGCTCGTTTCATAGACAGATTTGACTTGGCTGATTTAGCTCTACTACTGTATATTATCCTTCTTTTATTTATTTATTTAAATTTAACTATTGAGGCACTCTTCTTTATTCACAATCTTGCGCCGTCTATTGGACACGTCGCGCGCCGTCATTGAAAGTCGTCTGCTGCGAGACAACAAAAACAGGCTACAAATCAGAAAAAATAAAGCATCCTTGTAATCCTAAACTGTTATTCGAAAGAATTCAACAATGTCACCGTCCGTGCTACCCCTCAGCAAGCTAATTCATTAGATGGCACTTAATCTCCCTCCTCATCATCTGCCACAATGACCATACCTTCTAGAACGGTCAACGATAGGGCTCCAATGATTTCGATTAGAAAGCAGTAACTTGTTTCTGAATAATAATATGGCGGTATGGTTAAACATATTGAGAGCTCTTATTCTCCTGACAGCAGTATGAATCATACTTTTGGCTTTTTTTAGGAGTGTACTGCGATATCTACAGTAGTGTATGACTTTTCTCACATAATAAATGCATTAAAAGGCATTCCTCACATAAAACTTTGCGCGGATGCCAGATGAAACTACTACACCTTATCTTGTTATTGCATAAAGAAGAATTCAAATTGCGTCTACTATTCGGATATGTTTTTATTACAATATACAAAATAATGCTTGACAAATCAATAGGAAATCAACTAGCTAGAATCCTTCGGTCCCTGAACCTCTGAGCCAATCAAATTGCTTGAAAACTCCGCTAACCTAAAAAAATTTTTGCGAGGGTTTCCCCCTGTTTTGATGTGAGGCAAAATTTTAAGCTCCGCTATATAGCAATATAGCTGTTACTATCATCAAATTTCCCCCAGGTGCTAGAGCATGCCTTACTTACACCACCTAGCTTTAAATTCAGGCATTGAGACCTTCAATCATCACTAAAGTAAGTAGCGATAACCAAATGGAGGCAGCCTATCTACCTCTTAGCCTCGGATAGAGTCTTGTTGAGCTTCAATGATAGGCATATCCACACAACGTAAAAAAAAGGTATGCTTCAAAAGAAACATAATAATCATAAAAGAAAAAAGAAAAGAACATAATACTATAAGAGTATAGTAGTATGTAGATAAAAAAGAGACACTCACACAAAGCGAGTCAAAGAAAAGCATAACAAACACAACATCAAAGATGTTTAAAAAAGCTCGTTGCTGTTGCAAGAAAAATGCATGCATGAGCAACGTGCATGGTAGCAATAGTCGGATGTAAAGCAACATGACACACATACGCACAACTGCAAAAGCAACAGTGGTATCATAAGTTTGCGCTACAACATAATGACTAATGCTGTTTCATGTAAAGCTACAGAGGAAACACTACCAACAAAAGAAAAAGAAGAAGAAAAAAGCGCAACAAGGCAAACATCATGAATGCATTATCACGAGAAAGGAAGCAATAATATAAGCGTTCAAAGAAGTTTTATATTATTGCTACCAGAAGAAATAAGATACTTACGACTTACCACAGCCACAGACAGACCAGAGGATACACAATCACCAGAGGTAGACCAGACAATGAGCATGCACCAAACACAGTAGATCAAAGAAGACCATATTATCAGCAGCAGCAGTAACACCAGCACCGTAAAAAAAACCGAGGAACGAGCGACACCACAGAACGAGCATGCACCAGAGACAGTAGACCAGAAAAGACTGTATTAGCAGCAGCAGCAACACCAGCAGCAACACCAGAAGCCAGACCATCAGTAAGACCATCAGTACGACCATCAGTAAGACCAGAAGCAAGTCCATCAGTAAGACCAGAAGCAAGACCAGAAGCAAGACCAGAAGCAAGACCAGAAGCAAGACCATCAGTAAGACCAAAAGCAAGACCAGAAGCAAGATCAGAAGTAACACCAGCAGCAATACTAGCAGCAACAACAACAGCGTAGAAAAACCGAAGAACGAGTGGCACCAGAGACCAGACAGATTAACGAAACAACCGCCCGAGATAGGGATCAAGAAGCCGCTACCAGACATAATAGACCAAAAAAGCAGACAGCAAATATAGCAGAGAAGTGATGGCAGCAGCACCCACGTCAAACAGGCAAAAAAAAACTATCGAAACCTAATAAACAAATTCGATTAGTGCTTGTTCTACATCTTTCTGTGCTCGTTATCGAATGGTACTTACTGTATTCCACTTCAAAGAAGCAGTATCAAGTACTTTTGACTGTGCAAGGCCGTGTTATCAGAAGCTAGAGTGTTATTTTCAATCAAAAGGGTCCCAAAACAGGTATGGTTTGATACTAAACGTGTTTTGCAAAAAGGATAAAAAGCGATGGTATGGAAAAATGAGAGGGCGCCCTATCCGACGTCATGACCAGTAGATTTGGTCTCAGTCTTCTGCCGTAGCAGCCGTAATTGCGGCAATTTAATTTGAAATTGTGCAGTGGTATTTTCGTGTTCAAACTTGACTTGATCTCACATCCTTTAAATGCTTTTGCTAAATTTGACTATGAAAGTTGTCGTCGAGACACCTTACTTTCTAATACATTTTTACAGAACTAAAAAAGCCGCATCGAATAGTGTTGATTGCATCCAACTTTTAGGCCGAAAATAATGAGCAATTTGTAAAAATATGAAAACAGGTTTTCTGTGAACATGTCAAGATCTAGCATACGTAAGCCTCATAGAAAGAGCTTCTAATGTTGCATTTCATCTTTACGATTAATTTGACCTAATATGTATCATAGGAAAAGTCTTCACTTTTGGGGTGAAAAACGCGATCGTTTGATTTTCAAGAATTTTCCTTTACAAATACTCATGAAAAAATGAGGATTTTCATGAATTTGCAATGACCTAAAAAAATTGAGATAAAGCATCAGTAAGTAAGGTGTAGCCAAGAAGTGTTATTTGGTGCTATTTCAAGCGCCCAAAACGCTTTGTAGCATGAGTTATTCGTGCTTGAAAATGGCTAGCTTTGAACAAGATTCGACCTAAAAAGTGGACGTAGTAGGCTGCGTTGCCAAAGGTGTAAGTAGATTACAGTCCTGTCTGATGACCCAGATGTTCTGCATTGTACGGCACTTAGTTTCTAAGTGATAGATGTTTTGATTCTAATTCTAAAACTAAATTTTTCTTTCTGAAATGCGCGATTGATTACAGTAAATTCAAGATTTGCGCATTAATGCTAGTATGTAAATTTGAATCTAACAACATGCTCAGATCGAACGAGATGTTTATCAGGTTAGCAGGACACTTTCGGTGGTTGTTCACAACAGAGATGGCACATCTAGTCGTGAAACTAGGCTTAGAATCTATGCACAATGTTAAGCACCCATATTCAATAGCGAGAAATGGCTGTTATTGGACGCACTAATTGGTCGGCTTTAGCACGATGAGTAGGAAAAAGCAATGAAATCACGTATCAAGATGGACTAAACAGAAATTCATGATACCTTGTTGTAAATCTGAAAAGTACGTGAGAATGGATGTAGGTTTACTTTCAGTAAGAATCAGATGAAGAGGAAAGGGAAGAATGAATGTCTACTGCTATTTATATGTATGATTTATGGATTGCTTACACACCCGTCTAGAATGGTGTTCTCATACTAAGTTTTAGTGTCAATCCTCACTTATGCTAAATGGTAATTATTTCAGGTATGAATTATCAGTCTAAATACCTTTAGTTGCTCTTGACAACGTTAATTACTTACATTCCTTATCTGCTATTATCTTTTGACATATAAAGAATAGCTTACTGAAACTTAGCTTATGTGAATATCATGGTTTGTTATCGTTTACATGATGTCGATAAAGTTTATTTACATATGCTTCATATGTGCATAGTTTATTACTGAGTTCAATCTACGATATTGTGATTCGTTCAGGAACAGTTATACGCGTGAATAACACATTTGGGTTTGGGTTCGTCAGAGATGGAGGCATGACGAAGTGGCTGATGGGCGGGAGTGCCAAATAAAAGGTTGGAGTGATGACCTGAGGAGTCCTTAGAGGGAAGGGATTTGAGAATGTTGATAACATCCTTCAGAGAGGCTTCAATGATAGAAAAGCGGTGATCAACGGTGCTCGAAGGTATTGAAATGAGACTCGAAGGTGTCAAAACGCTTCTCAGTCATTTGATTAATGCTGTTCTGTTTGCCGATGAAGATTTCAATGCTTGCAAGGGCGGAACCGATTGAGACAAGAATTTGTTCAGTGGAAGACATGTGCTTTGTTTTCAAACTCTTTAGAATATCGTAGAGATGCAATGGAACCAAAGTTTCGAAAAGCGAGAGAAAGGTGTGCGAGGCAGGAAAGTTGTCAAACGATTTCGAAAAAGGTTATGCTACTAGCTACATAACTTGATACGGAACTGAAATGCGCATCCAACGATACCCTGCATTCAAATGATGTTATATAGCTTGTACACAAGTATGTTTGCTTTTGATATATTTTCTTGGTTTACTGAATCTGCGACATTTTACCTATAGTAGTTTGTTCATCATCTGATGTCTTACTACGTGAAGCTGTAGCACCCGCTTCCATGGCGCTACACAGCCGAAAAAGTCAGTACCAACCAAATTGTCCAAAATCAAACGCGCCATGCTAAGTTTTTGCTACAATGGCACATATAAGCGTCTTCTTGTGCGCCACCATTAGTGTTTTTCTCATTGTAAACTCGTTGAAAACACAATTTTTGAAAGGAAACATTGCAGTATGTACGCAGACGAGATCTCATTTTGTAGAGTAAACACAAAGAAGCAAAATTTAGTTTAGATAGAGAAGAAGCCTTGTTAAATTAGCAGTTTTACTGTTAACAGTGTCGAAACACTGATTCGTTATTATTTTTCTATTACGAGTGTTTATGCTTCGGATGGCTCTCTACCTTTGTTTCACTTCGGTGAGAACCAACTTACGCAACGACAGCTCGCGCTACCAATCGCCCATGCGTATCTTATCAAAACACTGCTACTCTTATTTTGACCCTCCACTTACACATGAAAACCCTTCATATTATCTGTGGATCCAATTCTTATGTGCTGCTCTGCAACTATATACACGTAGCTACTTCATATACGGGCAAGCAGCATACTGGTATTTCCCCCTTTTTATTCCTTAGTGTCCCTGCTACAGCAAAATATGAATGCATTTGAGCTGCGTTTTCTTGCGTTCAAGGCCGTTTTAGATTGCCAGAATAGCACCAAACAATTGATCTCATCCAGAAGTTACTTTCTGACACCTTTGCTCAACTTTTTGAGGACCAAAAAAAAATATGGCCAAAAATCAACCAAAAAGCATGAAGGGTATCTCATGGTTTTGATCGAAAATCAAACGATCGCGTTTTTGACTTCTAAAACGAAGACTTTTACTAAGGCATATAATAAATCAAAATGTTTCTCCTGATCCAAAGCAACCTCTAAAATCGTCTTTATGGGACTTTGATATGTAAAATCTCGACAATTTGCCCAGAAACCTCTTTTCATGTTTTCGTAAATTACTCGATAAGTTTATTCAAATCATTTATCTCACTTGTTACCATTGGATGCGCCTTGAAAATCGCTCTAAGAAAACTTAGAGAAGCATAGGATGATTATCATATTTTCCTTAGTCGAATCTGCTGAAACAGTTCAATCAAGTTCAAAATCATTAAGTCTTGGCCAATCTGGACAGACTATGAGTCCGGGGTTGAATTAATTTTGGCTGGTGGGGCTGGCTAGCAAACTCATCATGAAGGCAATACAGTAATTAACTCGAGAAACCACCTGTCAAATGTATTCAAATTTCGCAGAGATTTGCGTACTTTTGAGCAGCTATAGGTATTGCAACTGTACTGTCTGCCCTTGTATAAATTTCTTCCAATTATTCAGACATGGATCATGCTAGAAGAGTCAAATTTACAGTTGCAGATCATTTATGGGAGGGCTTTCAAGTAATAGTGAAAAGTTACGAAGCGAAATTTCAATGTATAGTAGATAGAACTGGAACTTGAGAATTTGAGTTTACTCTTCCATTGCAACAAGACCTTCACTTTTATAATGTTGACAAACTCGGCAAGGTGGAAACTTAAGGTTAAGTATTGTAATCCTTGAGCATAGATTAACAAAAGTGGCCAACTGCTACAACTTCTCAAAAATCTAACAATGATCAATGTCATACTTGCTCATGAAGCTTTGGAATATTTGGGCAGATATGCACCCAGTTTGAAACAACTGACACTTGCTAACTGCGATGTGGCTCCAGATTTTAACAACTCATACGATCAGGCCATCAATATACCTCATACTGCACTTTCCATCTTGTCGACCATTGCATCAGCAGGTTTTTTTATAGAAAAAAAAAATATAAAGAAAATAGACGCCAAATAGATCAATAGCGCAGTGCATTGATTTAGAGATACGCCACAAACTATAATCCCAGAAATCACATCCATGTCAAGCAAACGCTTTCCAGTGCAGTATTTTCTTCTCAAACCCGACAGGCCATCTACCTTTGAGCGCATTTGTAGAGAATTTTCATTGATAAAAATAGAAATTGGATTGCAATCAGTCATTTGCAAATCGCTAGACATGTTATAACTTGATCTTGGACCACTCAAAACGAAGCTGGTATCTGAATCCAACGGCGAATTCAGCATTCAATTGAATGAATAGGATGCGTCTTTTGACAAAAAGGCGATCTGGTTTCATTCAATTATCCATATTGACTGTATTTTCAATCACAATCACACATCCTCTTCGTAAACACTGAAAAAGCAGTATTCAACGTTGGCATCTTGTAATCAAATATCAAATGTGTTGTATCGTCGTTTAACTAATGTGCTTTATTTTCGATTGATTTTGGGTTTGTTGTATAATAGTAGAATAATGGGATTTATGCGTTCTTGCGGAATCCTTCTACTCTGTGTGTCTTGATAGTTGCAAGATACATATCAGCCAAATCACGGCAGCTCTTGTCTGTTGTAGCATAGTTAGCAATTGAATCTTTTGTCAAAGCACATTGAAAAAGACCTACAATGGTTGACACCTTCAGTTCTATAACATTCGTCTAATTTCTCCTTGATAATACGAGCTTCCATAGCCTTGACCCAGTCATCACGGATCTTTTGGTTACGAGCAGCGTAGATAGCTATTGATCATGTTAGGCATGTTGTGGTGATGATGCCTGTCTGTGAGTGTTTTGTTACCTTTACGATCGTTGGGGTCAACCTGGTCCAATGTAGGGACACTAACATTGCTATTGTCAGCTATTTTACCAAATGACATTGAAATCAAAATCTCACCGTTCAAATTGCTTGTGTTCAGGGTATTCCCAAGGCTCTGCGGCAGAAGACATTGTTATATATAATTAAAGAGTGGGGTGTAAGATGTTTGTTTAAGGGGATGAGTTATTCAAAATGTGGAATAAATAAAATCCACACAATTTACCCCGGAGAGACGGGCTTTTGAGAGGGCTTGGACAGAGAGTGGTGTGGGTTTATTCATGACGTCGACCTGTAAATGGATTTCCTGTTTGACATTACTACCACAGTGATGCTCAAAGAACATTAAAACTGTAGCGTAACTGCTTACATGTCGGGAGTGATGCCATCAAGCGGAAAATTAAGGTCTATGATTATTGTAAATGAGTAGAATAGCTGAGATGTTTATTGGAGCATTTGAACATCTACATGTCCATGGTATCTTGTGCTCCAAACATCTCATGTACCAACAAAACAATGAAATGGTTCAAGCATGTAACGCTGCACTGAAGTCTACGAACTAAGCAGACAGACGTATGCCTCTAAAGCAACATTTGCTTCTCGATCAAACATGAGAATCCTCCTCACGTTCAAATGTCGTCAAAGAGGAATGGTTATAAGCTTAAATTTCGACATGCATTATGAGATTTTCCACTCTGCTCCTCTAAAAGTGCCCGTATATCAAAAGAGAAGAAACTTCCAACAAGTTGGGTTGCTTCCATCCCATTTATCGTTCAAAACTTGATAATAAAACTGCAACAATCAGTCGCACAAGCGTTCAAGGCGACTATTTTTTTTTTTCTTTTTTTTTTTTTTTTTTTTTTTTTTTTTTTTTTATTAAACCCCTTTTTTTTTTTTTTTTTTTTTTTTTTTTTCGAACAAACCTTTTCAACATCCAACGTTCAATGCTTGGACATAATGTAAAAATGCCTAAGCCGCCAGCAGAGCCTAGCAATAAGAAAGTGTGTAGATCCAAGAATTTGGAGCTGATTAAAGCAAAATTGGGAAATGCATTGAACGCTTACGAACGAAGAGAGCTGATAAAATTTCTTGAACAAATTGGATCCTGCGACATCATAGCGAAGCTGCCCATCAGCATTTTGAGTTTGGTATGCCAGTACTTTACACCACACGAATTATGTCAGTTGAGATTAGGCAAGTCATCCATTTGACATGTCATGATGTGTGCTCGACTAATGTAGGCTTCTGTAGTATCTAAAGAATGGGATAGAAAGACCACTCATGATTGTATCTGGAAGCCTATATGTCAGGACTATGGCATCGTAGCTGCAATGCCCGTAACAACGATAACAGATACCGTTGTGTTGAATGAAGACAACAGTAACAACAACACCCTCACTTTTTTCAGCACATTCAAACGATCATTAACAACGTCAAGGAACTGGAAGCTCTTTCAAAGCAAACGATACGAATTACACTTTAGCAAAGGGCCCATCTTGAGCTTGCTAGTGGCTGATATAACACGTGTGTTCTCTGGCGATTTGGATGGATCTATACACGTTTGGAACGCTCAGTCGAACGAATATGTCACAGCATTAAAAGCGCACACCAAGCATGTCGCCTGTCTTGCGCATCACCAAGATATGCTGGCCTCTGGCTCCTCTGACATGACCATCGCCATACACAACATGCATACCTTTGAACAGATTAACGTCCTAAGAGGCCATGAAGGCCCAGTTACATCACTCGTATTTGCACCCAAAATGACACACAACGAAACACTACTCATCAGTGGATCCACAGACCGCACCATCCGTATCTGGGACACGGCCAAAGAAACATGTCTTCGTATTTTGCATGGACAAGAAAACACCATCATTTCATTAGCATTCTCTGCATCGATTCCACCAGAATACTGTCAATCTGAAGCAGACTCCTCATCCGTTAGAAACAACAAAGCAGGCTACATCATCTCTGGCTCCAGTGATCGCAATGTGTTTGTCTGGGACCTGAAAAAGTCGATATTAGATGATTCGCCCCAAGTAATCAACAGCATCATGGGCACGAATGGACCCGTTACAGCCATGGCCGTATATGATGAATCCGTCCACACCACACCCAAGCCAACGACAACAATAACAGCTGACAACAATCCCTACCTCCTTGCTAGAAAGCCCATCCGTATCCCACCGTTCGTTATTTATGCAGGCATGTCTGATCCCACTATTTCCCTCTATTCAATACCTGGCCTAGAAAAGACCTATATTGAGGCGCCTAATATTCATCGCGGCACAATATGGTCCATCACTACTGCAACATTACATTCTAAACTAATTACAACATCTGGAGATAGAACAGCCATGATTTGGGATTTGAAATCGCCAAAAAAGTGCACCACGTTGGGCGGCTTTGACAGTACAGTCGTATCATCTGCTGTCTCGCCGCAAGAAGAGATCTTGTGCTTTGGAACAGAGAAGGGCACCTTGATTGTCTTTGATCTGCGGGAGTTTCATTGATTGCTACTACTACTACTACCACTATTACTCGCCACCTATTGTAAATAAAATGGTGTTTATTATATAATACGTTGTATGCTTGAAAAGAATCATGGAATCATTTTATCGTTTTGCTCTTGTTCTGATGATGGTGATGTTGTTGTCGCTGTTGCTAACACTGCTGTCATTGCTGTGCCATAGTAGCTGGCAATATGTTTTCTGTCGTTTTCTTCAATTTGATCTCTCAATATTTGTTCATTCCACATTTCATATGAGAGTCGTTTCAGCTCCTTTTTCCTGCGATTTTGCTCCCACAAGGCAATTTCATCTTGACCCAATCTTCGCACAGGATCTGCCAGCACTTGGGCTCGCGATACTAAAGGTGGTCCAGCTGCATCACGCATGGGGATATATTGGTCGTCAGGTAAATCAAGTGGGCTCAAAAATGGCTGCTTACCGGGTTTGGTTTCCTTTAAGGGAGACTTTTCTAGTGCGCGTTGGCTCTTTGATGTAGTAGTGTTGGAAGTATCGTTCAGGTCAATGTCGATCATGGCTGTGTGGGGTGTTGTTGAGGAGGTTGGTTCAGCGTTTTCTGGGTAGCGAAAGATCTTTTTGAGCTGTTGACTCATATTATACACTGAAGACGACGCTGCTGGGTGTTCAATCATGCTGTCGTAGGTAGCTCCAAATACGTCCTTGTCCACCGGCAATCTGTCGAAGGCATTTTCCACTGGATCATCCTCTTCTTCTTCTTCCTCTTCTTCCTGGTTACCGCCCAGTTCAACAGGAATCTGAACAGGCGACTTGAAGCTTTGTGTTGGTGTGTTCAAAAACTTTTGCAAGGGATATGTGATGGCAGTGGGATTATACAAGGGATCTGCTGCAGAGGGTCTTGAGGTGGCTGTATTGGATTGCAAACCGGGAGACAAGTAGGCCATTTCATACTCTTTGCCAATATCAGGTGTATGATATGTGGAGGCAACTTGAGCTGCTGCTATGCTGTTGGGTTGAATGATACCATCTTCTTCTGTTTCACCATAGACAATTTCTACTGCTTGCGTCTTATTGACGGAAATAATGGCATTTTCGGAAGTGAATAGTGTGTGCTCTAATTTGGGTAACTGAAATGAGGATTGAGGTTGCAGTTGCTCGGAAATTTGTTGTGGTGGGTTGGTATTACTTGTGCTTGGTTTGCTGTTGCGTTGCTCCCAGCTAGTCAAGAAATCATCTTCATCGCGCTCAAATGCTGGTAAAGTGAGATTAATTATAGGTTGTTGCTTGAGTTGTTGCAGTTGTAAGCGCTCTTCTTCTTCCAGTTCCTGCTGCAATTGCTTTTGGATCATAGCCAAGCTTTCCGAGTTGTTGGTCGTGTTGGATTTGACAGATTGCATATCGTCATTGAGCCGTTGCTGTGATTTGATGGAGGGTTCCAAGGCGGCTTTAGGCATAATAGTAGTGGTGGTGTTCTTTACTGCTATGGGATCACCACCGCTCATATCTAAATCATGGTTATATTCGAGATCTGCCATTGACGTGTCTCGATCTCGGAGATTACGTCTTTTGGTTGTATTCTTCCAAACAAAGATGCCCACTGCAATACCAGCGACCACCAGTATACCACACACACTAAGCACACCTGCTTCGACTTTGCTTAGGCCAGTGGCTGTGGATTCGTCAATGGTCTCTCCCAGACCAGCAGAGCCAGAGTCAATATCTCGATCTTGATTGTATTTATCTTGCACTGAGCCGGCTTGCTCTTCATCTTGTTTAGCTGGTAGTCGCTCTATACTTCCACCGGGATGATTGGGATCTAGCTTCGGGTTGACTAGTTTAGCTTCATGGAAATCAGACAGCACATCAGGCGTTTCAGCTGCTGATACAGTGGAGAGAGGTTCTCCAAATGAAGATGAGCTGGATGTGATGAAGGAGGCTGATGTGGTTGTAGTGAAGTCTTCCAAACACTCTAAATCGTCTTCGTCACAGTCTTCCGCTGTTGCATAAGAGAAAGAGTGAGTAAAAATACAAGGCAGATTGAATGAGGTATTGCCTTCTTACCTGAATCAGTGGCACGGGCAATCAAGATAAAGTAGAACAAGACTAAACTATAAATCCAATATTTTAACATTTTTGTATATGAGGAATAATGAGGAAAACTAAAGAAGATAGTTCATTTTGACAAGCACTTGTTTTTTGTATATGTTGCTCGGAAACATTAAGAACACAAGCTAAAATTTCGTTCTAATTGCAACTTGCTACAATAAGCAATAAAGCGTATCACATCAACTCGGAGACATACATTTGACAGCTGGCTGTTTGGCCTGGTTGGAGAGTTGAAAACATCTGCTCGAGAAATCAGGTTTATAGCCCTTTTTAGTGCTTGTGAAGAGATAAGCAACAGCCTTCGTTTCACCAACATGGTCAGATTAAGCTCTCTCAAGGTATGACTACTTGGATGATGGTGAGTGCACTTGCACGATTATTGCCTTGAGCACTATAGTCGACTTCCCTTCATATGATGAGGCATCACTGACAGTAATGCAATGACAGCTTATATAGTTAAATTTGGCGAATTTGGCTTTTTTGTGTCATAATGGATCTGAACGATTTTACACATTGCGAAAACTGTTCCCAAGAAGCCGAGTGTTGATGGAAAAATACTTATGCGTGCATCTTTACCACAGTGCATTGCTTGATTTGAACAGAGAGAGGGAAAGAGTGTGAAACATTTATTTATATTCATACGAGCGTTTATGCTTCGGATGGCTCTCTACCTTTGTTTCACTTCGGTGAGAACCAACTAAAGCAACCTCTGAAATCGTCTTTATGGGACTTTGATATGTAAAATCTCGACAATTTGCCCAGAAACCTCTTTCCATGTTTTCGTAAATTGTTCGCTAAGTTTATTCAAATAATCTATTTTACATGGTACCATTGGATGCGCCTTGAAAAAGTACTCCAAGAATGTATTAGGCAGCATCGGATGAGCACCACAGTTTATATAGTCGAATATCAAAAGATAGTTCGATCAAGTCGAAAGTTGACACAATTGGACCAATCTTGAGTAGAATAAATGTTTTGGGTTTAAATTGATTTTGACGGCTGATGGGGCCGGCTGGCAAACTCAATGCCCTTTTCATGATGAAGGCAATACTGTAATAGATGCCTTTGCAACGTATAAAAAGTAGATAGCAGGTTACATAGCACTATCGTTAGCCATGCTTTTTTCCTTGCATTCTATATTTAATGATGCCAGTCTATCAAAATACTTGTTAGGTCAGCTCCTTTCCTTTTTTGAGGCTTTAAAAGTGTAAGGGATCATAAATTTATTACGTTACGATGAGCATTCCGACTCTTCGGTTGGTTTCCTGACAAATGCCTGGGAATTCAATTGTCGTATTAGAGTTGTAAAAGTTTCTAGGGACTGGGTATTTATTATATTATGATATTATTCACCGTTAAGGTATTGTAAGTTGTACTGTGGGATAAGGTTGTGGGGTAATCATGGGGGGGGGAATCGTGGTGATTGTGGACAACAAATTTCCCAATCTTTTGATCTTATCATGTCCATCAAGGCGCTTGCAGACCATTAGTTTCAGGAGAGGTAGGACGTTTGAGCGATTTCGACAACAGCCATCATTTTCAACAATCACATCAGCCATTCCAGCCATTCCAGCCATTCAAAATCATTTTTTCATTTTATATCATCATTTTTGAATCATTATGCCAACTCAAGTGTCCAAACAACATATATATCAACTCAAAGATCGCTTAGAAAAGTACAGAGAAAAGAACGAGCTAGTGGTAAAGTATCTTGAAGCCACCTATCTATACTGATGGTTGACACAATCCATCATCTAGACACAAAAAGAGCAGCAAGAAGAGATGCGACAAATAGAACAGGCAAAAATTAACAAAGAAAAAGAATTGGCATTAGAAAAAGAGAGAGAAGCACTCGCTGAAGCGTTACAGAGAGTAACAGCAACAGAAGCTCCAGGTAGATATGGCGCAATGGTTGCCAGCTGTGTTATTGACACGATTCATTTAGTGAAAACTGCTGCTCATTCACAACCACCACCACCACCTCCTCCTCCTCCTCCAATGCAACAAGAACCAGATTTGGCACAGCAACTCTTGGCACAGCACTACCAACAACAGCAGCAAATACTTTTACAGCAGCAATTACAACAGCAATTATTGCAACAACAGGCTGTTCAACATCATGCACAGCAGGCCGCTCAGCAACAGGCGCAACAACAGGCTCAACAGCAGTTGCAGTTGAAGCAGGAGTTGCAAGCTCAACAACAGTTGGAACAGCAACAACAGCTATTATTAAAGCAGCAGTTAATGCAACAACAACAAGTACAGCAGCAACAACAACAACAGCAACAACAACAACAGCAACAACAACAGAATGCTTTTCCCGCCAACGCATTTGGCTATTCAGCTATATCAGAGAAAGAAGCACTGGCATGGCTACGAAATGGCTTCTAATTGCGTTATTTCTACTATACTCCTGATGCTTTTGATCGTTTCCAGGCATCATAGCGCATCTATAACGCCAATTCACGATCCAATGTTAAATTCTCTACAAACTGCTCGTATCAATGGATATGGAGAGGATACATCATACAAACAGAACTATGTCTATTTATCTGACGTAAATCCGTCGAGAGATGAACTATTAGCAGAGCTCTCAATAGGGGAGCTCGTTTCATACACCAACATGAACGCCTGAGGTTCAATAATAATAAAAGTATATCCAAAAATTTTCTGACCTTCTTTTCTCTTTTGCTTTACTTGCACTTCTCTCTTTTTCTGATATCCAACATGTCAGCGTATGCCGTATATCAAGAACTGTTTCCACCACAAACGGTAGAGCAAGTAGAAACTAGTCATTTCACATCTGCAGACGCGACAAACCTGGTCGTAGCCAAAGCCTCTTTGCTGCAAATTTATGAGTTTGTTGAGTACATACCTGATCAAACTGTCAAAGCGGATATAGGCACACAGCAACGAGACGACAACAATGATGAGGATGATACTAGACATATGGTAGATCATGAACTAGTAAGCGAACGATTGACTGAAGGCGAAGATATGGTATATTGTGAAAAAAAGTGATTCAGCTTGCACATGTCACTCAATCAACCACCTTAGTCACTCGAATTCCCCAAGATAAAGCCAATCAAGCAACATAAAGACATTGCAGAATTGAGCTCTGGACGATTGGAACTAGTTGCACAGTACAAGCTAAACGGCACCATTGCTACAATGGGTGTAGTCAAGACGAGCTCGCCTCGAGGAAAGGAAGGGTGCGATAGTTTGTTGTTGGGCTTTAGTGATGCCAAGGTAATAAGAGGATAGAGAATTCTGCATTTGTGTGTGTGTGTGTGTGTGTGTGTATGTGTGTCTGTGTGGATACTGAAGAGTGAATGTATAGATGTCTTTGCTGGAATGGTCTCCAGAAACCAACTCGATTGTCACTGTATCCATTCACTATTACGAAAGGGACGAATTCAAGGTAACATCTAGTATTTGACATCTCTCCTTGATACTCACGATCATTATAGAAAGAGTTTTTGACCAATCCTTATCCTTCCAACATTCACATTGATCCGCAACAACGATGTGCAGTATTAAACTTTTACGACAATAAATTAGCAGTGTTGCCATTTCGACAAGCAGACAGGCTGGATGAACGACAAGGCGAGGCAGAAGATGATGAAGAGGCTCAGTAAGTTGTTTCTAGTTGGGACGAGGGGAATGAACACATCTAATCTCTATGCTACGCAGAAAATGGCCATATTTGCCTAGTTTCTTGATTGATTTAGAGACCATTGACGGACGCATCAAAAATGTCATTGACATGGTGTTCCTGTCAGATTATTATGAACCTACGCTCGCCATTTTATTCCAATCTGAGCAGACATGGACAGGGTAAAACAGAGCGCCAATATAAATAGAATGGATAGACAAACTAACACCATGCTCTATTCACGCAGCCGACTCGCCAGCGTCAAAGATACAGTATCTGTAGTCGTCATCTCACTCGATTTGACCGCTAAAATCTACCCCGTTATTTATTCCATCGACAAACTACCTTACGACTGCATCAAACTCGTTGCCATGCCTAAACCAGTAACAGGTGTGCTTGTCATTGCTGCCAATTCACTATTGCATGTATCGCAAGGATCGCCTGGTGTGGGTGTGGCAGTCAATGGATACGCCAAAAAAACGACTGAATTTCCTGGCATGATTTACCAGGATAAGCTGATCAACATGGGCTTGACATTCGATGGAGCAAAAGCATTAGCATTTGGTGGCGATCGTTGCTTAATTTTCATGCAAAATGGCGATTGGGCTGTCGTACAAATGAAGATGGATGGTAGCAAAGTGGTTGGCATGAATATTACCGAGATAGTGCACAAGATGAATTTAGGTGCAAAGGTCTATTCTGATTTACCACCCTTAGCAACTGTGCCTTCTTGCGTAACCAATGTCAATAACGAATATTTCTTCCTGGGCAGTCGGGTGGGCGATTCACTGTTGATCAAATGGAAGTACAGCAAAGAAATGTCGGGCAGCAAATCACAGTTGCAAAAGGACAATGATTTTGCTTTTCGTGTGTGCGATACACTACTCAACACGGGACCCATTGTGGATATGACGATTGGCGATGTGGAGAGTAACCATAAATCAGAAGAGGAAGAGGAGGAATCTCAATCACCTGTAGCTAGTACTCCCGACCTCGAGTTGGTGAGTTGTTCAGGGCATGGCAGAAACGGTGCTTTGTGTGTTTTTCAACGCCATATACATCCTCAAACCTCTTTTTCGTTCAAACAGTCAGACAGTCAAGCCATTTGGTCGATCAAGTGTCGCAAGGAAGTTACTTTTAACAACACGAGAAAGGCGTCGATTTCATCCTTGGATAACGACAAGAACAGTCGATGGGAAACAGTGGAGGCAGACAGCGCCTTTGACGAGGCATTCGACAAGCTACTCTTTATTAGTAAATCCAAAAGCACCATGGTACTATCAGCAGGTGACGAACTTCAGGAACTGGTCAAGACTGGATTTTACACGCGTGGACCTACCATTGCTGTCAATACACTATTCAACTCAACCCGCATCGTGCAAGTCTATGCTACCGGTGTCATGGTGCTGACCCCTGAGGGCAAACGTCTGAGAACCATCCCTATCCGTGGCTCTAAAATCATTGATGCCAGTATCCGTGATCCCTACATCATACTCACTTTAGACAACAACAAGATATTAGCACTAAAAGGGGATGCGGAAACTGCTGAAATATCGTCCATCCAATTGCCCGCTTACATCAACAAAACATCCATCGCCATGGCAAATATCTTTGCAGACACGTCTAGTTTATTTTCCAGTGTGTCTGAAAAAAAGGCAGCAATTGCAGCTAAAGCTGAACGAGCGGCCAAGACTGCTGCTGCTGCTGCTCGAGCTCAACAACAACAGCATCAAAAGAAGCGCAAAGCCGAAGATAAGCATGATACTGGCAGCACGTTGAAAAAGCCCAACACGGCTGCATCAGCAGAGTTTGATGAAGTAGATATGGATCTCTATGGTGACGAACTCGATGAGGATGTCAAGATGGACCCAGTAACTACACCCATCACCAATGTATTGGACAATGCTGATCTCGTTGACGATGATGATGAAATGCTATACGGATCAGAAGACACCAAAGATCTGCTCGCTACCAATAGTGCATTTGGCAGTAACAGCATTGAGGATCAGCTCACACTTCAGTCAGAAACCATTGATGAAGCCAATGTCAGTCTCAAGGGAGGCGCACTGAACGAGATTACCAGAGTCAGTTTCTGGGCACTGATTTACACAACAGATGGCACACTACAAATTTACAGCCTCCCTGATTTTAAAGAGTACTTTACATGTCCTCAGTTTGACATTGCACCTGATTTGATTACAGATCAGCCCAAGGACAACAGCAAAAAGAGCAACAGCAACAACAACAATCAGAACAGTTCCATCATTCAAGAAATCTTGATGACCAACATTGGCAGAGAGAGAAAGGATCCTCATCTTGTTGCACGCACAGAAACAAACGACATTATCATTTACAAAGCCTTTAGCTTCGTCCCTTCCAACAACAATGACACCAAATTAGATCGTCTTGCGCTTCGATTTTCTCGTGTGCACCATGAATACGTGTCCCGTAAATCTGCTTCCTCAGCCGCCGAAGAATCCAAAAAGTCCAAAAAGAAGGAAATTATTGATGAATTCGACATTCCCGACTTGGATCTAGACGAAGAAGAGGAAGAAGCTTCAAAGAAACCCGCCAAAAAGCTAGAAAAACAACGCAAAAAGAAACTGTTGATTCCATTCACAGATGTGGCAGGCTACACGGGTGTCTTTGTCGCTGGATCACAACCTGCTTGGCTCATGAATTCCTGCAAGAGTTTTGTGCGTGTGCACCCCATGAAGACCAAGAACGAGGTGATTGGCTTTACTCAATTCCACAATGTCAACTGTAAGCATGGTTTCATTACGGTGGATGCCAAGTCGACCATATGCTTATCAGGTCTTCGCACAGACGGCGTGATTTATGATCTCGACTGGGTGATGCAAAAGATTCCCTTGGGTCAAACTGTACATAAAATTCAATACCATCCTGTCATGCGTGTCTATGCTGTGCTTGTGTCTAGCGAACAGCCTGTCAATCTACAAAAGGAAGAGGACGCACCCGCGCCGGACAATGACCAAGATGCATCTGCCACACACGACGAGAGAGAGCCAGGCGAGTTTTTGCCTCAGTTGGATCGCTTCTCCATGATCATGGTATCGCCTGTCACCTGGGAAATTGTAGATAAAGTGGATTTCGAGGAGTTTGAGCAGTGCTTTTCTTTACAATGTGCTGCATTGGAGTCAAAACAAACAAGTACGGGCCGCAAGCATTTCATGGTCGTAGGTACCGGCGTGCTGCGTGGCGAGGATACTACCATGCGAGGATCTGTAAGTAGACTCATGTTTCCTTTGTGATTGCAACTAACACATGCTTGACTAGATTCGCATCTTTGATATTATTGAAGTTGTACCTGAACCCAACAACCCGCAAACCAATCACAAATTCAAGCATTTGCATACAGAAGACGTCAAGGGTGCTGTAACAGCCATGTGCAATGTCAGCGGCCACTTAGCGTCCTGTATTGGTTCCAAAGTCATTGTATGGAGCTTAGAGGATGATGAGAGTTTGGTGGGTGTTGCGTTCATCGATGTGCAGATTTATGTTACCAGTATGAGTGCCATTAAGAACTTTATCTTGCTGGGAGATGCTCAAAAGTCAATTTGGTTCTTGGGCTTCCAACTGGAACCTGCAAAACTCTCCTTGTTGGGCAAAGATTATCAGTCATTTGAAGTGGGTTGTGTGGATTTCATCATTGACGATAAGTCACTGTATCTTGTGGTTGGCGATACCAGTGAGAACCTGGATTTATACCAATATGCTCCTTTCAGTAAGTAGCGCGTATCCTGCTTGTAGCTTACGTACTAAAAAAAACACACTCTATACAGACTTGCAATCCTTTGGTGGTCAGAAACTGATGCGTCGTGGTGATTTCCATGTAGGGTCTCAGGTACAGACCATGGTGCGATTACCGCAAATTGAAAAGACAGATAAAGGACTGGAATACAGTCGAAGACATTTCTGTCTCTGCGGTACATTCAGCGGGTCTATCTCTGTATTATCTCCCATCTCTGAAAAGACATTCAAGCGTCTCAGCACCTTGTATGGCCAGCTAGTCAACAATGTGCAGCATGTGGCTGGATTGAATCCAAGAGCGTATCGATTGATCAAGGGTCCCAAGCAAAGAATGGCTTCCAATCGTACAAAGGCTGTGCTCGATGGCGATTTGATATTTGAATTTGCTGGTTTATCTATAGAACGTCAAAAGGAAACGACAAAGCAAATTGGTACCACTGTGTCTCGTATCAAGGAGGATTTAGTCGACATTGAATGTAGCATTGATCATTTTTAAGCACACAATAAAATTAAACTTCAGATTCCCTCTCACACACCAAAATGTTCGGCTTAATGCTTCGCTTCTCCAAAGGGGCCAAAATGCGCCTTGCTGGTGGGACCTATAGGGTAGCTTGTAATTTCAAAGGAAAAGAGTTCCCTCCTTTCCAATCCATATACAAATTAATCTATAATGGTAAGATGACATATATAAACATGGATTGCATTAGATGGATGAATCGATCAAACAGATGGATGCACGGATGGATGAACGGATGGACGACATGGATACATCCACTTGACGAGAGGAAATTTTGTTCAGCTTGCAACTTTATTCATCTTTACTACCAGCAAACAATATTTACACAACTCACAAATCAACACTGTTGCTCTGATTCAACCATCTGATTGTCCTCTATTCAGTCCAACATCAACCGACATGTTACTAAATTGACACCATTGAATGTTTTAGGAATCTTCAAAGACCCCCGTTAAGCTCGCTAGAGTTACAAAGGTTCTCGGCCGCACTGGTTCTCGTGGTGGTGTCACCCAAGTCCGTGTTGAATTCATGGATGATACTAACCGTTCCATCATCCGTAACGTCAAGGGTCCCGTTCGTGAAAACGATATCCTCTGTCTCTTGGAATCCGAACGTGAAGCTCGTCGTCTCCGTTAAGTTGCTTTCAAGCGCAACGTTTTCCGTAGCTGTTATTTTTCTTGCAAGATTTCAAAAAGTATTGTAATAAAAACAACAGAAAAAGACAATCAAACCTATTCGGCATTGTTCTCGTGCGCATCATCCATTACAGGTTTAGTTTGTCAAGAGGGAAGAAGGGGAAAATGGCTGTTTTGAAGATCAAAGTGAGGATCAGCATGTTTGGATCTGGAAGGATTGCGTCAATGTTATATAGGCGGTAGAGGAGCAAATGAACATGTATAATAGAACATACAAGCGTATTTCTGAAGGGTAACACTATCAGATGGCAAGTTCGATCATAGATACACTGTATAGCTAAAGGGCATCGTTTCCAGCTGCTTACCTTTACGAATCGTTTAATCGACTGTGATCCAAATGATAATATGTGAATTAGCACAGCTACATATTTTCAATGCTCATCATTAATTGAAGACTCAATAAGGAAGATGCATGCAACTGGAAGACCCCCCCCCCCCCTCCTTCGTTAATCATCGGCCAACACATCCCAAGGACAATCTTACTATCTTAAAGAGCTCAATGGCAGACCTCGTTCCTGACACAAAAGATGCCCAGCCAGCACACTGACTAATTCTACCACCTGAAAAGATATAGCTAGGCTGGATGGACAGCAGATTTTCCATAAACCATATTTGCTGTAGAGTTCATACGAAGGCCAAAATAACAATGTGGCTCACCTGTATTTTAAGCACATATTACGGAACTGACACATCAAAGCCTATCAGCTGCTGTACTGTACAAACGTTAGAGTAGAGCCGCATAGTACGCCCTTTATCAGTATGTTAGAACTAGCCGATTTATCTCGCTACACTCGATGTCGGCATCGCTCTGTGGGCTCTCGCCAAAGACACTTTAAATCAGATATAATAAAATTTTGGTATATCAAGTAGATTTTAAACAATTAATTGCTAGTTAGTAAAAAAAAAAGGGGGTTTATCAGAGCCAGGAGGAGGAGAGGAGGCATCTCCCTGAGCACCCTTTTTGCTTACACTGATATCAAACGAAGCTTATTATTGAGACGATGTGAAAGAAAATTCAAGTTTTATGCAGCGTTTGTACATCACAATCACCATTTTCTGATAATAAAATTGTCATATCATTCGCTGCTGCTGATGCTCTTAATACATAACGACATGTAGCTCGTCAAAAGTAATTACAGGACTTGTGTAAAATATACAGCCACTTTTTTGAGATATTGCCATTGCAAAATACTTATCGATGAGGCAAGGCTCCTCAAAAAAAATTATTCGTACTATTCAATTGTCCTTTCAATTCCATGATCCCTATTTAATCAGCATCGCAATCATCATTGTCATCAACAGAGAGGCATTTAGGTCAGCCAGCAGCAATGCCGCCGCCAAAATTGATTCAAACTCCTCTTATTTTTTTTTTCTTTTGTTCAAGATTGGACAGATTTCGTGTTTTTTTTCGACTTCTATAATCTATTTTGTGATATTCGACTATATAAATTGTGATGATCGCCCTATGCTTCCTAATACATTCTTAAAGTACTTTTCAAGGCGCTTCCAATGGTGCTAATTGTAATAAGTGTTTTGACAGAAATCATTGAACAATTTGATAAAGTTTGAAATGAGGTTTTTAGCGAAAATAGCCATATTTTGCATAAGAAAACCTCATAAAAGTAGTTTCAGAGGTTGCTTTGGATCAAGAGAAACATTTTGGTTTGATATATACCATAGTAAAAATCTTCATTATCAAGGTGAAAAACGCGATCGTTTGATTTTCGATGAAAACCATGAGGGATACCTCATGCTTTTTGGTCGATTTTTGTCCATGTTTTTTTGGTCCCCAAAAAGTTGAGCAAAGGTTTCAGGATGTTACTACTACTCAAGTACAATTGTTTGGTGTCATTCCGGTGGCTCAGAAAGGTCTACATGTCAAGATATGAAGGCTTGAAAGCTGTAAAATTTGTTTATGTAGTGCTTTATAGAGTTTATTTACACGGCATAAATCATATCCTTGGTAGCTGCAATTTACTGGTAAGGCAGTTTGGTAGCTTGAACAGTTTATAATTCGAATAGGAGGCGTATTGATTTTGGTAAAACTGATTCATGCAATTTTTGATGCGCTACGTTGCTGGTAAGTTATTAACAATGGAAATGAAAACCCAAATTTGCTGCTTGAATATTATGGTTTTCCGCCTTCGCCTTGCTATGTTAAACCCCTCTTATAGATCAATGTAACCAAATGTTGAATTAGATGCGTTATGTTTTTGGGTGGATGGGCGTAGCACCTCCTCCAAACCCTCTCCCCAATGCCGGCTTCATTCACCTTGTACAGTACACAATTCTTTAGATTTTGAAAGGATATGATTTGTTTGTTGTCTACTTTTTTTGAATGTTTTACAGTATATATAGTGAAGACTAGTATAGTGAAGATAGGGCCATATAATGGAGTTTGCCTTTCCAACACAATTACTCAAGCACAAGATGTAGGATTACTCGTCAAAAAAAAAATAACCTTTTCAATCAATTCGGATGCAATTAGTCAGCATTTCCTCGAATCATACAATTTATCCTTCAATTCTGCCCCAACATCAAAGAGTTGCAAGCACTCACAGCTGGTCAACGCAGAGCCATGTGTCCATGATTTCTTATCAGCAATACAAAGGGTGTTGAAAGACTGGCAACTCACTAAGCATCGAACAAGATGGCACTGGTTATATATGAGGCAATTGTGTCGAGACGTTGAGATACCATGAAGCAAGTAGTTAATATGATGATACAAAGCTATCAATACATTTATTAAATAAAACAACGTTGTGTAAATTCGGCATTAAATTGTATAGTAAGAGGGTAAAACGAATGTGGAATATAATTGATATAAGAAAGGAGCGATACCCTTTAAGCCTTGGTGCGGTAAGCGCTACCCTTGGTCTTACCAAGACATTCAGCAACAGAGACAAACTTGTAGTTCTTCTTACTCTTAATGTAAGAGATGACCCAAGGAACCAACTGTTCGGCAGTCTTTTGGTAGACATCGTGATGAAGAGCAATGTGGCCATGAGGGTTAGTCTTGGAATCCTTCTCAATGACATCCTTGTAGTTTTTTTGTTCGTGAGAGAGACTGGAAATATCGCTGTATCTCCAATCGTTGCTGTCAATATCCCAAAGAACAGCAGTGTAGCCGAGCTCACCAAGAGTCTTGAGGGTGGTGGTATCGTAAGAACCAGCGGGAGGACGCATGTAGGTGGGGTTCTTGCCAATGATAGAACGGAAGATCTTTTCGAGCTTTTGCATTTCAGACTTGACCTTGGTAGCACTTTGGCCACCGAGTTCAAGATGGCTGTAAGTGTGAGAGGCAAGTTGATGACCAGAGTCGTAAACATGCTTGATAACTTGCTTATAAGTCTTGGTACCAGCAGGGGTCTTTACAGATTGAGTGTTAACATCACTATGGATACAAGTTAGATCAATGCATATTACATAAACATTCATTCAGCATTGACTTACACCCAGTTTTGACCATTCATGAAGAAAGTGGCAGTAACACCCTCCTTCTTGAGGGTTTCAGCCAAGGCCCAAGTATATTCGTATGGTCCATCATCGAAAGTCAATGCAATGGTACCGGGAACAGTACAGGTCTCAATAAGCTTGGCAGAAGCAGCTCTCTTCTCAAGAGGAGCAGGGGCAGCAGAAACAGCAGTGGCAACAGCAGCCAAGGTAATAAGGAATGAGGTACGCATTTTCTTATGTAAATGAAGGTAAAAAAAGGATTGTAGTTGAGGAAAAAGATAGAGATTTGTGTCCAAGATGCAACATTGGAGCTCTTTTTATATGTTTTCTGTGATTCAGATTATCGCAGTTACTCGTGCGATTTTTAAACAATGTTGCTCTTTTGTACACCAGCAGGATAATGGTTGTAAAGACATTGTTCCGTTTTTAGACTTCTTCTCTCGCCTCACATACGTGACCTCCTTGATTTTTCAATGAAAATCATCGTTTTGTTATCATACAGCATGGCACAAACATCACTCTATAACGAATGCATCTTTATTCTGTCATGAGCATCTCAATCCAATGCCACGATAAACTACATTGTATCATTAAGTCTATTTATAATTGAATAACCGCAGTTTAATGGGTGAAATGGACTTTTCGTTTGTAGCATGAAACACCCTTCCAAAAACTTTAGTTTGATAAGTGTGTGCAAATGCTACAATGTTCTATTGGAAAATATCTATTTTTTTTTTACAATTCTAGATACTCTAGCAATCATCACTCAAGCACGAAAGCATTGCCAGTAACACAAGGAGGTGTAAGTGCTATTTTTTTTTTTTTTTTTTTTTTTTTTTTTGCAACAGCTTTACCAAGAGTAAAAAAAAAAAAAAAAGTACATTTAAAGTAATAATAAACGTTTTGTCGATTAGGGCTTATACCGTTTGCCTGGGTTATGGAATGATAAAATTGCTTTTTCTGGCAATTACAGAGTTTGATGTGTGTCACCGATGAAGGTTGCACGATTTTTAATTGCAAGTGTAGATTTTCTGGTCCAATTCTGTAGTACATGATGTTAAACTCTCTCCTCTCTTTCTTTTTGACGCTGTTCTTGTCGTTACTATCCTCAGTTAACCTAATTTGCAAGTAGTAAACCAAAGATAGAAACACCTTATCGTCAATGAAGCCAATATTTGGTGATAATTCCGCCTAAATGACATGATATCTGGTCTCAATGCCAAAACTGAATAAATGTATTCACACTTGAAGAAATTAGAAATCAAGGAAGAATTATTCTGGGATCTTTTTTTGAACAACAGAGTTTTCATTTCCCTTCTCCTGAAATGCAAATGCTTTGTAGCACGTTTTGCATATTACTATTTCCTCGTATTTCCGCTGGCCATCTATTTTTACATAATAAGCATCTCGTAATCAAAGACATTTGAATCCTTAAAAAATAAAGATGGTTTTAATTTTAGAAACTCTGTGTATTTGATGCATCCTCTGTATGACAAAGATGGATTGAGATGGACGATTATGCTTGCATGTTTACAAGACAGAAACGTGTTTGACAGACTTGTTTGATGCATTCGGCGTAAGCTGTCTCTGACACCTTACCATTTATCCTTGTAAAAAGCCGCCGCCATGCGATATTCGTAATAGAATCTCGGGTGCTTCTTTATTCCATATGGAGTCGCTTAGCATGCATTCAGGGCCAAAATATCCGTATATTGGTAAGCTGGTAGACGACACTAAGTAATGTGTGCGATTCTTTCTTGGTCTATTTTTATGCAAATAAGATCGAGTAAAAATATCCTTTCATTTTGTTAGAAGACCTCGGAAGGAACAACACAGAAAATCACTTCTTTTCAGAGCAATGCATCCTTCCTTACCGTTGCATAGTAATAGCTAAAGAATGCGACATAATCTGTCTTCCACTATCATGCGAAGCCCCCCCCCCCACAGATGATTTGCAACTGCAAACCTGGCTTTCCTAAAGTATGAATCAATAAAAGCAGCTTATATTTGGGCAGGATGCAAACTTGCATTGCCTCTTACTATTCGAAAATCCGCAAAACACAGCCGAATCCGAGAATATTTCAGCCGTGATTTCTCGTGTTGGAGCCGTTTTAGACCGTCTGAATAGCACCAAACAATTGCCCTGAGCTAGCAGCAACTGTCTGACACGTTTGCTCAACTTTTTGAAGACCCAAAAAACATGGACAAAATCGACCAAAAAGCATGAGGTACCCCTCATGGTTTTCATCGAAAATCAAACGATCGCGTTTTTCCCCTTGATAATGAAGACTTTTACTATGGTATATATCAAATCAAAATGTTTCTATCGATCTAACGTAACCACTGAAATCATCTTTGTGAGATTTTGCTATGTAAAATTTCGGCTTTTTGACCAGAAACCTCTTTTCATATTTTCATAAATTGCTCAATAAGTTTATTCAAAACATCTATCTTACTTGGTACCATTGGAAGCGCCTTGAAAAGTGCTCCAAAAACAGCTTAAGGAGCTGGGGTGATGATGATGATGATTTATATAGCCAAATCTAGCAAAATAAATCAAATAAGTCTTTATTTTATCAAAAATAAACGAATGGAACAGAATGAAAGCCGGAGATTAAACTGATTTTGGCGGTGGCTACTGGCAGAAACGACCTGTTAAAACTATTGATGCTCTTGAAAGCAAATATAGAGCACGTTATTTATGCCATCAATGTATTCGAGAAGCTAAACTAGTTATTTGTAAAAAAAAAAAATTGATAAATCGATCAACTGTTATTTTTTTATTTAATTTTATTACTAATCCTAATGTGCATAGGTGACAGCCATTACTCAAGAGCTGTCTTGTTCTGTGATACTGGCACTATTTAAGCACGGTACTAACTAAACACGTTCAGCCGGTGAATCTGCAGGGATCGTCTGGGCAACATATTCTTCTTTACTAGCTGACTGGAAAACATGATACTTTCTGATGTGAGCCCAAAATGCTCCACGGCTTACATAATAGTGATTGCATTTTGCACAATATAGCTTGGGGTGATGAATATCAATCTTGGCGTCTGGATTTACATTGATCTTTGGGATCTTGGGAAATACCATACGATGGACACTCCTGCAGTGGCATCTGTAGCGCGTCCTGTTAGGAAATTGACTTTTGCATACAGAGCAATAGTTATTTGGATCCAAAGGATCCGGAAGATGGTTGGGATCCTGCAGAAAAGTTCGCTTTACTACCATATGATGAATTTTTCGAATATGCAAATGATAACCTAATTTTGACGTATACGTATAATCGCATACAAGGCAGTGGTTGTTTGGATCATCCACGTCAGGCACAGGTCCTTCCTTTGGGGGCGGTTTTTTGCTTAGAGAATGAACAGCCAGCATGTGCTCTTCAAAGGCCCTTTGGTTTGCAAGCGTCATATCACAATTGCAGCAGTAACGATCGGGGTTGTTGATGTCTGGTTTTAGCTTGATTCTCTCCAAGTAGGCTGCTTCGTTTTCTACGCCGTGTTGGATGAACACATGAATCTGGAAACTGGTTTTACTACAGAGCATCTTGTCGCAAAGGCTGCAGTAAGTGTCATCGGCGGCTTTTGAGTCTGGATCAGGCGCTTGATATTTCATTTGATGTTGGTAATGGCAATGTGCTCTGTACTTTCGTGGCGATTTTTGAGTTACATTGCACACTCTGCAATAGAGGTTGGGATCATGGAAATCAGGTAACTGGGCTTTTAAAGGCATCTTTTGAGGGCGCTCCATGTTGTGTGTCTTCCTACAGTGTATCCAGTAGTTATACTTTGACCTGTATCTGCGTCCACAGGGCTTGCAGTAAAATTTTGGGTTGTCCCAGTCTGGAAGGATGCCATTCTGTCTTACTGCTTGTTGTGTCTTCAATATCATATGATGGCAATCCCGTAGATGTTGCCTGTACCCAACTTTCTTCGCAAACTTGTGAGCGCATGATCTGCAATAGTGTTTAGGATGATTGATGTTTGGCTCTCGGTTGACGTATTTGATTGGCCTTCTGTTCTTGGCGAGAGCTGGGTGTACCTTTTTGCGATGCTTCAATATCACTTTCAAGCTGGGCATCTCTACATTGCACACATTACAAAAGTAGTAATAGTCTCTGTTTAGGAATGGGTCTACCACTGGAGCTGGAAACAGTTGCGTTCACTTAGTGAATGATGCATTGGCATGAGATCTACTTACCAGCTCGAAGTGAAGAATCGGGTTTCTCTGTAGCTTCTTGCTTGATGTGGATGCCAAGAGAACGGCTACTATCATGTTCGTCTTTGAGTCGTCTTGGCTGCCCTGACGCGCTCAACAGATTTCTACTTCTCAGTTGCATCCTAAGTATCAGAGAAAGAAACACGAAAAGCAAATCAAAAACGCCGATACCATTACTATTGCGTTTAAGCCACCCTCCTCTACCTTCGCTAGGGCGCTTCAGACTGTGTCATGCGTTGCAGGAAAAGGAAATTTACGCACCCAAGATGGCAATTCTTTGGCAATCATTGATATTAAATCTGACGTGGATGTGTCTTGTCTTTGAAAACAACATGCGATGCTTCTATCGATTGGGGATGTTCACCTTTGCTTTCAATTAGCTCGTCCCGTTCCTGGATCAGTCTTTAATGTAATTTCAACCCCTATGCTTTATGTTCAAGATTGATTTGAGTGTCATATTTCTAGCCTGCCTTCAGGGCTCATATTGCTATTGATAGTTACAGTTTGCCCTCAGTCACCATGCAACAGTGCGTTTCACTTGAGCTCCTCTTCTGTGGAATATACTGTACGTCCCAAAAATGATGGCATGACATATGATATGATCTCATTCATATCTACCATCTCAAGCTACATGCTGTAGCTCTCTCAACCAGCATAGTGTGAGTATGCCCCAACAGCTGCTCAAAAACCATAACCCATTATCCAATTTGCCATGCGCCACTTTTATCCTTCATCAAGAATGATGGTGTAACCCATCCTTTGTAATGCAACTTTCGCCCCATGTTGTATGCCATACACATGTGCAATAAATAACGTTGTATAGCTGACAGAACGTTTAATGCACATGCAAATACATCCCAACGACCAATGAGGCGCAAATGTCCATTGATTTGTATTCATTACTGTGAGTATACTTCTTTGGGCAAATGTTGGGTACAGCTACATAGAGTCACATTCAATAAACCTGTATAGAAAAAAAAAAAAAAAAAAAAAAAGTTTGTCTGCATTTTTTCCGTCTCTTCTTTCCCTTCAACTTTTTTGATCATGGAACAAGCACAGGATCCAGAGAACGCTGTTATCCACAAGCAATTCGAGGAAGCCTGTTCAGATTTTCAGGTACAGTGCGCTTGATAGACAGATTAGTAGGCCAAGATGGCTGACATGATCCATCCCAGGTACCTGCAACAAGAGCAGCAGCTGAACAGGTCTTGACTCAGTTTCGTCAAGTGCCCAAGGTGCTTCCAGCATGTCAATACATTCTAGGTAAGTCATCACCTATATGCTCGAGTATCAGTCGGCTCATTCTACTTGCAGAGCATGCTTCAAATGCCATGGTTCAGTTTCAAATCTCCTTGGCCATTGGCGATGTTGCTGTCAGGGATTATACGCTTTACGACAAGGCTGATCTCTTGAGACTCAAGAATTTCATGATTGAGTTTTGTCTGCAAAGAGAAGAGTGAGTACCTCAAGGGTTCGATAAAGGCACTGTGCTGATGTATTGATAGTCTAGTCAAGTATGTGCGTGATCAGCTCGTTTTGGCAGTTGCTTTGATCACTAAACGCAGCTTGTTTGACGTCGGCAATGAAGACCGTGAAGCCATTCTTCTCGGTATCAAGCAACTGCTAGCCATGGATGCTGATAATGCAGTACGTACCTCTATACCTAGTCCACACACTGGATACTAACCCTATGCAATAGCAAGTGCTTGGATTGGCTTTGGCCAACGCACTCGTGGATCAATTCTCCAACACCAAATCAACCACCATTGGATTAACATGGGAACATCACCACAATTGCAAGCTCTTTTTTGAAGCCAACCTTCTGCTGCCCCTGTTTGAACAAGTGCTCACCAAACTACACGCCTTCGTATCGCATGTACAGCAGCTACCAGACAACATACCTGCCATCTTGGTAGAAATGTTGGTGTTATTGGAAAAGATGCTGCAATGGGAATTCGAGTCCACCAATGCTACACCGACACTACCCGGCACATTTGCAAAGGAATCTGATTTGGACGATTTTGACAGAGACGATGGACCCTCTGCAGTGAAAAAAACCTACGTTGTGTTTCCCAAAGAGTGGCAGCCAGTGATTGGCAGCAACGAGGTGTTGTGGTTGTTCTTTATGGCCTACAACTTGGTACAGGATGATGATGCGTTGGGCCATCGCTGCAGACAATGTTTGATTCAACTGGCTGGATTTCAGCAAGACTTTTTTGGCGACAATCAGGAAACCATCCAAGGTTATGCTACCACCATGATTCATGGCATCCGAAAGATGATGACAGATGTTACTGCGTTTGGCACAAGCCCTGATGCTTTGAGTGAGCAAGGTCCTCAGATGTTGGGTACCATCCAAATGATTCGTCGCTTGTTGGAGAATGTGTCGCTGGTCATCTTATGTCGCATTCCTGACTTTTTTGCCTTTTTGAATGAAGTAGGTTTGATCACTGTGAGCTGTCTGGGTGGCACGGTGACAGATGTGGACGAAGGCTGGATTAGTGAAGCATGTGATGAGTGCTTGCAGACCTGGGTTAAGATGGGTATGTATAGTGAATGACATGATATTCAGGCGAAAGAGCACTAACCAAGGTGAGCAGCCGATATTGTTCAGCCCAGTGATCCTCGTGGAGCAGATCCCAAGGCGGGATTGACACCTGATCAGGCACAACATTTGACACAATACATGACAACGGTGGCTTACCAAGTTGTGGAAACATACATCAACACTCGTCTTGAACGTGCAAAACTAGTATTGGAAGACGAGGAAGAAGAGGACGAAATTGATGCAGGATTCAAGGATTGGGACACATTTGCGGATCAACTCAGCTGTATTGGCACACTCGGCAGACTCAACCCTCAGCCCACGTTGCAGCGTCTTTTTCAATTACTCACTGAGCGATTTGAGAGCTTCAAAGGCTTCTTCACTGCACCCAATATCAACGAACAAGAGCTCATCTTCTTGCATGAACAGCTTCATTGGATTATTTTGATTGCAGCACATGTTTTGGCAGACACTGGCAAGGGAGAACAGCCCATGATTCCTGAATTTTTGATGCAATTGAGTGGATCACAGTCTTTTGAGCAAGATCAAGTAGTCAACTTGTCGCAATTGTTCTTGGAAGTGTTTCGATTCAGCTCTAGTTTCAGTTCTTCATCTGTGGAAGCATCCAACTGCAGTCCTCGTGTGGCAGAAACATTGGTGTGGTACATGGAGAGATGGAGCAAGTCGTATTTGTTGGTGGATGAGAACGAGTATGGGTACATTAGCCCTAACATTGCAAAAGCCTTTGGCAGACCAGGTCCGTCGGATGGACAGGGCTTGAGAATCATTGATTTCTTTATAGAGCAAATGAAGATCAACTTTATCCTCTGGAATGCTGATCCCGATGTGCTTGCTCAGCTTGTGACATGGCTCGATACATGCGGTACCTCCAACAATCTCAAGAGAGGCTTGTTGCAGTCAGGTACGTGCTTTAATAGGCTTTGTAAACAGTGATATTGATACCAGCAATACAGCACAATTCCCTGATTTGGTGCAATTTGTTACTCAAAATTTGGAGCAACTCCCAGAAGCTATCCACAACTCACTGATCCAGACCATCGCTACCATCTCAAGTTATGCCATTGACGAAACCACCAAAAACAGCTATTTCGGCCTGATGTTCAAGATGATTGAAGAGAGACTTGGGTCACTGTTGCATCGACCTGATTTCCAACAAGTATATCAACGTGCTGAAATCATCAACCATGTGATTGGGGCTTTAGAGATGTTTGACGGTCTAGCACTAGCATGCCAGTATAGCAACACACAAACCATCTTTCAATTCTGTGCTCGGTTCTTTGAGAGCTTTGTGCAATTGATGTCAGTGTACAAGACGGTGCCTGAAGTGCAGTTGGCCATTTTGCAGCTGTTTGCTGATCTGTGCAATCGACTCGACTTTGGACTATTAAGCGACAATGACAAGCAAATGCTGTTCCATACCATCATTGAGATTGTCAAGATCTATGGTATCTCCAACCAAAACAAGAAGCGAATGCACACACAGGAAGAGGAAGAAGACAAGCCTTATGCTGATATTTCGACTGTGTTGATCATGCTCTCCAATATCATGTCTTCGGGCATCGAGGATTTCAGTAGAAAGGATGTGGCTGACAAATCTGATATTGCCAATGTCGTGTTGTTTGGTATCAATATTGTGATTCCCATGATTGACATGGAAATGCTCAAGGTAATATACGTGTCTACATCATGCGACACTGATACTCATCACAGCCGTGTATAGATTCCAAGCCTGTGTCAACAATACATCCAGCTGATATCTCACCTGATAGAAGTCTTCCCTGACAAACTAGCGGGATTACCTACACCACTGTTCCTCAATCTAATGGCCAGCTTAGAATACGGCATTCGCCATGATATTGCTGACGTCAATATACTCACACTCCATGCCATCACGCCTTTAACAATGTGGTCCTTCCAGCAGCATGCCAGCGGCATACCAACAGATTTCCTCAAAGAGTCGCTACAGAAATTCCTGCAAGAACTGCTCAATTGCCTACTATTCCAACACTTGGATTCCAACGTCATTGACGCTGCATCAGACGCTCTTTTGGCACTGATTTGCTCGCAACGACAAGTGTACATGGCACTGGCAAATCAAATTATCTCACAGCAACCCGCCGATATTCAGTCCAGATTGATGCACGCCTTCCAGAAATTAGATCAGGCTACACCCCAACAACCTCATAGAAATGTGCCTGAATTTAAGGAAGCTCTGTTGGCCTTCCTGATGGATGTGCGTGCTGTTTTGAGAGTGAAATAAATGGCCGTTCCTGATTTGTCATTTGATTTCTGTACACAGTCCGGCTATAAATAGGGCGATGATGGCCCCTCATTTTTTTTTTTTTCTCATTTGGATCTTTTTCTCTTTTTATTTATTACACTATTTGAAAATGGCCAAAAACAACTATGCCTCCATTATAGACAATAACGACACATCTGCCTCCTCCATCTCCTCTATTCCTGCATTGTCTGTCTTTTCAGACATTGGCGCTTCGTTAGATGAGCAAAGGCCACTCCTCACCAATTCAACTGTCGATTCCTCCGTTTGCTCCAATGTGGAAGTCTGCTTTGAGGAGCCCAGTGCTACGATAGCAAGCGCTGCCATCAATTTGTCCAACACGATTCTTGGTACAGGCATGCTGGCCATGGTAAATGATGCATTGGGATTCAGCCTGTTGATAGAGATATTAATCTAGTGTCATAGCCTGCTGCTCTGGCTTGCGTTGGCCTCATTCCAGGCATGCTACTCATCCTGTATGCTGGCGCTACGTCAGGCCTTGGTCTTTACTTTCTAGCAAGGTGTGCAGGAAAAGTAGGGGGCAGACATGCGTCGTTTTCTTCCCTATCGAAATTAACGTGGCCTAAATTAGGGATATTTTTTGACATGGCCATTGCAATCAAATGCTTTGGAGTGGCCATTAGTTATTTAATTATTCTAGGTGATTTAATGCCTCAGGTATTTAGAGGAGGGAGAGACGAGGAGAGACAGAGAGATTAAACAGGCTTTTGTACAGGTTATTCGCTCATTTTTCCATCATGCAGAGGAGAGTGAATTGCTCATGGATAGACGCTTTTGGATTACATTATTTATCCTTACGGCTGTGGGGCCACTCAGTTATCTTCGAAAACTGGACTCGCTCAAGTACACCAGTCTGATTGCGCTGTTCGCTGTGGCTTACTTGGTCATCATCGTGCTGTATCACTACATTTCTCCCAACTTTCCGCCTCCACCCCCTGAAGCGATCGAGTACTTTCATTTCTCGACAAAGATCTTTAGTCAATTACCTGTGTTTATATTTGCGTTTACTTGCCATCAGAATGTGAGTGTGCTTTGGGAATCTTTGTTTGTTTATGTGTACTGAATTCTATTATTAGATCTTTTCTGTGCATAACGAGCTGCAAGACAATAGTGAGAGATCCATCATCAAGGTCATCTTTTCTTCCATTGGCTCTGCTGCCTTTATCTATGAAGTGGTTGCTGTGCTCGGCTATCTTAGCTTTGGAAAAGATGTGCTGGGCAACATCATCTTGATGTGTAAGTTTGTAGAGAGCCAATGTGCGTTGTAGCGACCTGAGCACTTACCGTTTGGAACAGATCCCCAATCTTACTTCGTCGCCTACGGAAGATTGGCCATTGTGATTCTCGTCATTTTCAGCTATCCACTTCAAGCACATCCCTGCAGAGCTTCCATTGACAAGATTATCGAATCTTTCCACCACCAGAAGCAATTGCCTCAGCAACAAGATGTCGTTATTGTGAATCACACCAAGCGACATCTCATTGTCACCACATGCATCGTTGTTGCGACTTACTTGGTTGCAATCACTATATCTCAGCTGGATCTCGTATTGTCATTTGTGGGATCCACTGGATCAACGACCATCTCATTCATTCTTCCCGGCTTCTTCTACCTCAAGCTATTCAAGGAAGATGGCTGGCATTGGAAGCGCTGTGTTGCTTTATTCTTGGTTGTTTATGGATTCATGGTCATGTCTATTTGTTTGACATTCAACATCAAGCGGCTATTATAAATAAACAGCATGCCAATTTGAATCTAGATACCGTATCACTGTTGGTGTTGTTAGTCTTTTTGTACAATGAAATTTAGTTGCATACATTGAGTTGATTGCTTTAGGGCACGGTTGGTTTGGCTTGATTGAAAAAGAGCCATTATATTTCAAGAGATAAAAGACCACTATAAGTTCTACTAGTCTAACTGAACGACACTACAATACAATTTGTAACAATGTACATGGTCAGGGTAGTACGTATAACGTATCCCTGTAAAGCATACAATTAACCTCCACGCCCTCCCTCTTGTTCTACTCTTCTTTTTCAGAATTGCTTAAACTATCATTCTTTCTGGAAGTATTTATATAGATTGAAGAAAATCCAGGTTTAAATATTAGATGCTTATTTCTCACAATGAAAAGACACCTTTATGGTGCATAATGAAAGAAAAAATTTTAAACATATATATAGCCATGGATTTTTCTAATCTTCCTCAAACTATATCCTCCTCTCTTCACATCCTACACAAATGAACCATCAACGAATCAATGATGTTGAAGATCTCTCGGCCTTCTACTCTTGTCCTCCAACATCTTCATCTCAAGTGTCTTTGCAAAGCTATGATTCCGAATACTCTGTTCGCTTGAGCCCTATCAGTCCGACAAATGATTCTGCTGGCCAAAGATTGCCTTCCATCGCTCAAGTCTTGTCGTCATCACTCAGTGATGCTTTCCTATCACCCACATCGTCCACTTGCTCTTTGAATCAGTCTTTATCCACACCCGCGTGTCCGTCTTTGAGCTCTTCGCATTCATCCTCTACTATATCTTCTATTTCATCCAATCTCTCTGATCATATACCTCAACAGGCAACAAGAAAAACATTGCGAAGAACAACTACCTGTATCTTTCCTACCAATCGTCGTGGAAGGCCAAGAAAGAATCCCGCTGCTACTGCTGCTACAGCAGCTACTAGCGCCTCCACCACCATCACCAGCAAAAAGGGATGCAAAGGCAAAAAAAAGAGTGAAAATGAAATCAAAATCATCAAGAGTGAGTATGAAAAGGCCACAGTACCAACGGCAACAGCAGCATTCAATCCAACTTTGAGGTCAGGCGTTGATTTTGCGTCCAACAAACCAAGATGGCAAGATTTTGAAAGACAAACCTTGATTGAAAGCATTGTACAAGAAAAGGAGCTGGATAACATGTCAAGTATTCCCTGGGATAAGGTGTCTAGAGTGGTTGGACGTGCCAAGAAAGCTTGCCAGGATCAGTGGCGTAGAGAAATCTTGCCTCATTTGCTCAAGGGATTTGTTCGCCAGAACCAAGGTTGCTTTCAAGATAGTGAGATGGTAGATCAGCAGTAGTGTCTATAATTACCTTGGATCAATATATTAGAGTCTTTTTTTTTTTTTTTTTTTTTTTTTTTTTTTTTTTTTTTTTCATTCGGGTTACCATGATCTACAATGCATTATTTCGGGAACACGGTTCGCCCTATTTTTATTGGATGTACCACACAAAAACCCTTTGTCTTTGATTCTAACTGTATTGTTGGAAAGATAATAAGGCTCATAATTAGATCTCTTGCCATTGTTGCTCAAGGCTTTTTTCAGCGTGCTATCCCCGTGATTCACTGTTTGTAATGTTGTGAAGCTGCGTTTAAAGGAAAGAGTTCAATGGGATCACGCCAAAAGACGCAATGCAATGGAGAGAGCAACAGGAACATTTTATTTTATCTACAAGAATTGACGTCTATGCAAGAAACTAATTAAATCATACTTTGTAGCCACACCAAGACACCATTTTCTGTTTGCATCAGTGATTACAGCAAACGAGTTCTTCTCAAAGAACTTGGCGAGATCAGCCAAACTAGTATCAGGCGTGATGATTTCATATTTGTTGGCAACCACGCCCTTTTTGAACGAATACATGGCGTCACCAACGGTATCCGCCAACTGAACCGAGCCACTTTCCAAACGATCTTGCAAGGCACTCAAAGATACGTATCCTACCAATTTGCGATTTTTGATCACGGGTAGTTGGGAATACTCACGTTCCAGCATAAGATCCATAGCGTGGGATACAGTCGCAGTGGGAGCAATAGTGACCGCAGCAGGCAATTGAAGATCCTCCACACTAGCAGCACGATATCTATTTTGAGAGATATACTGCAACTCGCTTGTGATCAGGTCATCGGCCAAGTCATTTTCGAACAGCCAGTCATCTGATAACAGGGTGGATGTGTAGTTCTTGCAAGAGTCGTTCAGGATGACAACTGACTGTGGAGTGTGTGTGCTGTGGTTAGTGATGGCGTGTGCATGATGAGCAGCTGCAGCAACCAAGGCACCTGATGAAGGTCCACAAAGAATGCCTTCATCACGAATCAATCGACGTGCCATGGAGTATGCCTCCTTGTCAGAGATCTTGATCCATTCGTCCACCAGGTTCTTATCGAGGCTGTCTGGAATGACGTTGCTGCCCAAGTCTTCAATCTTCCAATCCTGTGTACAGAGTAGATGATGAGCATACACATGTCGGACACACTAGATCCATCACTTACAACACCACGCACAGGCTTTGCCGATCCATTGTCTCCCAGCGCAGAATCAGTGGGTTCAACGCCAATGACCTAACCACTCATCGTTACAATCCACTACGTTATCATTGACAACAAGCACAAACCTTCACACCGGGCATCTTGTTTTTGAGATACTGTGCAATGCCTGTCAACATGGCACCTGATTCAACGCCCACAAACACATAATCCACAGACAGTTTTGTTTGTTGAAGGATTTCCTCTGCCAAACCATGATAGGCTGTCAAATCACGTAATTTCGTCTAATGTATACTCTTGTTTCAGACCTCATCTCATCTCATCTCATCTAAAGAGCTTGCCTACCTCGTCCATGACAATAGCGTTGGGCAGCTGTTCAGCAAGTCGAGCAGCAACCGAATGCGCGCTTTCTGGTGCTTCGGGTCTGACTTCATTGGGTGATCTCAGGATTTCCACGCCTAATGCTTTTAACAAAGAAATGCGATCGTTGGATGTACGTTCTGGCAAGATGGCAATGATACGGTATTGACGCTTAGCGGCCAGAGTAGCAAGTGAGATGCCAAGATTACCAGATGTAGGGATAATCAAGGTCTTTTTACCAGTGGCAGCATCTCTGGATTCGAATGGGTTCTTTTTTTCGTGCTCTGTGTAGACATGCTTAGCATCGATTGTAGCAAGCTAACGGCAATGATACCTACCATCCAGCAAATACCTTGCAAGCCTATCCTTTGCGCTTCCAGTAGGATTCATGTACTCTAGCTTTGCAAGGATATTGACTGATTGAATGACATGATGGACAGGTCATGCTGGTCAGTCTCTCAGTCAAATGTCCAACCGATATGACATTACCTTTGTTCTGTGGGGTCAGTTTGACCATGGGCGTGGATCCAATGCTTTCTTGGATACTATCAGTGATGGGAGGCAACATGCTTAACCTGTAAGATACGTGTCTTGATAAAGAGGGAAAAGAGAAGAAAATGCATTTGTTTATATGATTTTGGGCATGAAATAGTAGACCAATAGAAATCACCAGGGCCAACGCACCAATTGACCTGATGATTTGAGTAGGGCTGATCACATGTACATACACACTCACTCTCACTCTACCTCTCTGCTAATAAATATCATGATTATGCGGGTTTCTTTTTCTTTTTTTCCTTTTTCCTTTTCTCTTGTTCATTATTTTATATTACTGCGGTTTATATATACAACAACATTATGCGTTCCAAGTTCAAAGACGAGCATCCATTCGGTAAGTCTGTCTGGTGCGCTGCGCCATAGAGGAAGGAGTGTGCAGTAGCTCATCTATCTTCCATCCTAGAAAAGCGTAAGGCCGAAGCAGAGCGAATTCGACAGAAATATCCCGATCGTATTCCTGTGATTTGTGAAAAGGTGGAAAAGAGCGATATCCCTACAATTGATAAGAAGAAGTATCTGGTGCCTGCAGACTTGACAGTGGGTCAATTTGTCTATGTGATCAGAAAGAGAATCAAGTTGAGTCCAGAGAAGGCTATCTTTATCTTTGTGAATGAAATCTTGCCACCTACTGCGGGTATGTCTAGAGACTTTTCATGCAGCCCAACATTGACACGACTAACACTATTTTATCCACAGCTTTAATGAGTGCTATCTATGAAGAACACAAGGATGAAGACGGTTTCTTATATATCACGTAAGTTGTAGTAGTAGTAGTAGTAGTAGTAGTAGTAGTAGTAGTAGTAGTAGCATGGCTCAACCACGTAATGGATTTACTCACATGATACATTTTCAACCATAGTTATTCTGGTGAAAATACATTTGGCTTTTAAACGTTTTTTTTTTTTCAACTTTTCATGTATTAAATGTATATTCCTACTATCCATCACAAGTTGCTTTTCTCTCTCTCTCTCTCTCCTTTTATTTCTTCTTTCCGATCTATAATAAACTCCACCTCCTTATTTCTCTCTTTATCTCTTATACTCGAAATGAAATGAGATCATGCCGAATGGTGGAGAGAAACTTAAGGAGCACTGCTTAAATTAACATGTGCACTGGATGATTAATTGAATTGATGTTGATGACATTTTGCTGCGGGTTGATGTTTATTAGATAGAATATATATATATATATATATATAACAATTGGCTTAAATGTTCAACTTGGTGTGACGCCAGTTACGTCTCTTTGCGTTCCAACTAGTAGTAGTCAATGTTAGCTCTACATGTTGTATCTACTACAGAGAGACTTACCGAATCTTGGTGTCAGTCTTAAGACGGAACCAGTGAGGCAAAGGACGGTTTTGCTTCTTAGCCTTTCCAAGCTTAACCTTGGTAATGAATGACTTTTGAGAAGGCTACATTTCAAGATGGCGTTAGTCGCTGTCTCATCCAATCCATCCATCCATCTATCAAATCATCCATCCATTCACAGTATTTCGCATCCATGAGATAAAACAAACAATGACGGTGATGGTGATGGTGATGGCAAACGGATCAATGTAGCATACCATTTCTGTATTCTGATCAAGTGAAAGAAGAAGACATTTGTGGGCCAAATCCTGCTTTTTGTGTAAACGCACACCCCCACACCAGCATGTCCCCTTTGGAGCACTTCTTGGGCAGACGCTCCCATATCTAAAACCGGACAATTTTATTTGTGGCCCCGTCTTTACTACATGCCACAGTAGAACCCTAAAGCCATGCTAGATTCGTTCATCTGTCGTAATAACAGCATTACTGTATTCACACCTATATAAACGGCATAGATGCTTAGTGTAAATAAGAGCTGGATTCATATAAATTAACAATCAAAAGCCTAAATCTCTTGTAGATCCAGCTGTTTTTGAGTACTAGTTCACCAAGTTGATGTGATTTCGGCTGCTGGTTTGGTGAGTTCATTATGAATTAGTTGATGCATTCCATTACTGCTATTTTCATGGATAGGTATTTTGATGAAATGAGTCAAAGCCGTTAATTTTCTGTCATTACTACAATGCTCTGTACATTGGATCTTGGATTTATGATTTGCATTTTGCTAAATACATGCCATTGCAATCTTTCCAAGGCGCAAAAATCATAAACAGTTGTGCAGTAGATAAATTATCCCAACATCTTTGTTTTTATTCGACAAAGGTATTGCTGAGGTAAGCATAGTATGCAGCTTCCAACAAATTCAAGATGTAGTCTTCTTGTATAAAGACATCCTTATATACATCGTAAGAAGTCAAAGTTGGTTCTGTTTGACAGCAAGTGCTACAGGTAATAGTAAGGATTCGCATCCACGAATGTCAAATATTCCATAGGAGAGCAGTGCTGTAAAATATTTGAAAGATCATTTTCGGACAAGCGGATGTCCAGAATTGGCTTTTCCAAAAAGCATTATATCCATTATAAGATTGCCATTCAAGCTGCTTTAATGTAGCAACTGTAGTAGTTCTCCGGTATTGCCATGGCCGACAAGTCCAATGTTACAATAAGCATTGGAAGCATTGACTCTCTTCCAATCTTGATGTCCTTAAAGGTAGACTATGGATTGAGCTACGTTTACCTGTAGAAGTTGATTGTAATAAAATGATTCATTTGCTGCATGATACATGTAGCAAAAAGTATATAGAAAGTAGTAGGATAGAAGGCTAACAATCCCCTTGATTTTGGTTTTTGATATGCATACAAACCATGAGAGCGCGGCCTATGGATCTTTTGGAATCGATTTGAGGCAGCGGTAGTTGGCTTATGGCTGCCAAACGTTTATAACTGCGTTGCCTTTTGGTTCTTCAATGGCGGCTTTTCTTATCATACTGCAGTAAGATTCGGTAAGCGTTGTTGGGTTGTTCACCCATTGATAGGGAACGTCCGCTGGGTTTAGACTGCATGATGCAGGTTAGTTTTACCTCACTGATGGTATTGGTATCGTAACAGTAATTGGAGTTACTACGAGAGGAGCCCTTCATTCAAAAGAGTAGCACCTGCGGCTGTTTGAAAGGCCAATACCAGGAAGCTACCGTCTACTGATTAATGGGTGAACAACTTACGATCAGAATTCATGCTGAAAACGATATTCTTATGTTTTTCATTATACCAGATGAATACCAACAAAGCTTCGGCTATAAAGCCTTCATTGTGAGCTAGGTTTGATAGCGGAAATGCTGCTAGATCTACTTGCTAATGACAATGCTAATACATCAAAATGATAAATCGTATGCAGATGATATGAAATGGACGGGGGATTGTAAGTACTAGAGTAGCGTTTGTTGCTACGCTGTACTGAGATTAAGCCTTTGTCATTGAATGTGTTCCTCTAAGGAACACTTTCTAGCCAAAAGTTTGTATTTTTATATTTGTTATGGATGACACCCCATACTTCTCTTTCATTTTCCTCGCTTTGGAAAACACTCTGTTGAATACATCCACTATGATCTGCATTCCGACAGTTCATCCAGTTACCAGATTTAGATATAAACTGTATGTACACTGGATTAGATGTACGATATCGATTTATACTATAAGAAGATATGGACTTCAGATACGCTAGTACTATAAGATTCATACTATCTAAGGTATAGGCTATAGATGGCACCACCACGGACATGGATGGCGCTATAGACTTATACTTGTATTCCGACATTGACTACAGTTTATATCTAAATCTGGTAACTGGATGAACTGTCGGAATGCAGATCATAGTGGATGTATTCCACAACTGATTCCATGAATTTGACAATGTGGTAAGCCGTTGTACCTTTTTTAAGCTGGATCGGCTTCGATTCACTTTTGCTCCCAGCTTTTCTTTTCTTTGAAGGAGATGATCCAGGAAACTCTTTTTCAATTAGTGCTGCATCCGATTTCTTCAAGGGTTCAACTTTTGAAAAACAAACGGTGCCAAAGGAAGATATACAACCAACGATGCTGATATTTACGCCTTTCTGCGTATGAACTTTTACAATTGCTGGATCTCCTACCTTCGACCAAGCACGACTTCTCGTTAATTGTGCGTGGAAGCCAGCCTCATCAACAAAGATGCAATTTTCACTAAAACTGACACCTGCGGCTTTCCATTGATTGACTATATTGAAGCGAAGTTCGAGAGTTCTTGGAGCATCACGCTCCACAGTGTATTTTGTAGCTTGCGTGAGCGATATTGAACACTTCTCTCGGATATGTTTATACAGGTCAGGAATAGATATTTCAAGACCATTAAAATGTTCACACAACTTTAGTCTTGCCTCCTCAAGAACAATTGAAGGGCTGTTATCAAATAACTCAATCAAGAAGGCTGAATGTTGTGGAAACAGTTTTTTTGGCCCTCGCTTAAGTGCCTTAGGAATATTGCCAGGAAGTACAGAACCGTCTCCAGCATTAAACTCATCTAGCAGTTTGTAAGCACTGCTGCGGGGTATACCGCATTGCTCTGCTGCTTTTGGTACTGTTAGTCCCTCCTCTTGGATAATTCGAATGAACCGCTCAATTTGATCCTGACCGTATTTCTTATACTTCGCAGGTGTTTTGATAGTAACTTCTTGAAAAGTTTCAACAAGATTTTCCGTCACTTCCTCCATTTCAGATAACTGAAGCTCAGGAATAGGGATTATGTCCATGTCGATCAACATCTGGACTTCTCCATACTGAATGGCTAGGTCGCTAAAATCCGTTTCATCGGTGCTTTCATCGTCTGCCAAAAGAGGGTACTCAGATGGGTTGTAGTGAATGAAATCCATTGTAATTTATTTAGACTTTAAAAGTGAAAGATCTAAATAAAAGTTAAGTTCGTTTAAAAAAGAAACACACCCGTCTAAAAAAATATCTTAAATAACTGCAGTGTCAAAAAAAAAGGACAGTGTCCTGGACAGTGTCCACGTAGTGTCAAAAAAAAGGACAGTGTTCTGGACAGTGTCCTGGACAGTGTCCACGCAGTGTCAAAAAAAAGGACAGTGTTCTGGACAGTGTCCTGGACAGTGTCCACGTAGTGTCAAAAAAAAGGACAGTGTTCTGGACAGTGTTCTGGACAGTGTCCACGTAATTGTTGCACACAAGCATGCATCTTAGGCTACATTCACTTTCTCCTCAAGCCACCTTTTACAGTGTTAGCAGCATAGATGATGTTCATCGTATCACATCACATCTATGTTTACAAGTCCAGTCAATTGTGTGTGCACAGGTGCCTCAGGAACTACAATACATTCAATCTCCCCAATGTCAAGATATCGAGATCCACCTACACTACATGAAACATATCGACTTAGGTGGCCTCTCAACAAGCTATACCAACAATCCATAAGGCCCCAGTGGCCTGCTATTTATATACCATCTCAACGTAGTAGTCATTGACCAGGGATCTACCATATTTAAGCAAGCTAGATGCCCTGTAATAAAGAAGCTCTTTGCTTTCGTTTTAGATACAGTTGACAACTGATTATTATCATCGACTTATTATTACGAATTCATCACCCAGTATATTGCCAAAACTCAGAAAACAAAGCTACCCCATACTGCGTTCGATAGAACAGCTTATAGGAATTACAGCAACATAAAAACCTTATGGCTGGACTATATTTTAATCCCAGTATAACCAGCTAAAATGAGACGTGGCAAAAATGTTAAGTGGGTAATTCTAGATGATATAAAATGGTTGATATCTTTACTTCCAATAAACGTATCGAAGAAATCTAAAAAACTACCCGCGGTATGCTCAGTGTGGAATACATCCACTATGATCTGCATTCCGACAGTTCATCCAGTTACCAGATTTAGATATAAACTGTATGTACACTGGATTAGATGATGTACGATATCGATTTATACTATAAGAAGATATGGACTTCAGATACGCTAGTACTATAAGATTCATACTATATAAGATATAGGCTATAGATGGCACCACGGACATGGATGGCACTATAGACTTATACTTGTATTCCGACATTGACTACGGATGTTTACCATATCTGGATAGGCACCAAGATTAATGCAATATGAGCTTGTTGCTTCAGATGTGCACTTCATGATCCACGCTATAAGATACATGCTTATATCCATGATACTAGCTACAGATACTTTATGTACTACAGACTTGTACTATATATGAGACATGCTATAGACATGCATACGATATGCTATAGACATGCCATATATCCAGATACATGCTAAAGATGTATGCTTAGCGATATACACTCAGATATGTACTATTAATATAGACTAAGAAGACTGTACCTATCGGATACATGCTACTAGATCGATATTAATTATCCTTATAGAAAGGATAAATCAGGGTACTTCGGATGAGAGTCTAATTATTCATCCAGACAGAGCTAAATCATGATTAGCTTGCTGGAGTTGTCTTTTAGCATGATTAGACATTAGTTGATCTGAGTTGACTTATTTGTTAATCTAATTAATAGAACTTTTATCCATTGTTATAGTATATAAGAAGGATCATCTACCTGGCCAGTAGAGAGACTTCAGTTTACTTTACACCTGTCAGTTTGATAATAAAACATACCTTTATCAATTTGACATTCCTGTTTTTTTATTCTTTTTTTTCCGTGAATTTTAGTCTGTAAAGCCTCAAATTCCACACGAATAACTCATGCTACAAAGCGTTGTGGACGCTTGGAATATGGCTAAACGTCCCTCCTTGTCCGCGCTTTACTTACTGATGCTTTATCTCGAAATTTTCTAGGTTATTGCAAATTCATAAAAATCGTCGTTTTTACATGAGTATTAGCAAGGGAAAATTCTTGAAAATCAAACAATGGCGTTTTTCACCCCAAAAATGGAGACTTTTACTATGATACATATTAGACTAAATTGATCGTGAAGATGCAATGCAACACTGGAACTACTTTTTTGAGACTTTCTTATGCTAAATTTTGACATATTGGCAAAACCCCTGTTTTCATATTTTTGCAAATTGCTCATTATTTTCGGTCTGAAAGCTGAATGTAACCAGCATCATTCGATGCGCCTTCATTAACTTTTTATAGATGCATTAGAAAGTAAAGTATAACAACGACAATTTTCATAGTCAAATTTAGCAAAAACGTTTAAAGGATGTAAGATCAAGTCAAATTTGAACACAAAAATACCCACTGCTCAATTTCAAATTAAAGTGCAGCAGTTACTACGGCAGCCACGGCAGAAGACTGAGACAAAAACTACTGGCCGTGACGTCGGATAGGACGCCCTCTCATTTTTCCATACCACCGTTTTTTTTTTTTCCTTTTTGCAAAGCGCGTTTAGTATCAAACCATACTGGTTTTGGAACCCTTTTGATTGAAAATAACACTCTATCATCTCATAACACGGCCTTGCACTGTTAGAAGTACTTGATACTGCTTCTTTGAACTGGAATATAATACGTACTATTCGATAACGAGCACAGAAAAATGTACAACAAGCAATAATCGAATTTGTTTATTAGGTATCGATAGTTTTTTTTGCCTGTTTGACGCGGGTGCTGCTGTCATTACTTCTTTGCTATCTCTGCTGTTTGCTTCTTTGGTTTATTACGTCTGGTAGCTGCTTCTTGGTCTCTATCTCTGGCGGCTGCTTTGTTAATCTTTCTCTGGTCTCTGGTGTCACTCGTTCTTCGGTTTTTTTTACACTACTGGTGTTTTTGATGGTGTTGCTGATGGTGCTGCTGCTGGTGTTTCTGCTGTTAGCCTGGTCTTTCTTGGTCTGCTGTCTTTGTTGTATGCTTGTTCTCTGGTCTATCTCTGGTGATTGCCTATTCTTTGGTCTATTGGTGGCTGTGGTAAGTGGTAAGTAACTTTTTTTCTTACGGTCGCAATAATACAAAGCTTCTCTGGACGCTTTTATTATTGCTTCCTTTCTCATGATAATGCATTCATGAGGTTTTCTTTGTTGCGCGTTCTTTTTCTTTTGTTGGCTGTGATATGATCAGCTCAACGGATGCTTGCAATGTTGTTGCTTCGTATGTACGAACAACAAGCATGATGTGCTGCTATATATCTGTATTTCCTTTGTAATACTACTATGTTATATGGCCGTGAATTGTTGTTTATGTTGCCTCTGTCGCTTCACATGAAACAACATTAGTCATTATGTTGTATTGCACACTTATAATACTACTGTTGCTTCTGCAATTGTGCGTATTTGTGTTGCTTTACATCCGATTATTATCTTGCACATTGCTCATGTATGCATTTTTGTTGCAACAACAGCAAGCTGTTCTGAACATTCTTTGATGTTGTGTTTGTTATGCTTTTCTTTCACTCATTGCGTGTGAATATCCCTTTTTTACCTACATACTGCTATACCCCTATAGTAGCATGTTCTTTTCTTCTTTTTCCTTTTTTCTTTTATTATGTTTCTTTGAAGCATACCTCTTTATTACGTTGTGGTGGATGTGCCTATCGCTGAAGCACAACAAGACTTTATCCGAGACTAGGAGATGGATAGGCTGCCTCCACTTGGTTACCACTACTTACTTTAGTAATGATTGAGAGTCTTAACGCCAGAATCTAAAGCTAGGTGGTGTAAGTAAGGCATGCTCTAGCACCTGAGGGAAATTTAATGATAGTAACAGCTATATTGCTATATATAGCGGAGCTTAAAATTTTGCCTCACATCAAAACAGGGGGAAACCCTCGCAAAAAATTTTTTTAGGTCAGCGGAGTTTTCAAGCAATTTGATTGGCTCTGGGGTTGAAAGAGAAACGATCTACAACTAGTTGATTTCCTGTTGATCTGCCATTTAACATAATTTTGTCTTTTGTAATAATAAAAGCGTAATTAAATGGAAACAATTTAAATAATAGCCAATTGGAAAGAATTTAAGTCCTTCTTTGCATAAAAGTAATATAAGTTGCAATTATTGAAATAATCATCCAGTAAATAATTTTATGTAAGTAATATTTTTATAAATGCATTTTGTAGGGAAAATCATATAATAGGTACTAAAGTAGTACGGTACATTGGGTACATGGTTCTCCCAGTACCAAACATCCCGCCAAGCATGCGATGTACGGCACATCATTGATTTCCAACCTGTATGTTTCAACTTTTCCATCAAGATTTGCTATCTTTTACCGCATATGCAATCACGAGAATTGCTATTTCTTCCTTGATGTCGATTTAATATTTTCACTGAACCCGAAGATTTACAATGACTTTAGGTACCTCGTCTCTCTGTAATTTATAACAATACCTGACAAAAGGTAAAACTCCACAGCTGTAATAGTCATATTTCAAGGATTGTTAATGCAAATGCCTAGGAAAAGGTTGAGGTAGCTGAAGTTGAGCAAACGCGCTACTAGTTCTAATTTTTGTTTTCCACAGCAATCGTAAAACTATTTTTGCAAAGTTTGACAGTGAAGGAGCAGTTTTATTTCTTGTAAGATTTACTGGACTGAATGATCCATCTTATCCTCTGCGCCTGGAATTTTATGATCTGCTGGGTTGGCATTTGCTTCATACACTACATGGAATTGTTAAATGTTAAAGTAGTTCAACAAGTGCCTCTAGACGACATCTTACCTGTGATGATTGGATCACGCTTGACCTAAAGTGTATCAGTGTATACAAGAAACGTCAATAAGTCTCGAAAATCAGATATTTAGTACAGATCACAAACCTCAGTCCACTCGCCTTTAAATCCAATGAATCGCACAATGCTAGTATCATCGCCAAAGTTCTCGGGGAAAAATAGTGTGATACTTCGAACACTTGAGAATTTGGTAATTTTGGTGCCATATTCCACAACTTCATTAGAGCCTTCTACAAGCTCAAACTCTTGGGTGGGTGTATAACTGTCAGCAGCATCGAAGTCCACATCATCTCGATTGATAAATCTATTGACATTGGTGAGTACTTGTGCGTTTGAGGTATACTTGATTGGCATATTTACACTTTCATTCTGGAAGGCGCGGCGTCAGAGCGGTCAGTACGCAGGCAGATAGAGCGTAGCTTAACGCTTCCTGTAAAGCTGTTTATGATGGTCCATTAACATACATTGCTCCTCACATACACGTTTCATGTCTATTTACGGAATGTAAAAGATCAACTGCTCATCGGCATCACTTTCAACAAACTAGGACATTCATCAGTTTCTACTTCAACGGACTATTTTTGTTGATCCTAACCTTTGAATCTTCCAGTCTTTCGTCCCAGGGTCGAATGACTAATTTTCCACTATCAGGTTCACTTTCATTCAGGCAACGCACATTATCAATGTCAATCTTGGAGAATAGTAAGAACTGCTCGCCAGACTCTGGCAAGTCGTCGTGGTCGTGATCGCAGTGTTCGTCGTGGCAGTGACTCATAATAAATGTGATGATTGTGAAAAGAAGGAAAAAAAAAAAAAAAAAAAAAAAAAAGGCTTGGGTGTATATTTAAACCCATTATTTTTATTTGCATAAAACTCTCACACTCCAGCAGATCAGACTGATGGTGTTAAATTAAACAAAAAGCAAGTTTATTTGGCTAAGAGTATTATTTACAAGAAGAATATAGTAAAATGTATTATAATGGTTTGATACGACCCTGGAATCGCTTTGAAAAATCTATACCATAAAGATAGGAAGAAGCCATCACAATCATGGCACCTACGATAAAGACACCCGAAGGCTGAAAACTGAAAAGGTATATGCTAATAACACCCGACACAATGATAGACAGACTCGTCGCAAAACCTTTAAGAATATTATCAGCGTATTTCACCACAATGGCTACCAAAAGACCACCCAAAGCTTGATTTGCAACCACAACCCAAGTAAGCCAATCATAACCTTGTAACAATCCACCTTCCACGATCGGCTGCATATCGTAAGCAAGCATCCCCACTAGCGAAAATAGTGCCCCTGATATGCCCAGTTGAATATTGCGAACCCACATTGATGTATCTGACGTTTTGAGAATCTTTTCAAAATAACAGCCTGCGAATCCAGATGATACACAACTCGTAATCACTGCCATAAATCCAATGAACGGGTTCTGTGGTGCCAGTAAGATTTCGTCTTTTGCTGATGCTGTTGTTGCTGATGAGGATGAAGACATACTTTGAGATTGAACAAGTGTGACACCAATCATTAATAATAATAAAGCCAGCCATTTGTCTCTACTGAGGCTTTTGCCCAACAGAACTACACTAAACACTGCTGTTGACATGATCTTCATTTGATACGTTACTTGAAATGTCGCTGCCTCCAAGTTACTCAATGCCACATAGAGCAGATTGTTTTGCAATGCGTACAGCCCCGAGGGAATCAGCATCTTGAGCGTTTCACCGGGTCTACCCAGAATCTCTTTTCTCACCATTGCACTGAACTTGTCCCAGGTACCTTGTTGATGTCGCATCACAACCAAACATGCCACGATCTTCAAAACTTCGGCCAAAAATACGGCTGTTGACGCAATGTACATTGTTTGTCCCGGTTTTTGCACAATGCGTGAGTACCTCATCATCAATACGAGTGTACTGTTCTGGACAACCAACACAATCAGGGAAAGCTGCTTTCTAGTAAGTCCAAATAGCACAGGCTGAGCTTTTATACAAATGTTGGAGATGATGAGAGCAGTGAGCAAAAAACGCAAGAATATCACCTACCCAGGTTGGCTGCGCTGTTGCTGTGTGTTGTTGGCAGTACACTCTTCTTTCCAAACGTCCGTCGCGACTGTTGGAAGACGGACATGATGCTTTGAAAGGGTTTGCTTTATATTATGTCTATAATAAGAGAAAGGAAAAGGCAGTGGGCACATTTTTTTTCCATGGTTTTTTGACACTGGGATTCAATGACTAGGTGAAACCAATCAAATCAAATGGTCATGGTGTCTCATTCAACAAATGCCTTCTGGGTTCTACATTGTGCGCAAACTTGAAATGATCCATATTAGGTCTCTGAAGAGACAAGTATGTACCTGACATGATCCTATCAAGGATTTACTTCAACTGCGTAAATAAGACGCATTTGTGCGGCAGGAATGTCATCCACCACACACACACACACACACACACACACACGATGTTTGAGGTTTTCAAGAGCCATTTTGATTTTGAATCTCGCAAATCAAAAATACCAAAATGTAAGCTACAGATGTGAAAAGATGCCCTAGCTTGTCTTGATCCACAGATCCAACAGTACAGCAAGCACTATGGCACCATAAAAGTAGTGCATGCTTCTATCCTGGTCACTCAAATCAGTGATATGCTCTCTAGACACGTTTGACGAGCTGCTATCAGATACCACATCTACTTGGCTGTCCCAGATGAGAAGAAACCATCATATGATGTGATAGCCTTCGCAGAGAAGCCAGCTTGTCTAAACCACTGCATTTGCTAGGTCTCAATCTTACACATGCACTTTATTACAGATTCTACAAGTTACTTGTTTGTGTCCTCGACAAACATTCTAGAATCTTAAACATGGCATACAGAAATGAGCACTATACAGAGGAACTGAGATCAAATGCAATTTGGCAGAGTAGGATACCACTGCTTGTGTAGCAATGCTACACTAAGAAGCCTACAGCCAAACAAAGGCATATTGTCAGGTTTGAAAAAGAGCAATGCCTATTTATCAGCTGCTAGAGCTTTTATTTGCCAGGTCTGCTAGGTCTAAGCGTTTTATGTTGATGATAGTGTTCAAATCCTTACAGCTAAATGTGTCTGATTCTGAGTAACTAGATGCTTCCTCCCAATATGAAAATTTTGTACCACATATCAGTGTAAAGACGAGAGTAAGATTAGCAGCAGTTTATGAGAACGAGAAAGGAGGGAGGAGAGGAAAAAGATATTCCTCTGTTTTTCTTTTACTTTTTATACTTTCTTTTCTTACATAATATCAATTTTTCGTCAGAGCATAATCTCATCTCACTCTATAAACACACACATACACGCATTTCACTGACCACACGTACACTAAAAGCACATACATATATAACTACATTACACGCTTACAGCTAGCATCAATGACAATCAGTAATATTCGTGATCATCCTTATCACTTTGAGCATGCTCTACAGCAATCCAATGACTATAAATCAGTATCTGTGCATCAAATAGCCGATAATTTCACTTGGCTTGTCTTTATCAATGCAAAATGGGTCCCATTTGCTAGTTTCAACCAGCACAGATTGGAGCAGACACTTGGTCTGGGCGGTACTTTTGTAGACATTGAAGATCGATTATTTCCAGGCGTTAAAAGAGTGCGTGTGTTTCCCAAGGCTAATTATCTGAGCTATTTAGGCGTGAAATATCGGCTGTCTCGAGTCATGCAACCTCATCAATTGGAATTTGGAGCTTCATCTTCTACTACTCATGTGCAAGGCGATGAAGAAGATGAATCAAATGACCCAGCCATGAATCGAATACTACAACATGGTATCATTGAGATGGACAGTAATCAATACCATATGCCTACCAGAGTGTCGTAACAACCCATGACTGAAGCATTTGCAGCCCATTAGATCCTATCCCTTTCTCTCTCTCTCTCTCTCTCTCTCTCTCTCTCTCTCTCTCTCTCTCCCCTTCTCTTTTTATAATTATACAACAACATCAATAATTAAATTGTACATATACTTATTCTATCAGGTTCAGCTGTTGCTTTTTGTTATTGTTTTTTTTCCTTATATTTTCTTGTATTACTTCACGTGGACATCCTAATGATCACCCAAGATCATTCATCTGAATTTTCTCAATATGGTTTGATTTTTTGGGGACGAGCGAGCTCTGTTCATTTCGATCCCAGTGCAATCATCAAAGATAAGCACATCACTTCATCTAGATTTAAGCCTGCTTGCTACAGATAGGCTTTACTAATAAATGACATGATATGATGAGCTAAAAAAAAAAAGCAATAAACAAGTAAACCTAGCCATGTACGTATGTGAGAAATGAAGAATGGCATAATCTAATTTCATCTCCATCACTTTCAGCATTTTATGTTTCAATCATTGACAGCATTGCGGCATAGGCTGATGATCTCAGTAAATAATCCGGTAAGGGATATTGGCTGTGTATATATTCGCAATCATACAATGATTTCCATAAGCGTAAAATCATCTGTACCATGTGAATATATCTACGGAGGACCATGCGTGATGAGTGATTGAATGGCAATCGCTTCCAACAACAAAAGGTTCATCTCACCCCTTAATGCCAGGCATTTCACAGTGTAAAAAGCTGCTCGTGTCAAATGAAAACATCGGACGAACCACCCGTTTAGTGTGGTTGTATAATCTATGGGTTCGTGGTATTTGTCGCTAGATATGTCTGAAGAGTACATTAATCTATCCTCTTTCGGCCCAATGTCTTTGGAACAAGCGTCAAATATTTGGTTACAAATTGCGCATGTATGTCTATTTGTTTCAAATTACTTTCTATTATTTGACATACATAACCCTTTCCGAGCCCTAATTTGACAACATGCATACTCAATCACAGGTGTAAAAAGTCATTCGTTATCAGTCGAACACAAGGTTTGTTTTTGAAGCAACTCTAAGCAGCAGTGCACTTTACGGCAATAAACAGTTAGTGCGCTTTTAGCCATACTCTTGAGTTCGATGCAAGAACAAAGTAGGTTATAATAAGTTATTTGTGTGAAACTGGGCATACTAAGAATGTTTTGGCTGCAATTCATCATATATATATAAAGCATATGAAGCCTATAAATCATCTTATTGTTGCGTGCGTACCTCTTTTCAAAAGTGTTCTACCAAGATGTACTATCGTCTGACCTTTCAATCCACAACTGCCGCTTGAGAATTCCTCACGACTTGTCTGTAATTGTGAATCTGACTCTTTTTGTGATACTCCACGTCTGTTTCAATGGAAACGAATCATATAAGAGCAGGTTTCATACTTGGGCTATCTCTTACCACTGCAAAGTATGTAAATCACAGCATAATTTGGATGTATTCGAGCCGTATTTCCTCGTGTTAGAAGCCGTTTTAAAACGTCAGAATAGTACCAAACAATTGCTCTCAACTAGTACTAACTTTCTGACACCTTTGCTCAACTTTTTTGGGATCGTCGAAAATCGACCAAAATCGACCAAAAAAGCATGAGGTATTCCTCATGGTTTTCACCGAAAATCAAACGATCGCGTTTTTGACCCCAAAAATGAAGACTTTTACTAAGGCACATATTGATTCTAAATTTTTTTTTTTTTTGTATTTAAATGTGTTTTTTATTTATATTATAGACAGTAAGGTGCCATAAGGGTCTTACATGTCTAAGAAAGAAGAAATTAACTTGGAATGATCTTCCAGAAAAGAGGAGAAAACAGCCCGAGTGATCCAAGATTTACCATCAATTGTGCAGCCCCAATGATGTTGCCAGATAGATGAGAAGGCAGCGCCGAGAAGTTCCAAGATGGAAATGTCCAGAGGATTGTTGTCCTGGCCGTGAAGGGTGGTCAACCCAATCCAGATGGCCTCGTCCGTAGGGAACAGATCAGCAAGACCAAGGTGAGAGACAAACTCATACCAGAAGAGGGACTTCATACTGCAGCCAATGACCATATGGTATTCATCTTCAGTTGCTTCATGACACATCTTACACAGTGGGGAAGGATACTTCACACGGTTCATGGAGTGCAGGCGAACCTGCACCGAGAGATGTCCATGCAGCAAACGCCACCACGGTGTAAATGCCTTGGGCGGGAGACAGAGAGACCAGAAATCACGCCAGAGGTGAGGAGGAAGCAGGAGATGTGGTGGGCGATAGCCAGGAGGATGGGCTGGGCGACGCAACATGTCAAATGACGGATGCCAGGAACGGCGTAACGCCCCGAGAGTGATCTTGTCCACTGTAGCTTTTGAGCGAGGGCCAGTGGTGATGAACCAATGCGAAAAGCTAGCCGTGGGTGGAGAGGGGGTAGTGGAACTCTCCAGCAGTGCGGTTCGCTCTGGAGCGGTGAAGGCCATGACGGACCTGAGAGGAGCAGGGACAACCCAAACAGGAGGACCCTCGATGGGGCACAAGGCATTGAACAGATGTTGCAATGCAGCAGTATCACGGGGGCGCACGCAAACCAAGATGTGGGAGTCGGGGAGCACGCTCAAGAGGCTGGCAATCAAGGCATGAGGTGGCAGTTTGTCACTGTTCCTAGTCAAAGGCAAAGTCGCTGTGGGAGACAGGGAGCATACTTGTAACCAGGGCAGATCTAGGAGCCACCAAGACGGCCACTCAGGAGTGAGAGTCAAGGGAGGCAAACGAGTGAGTAGACGAGCCAGATGCTCCAAGTGAGGGCATTTCCGCACACGCGGCCAGCAGGTACGTGGGTATAGCAGCAAAGGCAGCACAGTAGCATGACCTGAGTATACATGGAATGTATACATCAGCCAGGGAGTGAGGAAATCCGCTGGGGATCTGGGACGAAGCAGACGCTTGACATATATGAGATGCAAGGCGAGATGTTGCTTCTTGATGTCAACCAGACCAATACCTCCATGCTTCCTAGGAAGGCAGAGAGAATCCCAAGCCACAGTAGGCCAAAACGAGACGATGTACTGGCGTACCACGCGCTGTATCTCCTCCAGCCACTTGTCAGGAACCACAACCACACGCAGGAGATGCCACAAGCGAGACAGCAGAAGGGAATTCGCCACTAAACCCTTTCCACGAATGGATAGCTGCCGCTTGGTGAGCAGATTGCAATGACGTTGAATCTTCACGGTAACGGAATTCAGGAAATGCTGCAACTGCTCCTCTGTATGATACAGAGGGTAACCTAGATACCTCACAGAGCCAACTGACGAGCTGTCGTACCACTCAATGTTAGACGTTTCCGTCACTCGCTTCCAATCAGCATGAGCCTCGCCTGACAGCGACAACAGCACGGTTTTCTCCAAATTGACCTTGGCGTTGGACGCTTTGCCATAGAGCGACAAAAGAGACAGCAGCACAGGCCATTCCGCCGTAGAAGTCAGGAAGACTTCCAGATCATCGGCATAGCTCAACAGCTTCACCCGTGGAGGGGTCGCCGGAGCGCGTAGGAGATCATGGTCGCCTTGGACCGGCACGAGAGAGGAGGCACGAGAGATACGCCCTGCGAGAGGAGCACGGACAGCGGTAGACATTGAGACGCCTTGAAGAGAAGGGCAGGCCAAGATGGTTCTAAGGAACGGCTCGAAAGCCAGGTTGAACAGCAAAGGGGACAACGGATCACCCTGTCGTAAACCACGTTGTTGATCGATGGGGGCGCCCAACCACCCATTGATTGACAAGGAGATACGAGTACCAAAGAACAGACTTGACACACTGGATACCAACGATGCCGGGAAGCCAAACTGACGAAGAACCATCGCCAGATAAGTCGGATTGACCCGATCATAGGCTTTCTCTTGATCCAAGAGTACGGCGACATTGGGATCCTGAGGAGCTGCATCACGGAGGTTGGTCATCAGCGTCTGGTTCAACCACGCATTGTCCGAGATGAGCCGGTGAGGCATAAAGCCTGTTTGGTACGGCGTAATCAATCGGGAGAGGACACGTTTGAACCGGTTGGCTAACATCTTGGTGAACAGCTTAGCATCGCTATTGATCATCGAGAGAGGTCGCCAGTTCTTGAGGAGCTCTGGATCGCCCTTCTTGAACAGCAGTACCATCCTCGTTTCTTTCCAAGAGTCAGGGAAGACACCACGCAGCGCATCAGTCAGCACTTGCTGCAAGAGAAGCAGAACAGCAGGGAACTTCGCCGCCAAATAGCGATACACCTCAAACGGAAGGCCATCCAAACCAGGAGACTTGTTCTTGGGTGCATGGTCCAGTAACAGCAAGACAGAGTCTGTGGAGGGTGGTTCAATCAGCCGGTCTGCCTCAGCTTCTTGTAGCTTCGCATCAGCAGGGATATTGTCAAAGAGAGAGTTGACGGCAGCCAAATCAATGTCTTCAGGTGTGTAGAGATCCTGATAGAAAGTACGAGCTTCTTGGAGAATGTCGCCCATGTCTGTCAGCTTCTCTCCAGTGCCAGCCTTTTTCAGGGACTGGATGGTTTGTTGCGCCTCACGATCCTTGATCACATTGAAAAAGTATTTGTTGTTCTGCTCTCCCATTTCCAGCCAACGAGTAGCCGAACGCAGCATAGCTTGACGAGTGTCATCTTGAATCCGTTGCTCAATCAGTTGCTCCAGTCTTTTGATCCTTGCCGACTCCTCCGGGGTCCCAAGTAGCTGTTCCCGTTCACGTTGGAGGTGGGAGACTCGAGCTTTGAAGCGAGCCTTCTGGCCTTTGGTGAACTGTTTGGCACAGTACTTGATGATCGACTTGAGAGATTCCCACTTCTCCTGAGCAGAGACACCCATATCAGCCACATCTGTCGTATAATAGTCAGACGCCAAAAACATATCCACGGTTTTATCCAAAAGGGCTTGGAATTCACGGTTCTCAAGCAAGTACGGATTCAAACGCCAGCTGCCAGGACCCAACTGGACGCCAGAGGTGACCAGATCGATTGTGAGGAGGCTGTGATCGGTCCACTCAGGTGGAATGTGGTGAGTCTGAGTGTTGATGATACGAGTCGCCATAGGAGGAGGAGCAAAGACATAGTCAATGGTGGTGCCAGCTTTAGGGAGAGTCATTGTGCCTTTTGGAAAACAGTTGAAAAAATGAGTGTTCAGCCATTCAACAAAAGGTTGGACTCTAGGGAGACGAGCTTCGACCGCATCATGCAAATGGATATTGAAATCCCCAAGCAAGATCCACTGGGAGTCAAGCATATCAGACCAGAAGGGCATGGACATCAGCTCCTCCAGGAAAGCATAGCGATGGGCTCTGTGCACGGGCATGTACACATTAGCTATCTGGCATATGGTGTGATTAGCGTCCTTAATAGTGGCGGTGATGCAGCGTTCGTCACGAGAGATGGTGGCATCCGCGAGCTCCAAGCCTTGCTTCAGACACACTATTGCACAATGCTTCGAGACGACAAAGAAAGACCGAGGAAACATAAAAGAGAAAGCACGCACATTATCATCAGTGAGGTGGGCCTGCTGACGGTAATGAGAGACCTCCTGCAGACAGAGAATATCTAGCTGGAGGGTTTTGGAGCGCAGAAAGGAAGTGAATTCCTTCTGTATAGATTTTGAGGAACCCTTAATGATGCTCCGGGCATTAAGGGTACCTATGCGCAATGATTGTTGTATCATTATGCCCTATGGGCGACATGATACACTTGAGGCTGCGACATAGACGTCGAGCTCATAGAATGACGGCGGAGAGAGGGCACATCAGTCTGGAAATCATTGGGAGAGGAGACATTGTCAGCAGATAACTTGGGATCCAAATGCATATGGAAGGACGAAGCTAACGGAGCATGCTTAGAAGCATCGCTACCGTTGGGAGAACGCTGGAGGGTCTGGGGATCGACCTCCATCACATCCGGAGACTGGTCCCAGGTTTGGCTGTCATTTGCGGAAAACAAGGTACTGATCTGGCTACTTGTGAGCTCGGTCGTTTTGCCGGCTAGCTTGTCTGTGGTGGTGGGCTGAGATGGCAGTTGCTGCGCGAGAATATCATTGATCGCGGGGGATGCTCTGTGGCCCTTCTCTTTTTCGTTAACTTTATCAATTGGAGTGACTGAGTAGGAATCAGTGTGATCCCTTTGGCTCGACTCATATTCAGCGATTGCTTCGTCAAAAGGCTTCTCTTCCTCTCGACAGAACTTAACAGTGTGTCCCAACTTGTGACATTTGAAACATTTGCGTTTAGCTAGGATAGGACAAGCAGCGCGAATGTGTCCACTCTGACGGCAGAAATGGCAAACTGGTGGTGCTCCTCTGTATGTCGCTGGCACATAGACATCCCAGGCGGAAAGGTAAAGCATGCGACTCAAAGGCTGTACGTCGTAGGAGTGACCTTCCGCGTCAGTGTACTTGACCGAAGTGTCGATCAGGAAGCTGACATGACCCTCAAAGAAGCCATCAACAGTGTACTTCTTGATTTGGTATAGCTTACCATAGTATTTCAGCGAGCGTTGCAAGTCCTCCAGAAAAGTGGTCATGTTTGGCATGCGGACAATAGTCATCTGCACATGGGTGAGTTTGCCCTCGCTGTTGTCCTTGACAGCAGTAGCTTTGTATACCACATCGCCATGAGTGATGCCGTTGTTGATGGCTCGTTTGGCATCCTCAGGGGAGTCAAATTTAGCTTCCACCAAGAGATCTCCAGTTGACTTCTGGTGATACAGACTAAGGGGGCGAAACTGGACATTAGCAGCTATTTGTTCCTGAATGAGGCGATACGCTGTTGTACGATGCACAAAAAGTTTGTTTGGAAAGGTAAACAAAACCGATCCCGGTGTCAAAGCTTGCTGCAGGATGGCAGTAGCTTTACGAGTGAGCACCTCGGCCTTCAGATCTTCGTGTTCGAACATAACTTCAGGAATTAGTTTAAAATGGTCATCTTTAGCTCGCTGTTGTGGAGCATTGATGACCTTCTTGGAGAGGCCTCGAGAGAGGACCGTGACCCAAGAGAGGTCAGTGGTGGTAGCCATGAGGATGGGTAGTGGAACGCTGGTGGTTATAAGGTTGTAGATGTGATTTAAGCAGTGGCGTAATTTTCACCTTAGGGGTAGTGATGGTTACGCGAAAGAGCCTCATATTGATTCTAAATGTTCCTCTCAATCTAAAGCAGCTCCTGAAACTTTGTTTGTGAAACCTTCCTATATGAAATCTCGACATTTTGGCCAAAAACCTCATTTTGTGTTTTCAGAAATTGCTCGATAAGCGTTTTCAAAACATGCCTTTTAATTAGCACCATCAAATGAGCCTTGAAAAGTACTTTAAAAAAGATCATAGGATGAGCATCACATTTTATATAGCCAAATCTGGCAGAATAGACCAATCAAGTCGCAAATTGATCAAAAATTAACGAATAGAGACAAAATATTGACTGAGTTTAAACCGATTTTGGCAGAGGCAAAATCCATGCCTGTCTAATCATGGAGGCAATATCTTCTTTTTGCGCTATACTACGTTCCATTGGTATCCGAATTTCAAAGCTTCACTGAATAAACGTACCCTCAGAAGAGGTATTGGATATTAATAGTGTACATTGAGGGCTTGTATCGTATTAGTAAGTAATGACAATGACTGTAATTCACTTGAACTCTTGAATTGAACAGGTTGAAGAAGTGAGCCTCTGACTTGTTGTCAACAATTTTCAAAGCCCAGTATCGACTTGCATTTTGTAGTTGCTTTATAACATTTACATTTAATTGATTCTGTTTGGTGGTATTATTTGCTTGTAGAAATAGCGAGTGCTGATTAGGGAAACATCGATATCTATGATCACATTCAACCAATATTAGGAAATGTCCGGATCAGAAATATCCTCGTCTATCAAACGTTATTTAAAGATGCTGATACACTTTTCAAATGTCTATGAATAAAAATTCAACGTTGTCTATCACTTGCCTTTGCTAAATACTGTCTAAAAAGAACAACATGTAGTAGCCTCACTTTGCCAATCTCTTAATGTATTGTAATTCAATGTCTGATCATCCTTTGGTTTTTTTCTGGTTTGTGTACCACGCATTCGATATTATAGTAAGACACTGTATTTTAATCTTTACATCTAGCTGCATGCTTTGTACTTGAAAACTGTTTTCTCGTAGTTCAATGTGACGAAATGCCTTACCAAATATAAGGTTTCCCGTTCCTGAAACTCATTGCAATGCCGACTTGACAGAGAAGTCCGAAGATTCTTCTATTCTCATTCTACTTCTGTTAATTGTTTGTAGGTCGGAAATCAATAAATACATATGCATCAGGAAATGATGAGTTGCGACGGTCCGCCTACTACTGCCTTCAATAGGCACCAGTTTAATGACACAAGTGCTTTATATCTTCATGATGATTTAATTGATGATTTATTCAGCACACTGGCTTCCAGATACCCACATCGCAGTGACACGGTACGATACAAATTTGGTTAAAAATAAATCTATATTGAATCTGTACTAGTGTACAGATCACATCTGAGTGTAGATGATTGCGATTTGTTTTTAGTTTTGTCCTATTAAATGTTTAGTGCGCGGAATAATGCATTTCCATCATTGGTGCCTGTGGAGCGAACTTTACCATTATCTTGGGTCGAAAAAAAATTATGGGTTTTTCCAAATACATAATATTCTGGGTATTGGAAAACATTTGCGGTTAATTCACACACGCTGAAATATTTGCTAGCTTCAATACAAAAATTGCGATTTTACGTAAGAGGATTAGTTTCAATGTACCGCCCGTTCGATGCAATCGAATTCCTAATCATGAATATGCCATTCTGACATCAATGCTATCCTTCCAGGCTGTTCTCTATCAATGGCAGCGAGTCACTGTGATATGGAGATTGATAAACGAATGTGGTCTAATGGTGGATGTACTACATTGTGAAGTGTGTGCGTGTAACGAAATGTTTGGAGAAGGGCAACAAGTGAAGCCACATGGATTTTATAATTTTTCTTTTTCAGATAATAAATATTTTTTTTTTTTTTTTTTTTTTTTTTTACTGAAACATTTGATTGAAGAGCACAGTCAGTACAACAGCATCAACAATGAGCACCACGACGAAAAGCTTACAAACACATCAGCAAACGAGTCGACTTGACTTTCTGTTTGAAGCAGGCCATACCATGCTGAGCCAATGTCCATCTCTGAGTCGATATTACATGAATGAATTCCAAAACACACTGACAGAATACGAACTAACTGCACACAAGCCAATCGCAAGACTAAGCTGCAAAAGCTGTGGACAAATCAATGTACCTGGTCTCAACCATCGAATTGAGATCATTCATCAGCAATCTAAAAAGCAAAATAAGACCAAAAAGACAATACAATCTAAAAATACAATTAAATCGACATGTTTAACGTGCGGTAACACAAGTTTGTATCATGGCTCCAACAAGAAAAAGATGCCCAAGCTCAATATGCAACAAGAACCTGTGATAGCAACTGTTAAACCCATCACTACTACGCCTGCCACCACTAGCGTTGGTACACCGACAGCAGAACCACTCAAAAAGAAGAAGAACAAGGGCAAAAAGAACAATTTGAAGGCATTGCTCAACAAACAGCAAAATTCAGGCAACAGCAGCAGTAATGGCACCGGTGGATTGGGCGATTTTCTGTCCTCTCTTTAGTATAGAAATAGTGTTTTGTTTTATTTAATTGCATGTCGAAAATACAATACTTGAGAAAATGTAATGGTGGTGAGAAATTAACAAGATTTTTTTTTTTTTTTTTGTTTGATGGTGGTATACATATTAAAGAATAATAATGAAAAACTGCTCATAATGTAATCAATCAAGGGGACCTAGTGAATGTTTCTTGTGGTTAAAAAATAGGGGTGATTTTATGTTGTTGTTATTGCTGATGTTGTTGTACTGAGTGCGTCAAAAGGAGAGATTATACAGATATAATGAAGCAATTGTTGCAGCTGGAAACCAAGTGAACCCATCCAACTTTTTTTTTTCTTTATTTTTGATCCTTAATCTTCTGAAATCTTCTAAACTGTTCTTTTTTGCCTCTTCCCATGTGCATGTGTGTATAAAAATTTTTCATTTTAATCGAGATAAAAAATAATTATTTGCTAGATGGTGCTGACAAAGGTGCGTTGGATGATATACTGCCACTGATTGTGCTCGCTGGACGGTCTGATGTAATTGAGCTACGTGGCGATGCCTGTTGTTGCTGCTGTTGCTGTTGCTGTACCTTTGCATTCAGCGGTTGCGGTGAGGTTTGTTGCCGTTGTTGCTGTAGTCCAACTTCATTCAACAAATAAAATGGATAATGTCTTTGATCTGATGAAACAGAGAGTGTTCTATTATGATGACTATTTGCTTGTTGTTGCCGTTGGTGCTGCTGTTGCTGTTGTGCTAGTGTTTGTTGTTGAGCTTGTTGGTCATCTGGTTGGGATGAGATGGAGGAGGCTCTTCCCTGCCTTGCAGAATCACTGGCAGTGCCACCATCGCTTAATTCGCCATCCCTTCTGTGTCGTTTTCTTGGTCTGCCAACAGGACGAGCAGCAGCTTCATTTTCTGCCTTGAAATCGGAAATATACTGTTGATATTTCTAGAATAGAAACATCGCTTAGTAGTCTTGATACATGGCACTCTGGATACATAAACACTTACTCTAAACGATTCCGTTTTCTGATATTCTTCAATCTTTTTGAGATAGTCTTCTCTTGCCCGCAGCGCATTTGTTTCGTACAGCTCTTTGTCTTCTGGTGAGATATTCTTCCATCGGTCGCCAATGATCTTTGCCAGGTCAGTGAATGACTTGTTCTGCTGCTTCAATTCAGCACGCACATCGTTTGAAAACATGACATAGGCTGAAGGAGGTTTTAATGGAGCGTTGGTATCTGGTTTGGCATGTCGATGGTATTTTCTCTTCCATAAACGATGCACATTGTCGCTTGTTACAGCTTCTTCTTCTGTTGATGACATGCCGCTTTGATTTTGTGTCATCGTACCTGCCGATGGAAAATATTCAGGTTGTGCTGACGAAGTAGCGGATGATGATGAGCCAGACGAAGTGTTCATTGGAGATGCGCCTGCTAATGCATGTAGTGAAACGTCCACTGCTTCAGCTGGTTGCACGCTTTTCTTTCCAGGCTGTTGAGATTGATGTGGAGGAGGGATAGGTGGTGATTGTTGTGGATGCTGAGGTAAAAAAGGCGGTTGCTGCTGCTGCTGCTGCTGCTGCTGCTGCTGCTGCGATAACTGCGGTTGTTGCTGCTGTGAATAACCTGTGTCTGTTGATGTTGAGATCATTCGATACGGCAGACAAAAACCAGCATCTTTAATGGCATTACACTCACCTGTCAGTTCCTTGTTTGTGATAGGAGTGATATTCAATGGTACAGAGGACGGTATTCCTTTGGCATTTGCAACTGCTCTTTGTAGGAGCTAATTCATGGTCATTAATATACGAAACTCAAGTTACGATCCGAGAAAAACATACTCTACGATGTCCTCTTTTTACTTGCATCTGAATTAGATCTGATTCAGTTATTTCTAATAACTACACAATTAAAAAAAATTGTTATTTTTTTTCTCTGTTCAGGTTTCTTTGTCTGGCACATCTAAATAATTATTTTGCCCATTTCAACATTGATTATTATTACATAAAAAATTCCAAAAGAAATGAAAAGAAAAGGAGCCGTCTTTTTCTTTTGATTTCCTTTTTGCATGACCAAAATAATTAAATAATTCTGTGGTTATGATCTTACAGATTCTGGTCTGTCAAAGCCTTCCTCGATAAAGACTTGATAGTACTGCGATAGACCACATTGTGTTAAGAATGTATCAACCTCTTGCTGGTTGATGAGAGTCCGATCGGACCCATCGTTTTGTAACTGAATTGTGTTAGATTGCTGCTGCTGTTGCTGTGGTTGCTGTTGCTGGTGAATGTGATGAATATGTTGCTGCTCTGTGGACGGTATCGAATTTACTGTGATTGGGTTTAAGATGGAATGATTTTGTTGCATAATTATGATTCAGCCAAAAATTGTCGTTTGTATGATTTTGAGTTGTAGATGTGTCTTTTTTTTTTATATAAAATGGCTAATCTGAGTGTTGCTGAAGTTTTTTGGTTTAGTTCATCCAGCTTTTTGTTATCTTACAAAGCGCAAAAAATTAAGGAGTGTTTAATATATGTATGTAAAGCTGTAAGAAAAAAATGAACAAGAGAAAAAAAAAAGAGAAAAAGAAAAACGAAAAAAAGTTATTTCCCTTGAGTGTAAAATAAGAAAACCCCTTTTTTATTTTTAATTGGCTTCACCAATGAGGAAATAGCTGATTTCTGTCCCGTTTGAATGACGCAGATTTTACCATAGAACAGATGTAGAAGGAAATGGAAGATGCATTTCTATGGGCATTTGAGATTTTACAGTGATTCAATCCCGGCTTCCAATTTTGGTAATTTTGTAGATTCCAAATCAAATCTTTTCGTTTGATTTGAAATTGTGCCTTGATCTACGTATATATAACAGAATGCGGATCATCATTTTGGCCTCTCTCTTTCTTTCTCTTTCTCTCTTTTTCTCATTATCATTGAGTCTATTGTTGCAGCCATGGATACAAGATTTACGTTTGCAGAATTATTAACTTCTCCGATTCCACAGCATCACAACACTCATGGTCAAGAAAAGTTAGATTATTATTACTACAATCCATATCAGCAACATCCGCATCCAACACAATGGGGCGCTATGCCTAATTTCTATACCCAATCCGTAGTTCCACCACCAACACCTCAGCCGCAGCCAATGCAACCAATGCCATCGTCCTCTCCTCCTCCCTTGTTACCTTCTCCATCACCGCAACAGCCTCAGCAACAAAGAACTCGGGGACGCCGAGTATCAAATTTACCTAACCAAGGTCTTCGCATGTTTGCATGTAAATCAGAAGGATGTGGCAAAGTTTTTAAGAGATCTGAGCATTTAAAGAGGCATGTTCGATCTATTCATACCATGGAAAAACGTAAGTAGAGCTCCTGAGTAGAGGCACAAAAGATTAACCGCATGCGATAGCTTTCAAATGTCCATATCAGAGTTGTAACAGGCGATTTTCTCGATCAGACAACCTGAATCAACATATCCGTATACACAGACATTCAAAATCATCACTTTCCTCTTCTGCTTCTCCTCCCTCTATATCCAATTCCTCGTCTACTACAACTACAAACAACTCTTCTTCATTGCCATCCCTTTCTCAATACAACAATTCTTTGTACTAAACGTAAATAAATTTAAATTCAAGCAAGGCCATACATTGCATATTGAAAAGACAACCATACAGCAAAATTTTATTTCAAACCCTATTGGCAAAAAAGAGAAAAGTTGTTCTTTGTATGTCGACACTACGAGCCAAACCCAAATATTGGGATCTGAACGCATCTCACATTTCTCAAAAACACAACAAGGCTGATTTTGATATTTTATCGCAATTTATCATCTCGAGAACACAAAGGTATGGGCTGTTTGTCAAAAGCATGCAGCTTGAGTTTGTTTACATCTTCTTGAACTGATCTGTAAAACAATGATGGTTCCTCATCATGTCCCTAAACCGTTATTTTCAAATTCTAACAGTAGGCAACATTTTCCAGGACATTTCCTATCAGTGATTGGGCTTTGGGATGCCCTATCATTTAATGATATATTTTTCGTTCAGCGACTGTAAGATACAGAAAGAAACATTCAATGTAATACAGATGCAATGTATATGTATGGTTCATTAACCAATGCAAATAGAGTCAAACTCATAAAGTAAGCATAAATCCACCCGTTGCAAGCGACAGGAGCAGTAGTTATTTTCTAGCTCATTAGCATATCAGCATTAAGATGAAGATGATTTGTGGTAGTATATTGGACCATACTTTTCTCATAGCAAAGCTAAAATAATCTGTTGCGATTGGTTAAGAAGGCACTAAAATACTCGCATTTTATGATTTGGTAGACTATTCGTATTTTCGACATCACATTTGAAGTCTAAATGCATTTAGATATGAAGTCTAGACCATGGCATGCATTTATTTTATATATGGCGATCCTTCAACGGTATTGATTTTATTTCACAAATAAAAGGGAGGCTATTTGACAGTGAGTTTATTTCAATGTTTGTGGGGGTCTTAAATTAAGAATGAGACCAGCTTAAAGAGGAGATTTCATGAAGGTGGGGGGGGGGGAAGCATAGGAGCAAATGAGAGGAGGGGTCCATAATGCTGGCGGTATGGGGTGGACTGCTTTCCAATACCTTCTTTTTTGCTTATCCATCAAACTAAACATATTCATCTATGAATGAATCATCACATAACAAGCAACAAAAGCAACAGCAGCAGCAAAACGCTCCACCACCAACAGCAGCCTTGTTGACAGCGGCAGGAGGTGCATTTGGAGCGGGCCTCCTTGGAGCGATTTGGTATACCAAAAGAAAGCAAAACCAACGAATGCAACAGGAAATCGCACAAGGTGTAGTGCCAACTGCACCTACTCCTCATCATTCACCACAACCTTATATACCACCTAAAATGACACCCGCTGAATATGCAATTGCGAAAAAGGATGCATCATTGTATGCTTTTAAAACATTGGGATATGGTACATTACTGGCATTTGGAGGTGCAGGTTTGTTAGCAACTGCTGTCGGATGGTGGTTAGACGTTAGAAATGTAAGTTTCGGTCATTGCGATCATTGCTTCAGGAACGGCTGACGCGATTATGTATAGTTTAAGGAATTTTCTGACAAACTCAAGATCATTGTGCCAAAACAAACCTCAAAGCTGAGACAAATGTTGGGAGGAAAATCACTAGAAATGACACAGGAAGAGCGGGATGAATTGGACAGTATTGACTTGGAGGATAATTGATTTGGAGAGAGATAATTTAGAGTAATTTTATGTGAATACAAATATAGTAAATCTCCATAGACATCAGTAAACGCTTGTTCCGAATCCATTACACTAAATTGTGCCCCGTGTTTTTGTACGTTCATTGCTAAAATGATTGATCCCTTTAGACTGCTCAACTGAAAAACGGAATCAAATTGTTTTTTCCTCAGATCAAAGACCACAGGCATCCGCTAGACATGCTGAATAATGCCCATTGATCTTCAAAGCCCCCCCTCCAAATTACTGCTTCACAAAGGATTACATGATGAACGATACAATTGAATATGTGACAAGGATACCACAAAAGAGAACAACTGTACTACTGCGTCTAAAATATGCTTAATATCTAAATGTAATACATGTTGATTGAGTTTGAGTCAAAGATCAGGGGCTCTGTAAGTTTTGCTTTTGACCTGCTTATCGTACATTTACATCAGGCACAAGCCAGCGTCTATCGCCACAGCTGAATATTGATCGATGCGCACATAGGTGGTCGTAATACAGATGTTTACACATTCACATGTGTTTGATCGTTTGCTGACATTTCCAGTTACCATATTGTCATCGTTCACTATCACATTTCAAATGTACCCGGGCTTGAGGAGAACGTTTGTATAAAGTGATCATTACATAAAAAGAGAGTTGAAATGCGCCTAACGTCATCCCCTGATCAAAGTTAAACCATTTTAGTAACAAACAGAGGAAGATAGTGCCTTAAAAGTCATTTTCTACACTATTTTCTGTGGATGATCAATCTCAGCAAGTTTAAAAGCCATGTCTTATCAATGTCGGTCTTAAATCCTATGCAATTGACATCTTCTTTATGATGATAAAAAAGAGCGGCGTTGAAACGACATGGTAAAACGTAATTAATCAACGAGCTGCCTTTATAATAACAACACTAAAATCACATCTAAACGTCATTGATCCGTGTAGAGGACCAAAGAGGGGGCAGGCATCTGGAGAGTATAAATACGCATGTTTCTGCTCTTTTTCTAAACATACAATTTATACACACATAACTAATTATAACAAAATGCAACAACAAGGTGAACACTTATCTAGAGAATGGGCCCTCTTGAAGGATCCCGTCCTCCACACTGAAAGACTCGAAGCCATTCGCTCAAAGAAGGGTTACATTATTGATATGGATGGTGTCATTTATCATGTAAGTATGCCAACATTTGGCAAGGGAAATCATGGAAATGTGATACTAACCTTCTGTAAAGGGTACCAATCTTTTGCCTGGTGCCAAGGAGTTGGTCCAATTCTTGCAAGACAATAACAAAAAGTACCTCTTCTTGACCAACAACTCTGCTCCTACCCCTCAAGAATTACAGCAAAAGTTGCATCGTCTCGGTATCGACGTTGGCGCTGAACATTTCTTCACTTGTGGTCAAGCTACTGCCCTCTTCTTGGAATCTCAAATGCCCTCCGGAGGTACCTGTTATGTCATTGGTGAGCCTGGTCTTGCTTATGCTCTCTACGAAAAGGGTTTCTACATGAACGACCACAACCCTGACTATGTCGTCTTGGGTGAAACCGCTGCTATTAACTTTGAAAAAATCACCAAGGCTGTTCAATTAGTCCAACAAGGTGCCAAGTTGATTGCTACCAATTTGGATGTTGAGACTCTGGATTCTCAAGGCCGCAAGATCCCCTCCACTGGTGCTTTTGCTGCCTCCATTGAGTTGGTGACCAAAACACAAGCTTTCTACTGTGGTAAGCCCTCTGCTTTGATCATGCGTTATGCCCAACGTGTCCTCGGTTTAAGCAGATTGGAGACCTGTATCATTGGTGATCGTATGGATACCGACATCGTTGCTGGTATCACTTCTGAAATCGATCCCGTCCTTGTCTTGTCTGGCGTCACTCAAATGGATGACTTGAAGGAATTCGCTTATGGTCCTTATCTCATTTTGGGTGGTGTTTATGAGATTCCTTCAGATGATGAAAGCCATCGTGTCACTGAGGAAGAGTTAGAGGAAGCTAGCAGAAGAGTAAGTTGATTTTTGGTCTTGGTATTGCATGAAGGGTGCTGGATTACTTACATTTTGTTCGCTTATAGGCCTCCTTGTTGTAAATATAAAATGGCTTTGTATCATATCGTCCAATCATAATTTCCAATTTTTTTTGTATAAATAAACTATTTTTCTAAAAATCTGCTTCTGCATCTTTCTTTTATTTTCATTTATCTTGTGCTTGCTAGTTGGATCACTGCAATGTCGCAAAATTTACAGCTGCTTCCACTCCAATCACTTACTGAAAACCAACCTGGAGTTGTAGATACTCTCAAAGCCGAACAGAAGCTTGATGTCGATGAAATCAGGAAAGCCTTCCAGCTCACCAAGCCAAGTTTCAAGCGCACAAAAACTATGTCTTTTAATCCTTTCCCCATACCCGCCAATGACTGTATTCCAACCATGGCGTCTGCTGAGCAAACAGAGCTGTATGAATCACAATTTACCGGCGTACTTTGTGGATATCTGAATAATCAAACAATTGGTGATCTTTTAAAGATTTATTCCTTCTCAAACAAGCAAATCCCAATTGGTAAAATCAGCTTTTTAGGTAGTTTCTTTCAGAAAATCACAGCCAAAAACATTGTAGGTTGCTTTGTTTGACTCTTGTTGACATTTCACTAATCTCACTCTATTTCCAGAGTCTGGATGTCGTAATCTTATGCAGAGACTTGGAAAGCCAAAACTACCTTCTTACAATTCTCCAAGCAATCAGCCTCAATTGTGGTCATCTGACCTCCTACACTGACAGAAGAGAAACATACGGCGTCATAGTCAAGATCCGTAAAGCAAACAAACCAGTAAGTGTATTGAATATCTTACATGCTGGTATTTACCTTTCGTTGTAGGTCACCCCCATCAAACAAGCAACCCTTGTGGATCTAGTCTTGGTGTACGATTCTGCCGTATGTGTCCAAAATCGCGTCTTGAAGCAATTTAAAGGTATCGACTATGAGCGCCCTCTCATTGCTTATATTACTACCGTCGATTCTGCTGATATTCGATGCTACCATAATCCCACCGCGCACAAGCAGTACAGCTGGATCACAAAGTATAAAAACGTTCAGGACGCTCAAAAAATTTTTCATCAGGGCAATCGTCGTGCAGAACGCCAGCATTTCTTTGCTTGGAATGACTATGTAGCTACTGAGGTTGCAGAATGGGTGGCATTGAAGCAGAACGTCCCCTACCAATTCTTCCGACCAGGCAAGAACCACCCGGCACTCAAGGCATACCGTAGTTGGGGTGGTGGTCAGCCATTGAGTAATACTCCCTGCAAACCCAATACTACACCTGTCCTTGCCAATGCTCCCAAAGCACCCAAAGCCCCCAAAGCCCCCAAAGCCCCCAAAGCTCCCAGTGCAGCCAACGCTTCCAATGCTCGTGCTGCTACCGTTAGTCCTGGTGCCGCGACAAATAGCAAGAAGAAACAAAAGATGAAGGAGGGAGTGCAACAGAAAGCTGCTGCGCCTTCTTCCTCATCCAATGTTGCTGGCTTGCCTGCTGTTGCTTCCATCAGTGCCGCTCGCTCAGGTCAACCATCCGTTCAACCCCCCTTTTCGCCATCATCATCACCCACTCCTATGCAGATTGATCCTGTGCCATCAGTTACTTCTGCCTTTGCTGATGTAGAAGATGCTGCAAATGCTTTGTTAAGTAACGCTGATAGCACTGATCAAATCGCACAAAACCTTGATTATGTCTCATTGACATCTCTCCGTCAGACTCAGGATGCTTCTAGTGGTGGAAAGCGCACAAGTGAACAGGTAAGTTTTGTATCTATACTAATGCATTCTCTTTTCAGCATTCAGATGAATTGATTATCTGTGTAGGTATCGTCAGTTGAGGTATCAACCCCCACAAAGAAAACAAAGCTTGACGCCAATAGTTTCGTGCCAGTCTTTGATTTCAATTCTATACTTGATGAAGCTATGCAAAAGTTCGAAGAGCAAATGAACAGCCTTAATACTAAGATCTAAATCAAGCTTCATATATACAGCCTCTTTTCTAGTACCTCCCACCCCTCTATGTAATGTATTCCTCGCTGTACGTAGTATATAGTATTGTACAAAGTAAAATTTCTCCCTCTCTCTATCTCTTAACTAGTAATAAGCATTAGTGACAAAAAAAAATCGAGAGCTAATGCGTCTATTGGAAGCAATGGTATTGCTTATTCTGACTGGAGTGTATATCTGCAGATACATTATGCAGTCTGCTTCACTTTTGGAGAGCTTGCGAAACCTAAAACAACAATGGATCTGCTACATTACAAGTCGCTGCCTTTGGAAGCTGCTTAATAAACATATTTTGGCAGCTCATTGCTATGGAGGGATAGAATGTCAGTGCTTGATAGAAGCTCGTCATGCAAGAAACTCTAGACATTCTATAGTTTCACTAGTATATACGAGACTAGCCGATCTATCTCGCTACGCTCGATGTTGGCGTCGCCCTGCGTGCCTTGGCCGAAGATATTTTAAATCAGATATAATGAAATTTTGATGTATCAAGTAGATTTTAATCAATCAATTATTATTGGTTAGTAAAAGAAAGGTTATATCAGAGCCAGAAGGAGAAGAGGAGGTATCTCCCTCAGCACCCTTTTTGCTTACACTGATATCAAACAAAGCTCATTATTGAAACAATATAAAAGAAAATTCAAGCTTTATGTAGCATTTGTACACTATAATCTCCATATTCTGATAATAGAACTGCGATATCAGTCACTGTTGCTGATACTCTTAATAAGGTGGTGACATAAAGCTGCTCATGTGTAAATACAGGACTTGTGTAAGATCTACAGCGACTTTTTTGAGGTATTGTCATTGTAAAAGACACTTTTATGAAGCAAAGATTCACAAAAAAGTATTTGCGCCAAGCACTTGTCCTTTCAATTCCATGATCCCCATTTAACCAGCATCGCAATCATTACTGTCATCAACAGAAAGGAAATTGGGTCAGTCAGTAGTAATGCCACCAGCCAAAATTTATTCAAGCTCAGTATTTCCTTTTTTATTCAAGAATGGACAGATATCGTCTTTTTTCGACTTCTTTCATCTATTTCGTAATATTCGACTATATAAACTGTAATGATCACCCCACGCTTTCTAATACATTCTTGAAGTACTTTTCAAGGCGCTTCCAATGATGCAAATCCTAATAGGTGTTTTGACTGAACTTGTTGAGCAATTTGATAAAATATGAAATGAGGTTTTTAGCCAAAATGTCAAAATTCTGCATATGAAAACCTCATAAAAGTAGTTTCAGAGGTTGCTTTGGATCGAGAGAAACATTTTGATTTGATATATGCCATAGTAAAAGTCTTTATTTTCAAGGCGAAAAATGCGATCGTTTGATTTTTGATGAAAACCATGAGGGATACCTCATGCTTTTTTGGTCGATTTTGGTTGATTTTTGACGATCCCAAAAAAATTGCTTGAAGGTGTCAGTAAGCAACCGCTAGATGAGAGAAACTGTTTAGTGCTACTTTAGCGGTCTAAGACTACTTTTAACGTGAGAAATCATGGCTTAAATGTACCCAGTTCTTGCTGTATTAGACATACTCTTGACTAGAAAAGGGTAATTACAGTATACTGCTTGGCCGTATATGAAGTATCTTACATGTATACGGATGTGCAACATCACATAAGAGTTGAATCCACATATACTGTAATATGAGGGATTTTCGTATGTAAGTAGATAGTTAAAACGAAATCAGCAGTGTTTCAATAAAACGAGCAAGGGCAATTGATAGCGCGAGCTGCAGCTGTATAGATTGGCTCTCTACCTTCGCTTTGCTTCGGTAAGGGCCATCCATAGTGTTGAGTCTGTAGCGGTTGCGGACATTCAGTAACTCAGCAAGAGTCGGATCATGATTTACATTGTTTCTCACTGTCTACATTAGGACATTAGGTTCGACACAGAAGTGAATCATATAATCGATTATGATGGTCTCTGATAGTGAAGGATAATGATGGCTACAGATCGTATCATCATGGCTGATTGAGCGAATTGGATTCTTCAATTGACTGATATTAGATAAACATGATACGATGTATTGACTCAGTTAAAACAACAAGATAGATTGATGATTCATCAGTAATGATCTCTTATAAATAGGATGTGTTTGAATCAGTTAATAAATCTTTGAAGTTTTCGTATCTGGTTACTTTTTATAGTCTTCCTTTTTTGAAATCTATCTTAATTTGTTAATACTGTATCTTTGAATACAACACATAGTGTAGACAGACTTATATATAATAGCATCTCCATGAAAGAAAACATATTTATGCAAGCAAATATATACAACGCAGCCGAATTTTACAGTTCTTTAAGCCTTCATATCTTGACATGTAAGCCTTTTTGAGCCACGGGAATGATGCCAAACAATTGTACTCGAGTAGTAGTAACTTTCTGACGCCTTTGCTCAACTTTTTTGGGATCGTCAAAAATCAACCAAAATCGACCAAAAAAGCATGAGGTATCCCTCATGGTTTTCATCAAAAATCAAACGATCGCATTTTTCGCCTTGAAAATAAAGACTTTTACTATGGCATATATCAAATCAAAATGTTTCTCTCGATCCAAAGCAACCTCTGAAACTACTTTTATGAGGTTTTCATATGCAGAATTTTGACATTTTGGCCAAAAACCTCATTTCATATTTTATCAAATTGCTCAACAAGTTCAGTCAAAACACCTATTAGGATTTGCATCATTGGAAGCGCCTTGAAAAGTACTTCAAGAATGTATTAGGAAGCGTAGGGTGATCATTACAGTTTATATAGTCGAATATTACGAAATAGATGAAAGAAGTCGAAAAAAGACGATATCTGTCCAATCTTGAATAAAAAAGGAAATACTGAGCTTGAATAAAATTTGGCTGGTGTGGCAGACTGGCAAACTCAATACCCTTCTAATCATGAAGGCAATCATAAGATGATTGACGAGGATCTCATTCATATCAGTCTATAAATTATCCTTTTTTTTAAATTGTTCTCATGCATTTGTTTAAACATATATTATCACAGAAAATTGCACCCGCCGCTTGATTATAGTCCTCCTGCTGCTATAGTTAACACGGAGCAAGTAATAAAAATCTTTAAACTGAAGGCAATAATAGAAAGTAGGTGGCGAACTACATAGTCATACTTATAGATATGCTATTTTTTTTTAAAAAAAAGTCTTGCATCTAATAACGTCAGTCCACCGAAATACTTGTAAGATCAACTTCGTTCCTTTTTGAGGCTTCGAACGTGTATAGAGACGATAAATTTATTATGTTTTGCAAATGAGTTGTTTTATTTGTTATGGAAGAGGCTTTTGGATCTTTCAGAGGAATTCATTTGTATTAGTGTATATCATTCATAGAGCAAATTTAACCATGCGACTGATTTCAACGAGATGATTTAGTAGCCATTAGTAGAATTGCTACTATTGGAAGAGTAACCACTGTCAGACTCTCTCTTGACTTTATCCATGCGTTTTTGATCAAGGATGATAGTTCCAGTAGCACCACGATTAGGGTCATAGAGGTCATGTTGAATAGAACTCATGGCAGCAGCAGCTTTGTACTGAGTCTGGTCCTTGATCTTGTAGTTGAAGCAAGAACCCATGCGATTAGATGGAACCACGATGGAATCAATATAAATATCCCATGGAGCTACCAAGTCTTGCACAAACTCAATAAAGTTACTACGCTCAAGCCGAGGATTATATGCCACTTGAATTTCTCTTACGAAGCCTGCGACATCTGCTGTCAAACGCCAATAGTTGGTTTGCAATGGGCCCCGCTCAGGGGGATATGAGGCATTGTAATAGGTATAGCACATTGTGTGTTGCTGATTCCTTTGGAGTATGTATGAAGAAATAAAAGGACAAGAAAGAATATATTGAGCTTTGCTTGAAGCCTTTTATAGAGCCTAGCGCCAATGATATAGATCTCAAACTTCATGCAATTGGTGAGACAAGTATTAAATTGCTGTGAGAATGATAAACAGCAAGTTTCAGGATATCTTCAAGCACCTGATTTCAAAGACAATAAAAGAACTTGCAATATTCGTCCCTGAAAAAAAAAAGCTATCTTGGCTGCGGTTCGGAAGAGGCTACTAGACAAAGTTTGTTGTGTTTTTATTGAGGGTGTTGCACGAAACAAGCCTGATTAGCAGAGCTACCAAGAACATACCATACAGTAAATTGATGGCGATGATTTAACAATGGTAGACGCCAACGAGGGTCAGTGCGCTTTGCACCGAATACTCAAATTATCTGCCAAGTTCAATCGAGATCGAGCAGATAGGGAGTTGATCAGGAAGCTGCAAGAACGATTCCTCGACGTCGCAGACCACAGTAGCGTAGATACAATGCTTTTGTGACAAGACATAGACTGTTAAGGTATATATAGGCTATTGAACTATGTTTGATAGATTCACTGACACTATCAATCAGACGTACAAACCGTAACCATCCAGTCTATGATCTTCCGCAAGGCACTGTCTACAGATTGTAGAATCGTGATTTGTCTACATGTCTCAGCATGATTTAGAGCTTGACATCAGTCCGTGTTGGTCAAGGCATCCCTCCATAATTTCGTCTCCATCAACAAGAAATGATATAATTCAGCCTTAAGGATTATCGCTCTTCGCCCAAGGGATACACCAAGGGTAAGTATGATGTGGATTTAATGTAATTATCATGTTACCAATTTTTACAATCTTTTTTTTTTTTTTTTTTTTTTTTTTTTTAAAAAAAAAAAAGAAAAAAAAAATTCATATAATTTTGTGAAATTTTGAAATAAAAGTGTATATAAGCAGACATTTAGCTAATCTGATTGAGGTGGTTGAAGGTATTTTTTAGGGACATCTGTAGGAAACTGTAGAGGCTTATAGTAATAATCGTTGCTGTATTCATATATAAACCACTGTGTTACTTGCTGGGCAATGCTGTCGTTCCAGATCTTGAATTCCTCGTCTGAAAATATAGTGAATTCTTGTTGAAATATTGGAAAAAGCTGGCTACTGCGTCCTGCGAGTACTTGCTCATGATGAAGCCTATCTAGATTCAATCGGTTTCTTCTGGCGTATGTGAGAAAGTAGTTGAGGAAATCAAGTTCTGGTGTTCCAATTGTGCATAAATGAAGGATGGCAGGATTGCAGTCAAAGGGTATGGCGAGAAGAGCATGACCGAGCCTTGCCCCAACCAAGTCGGCGTCATACGTCAAGACCATATCAGAAAGAGAGACCCGGCTGAGTTGTTGATCAGGAGCAGACTACATGAAAGAAGAGATGTGTGAGTGCCTTGAGTACCACCTACTACACAGTGCATTTACTCGAATGTGAACAGTGACACCACCAACCCAAGTTCCTTCGGCATGACCACCTCGCAAAGACAGACTGTTTAATCTGAGAACCTGCGAAGAATTGTAATGGTTAATAACTTTGAGCAACGCTGTCTCCACGTCAGCATTGGTTGTGATGATGGTAATCATGGTATAGCCCTATATAAATGACGGGTTAGTATCGCCTCATTGCTCATTTCAACAAACACTGTATATCCAAATCCTTTGTTGAAACAATTCTATATTATGCTCGGCATTGATACAATGGTTCATCAAGAATCATATAGCTTACAAAGGCTTGCTGCTCAATTTGTCTCAAGAGCTCCACAACGAAATACATTTTGCCGCATAAACATTCTTTCTCAGGACTCAAGCATGTATTTGAAGTGCTCATTTCTCCAAAGGCAAACTTGTCAAATTCTGATATCAAAGCGTCTGCTTTGACAGAACAGTTTTTTACGCCTTCGAGTTGGATACTATGACGCTTCTTCTCAACACTGAGCACCTGAGAAGAAGATGGGCAAACAGGTATACAGTTGACAGGAACCATGGTTTCTTTCATGAAAGGTAGAGTCGTCATCTCTCTCTTTCTTTCTTTTTTTTTTTTTTTTTTTTTTTTTACTCAAAACAAAAGAGAAAGACGACAAAACCTGTTGATTGTATATAGTCTTTCAGTATGTGACCGATTTGTGGTGGAATTGTAATCACCATGATTGGGTATCTCGAGAATCAGGCACCGGCGAGTTAAGCATGAAATTAATGATCTTAGTAAAGAAACGGCATGAATTTGGTATCCATGGCAACATTGATGGCTCTAAGGAAACGCATATAGTATCATCAGTAATACAATAGCTAGGCATTTCCATCAAATTGAAGCACATCTATAATAAAACTCGGTCTCTCTGCCCATTGCTGATGCCTTAGCCTGTTATGGAGGATACATCTTCATGAAAATAGACTCAATAAGCAGCATTTCAATATGGCATATCAATAGAAATCTTTATTATGTACAAATTTCCTTTCCTATTACAACACCGGAACCGCCACTGATGGATCAATTTGCTGTGGTGTTTTGTTTTCCTCCCATGAAATCACTTTCCCACTCTTGAGTCGCTCAATCGCTTTTCCTACATTTTCAATGTGCATTTCCAAAGGTAAGGAATCCGGTACCAGAATAGGCGCCACCACCTGAGCCCTCAATTCCTCCAAATCCATTTGAAAAGCTTCCATTCTATCCAACATAACCATCAGTTGTTGGGCAGCTCTGCTTCTTTCCGCATCGAAATTCAGCAAGAGATCCAGATTCTCCTTGACAAGCGATCTCCTCACACCCTTTCCTCTCACCATGTTGACTAAATCTGCCAAAATGTGCGGCTTCTCAGACTGTTGATATGTTTTTTCCTGTATTGAGATTTCATGCACGGCATACAAGTCTTCTTCCAGTAAATCCAACGAGGATTGTGCTTTTTCGATGGCTAATATCAATCGCTTGGCTTCCTTCTCTACCAATGTCATGGCATGCTCGTACAATGCTCGCAAGTCTTGTCGACTGGATTTCTTGCTCTCCACTTCAGAGAGTTTTCGAAATGTAAATGTGTTGTATGTGATGAGGTTGTCAATGACGCCCTTGGTTTGTGCTTGAAGACTCTGGATGTCTTTTCCAAATCGTCGTGATCGAGCAATGTAATCGCCTAGTTTGGCTTCCAGTAAATCATGCATGAGAAGGTTGGAGAATTTGATCATGGCTTGGAGATCGCGTGTAGCCAATTCCACCCGCTTCAATTCAAGCGCTGAAATGGAGTCTGCGCTGCTCTGTGACAGCATGCCTTCGTATAGATTCTCTTGCAGTTTGACGAAATGCGTGAAATCAGGTACTGTCTGAACGTAATTTTTGCATACGGGCAAGTGCGTTCCAATCAACGGCATTGGGCAAACGGTGTCCAGCACAATGTCTTGAAATTTCTGATAGCCAAAGCTGATCAGCCCCAGTAGGATGGCAATGGCGCCTAGAAATGAGACGACCGGCTTCAACACGAACAATGCGCCCATCAAAACGTCTAGTAAGGGTTGTTAGAATGAAAGAGAGTAATTTATGCTAAGGAATATACCAAACAAATAACCAAGGACAAGAGAAAAAGCATTGATAGAGTTGTGGCTGTTTTCTGGTGGGTGATATTGTTGTTGTTGGTTGACTCTTGCTAGATGTGATTTGCTTCTGTTTTTACTGCGATTTGCCATGAAAACGAGATTAATCTGATCAGAACTATGAACCCTCGAAAATGAAAAAAAAAAAAAAAAAAAAAAAAAAAAACTGGTCTTGCTCTCCTTCGTTATGCTAAACCCTTTTTAAAAAAGCGCCAAATGATGGCATGATGATCCATGAGTATGTGTGTGTTGTTTTGAGGTATAAGTCATAAAGATATTTATTTTAATTTACAATAATGAAAAGAGAAAAAGGGATGTGGATTCGAATAATAAAAAGACAGAGAGTGAATTTTGTTTCTAGAATAATTAGTAAGTGGATGTACCAAAACGTAAGTAAAAGTTGACAATGAGGGCTGCCACCAACAAGATACAGAGAACAGCAGGACCCCAGATATCGTCATAACGGCCATCATCAGCATGATTGATCATCCTATTAGAAATATAAATGAATACAAAATGTCAAAAAATCACATTCGCAAATGTCAACATACCAGGCTCGCTTCTCGAATCGATACAGTGCATAGATTGCAATGGCAGCAGATAAACCAATAAAGACACCGCCTACAATACGAGACACATTGTCACCAAAGTTAAGCAAGTTCAACGCCACTGTTAAGAGCAAGGCACAGAATTGAAGCCAGGCGATAAAAGTACGTTCATTGGCAAAGAAGGTCTTGGGCTCCACCTTGACCTTGATCTTGGCTTTTTGTCTTCTACCATCATTTGCCTCCAGGTCATCCATTGCCTCAACTGGCATACCCAGTTGTTTTTTAAATACGATATCATTGGATGGTGGCACTAGACGACCTGAGCTACCATTGATGTTTTCACCTGGAGCAGAGTAGAACTTTGTGATGGGTGCAGGTGGACTCAGATCGTTCTGACTGAATCTTTGATTAGGGAACCTATCGCGCGGTAATAGAGGTTGAGCCATGGGGGAGGGAATCTTGGGAGTTGTACTACTGCTATTGAGCTCAACCAAGGTAAATTCCTCTGTTCTTGTACTATTGCTACTGGTGTTGTTTGTGGGTCGCCATTGAGCAGCTGTCTTTTCATCCACTTCCAGGGATCTTCTTCTGTTGAGTTCTTGAGCATTCTTTTTATCAAGCGCAGGCACAGGAGGAACACCGTTGTTGTTGATCACTGCTTCCTTATTTTTCCGTTCCTTGTCTTCAATCATGGCGCGACGATAGCGACCGTCAATCAAGGGCTTGAAGCTGCGAGAACGAGTGAGACCAATGTTTTCAGCACGGGGCTTGCGGATATCGACATTCATTTCAGACAACCACCAAGGCAGCAAGGGCAATCTATCCTTGAAGAAGTGGCACGCACCATGAAGGTATTTTGAGAAGCGAGGTACTTCATGTACTAAATGGCCTTCCACAAGAGAAGTTAACCAAGCAGGAGGTTCTTGGCCCAAATGAGTTTGGAGTTTAGTCTCCAGAACTGCATAAGGGAAACGCAGGATTTCGTGATCTTTGAGGTAAGGAAAGGGACTATCAATACCAACATCTGTACGTCTCCAATTGTTGTTTTGTCTGCGTGGAACACCATCCAAATGATCTTCACGGATAAACGTAAGATCGGTATCGAGTGAAATACGTAATTTCTGAGAATCAGGCAGCTGGAAGGCAGTTCTGTTGTAGAATACACGTAATACAGGCTCCAATTTCTTCTCTCTAAAGGAGGTTTGCACACCTGAACCGATGAAATGGGTGTCGGTAACGATGCTTTCTTCTGTGCCCTTCATGCGCAGTTCATGAGCAATCTGATCCGCCGTGTACTGGCCAGACACAAAGGCATTGACCTGATCTTCGTTGATGCGGAATCGATCCTTGACAGAGGCGCCATCCAACCACACAGCGTGATGTGTCTTTCTTTCAATAAAGACGTTTTTAGAGTTGTATGGGCCGTACCTGGAAGGGAAGAAAATCATTAATTTGGTTGGTTCGATTTGCAACACCTAAAATGTATATACCATCTGAATCGAATGGCCTCAGCCATTTCGTCTCTCTGCAAACGACCTGTGTACAAATCAAAGTTAGGGTTATCAAAGTAGATGCTAGAGACAGCGGAATCCGAAGCTTCAAATTTCTTGGCCTTGTTGAAGATGAGCACAGGCAGATGCAGCATGATGATGGCCTTGACTTCTGTGATGTTGTCAGGATGGATCCAGTATTTAGCAGTAGCTCTTTCAAAGGCATTTTGGTCACCACCAGAAGCACTGTTACCAGGAGATTGCTTGCCTCTGTTGCGACAGATATCATGAAGAGCGGAAATGTAAACAATGGCAACATCGAATCTCTGCTTGTCCAATGGCTTCTCTCGTAATTTGGCAACATAGGTTTGTTTCAAATCAAGGCCTGTCCAGCGATCATGCTTTTTCAGCATTTTCTGGATAGCGGTAAAGTTGACACGGGTGAATTTGGATAAATCATTGACATCAAACAAGATGTCTGTTAGTGCTTCGTCCATGATGCTGTAATTGGCATCCGAATTCATGGTGGGGTTCTTTTGCAGTGTTTGGATGGTGCGCTCGCAGTACAGGATTCTGGCATCAATCTCTGCTAATTTGGCATTGACGAAATCATAGACTTTGGATAGTTCATTGTCGAGTAAATGGACAAAATCGCTTTCATCCCTGCTGGTCCATCCGTGATCCAATTGTCGAGTCTTCAATTCTTGCTTTAAAATGTCGTAGGCGACGTAGGACAATCTCCATGGTGGAAATATGTTTTCTTGCAATTCAAGGCCGTATTTCATAGTGTATGATTAAGGGGTAAGTTTAAGAAGCAAAGAAAAGAGAAAGAAAGAGTGAGAGTAAGAAAAAAAAATGTTTTTATGAATATTCTGATGTATCACAGTATCAGTTTAAAAAGGGATTAGGGGATTATCATCAAATAATAATACAAATGGCCTATTTATAAATCTTATTATACCAAGAATATAAGGAAGATCTTTTTGTCTTGTTTTCCATTGTGGAAGACGAGAGAAAGAGAGCAGATCATTTTTTCCAACGTCTTTTGTCTCTCCATCTGTTTGTCTCTACGTATGGATCCATTGCACTCAAAATCCATCACCTACATCCACTCAAAACGCTGCCATCTCCTTTTCCCTCTAGTCCAACATGTATGGGCCAACTTTATACATGTAAACATCTCTCTCATTCAGGTATAAAAGGTGGGTATGTTGCATGGTATCACTCGTGTGTAACCCAATCAGATGTTGTTGTGTGTCGGGCACCGGGTATCACGCTTCCTTCCTAAAATAACCTGTTCAACTAACCGGGTATAAGAGAGTGAGAGAGAGAGAGAAAGAAAGAGCGGTGGGATGCTGATGTGGGTATTGTTTGTGTGCTAGTTTACGTACACAAACAACTTCAGCCCTGTCCTAATGTCTTTCATACTCGGCTTGGTTGATGCTGAGCTTTATGTCAAATTTTAGCCTCTCTCTCTCTCTCTCTCTTTATGAACAGAGAATTGCGAGAACTTGTACATGAATAATGTTAATAATGATAGACAAACCAGTGCCTCCTGCATTTGAACATCACTTCTTGTATGTCTTGTCGCTTCTGAACAGGCGCTCTCCCCATAAACCCCTTATTATTTGTTGGTCGTTGAACAATACCATCGTTTTCAATTCCAAATGCTGAGAGAATTTAGTATATAAATAAACAGTGTGTAACAACGATCAGTGTATTCCGTGTTTCAATCATCATTACATCTTTCTTCTGATATTCTTTTGGCACAGCAGAAGCTGCTGATGTACTAGGGGCGAGCAGTGTAAAAGGAATCCAATGGCTCTATAAAAGTAAAAGCAGGGTATTAATAGCACTCTTGTTAAATTATCACGACACACAGAATAAATAGCCTCTGTTACAATCACTTGAGCACAAAAAGCTGATCTTCCCTCTCCACGCCAAGCAAGATTGGATAACTGTGGCGGGACACTTTGAGAGAGTACTACCATGCTGAAAAAGAAAATCAGGAATCATTAGCTTGTATCACATTGCACTACAGAAGCCTGCGAGAGAGAGAGAGAGAGAGAGAGTGTGTGTGTGTGTGTATGTGTGTGTGTGTGATCCACCATTTAATTATTCAAGAGAGGATAAAATGTCAATCTTTTAACTGCAAAAGCAATATATTGACGTGTTGGAACCCTGAGAAGCGCAAACACGTCTGATTTCAAGTTGAAATTACACATTTATTTTTATATTTAGATAGTAGAAATTAAGCTTCATTGATATCTTCTTCATCTTCTTCTTCCATAGGCACTAATTTACCATGTTTGTTCAGCATTGTTCCATTTGGAAAATATGGGTGATGATTATGCAAGCCAGTAGTGCTGTTAGCGTCTGTTGTGTTGTAGCCAAATGGGCTGGGATGAGTTGGTAATGGCTGATTCACTCGCAATCCTAGATTTACAATCAGTGCAATCACTAGCACAAAGCACAAGACAGCAGGCCCATAGATATCATCAAACCGAGACTCACTCCTAAATCTAATCTGCCAAGCTCTGTATTGAAATCTCAGTTGCGCATAGCCGGCTAAAACGACTGCTACTACAATAAAGAATGCGCCACTTCCTTTTGATATGTGATCTCCAAAATTAATTAAGCCTAATGAAACAGAGAGCAGCAAGGCGCTAAATTGTAGCCATGAAATGAAGGTTCTTTCGTTGGCAAAGAAGATTTTGGGCTCAATCTTCTTGTTGTTGAGCTTGCCCTTCTTAGGCATGATTTGCTGTTTGGGTTGCGGTGGTAGGGCGTATAATGTCTTGTCGTGCATCAGCTTGCGATACATCCAAGGTAGTATGCCAATGTGATTTGCATCTTTTTTCCCAACTACACCATCATCATCACTGTCTTGCGTGATGTGTTTGATCTTGACCATAATGGCACTATTGAGAAACTTGTCGTAGGCTGATATGGGCTCTTGATCTGACTGTGATAGCTCTCGGCGCTCGTTATGAGATACAACCTGTATATCACTATCGTCTATCATGGTGCATGAAGAAGCATGGTTGCTGTACATGTTGCCTCTGATCAGTCGCTTGTCATCCTCCTCGTATTCCTCATATTCCTTGGATCTTTTGGGCAGCGTTCTACCTGATACCGCAACAGCATAGCAATCTGGTGTATACTCTGGTTCAATCACGGTACATCTATGTTGCTCTGTGCTAGGAGTACTGATGGCTGCATTACTCGGCTTTCTTCTTATATCCACGCTCATTTCACTTAACCACCAGGGCAACATGGGCAATTGCTCTCGAAAGAAATAGGAGGCGCCATGTAGATATTTAGAAAAGTAAGGCACTTCATACACCAATTGGCTCTCTACTAACTGATTCAGCCATTCAGGAGCACATTCATCTGCTCCAGCTGTATTGATAAACTTGGTTTCAAGTATGGCATAGGGGAAGAAATAGACTTGATCTCGAGGTAAATGGTCAAATGGGTAATCTTCGCCAATGTCCTGTCTGTGCCAATGTGCGGTCATTTCCTTCATAAATGCCACCTTGGTATCCAATGAAACTCGAAATGGAGAGTGTCCCTGATGATACGTGGTGCGGTGATGATAGCAACGCAGGGTGGGCTTTAGATTTTGTTGATGCATCGATTGGTATATGCTGGAAGCCAGCTGTGGGTTTGTTTGTGTGTGGTGAGGGTACTGGCCGTGAGTGAGGTAGTTGTTGACTTGAGGCAAAGGAAGACAGAACCTGTCCTTGACAAACAGGCCTTTGTTGTGTAGCCATGACTCGTGGTGGATCTTTCTTTCAAAGTAGACGTCTGTCGTATTCGATATGTGTCCATACCTTGACTAGGCGTTAGTAGTCTGTCATCACACATGCGCAAATCGACATGCCTACCATTTGGCTCGTATCGTCTCTGCTGATTCGTTTCTTTCAAGCATGTTAGAATACAGTGGAAACTGATGTGGGTTATCAAAATAAACAGTGCTTGAGGCATTGTCCTCACTGATAGGTAGATAGAACAGCAGCAATGCCTGTACTTCTGTGACATTATCAGGGTGGATCCAATACTTGGTAGTTGTCACTTTTTCCAGTGCTGGTTGTGGTGCGCTTGCTATCTCTGTGATGGCAGGGTAGCTGTATAGTATTTCATTGAGGTTCGTTTCATGTGAACTGAATTGGCTCGGCACATCACGAAATCGTATACTTGATTGCAAGTTGAAATGTGTGTGCTTGTCGTGCTTTTTCAAGATCTTTTGAAATCCAGTGGCATTCAGCCGGATAAACTGGATCAGATCAGTGATCTTTTGCCGTATCTCCTGCTCTGATTCCTGTTGCATTATGGACCAAATCTGCTTGGTTTTCAAATAGATGAATCCGTTGACTTTGTTCAGTTCATCAATCATCAGTTTTTCTGCAAAATAGTTTTCATCTTGCACTGTCCATCCGCCATTTGGCTTGTATTGCTGCTCTTTTAAAAAGTATTTGAGTGAATTGTACTGAATGTACTCATTTTTCCAGGGAGGAAAGGCATGTTGTTGCAGGCATTGACCAAATTTCATTGGTATTTATATAGTACAAAAAGTTAAAGGAGAGAGAGAGAGAGAAAGAGAGAAAGAGAAAGAAAAAAAAAAGTTTAATGTGCAACATGGAGGTTTATCTTTTGCCCTTTATATATATATATATATATATGTATGTGTGTATTAGCAAGATCAGATCATCTCCCTGTTCCGAATAAACAAAAAGTTCTTAACCAAGCACTTGTTGTTTTATCACATTCAGGTTTATATGTCTATAATTGGCTCCTTCGATTTGAAAGAAGGGGCTGTCAAAGAGGATACATGTTCTATATTTCAGGGACACCCAAAGATAAGGGGGGCAAGCTGAGTGACGAGTAGCCTAGTTTCTGTAGATTGCATGTGTGTTTATACAGAAGAAAGTGATGGATCCATAAACCCACACAACCACAGTATGTATCAATGAGGCACAACATGAAATGAAAGTATGATGATGGATTTTAATATGCACCTTGACAAAGTTGCCTCTTCGTGATGCGTGTAAATATACATACTGGAATCAACGAGACAGCATAGTGTTTCGTTTTGATATACATTTGTTTACAAACACATGCTCATCTCCACCGCGCTAAAATTCATAAAAGGGCATACAGCATCCCCCTATTAACGCTTAGTGCTCGAAAATATGCCAATTGCACCGAATTTCAGGCGGATTTGATCAGCAGTTTCTCGAGTTAGAAGCCGTTTTAAGCCGTCAGAACGGCACCAAACAATTGCTTTCAACTAGCACTAACTTTCTGACACTTTTGCTCAACTTTTTTGAGATTGTCGAAAATCGACCAAAATCGACCAAAAAAAGCATGAGGGATAACTCATGATTTTCAACGAACATCAAACGATCGCGTTTTTGACCACAAAAACAAAGATTTTTACTATGACATGCATTAATTCAAAATGCTCCTCTTGACCCAGAGCAACTCCTGAAATCACTCTTGTGAGACCTTGATATATGAAATTTCGATATTTTCGCCAAAAACCTCATTTCATATTTTCCAACATTGCTCAGTAAGCTTGTTCAAAACACGTCTTTTATTTAGTACCATTGGACGCGCCTTGAAAAGTACTCCATACATGTATTAGGAAGCATGGGATGATCATCACAATTTACATAGTCGAATCTGGCAAAATAAGTCGATTCGAATTCAAAAAATTCGAAAATGAACAAATCACGACCAAATGTGGAGCGGCATTTACATTGATTTTCGCTACTGGCGAAGATGTCTAAGCCATCTTTATGATAGTAATCGAAGCTTTTGAAGCTCATGGAGAGAAGGTTGGGAACTGAAAAAAGTGGCATAATTTAACCAGGCTAGCATATCGTACGAAAAATCACTTTATTAGATAGTTAGTATGTATAGTCTAAAATCACAAATCCTCTACAGCAGCCGTGGCAGCAGCATCCACAAGGACGTCTACAGCAGACGTATCCTCGTAGGACGAGGATAGCGTATCAGCCCGCAGGCAAAAGTTAACAACGAGAGCGATGACAATTAATATGCACAGCACGGTAGGGCCCCACACATCATCATAGCGCACAATTTGCTTGTTGTTTCGTAATTGCCATGATCTAATTTGGAATCTTGCTAGAGCATAACTATATTTTTAATATCGACATTAGTGCAACTGTTTCATAAACGACATGTAGACACTTACAGTGACAACATAGATGCAATAATAATGAATACAGCACCAATGACACGGGATATATGATCACCATTATTCAACAAATTCAAAGCAACCGTCAATAGCAGAGCGCAGAATTGCAACCATGAGATAAAGGTACGCTCGTTGGCAAAGAATGTCTTGGGCTCTGTTTTCTTCATTTGACCTTTGGAAAACCTGCCTGGACTACTGCTCGTGCGAGGTAGGTTAGGTGTTTCCTTTTTACCGTCCCTTTTCAAAAGAGATAAGAACTGTGCAGACGTAGGAGTAGTACCATAGTTCCAAATACGAGACAAGACGTCTTTACCGCTATTGGGCTGTCGTTGATCCACGGCTTCTGTGTCCAGCAAGTTGATGGACAGATGAGGCTTCTCCTGGCGAAACTTGTTGTTGCTGCTAAAGTTGATGGCACGTAAATCACCCAACTTCTTGCCCTTGCTGAATGTATCCTTGGTCTTGTTGTTGCTCTCTTTCAGCTCTCTTTCGTACATCATCAATAGGGATTGTCTGTAATGGCCATTGACCAAAGGCTTCAAACTCAAGGAACGAGAGAGACCCACATTAGCAACAGGCTCCTTTCGAATATCTTGACCAAATTGAGACAGCCAGTAGGGATAAGTAGGCACTTGCTCCTTGAACAGCATAGATGCACCATGCAAGTACTTTGAGAAACGAGGCACCTCGTGTACAAGATGCGATTCAATAAGTGCAGTGAGCCATGCAGGACTTTCTTGGCCCAGATGTGTCTGGAGCTTGGTTTCCAGAATAGCGTAAGGGAATCTGGAAATGTCCTTGTCAGCGACGTAGCGGAAGGGGTAATCGATGCCAACGTCCTTTCTTCTCCATTCAGATTCCTCTGTTTCCTCTCTGATAAACGTCAGATTGGAATCCAAACTGATACGCAGTCGCTGATCACCAGGAAGTTGGAATGCTGTGCGGTTGTAAAATACACGACAGGTGGGAGCCAAGCGACGGTCCTTGACAGATTGCTGCACACCAGACGCAATGAATCGATTCTCTTCTACCATAGCTGCTGATTCAGCGGAGCTCTTTTTGCTGTTGCGAAGATCCTCTGCAAACTGATCTGCTGTGTATTTTCCAGCCAAGAAGGGCACCACCTGGGGTTCCTTGAGTCGGAATCGATCCTTGACAGATTTGCCGTCGAGCCACGCTGCCTTGTGTGTCTTTCTCTCCACGTATACATTGTTGTTGTCTTGATTCAAGGGGCCATACCAACGGAGTCGAATAGCTTCAGCGCCATCATCGCGACTCAATCTCTCAGAGTACAGATCAAAGCCCTTGTTATCAAAGTAGACACTGGAAACTGCCATATCCTCCACTTCGTACTGCTTCTTCTGATTGAACACGTGCACAGGCAAATGAAACAAAATGATGGATTTCACTTCGGTAATGTTGTCAGGATGGATCCAGTATTTAGCAGTAGCACGCTCAAAAGCCGTTTGATCTCCACCTTGGCTGTACGCTTGTTGTTGTGATCGAGGATGGCCGTGCAAATGACACAAATCATGTAGTCCTGAAATCTTGACAATCAGCACATCCAACTGCAGCGAGAGCTTGTCCAGAGACCATTGCTGCGACATGGATTGACGGTACATACTGCGCAAATCTAGGTTTGTGTAGCGATCATGCTTCTTGAGGATCTTTTCAAAGCCGGCTGCATTCAGTTGCAAGAACTTAGCGAGGTCGTTTATATCGAATAAGATCTCTGTAAATGTATCAGCCAGTGCATCGTACTTGTTCTTGCTGTCCTTTGTGTTGGACAATTGATTCAATGCCACTTGTCCTTGATCAGCACGCTGTTGAATGGCCTTGAGTTGCGTCTTGGCAAATCGATACACCTTGGCAAGCTCAGATTCCAATGTACGAGTAACATCGACTTCGTCAGATTTGGTCCATCCATGGTCAAGTTGACGTCGCTTCATTTCCACTTTGATTTGGTTGTAGACGAGATAAGATGAGCGCCATGGCTCATATATCTTTGATTCGAGATGTGCACCAAATTTCATTATTCAGCGTAGTCCAAGATGTCTAGCGATTGCCGCTGTTAGACGAGGCAATACAGCCGTTCTTTATGTACTTACTAAATTAGTCCTTGTACGATTGTTTGATGTGTGATTTAAAAAGCGAATGCTATTGAGAAAAAAAAAAAAAAAAAAAAAAAGAGAGAGAGAGACTCAAAATGTGAACAAGAAAAGCAACTTGATTGATGGATTGTAAAGATATAATGCTTGTTTGCCATTGCACTTTATTGTTTGTCTAATTTTGCATGTTTATTTCAAAACTGACCTGATGCCCATCCTGTCAACAAATTTGATCCAAGCCAAGTTGACTAGTTGACATGTCGCTTCTCAATGAAGTCTGCCTGCCTGTTTAGAATGGCTTGTACTTGACACGGTATATCACTCATGCAGTTCAAAAGTTTTACGTTCAATACAAGGCCCTTGATCTACGGATGTGCATCATAATTTCCGACCTGCTTTTCTTGCAAGCTTGTTATTTTCCTATGTGTATCATATCCTATTTGTATTTAATGATGATACATGCACACACACACACACACACACACACACAGGCTATGATCTCTTTATATTTCATAACAAACAAATAGATTGCGAACAACATCATCAAAAAGTGTATTTTTTACCATCCTTACATACAGTCAAAACGAGAATTTATGCAAGCTTCTTTGAAAACAGGAGCAGTGTTTACGTATCCGTTTTAAGCTGCAAATCATGAGAATGGTGAGTTTCAGCATCACATGTAAAATCAAACATTTAATACGAATTAATAAACTTTGTTAGTGCTCCAACGTCAGTTTGATACAGTACTTTGAGGGGGGCATATGTACAAGGTTGCCGTCAATGTACTTGTTATCCCTCTTTCGTTAGCATCTTCTCTTCCGAATGTCGCACTTTCTAGCCAACACCGACGCCGCACTGCTGCTTTCTCCCAGCTTCGCTTCAATGACACTGCCACAAATTAAACAATCCTTTTAAAATTTTGTAGTATTGAGAGTCGGCACAAAGGTGAATAAAACCACCGGGAAAGCCAGCATTGGCAAGGAGGTTTGGGGGAGGGGTTTAGCCTCTCCACCAAGAACATAATAATGCATCTAATCCAACATTGGGTAGCATTGATTTATAGGGGGTTTTACCGTAGCGAAGCAAAGATGTAAAACCATAGTGTTCAGGCAGCAAATTTGGGTTTTCATTTCCGTTATTAATAAGCTTACCAGCAACATATCGCATCAAAATATGCATGAATCAGCTTTATCAAAATCAATATTCCTCCTGTTCGAATTAGAAGTTGCATAGGCTGCAGAACTGCCCTTTCGTTCAGAAGACTTCAGCTACCAAAGATGTGATTCATGCCATGTAAATAAGCTCGATAAAGCAAAACATAGCCAAATCGGACAGTTTTCAAGCCTTAATATCTTGACATGTACACCTTTATGAGCCACCGGAATAACGCCAAACAATTGTACTTGAGTAGTAGTAACTTCCTGATACCTTTGCTTAACTTTTTGGGCCAAAAAAAAAATATGGTCAAAAATCGACTAAAAACCATAAGGGGTACCTCATGGTTTTTGACGAAATTTAAACGATCGCATTTTTCACCTTGAAAATGAAGACTTTTACTATAGTATATATCGAATCAAAATGCTTCTCTCGATCCAAGGCGACATATGAAACCACTTTTATGAGGCTTTCATATGCAAAATAATGCTATTTTTGCTAAAAACCTCATTTCACATTTTACCAAATTGCTCAACAAGTTCAGTCAAAGCATTTATTACAATTAACACCATTGGAAGCGCCTTGAAAAGTACTTCAAGAATGTATTAGGAAGCATAGGGTGGTCATTACTGTTTATATAGTCGAATATCATAGAATAGATTAAAAAAGTCGAAGCAAGACAATATCTGTCCAATCTTGAACAGAAAAAATGAACTGAGCTTGAATCAATTTTGGCGGCGGCGGCGGGCGACGCTGCTGCTGACTAGAGCAAATGTCTTTCTGATGCTGACAATGATGAAGGTAATGCTGATTATGATGCTGATTAAATGGGGACCATGAGTTTGAAAGAACAATCGATTAGCTTGGATCCTTTTTTCTTTGATTTTTATTGGGAATTTTTCCTTAAAAAGGTGTCTTTTGCGATGACAATCTCTCAAAAAAGTCACCGTAGATCTTACACACGCCCTGTATTTACTTATGGCCAGCTTTATATCGCCATCTTATTAAGAACATCAGCAGTAACAAATGTTATGACAATTCTATTATCAGAAAATGGCGATTGTGATGTGCAAATGCTGCATAAAACTTGAATTTTCTTTCACATTGTCACAATAATAGGCTTCGTTTGATATTAGTGTAAGTAAAATGGATGCTGAGAGAAATACCTCCTCTCCTCCTCCTGGCTCTGATATAGCCTTTCTTTTACTAACTAATAATTGATTGTTTAAAATTTACTTGATATACCAAAATGTTATAATATCTGATTTAAAATTGTCTTTGGCGAAAGCCCATAGGGCGACGCCGACATCAAGCGTAGCGAGATAGATCGGCTAGTACAGGCCATACTGTAAACTTTTTGAACGTTTTGGCAGTTCTTGAAGCATTTCGGGAGATCGTCCCATCTTTCGGCATCTTCTCAATGGATTCTTAGTCGGTCAACACAAACTGGCAAGTATGAGGACAGCGTTCAGGCTGACTGCTCCTTGATTACTGACAAACAAACAAATAGGCAGCATTGCCATCGAGCAAAACGAGACTTTTTGTATGCCTTTGTAAGATTCGATTGAGCTACAGCTTCAAGAAAGAGCTCAATTGACAGATACTGCACTGCTCTATATAACAACCAGTGCTACACGCGAGCAGAGATCAATCATCAAAGACGAGAGGATATAGTATTTTGCATTGGATTTATGTATCAGATACAATAGAGTTCAAACACCGTAGTGGTACTGTAGTCAGAAGCAAAAGCATCTCGCGCATACAACCAGGCAAGTATAAAAAGGAGAGAGGGGTCTAAATGTGTCATATCCACTCTTTTCTTTCTCGAATACACAACAAGATGGAGTTTTCTGGTGACCTATTTCAATACGATACCGAGGAACGTTTGAATGCATTCGAGACATCACCTTCATCCGAGAGAACTGTTGTCTTTATTGGTGGTTTAGGCGATGGATTCAACGCAGTACCTTTCCTTGAGCCCCTTTACAAAAGCATCTCTGCTCTCGGCTGGTCTTTGACACAGGTCCAGCTTAGTTCTAGCGTAGATGGCTTTGGAACAAGCAATCTTCAAACAGATTGTAGACAGTTGGATACCTTGGTTGAGTACCTCAAATCAAAGCGTCAAAAGAAGCACATTGTCTTTATTGGCCATTCTACAGGTACGCTTCATGGAACATAAACGAAGCGCGTCCATGATGTTATTGACACGTATACAGGTAGTCAAGATTGTTACTGGCACAACAAAAATGGCAAGCACAACCAAGATATTAATGGCTACATCCTTCAGGCGCCTTGCTCGGATCGACAATACTTGGAAAGCTTGGAAAACTATCAATATCTGGTGGATTTGAGTACCAAGATGAAGAATGACGGTAATGGACAGGAAATCATGCCCAGAAAAGCGCATTGGTCACCCATCACGGGAGATCGATTCTACTCATTGGCTGCCAAATTGTAATATAAATCGTGGCAGTTGCACAAGCCTACAATTAACACCTATTCATAGTGGCGATGATGATGTATTCTCTACTGACTTTACTGACGATGAGATAAAGAAACTGTTTGAGGGCGTTGATCGACCTATCGTCTGGGTATATGGAGAAAAGGATGAATACTACATGCCATCCAATGGAGATCCTCAAAAGAGCATTGACAGATTCATGCGGCTTGTACCTGCTATCAAGGAAGGCCATCTAATTCCCAACGCAGATCATTGTATTACGGATAAGGGGGCCCAGCAAGTCTTTTGCAAGGTTGTATCAGACTTTTTAACCGTGATTGACAAGGCATAAGGCGTTGATGTCTTTTTGCATTACGCACTGTAAACAGGAGTTTTAAACGAATGAATAAAAAAAAAATATTTTCCAGCTCACCTTCTTTCTCTCTCTTCATTACGCAACACTACTCCACAATCCCTTTTTTCTCATCTTGTAGATATATAACATGGTCTGTAAAAAGTGCGAAAAGAAGCTAACGACATTGGCGGCACCTGACAAGTGGAAGGAAGGATCCAAGAATGCCGTAGGTAAAATATTCATGAGATGCTATTTTATCCACTAGTCTAATCGCCCCATCATCCGCAGCTGGATCCTCAGGCAGAAAGTTGAATCAAAACAAGCTTTTATCCAGATCAGCGAAAATAAAGTAGGATTGCGTATACATGCCTTGCCAAATGATGAGCTGAATGACTGATTCTAATGATAGATTTGATCCACTGGATGTACGCAAATGCAGATTATGTAAAACCAAAGTCCATCAGGACAAAGCACATTATTGCCAAGGTAAACCAAAAAAAAAAAAACCGCACTTACCATACAGAGACACTTGATTATTCACATTGGGCCTTGGTTGTGTAGATTGTGCATACAAAAAGGGGATTTGCGCCATGTGCGGAAAGCAGGTTCTTGATACAAGTGCTTACAAGCAAAGCTCTAAATAGAAAAGTATGGCATTGATGCTGGGAGAAGGGCGTGAAAAGCTTGTTTAACCAATCAAGCGACCATAGTTTGTGTGTTACATTTTTTTTTTTTTTTTTTTTTTTTATACTCAAATGTTTACATATAAAGAAACTCTTTTTTTCTTCCTTTTTTTTTTTTTTTTTTTTTTTTTTTCTCTCTCTCTCTCTCTCTCTCTCTTCAACCATTACCTATATACTTCAGAATCAGAGATCATTACTGCAACAAACACTGCTCCTACTACTGCCGCAAAACTACCACACATTCAACAAATCCTACAGAATAACTGCAAAACCATGGAAATCAACTTTATATCAATCTATGATAACACAGCAGAAGCAAAATACCTATTCGTATCAGAGAGTGTCACTGATATACTAGGCTATCAACCAGAGGAATTGGTTGGTAAAGGAGGATACAGTATACTTCACCCAGATGAAGTGCAAGCTATAAGCATTGTGCACCGAGGAAATGTAAAGAACGAGAGAATGTCAAGTGTAAATACCTATAGAAATCGACACAAGGATGGGCATTATGTGCTATGTGATGTGGTGGTGCATTACTGCTACGATGTACTGATCTGCACCAATTTTGCAGTGACAACGAATGATTGTTTTCGACACAAGATTCGGATCAATTCTGCAGAAGATGTGTTTGTTATTCAACCGGATGGATCTATTCAGTTGGCAGGTGCATGGAACCTATCTCAAGAAAAAATGAAGAGATTGCTGGCGGAAGGAAACCCTTGGGACGCCAACATGAATGTGATATCGCCGCAAGAGCCTCGATTCTGTTTATTTCTAAATCGATATACAAGCTTGTCCATTATCGTATTTGCCACTCAAATGTGTCAGAACCTTGTTGGATCGAGCCAAATGGAGTTAATTGGTGAATCATTGTACGATTATGTGGATGACAAGGACCGATTGAATGTGGAAAGACTTATAACATTGGCAAAATCAAATGACCTGATCAACCGAATAAGATTTAACTGGAAAAGACGTGATAATGATGAATTAGAGTATCTAGAAGCTGTTATTAGTTGTACATACGATGGTTTAGTTTTTGTAGCACGTAGATGTGGATATAGGATGCAATGAATAAAAAACACCAATTGATCTGCCTACCAGTCTCCAACGCACTAGTTTTTTTTTTTTTTTTTTTTTTTTTTTAAAGCTGAGCACAGATATGTCAATTTTCGTGTTATTATATTTACCAAAGAAAGCTAGTTTGCATTCGCGTAAATAGTTTATGTGAATGTCTAGCTTCGGCTACATCGGCTTTATCGGATTCGGAATGAAAGGAACCAAGGCTATGGCTTTCCCTTTTTGCACAAGCATTTCTTGGCTTTTCTTGCTTTGATCTACGCTTTAGAACACTCATGTCGATGGGATCCGTATAACAAAAATTGCAGTTACATGTTACACTAGTAAAAAGTTTCTATCAAATGGCAATGGCGGTTTGTTTTGGATCAGTGGATACCAATCAATTATGAAACATGTGAATAGGGTTAACGTTGATTTCCCATCACTACTCTAAAGATGCATTTTGAGGATGCATGTACCATAGCCCTTGCTGCGGCTTGAGCCTCTACAAAATGTACACCCTGACTCTACAGAACTAGTTGGTAGCCATTTAACCGCAGATGGAAACTTATGATGTGGTGGTGTGTGGCTTGCTTTTGGATTTTTGGAGTATGATTGGGGGAGGGGGAGGGGGAAACGTAGGATGGGATCACCAAATGAGATACTTTTTAGGAACCATCTTGGCGTTAATGTACGATGGGATATTCTATCATAAAATAGCTCCTCATAGCGTTATTATTAGCGATCCTCTTATATTTTTAGACTACTAGTCAGTAAAATCCCTCGATTGGGGTTTATTCGTACCTCCAACTACGCATTTTGCACATGATAATGATGAATTATAGGCGCATCAAATCAACATTTCAACCCCATAGTCTAGACAAAGTCGATACATGTCTACTCTACAGCACATTACACAGACCTATATAAATGTACACAACTACTAAGCAGCAAGCAGTCATTATCAAGATGATGATACCGAGAGTGCGTTGTAGCACAATGCTTGTATCTGTTTAGTTTAGCAACATCGACCAAACCGATAATGGGGCTTCCTTCTAAAGAGTCTGGTAATAGCATGAACCATGTTTCAAATGGCAATCAATTGTGATCTCGTCATGGGGCCTCCGTATCCACACAAACACACATGCGGCATGGACTACATACGATGGTTAGTCGCCAAGCTATCTATCGTCATGAGCACAGTTCATCTAGAATATCGCTCTCTCCCAGCGAATAAAAACATCGGCTCTTGCTCTCTGCATGTCTTTTGGTGCAACCCAAAGCCGAGGATAGGTTGTCATTGCAGTTGCCATAAACACAAACAATTGCCTACAATAGAACAAGCCTACTCCAGGATTTCTACGTTGATTCCTGCAACGTGACGAATTTCACACACACAAAATCATCCTCGCAACTATAAATACGACCTTTGATTTTCTGCAATCATTTTCTGATTTTTTTTTTTTTCCCCTTTTCTTTACTTTTTCTAAACTTTCAAGAAGCTACATTTATGGCCCTGAAACCTCCTCTAAGTGAAGAACCTATTCAACATGCTGTAATTGATGTATTTTCACTCAATGACGGTAAACTTTCAGTTGAGCAACAGATTGAAGTTTATGGTAATGTCAGTGCTTTTTGATGTAACCCTCCTTATCTCACCCGCAAATGTGTTGCACATAGTCAACGATTTATTCAATGTTCAAGATAACAAGGCGATTTCCCTCCAAGAAGTCCTGGAGGGTCTTTGCTATGTAATGGATTACCGTATCAAAGATGGCAATCAACCCCACTTGGATCAAAGTCTGATGAAGAGACTATCTGAAGGTCTCTTACTCAACATGGGCCACACGGAGGGCCATCTCTTGAAAAAGAAGACCACCGAAGCCGCTGATATGGCCTTTTACCTTTACGGTGATTTCCTGCAACAGGTTCATGAGTTCCGTAGGGTAACCAGCGAAATGGATGTGTCTGATTTACGCCGCCAACTCAAGATCCACTACCGATGTCAGCCTACCTCGTCTACTCAACAGCAGAAGCGAGGCGCTCTGGCTATGGTCATGCTCTTTGCTCGTTTCTTTCCCAATCAGTTTGCTGACTGGCGTGATTTGGTCAAGGAAAGCGAACAAGGTGACATGGAGCGTCTGCTCAATTCCTCGCTTGCTCAAGAGGTGAAAACAAGCGACGAGAAAACCGCTATGCCATCTCTCAACAACCCTTTGGCTGATGTCATTTTGCCTCCTCCTCAAGCCCTCTACTTTGATCGCTCTGTCGACAAGCTGTTGGGCATGTTCTCTCAAACCGACAAGGACAATGGTTTGCCTTCCGACTTGGTGCCTGCCTTGAGGGAGCAATACGGCACAAATCAACTACCCAAGCCTGCTCGTCCCAATGCGCTCAAAATGCTGTGGGAGCAACTCACTGATTTTATGGTCCTGATCCTGATCGCCGCTGCCATTGTCGAGGCAGCTGAAAAAGAATTCAACAGTATGATCGTCCTGCTTATTGTCGTTGTGTTAAACACCATCATTGGCTTCAGTCAAGAGTGGAAGGCCAGCAAGACGCTCAATGCGCTGGTGAATTTGGAAGTGCCCCAAGCTGCAGTAGTTCGTGATGGCCAACAACAAATGATAGGATCAGAAGAGCTGGTGCCTGGTGATTTAGTTGTTCTGGAGGAAGGTGATGCTGTCCCTGCTGATATCCGTCTCATTGAAGTCGCTCAACTGGGTGTCATTGAAGGCATCCTTACTGGCGAAAGTGTCCCTGTTCAAAAAAACGTGCAAGCCATCAAGGCCAAGACTCGAAAGATTCCTCTCGGTGACTGTAAGGGCAACGCATTCATGGGAACGACTGTTACTCGCGGTCGAGCCAAGGGTGTGGTGGTCAGAACTGGCCCCAACACTGAAGTAAGTTCTCGGCAAGGAGCACGTATATTTGTTGGCTAACAATTATCTAGATTGGTAAAATTAGTGCTGCTATTCAAAGTGGGTCTAAACACAAGGTCAAGACCCCCATCCAAAGAAAGCTGTCCAAGCTAGGTATCTACCTTGTAGCCCTAGCCATCTTTCTGTGTGCTTTGGTTGTCGTTATTGGTGTTATCTGGAAGCGAGATGCTCGTGACATGGTCAACATCGGTCTCAGTTTAGCCGTGTCTGTGATTCCTGAAGGTTTGGTTGCTGTTACCACAGTGACCATGGCCATTGGTGTTCGCCGAATGGCAGCCAGGTATGCTCAGACTAATGTATAAGCTTATGAAACAGTACTGATTTGTTTGTTGTCTCTAGTAAATGTATCGTGAGAACCCTGCCAGCTGTTGAATCGCTGGGCAGTGTCACTGTCATCTGCTCTGACAAGACAGGCACACTGACTGAAGGCAAAATGGGCACTTCTGAGCTATGGACAACCGATAATTCACTCTACCGATTCACTGACTCGACCTCGATGGATCCTGGTCATGGTGAGATCATATGCGAACCCCAGGGATTACGCCGCCGTATGATTCATATTAGACATACAGCACCCACCTCACCTCCTCCTACTGTCCCTAAAGGGAACGATGAAGAACGCAACTTGAATGCAGAACACCCACCGCAACAACAAACAATCAATTATGCAGACATGAGACCCAAGCCCGTTGATACAGCAAAGCCGGATGCCTACACCAAGCAATTATATCATGCATTGTTGATCTCCAGCTTGTGTAATAACTCATCGATTCGTCGCGATGAGGATACCGGTGAAATCAAGTCTATTGGTGATCCCACTGAAGTTGCATTGACTGTCGCTGCTCAAAAGGCTGGTTTAGGCCGTACCTACTGGAATGATTTAGGCTACAAAAAGGTGTTTGAACGTGCCTTCGATAGTGAACGTAAACTCATGAGCTCCGTGTTTACTCAACCTGGCGCTGATGCTGAGCTGATCATGACATGTAAAGGTGCCCCTGAAGAGTTACTCAAGAAATGTAGTCATTTCATGCACTCCAATGATGCTACTGCTGCTGCTAGTCAAATGACTGATGATTTCGCTTCCCAAGTCTATGACGAAAATGTGAGAATGGCCTCGCAAGGTTTGCGTGTGTTGGGTCTAGCCTACAAGACAATTCCTCGGGACAGTGTCTCTGATGCTGACGCTATCTCTGAAGAGCAAGACCAAGATGAACCTTCATCATCAAAAGCTACCAGCCCCCATTTAGCCGAAGAGCAGCTCATTTTCGCTGGTCTTGTCGGTTTGATTGATCCACCCAAGAAAGGAGTCAAGGAAGCTGTTGCAACTTGCCAGCAAGCGGGTATCCATTGTATAATGATCACTGGTGATCATATTGAAACTGCTACTGCTATTGCTAGTCAATTGGGCATCTTCCAAAACGACACACCTGGTATGAGTCGTGCCATCTTGGGCCGAGAGTTGGATCTCCTGTCTGACGATGCTATCATTGAATTGAACCCATTCCCTAGTGTATTTGCTCGTGTTAGCCCTGATAACAAGTTGTCTATTGTACGTGCTTTGCAACAACGAGGTGAATTGGCTGCTATGACTGGTGATGGTGTCAATGGTAAGTTGCACTTAAATGAGCATGAAGCGTGTCTTTTAACACAACCCCATTTTTTTTTTCTAATAGATGCGCCTGCTATTAAAAGAGCAGATGTTGGTGTTGCAATGGGACAAGCTGGTACAGAAATTACAAAGCAAGCTGCTGATATTGTACTCGTCGACGACAACTTTACAAGCATTGTCAAGGCTGTCGAAGAAGGTCGCCATGTATTTGACAACATTCTCAAGTTTATCGTCTATCTGTTGAGCTGTAATGGTGCCGAGATTTTCCTGATGCTGATTTGTACTATTGCTAACATTGAAGTGCCATTGTCTGTCATGATGATCTTGTGGGCAAACATCATCGGTATATATCAGATGCTTATATTGGTTTCATTAAGCTGACTTTTTTTTTTTTTTTTTTTTTTTTTTTTTTTTTTATATATATACATAGCGGATATTCCTCCTGCCATGGCTTTGGGTGTCGAGCCAAATGAAAAGGACTTGATGCAGAGACACCCTCGAAATCCCAAGATGGGCGTCATTACAAACCTTACCTGGCTGATCATCTTTATCAACTCCATGCTGATTGCTGCTTTGGCCATTGCTGCTTACACCATCAGTTTGTACGTCCTGAAATTTGAGCTGCAAGTGGCTAGATCAATGGTAATGTACATCAGTATATATCTGACACATATTGGTTTTATTAATGCGGCTGTTCGGAATAGACCTTTACAACACTGACGACAATGCAACTCGTCCATTCATTCAATGCAAGAAGTGTGCATCAGTCTGTGTTCAAAACGGGCATCACTAGTAATCGATGGATGATTGGCGCATTTATCGTTTCCTTTGCATTCATGATTCTGGGCATCTACGCTCCTGGCATCTCGACTTGGTTGGAACTCACGCATGTCGGTTGGGAGTCTTGGGTCATGACAATGGTGAGTGTCATCGTCTTGGTCTCCTTTGTTGAAATTGAAAAACTGCTCATCAGAAGAAAGATGCCTGATAAAATCTAGTTTCTTTATTACTACTATTTTTTAGCTCTATGAATAAAAGGTTTATGCGTTTTCATATGTCTGCGCATATTGCTTCTAACACTGAAAGTACGGTTGCAGTCTGGATGATTGCACGTGTAAGGCTTCTCTCCTGTATGAGAGTAGATATGTGTACGTAAAGAGGAGGGTCTAGAGAATCTCTTGTCGCAATGAGGGCAATCATACTTGTCTAGCGCGAGTCCTTGTAGACGAACACATGGCTGCTGTTGTGGCGGTGGCGTTGAACACCCAGAAGACGAGTCTTCAGAGTCTTGCTGGTCATAGCAGAAATGAGGCATCATGCAGTTTGTCGATTTGTTTCTAGCGTGATCAAATGCATGCTCAGACACTGCTCGCCTATGTTCATAACGATGATAGTTCTGATGCTTTCTGGACTGCGTCACATCAGAATAGTGTCTCATATGTCTTGAGCGATGGTATGCTGCATTGTTCATATTTTCCAGAGAGGGTTCTAGAGTCTGAAGTTGGTATATTGAGACAGGTGGCTTGTATGATGGAGGGGTATAGTGGTATTGTTGGTATTGAGGGTTAACTATGGACAGTAAGCATCAGCGCTGGATGAATTGAGCTGTGTACATATACACCATACCTTGAGCTCCATCTAGCATGGATTGTATTGATGGCAACACGACATACGGCTCTGGATAGTATTGACGACAATTCATAGATATAGTGGATGACAACGAAAGAAGGAAAAGAGACATTCTGTCTCACTTGCTGACACCTTTTATATTGCAAATCAAGAAGTTAACAGACAATCAAGTGTAAATGCGGGATGTAATATGTAATGTAATTAATCAAATGTGCTACGCTCAAACAGATCCTGTTTCTTCTTGTTTTATATCAAATGCATTTGCATTTAAAAACCGCATATGATGAAACTGTTTATTTCTCAACAAATGTTGTGATTAGACATGCTTTGTTATTATCATGTAGCATGCTTTTAGCAACCTCCATTGAAGCTGTATTCATTGCGTTGAATTTCTACTCTGGAATTTCCAAATGTTGCTTTGATGATATGGCAGCATTGACAAGGTACTTGCATATACTTTTACTGGTACATGCGTTGAACTTCCCAGCAAACCAGTATAAGAGAGTCTGTACATTTGACAATGTTGTCGCTTTTTTTTTTCGGATTGTATTCATTACCCCCTATTCACAAATACTATAAGGGATTGATTGAATACATCAAACCCAGAACCGGATGCAGATAGAGCACTACTTGCTGTCTGTATACCATGGCGTACCTTTTTACCATTTCTATACTCAATGATATACTGATTGTTGGCTTGATGTAACAATGAGTTTGGCATGATCTGCTCAACACTGACAATCGTTTTTGTGATGGTTGTCTATCTACTGTTTTTCAATAATCGACACAAGCATACAAAGCATATGTATTGAATTGATCCTCTTTCAAAAAATGCTATGGATTCCGTTTAGTGGATATGACTAAAGATTCTCCCTCTAGGCTTATACATGCTGTCTACATCCGAATACAGCTCTGATTGATCTGGTGGAGCCGCTGTCGGCAAATAAACGTGTTACACACTATAGTTTCAATTGCCTCTCCTTGAATAATCTGCAATTGTTTTTTTTTTTTTTTTTTTTTTTTTTCATTGTCATCCTCTCTTTCTTTCCTTCTTTCTGTAAATACCACAACTGTCCCCTTGCTATATTGATGAACAACGACGAAGAAGATAACCCCCAGGATATTTATAAATTGAATGAAAGTTTAGAGAAGTTAAGGCTCTCGCAATTACCCTCTGGTATTGGCAATTCTTTGTTGAAATTACGTCTCCAGCAAGAAGCAGACTCCAATCCTCCCAGTAACTACAACAGTGATACCGATGAGCCTACAGCTCGCAAAAGAGACAAACATGAGCGAGTCAAGCATGAAGTGGTATTGAATCAAGATTTCACCTCCTCCACTAACAAAAAACGATCTGTGAATCGTGATGATTTCCAATCCTTGTGTGTTTTAGGCAGAGGAGCGTAAGTAGTTGCCATGATAATGTGTTATTTATCATGTCCTAACTTGAGATGCACATGCAGTTTCGGAAAGGTATTCTTGGTCAAGCATGAAACATCAAAAGAGCTGTATGCGATGAAGGTTCTAAAGAAGGCATCGTTGGTTGTTCATGGTAGACAAGCAGTTCAAGCCAAGACAGAACGGCAGATATTAGAAGAAGTGCGACATCCGTTCATTGTAAAGCTCAATTACGCATTCCAGACACCCACGGAACTTCATATGATCTTGGATTACGCTGTTGGAGGAGAATTATTCAGACATTTGGATCATGGTGAGTGGTATCTTTGGTATCTAAAGTTACTGATGATTAATGTAATGAGATAGAGGGCATGTTTTCTGAATCCATGGCAGTATTTTATGCTGCTGAATTGGTATTGGCTTTGGAGCACTTGCATTCACTGGGCATTGTATATCGTGATTTGAAACCAGAAAATTGCTTACTGGATGTGGAGGGACATGTTGTATTGACAGATTTCGGATTATCCAAGGTACCAGTGGATGGTAAAACAAATACAATTTGTGGCACAGCAGAGTACATGGCTCCCGAAATCTTGATGGGATTAGAGTATGATATCACTGTGGATTGGTGGAGTCTGGGCATTCTGATATATGATATGATGACCGGATCTGTAAGTCATTGTTGAATGTCATGGTACAGCATACTCACCCAGTCTATTACATAGCCACCATTCAGCTCGAATAACCGCAAAAAGACGATTGATTCAATTTTGACCAAAAAGATCCCAATGCCGTATTATTTAACTGCAGATGGAAAGGATTTATTATCCAAGGTAGGCTATATAAAAGCGGCAGAGAAGTATATTAGGGTGCTAACATCATGTGCCATTATCAGCTGTTACGTAAGAATCCAAATGCTCGTTTAGGTGCAAAGCCCAAAAAAGCAGACGCAATTCGACGACACAGATTCTTCCGCACTATAGATTGGGATGCACTGTTACGACGAGAGATTTCACCTCCCATTGTACCCATTGTGGTAGGTAGAACTTGATTAGATATTCGCGTAGAGACACTAATTTTTTCTTTGTCAATGAATTAGACTGATCCTGAGGCTGCAGAGGTAAATATTGGCTGGCTCTTGTGTAGTCCACTCACTAATTGTGCATGATAGAACTTTGATCCGTTATTCACAGCAGAAACAATCGTCGGATCACCAGGAAACAACGAATTATCATTATTACCAGAAGCTGAATCGAATAGCCACTTTTTGAACTTTAGCTATGTAGATACATCAGTGGCATCCTAATCATGTATTATACTTTAAATAGAGGAATATTTGTAAGCAAATAAATCAGACAAGAAGAGCCCCATAGGACCGCTCACGAACACTTGTAATGTATAATGCAGCATGTTCCTATACCAATTTGCGGCGAGAAAAACAATGGTATAATTGGATCTTGTATTGAATGGGTTGCTGCTGAGGAATAGATAATTTTTGAAATCAGCCTACTTTGAGTAATGAGCTTCATATAAGAGGAACCTGCTAATTACGATCGATTGCGCGTAACAGATCAGTAAATGAGGTGTTGAAAAACGTTGCATTCAAATCCCACTTGATGACAGCTTGCTTCGTTGTGTTGCAGCAAAGCTTTAAAGCTGATGTACTGCTCATTTTAGCCAACTTTGAGTAATATGCAGTAAAAAGGGGTTAAAAAAAATAGCAGATAGAACTGTTAAAATCCTTCTATATTTGAAATTAGGATAATGTGCAATAAAATGTATACTCTACGTCTCTATTTATATTATTTGGTTTATGTCTCTTATCTTGCAGCAGTTTAGTAGCTGCAGATGATTTCATTATTATTTTGTACAAGTGTTTATGCTTTGGATGGCTCTCTACCTTTGCTTTGCTTCGGTGGTGAGAACCAACCTGAGCAGCGACAGCTAGCGCTACCGATTGCCCTTGCATATCTTATCAAAACACTACTACATTCATGTTGATCCTCTACTTACACAAGAAAATCCTTCATATTATCTGTGGATCTGATTCTTATGTGATGCTCTACATCCATATACGCATAGCTACTTCATATACAGGCAAGCAGCATACTCGTATTTCCCCTTTTTAGTCAAGAGTGTGCCTAATACAGCAAAATATGAGTGCATTTGAGCTGCGTTTTCTTGCGTTCAAGGCCGTTTTAAGATTGTCAGAATAGCACCAAACAATTGCTCTCATCTGGCAGTTACTTTTTGCCACTATTGCTCAATGGACAAAATTCGACCAAAAAGCATGAGGTATCCCTCATGGTTTTCACCGAAAATCAAATGATCGCGTTTTTTCACCTTGATAATGAAGACTTTTACTACGGTATATATTGAATCAAACCTTTTTTTTTGTATTTAAATGTGTTTTATTTATATATATTATAGACAGTAAGGTGCCATAAGGGTCTTACATGTCTAAGAAAGAAGAAATTAACCTGGAATGATCCTCCAGAAAAGAGGAGAAAACAGCCCGAGTGATCCAGGATTTACCATCAATTGTGCAGCCCCAATGATGTTGCCAGATAGATGAGAAGGCAGCGCCGAGAAGTTCCAAGATGGAAATGTCCAGAGAATTGTTGTCCTGGCCGTGAAGGGTGGTCAACCCAATCCAGATGGCCTCGTCCGTAGGGAACAGATCAGCAAGACCAAGGTGAGAGACAAACTCATACCAGAAGAGGGACTTCATACTGCAGCCAATGACCATATGGTATTCATCTTCAGTCGCTTCATGACACATCTTACACAATGGGGAAGGATACTTCACACGGTTCATGGAATGCAGGCGAATCTGCACCGAAAGATGTCCATGCAGCAAACGCCACCACGGTGTCAATGCCTTGGGCGGGAGACAGAGAACCAGAAATCACGCCAAAGGCGAGGAGGAAGCAGGAGATGTGGTGGGCGATAGCCAGGAGGATGGGCTGGGCGACGCAACATGTCAAATGACGGATGCCAGGAACGGCGTAACGCCCCGAGCGTGATCTTGCCCACTGTAGCTTTTGAGCGAGGGCCAGTGGTGATGAACCAATGCGAAAAGCTAGCCGTGGGTGGAGAGGGGGTAGTGGAACTCTCCAGCAGTGCGGTGCACTCTGGAGCGGTGAAGGCCATGACGGACCTGAGAGGAGCAGGGACAACCCAGACAGGAGGACCCTCGATGGGGCACAAGGCATTGAACAGATGTTGCAATGCAGCAGTATCACGAGGACGCACGCAAACCAAGATGTGGGAGTCGGGGAGCACGCTCAAGAGGCTGGCAATCAAGGCATGAGGTGGCAGTTTGTCACTGTTCCTAGTCAAAGGCAAAGTCGCTGTGGGAGACAGGGAGCATACTTGTAACCAGGGCAGATCTAGGAGCCACCAAGACGGCCACTCAGGAGTGAGAGTCAAGGGAGGCAAACGAGTGAGTAGACGAGCCAGATGCTCCAAGTGAGGGCATTTCCGCACACGAGGCCAGCAGGTACGTGGGTATAGCAGCAAAGGCAGCACAGTAGCATGACCTGAGTATACATGGAATGTATACATCAGCCAGGGAGTGAGGAAATCCGCTGGGGATCTGGGACGAAGCAGACGCTTGACATATATGAGATACAAGGCGAGATGCTGCTTCTTGATGTCAACCAGACCAATACCTTCATGCTTCCTAGGAAGGCAGAGAGAATCCCAAGCCACAGTAGGCCAAAACGAGACGATGTACTGGCGTACCATGCGCTGTACCTCCTCCAGCCACTTGTCAGGAAACACAACCACACGCAGGAGATGCCACAAGCGAGACAGCAGAAGGGAATTCGCCACTAAACCCTTTCCACGAATGGATAGCTGCCGCTTGGTGAGCAGATTGCAATGACGCTGAATCTTCACGGTAATGGAATCCAGGAAATGCTGCAACTGCTTCTCTGTATGATATAGAGGGTAACCTAGATACCTCACAGAGCCAACTGACAAGCTGTCGTATCACTCAATGTTAGACGTTTCCGTCACTCTCTTCCAATCAGCATGATCCTCGCCTGACAGCGACAGCAGCATGGTTTTCTCCAAATTGACCTTGGCGTTGGACGCTTTGCCATAGAGCGACAAAAGAGACAGCAGCACAGGCCATTCCGCCGTAGAAGTCAGGAAGACTTTCAGATCATCGGCGTAGCTCAACAGCTTCACCCGTGGAGGGGTCGTCGGAGCGCGCAGGAGATCATGGTCGCCTTGGACTGGCACGAGAGAGGAGGCACGAGAGATACGCCCTGCGAGAGGAGCACGGACAGCGGTAGACATTGAGACGCCTTGAAGAGAGGGGCAGGCCAAGATGATTCTAAGGAACGGCTCGAAAGCCAGGTTGAACAGCAAAGGGGACAACGGATCACCCTGTCGTAAACCATGTTGTTGATCGATGGGGGCGCCCAACCACCCATTGATTGACAAGGAGATACGAGTACCAAATAACAGACTTGAAACACTGGATACCAACGATGCCGGGAAGCCAAACTGACGAAGAACCATCGCCAGATATGTCGGATTGACCCGATCATAGGCTTTCTCTTGATCCAAGAGTACGGCGACATTGGGATCCTGAGGAGCTGCATCACGGAGGTTGGTCATCAGCGTCTGGTTCAACCACGCATTGTCCGAGATGAGCCGGTGAGGCATAAAGCCTGTTTGGTACGGCGTAATCAATCGGGAGAGGACACGTTTGAACCGGTTGGCTAACATCTTGGTGAACAGCTTAGCATCGCTATTGATCATCGAGAGAGGTCGCCAGTTCTTGAGGAGCTCTGGATCGCCCTTCTTGAACAGCAGTACCATCCTCGTTTCTTTCCAAGAGTCAGGGAAGACACCACGCAGCGCATCAGTCAGCACTTGCTGCAAGAGAAGCAGAACAACAGGGAACTTCGCCGCCAAATAGCGATACACCTCAAACGGAAGGCCATCCAAACCAGAAGATTTGTTCTTGGGTGCATGGTCCAGCAACAGCAAGACAGAGTCTGTAGAGGGTGGTTCAATCAGCCGGTCTGCCTCAGCTTCTTGTAGCTTCGCATCAGCAGGGATATTGTCAAAGAGAGAGTTGACGGCAGCCAAATCAATGTCTTCAGGTGTGTAGAGATCTTGATAGAAAGTACGAGCTTCTTGGAGAATGTCGCCCATGTCTGTCAGCTTCTCTCCAGTGCCAGCCTTTTTCAAGGACTGGATGGTTTGTTGCGCCTCACGATCCTTAATCACATTGAAAAAGTATTTGTTGTTTTGCTCTCCCATTTCCAGCCAACGAGTAGCCGAACGCAGCATAGCTTGACGAGTGTCATCTTGAATCCGTTGCTCAATCAGTTGCTCCAGTCTTTTGATCCTTGCCGACTCCTCCGGGGTCCCAAGTAGCTGTTCCCGTTCACGTTGGAGGTGGGAGACTCGAGCTTTGAAGCGAGCCTTCTGGCCTTTGGTGAACTGTTTGGCACAGTACTTGATGATCGACTTGAGAGATTCCCACTTCTCCTGACCAGAGACACCCATATCAGCCACATCTGTCGTATAATAGTCAGACGCCAAAAACATATCCACGGTTTTATCCAAAAGGGCTTGGAATTCACGGTTCTCAAGCAAGTACGGATTCAAACGCCAGCTGCCAGAACCCAACTTGACGCCAGAGGTGACCAGATCGATTGTGAGGAGGCTGTGATTGGTCCACTCAGGTGGAATGTGGTGAGTCTGAGTGTTGATGATACGAGTCGCCATAGGAGGAGGAGCAAAGACATAGTCAATGGTGGTGCCAGCTTTAGGGAGAGTCATTGTGCCTTTTGGAAAACAGTTGAAAAAATGAGCGTTCAGCCATTCAACAAAAGGTTGGACTCTAGGGAGACGAGCCTCGACCGCATCATGCAAATGGATATTGAAATCCCCAAGCTAGATCCACTGGGAGTCAAGCATATCAGACCAGAAGGGCATGGACACCAGCTCCTCCAGGAAAGCATAGCGATGGGCTCTGTGCACGGGCATGTACACACTGGCTATCTGGCATATGGTGTGATTAGCGTCCTTAATGGTGGCGGTGATGCAGCGTTCGTCACGAGAGATGGTGGCATCCGCAAGCTCCAAGCCTTGCTTCAGACACACTATTTCACAATGCTTCGAGACGACAAAGGAAGACCGAGGAAACATAAAAGAGGAAGCACGCACATTATCATCAGTGAGGTGGGCCTTCTGACGATAATGAAAGACCTCCTGCAGACAGAGAATATCTAGCTGGAGGGTTTTGGAGCGCAGAAAGGAAGTGAATTCCTTCTGTATAGATTTTGAGGAACCCTTAAAGATGCTCCGGGCATTAAGGGTATCTATGCGCAATGATTGTTGTATCATTATGCCCTATGGGCGACATGATACACTTGAGGCTGCGACATGGACGTCGAGCTCATAGAATGACGGCGGAGAGGGAGCACATCAGACTGAAAACCATTGAGAGAGGAAACGCTGGCGACACTTGCCTGAGAATCCACATGCATGTACAAAGACGAAGCTAGTGGAGCATGCTTGGAAGCATCGCTACTATGAGGAGTGCGTTGCAGGGTCTTGGGATCGACTTCCATTGCGGACGACTCGGCATTACTGATCTGGCTGCCATGAGAAGCGGTTGACTGGCTGGCTGTGGTTTGGCGTTGCAGTTGTTGCGCTACATGATCATGGATGGTGTGGGTGGCTCCACGGCGCTTCTCGCGTTCTCCATCATTGGGACGACGTTGAGTTTCGGCAGTATTGTTCTCCTCATTGGCCTTCTTACTCGACTCGTACTCCTCGAGGGCATCCTCAAACGTGGTTTCCTCCTCCTCGCGACAGAACCTGGCGGTGTGACCCAGCTTACGATCACAACAGACAAAGGTATAACCAAAAGGTTTTCACTACAACGTTCCTCAACACCTAATCCATCAATATACCATTCGCAATCTCTTGTAACTAGCAGCTTTCAATACGCTTTATACGTTGGTCTTTGCTCAAAATTATCTTATTTCCAAAATCTTCCGTTCCTGATCAGCAAGTCATCATCCATCCTAAAATCTAACTGCACTATCGTTTTTGTCAAAGTTGGTATAGAAGAAGAAGCATACTATCATCAAAGCTCTAGCATCAATATTTCAAAGCTTGGTTTTATCAATGATGACCCGAACCTCAAAACCGGAAATATCTTTGTAAATCCAGTGTTTGATATGAGTTAAAAGATAGTAGCAGCAACCCATAGAATTCAGACATGTTGGAAACCAATGATGAATGATGATTCATGTTTGCTGGGAGGACGTTTGGTACTTGGAGGGTCTGGTGCCTAGTATACTACTATACCTATATTATAACTTTCCCCACATAATAGATTTAAAAGATATTTCTGACTACAAACTGTGTAATAGATACCAGATCCAGCAACTGCACCTTATCTTATTGAATAAAGAATTGTTTAAATTTGTACCTGTCTACTGAATTATCCTTTTATTACAAATACAAAATCATATTAAATGGCAAACCAACAGAAAGTCAACTAGTTGTAGATCGTTTCTCTTTCAACCCCAGAGCCAATCAAATCGCTTAAAAACTCCGCTGACCTAAAAAAATTTTTGCGAGGGTTTCCCCCTGTTTTGATGTGAGGCAAAATTTTAAGCTCCGCTATATAGAGCAATATAGCTGTTACTATCATCAAATTTCCCTCAGGTGCTAGAGCATGCCTTACTTACACCACCTAGCTTTAGATTCTGGCGTTAAGACTCTCAATCATCACTAAAGTAAGTAGTGATAACCAAGTGGAGGCAGCCTATCCATCTCCTAGTCTCGGATAAAGTCTTGTTGTGCTTCAGCGATAGGCACATCCACCACAACGTAAAAAAGAGGTATGCTTCAAAGAAACATAATAAAAGAAAAAAGGAAAAAGAAGAAAAGAACATGCTACTATAGGGGTATAGCAGTATGTAGGTAAAAAAGGGATACTCACACGCAATGAGTCAAAGAAAAGCATAGCAAACACAACATCAAAGAATGTTCAGAACAGCTTGCTGTTGTTGCAACAAAAATGCATACATGAGCAATATGCAAGATAATAGTCGGATGTAAAGCAACACAAATACGCACAATTGCAGAAGCAACAGTAGTATTATAAGTGTGCAATACAACATAATGACTAATGTTGTTTCATGTGAAGCGACAGAGGCAACACAAACAACAATTCACGGCCATATAACATAGTAGTATTACAAAGGAAATACAGATATATAGCAGCACATCATGCTTGTTGTTCGTACATACGAAGCAACAACATTGCAAGCATCCGTTGAGCTGATCATATCACAGCCAACAAAAGAAAAAGAACGCGCAACAAAGAAAACCTCATGAATGCATTATCATGAGAAAGAAAGCAATAATAAAAGCGTCCAGAGAAGCTTTGTATTATTGCGACCGTAAGAAAAAAAGTTACTTACCACTTACCACAGCCACCAATAGACCAAAGAATAGGCAATCACCAGAGATAGACCAGAGAACAAGCATACAACAAAGACAGCAGACCAAGAAAGACCAGGCTAACAGCAGAAACACCAGCAGCAGCACCATCAGCAACACCATCAAAAACACCAGTAGTGTAAAAAAAACCGAAGAACGAGTGACACCAGAGACCAGACAAAGATTAACAAAGCAGCCGCCAGAGATAGAGACCAAGAAGCAGCTACCAGACGTAATAAACCAAAGAAGCAAACAGCAGAGATAGCAAAGAAGTAATGACAGCAGCACCCGCGTCAAACAGGCAAAAAAAACTATCGATACCTAATAAACAAATTCGATTATTGCTTGTTGTACATTTTTCTGTGCTCGTTATCGAATAGTACGTATTATATTCCAGTTCAAAGAAGCAGTATCAAGTACTTCTAACAGTGCAAGGCCGTGTTATGAGATGATAGAGTGTTATTTTCAATCAAAAAGGTTCCAAAACCAATATGGTTTGATACTAAACGCGCTTTGCAAAAAGGAAAAAAAAAAACGGTGGTATGGAAAAATGAGAGGGCGTCCTATCCGACGTCACGGCCAGTAGTTTTTGTCTCAGTCTTCTGCCGTGGCTGCCGTAGTAACTGCTGCACTTTAATTTGAAATTGAGCAGTGGGTATTTTTGTGTTCAAATTTGACTTGATCTTACATCCTTTAAACGTTTTTGCTAAATTTGACTATGAAAATTGTCGCTGTTATACTTTACTTTCTAATGCATCTATAAAAAGTTAATGAAGGCGCATCGAATGATGCTGGTTACATTCAGCTTTCAGACGGAAAATAATGAGCAGTTTGCAAAAATATGAAAACAGGGGTTTTGCCAATATGTCAAAATTTAGCTTAAGAAAGTCTCAAAAAAGTAGTTTCCAGTGTTGCATTGCATCTTCACGATCAATTTAGTCTGATATGTATCATAGTAAAAGTCTCCATTTTTGGGGTGAAAAACGCCATTGTTTGATTTTCAAGAATTTTCCCTTGCTAATACTCATGTAAAAACGACGATTTTTATGAATTTGCAATAGCCTAGAGAATTTCGAGATAAAGCATCAGTAAGTAAAGCATGGACAAGGAGGGACGTTTAGCCATATTCCAAGTGTCCACAACGCTTTGTAGCATGAGTTATTCGTGCTTCAAAATGGCTAATGTTGGAGAGAATTTTGCCTAAAAATAAGGCGTAGTATGTTGTGCTGCCAAAGAAGTGAGTAAATTGCAGTTCTGTTTAGTGCCCCCCCTGATGTTCTGCACTGTACGGAATTCTATACCTAAGCGACTGACGCTTTTATTCTAATTTTTCTGGCAATCAGATTTCTTTGAGATGCTCGAATACAGTGGTTTTAAAACTTGAGCGTCAGTAATACTATGCAAATTTGAATCTAACGATTTGCTCAGATTGACCAAGATACTTATCTCAGCAAACCCTGTAATGAAATAGCCACCCAAACGCAACTTGATTGAAAACCAAAATTCATCAAATAGCACTCATTCAAATTCATGCTCTTTGGATCTATTAATAAAATCGCTCAAATGTACACCAACAACCATTTAAACATACTAGAGTAAAGATACACGCTTATATCGCACATCGTGTGAATGAATCACTCCTGATCACAGTGTATTCAATCACACCCATGATGGTCGTAATAAGTGATGGTATCTTTATCCAAAAAGAATCAAATCAATAACAAGCATATTCAAATATGACAACTATGCCCTGCTGCCATAGTTGCACAATATCCCAGATAAAGGATTCCATGCTTCAATAACAAACATCACACTTTAAACCATCAAGGTTACATTAAATCATGCTATGACGATAACTCACCCAAGCCCATCAAGGTTACTCAAATCGACCCTTATGGCCAGTGCTCCTGCATTGATTACCACTTTAAACCAAACATCAACATTTGCCAGTTATCGCAATAGCAGCACCTATTGCTCTCTATCATCACTAATCCTACAAGCTAGATGCAAATGTATAAATACTCTTCTTTTTTTACTCAATTCCAGGATCTTCAGTTCATTTTATATACAAATAAAATACAGTTAATTTCTATTGTATTTTACTATTGCTTTATTTTTTTGTAAAATTTATTTAAACCTGATTTCACTGCACATGTCATCGTATAGAGAATCAAAAAAGAATAGAAGCTACTAAGCTTTAAGCTCATGTTCACTTAGTAAAATCAACCGGTACGACCCTTAGAAATTTGTCCATTTTCACTGTTTTTCCTCATTACTCATCGACATCGTTCTCGGCAAGCTCAATTACAACATCCCTTAATCAACCAAAGTGTCCTCTACAATTTTTACTAGACATACAACCAGCATTCATATAGTAAGTCATTGACTTTCATTAGTAGCACCTGCTCAAAATTTGCAAATTTCTCAAATCTCGCTTTTCTCATCATCACCGCAGCCAATCTAAAGTCCAATTGCACCATCATCGTCTACGCAAAAAACTATCATAGGAACATCCATGTTAATTTCAAAGCTCTAGCACCAATTTTTCAAAAATCGATGTTCGATCGTCCAAAAGTTGAAAATCTCAAAATCAAAAAATATTTTGTACATCCAGGTCCTCATAGACAAAAAATAGAATCTCATCAAACTTTGATATGTTGTAGAACAACGGTATTGCAGCAACTTCTGAAAAAGAATCTGCTTTCGGTTCTCCCAGTACCAAATGTCCTGCTAAGCATGGGCGGGATGTACATCATTGGTTTCCAACAGGTATCTTCTATCTTTTACCTGACATTCAACAAGACTCCGGACGTTCAAAAGTATTTCGGTTTTGAAGCTTGACCTATCTAAAATCAGGTTTTGAAATATCATTGATGCTAGAGCTCTGACAATAAAATGTTTCTTGAGCAAAATCTTTCAAAGAAAACAATATAGTGGAGTTGTTATGTACCAGATCAAATGGTGTATTGTACATCAAATACAGATGACACCGAGAGTAGACAATTCTGATCAAAGACGTAATATTTATAAAAGCCAGTATTGGAAACTGTTGTTATTGCAAGTGATTAAAGGTATTAGATTAATGGATTAGGTGTTGGGAAACGCTGTTATATCAAATGTCATAGCAAGGTCTCACACTAAAGGTTTTAGGCTATTCTTAGGTCCTTTGGGTAAATCATGCTAATCATGATTTACAAATCAATTGTTGGGTAGATAGTAAACCTATTTGTATTATAGTTCATCATCTTGTTGTAAACCCTAGCATAATGAAAAGTATATAAATGCATCCTTGGGATGCATTCTCAATAGAAGTGTAATTCTTTGGCAGATTCAATTTTACATTGTATTTTGACATAACAAACGCTGTAGTCAAAACTTAGATATACATTCCTTTGTTAATGTTAAGCACAAAGAGTAAAAGGACTATAATTTGTAACTTACAAAAAATGTTCGATATTACAAAAACAACGAAAGACTTATTTGAACAAGATCAGACAAAAACTAAAGATTATTTATTGAAGACAAGAGTTATTCTATTTATACTATGTTCTGAATGCCAAAGTAGCAATTTTTCTTGTACAACGCTTATCATATCTGATGAACCTCAGCATTTAGATAGCTGAGATGCACTTCAATCATCATAGCTTGTCCATGTTGTTGCACAACACAGATATTATATCCACTCATCAAGAATACCTTAATTTTTATAGACACTTGTAGTCCTTCTGGCACAACAGCAGGGGTTCGTTGTTTGATTCTCTTAATCGCTATCGTGCTGACACCGACTTGGCCTGTCTAGT